TAGTAGTCCCATTGATATACCATCCGATATACCATTCCTTGGCGATGGATCGTGGTATATTGTCACGTGACTTATACCCTTGTTGTCCTGCATCATCACCGCGGGGTTGGTTGGCTCTGGTTTCCTCTTGTACCCCTGTTGGCGCGAGTGAGGTGGCTTGGTTCGTAACATCATCTCCCCCTCTTCCAGATTTTCGTCCTCGAAAAGTCCTTAAATTCTCGGTGTCCCCTCTAGGTGAGTTCCCACAATGTTGTCCCGTCATGTCCCCCCGCACTGCCGTTAAACCGAAGCGTAACAAGTACGCTGATAACGCTCGTTTGGGTGATAGGATTGAACGAACTGGTCGCCCCGTGGATTTCCCGTGCGATTATTGTCTTATTCGTGGAAAGTGTTGCATCATGAGTCCTTTCGTGAAGAGTAAGAAGTGTTCGACTTGTGCTCGTCGTGGACACACTTGTGAGAGGAGTTTCCACACAGATAAGGAGTGGGATGACCTGCAACAAAATGAACGAAAGTTGGCGTCCGATCTCGAGGAGGCCCAAAAGCAATTTCTTCAGCATTCGCAAAAGATGAATGAGGCGATGGCAAAGGTCCTTCGCCTCCAAAAACATCAACAATTTCTCAAAGAACGTGGTGGTCGGATGTTGGATCACGATCAGACGACGTTGGATCGGTTAAACGAAGAGGATCCCCCTACCGCCGAGGAATTTCGTGATTTTGATCGGTTGGCGGAGCAGCAGGAGATTCGTCAATTGGCTGCTACGTCGGGAGACGCTAGTCTGATGAGGATGACTCAGTCTCTGGATCAGATGCCTCCTGGCTTCTGGAGTGTCGAGGCTGCGATTGCCGAAGGGAATTTCGATCTATCCGCTGGTGGAACTGTTGAACCAGCTGAGAGCAACCCGTCAGGTGCTCAATAGGTTCCCAAGTGTTTTCAGAGGTATCGTACCCCTTCCATTTGACAAGGTAGTGAGGCTTGCCACTGATGCGTTTGTTGTCCAGAACTTTTTCGACTTCATATTCGTTTTCGGTTTCTTCTTCGATTTCCACGTTGGTAGCGAGTTCGGCGTTTTCTGGTGCGGGTTCGAGTAACGAGATATGAAACGTTGGGTGAATGCGTCGCATGCTTTCTGGTAGTTTCAAGCGAAAATTGACTGGTCCTGTTTGTTCTTCAATTTCGAATGGTCCCAACTTCAGGTGGTCGAGTTTCGCGCTCGGTCGCTTGGTTTTGATGTTTCGTCGTAGGAGGTAGACCTTCTCCCCCTTTTTCAGATCAGGGCCGGCTCGGTGGCGCTGGTCGTAGTGCGTTTTCATGCGTAGGTTCAGAAATTCGATGTCTCGAGCCATTTGCATGTGGAGTTGCTTGATCCCGGTGGTCAGTAGTCTTGCGGATTCTGCCACAGTTCTCTCGTTTCGGGGTTCTCCGATTAACTTGGGATTATACCCATAGTTCGCGAAGAACGGCGATTCCTTCGTCGTTGCATGCATCGCGTTGTTGTAAGCGAATTGTGCAATTGGTAACAATCCTGCCCAATCGTCTTGCTGGTGGTTCACATGGTGTCTCAGGTATTGTTCCAGAGTCTGGTTGACTCGTTCTGTCTGTCCGTTGGTTTGCGGGTGATATGCAGTAGAGAGTCTGTGCTCAATACCCATTTGGTCCGCAAATGATTGCCACATATTGGATGTGAACAGTTTGTCTCGGTCCGATGTGATCTTGTCGGGTACTCCATGGTTTCCGAAAACGTAGCGAAGTAGTATATTCGCCATTCGGTTTGCGTCGATGCTTTCTTTTGTCGCAACCATATATGCGTACTTTGTGAGTCGGTCGACAATGACCATGATCATATCGCAACCTTCTGATTCTGGTAGTTTCGTGATAAAGTCCATGGTAATCCATTCCCATGGCCGCGTTGGCGTGTCTGCTGTCTGCATTTCCCCGTAAGGAAGGTGTCGTGATGGCTTGTTCCGTTGACATGTGTCGCAACTTTTGATGTACCCCCTTACTTTTCGGTGCATGTTCGGGATGTAGTAGTTGCGTGAGATATGTTCCATTGTTTTTTCAACTCCCATATGTCCGTGCGTCGGGAAGTCGTGGTGTTTTTTGATGACTTCGTTCTGCAGCGATCGTGGAACATAGATCAAGCCATGGATGATGACGAATCCGTCGTCGCTTGTAGTGCCGTTGTGACGTTCGTTCCCGAGGACTGCTTGCATTGATTCGTCCTCGGCGGTGGCTCTTCGGACCTTGTCTAGCCATCCGTCGTCTTCGATTTCGCTGGTTGCTGCGAGTATTTGTCGGTTGTAGACGATGTCTCCTTGGTCGTTTGTAGTGAGGATAGCGGGCTCCGCTTCCTTTGTGCCGATCTGATAGTCAGGTCGTCTGCTGAGTGCGTCTGCGACAGCGTTTTCAGTCCCTTTGCAGTGAACAATCTTAAAATCGTATTGTGCAAGGGTTTCAGCCCATCTAGCTTGCCGTCGAGTGAGTTTCTTCGTGGTGGTGAAGAATGTCAGGTTGTGGTGGTCCGTCTTGACCGTCACAGTATGCTTTGCTCCTTCGAGGTACGCTCTCCAGACTTGAAATGCTGACACTATAGCAAGCAGTTCTTTGTCGTGGATGTCGTAATTGAGTTCTGCGGGGATCATCTTCCTAGACCAAAATGCGATTGGTCTGGGCTTTCCGTTTTCGTCCGGCTGGGTCAGTTGTGCTCCCAGGGCGTAGTCTGATGCGTCGGTTTCCATCGTGGTTGGCTTTTCGTAGTCGAAGATTCCAACGACTGTTCGTTTCTCGAACAAGCTCTTGAGTTTTTGGAATGATTCTTCTGCTTTGTCGTCCCAGTTGAACGTTTCTCCCTTCTTGGTGAATCGGTATAGTCCGGCGGCGTATTTCGAGTAACCCGGGACTAGTTTCCGATAGTAATTTGCCAATCCAAGAAAGCTTTGTACGTCCTTGACGTTTCTGGGTGTGGGCCATTCCACAATGCTTTTGACCTTTTCTTCTTCCATTCCTAGACCGTCGAGGCTGATGGTGTATCCAAGGAAGCTGGTTTCCTGGACGTGGAATTCGCATTTCTTGAGCTTCAGAGTGACTTTGGCTTCTCTGAGCTTCTGCAGCACCTTTTTGTTGTGTTCAATATGTTCTGCTTCGGTCTTGGAGAATACTAAGATATCATCCAAGTAAGCGATAACAAAAACATCGAGGTATTCTTCCAGAACGGTGAAGATGAACCTCTGGAACGATGCTGGTGCGTTGGTAAGACCAAAAGGCATAACCACATATTCGAAGTGTCCGAATTTGGTCCTGAATGCTGTCTTCCATTCATGGCCTTCCTTGATCCTGAGCCGATTGTAAGCCTCAGTGATGTCGTACTTGGTGAAGTATTTGGCTCCTTGAATGCGGTCTTGGATCTCGTGAATCAGTGGTAACGGATGTCGATCTTTGATGGTAATCGAATTTAATTGTCGATAGTCCACACAAAGTCGAAGACTTCCATCTTTCTTTGGTACGAATAGGATAGGATATCCTGCTGGTGAGGTGGATTTCCGAATGTATCCTTTCCTCAGGTTCGTGTCGATGTATTCCTTCAGCGTCTCCGATTCCTTCTGTGAGAGCTGGTAAATTGGTCTGAATGTAGGCTCCTTGCCTTCTTCGAGGTTGACCTCGTGGTCGTACGGGCCATGCTCTGGTAGCGTGCCCTCCTTTGGTGGCGTAAACACATCCTGGAAGTCTTGGTATTCCTCAGGAATCTGTGTTTCTTCCCCTGTTGCACAGAGGGCTGTGGAGCCGTGTTCAACCATCACGTACTCCCTTAGCTCGTCGTCTGTCATATCCGGTCGTTGCTCGGTGTTGACGATGGTACTGGCTTCCGTTGCCTTGTACTGTGCCCCGCCTCTGGGCCGAGTGCTCCTCTTAAGTTTGCCTTCGTGAGGGCCTCGAGGGCCACCTGTCACCCCTTGACTAGGTCCCTGTGCTGGTCTGTATCTGTTCCCGGTCCATGTCTCACTGGTTTGTCGGCATTCACATCGGTTGAAGACAATGAGTCCTTTCTGCCAATCGATAGCTGGGTTATGTCTTCGTAACCACGGAACTCCTAGCACGACGTCGTACTGCCCGAGGTTGGTGATGTTGAAGTTGATTGTTTCAAAATGATTTCCCAAAACCATCGGCAGGTCCCCTGTTTCGTGCGTAATTCCCGTGCTGAGTGGTTCTCCATTGAGTCCAGTAAGAGGTAAGAGCTCCTCTTTTCGTCGCCGCTGGATTGTATATTCCTGACAGCACTGTGGGCTCATGAAGTTTCCGCTGGCTCCTGAGTCGATCATCGCTCGCATATTCTTGTATGCGACGTTGACGAAGACTTTCATATGTGCCCCCCACTGTGTTGCTGCGAGTTGTGGTGTGGGTGCAATTTTCTTGTTGCCGTGCCATGTTCCTGTGTATTCGGGCTTCCACTGGGGTCGTTTTTCCCATCGCAAAGGTCTCGGCTCAACTCCAAGGTTGAGTTTCCCTGGGTAGTGGAGCATGCAATTGTCGTCGTAGCATCCTACAACCGCCCTGATGTCATGTTTCGGGTGTCGTGCGTATCCTCGACACGCGCATCGTGGATGCTCACATGGACAGGTTGGTTGGTCCTGGGATAGCTCTTCCCGAGCCGACTCATCCTGTTGGCCTTTTGTCTCGTCACTCGAGGTTTCTCTGTTCCTGGGGTTTTCCTGAGGCGTTTCCAGGATCGTCTCTTCCGTTTCTGGGAGTGTGGGTGGAGTTTCTGGGATCTCCGGCGTTCCTGGGATTTCAATTGGTGTCCTCAGGATACCTGTGCCCCACTCCTGGGAATCGTCCGACAATTCCTGGGAGTCGATGGTGTTCCAGGGACCGTACTGGGTCCATCCTTGACTCTCAATATCTTCTGAGCCTTGCTTGAAGCGCTCAAAGTGTTCCTCCGCGCTACCAGCTTGCGCGGGCGTCCTAAGGACTAGGTCGTCCATATAGACCTCGTTGTTTTGTGTCAGTTCCGCGGCATGATCCTTCGCGTACATCTGCGGCGAGTTTTCGATGATTTCATAGTCGATCTCTGGGAATTCTTCGTCGTCTGTTTCGGAGAGCATTCGCTCATCCCGATACAGTCCTGGTGGCTTGCTCCCATCCACAATCATGGGGCCTTCCCAGTCGCGCTCCTGCGTCGCGTAGAGCCGTTGAGGCTTCCCTTGTTCTGGTTTCTCGGTGCCAGTAGTGTCGTACGCACCTCTTCGTTCTTGGGTCGCGTTCAATTGTTGGGGTTTCTCCTGCCTCTTGCTTCGGCAGTCCTTGATTCGGTGTCCTGGCTTACCACAGTTGAAGCACAGGTTGTTGTTTTTGCGTCGTTTCTGTTCTTCGGTAGGCAGCCTTGCTGCATCGAGTTCCATTGGTTTGGGTCCGTAGGGGTCGTTGTCCCTTCTCCCAAAGTTCCGTCTTTGTTGGAATCGTCCGCCGTTTCCTCGTCCTGGGTTACGGCGCCATTGTTTAAGTTCGCTTTCTTCTCGCTGTCGGTCGTAGAAGCGGTTATCGATTCGTACAACAGTGTCGACGAATTCATTCATGGTGGTAGGTCGTCCGATTCGAGCGATTTCGTCCTTGATGTGTGATTTCAGCCCCCCATAGAATGGTGGAATCAAAGCGTAGTCGTCCCATCCTAGGATTGCGGCGTGTGCCATGAACTCGGCAACGTAGGCTGTTGCGGAGGTGGTTTGTCGAGTTCGTGCAAGTTTCCGTTCAGCCGTTGCTTTCGCGTCGATATCGCCGAAGGTTCGTTCAAGCAATTGTCGGAAGCTGCTGTATCGCGAAAAGATGCCCTGGGCCATGGCAGACCAGGCGTCTGGAGTCTTTTCATAGTATTCTCGAATGTACGGTTCCAACCAATCCCATGCTTGTCCTCGTAGGTATGATGACACAAAGATGACTTTTGCGGCGTCGTTGACTAGCCTTCCTCTGTTCATGTCAAGGTGCATATCCATCTGGGTGAGGAACCCTCGAAGCTTAGATCGAGTACCGTCGAAGCTCTCTGCTTTGGGTAACTTGATTCCCACGGAAGATGCTGGTGCGGAGGCGGCGATTTGGGCTGCACTTTGCTCGACTGAGTCTCGAAGGTCTCCAATGTCGTGGTCATGCTTGCTGCTAAAGGTGTTGAGCTGGCTGATCAGGGTGTGAATCTGTTCTTCCAGTGCCCTGACTCGTTTCTCATCTTCATCGTCCGAATCCAAGTCGGTGTGTCGTGTTTGCGTTTTCGGTGGCAGAGGCTCGATCGCCTTGCCCTTGTTGTTACTGCCGTGCGACGCCATGATGCTTGGACTTCACGGTTCGATGACAGGGTGATCAATGTGTTACGAACTGCTAACTGGTCACGGTGAGTAACGTCCGCAAAGGTGATACTTCTCTAGGAGTACTGCAGGCCTCAAGCGTATCCGCAACCGTACCAATGCCTCGGGGGCCTTCTATGGGCTCGGGTCTCTAGGGTGCTTGCAAGGTGTGCCAGTTAGAGCGCCGGTCAAGTCAGTCACTTAGGGATCGAGGATCACTAAGTAAGCTCCCAAGACCGTTGGAGGGTTGTCGCTATGTTCGAACTGTGAAGTACCAAAGGGTGGTTCCAAGTAACAATGATGGGATTGATCACGAAGAACTAAATACATGTGGTAAAGACTGTCCTTATATATCCCTTGCCCAGTATTCCACGCCCTCGTTTGTGGTATACTGCATGCAGGCATGTAGTAGTCCCATTGATATACCATCCGATATACCATTCCTTGGCGATGGATCGTGGTATATTGTCACGTGACTTATACCCTTGTTGTCCTGCATCATCACCGCGGGGTTGGTTGGCTCTGGTTTCCTCTTGTACCCCTGTTGGCGCGAGTGAGGTGGCTTGGTTCGTAACATATATTAGTAAGTCTAAAAGATATAATAGTATATTTAAAATATCTAAACTTGGTTCGAAATACTATTTTCTATTTATGGCCTTCTTTAATCTATAGCTAATTATAGGTATTTGTGATATTATACTTCGTAAAGTAATTAGCGTCTTAGATCCGGTTTTAGATCTTACTAATTAAAGATAGTAGGTATTAATCTTTAATAGTTATCGAATTTAGTTATTAGTAATCTATATAAAGTCGAAATAATCTATCCTTTTTTAGTATAAAGAGGATAGGATATCCTACTAATAATATCGATTTTCTAATATAACCTTTACGTAGGTTTTTGTCGATATATTCCTTTAATATCTTAGACTCTTTCTATAAGAGCTAGTAAATTAATATAAACTTAGGTTCTTTTCCTTTTTAAACGTTGATTTTATAATTAAATAAATTATATATAGGTAATATTCCTTCTGCTAGTAGTATAAATATATCCTAGTACTCTCGATATTTATTAGGTACTAATACTTTTTCTCTTACCGCGATAATATAGAGGGATCTTAATTTATACTTAACTATAACGTACTCTTCTAATTCGTTATTAGTTATATCTAGTCGTTATTCGATTATTACGATAATACTAATATCTATTATCTTATATTATATCTTATCTCTAGGCTAAGTACTTCTCGTGAGTCCTACCTTATAAGAGTCTTGAGGATTACCTACCTCTTTAGGGCTAGGTTCCTTTCGTTATTATTGTGCGAGTCTGGTCTATATCTTACTTATCTATCGATATTTATATCTATTAAAGATAACTATTCCTTTTATCTAATTAATCGCTAGATTATATTATCGTAGTTACGGAATTCCTAATATAATATTGTATTCTCTAAGATTAGTAATATCGAAGTTAATAGTTTTAAAATAGTTTCCTAAAACTACAGAGAGTCGACTTATTTTATACGTGATTCTTAGCTTTAGCCTTTCTCCGTTAAAGCTAATAATAGATAAGATATTTTTCTTCTTATTTCTTTAAACGTTCTTCTATTAGTAATATTATAGGCTTATAAAGTTTCCTAAGGCCCCTAAATTAATTATTACTCGTGTATCTTTATATATAATATTAATTATAACTTTTATATAGACTCCCTATTAGATAGCTATAAGTTATTATAGGTTTTTTAGTTTCTCGTTTCTTTGCTAAGTACCTATAAATTTAGGTTTCTACTATAATAGATTTTCCTAATATAATAATTATGGTTTAATCCTATAATTCAATTTTCCTTATCGATAGATTATATAATCGTGATCGTAGTATCCTAGAACTATATAGATATTATATTTTAGGTATTATACGTAGCCTCGATAAGAATATTATAGATATTTATATAGATACGTAGATTTATTCTAGGATCGCTTTTCTTAAGCCGGCTTATCTTAAAGATCTTTTATCTCGTTACTTAAGGTATTCTAAGTCTATTTAGGTTGCTTTTCGTCGTTTCTAGGGGATTTCGTAGGCGTTTCTAGGTAAATTATCGTTTCTAGAAATTTAGGTAGAGTTTCTTAGATCTCCGGGGTTCTTAAGATCTTAATCGGTGTTTTTAGGATACCTATTTCCTGTTTCTAGGAGTTACTCTATTTGTCCTAGGAGTTAATAGTGTTCTAGGGACTATACTAGGTCTATCCTTGACTCTTAATACGTTCCTAATTAATCTCTAGGAATTCTTTACTCTGCTATTTCTTTAATTAGTATAGGTTAGCTAGTTGATTAAGAATCTTTATCTATTTTTTAAGTCTTTCTTCTCGCGAAGTTATTTTATTATATACTTCTAATAGAGTTATTCGGAGTTAGCTAATTTCACTATCTAAGTTCTATATTCGTAGTATTTTCTATTTTAGTAATAGTAGTTTATTACTATCTATAATCACTAGTCTTTCCTATCCTTACTCTTTTATTACGTAGAGCTATTAAGTTTATCTCTTAGCTTTTATAATATCGGTAGTATTATATACTCCTCTATCGAGCCTTTTATTCGTTACTTATATCTAATACAGCTTATCGTTACGTTTCTTATATTCTTTCGATCGGTATACTAGCTTTCTATACTTAAAGTATAGGTTATTTTCCTTATATTAATATTACTTCTCCTCTAGAAGCCTTACTACGTTAAATTCTATTAATCGTGGACTATATAGATCGTTAGAGCGTGGCTATTACGCTCGCTAAGGTTAGAATCGTTGGTAAGATAGATAGCTGTTATCTTATCTCTATCCTTCTATCTCTTGTTTCTATATTTATCTATCGTGGAATCTATTATCGATATAGACCGCGAAGTCGATAAACGCGTCTATAGTGTTAAAGTCTCTATATCTTACGATTTCGTCTTTAATATAGGATTTTAACCTTTTATTATAGTATAGGATTAGAGCGTAATTATCCTATCTAAGTATCGCTGCTTATTATATAAATTCAGCTATATAGGCTAATACTAGTCTTATCTATCGGAGTTATCTAAGTTTTCGTTTAGCCGTTTTCTTTATATCGATATCGCCGAATATTTTCTTAAGATGGTTCTTGAAGTTACTATAACCGCTAAAGATATTTTATATAGTATTTAATTATTCCGAGCTATCTTTTTTATAGTACTCTTAGATATATAGTTCGAGCTAATCCTATATTTATCTTTATAGATAGATTAACACGAAGATAACTTTGCTTATTTTAGTTATTAATCGATATCTATTAATATCGAGGTATATATTTATTTATATAAAGAAACCTCGTAATTTAAAGCGAGTTCTATTGAAGTTTTCTGTTTTAGGCAGCTATAGTACTATTAGCGATAGAGCTTAGAGTTAGATATCGGTTTACTAGACTAAATTGTGAAGGTTCTTAATTTCACTATTATATTTTTATTCGAACACGGTGAGTTAGCTAATAAAGGTACTGATTTGTCTCTCTAATTCCTTAATTCTTTTCTTATCTTTATCTTCTGATTCTGGGTTAGGTTAATATATCTAGGTCTTTAGAGATATAGGTTCGACTACCTTACCTTTATAGTTACTACTATATAAAGATATAATAACTACTATTTTATAGTTTTGACTAATAGAGTAATTAATATATTACGAACCACTAACTAGTCACGGTAAATAGGGTCCTTAAAAAGTAATACTTCTTTTAGAGTACTATAGGCCTTAAGTATAATCTGTAACTATACTAACGCTACGTAGGGCCTTAAATAGACTTAGGTCTTTAGGGTATTTATAAAGTATAATAGTTAAGACGCCGATTAAGTTAGTTATTTAGGGATCCGAGATTATTAAATAAGCTCCTAAGATCGTTGAGGTTTTTAGCTTTTATAGTCGAGACTATAAATAATACTTAAGTAACAATAGTATAAAGATTGATTATATAGAACTAAGTATATACCGGAAATAAGTGTCCTTATATCCTCCGTCTTCTTAGCCTAGTAGACTAGTAGATAGTATAGTAGTAGGTAAGACTTAGCGTCGTCTACCGTTTAATCGATATACCCCTCTATTACCTATATATAGTCACGTGATGATCTTAACCATCTTGTCTAGTGATCTATTGTATCGCTCCGTGTGGGCCAGATCGATTAGTGGTTGTAGGGTCTATAACAATATAAGACTAATCGGTTTGGTATGCCTCTATTTTATATAGTAGGTATGACGCTATTAAACCATATATTTACTGCAGCTCTATGTTTTATGCCTAATAAGGTTGAAATAAGCTATATTTGGGTGCTTCAGACCTTTTTTGATTAGCTAAATCTCTTATCTGAATCTGATTTTCGTCCGATTTTGGTAACTGATCGCGAATTAGCTTTGATGAATACGATATATAGTATCTGGGGGTATTATACCCCACATTTACTATATATTTAGTATATCAACAAAGCAGTTTTAGCGAGGGCAAAACGAGATATCAGCTAATCAGACGAAAATACTCCCTAATTCGATGAATTTATACGTGTATAGTGTCAATTGGTCTAATCATCTACCGAAGATAAATACAAGGTTAATCTTAATAACCTTAATTGGACCTATAGGAGATCTCATCTACTAATTATACGCTATCTCGCAGATATATAGCTACCCTATAAAGAGAGATTTGTCTATGCTTGGACCAAAAACCTTACCTATTTTGGTAATAATGCATCATCACGTGTCGAGGGGGCGCATTCGGTCCTAAAACGGCATATAAATACTTCTACTAATGATTTACTCACTATATGGAAGTCTATTCATAAGGCTATCACCAGCCAATATAATCTAATTAAATATTAGATTAAAGCAGATCAGATAATATATCTGATACTAGCATCTGATTGGCTATATACCTTTCTCAATAAGCGAGTATCTCGATATTCGCTGAGGCAGATTGATATGCAGCGAATCTATGCTAGTAGGGCTACCCTAGAGGCCCCTCTTAGTATATACACCAATTATTGGACGAGTACTATAGGGTTACTATACAAGCATCGAATTGCTGATTTGCTCGCAAAAAAAGAAGCAATCCCATTGGCTGATATTCATCCATTCTGGCGAATTAGGGTTAAAGATTCATCTGATATCGCCTAGCAGCCACTGCTAAATCCCCGAATTCAGCCTGCTGCTTTCCCAAAAAGGCAATCTACGTAGATATCAGATGGGAGCGAGGGGGCTAGACCAATCAAAAAAAGGAAGGCGCCCCCAAAGTGTTCGAATTGCGGCGAAATTGGGCATACATGTCGAAGTTGCCCTATTGCCAAATAGGGTAATCTGTTTTTGGTGGTTAGGATAAGAGGATCATGTGATTAGAGATGTGGTTGAAAATTATCATGTGATTAGAAAATAGATCAAAAAAAGATTACATAAGTCAAAATGAGTATTACATAATATAATGAGGTGTCAATAGCGAAAATCTTGAGGTGCCCCTATCAATACCCCCAAAGAATTTCCTTATTATCTAAGCTAATTTTATACACATAAATATTTTTTTTTATCTTTTTTTATTCTATATCTACTATATCAAGGTACCTTTGCAGTATTTCTATGATCCCTTATTTGAACCCCGATTCCGACCACTACGGAGAAACTACCCCGATTGAGCCAGGGTCTGAGTTATCTTCCAGTCAACGTATTACTTATGCGTTAGATTATCTGCTTTATAGTATATCTGATATAAGTTTGTTAATCTTTGAATATATTATAGAGTTGATCTATAGATAAAGAAAGTATTATTAGTAAGAAATTTTATTCTGCATAAAATATTTTGGGCCCCGGTCGACTCAGTGAGCTGGGGGGTTCCAAAAAATTTTGGCGTAATATTATCCCGACTGTTGGACCCCTCTTGGCTAGTATTTTAAGCGTAAGGTTTAATATAATATAAGAAAGATCTATTTTCTATATAATATTATATATATATATATATATATATATACACTAGGGGGCTGCCGCCCTCTAGGACCCCCGTCTAATTTTTGAATAGACGATCAATAAGGGGGTAATCACGTTTCTTATCACATAATTCATCACGTGAACAACCCTCGGATTTTGAACCAATCTCAAACTGGTATTTCTAGGGTATAGGGCTTATATATCACCTGACACCTCTTTTGCCAGCCAATCATAGTGCGAGGGTTCTACCAATCAGAGCGCCAGAATTAGGGCACAAGTCACATGACATACATTGAGGCTACCTCTGGTTAAGAGAAAAAGGTCAGGTGACCTAGGATGATTGTTCAGAGTGCTTCGCTACGCTCCGCAATTACTTTAATGGAAAGAGCTGCTTGGTCATTTTCTGAATTTCCTTACACCTGGCTTTGAGAAGGTCACCATCTTATTAATTGAAGCCCGGCACATTATAATCCGCCTCCTATTAGATGCTATCTTATAGTACAAATAGGGTGTATCGCTAATCAAAGAACGCTATATAAATAGACCAGAATTCAGCAGTCACGGCTTGACTTGATTCATCTCAATAACGCCTGTTGGAAGCGGTGCCTTAAGGCCATTAGGGTAGCGTCTTATTCTCCTCCTGTCCCTGCCTGTTCACGTAAATAGCTTCTTCCCTTCTTTCTTTTCCCCCCACAACCACCTGAACCATCGAACTATCTATTTTTTTGCAGGAATCCCGATGTCCAAAATTCATGCCTGGCGCAGTCGCGCTGATGATAGTGCTGTCGGTGCTGAATACATCATCATGGAAAAAGCAGATGGTGTTCCATTGAGCTCACAATGGGCAACAATGAGTATGAGCCAGAAGCTTGAGCTAATTCAAAGTATCCTTAACTTTGAACGCACTCTTGTTGCCAATCGATTAGACCAGATTGATAACATCTACTATGAAAAAAATCTACTCGAGTCGAAAGATGTGTGCTCGCCGACTGCGTTCCCTCGATTTGTGATCGGACCGACAACAGACCGCAGGTTCTTGGAAGACGGACGAAGTGAGATTCAGACTCACAGAGGACCTTGTGTGTATCCCCAATTTTTGATAAATCACGAATCCTTCTGTTTACTGACACGTATATCATTCTAAGGGACACATACAATGAACGACTATGTTCTTGCGATGACAGATAGTGAACAAGAATGCATCCAACACCTTGGGAGATTTCCCAGACCAGAGGGGATCTTTGGTGGACCTAACTCATATCAGCCCACGACTCAAGCGAAACTCAAAGTTACCGCTGATTTTCAAAAATTCATGTCTTTCCTGCTCCCGAAAGACGCGGCCGTTACAAGACCTATCCTCTGGCAAATCGACCTCCCAACATCTTTGTGGATCCCGATAATTCTTCCGAGGTACTTGGTATCATTGACTGGCAAAGTGCACACGTCACTCCATTGTGCCAGCAAGTAATTACACCTGCATTTTTGGATTTCAATGGACCCAGGCCTGACGGAAGGCCTTTCTGTCCCTTCTTTTCCGGACAACTTTGAGGCATTGAGCACCGAAGAGCAAAATGCCGCCAAATATTTACGGATTCAACAATCCTTATATAAACTTTACGAGATTCAATCGGGACGACAGAACAAAGATGTCTTCAGAGCGCTCCAGTATTCCCGCACGCTCGGATGCTAGATTATCTCGCCCATCTCCCAGGTATTCAATGACGACCAGACGATTGTCAGGGGCCAATTGATCCAAATTGCTCAAGAGTGGAACAAAACAGTTGGCAGAGATGGAGCAGCATGCCCACTGATTGTCACCTGAGACGATATCAGACAGCAAGAGATAGATCAGCAGAAGTGGGAGGAAGGTGTGCAGCTGATGGAAGGTGTACTGGAAGCCCTCGGAGGCGTCTAGACTGGGTGGCAGGGCTGGGTTAGCCATGAGGACTATGCGCAGATGAAGGCCAAACTGGAACTGGTGAAGGAGCAGTTCTTGGACCACATGGCTTAGACGCCAGAGAAGAGAGAAGCATGATACCGAGTATGGCCAATCCAAGATCATGATGTGTGATGCATTAGGCTTGCCTTAGCAAGTCAGCTACTTTTTATTTTCTATAGTCATTGCTACTAAATCTGTCTTTGATAAATAGGATCCGGTATAGAAAGTCGGATTTCTCTCTTTTTTTCTCTCTCTTGCTGGCGTGGCCCTGTGCGGGTATGCGAAATGCCCAGCAGGCTAGCTAGCCAGTATATAAAAGTTATATTCCATTTATATTCATAATAGCCAGGTGGTCATACATTCCCCCTCTTATAAACCTTTCATAGTAATATTTAAGCACATTAACTGATTTTTATGGTGAGGTAAATAACCATTTCTAGCAATTTTTTCTTTTTTTCAGTAGACGCCTCATTAACTTTGACTAATATTAATCTAATTCAGATTATTGAATAATCTCAGTATTGCCCCCTACAAGGGCGGCAAGCTTTCTCATACTAGTTACCAGCGGGTGGTTCAGCGGCATGATACCATTCTAGAGTATGATCTGCACCACAGCACCCAGAGGGCGGCGAGTACGGTTGTGCATTACTGAGCCCTTCACGGGGCGACGACCCCGTGAGCCATGTGGGGGCCAGTGAAGCGCAGTGTTCCGGCTATTCCAGGATTCGTGCTAGTTGGAGGCTTATCGCGCGTATAGGGGGGCCAGTCTAATGAACTTCTGAACTCAATCAATTCAAGGATGTCGTCGCGCAGTAATAGAGTAGTGGAAAGGACTTTGAAATACCTAAGGGGCGTCGGTGCGGGGCCGATGGATCGGCCATACTAGAAGTGATGGAAAGACTGATTTATGATTGCGTCAACTGACTCGCGTGGGGTCAGGATAATCATGGTGATCGAGGACCCATTAGTGAGATTGACCACCATCCATGGATGATATGGGGGCCAGGGGGAGGCGTGCGAGCATGAGGACTACCCCAGTTAGATACATAAGGGGAGATGATCGAAGCTTCTCAGCCTTTGGGCATGCATTAAACCTTTGTTCTTGGCCCCAAGATCGTCCAATCCTAGAATTATAAGTCCATGAGTAGTGGAGTACAGGCCGAGTTTTAGTATTTTTAAAATGAGTATATCCTCCGCTCACCGCCCTTCGAAGATTTAGGAACCAAACTGATGCCAATTTTTCCCGGGGAGATCCTTGCATCATCATCAATCTGAAGGAACGGGAATATGGCAACCGTCTCGCGCCGAGCACCTTCCAAGAATTGTGGTACTTGCCGGGCTATTAAGCGACGGGTAGGTATTTCTCTGCATTCTTTTTCTTTTATCACTCTTCCTGTATCGGGCCAGTTCTAATTTGCATTCAACTATGTGAAGTGCGACCAGCAGTATCCCCACTGTGGACAGTGCATTCGTGCACGCCAAAAATGCTCTGGATACCGAGATCAATGGGACCTCGTCTTTCGGGACCAGACTCACCACACCATAAAGCGAGCTGAGGAGAAAAGCGCCAGAGATGTTCGCCCTGCGCCCCCACCTAGCCATACCCTCCACCACCGTGGCATGGGGACCACCTCCTTTCATCAATATTCCAGTCGGTCCAAGCTAGTAGCCCTACCACGGAGCCCTCATTTACCCCAGACCATAATGTCGGGCCCGATGATGCGCAGGCAGGTGTTGTCATCTTATATCAGCGAGTATTTTCCTTGCAACATGGAGCATCCCTCCCAAATTGATATAACGCATTCTATCATTTCAGGCATCGCAGCACTCCCTCAAAAGAGTTTGATGCTAGAAAGGGCGAGTTCCGCTTTATCATGTGTCTTTATAGGCAAGAGTCACCATGATGAGCGGGTCTTGCAGCATGGAATTTGGCTATACAACCATGCGATCCGGGACATGTTGAGTGCAATCAGTCGCAAAGCATACAATGATGACATTGTTTATACATGCATGATCTTTGAACAAATTCAGGTGAGAAACTCCTTTCCTTTCTCCTTCTAACGTTACTCGATGGAAAACTTACATCAACTAGATCCTCCACTGTCCAACGAGTATTCGCGAATGGCTCGCTCATATAGATGGACTAAGCACGATTATCCATTTCTATCGCCCTGCAAAACTTACAAATTCAATACTGCCTGCGATTTATGGCTCACACCAAAAGTTAAAAGTGGTGAGAGAGTACTTTATTTTATTCTCTATCATAAATCCATACTCTAACCATTTTTTACTATGCACATAGGTACTTTCAGGGATGACGCGTATACCCGAGAAGACTATCGCGTGGCTTATGGAGCCCGGTGAAGGCGGATCGTTACAAGAATTAATCGAGCTCATGGCTCAGGTATCACGTATGGCTGCCGCTGTCGAAAATGCCGATGCCTCTGATTACGAGGGCTGTCGATCCCTCTTCGATGAGTGTTTGAAACTTGAGAAAAAGCATATGGACCTCTTGAATCTAATCGGCCACAACATGGACAGAGAGCTTCCTACCTATACCCGTGGTGAACTGAAGACAGCAGTACCCGCCACAGACGATTTATTCGGTCCGGCCTTCCGCTTCAGCTCGGTCGATCAAGCTAATGTCCACATCTTCCTTTGGCTTTCATTGCCTTTTCTTTACCCTCTTATCCATCAATGCCAGGTTCTTACTCTGTCCGACACACCTGATTGTTTGCGAATCGAGGGCTATTTGGCTAAAGAAGCGGCATATCACCTTTCCACATTCTATGTCGGCCAGGCCGCTCGGTGCCTTCCCTACTTAGGGCAAAGCGGCATGCACTCCTGGTCCCTCTTTTATGGGATCCTTTTTGCAATCCAGGCCGCACGAGTATACAGTCACGTCCGGGATTGGGAGCGATTTCTTTGGGCTCAAGACATTTTTACCTGTTTAGAGCTTTCTGGCTTCGGCTATGCTACTCGATTCCGTGAGATCTGGTGGAACTATTGGTTTGACACCCACCGTCATAATCTCTTCAGGCTTGTGGATTATAAAGAATTGACCAAGGAGGATCAACCGACTCTATCTATAGACTACAATTGAAATGAAGTGGGTTGTTGTTCACAAATAATGTGACAAATTTGATAGCCCGAAAGGCCAATTTGCTGATAGAAAAGGTAGCCAGATTGTCTTTCGTGTTAGTGGTAGTATTGTTATGGGTTATGCTTTCTGAAATAGTGAGCGAAACTTGTATTTCTACCGTGTCTCTCGGGGAAAAAAAGGAAAAAAAGCTATCCCTGTGGAAGAGAGCGGTGTTACGATTGAGCTATGCGATTACCAGTTTTCAATGGGCTGGACATGACTATCGAAAAGGAGCAGTTTGCAGCTCTAGTCAGTGCATCGGGCTGTGGCAACACGGCTATTACATCCCTGCTTGGGAGATTCATCGAACCCGAGAAAAGTCAAATCCTCTTCCATGGAAAAGATATTTCGGACTTCAATATTTACACTTATTACAAGCACTTGTCTCTTGTAGCGCAAGAGCGCACACGATCCTTGTCAAGAGAAGAGACATCTATAACCAAATGATACGTTTGGAAGACTCAATATTTCTTTTCCTTGAAATGATTATGAGTTGACTGGAAGGAAGCACTGTCAGAACCAGGCTCATGGTGAGTAGTGGTGGGGACGCAGTGTATAAGATGAGGATCAGCCCTGAAATGGGATAGGAGGAGGCAAGAATTGGTTGATTTTAGCTGTCGACGTAGAAGAGTTTCAAGATACACACCACATATTTCCTCCATTCATTCCAGTCCGATGACTAATTGTGCCCGGAGAACGGGAAATAATGAAAATGATGCTACCAAGCTACGAAACACATTAAATTTTGAAGGGTGTGTGACGCACTGTGTATGCATCCATGGACAACGTCCCTAAGCAACTGTTCCAACGAGAGAAAGCGCGCAGAATTCCAAGTTTAGAACTATTTTTCTTCTTCACCTCAACTCTTTCCATCATCTGACAATTTTCATCGTCGGAAACTACCTTTTCCTGCCTCTTAACAGCCAAAGCTATCATTCATAGAACCACTCTGCCGGCATCCTATATTCCCTTGATCGTCTCCTTCATGGCTTCTTTATCCACATCACGACTTATGCAATAAACAATTATGCACTCGTCGAAAAAAGTCCATGCTCCTATACTTCCAAAGTCCTGAGAAGATCGATGAGTCAGCATCAAAGCACCTGCAGGGAGCTACCTAAGGTTGCCCGAAGACCCACGGGCCGCGTAGTCAAACGCGGCGTCGATCATCTTAGCGCGAACCTTTCCCCAGTTCCTCAGAGACGCTGTCTCCCCGCCAGGGGGTAAGGACTGAACATTACCTTGCCAATCTTTATGTCTTTCAGGATGGTTCCTCGTCGGGTGAGTCGTCGCCTCGTCGCCGTCACCATTGCCCTCACGCTCCTCTGTCTCTACCGCTTCCTGGCTTCTGAGACCGATCCACAGCGGAGCTCGAAGCCGGTCAGTGCCCGCACCCCCGACCCCGACGATGTCGACGAACCGGCCCCATTCTGCCCACCACTCCCCGGGATCGAGGATCTCCTGGTGGTCATGAAGACCGGGGTAACAGAGTCGCGCGAGAAAGTGCCGATCCACTTCTCGACGACACTGCGCTGCATTCCCCACTACGTGATCTTCTCCGACATGGAAGAGGAGATCGAGGGCGTGCAGATCCACGATGCGCTGAAGGGCATTGACCGCGAGGTCTTGAAGAATCCGGATTTCAACATCTACAACCGCATCGCAAAGAACGGCCGCGAGGGTCTCGAGCAGCAGGACTTCGCCGACGAGGCCAATTCGGCTATTGGCAAGCCCAACAACCCGGGGTGGAAGCTGGACAAGTGGAAGTTCCTGCCAATGGCTCAACAGGCCCTGCGCTACCGGCCAGAGGCCAAGTGGTTCGTGTTCATTGAGGCTGATACCTATGTTTCGTGGCCGACCTTGTTGGCGTGGCTGGCCCGCTTCGACGCGCGCAAGCCCCTCTACCTGGGCACTGAGACTCAGATCGCTGATACGATCTTCGCCCACGGTGGCTCCGGCTTCATGCTCTCGCACCCGGCCCTGCAGAGTGCCTCCGATCAGTACGCTGCGCGTGAGAAAGAGCTCAATGCCTACACCGACCAGCATTGGGCCGGCGACTGCGTGCTGGGCAAGGTCTTGGCAGATGCTGGCATTAACCTGCATTACTCATGGCCGATTCTGCAGAACTCGAATCTTGGGGAATTGGACGAGTTCACCCGCGCCCTCTACCGCGATCCTTGGTGTTTCCTCTCGGTAGCGCTGCACCACTTGACCCCGAGCGAGATCGAGAAACTGTGGAAGTTTGAACTAAGCCGGTGGAATGATGTGCGTCCTCCTCCCCCGACTTCATCTCTCAATTCTATCCACTCCTCATACTTCTGAATACTAACAATGTCAATCCAGAAAAACAAACGTATTCTGCTGCACAACGACATCTTCCGCGAATACATCTATCCCGAAATCGCCACCCAGCCCATCCGTTTTGGCTGGGACAATCTCTCCAAGGACGAACACCCCCTCACCATCACCTTCGAAGACTGCCGCGAGCTCTGTGAGTCCGAAAAGGCCTGCGTGCAGTTCGCCTTCCGCGACAACCTGTGCGTCACCAGCACCACGCCGCGCCTGGGTATCCCGCACCCAGGCGGCGCCGTGTCCGGCTGGCTGACGTCTCGTATTGAGCCTCAGATGGACAAGAAGGGGTTGTGTCGGAAACCGCAGTGGGGAGATTGATAGACACTTTATTTTCTGCTAGATCTTCTTCTTCTCTTTCTTCATTTTACTTCCCCCTCCCCCCCCCCTCTCTTTCTTATGTGTTTTGTGTTGTTTCCTCCTTTTCATACCCTTTTTTTTTTTTTTTTTTTTTTTTTTGCACTTGTCGAGCGGGTGTTTTGATGGGAAAACCATTTGGGGGCATATCCACCGGGGGGCATTTTGTGTTTGAGAAATATGTTGCAAGGGAGGTGCATGAAGGGGTTTATTATACCTATACCATAGCATTGGTACTTCTCTTTTCTGCTGGTCTTTTTTCTCTGCCTTTCAGATATTGGTTTCCGACTCTCGCTGCATGGCTCGTTTACTTTTCTTTATCCTTTTTTTTAATTTTCGAGTTCGACTTCCTTTTGTTTTTTATCTGACGCCTTTGCATATGCACTGGAGGGATCTTAGATCTTTACTCGGGCGTTGTTGCTGGACTGATTTACCTATACTATACCTGCATGGCAGTGGAATGCATTCTACTTGTCTCTGCTTATTCAGATGGTTTTTTGGGCTACCGACTCTCTTCTTGGGTTGTATTGTCACGAATAATTCAATTCTAGGATACAACCGGCCTCATTTACTGAGAACCACAGAAGTTGGTGGGCTGCGGCCCATTGCCTGAAAATGTTGGAAGGCCGGCAGCTTGGCAAAAATATACAGTAAGGATAAATAAAGTACACGCATAGGATGCCCATCTATCCCAGGAAACAGGTATTGCAACTGTCCATTTACAGCGGCGAGCCTAAGGGCTCTGGACACACTGGTCAATCCGCATGATCTGGAGTCCAGCGGACCTCACATGCCGGATGAACTGTGGGAGATATCGCACGGTAGTCGGATTCAAGAAGTGCATGACGGCAATGTTGCCGCCTCGAGCCACGCCTTGATAGAATGCATCCAGCTGCTTCTCAGGAGTTGTGGTGTTGGCCCAGATCCAGTCCTCGACGTCGACACTCCAGTTCACGATGAACGGGTTGGGGATATGCTGGGCTAGCCGCTGCCGCATCCGCGCGCCGACAGTTCCAAATGGTGGCCGGAAGTATGAAGCTGTAGGCCAGAAAGATAATCAGTTAGGGTCATACGTTAAAATGCAGATGATATATGTCACGTACACTCGACATTCAGCTTATCCTTGAAAACCTCCTTGGTCTTAATGATTTCATCGTCGATCTCACCAGATGTCGAGAGCCCTTCCATCCTGCGAGATATGGTCAGCAATTTGATCCCTGATAAAAGACGAGACCGTGAAATGAACTCACTTGGGATGGGTATTGGAATGGAGAGCAACCTGATGGCCCTCCCTCAACATCTGCCGATAGAACTCAGTGAAGTTGGTCGATGGATCTCTCAGGCCCGCTCCGACAACAAAGAATGTCGCCCGGACATTCTCCTCATCAAGGATTCTCTTGACCTCTTGAGCATACTGGGGCTGTCCGTCGTCGATACCAAAAGCAAAAGAGTTGGGCCGTGTGCAACGGAGAACCAAATTGCCGGTGGGCAGCTTTCCGGGCATGCGGAAGTGGCCATTGGCCGGGGATGGCGGAGGCACCATAGGAACAATCTCGACGCGGCGAAGTGTGAGAGGCTCGTTGGTGTAGAAGCCATGGAAGGAAACAGAGACGACGCGGCTCTGATCAATGTGAAAGTGCGACAGCGGGATGTAGAGCTGGGTCTGCCCTGGAACTTGGGTCTTTTCCTTCTCTCGCTGGCATCTGCTTTCGCTGGGTGATCCTAGGGCTGTTCCCCGGGTATCTGCATCCACATCTTCCTCGCCTTCATCATCGGCATCTCCCCCTTCATTGACAGTTCCCGAGGTGGTTCTCATTGTATATCTCGAGGCCTCGACCGAATCAGAGATACCTGGGAATGGACTGCGGCGGGGGTTGCACTCGGCGTTGTGTTCATTCAAAGAGACACTAAACCGGTCCGTACCCTCGAAGACAACGTGCAGAAACTGGTTCTGCCATGGCCAAAGACTGAAACAGCCGTGCGTGTTAAACTGCGTATGGAAGTTCTGATCTGGGTCAGTTGGAAAGAGACGCACGAGGCCTGGCTCATGCTGAACGGTTAGATTCTCGCCAGTGCCGTGCCAAAAGCCGAGGTCGTTGAGTGTTGGGTTCTGGAAAGTATCAAGGACCAATGGTGGAACAACCTTCTGTTTCTTGGGAGATTTGTGGTCTTTTTCCCGCGTCTCGAGCCAGTGTTCATGCTGCAGGGATCCGTGGAAGAGGCCTGTCGCGGCCGGGAGAAGTAGGGCAAGGGCGACAGCACATGCTGTTAGGAATAACAGATACTGCATAGTGAATTGATTGCTGGTGGTAAACGAGTGGATGTGCTTCAATGAGTCAATAGAAGTAGCAAGAGAGAAAAGAGGATGAAAGAATTGAGTTGTCAGAAGATCGATTCGACGGGGAAGGCAGCAGTTGCGGTTTACATGGAAAGCGCTCTTTACAATGCAATCTGGAAGCTACACAATATCATGGAACTGAACAATGAGAAATTGAAAAATATTTCATGTTTCAGATTTTTCTGGATGTAACCTTTTAGCCAGGCAAGCAAGAAATCACCAGACAGCCGGGTATCACGACCAGCCTCGCTGCACTCCCATGTCCACCGGGTTACCAGCGGAGTGCCACAAGTTCCCTGTCAAAGCCATAATTATTAGAAGCTCCGTCTTCATCTTCCCCGGAGGGCAATGAAAACAGTTCCTCCAAGAATGCAATGACTAGAATCCCGACGGCATTTAGGTCTGTGCAGCAACGCCCAAGATCAAGCGAACTCAGCGTCTCGATGATCTCCATACGTTGCACTCAAGACTCTCAATTCACCATTCGTAACCGTGAAATTCAATCGATCGTGTTCAGTGTCGCCGTTTTCTTCTCCCCACAAGCCTCGGGAATGTGCGTGGCCGTGATGAGATTTTTTTTGTTTCCATTTTTTAGTAGCCCCAGGAGGACTGCTCCAGCGAACCCTTGGCAGGATTCTGAGAAGGCTCGCCCCACGCATCAACAGGCTCTTCCTTGACGGCTGGAGACTGGACTTGCCAGTTAGACGCTTCCTCGGACTGGCCCCAGGGATCCGCAGCGGCATCAGCATTTCCGGTATCTTCAGCCAGGTTGATTTCCTCGTCGGTATCATCGTCGAAATCCAGGACTTGGTCAGGGGGGATGTAGTTCTCCAAGAAATCCGGGATCTTCTGCTTGCACTCCAGCAGAATCTTGACGAGGTCCGAGGCAAGCTCGCTATCCTTTTCGCTGTAGAAGGAGGTCGCGATTCCTTCATTGCCAATGCGAGCGGTCCGACCTGAGCATGATAATATACCAGTAAGTACCAACTTAATTAACTAATAAAGTAACGGGGTGGGTATAAGCCGAACTCACCAATACGGTGAATGTATTCATTGATGCCGCCGTGCGCGGTCTTGGGGAGATCAAAGTTGATGATGTGCATCACATTCACGATGTCCAGACCACGAGCGGAAAGACCGGTGGCGACCATGATAGGGCACTTAGCAGTGCGGAAAGCGCGACTATTTATCGATTCAGTAACGTAGCGGAACCTCGGTAAGCATCATAAACCTACATGGCATCCTCACGCTCACCCTGAGTGCGGCCGCTATGGATCGAGGTGACCGGCATGCCGTGGTTGTACAAGAAATCATCAACGATATCGACCTGGTCTTTGGTATTGGCGAAGATAAGCGTGCGGATCGGGACCATGGTAACCAGCAGATCGTGGAGTGCTCGTTTCTTCTGCGATTCCTCCACGTAGATGACCTAGGAAATGGAACCGACAATCAGTGATGGGCTCCGAATTAAGTATTTGCAATGAAATCTGTCATAACTTACCTCTTGCAGGACATTGAGATGCGAACTACCGGCTCGTCCGATGCGAACCCGGACCCAATTAGCGCCCAGGTAGGTACGAGCCAGCTGACGGCACTCCTTGTTGAAAGTAGCCGAGAACATCATGTAAGTATGATCGCCGTCCTCCGCAACGTCTTTAATAAGTCAGTAAGAACATGATTTCTAGAACAATGGATGAAATAAGGCGTGTCGGACTTACCGCCGCCAGAAATAATCTTGCGGAAGTCATCTTCCCAGTCGGACTGGAGGAGCTCATCGGCCTCGTCGATGACAGTGTACCTTCTTGTAGTTAGCTTCAAGTTGCAGGTCAATGAGGATTGGAGGGCCAACGTACCTAACGCGCTTGAGAGACAAGACATTTACCTGGTTCATGAAGTCCATAATCCGACCAGGCGTGCCAATCAAGATGTCACACCCTTTCTGAAGCTCCTCCCGCTGCTGGCGCACAGGAGCTCCACCGTAAGCAACGCATGGGCGAAGCATGGAGCGATAACACAGGCGTCGCGCCTCGTCGAAGATCTGAGTGGAAAGCTCTCGAGTAGGGCAGATGATCATAACCAGGGGCTCGGCTCGAACCGCATGCTCCGCGGGGACGAATGCGTTGGTGGCATAAGGACGAGGTGCAGCCAGTTTCTTGGCCTTACCCATGAGCTTGGACAGAATGGGGATGAGGAAAGCACCAGTTTTTCCAGAGCCTATAAAAATTAATACCTAAAAAGATGCGGAAACCCGGTATCTACGACTGACCTGTCTGAGCAATGCCAATCACATCACGACCGGTGAGAATGGCCGGAACGGCATAGCTTTGGATTGCAGTCGGTCTCTCGTAGAGACACAGACTGATGTTTTCGCGCACAATTGGGTGCAGACCAGCACTTTCCCACTGTGTTCCGTTAGAGAAGTAAAATGACCCCGAGTGCTGCAAGAACTTACATCGAGGATGGGCTTGACTCGATCCCTACCTTCGGGAACTTCGGCCTTCACTTCGTATGCATTCAGCCTGAACGTAAAAATATCAGAATTAGCAGTTACCCCTCAAAACCAGGGAAAATAAAAAGAAATTGCAATACTTACTCCGCAAGTTTGTGTCCCACGCGAGTAATGTACTCGTGATGGAACAGCTGCTGTTCGAGGTCAGGGTTGCGAGGGCCGACGTCTCCATATTCGTCCTGCCATTCATACCGAGCCGCAATGCCAGCCCAGTCCCTCGCATCCTTGTTGCCGTAGCTCTGGTAGTCATAGGGAATCGGTTCAGCCCAGCCCCTCTCCCGAGCAAGACGGGCCGACTCGGCAGGGTCCAGAGGCTTCTCGTCGGTGTCCACATTGCTGGACACCTGCTGGAGAGCCCTATCCATTTCCTCGTAGGTTTCCATGTTGGAGGGTTTTCATGCAACACAGAAACGATGAGGGGGCCTTTTCAGGGCAATGAATGAACGTATGAAAAAGGAAGGGGTCTCGAAACAGCCTTCAAGGTCTGAATTTTCTGGGGAAAATGACAGAGGGAACGGGAAAAAGATAACTCGAACCACCCGCCGGAGTCCCCAAGGTGGAAGACACGTAGTGTCAACGTTCCCGGGAACAACTTTTGATGGAGGAATGATCGAGAGAGAAGGGATGAGGGATGAGAAGAAGAGAAAGATGTGTGGCCACCGAAAAGGGAAACAAAACAACTCCCCCAGGCCCGCGTAACGTTCGCTGCCTTGACAAGTACTACGCCTCTGAAGGTACCTGCTATCCCTCATAAAATATATGCGGGCTGGGGTACCGTATAAGAAATGCCAACTTTAAGGCCTAATGATAAATACCGACTTTGGGGATTTCCAAAGAACTATTGTTCTCAAACAATGGTTTTTTGTACAGGCCTTTGAATAAAGCCTTTGAGCAGTGCTCTAAGGCATTAAACAATAAATAAAGCACCAGAAATTGTAGTGACGCGGGTCATCAAGAGAGGCACTATCAAAAATAGACCGGGAGCTGCTCGTGGGCAGATTGATAAAGCAGCCACAACTATACTTTTTGACATCCTGAAAAGGCCGGAGGTGTCGGGAATGCAAGAAAATAATCAAAAGAATTACTGGGAAATTAATTGGCTCAAAATCCCGTGAATTGGGGAAGGTATTAACGAACAAGCCGGGAATGTCGGCTGATATTGAAGATCGAGCTGGACCACCAGGTACCTATGAATACATAGAAAGCAACTTCTTAACTATGGGGAAGTAAGTATCTCAAAGTACCCTTCTTCTCTATGCCCTACTACCTAAACATCGATCTATTCCCCTGCGCATCTAAGCCGACAACCTCGACAAATTCTAGGACACAACATCCACATCTTCGTCTGGTGTCATTTCAGCTTCATGAACCTCCATTTCTTTGGTTTCATCATCCTTCCCGGCGCTCTTCGCAATGTCAATGTGTGACCGGGTATACTCATCTGGATCCCAGGCCAAAACCCTGGTTTCCATCTCTTCGACTTTTTGTGCCACGAGGTTCTCCATGTCATCTTTCTGCTTGGTAGTTAAAATATCCAATCTCTGCTTCCATGCGTCATCGGCACTCGCCCCCGTGGGCCCGAAGAATCGCTGATCGACTTTTTGCCAATAGATCGCATCAAACGCGAAGTTGTTTCGGGCGATACATGCAATCCAAAAGTCTCCACTCTCCCAACTCTCCCGCATCGGGCCAGAAAGCCGTTGGTTTTCTTTCAGCGAACCTTGCTGGATCCCTTCTTTTTCGCGATCAGTCATTGCCTTTAAAAAGGTCTGCAGGCGCCGCTCATACACGCTGCACCAATCTTCAAGGCCCTCGGGCCAGTATTCAGGCTTCTCGAGCAGGAGCCACCAAGGTGGTGCGTAGGAAAACTCGACCGGGGCGGCGTAGGTAAATTCCCAGTCCACAACCCCGACAATCTTCAAGTCCTCGTTCATGAGCACATTCGCAGGTCGAAAATCGTCACACCAGAACTTGAATGGGCCCTTGTCGAGTGATGCCCATCGCCCGGTGAGCTCGTGATCTTGAGCGAGCTTGCGGAAGAGATGTCTTGCAACGAATTTTCGTCGACAGTCGTCGGCAGAGTCTATCGCATCGTTCCTTTGGTTGATGAGATGTGTAAGGTGCAGCTCTGCTAGGGCTTCAAAGTATGAAGTTGCGCTGTCGTATGTTGTGTTGGGCAATTTCGATTGAGGGAGCGAGCCCAATCGAACCAGCTCATTCATCGGCATTGACAAAGGCCGAAATGCCACTTCCCAGGTAAAGTCGTCGATTTGGCCGAGAGAGCCTATTCGAGGTAGGGATAGCTTAGAAAGCTGAAGCAGAATGCTTGCGAGTTCTCCATAAACAGCGCTCAATTTCCCCTCGTCAATATTCGGGTCCAGTATACCACGATCTGATCTTGGGCACCCTGGCGTGTTGAGGATATCGTATACATTTCTGTCATGGGTAATATACTCCATGATAATAAAGGGGCTCAATTCCAAAGGGCTCTCCTTTTTGGTCCCCGAGTGGAGAACGAAAGGCGCCGGGATTGAAGTCCGATCATGGATATATCGCATGATTGCGACCTCATTGCGAATCTTCTCTTCTGGAAACATGGCCGCTCCAGGCTGTGGGAAACGTATGATAGCGGAGCTATTTTTGTATGTCATCTGGAGGGAGATATTGAATGCACCCTTTTCCAAGATATCAAATTCATCAGGACTTTCAGGTCTGTGGTGTCTAACAAGGAAATTCCCGACCGGTGTCAAGATGTCTGGTTCAAGAAACTGGAGGACCCAAGCATCGGCCACTTCCTCGCTTTTCTCCCAAGCCGCATCATCATAGCGCATGCGTGGTTTCATGGTTCTATTCAGAAGATCAATGTCAGAGAAAAATGCTAAACGACCCGGTAATATTGAGGATAAAGTGTGATGTCCTGGTAATAGCGGGGGCATAGAGGGATGAAGTAGCTGGGGAGTTGCAGGTAGCCTGCAGTAGTCGCCTTGCATTAGCTTGACCTTTGCTGACCACGCTGAGTGCTACCTCAATTGATACTATTGCAATTGAACTGAAATAGTGTCATAAATAGCCCTGGAAGTATTTTCTTTTCTTTTTCTTTTCTTGTTTACATTATGATGTAGCTCAAATGTGTATAGGGTATCACCAAAGTACCATTATATTCATACACATCCAGCTAGCAGTCTTCAATGACAGTTCTGTCATGCTCTGTTTTCGGCAATACCATCAGAAAAAATATCGGGGAAATATTGAATGGATTATAGTGCTCTTAGTAGAAACTGTGAAGTAAAACATTGAATGACCCTCCGTTGCAGTATAAAAATAAAGATAGTCTCAAAATAATGCTTATGCTCCCTATTTCTATACACAGAGTCTAGCGCAATGCAAGAATTACTCCCAGAGACATTGTCATCCATACGCCCTCGGCATTTCCCTCGGAAGTGATCCTCGGCCGTTTTTGTTGAGCAAGTGGACCCTTTCCACGGGTAGAAGGAGATATACGCCGTAAGCGTGGGCACGCCGACATCTCCAGAACACATCCCCCGACTTTCCTTCTTCTCCATATCATTCCAAGCATCATGGCCCCGTCCGATCGTACCGAGTCGGACCCAGACGCGACCTTGCGCCGCAAGCGTGCCGGTCGCCTGGAGGCCATCACCAACCCGGGCGCCGTCAAGATCAACGTCACGGGCGCGTTTATCGTCGACGATGAACCGCGATCGAAGAGTCCCGTGGAAGCTGATGGAGTACACTACGAGAACAAGGACATCCGACTCCCGCACCACACGGGTGTCGTCAGCCATGTGGCCGTCGACGTGAGTTGCCCCTTTGGCCCTGTCTTCCCCCGCAATACGACCGATGCCCCCCGCAATTTTGTGATCGAATTCGCCAGAGCCGAAAACTGACGAGTTTTTTGGTAGATTGGTGGATCGCTGGCAAAGCTGGTCTATTTCACCCGCGAGCTGGATGCGGCCGACAATGGTGGTCGGCTCAACTTCATCAACTTCGAGGCCCACCGGATCGACCTGTGCATCAACTTTATCCGCCAACTCAAGGAGGAACACGAGAAGCGCAATGGCTCAGTACCGGAGGAGCTGTGCGTGGTTGCCACTGGAGGAGGTGCTTATAAGTTCTACGACAAATTGAAAGAGGCGCTGGACGTCAATATTCTCCGGGAGGAGGAGATGGAATGTCTCATTATCGGTTGGTGCCCCCTGCCAGCTCCAGGCAATGAGAATTACAGCTGAAGATATGATCAATAACTAGGTTTGGACTTCTTCATCACCGAGATTCCCAACGAAGTCTTTACCTACAGTGATACCGATGTCGAGCCGATGCAATTTGCCGAGGCCCGACCGGACATCTACCCTTACCTGCTGGTTAACATTGGGTCCGGTGTGTCGATGATCAAAGTATCGGGCCCGAGACAATTCGAGCGTGTGGGCGGAACACACCTCGGAGGAGGTACCTTCTGGGGTCTTATGTCGTTATTGACGGGCGCCCGGACCTTTGACGACATGTTGGCAATGGCAGACCGAGGTGACAACAGTGGAGTCGATATGCTGGTTGGCGATATCTATGGCATGGATTACAGCAAGATTGGGCTGAAGAGCACAGCCATTGCCAGCACCTTCGGCAAGGTCTTCCGGTTGAAGAATGCAGCCGAGCGCGGGGCAGAGGACGGCGAAGGCTTGATCCGTGATCCGTCCGAAGAGGGCAACAGCGGAGTCAACTTTCATCATGAAGACATGAGCCGTAGTCTTCTTTATGCCATCAGGTATGTCTGAATGGTCGCGTCGGCCGGAGCCAACGCTAACATTGACCAGTAACAATATCGGCCAAATCTCCTATTTACAGTCGGAGAAGCACCAAGTTAAGCACATCTACTTCGGAGGGTCCTTTATTCGAGGCCACCGGCAAACCATGAACACTCTTTCCTACGCCATCCGCTTCTGGTCCAAGGGCGAGAAGCAAGCATACTTCTTGCGTCACGAGGGCTACCTGGGTGCTGTCGGCGCCTTCATCCGACGACAGCCACAGAACTGGGGTCGCAGAAACAGCGTCGACGATGTGGTAGCACCGCAGGCGGTCCGCAACCTCGCCCAGAACATTGTCCTGAATCAACAACAGAATGGCCAGTCCAGCTCTGTGTAATTAGCTCCGGATCAACCCTACACCCTACACCCTACACCCTACACGTCTTGCACATACCCCTACTCCCCACCGAACGAGAGTCGATGCCTTCTTTCAACGAGTCCATGAATGCATCCTCGGTCTTGTCTTGCCTGGAATGTCTGGAACCCCTCGTCGAATCTTATGGACAGGCTCCCTGCGCTTGTTGAATACGCATCGCTCATCCCCACCTAAACAAGGGTCTCAAAACCACATCCCTTTACTCTCGAACCCCTCTATCGACATGTCCGGCTCTTATTGAGCTGTCGTGTCTTGTTTTCGGGCGATTTTCCTGTCCTACCTCACAAAAATCACTGAATATACCCCTCGTCTCCATCCTTCGTGAGCGTGTTAAAAGTTGGCCTATATAGAGTGCTGGCAGAACGCTCGCTGTACTTCGGGTTGATGTATTACTTAGAATCCATTTTCTTTCAATTCCATGGGTCGATCTTCGACATAAGAGAGAGTCTTATGAGTTGCCTTTAGGATCATATTTTGACTTGGTCTCTTTTCTGCCTTTTTCTTTGCTCCCTCAATTTCCAACTCTTTCCCCCTCGAATCCACCATCCACAACCTTTGGAACCCTTCTCTATCTTATTTCCCTTTTGTCCTTGGTAACCTCGAAGCACACAACATCCTGCGGGCTTTTCGAGAATCCTGGCAGCCATGTCGACATATCCTGATATCAACGACCCAGCCAACATGCCTTGTGCCTCACAGGCACCTGAGACAGTGGTAGACCCTGGGGTGTTGCAAATCTCTGAAAATCCCCAGGAGCCTTCCGCAAAGCCCGCCAAAAGCTCCATCGCATCGGACATCTCGTCTGTGTTGACTGATGTCGACGACGTCCTTATCTACGATCCATTTGGCCCGCCCACCCCATCTCAGTTGATCACGTCTCCTCAAATCCTAACCCCAACCGCGCCTCGGGTGAGCTACTCGCTGTCTCCAGAGTCTGGGCTCGTCGAGATCACCGAAGATGTTTCGGATATCATCACTACATCTCGTCCTGGACCGGCCTCGCCCACTGCCAATACTTTGAAGCTTGCTCAAAGGCGTGTGGTGGGACCCAACCTACCATTTCCCAGTCGCATTGCTCAGATCCTGAAGATATGGCATGGCAAATATCCAGAGATTCAGCCACCCTGCTCGTCTAAACACACTCGGGCATCGACCTGGGGACCGTTCAGAGTGTTTGACCGCGACGGAGAGGAATACGATCTGTCTGTCTACAGGATTACCGTCAGATTCATCAAAAGGTTCTCGTACTACATTACGATTCTCCACTCGGAGAATGGGCCCGAGGAGCTGGTCACAAATTCCTCGCTTCTCCCGTCACTGAGAGGGTTCAACCACGGCTCAGGGGGTCGATACCTCGTTGCTTGGCTCGATGTTGAAGAGAAATTCGAATCCGAGGCGTGTGCAATTCGTGTTTGGGGTCGAAAGGACGACGTGGACATCGTTTTCAGTCCACAAATGTTTGACAACGCCGCAGATGGCGACATCCAGCCCGTCCAACTGTTAGGCTGGGACATTCCTCCGGCAAACCCAGAAGTCCAACAGGGAACGCGGCTGGTGATTGATCTCTGCGATGAGAGCGACGACAACATGGACATCTCGCCATCGTCCCCCCATACCCCTTATTCGCCAGAGCATATCCGCACGAACCGATCTCAGAACAGCGATGATCCCAACAAAACACCTACGCGGCAGTCGCGTAAACTACACAAGACGGAGCTGGACTCGGGGAACATGGAAGAGCTGGGCTTGGATGTCCGTCGCCGTTTGTTGGTGACTCCTCGCGTGCGCTTCAAGATGTTTTCGGACACATCTGGTCGCGTGCGGTACTTTCCGTCGGAGGGTTGTACGGTGGCCATGTTTTTCAAGCGAGCGAAGGAGTTCTACAAAGGTGTTGATATGAGTGCTCCCTTTGCTGTGCTGTGCAAGGTGCCTGGTTTGGAGGGAATCCGCTATCTTGGTGAGGGATGCGAGGATGAGTTCCGGATCTTGCTGGATGATATCAAGCGGTGTGCTGGGGATGATGATCAAGTTTACATTGTTGAGGTCAAGCCTGTGTGTGCGTTCTAGGTTGTTGGCATGGGTTTATTTGAGGGTTGAGGATGTGAAAGAAATGTGCATAAATCAAGAGAATACTTGTTTCGATTCATAGGAAGATAATGTAGCTTACTCACAGAACAACTATCACTCGACCTGGGTTTGGTTTCTTTCTTGTTAAAGGTAGAAAAGATAAAGTGCTGATTTTAATCGAAGATTGAAAGCAAAAAGAGGCTAGGTCAACCAGAGACATTGGAGTGTACCTTATAAATACGCCTCTCAAGGCAGTGAATGTCACTGAGTCACCTCAATTAGCAGCTCTCATTGCCCAACCAGGGCAATGGGGACAATTTTTTAGAAATATAAAGGAGCGAAGGCTTTCCTAATTGGGACGAATGTATACCTATAGAACATCATGTGACTATCTGACTAAGCCGCTGCGTGATTGTCGCGTTCAGACACCTCGACGTCGCAAGGCAGTCGCCCTGAGGATCTTCGCCATGCTTCGATGCCAGTCGCGTCTGCTCGATGACTTCACCGCCCTCCTCGCTACACTCCATTCCTCCTCCGATCCCCGTCGACACCCACCCTAACCGAGTGCCCGGATCTCAGTCTCCTGACCGAGAGGAACAGGGCCAGCCCGATCCCAATCGGCTGGCGCCGGAGGATGCATACTTTGCGCCGTCTCTATCGAGGGCGCAGTCGGCGCCCGCAAACTATGACGATTCTCTGCGATCTCTGAACGGCAATGGCACAGCCCCCGTAGGCAACGTGGCGGGGTTGCGGCCTCCGCGCGGAGTGCTCGGTGTGGATCCCAATCGGAAGGATGTTCGTAAGCTGCGAGGGCCCGGTGGACGCCGCAGACGAAAAGGCGCTTGGAAGAAATTACTTTGGGTCAAACAGTCTTGTAGGTGTTGCAAATGTCTTCATTGTTCCTGATTGCGCCCTGCTGACGGACAACCAACAGACCCGGATAACTACACCGACACCGAAACGTTTCTGGACCACCTCCAGCGGAATCCCCGAGTTCGTCCGTACGACTTCTGGCCTCTTGTCTCCGACTCGACTGTCATCGTGCAGCATGTGTGCTCCGTGGTCATTTTCGTTTGCTGCTTCGTTGGAATCGTCCAGGATCGAGTGAGCCCCGTGTCAATCGTCTGCTGGGGCAGTGTCGGTACCGTGATGGGCTGGATTCTTTGGGATAACTGGGTTTGGAAGGAGCAGGCATATCCTCTTATGACAGCACATGACAACGTCGGGGGTGATGATGGGTCCAGTTCCGGCTCGCTGACCAGTGCAGCCGTTCCACCGGGCAATGACGCCCAGCCCAATGGCACAAAGGCCAGCACCATCCACGGGCTCGGGCTAACTATGGCTGGTAATGACTCGAAGGAGAATCTACCGTGTCGAGAACCCGATTTCAGTGGGAAGTCAGACGAAACAGCAGACTCGGCGGCCCAGACCTCGGTTCCTTCTGCGTCGGCCGCCGGCATCGTCGACAACGCAGATACGCCGATGCCCCAGGATACCAATCGGTCCTCGTTATTTTCTTCACGCAACCGCCAACGCCTATCGACAGTCAAGTCGGCATTTTTGATCTACTTCTCCTTGCTGGGACTGAGTCCTATCCTGAAATCCTTGACTAAATCCACTGCGAGCGACTCCATCTGGGCCATGAGCTGCTGGCTTCTCATCATGAACATATTCTCCTTTGACTACGGAAGCGGGGAGGGCGCCGGCGCTACCAACTTCCCTGCCTCTCTTTCCACAAATGCGGCCGTGATGGCATCCACCGTGCTGGCGTCCCGTCTGCCGTCTACGACCCATGTATTCAGCCTGATGCTGTTCTCCATGGAGATTTTTGGGCTCTTCCCGATCTTCCGGCGCCAGCTACGCCAGAAATCCTGGACGGGCCATGTCCTGCTGACCCTAGCACTGGTGATCGTGGCCGGAGGCGCAGTCGGAGTCACACTAAGTGGCGGGTGGGCAGCGGCCATCATCGGTTCGGTTCTGGGCAGTATCTTGACTGCATTGGCGATGGGCGGCTGCAGCTGGTGGCTCATCAGCTTGCAGAAATACAAGAACGTCGTCATTGGGCCCTGGGATCCGGCTCGACCCATCATCCGACGGCATTGGAATTGAGGTCCTTGGGTTGTGGTTTTCGTTGATTGTCCTTGTAATATAGATCTGGCGTTCTTCTGGGCTTTGTTTTGCTTATACCCCTAGGTCACTGTTCGCATTAACACAACCGTATGCAGTGGACTTCGTTTCATGTTGTCTCTTCCTATTGTCAGTAGTCAAATATATTATACCCCATGCCGAAGACCTCGGGGTCACCGGTTAGAGTGGTCAGACTATCCATCCCAACTTAAGATTTTGGTCATTGGAGTTCTATCACTGCAATTTTTGAATTAAATTAAGTGTCGAATAACGCCAGTAGGAATGCCGCGATGAATGCCATGCCGATCTGGCATTCTGGCTGGAGCTATATCTTGCTGGCCTTTACACTTCATTGAGCTATTGGCAGCACAAGCCAGTGGGTACCACAAAGAAAAAGGCTATCAAGATAGAAACCATTCAAAGGCATTGCTTTCTATCTAATACGACAATCATATGTAGAACTCTCCAGGTAAATCGTCTTCCGAATCAACCCTCGGCGGCCAACATTCCAAACACTTGCCCCCTATGGCTCGGCCCCCTTTGCTCCAGCACTTCACCAACAACTGTTTCCTCGCATTCTCCGCCCATCTACAGGGATGGAATACATGCCCCGCAGTCCAGGACTGCGAGGCAAAGCATTGTGGGCGCTGCCATGTTGGAAGTTTCGGCTTTTGGGGTGCTGATCATTCTACAAGTGTGTTTTAATGTCTTGGCCCTCGATATCCATTTATACTCCCAGAGCCTGGCATTTGGTCCTTTTTTTTCGTTTACTCCTTTCTGTATTTGGCTTCTGTGTGCGTCTGTCTGCGGCTTCAAGCTGCCTTTCTGCCTGATATCGACAAGCAGGGTCTTGCTTTCGTTGCCTAATTTATAATTATTTTGCCTTTTTGTCTCTTGGTATTTTCTTTCATAAGACCTGCTTTAATTCAGCTCCGGCCTTGACAACTGTCGCGTGATCAGCTCCCACCATGCTCAAACAACTCGCTCTGGGCCTGCTGGCCGCTCAATGCGCCGTCAGCGTGCGCTTCGCCATGTACATTGACGAGTATGAGCCTCTCCCGATTACCCGCAATTCAAAGAAGCTAACACGCCTAGATACCATGTCAATGGACTCCCCAGCTCCGATAAGACCGAGGGCATCGACACGGCCATCATGGCGTTCGCGCCCTCGAAGCTCTTCAACTCCGACTCGCCGCCGTCGTTCAAGCCGTTCGAGTCGCCCGAAACCATGCGCAAGCGCTTCAGCCCGGACACCAAGATGATGATTGCCATTGGCGGCTGGGGCGACACTGCGGGCTTCTCGGACGGAGCCAAGGACGAGAAGACGCGGGAGCGGTACGCGAAGAACGTTGCGGCGATGCTCGAGTCCAATGGCTTCGACGGAGTGGGTGAGTAACTGTCACCATCTCTGCCGAGATCATCTACTTTCAGCCTATCGTTGAGTGCCTTACTGACGTGGTATGCAGACATCGACTGGGAGTACCCCGGCGGCAACGGTGACGACTACAAGCAAGTGCCCAACTCCAAGAAGACCTCCGAGGTCGAGACATACCCCAAGTTCCTGGCCGCCATCCGCAAGGAAATCGGCAACAAGACGCTGTCGATTGCTGTACCCGGCCGCAAGCCCGACATGATCGCCTTCACCAAGGAGCAGGGCCCCAAGATCTGGAAGTCCGTGGACCTTGTCAACGTCATGAGCTACGATCTGATGAACCGCCGTGACAACGTCACCAGCCACGCCAGCAGCGTTCAGGGTTCCCTGGATACCGTCGACGCGTACCTGGCTGCTGGCCTGGACCCCAAGAAGATTAACCTGGGCTTTGCCTACTACGCCAAGTGGTTTACTACGGACCCCAAGTCGGACTGCGACAAACACCCCATCGGATGCGGTGTCGTGCAGCTGGAGAAGGACGATGGAAGCGACAACGGCAAGTCTGGGTCGTTGACCTTTGAGAAGAGCACTATGAGTGCGGCGCCGTCGGATCTGAAGACTACGACGAATGGCAAGTGCGGGTTTGCTGAGGGTGCCAAATGTCCATCCGGACAGTGCTGCAGCACGTACGGCAACTGGTATGTTATGATCTCCACTTATCTACTTCCAACATTTCTATCATTGGAATTGGTCACATTCTAATGCTCTATAGTGGCTCCGGCGACGACTTCTGCCAGGCCGGCTGTCTCTCCGACTACGGCACCTGCAAGGGCATCTCGATCACCGACTCGTGGGGTCGCGCGCTGAAGGACGGCAAGACTGATGAAAAGGCCGGCGGCCAGTACTACTGGGACTCCAAGGTCAACATTTTCTGGTCGTGGGATACCCCGGACATCATTGCGCGCAAGTTCAAGGACATTGTTGCTGAGAAGAAGCTCGGCGGTGTTATGGCCTGGAGCTTGGGTGAGGATACGCTGGAGTTTGCGCATGTCGCTGCCATGCAGAAGGGGGTGAAGCAGTCGACCAAGTCGGACGCATAGAGGGATTGAAGTGGAGATGCTGGTTTTCTAGTCGATTTTATGTGAGCTACTAGGTTAGGGCTCAGTGGTTAGGCTGAGCAGAGACTTTTGCATGTTGCCGGAGGTGTTTTAGAACCAATTTGCATAATCTTTTCACTTATTTCTTTCTTTTTTTCTTTTTTCTTTTTCAATCAAGAACTCATTGACCTTAGGCTGCATTGATCTGTTCGGTAGGTCCATGTCAGGAAGCAAGGCTCCGTTCTCGGAGAATATCTCAGATGCCGGGACGCAAAGCAATCACGCCTCACCAGCCTCGTTGTCATCTTCCCCATTATCTTCATCCTCGCTTTCCGTGTCACTATACCGCCCAAACAGCATCGTATCGTCATAATCATCAAAGCGAGCCTCGACAGCAGTGACACGAACATGGAACTCAATACCACGCTCATGGCAGACCGTCCGCAGTTCCTCCGTCAACTGAATAACCTCGGGTCTCAACAAATGCAGATAATCCGGATACGACTCGACACAAGCATCCATATCCGTCTCCGACATATCAAGACGCTGCCATTTCTCCGCCTCGACATCGATCGCTCTCAGATGCGGGAACATCTCCCCTACCGCATGCACCAGCTCAAGAAGCTCCCTCATCATGATACTCTCCGCCCAGGGCTCTATATCTGACACCCACAGTGTTTCCAGCGAGCCTGGCAAAAACTCGATCAATGGCACCCGCGGAACAGGGTTGTGTTTATCACCGCTATGGCCAATCCCCAGGAAATTCGGTGCTCGGATATGTACGTTTCGAAGCATGCGGAAATCGGCCATCGATCCGATCCAGTCCTCGGAGTACGTGCCTCCGAAATAACTCGTGCGACGATAAAAAGACACTTCCATCGACTCCAGCGTGTCTTTCTTGAGCGCCAGCGCCTTTCTCAGCTCCGTGGGCGCGAGAGTGCGGAAATAATGCTTGGTGTAGTCGTACATGGAGACGTCGTCTTCTTGCTGGGTGAATTTGAAGGTTCGGAGATTCGTGCACGGGGCGATTAGATCGATGAACCCTGTTTCGCCGCTGCTCTGGGCCAGCTCGAGATGGGTTATTGGGGATGAGTTGGGCGGGAGTATGTTGTGTTCGAGATAGAAGTCAGTCATGAGCTGCCCTTTGAAGGTGTGCATTGACGGGAATCTGAAAAATGGAGCTACTCGGGGTAGTTTGAATCCCAGGCCCTCGTCGTCGAGTACTTTGATGACTGCTGTGTGCAGGCTTTGAAATGCGCGTTGTGAATCGAATGGCCGTGACTGCTTTGACGCTCGCGTGAGCACCCACTCTGAATATCGTGTCCCCGTGCCGCCCCAGAAGAGCTCTAGCGTCTCGATATTCGGGACGAGGTAGAGCAGGACGGCAAGCCAGGGATCGCGATGCTCGCCGCTGTCGAGGTCTTCTATCCATTGCGTCTCTTCCCAGCCTCTGTGACTGAGATTCTGGACAGCATTATGGAGCCTGCGAATAGATTCGGGCGATTCATAATGCTCATGTCGGTGGAGCTCAAATACCTTCCTGTCTGTATCGTATGGCAGCTTGCCCAGTTTCAAATGACGAACAGACTGGGCCAGCTCAGGATAAAGTAGTAAAGTATGCACCAAGGCTCTATGGGACCCTACACACAAGCAGGGAGTATCGATAGAGGTATACAGCATGGGAATCATCCATTCATACAGGGATCGACAGGACCGGGCAAGACTGAGCCAGTCATTTTTGGTGCCGACGAGGTCGAGAATGAGCAGAAGGATTTCCGTGGGCAGCTTTGCAAACATCCTCATTCAACAATTGCAAGTATTCGACATCATCGACGTATGGTCATGTTTTCTATCAGAGTCATTTGTAAGGTGGCTCGAAGAGACAGCCTCGTCAGCCTCGTGGTGGGGCTCACCGCGAGAGTGGGGTGGATCAGCAATCACGCTTCAGACAACAATCACTTTATTGGCTGATGATTGGATTTCGAGATGACCGGGCCTGCCACCAGGGCTTCTCGCTTGCCAGCACTCTCTCGCGCTGCCAGTTGCTCCATGCGCGCAATTGTCTCTCCCGTCCCAGCAGGCGCACACGATCCCGACCACGGCGTGGAAATTGTTCCCGGATACAGCATTTTATAGCTCTTTCGAGAAGATCAAGCAGGAAGTAGGCAATGGGCGCAATAACGAACAGGGCTAGTGCAACGCACTCGGGGCCGTGCTGGTCGATGATGTCGAACAGGGTGACTGAGAGGAAGTAGCTGGGTGTTCGGGCAGCGGGCTTGACATTGCTGTGGTCGGAACGGACCTGAAAAATGGTTGCTCTGTGGGCCACGTAGTTGCTTTCCGAATGGTGGGATTCGTCGACGAGGTGGGATTGTTTGGATTGTTTGGATGGTCCTGGCTGAGAGAGCTCGAGGGGGTTTTCCACGGACAAGTCGCGTTGCAGCTGATCGAAAAGCTCACGAAACTTCGGTCGAACTTGGGTTTGCCTCTCGGAAATGCTAGAAGATGGTTGCCAGCATTGAGTTAAACCCGGGCGAGATATAGTGTCTTGGGTTGCTCTTTGGACTGGAATTGCCGTGCAGAGCGAAGAACCAAGGAGGGCACAGTGAAAAAGAGGAGCCTTCATGATGAATTGATAATATACGTCGTGGTGGATATTGAATACAGACAGGAGGGACATTTATATATCTCAGAGAGGAGCCGGCATGTTAAGTGACCGGCGCTGTACTGCGCATGTGGCGAATGCCGCCACTTGATTGGTTGGGGCATACAACTACACGAGGCCAACTGAAAGGTTGCAATTACGCCTAGTAGGAGTGTTAATATAAATATAATATTTAAATAACCTAGATTTATTTTAAAAGCTTGATTATCTTTAAGAAAATAGTGCAATATCCTTTAATACCACCTTCATCAGCCCGGGGACGTCTCTCCAATACGAACCAGCGGTGTCCCTATGGATGTCGTTGTTTGGTCTGTCACTACTCGTAGCAGAGAAGTCTTACCATGCCTTAACAACCCATGTCCGTCTGCCTATACACAATGCCGTGACATCCTCTTCAAGAGTGATCAGTGAGATTGTAACCAGGGCCAGTTAAGGAAGAATACTTGTTTTTAAATATTCCCAAGAGAAAGAAAACCACAGGAGGCAATTAAATATATCTATGTAGACTAGATGGCGATATGATCACGCGGTTAGGTTAGGAAGAACTTCATTCTATCTCAAATAGGAAGGAAGTGTCTCGCAATTTTTGACCTACTTTTTCACCGTCACAAACAATACTAAAGGATTAATTTCTAATTTTTAACTGATAAGAAAAGGCACATACGATAAGAAAAACCATAAAATCCAGGTTTTATAATTATTTATTACCTAGAGCATCGTGATCTCATCAGAAGAGCTTCATGATGTCCTAAATAGGAAGGAAAGAAGTGTCCCACGATTTTTGACCTACTTTTGGACCTTCACAAGGACGCCAAAAATAATTGTATCCTGCCCAAAAACCACTAATTAATAGAACTTGGGAATCTTGAATCACGGCAAGTCATATTTAGCCGTTAAGAATCCATGGATGCATACACCGCTGTGTTAGGTGGTGATGGGGGGTCACTTGCTCGCATCACAAAGCTGTGGATAACTTCACTATGTCTCGATTAGGAAGGGGAAAAGTATCTCGCGATTTTTGATGTACTTTCGGGCCTTCACGAGGATGCAAAAATGAATTTGAATTTTGGCCCTGCGGAGCTGGTAGTTACTCCCTCCTTTTCTTTGGCTGCTTGCAGTAGATAAAAATCTCGGATTTGGAGTGACTAGGTAGTCCTTGCAAATGGAAAGTAAAAATGCGATATTAATCAATTACTGCCAGTTTCAGGTGCATCTGTACATGTCTAGAATATAAAAAGGGTACATCCATGCCACAGTTTCCGAACAGCAGACTCTACACACGACACAACCGGCCGTTCTGATCCGGGAGTCCATCTACGCTCTTCACAGCCCAGTCCTCACTCCCAACACCCGTCGGAGCATAGAAAAGAGACGTCGGATCATAGCGCTGCTTCAGACGGTAAAGCCGCGCATAATTCGAGCCATAGAACGCCTGCTGGAAATGCGGCTCACTGATATCCGACTCGGACATGTACGCACCAGCATCAGGACAAGTAGTACGCCACTTGCCCAGAATGTCGTTGGTGAAATGCTCCATCTTGGACTTGATATCAGCGTCGGAGGTGCCGTTGGCCCAGCTGGTCGAGGTGATGGCGTGCATGAGCGTCTGACGGAAAGCCGGGTTCGCCGAGTTGGGCAAGTAGCCCTTCGGCAGCTCGGCTTTCATGTTGAAAGCGAGCAGCGGGTAGCCCGCGGAGATGGTGGCACGCAGCGCATCGAAGGTTGCGTTCAGCTTGGTGGCGTTCTCCCAGTTCGCGCGCGGGAACAGCCGCGAGCCTGTCATCATCACGGACGAGGCTACCGTCTCCAGCGGGAAGCCTGCGGCCCAGGCGTCGTGGAAGTTGTTGTAGTAGGTTGAATTCGGCTTGAATGGGATGCCCAGTGCTTTTAGGTCGTGGAACCATGGCTTCATGAGGGTGTTGAACTCGGAAACGGTGTGGTTGACGGCGAAGAAGGGGTTCATGAGGAACGTGAACGAGTTCTTGCCGGTCGACATCACCCAGAAGTATGCGTATGTGCCGGCGTCGGCGTGCGCGGGGAATCGGTTTAGGTACGAACGCATGCCGGCCCAGAAGGTTTCTGTCGAGATGTTCTTGCTGGTCGAGAAGTTGAAGGTCGAGACGGTTACGCCGACCTTGGGGTGGACGCGGGAGATGACCGAGGTCACGACGCCGTAGGTTCCTGTTGAGAAGATACGTAAGATTGGGAGGATCGTATAGACAACTCAACACAAGACTCACCGCCGCCGCCACCACGCAGCGCCCAGAACAGGCCCGGGTCGCTCTTCTCAGTCACCGTGACAAACCGGCCGTTGGCCAGGACCACCTCCAGGGCCAGGACCTGGTCAGCAGCCAGTCCGTAGATGCTGGACATGGGCGAATGGCCGCCACCAAGAACATAACCACCAGCCACACCGACGGTCTATAATATACCAGTTAGTTTTTCGGTTCCAGGAGACAATAGTCTAGCCGTCAACGCACCTTGCCCTCGCCACCGACAGCGGTGAAACCCAGTTCCTTGCCCTTCTCATAGATCTCATAAGCCTGCACACCGGCACCCATTTTGACAGCCGGGCCGTGGTAACCAGAAATGCGGAAGTTCTCATAGTACTCGATGTCCTTCAGGTTGTGGGTCCAAATACCCAAAGCACCAGCACCGGTCGACTTGCCATTGAAGTCGTGGCCGGTATTCTTAACCACCAGACGAATCCCAGCGTTACGAGCAAAGTTGACCGCCAGCTGGATCTGGGCGACGTTGCTCACATTCACAGTGTAGCTGCTATAGCCACCCAGGGAGCAGGACTCGGAGGGATTCGTCGTTGGCAGACAGGATCTGCCCTCGAACAACGGCCACATCACCGAGGCCGGATCGGCAGCACTAGATGAGCGAGTCAGCAAGGCGCAAGCTGTGTCACGCATACGGCATATACGAACTGGATATGGGAGTCGGTCCATTGTGAGCTGATGGACTCGCATTTGTGCTGGTTATACTCAGGCCGTGACGAGTAACAAGATGCGGCCAGGGGTACTGTTCTAATAAGAGCACCGCCCAGCAGGTCGTCGAAGATTGACCATACAATCGGCAACGGCCAAGACAGATCTCCCGGAAACACTTTGCACCCTGTGAACAATGACCGCGGCTGGTGGTCGGTGCCATTGCTGCCAAACTTAAACAGAGTTGCGTGGTTTGAGTTGAGATTCGTAAATACTTTTTCTGTCAATTGGACCGTCTCGCTGTTGAACAATGGCGTTCCTGCTTTGGAGAAGGAAGAGAACTTTTGTCCTGCGACAGCGGCATTTCCAGAGGCTGCCAGCAGAAGCGCACTGAGAACCGCGCCAGTGAACCATGACGGAGCCATGATAACCAGAAGAATATGATCTGGCAGAGATTGACCGGGTGGATTCCGGGGGAAAAAAAGGGCACTCGACTTCTCTTATGAAAAAAAGGTAAGTGTTGATTGACCACAACTTACTCTCTGCCACGAGGTTGACAGTCGCCTCCACTGAATTCTGGAATTTGCAGAAAAAGACCTGCTTGCCACTTCAATGCCCCCACAGGCACTTTCGGTATGCGCACCGTAGCCCTGATTCTGCTCCACTGCCCGAGATCTAAGCAAAAGTCGGGTCTTTCTCCGACGCGATCTCCGAGACACGGATCGAATTCTGGTTAAAGGCGATTGTTGGCCACTGTTAATCTGGAACCGGGCTCTGGTTCGTGCAGTGGATTATCCAACTCCGACTAATGTTGCTGTTCGGCATAGGTGGATTTTCTTGTCTCTCATTTCCTGGTTCCTCCCACCGGGACTGGTGAAACCGCAAAGGCGAAATGATTCCTCGCAAGCCCAGTTCTTTTGGGAAGGCTACTATACTATGTCCAGGTTGGTGTCCATTTTGTCTCAGAGACAATTCAATTCACTGGTCTCGGGAAATCTGCTGGATTGTTAATTTTGCATGTTTTTTGCTCCACACTGCGGAAGATCCGGATCTACACGATGCAAGAAAAAAGCAAAAGAAAAATGATGCAAGGGACTCCATTTCCAAAATACACCGACACGGAGTGTTTTTTTTCTTCTTGCATATGCTCAAAGGAACCACATACTATGATCAACCAGAGCTCATCCGAGATCGCGATCCGACTGCCCTACATGTGGATCAGAGATCGATGTGAACCAAACTTCTCTTATACGAAATCTCGTCAATTGGTCGCCCAAAACCCCCTTCCATGGCTCGCAGTCCAACCGAGCTGTTGGTTCGATAGTGTCTCGGATGTAAGCCTGCATGGATAGAGCTGCCACTAGGATGCGGCAAAATGTTTGAATAGCTCGGCAATCGAAGTGCCGAAGAATCCTTCTGGAGTATTCCTAGCAACCCGAGGATGGCATTTGCGCACAAACACTTGGTTATGCCCAAGTGAGGTTGAAACTTACATGCGTAGATTTTTAAGTATTCGAGCGAGAAGAGTAGATTCTCCGGCTTGCTAGGACATCCCAGGGCAATACCACCTTCCGGAGCCCTGGATTTCCGTCCATACGATTACCGAAGACGCTGCAGGGTTTGCTCTAGTTTTCTGTGTATTATTGGCTGTATATTGTTGAGGGCCATAGGGAGAACCATGGAGGGGCGGAGCCACAACCCTAATGTGTCCAGGGGAATAGCCGGCAAAAACTGGTCTGTCCCTGAGCCCCAGTTGGAGAAAAAATGAAGAGAACAAAAAAAATACAGAGTCGGCAAAGTAATTGGTGTTTTCCCCGTGGCTGGTGGCGGACTCCAGAGCTGCGTTGGCGTTTTTTTTTTTTTTTTTTTAAACCATCTCTTCGGGCTGAGTGGCATTTTTTGCTGGAACTCACGTTGGATGCTTGAAAATGATTGACGACCACCACCAAAAAACGGCGCTGGGTGTCGTGGTCGCCTTTCCTATTCTCGGTGGTATTGCGGTTCTGCTTCGGTTATGGAGTCGATGGCTCTCGCGATCTGCGCTGTCCAGTGGTAAGTCTTGTCGTTCTCTCTCCAGTGATCGACGCAGTTGCTAATTAAACGCTCTGAGGTTACTGTAGATGACTACTTAATTACCGCGGGATATGTATGACGAACCTCATTAGATCGACCTGACATATTTGCGGAGATACTGATATCATTGTGATTGCGATAGATCCTCGCCCTCTCACAATCCGTGACCTCATGGTACTGTGAGTGACTCTTCCACTACAACGTTAAAGGAGACCCGTTCCTGACCCTTCTTAGATATCAAAACCAACTATGTCGGCATCCACGTCACCAATATCCCCCCAGACTACGACCCCAAACCAGGGCTAGTCGTACGTGCCCTTCTCCAGCGCATATATCAATCAATTGCATACTGACACAGACATCGACAGTGGAATTTCGCAAACCAACTCCTCTATAACCCAACCCTGACCCTGGTGAAGGTGTCCATCCTGATATTTCTGCGGCGTCTGGAGTCCCGCTCTCTCGTCGTTAACGGCCTGATCTGGAGTTCAATGACCATTGTGGTTCTGCTCTTCGTCGCTGTCTTGCTGGTGGATATCTTCCAGTGTCACCCGGTAGCCTACGTTTATGATATGAGCATCCCCGGCGGGAAATGCATCGATCAAGGCGCGTTCTATGTTTCGACTGCGGCCCTGAATCTCTTCACGGATCTGATGGTGCTGTCGATTCCCATCATTATTACCTGGGGTCTGCAGATGCCGATCCGGCGCAAGATTGCTGTCTGCATTATTCTGTGTCTGGGTGGAGTGTAAGTTCTTCTTCTTTACCTTAATTCCACCACCATCTAAACATCTACCTAACAACACTCCTCCATATAGAGCAACAGCCGTCGGCGTCTGGCGCATCGTCATCCTCGCCCAAGCCTTCCTCTCCAAAACCCCAACCCCAGACCCAACCTACTCCATCGGGTTCTGCAGCTCCGCCGTCGAAGTCAATGTCGCCGTCGTCACCGCCTGCGCCCCCTCCATGAAAGCCATCGCCGGCAAATACCTACCACGCCTCCTCGGCACGTCGCGCCACGGGGACTCATCCGGCTACGGAACCGGCACGAGCAGGTCGCGCAATCGGTTCCGGAGGTCGCGCATCTTCTCGAACCACAAGTCATCGCAGGTGCGCTCGGAAGACGACGACGGGTTCGAGATGGCCGATCCGGCAGGCAGCCGTCACCGTGTGGATGTGGGCGTGGGGAATACTGAGCAGTTTGATATGCGCAAATATAAGCGTGGTGGTGATAGTCCCAGTATCTCGAGTGGGAGTGCTAGTGATGATGGCGTTGCTGGCATTGTTAAGACGACGGATGTCTCGGTCAGATATGCTACCGAGCAGATGACGCCGCCGCAGACGGAGGATGGGCGGTCGCGCGATGGGAAGCCGGCTAGTGTGGATAGTCTTGTATAGACTATTTTGTTATTATTATTATTATATATATATATTGCATTTTTTTACATATTTTTTACATATATTTTACATATATTTTACATATAGATCTACACTATGTGACATACAGTAAGGATTTCGATGTAGCCGAGTTCCCGTGAGGGGTTTGTTTCTTCCCCACCTTATAAATTCGCCGACCCCCAGTGCGCCGTCGCTATTGTATATCTTCATAATAATTGAATATTTACGAGCTGCAAACCATGGCCACTCAGTATCAGCTGCCGTTCCAGGTACGAGTCTTGCATTTTCTGTTCTGTGGTGGGGGTTCAGAGAGATGTCCGAGATGCCTCGGAAAAAAAAAAAAAACATCATGACTCGAAGGACAACAGCATGGACTAATGCCTTCCCTATCAGCTAGCCGACTCTAGTCTTGTACACTTTGACTCCTGTGTCGGTGACAAATGGGTAGGAGCCAAGAGTGGTCAGCGGTTCGAGGTGCTTGGTAAGATTACAGAGAGTCTTTTGACCAGACACAATATACTAACAGCATCTCTACAGACCCCGGCACCGACAAGGCCTGGGCCAGCTGCCCCGCCAACTCCGCCGATGATGTACCCGCCGCGGCGGAGACGGCGCACGCAGCATTCGAACAGTATCGCAAGGTCAACCCACGGCAACGCGCGAAATGGCTACTGAAATGGTACGAGCTGACCGTGGCGGCGCGCGACGATCTCGCGCAGATCATCACCCACGAGACGGGGAAGCCGCTAGCCGAGGCGTACGGGGAGCTGGAGTACTCGCTGGGGTTCCTGTGGTGGTTTACGGGCGAGGCAGAGCGCATCCACGGCAGTGTGTCGGTGCCGGCTGCGCCAAATCGCCGCTTGTTCACTATCAAGCAGCCGATTGGAGTGGCTGCGGCGCTGGTGCCGTGGAATTTCCCTGTCGCTATGGTGCTGCGCAAAGTTGGCGCGGCGCTGGCGGCCGGGTGCACGATAGTCGTCAAGCCGAGTCCCGAGACGCCTGTGTCGTCGCTTGTGCTTGCGGAGCTGGCGCAGCGTGCAGGGATCCCGGCGGGCGTGTTTAACGTTCTTACGACGGACTTGGAGAACACGCCAGCGTTGAGTGAGGCGCTGTGCAAGCACCCGCTCGTCAAGAAAGTCACCTTCACGGGGTCTACTCGCGTCGGCAAGCTCGTGGCTACCCACTGTGCGCAGGGCCTGAAGAAGCTCACGCTGGAGCTGGGAGGGAACTGTCCGTTTATCGTCTTTGACGACGCCAATCTCGACCAAGCGCTCGACCAACTCATGACTCTCAAGTGGCGCCATGCCGGCCAGGCCTGCATCACCGCCAATCGAATCTACGTACAAGCGGGGATCTATGACCGCTTTGCAGCTCTTCTCAAGGAGCGCACCGCTGCTATCGTCGTGGGCCATGGTGCCTCCGCGGGCACTACAATGGGCCCGCTGACCACACCGCGCGGTATCGACAAGGCCAGCGCCCAGGTGGAGGATGCGCGCCGTCGAGGTGCTGATGTACTCCTAGGTGGGAAACCGCTGACCTCGCGCCCGGGGTACTTCTTCGAACCGACCATTCTCTCGGGGATGACGGCCGACATGCAGATCTCGCACGAGGAGTCCTTTGCGCCCATTGCGGCCTTGTACCGCTTCGAGACAGAAGACGAGGCAGTGCAATTGGCTAATGCCACCAGTATGGGGCTGGCCAGCTATGCATTCACCAAAAACATCGATCGCATGTGGCGCCTGCTGGAGAATTTGGAGGCAGGGATGATCGGGATGAACACGGGTTGGTTTCGCTTTCACCCCCCTCATAATCATTGCATACTAACTTTTGGTCCACAGGCAATCAATCGGCCGCAGAGGCCCCGTTTGGCGGCATCAAGGAATCGGGGTATGGCAAGGAGAGCGGCAAGGAAGTGGCAGTCAACGAGTACTTGGTCACCAAAACGGGAACCTTGACGATCGAGGGACAATATTAGAGAGATCAGTTCGATCATTTTTTTTAGGAATTCCAAATAAGAAGCCATGCGAGTGCCAATGTGACCACTCGGTCACCCCCGAAAGGAATCTTGAACGAGACGTGGGTTTAAAGTGAGAGTGACAGCGGGCGATCGTGAAAATTACTGCGTTGAGTATAGTTGACGATGCACGGACGGGACTGCTTTTTACTGCTGCATTTTTTCCTTACTCGCTTACTTGCCGTTCATGGCAAAATTGCTGTCGAGATCGAGTCAGATCGTGCAGCATTGTGCATGTCGGGGCTTTTCGCGAGGACTGACCAGCCTTGGGGAATTTCCGTGCAGGATGCTGTGATATCCAATCCCCCGGGTTCATTCTCTTCCTCTTCTTCTTCCTCCTTTTCTTCTTTCTTTCTTTCTTTCTTTCTTATTTTTCTATCGCATTTCAAATACACTCATCCATCATGGATTTGGACCCCCTACGGCATTTGATCCAATCCCATCCGTTGATCGACAACCACGCGCACAATCTGCTGGGCCGCGAGTCAGTCGCTGACTACGACACCTACCCGCTGGAGGCCATCACATCCGAAGCCCACGGTCGCGCCTTGGAAAATGCGCACACCACGCTGCCACTGATCCGAGCTATCAACCAGCTAGCCGAGCTCTATGACAGTTCCTGTACCGACTGGGCCGATGTGCTGGCGGCCCGGGATCTCTGGGTGCAACAAGACTACGAAGGCCTGATTCGGCGGTGTCTGGCTGGCACGCACGCTCTGCTCCTGGATGACTTATTAACCGACGACGATGTTGAATCCTTTGAATGGCATGACCGCTTTACCGCTGCGCCAACGAAGCGCATCGTGCGCATTGAGGCCGTGGCCGCGTCGCTGATCACTCAAATGCTGAGTGGCGAACGTAAGCCCGGGGAGACGGTGTGGGTCGATTTCCGTCAGCGCTTTGAGCAAGTTCTGGCTGATGCTATGGCTGACTCTGCTGTCGTCGGCTTCAAATCTGTGGTCTGCTATCGCACGGGCTTGGACGTCGACCCGTACTCGTCCGACGAGACCACGCTGGCAGGGTCGCTGGCTCGTACCCTCGACTCTGGCACGCTCAAGTCCGGTTTCCGGATCGAGGACAAGCCGCTGAATGACTGGCTGGTCCAGCAGACGCTGAAGGCAATTTCTTGGGAGAAAAAGAAGACTGGGGTCGTTAAGCCGCTGCAGTTCCACACAGGCCTCGGCGACAACGATATAAACCTCGTCCGCGCCAATCCCGCTTATCTGCAGCCTTTGATTGCTCACTATTCGGATGCCGACGTCGTCCTGCTGCATTCGGCTTATCCGTACACGCGCGAGGCTGGGTATCTCGCCTGCGTGTATCCGAATGTCTATCTCGACCTGGGCGAGGTGTTTCCGATGGTCAGCCGGAATGCCCAGGAGAGTATTCTTCGACAGAGCCTGGAGATCACACCTACCAACCGTCTGCTATGGAGCACAGATGGCCACTTTCATCCGGAGACTTTTTGGCTCGCTAACCGGCAGTTCCGCCAGGCACTAGAAAAAGTAAGGTCATTCCGTCGGCTTCGGTCTGGTATTGTTGCTTATCACTTTTTCATCTATCAGGTTCTTGTAGACTACGTCCAGCATGGCGACTATACTGCTCAGCAGGCCATGAAAGTCGCCGCTGACATTCTCTTTTATAACTCCAATCGCCTCTACGGGCTCAACCTTGAACTACAGAACGCCTCTAGTATTCAGGCTCGGTCAACAATAACCAGTGGACACGCCCTGGTCCCCGCCTCAGACCAACTAGATGCCTTCCTGCAGATTCATTCAGATGTAGAGTACATCTGGATGCAGTGGGTTGACTACACAGCAACAGTCCGAGTCCGCATGTTCCCAATCCATGAATTTGCCCGTATCGCCCGAGGCCAACGACGCGTCGGAATCTCGATTGCAGTGCTGAGTATGTTACAAGACGACACCGTCACACCGGAAGGATCCACAACGGGCCAATTCTACCTAGAACCCGACCTCAGCAGTCTCTACCGCAATGGAGGCATGGCAGTCCCAGCCGCGCCGAGTGCAACAGTTATGACATTCTGGCGATCTGAGTCCAACCAGCCACTGGATGGATGCCCGCGAAAAGTACTCCAGAACATTACCAACAAACTGCAAGCCGAACAGCAAGTCGATGTTCTGTGCGGGTTCGAAATCGAAGTGGTGTTCCTGACACCAACAACAACACATCCACAAACAGGGAAAACCAACGCGTACAGCCCAGCCACAAACAACCACTCATGGTCCCAAATGACAGCCGACACACGCCGGCTTGTGCCCCTGCTCGAAGAAGTGACCCGGACGCTGGCGTCGATGGGCATCTCGCTACAGCAATTCCACGCCGAGTCGGCACCGGGCCAATTCGAGTTCATCCTCCCGCCCGCAACCCCACTCGCCGCCGTCGACGCTCTCTTCGCCGCACAGCCAGTAATCACTGCCGTCGCCGAGCGCCACGGCCTGCGCGCCACGGTGCACCCTCGCCCTCTCCCCGCCAGTGCGGGAAGTGCCACTCACGCCCACGTCTCCATCACCCCACCCACACGCGAAGACTGTTTTCTGGCTGGGATCCTGGCTCACTACCCGGCCGTGGCTGCCTTCACTCTCTCCCAGGACGCTAGCTACGACCGCGTGCGGTCCGGTATTTGGGCCGGCTCGGAGTGGGTTGCCTGGGGCTTCCAGAACCGCGAGGCGCCCGTGCGCAAGATCGAGCCGGGGCACTGGGAATTCAAGTCGCTAGATGGGCTGGCGAATCCGTATTTGGCCATGGCGGCTTTGCTGGCGGGTGGGTATATGGGAATGAAAACGGAGATGTCTCTGTCTATGCAGGAATGCACTGGTATGTCTGCTTCTACTTTTCTTTTTATGCCACTGTTTATATTCAGTGTTTCATTTCTTCCAAATTTTCTAATATTTAACTGACTCTGACTACAGTGGACGCCTCCACCCTCTCGCCCTCCCAACGCACAGCCCTAGGAATCACCACCCCACTCCCTAAATCCCTCGCCCAGAGCCTCGACGCCCTCCAAACCGACGAATCTCTTCAAGCTCTGCTCGGTCCGGAGCTCGTGCGCAACTACATTATTGTCAAACGGGCCGAGTCGGCGCGCTTGCTGGCCATGCCGGAGGACGAGCGCCGGCTGTGGCTGCTGGAGAGGTATTAAAAAAAAAAAAAACCAGCAACAGCAATGAATATAAGCATATACTTTGTGTGTGTTTACTAGTGGGTGGGGGTGTATGTTATTTGGGTCGATTCTGGGCTGCGGTTTATTTGGTTATGGTTGTTTGGTCTACGGATTTGGTGTTTTTTAGCTGGCTGTCTATATCTGCATCTTGTTAGCATTGGGTTGGTGCGCGTATATACCCCCTTTATCGAATGAACCTTTTTTTCCCCTGTTTTATTAGGCAACAACGGGTAAAACAACAGGTTCAATATAAACCATTAAGAATAGTTGTGTTTTCTTGTTCTTTTTATTATCTTCATATCAGCGTAAATGTACGAATCACTTTTTATGCCACATGCTTGCATCCCATGTCGTGTACACAGGGCATATATGGCGCAGTCAGTAGTATGTGTAGTGTCATATGGGATAAACCCACTTACCGAAACACCGTAAATTTCTACATGGTTTTGAGAAGGTATGTAGCAGCACCTCTAAAGAAACCCCAAGATCCCTCCAGGGCCGACCTTCCTGGGTTAGCAAGTGCCATCTCCCCGACAAGCAGAGAGAAAACAGACCACACAGCACCGACACGCACCAGGCGATGCCATGTCGAGGTATCAAGCAAAGGGGCCAGAAGCAGGGTAGACCAAAAAACAAATGCAAAATGAGGGAAATTGATTGAAACGCCAGCCGCAGCTCCCGTGTATCAAGCTTACGGACCTCGATGCAACGTGAAATCATGAACAAAGCAGTCAAAACAAGGGGATCAAGGGTAAATAAGACGTATACAAGAAGGGGATGTGAAGAGAAAGAATAAAAATCACATCTATTGTCTGAGGTGACGGCATTTAAGATGTTATAATAACACAATCAAGATCAATCACTCAACAACACAACAACAGAAACAGGTCGTATCATCATGAACAATCCGGCTCTGGGAACAAAGTTTGGAAGTTCAAGGATTTATGAAAATTTGGAGGGTGGGATGGATGATAAAAGAGAATAGGCGGAGAGGAAGGCAAACGGGGTAAGGAAGAACGAGTAAACCCAAGAGCAGCGAGACGTGTCGAAAAAAAAAATGTAGAAGGACAAAAGTGATAGAAGGAAACAACATTGCACGGCCCAGTAAGCCACTGGCCACATTCAAGGCATCACCTTTCGCTCACTACTCAACTTATCCTTCTCCCACTCATCCATGAGACGCGAGACTTCCTTGAAAGAGACAGGTTTGGTGAGGAACAGATCGACTCCCGACGCGAGAGCCTCGGACTCATCGCGCGAGCTGCTGAGTCCCGTCAGAGCAATAATGACGGCCGGCCCACAGCCGTCGCGCTCCTTCTCCAGCGCACGAATGGCACGCGTGGCCTCGAATCCATTCATAACAGGCATCGACATATCCATGAAGATGATATCATAGCCATTCTGTAGACGTTCGACGGCCTCGACAGCGAGCTTGCCATTCTCCGCCGCCTCCATCTCAGTCAGCTTGCGCTTTTTCAAGAACGTCATCATCAGGTTTAGGTTGATGCGGTTGTCGTCAACAACGAGAACCCGTGCGAGTCGGTCAGAGTCGATGCTCCCCTCCACCAATGGCGAGGGCAACGGAGCGGCTACGATGGCCTGGGGTGGCGCGGTGATCACCGAGGGTGTCGTGGGCGGTAGTTCCTCATTTGAGATGGGAGTAGACTCAACGACCTCTTCAGCTGCCGTCGCTGGGGTGTTGAGTGTATCCGCAGGAGGGGCGGCGGACGGAGAAGCCACTGTGGATTGCAAATTTGAAGTCCGAATAGGTAGATCCATGGGATCCTTCAGAACGTGAGAGGCCGGTGTTGTTGAAGCCGATTGGGAGTGCGTCAGACACCTCAGTACACTTCGAGCCAATTTATGTGGCCCACAGGGATGTCGAATGATGTCCACCGAGGAAGCGAGAGATGCCCATTCAAAGCGTGCCACGCTATAATCCACTGACTTATGACAGAGGATAAGCAGGGCTGGCAAATTCGCCGAGAGCCCATAGTTGCGTAGCTCGTGTAGATCCGGCTCATCAACAAGCAAAATATCGATAGCCGTTGAAAATGGCCACGACACAAGCTCAATGCCGTACCACTCTGTAAGATATCGTCCGATCTCAGCCCAATTAGAGCTTTCTGCCACATGTTCGGGATCGATACCCCATATTGCGGCTCGCTTATTAGGATATCCTTCACGGAGCAGAAGGGTTTGGGTCAGAGTTTCCCTCTGGCTGGTGAGATTTCCATGGGGCTCGATTGGCGGACTTTCTTGGCCAACCGGTCGTGCCAGGGGCAAAGATACGCGCACTATGGTACCCTCGCCAGGGCGGCTGCGGATACGGATACTTCCATTCAAAGCCTTAACAAGACTTCGAACAATAGACAGGCCTAAGCCAGTGCCAACCGCCAGTGAATCCTCTTGTGCAAAAGGCGTATAGATTCGGCCGCGCAGGAACTCCTGTGAGATACCCTTTCCAGTGTCGGATACGGTCAAAGTAACCAAATCCTCGAGGCCCTGCCGCAGGGAGCGGCCCTCGGACTGGCTTGACGCTTCAAGGCGCAGAGTGACCCGACCAGACTCAGTATATTTCATGGCATTGCCAAAAATGTTCATAATGATCCGCCGTAAAGCACCGGGCTGGGTGCGATAAACCCAATCTTGCTGTGCCACATCGATGGCTACTTCCACTTTGGCTCGAATATTCGAGGGCTTCAGGGTTTTATGGGACAACACCGGCAGGTCGGCAGAAGCCGTGGAACTTTGGCCGTATGCAAGACCAAGACAGATTCCTTCGACGACTTCCTCGGCCAAAATAGCAAGATCCGTCACAATGTAAGTGTCCAGATGAGATGCCAACTTGTCAGTCCCTTTAAGATCAAGCGGTGATTCCTTTCGCCGTTTCAATGACCGCCATGTCCGCTCAAGCGAGACCACTTTGCTGAAATCAAGAACCTGGTTCATAGTGTCCAGTAATGTCCTTCCACAGGCATTGATCGTCTCCAGCAGAGAGTCCTGGAATTCATTGAGATGAGTGGTGTTCAAGAATTCAGCGGCAGCCAGAATCCCGTGAAGTGGGCTTCTAAGTTCATGTCTGAAAATAAAATATTAGTGAGCGTATTCAAAACAGTGGTTAAAAAGGTACGCACGAGATACTCCCGATGAAATCGCCCTTTTGGCGATCGGCGATCAGTGACTCAACTCGGCTATACTCGGCCATGATAGAGGATCCAAATCCGAGAATCGAACTAAGCTCGACAGCCGAAGTAAAAACCTGTGTCTCAATGGTGCTCCAGCAAAAACATCCGGCGAACCATTGCGATCCCACGGCGTTCCACAAAGGCACAAAGATGATTTGTGTAGCGCCAGGGAAGTATTTATTGAGCATTGGGTTCTCCGAAGCCTTTCGCCGCCTATCCATGGGGTTCGAAGTGTCAAAAGCAGGGACACCGGGTGGAGACCGACTGGATGTAGTGGTGATCCTGTCACGCGACTCTTGATCATCATCGTCCGACGTTGAAATGAGGCCGTCCGGGTGGAAAGACCAGAGCTTGCCCTTGGGGTAGCGCCGCAGCAGGAGTTGCAGGAATGCTCGGTCTATATTTGCCGCAGGTAAAGTGGCTGTAGAGCCAGGTTGGGGAGAAAACGGTTCGTCGTTCGTTGACATCGAGAGCACAGTGGCGGGCCCACCCGAGTCGTTGCTATCACTCCCATTGTCACCATCCAACATAGGACTATTGTTGGCTTCCAGGAATACAACGCCGCTGTCCCCGGTCAGATCCAGACTCTCACGGATGAGGTTTGCCGCTCGGCGAAAACACCACGAGTTGCCCTGGGAATTATCAGGCGGTAGTCGGTTCCGACTACTGCTCGTCAACCACTCCGGAAGAGAGGAGCCTGCTCCATAAGTCACCGCATCCAATTTTGAATCAGACGCGCCGGAGCAGATGGAGCGTGCGTCATTGCTGAGAGATCGGTCGTTGGAAGGACTTTGTGAGGGTTCCATGGACGCGTGGTCGTGACTACTGCCGCGGGAGCCGGCCGAAATACTTATGCGAGGGTTTGTTGATGGCGGAGTCGCGGAGAAAGGGCCATAGCTCTCGGTGCACGACGGATCAATGCTGTCCACGAAACTCGAACTTCCCTCAACAAAGTAGCTCAAGCCACGAGAAAGACGGGCAGCCCGGCGGCCCTCGGAACACTGCCGACTCAATCTCAGGTAATCCATGACCAGCGTTGTGAGAGAACCCAGTGTTTCCTTTTGCAACGAGGTCAACCCATCGCGTGGTTTGGTGTCCAGCACGAAAAAACATCCCAGGTTGATATTCTTCTCGGTGGTCAAGGGGGTTCCGGCGTAGAATCGAAAATGCGGGTGGTTTTCAACGAAAGAAAGTCGTTTGAATCGTTCACTCTCGGCCAAATCGTTAACAACCAAGAACTCGGGTTGATCATTTGTGTGATTCGAGGGAGACAAAGCAACGGTGTCCTGTGGCGAGTGTCAAAATGGCGAAATTGGGGTGTTGTGGTGGAAGTTTATCTAAACTGAAGCCAAGGTTCAGTAAGTTTCTCGTCAAGCACTCACCTTGCACACACTCCACGCCCTGCGGCTACCACCAGACCCCAGCCAAAAATCATTTTCGGGGTCAGGACTCGACGAGTCGCACAATTTCACGGATTTAGTCGCTTCGGCAATAATATGCTGCACATCGCGATCCAACACACAAAGCACAGCACGCTCAGCGTCCAATTGAAGCGCAGCCAGTTGGGCGAAGGAGACCAGGGTGTGGTTGGAGACGCCTAGAACAAGGTCCTGGGGGTCGACGGTAGACTCCGGTCGCGACGTCGCGCTGCTGTTGGAAGCACCGGAGCCATCACCCACCGGCGGGGTATTCGGGGATACTGCAACACCAGAAGACGGTATATGTTCGCCCGCAGGCAGCCATGATGGAGTCACCCTGGTAGAGGCGGCAGGCTGGTAGAAGCGATAGAGCTCTCTCACCCTGCGATTCACGTTGTGCTCAACGTCCTGCTGTTTGCTCGTGTGTTCCATAGTATAGCTCTAGCTCCGACGAGTGCAGTGGTGCATTCTCAGGTATATACTCCAAGTGTCGAGACCGCAGGAATTGCCAGTTACGATCGCGACAATGGAGGTTGAGGTGGGTGAATGAAGAAAGGAAGAGAAGCCGCAAGGCGACAGCGCCAGTGGACAGCCATCATGTTGTGGAAAAGAAAAGAGTGTGTTGGAAAAATTGATTCAGATGCGGAGCCCCCCACCACAGAAGAAAACCAGAGAGATCGCCAAAACGGAGGAATGCCCCAACAGACAACCAAAGCTCATCCGCCCATCTATCAGGTGGAGACGAGAGCGATCAGGGCAGCAACCACTCAGGAAAAAGGAGTCCAACAGATCGGATTGGCAAGTGTCCACTACCCTTGCCCCACCGCCGCATCAGCTATCGGGGAGAGAGAGGATCGTCAGCATACGCAGGGGCCGTGGTCATTGGGGGCATTGGGCAAGACAGGGCAGAAGGAGGGGAGAAGGGGAGTGCGTGGGTATTGTTTCAGCAAAGACGACGGCGAAGGGTGAATGCGCCAGGGCGGATGCCGGCTGACGGCCTCAGGCCAGCAATTGGCCGCTCAGCCACGGCACAGTGGGCCTTGGCGCAGATTGAGAGGACGGCCTGGGCTGCCAGCCAATCAGAGGTATCCTTCTCCATTGTGGCGATGCCAAAAATGTCCATCAGTGGACCCCTCCCAAGTGAAGCGGTGGTGGCGACATGAACTGGCCATCGCGCACGTACCGGTACCCCGGATTCCCAGGGGAGATCGCCTACGCTAGCTGTATTGGTACTCAGACTGAATATTTTAATGTCCTGGATGAACTGTGACATTTGCAATATTCTGAGGATCCTCTAAGGATACACGTATCCCCGCTGTCTATGAGTTGTGACCCGTCACCGCACCCCAGATATACGCCGCCCAGCCTCCAAGGGTCAACAGCAGCAGAGCCCCAAAACAGGTCGTTGCAATGCACCGAGTGCGCCTATGGTGTGTTACCAGGCTGCGCTCTCTGGTCGCCTGAATGATCTCTGGGCCTGAGGTCAATCGCTTTTGGCGAGTCCACTGTAGCGGAGCGAGGTAGTCGGTCATGGACGCGCCCAACAAGAGCGCCAGGCCCACAGCCATGGCCGCCGCCGCGAGAAAGAGATACACCTGCACGACACGGCGGTAGGAATTGTCATCTGCGTCCTGGAGAGCGCCGGTGATAATCCGCACGATGATGCTCATGCTAGCATGATTGTAAAGGTAAGTATTGATCGTAGAGTGTCGGATATCTAGTGGAGGAGCGGGTCTTCATCTTACGCGTTATTCATAGTCAATTTCAATGCGTATGCGGATCCAAATACCGACTGATGCCAGAGCGTTGTGCGAATGCTGTCTATGATGGACGTTGGGCCGAGGGACATGGCAATAGCGTAGATACCGAACGCAGCACCTGCGCCTGCTTTGGAGAGAGCAAAGTTGATTAAGATCATACTTAGCAGCATACCCAATCCACATGCGCACACTAGTAAATTGTAAATCAGTGTACTTCGGCATAGCAAAAGTGATTCGGGGTTACTAACTGACAGAAGCACGATTCCCCAAAACATCGATAAAAACACCTAGACAGGGAACGAGGAAGAACCCTAGAAATCTCATAAGCACCAAGCAACAGAGAACCAACTTGACTATGCCCATACCTGCATATTGCGACAAGGAACTATACCAGCCCGCCTTGATAGCATCAACATTAAACCGCTTCTCTGCCAACTCCGTCGCATTCTGGCTAAACACCGATGCGGCACTTGTCTGGAACAGAGAGAAAGCCAGAACCGACCAGAACATCCACGGCAGCTCAAAGACCTTTTGGATTTCGAATCTGCGGTTCTTCTCCGTCAGCTGCTCGTTCGTGGCCGTGTCGCGCCGGCCGCGGTAGTGGCGGGTACAGAACTGGTTGAAGAACCAGAAAACGGCTGTGGCGGCGTTGGTGAAGAGGTTCATGAATACCGAGGTCCAGAAGACCCATGCAAAGTTGCCGGTGTTCTATTCGTGTATCAGTGTGTTGTCCCTTCACTTTTATATTTTGGGGTATTATCCAATGAGTGTAAGAAAGACTATACCTTGGCGATGATATTGGCTGTGGATTTGCCGACAAACCCGCCAACCTTGCCAACAGCCAGCTCAAAGCCGAGCGTTGATGCAAATCCGTTGCTGGGTGGGAACCACGACGAAAACATTTTATACTGAGCAATCTGTGTGGCGATATCACCAAGCGCCAGCACGATTCTTCCCCCAACCATGAACTTGAACGAGCGTACCGTCGTGGCGGCAGCAACAAGAATAGAGCCGATGGTATAAACCACATTGCCATAAACGATCATTTCTGTGTATCTCGGTTAGAACAAAATCTCTTGGATTTGTTTCCTCTAGTGAATTTCATCTCATCTCATCTTCATAACACATACCGGCACCCCCAACTCGATCCGTGATAATACCACTAATCAGAAGCAGAACCGTGGCCATGAAATCCTCGCTTGCTTCGAGAAGCGAGAATTGGACATTATCGATATGCATTTTCTGTGGGACCATTAATTTCTGGGCATATCTGCACGGTTTACTGGATGCTTCCGCCGTACCTTTTTAATTGTACTCTTCATGGCTCCCGTAACACCGGAGCTCCAGTGCGAGCCGAAGCTTATACATGAAATTAAAAACACCGCGAAGAGTTTCGCAGCCAGCGGCGGGGCCTTCTTCTCATCATTGGTGTCGGGGAGAGATTCCTTATCCGAGGTGGATCGACTGCGAGCATCCGGGGCGGGCTGTGCTACCACGTCCACGACGGACTTGGAAGTCGATTTGTCGGTGGCCATACCGTTCACTCACTTGAGATGAAGAAATTCAACCAAAGGTTGACCCGGGGAGGGGGGGAGAGGATAGGGAAGAGAAAAGTCAAAGATGAAAATCAGATGAAAATCAGATAAGAAAAACGCCCCTCCGGCGGAAGAGCAAGCCGGGGCCGTGGCTATTTATCCAAAATCACCTCAAACATTCTCGGGGATATTAGGGACAGAAGAAAACAAAAGCTGCGCAGTGGAGCAGATCTCCAATAGCGGGCAGATTCCGGTGAGCACGTACACTGTTGGCGCTGGGCCGAGTGGGTTTGTCAATCAGATAAGATGGTCGAGCCCCGGGGGTTTAACCCAAAGGAACATAGTCAACAAGCCCTTCTGGTTTAGTGTCGTCGGCGGAATGTCGGTCTTTTTTTTTTTTTTTTTTTTTGGAGACATGGAAAGCCACACAGATCCCGGGTCCTGAGTGAGAATTGCGTATGTCGAAATCTTGCTAGTCTCTAGGTTTTTTCTTGCGAGTCATAACCATATGGCTTATGACGGATTCTCCACTGGCCCACTGTGTAGAAGAGCTATGCTGTGGTTTCAATTCAAGCCCAGAAAAAAAGAATTGCATGAGGAAAAATCCCATAATATCATCACGTTGCTGATCCAGCACCAGAGCAAAGCCATATAAATCTCGTAACTAGGCAGTGTAAGAAAAGGCCGAAAAGAAATTTAAAAAATCACAATCAAAAACAAAACCCCGCCATGAAATGCTATCATTATGTGCAACACAATAGTCCAAATACGACGCCGAAAGAGATCAGAACCGCTCCATCAACCGCTTGCGCACCGTCCACATGCGAGCGCGCTTGCCGAATATATACATTGGGATCGACATGAGCATAAAGGCTAGCTGAATGCCGCCGATAGCCAGGAACACGGTCCGAGAACCATCGGCTTCGAGCCAATCCACAATAAACAGAGAGAATATCAGGCCATGTAGCACGTCTGTAATGAGATGTTAGCAAATGGAAATAGGGGAATTGGGGGAGCCAGTCACGTACTCTTGCTGAAGTTCAAGGTTACTAGCGCTTCGCCGGCATATTGGCGGTAACTATCCACACAGAAGGTGATGGCCGTCGTGCTGCCCAAACAGCAGCCAAACGAGATCATGCCAAAGAAGATGGTGGGCACGATCCACGAGTCCTTCTCCTCGGCACTCCACCCAAAGGCCATCAGCCCGATGGTAGTCGACAACGCGATGGGAATCGCCATCACCAAGCGAAATTCCGGCTCGTAGACGCCGCCGTTGCGACGCGTCAAGAACTGTGCAACTATATCAGACACCTTGCCTGCGACAGCGGTGCCGAGCAAGCCGCCGACGAAGGGTGAGATGTAGATCAAGCCGGTCTGGAGCGCGGTGAAATTGTAGCTTCCGCCGCCCTCGAAAATGTGCGCCACGGATTCCGAGAGCACGATCAACCAGCCAACAGACAGCGAGTACACTACTGTCGACCACAAGACCGACGGGTAGGCGAACAGAATCAAGGGTCGGACGGCAACCCGCAACCAGTTGTCTCGTGAGATGCGCCCATTCCACACTTTCAGCAGTTGGAGGTACGGGACCTTGGGGCGCTCGCGGAGCCGGTTCGTATATTGAAAGTTGGCGCTTCGCGGCATTCCAGGATCGAGGGACTCGCTGCGCGCTGGTGAGACAGCTGTATGGCGAGCAGCCTCCGGATCGTTTGGGTTTGCCGACGGAACAACCACTTGTGGGGGCACTTGAAGGAAGACATCGTGTTTCTCTGTAGCGGGAGTCGAGGGTTCCGTCACGAATTGGTCACAATCTGGGGGGCTTTCAACCCCAAGCGCAACTTCATCTTGGCCAGGCTCTAGTCCATGCTTCTCATTTTTAGGCTCGTCCGCAAAGCCAAAATGTGCATGTTTGGACTTTTTTCGGGGACGCAGCCTGAATCGGGTCATTCTGGGAATCATCAGGCTCGATTGGGATCTGCATATGTGGGCGCCGTCCGCGAAATCCATGAGACACCAGGTCGGACACGCTGCGATGAATATGGGGGCGTTTGTGCGAGCGCCGCGGCCGAGGGGTCCGGTCCCAGAAGGTCTCTGGAACAAAAAAGAACAACAAAACCAAACACGCGCCCACAACAATTGCCACGATCCAGAAAACCCAGCGCCACCCCAAGCTTCCAATGATGGCAGCGCTCACTAACGGGATGAGATTCTTCCCTCCCAGGAGCAGCAGCGTGTAGATACCAACGCGATAGGCTCTCTCATGCAGAAAATAAATCTCGGCGATGGTAGCAGAGGGAAGACACTCCACTGGGCTCACGGCAAACCCTTGGAAGACGCGGGCAATAATCAGACTCGCATAGTTGGGCGATACGGCGCACCACACCGCGGAGATGACAAAAAGCGTCGCTCCCAGCAGATAGACAGGCCGCTTCCCGTAGAGAATTGCGGTTGGGGACATGACCACGGAGCCCAGACCCAGACCCAACATGTAGAGGCCGGTGGTGAAGGCCACTTTTTGAGTGGTTACATGGTAGGTGTTTGCAACCTCATTAAAGCCTGCGGCTAGGATAGGCGTCATGCCTCCTCCCATCAGGCAATAAAACCCCAAGGAAACCAGTGCGGCGTCTCTTTGCCACACGGGCCAATTCAAGGGGTCATTGACCGAGTCGTCCGGCTGGGGGTTCAGCACAATCTTCCCGTCCAGAGTTCTTTTCTGCTGAGGCGCCATAGACCGAGAGGAGGAGCGGGAGGGAGTGCGGGATGAGGGGAGGGACGATGTCGACCTCCGCTCCGGTTGATGTCGCATTCCGAGGGGTTCATTGCGATCCGATGAAAGGAGAAGGACCGTTCCTGAAGCACTTGTCAATGAGAGTTCTTTGCTTTCCTGGTATAAAACTCAACCCCGGCGAGGCTAGAGCCTGGACCACCACCAACCAGGTACTTCGTCAGTCTGCTTATCGCTGAGGATCCCCAGCGTAGCTTTCGAGCGATAGGTGTGTGACTCGCTCCCTGACTCAGTCTGCGACTTTCTTCCAAAGATCCGTCTCCAGCGCGGTCCTGCCGGCTGCGGGGTGGGATCGGCCCCCGAGTTTCCCGCCATTGTCGAGGGTGGCACTTCGGCTGATGCCATCGGGGATGAAAGAGAAAAATTAGATCAAAAAGCTGCAAGTAAAAAAGGTGATCTAATCTGTAGAACAAGATATCAAAGCTATCGCTTCACACATAAAATGGATGTATCGTGGGGTATCAGAGGTTATCATCAGAGGGCATCGGAGCAATCACCGCATAGACAGCGACGCAGGCGGAAACTGAGCACCCATCAAAGACATAGCTTGGATCGATAGAAGAATAAAAGAGAAGATAGAAAAGGGGGAGATAAGGAAGTAAATATAGAAAAGAGGGGGTAGACAAGCTCAGGAAGAGAGTCATGCGGATGAAGCAAAAAGCAACGAGATCGGCGCCATGTGGCCACCCCGTTGGAAGCGGTGAGGTCCCAGACACCCACCGAGTCGGAGGATTGACGGTGATTATGTGTGCTGTATGTAGTGTGATAGGGAAAGCTTAGATATATGAAACTGTCGGTGACTCGATTTTGAGCTGTTTTCAGTCACTTGCTCATTCAACATGCATCTTGAAGTGGAAATGTGGCGATCTATCGATCTTGCGGTATGGCGATATTGCGTGAGATAACGCGACCGGCCCCATATCAGCATTCCCGCCCGTCCACGGCTTGCTGCACACGGCCATTCGGGAGATATGCCAAGCTGCATGGACCAAGTTTATCGAAGGATCTCACTGAGACTGGTTGTGTTTGATCCTTTGGATGCTCAGCTGACTGGAGGGAAGTGTTAACTGCCGTCATCGTGCAGGGATGGCTGAAAGATCCCCAGAATTTTAAATCCACGTAAAATGATCAAGTTGCTGTTAATGCCTCGAGGATAAAGTTCATGTGGTGGGCATGTTGATGGATGAGCTGTGGTGTGTGTTGGAGGGGAGTCCAAGTTGAAGGAGCATCTCGCAGGAAGACGGTCACTTGACTACCGCATCGACATAGTCCTGGCGAGGTCTAGGATGACCCCAGCCATGTCTCTTGAATGGGATTATACAACTTGGACATATATACAGTCAACATGGCCGCTTAAACACCATAGGCCTTTTGATTGATATCTCGTGAATATCTTCGAATACCCAAGTATTCTCAGCCATCTTCTGACACCCATCTATCTTCTTCCCCCTTGAGTTTGGACCCTTAAAAAGAAGATATTAGTTCTTCTCGAAGACTCGTAAATGAAGCAAATCAGCTCGGGCGGACGAACAAAACTGTTTCCGGGGAGTCACGTGGCAAAACAACACGCATCCCCTGTAGGGCTGGGCGACTCCTTTCCTGGCACTCTCTGAGCATCTTCAATTCGGTGTTCCCTGTCTCTTCCCTATTTCTTGATTCTGTTGCCCTTAATCTATTTCTATCTTCAAACTGCTGATTTTTTTTTGCCGATCTCTTCCAACTAATCCCATCCTTTGACCTCGACTGACCTCAATTTCCATCGGCATTATCCTCCACTCGTTTCGCGGGGTCCACCGCCATTCATCATGAAGATCTCCCAGTCCTCTCCATTTCTCCTCTTCCTCCTCCCTGCTATTGCATCTGCCTTTACAAACACTGCACCAACAGCCGGGTTAAGGTCACGCGAGTCGCGCGACTCTTCCGGTACCAACTCCAGACCGGTCGACTTCAATGCCGTATACAATAGAGGGACGCCGGACGTCCCGGTGGATGGGAAAGATGGCAGGCCACACGCTGGGCCATGGGTGGAAACAAGTGCGGAGCGAGATCGAAAAGGCAGGGACGACGACAAGCCAAACCTTGTATCGACCCAATACGATTCCAAGATTCCCTCATCCCAACGCCAGAGTACCGATGATGGCAAGGCGATTCCGCACTCGAACAGTGGTGTGATGGACGATCCCTACCGGGCGGGCCCGAAAGAAGGCACGCGGGGCACAGAAGGGGGCGTGTCGGAGAAAGAGAAGGTGAACCAGTTCAACTCGGAGAAGGTGCCCGGAGGGCCGAAAGAGGTGCCTCCGTTGCCGCCGAGTGAGAAGCAAAAGCTGTCAGACAATGACGGCACCTCGGGAGGCGGGGCTCGAGGCTCTGATGGCACCGGGAATCTCGGAGTGCTCGAGGTAGGTTGCTCAATCGTGCTTGTCGAATGGCTCTGTCGAAGCAATGCTCATGCAAAACTTAGAAACCGGCGGACCTGCCCGAATCACCCCACGACAATTCGCGCCCAAAAACGCCAGCCCAGATGAACGGGGATTCGCTGGGATCGGCGACTCTCGACTCATCGACCGTCCCCGTGAGCAGCTCGCTTCACTCTCTCGTCTTCTCATTTACAATGATTATTGTTTCTGAAATTGGAGATAAGACTTTTTTTGGTGGCTGCGCTGATGGCCATGCGTCATGCCCGCCTCGTCGTGTTCTCCGCCGCTTTCTGCGCGCTGGTTGCCATGACCGTTCTCTCGGCTGTGCTGGGCCATGCCGTTCCTACTTTGATCCCGAAATCGTTCACCAAGTTCATGGCCGCGGTACTTTTCTTGATCTTTGGCGTGAAGATGCTCAAAGAAGGACGCGAGATGTCCCCCGACGAGGGAGTGGGAGAAGAGATGGCAGAGGTGGAGCAGGAACTGGAAGAGAAAGAACACCACCAGAGGCGCATTGATCGTCGTCGCTCCTCGGTGACCCCCCAGTCCTTGGAAGCCGGCCGTGCCGGAGGTCGTCCCAAGTCGCGCGGGGCCACCAACCGCATGCCGTCGCCTCCCGAGAGCGTCTCCTCATCTTCATCCCGTGGCTCCTCTCCGCGGCCCAGCCGTTTCTGGGATGATTTTGTGGCAGGAATCAATAATCTCTTTTCGCTGCTTCTCAGCCCGGCCTGGGTGCAGACCTTCGCCATGACCTTCCTGGGGGAGTGGGGTGACCGCAGTCAGATCGCGACGATTGCCATGGCTGCCGGCCAGGACTACTGGTGGGTGACCATTGGCGCTATTACCGGCCATGGAATTTGCACCGCTGTTGCTGTGATCGGCGGTCGGGCCATTGCCGGCCGCGTCAGTATGCGCGTTGGTAAGTGGTGTCTCCTTCCTTTGCCGCATTTCTCTTTTTGTCTTGTTTCGTCTGCTAACCAACATCGCAGTGACATTGGGCGGCGCCGCGGCTTTCCTCGTGTTTGGTGTTATCTATCTACTAGAAGCCATCTATTAAAACGGAGCATGTGGGAGGTTGAATGTGTTTCTATGAGACCTTTACTTTTCAAGTTGATGCAGCCGGTCTTGCTGTTAAAAATCCAGAGCATACTGTGACATAGCCCTTGTTTAATGATATAATCTCGTGTCTGGCCCACGGATGGCCAGGATTTTAAACTGCCCTTTTTCAAAATAGAAAATCTTGTCTATACAGCCCCAGCACGCCAATGCCTGGGCATAAAAGAAAGATGTCGATACAAAGAAATACCCCATCAGCTCCCTTGGACTCGAAGCATGAAGTTTCCATACATAACGGCCAACTGACTGTTATACATCATCTACGTAACTACAAAGAAAAGCCACACAGAATTGCCTCGCTGCGCTTCATGTTAACGGTAACTAGGTCAATTTTCGGCCTCAGAAAACCGTAAATATGTTATGAGAAGGATTCTAATGAAGAACGTACAGACAGAAGATGGTCCACAACTCATTTAGTCAATTAGGGATTAAATGTTAGCACACAAAGGTTTTGAGGTTCGTGCATTTGAAACCAAGAGCCGGTATAAGAGCCAGCATAAGAACTGATGTACTGAATTCAAGGATTTGCATATGGTTTTTTTTTTTTTTTTTTTTTTTTTTTTCGTATTTTAAAAAAGCAAACCTTTGCAACCTTATTTCAGATTATAGGGTTTCGGGCTAGGGTTCGCTGGGGTTTGGGGTTTCAAACCCCTAGGGTTTCTAATTACTGTAAGTTTACGTTGTAATTTACTGGAATATCAATGATCCACCTCCGACAACCCTAGTTAGCCTAAAAACCCCTACCCTCCCATCTCCCCCCCAAAACATTCTCATCTCCCTCTGGCTGCGCGTCCATTTCATCACCCAGATAGCAGCAAGCTGATTCAGCTGTCAATTTTGCTCTATTTCTCAATCTCAGACCCACGGGGGCCACATACAAACTCGAAGATAAACAAACGCGTGACGTCGCAGCCCACCTGTCGCTCGCCGCCCGGTCCACCGCCCAGATGGCGCGTGTCGCAGCGGGGCCTACTGCCGTGCGCCGAGTCACTAGAAGTCAGAGCCGTGAGCTCGAGGACCCGAGTCATGGTGATGAACTGAGTTTGAAGACTCCCAGTAGAGATCTTGGGAAGGGAAAATCTAATGCCAACCGTAAGTCTTGCCTTAATCTGTCATTTTGTCCTCTCAACCAAACTGCCGGTCTATTTGTATGGCATCTATGAACGAGTCTACTGCAGCAGCAACGCATCGAGTTTTTTTTGCAGCTATTTTTTTTTTCACTGGCTTGTTTGATGGAGTCTTTCATTCCCTTCACATTCTCTTCTTCCCCTCTTCTTTTTTTCCCCTTCCCCACAATGCTGGACAATCAATGGCTCTGTCTGGAGGTGGCGCGCTCTGACATCTACCAGGTTTAAGCGTCGTTGCGGAAGAATCGCCGGCTACTTCCCGACAGACATCCGCCTCCAGACTGTGGTCCCCTATGGTCCCCGAGTCGCCTGGCTTTCATGAGGGACAGACCAACATTTCCGGCACCACATTCCTAGCTCATGGTTCTGACTCGGAAGATGGTGAACCCGATCCTGCACTCATGGGCGACGCCCTTCCAGATCTCCAGCGAGCTGCAACCACGCTGATGACGCTCCTTGTTCCTCAATCATCGAACCCGATCAACATTGTCAAGGCGGCTAAACAGCTGAACGACCCAAAGAACACTCAAAGCAAACGGCTGAAACGTGCTGGCACCAAGTTGCTGGAAGACGTGAAAGTCTACAGCCATCAAACTTACATCGATGTGGCCGAGGTCAGCCGCCTGGTTCCTACTGTCGCGCCTCGCGGCACCGCCCAGCCGTGGACCCCGTTGCCGATCCTGCACAAGGCCAACTGTGCTCGGCTGGCGCTGGATGTGCTTCTCACCAGTATTGGTACCCAGGCCCCGGCACAGACAATTCGAAACCTCGAGAACAAGTTTCCGGCACCCTTTGTAGGTAGCTTTGTCGCTGGCAGCAGCCCGCGGGCTGCGGGGACCAGCGCTACCAAGAAAGCCACTTTCGAGCTCGCACTCGAGATCCGGACACAGTTCTTGATTATGGAGCTGGAGAGACGCCAGGGTGAGAAGGACTTTGATCCAAGCTCGATTATGAAGGGTGTCTTCTATGACGAGCTTACGCTCGACGGCGAGAACTCTGAAATAGGTCCTGCCTCGCTCCGCGGATTTAAGCTCGCCGGCATCTTTGAAGACGCCAATGGGTGTCTCCCGGAAGAGTTCCAGGACGACGTCGGTGACCGGATCAGCGAGCTGGACTATGAGCTGCTCGACGACGATGGTGCCCCTAACATCAAGGGACTGAAGGGGTCCTACCCTTGGGGTAAATTCATGCTTCGCGCGACACGCTGGATCCAGAAACGGGACAGTGAAATCAACGAGGATTTGCAAAGACAACCGAGATTTGATCAGGTCCAGAGCTTGCTTGAGGGGGAAATCCAACGCCGCTCGACCTCGGAGTTGCCTGCTGCGCGCGAGTCGACAGCTCCTCGCATTGACAATCGGGGTACCCAAGAGTCTCCCTTGCAAGATAACCGAGATACCCATGTGGTCAATAGAACTCCACAATTACACCAAGACTTTGATGCTGCCGTTCCACGCCCGGAGGCGACACCCCAGGGACCTATCCCGCAGCTGAGTCAGGCCAGCCCAGTCAAGGAGCCGCCGAGAGATCCCAACCGGCGCAAATCAAGTAAAATGTATGTGGGACGCTTTTGCCACTCACTTGCCGCCGCTAACTTTTCGTTCAAGTCGTTTTCTCAATTCCAATTCTATGGATGTGCTTAAAAAGCGCGAAGAGACTCGTCGCCAGCAAGACCTCTCCAACCTGGAATCCCAGCCCACCGGACGGTCTTCCAATGCAGCGGGCGGAGATCAGCAAAGGTTCCTTTTCCCTTCCTGGGAGTCTATAATCGCAGGTTCCCGCCGTGAGAAGTCACCGTCCCGTGGTGAAACCTCAAGACCCCATAATGAGATCCCGCAGTCTCCTGAGCCGCGGTTCCCGGATTATGGTGATGATTCCATGTTCAACCACGATGAAGAACTGGATCTTGGCCGAAGCCAGCGGAACGAGGTGCTCGAATCCACGAGCCCACCGGGCTCGGCGAGAATCAACCAGGTCAGCCACAATGGGCGATTTTTCGATTCGCCCAGACGAACTCGGGGCCAAGGCCCGTCGACTCGTCCTGCCTTCATCGACCGGCAAATCAATGCCACAAGAGTCTCGCCGGTCAGCCAGGACACCGATCCCCAGAGCGCCGAGAGACGACAGGCACAGGTTAACGCGCTGCAGTCGCGCAAGCGAGCCCGAGAGGAATCACCCGACTTCGACTCCGACTCCGACTCCGACAGCGATGACTTTGACCAGGATGGTCGTGAAATCGATATCTCCGACCGCCGCGCCCAAAAACCACAGCAGACCCGGCCGGTGGACAAGCGCCCCCGCAATAACGACAGCCCAGCAAGCGGAGCAGGAGACCAGTTGCAGCAGAGCCTGGTTGTCTACAGCCAGCCGGCGCCGAATCAGTCTCCCAGGGCTGTAGAGGTTCACTCTCCGCCCGAGCCCGTTTCCTCGGGGGCCCCGCCGTCGTCGCAAAGTCGCTGGACGGTACGGAACGTGCCCGGGGCCGGCATTGGTCTCCCTGCGCGACCGATGACGAAGAAATACTCGCAGGAAGAAGATGACCGCCTCATTCGCCTCATCGAATCCCACGGTACCAAGTGGGCTCAGATCAAGCGCGAGGACGAGCTCTGTCCCCCGTCTGATGGTGGGCCCAAGCTGCATTACCGGACCCAGGTTAACCTCAAGGACCGGGCGCGGAACTTGAAGATCAAGTTTCTTAGGTGAGAGGGACTTTGTCGATAGTAATTCTCCTTATTAAACTACTTGCTAATATTGATTCCCAGAGAGGGACTTCCTCTTCCGGCCAACTTCGACCGCGTTCTCGGACCCAAGGCGTGAGCAAGCCTTTGTTTAATGGCTTCACTTGTTGCTTTTCATTGCTAATTTTTTTTTCTTTCTCTTTCTGTTTCTGCTCAATGCTTATGGATACCCCATGATTTGGATGATGCAATGGAACGGCAGGCGTTTTTTTTTCTTCCTTTCATGTGTGTATATGCAATTTTCTTCTGTCTACTGTACATAGTCTTGCTCAGCACGCACTACTTTCAATTAAAAATAATGTTTACCCACAGCAACCCGCAGATTGCCTGGCTGTAATGACAGAATTGAATTGTCCATTGCGAGCAGGATATCGAAGTCCTGTTCAGATTGGGGGCAGCATTTTGCAGTTCCCCGGGATATCAAAGAGTGTATAGGTACAGTCCAGCCTCAAGCCACCAAAAAATGGATGCATCAAAACTCGCCAGCGGAATTGATGCATCTGCTTAGCCTCAAGGGCTGCAAATGCAATAGAACAATAGAGTACACGGGACATAGTCCCAGACAAGGAGATAATAAACGGTAGAGAGAGAGAGAGAGAGAGAGAGAGAGAGAGAGAGATGACAAGGTCTTTCAAAGACCACAAGTCCCACCATGCAACCCAGTTACACAAAAAAGCGGCAGGTCCCTCACAGAAGCAGGGCCAGCCCCAAAACAAGAAACCCCACAACCGATGACCCGGCATGCAGCTGGTGCGCCGCATTAACCGACGGCGTCGGCGACGGCGACGAGCTCGCCTCGACGCCACCCGACCCAGCCGTCGGCACAGCCTGCGACGCCGCCGCGGCAGACTTGCCAGCGATGAGCGACGCGCTCGCCTTGGCGACCATGGACGCGGGCGCGGTCACGATGCCGGCGGGCATGGAGGCTTCATTGGGGTCAGTGGAGGCGACAAGGATGCCGCCGACAGCGGTGGAGGCGGAGGGGACGGCTGTTGGGGAGGGGTTGGAGGATGCGGATTCGGGGGTTTCTTCTTCGCCGGTGATGTTGTCGGGGGCGATGACGGTGAAGGCATTGTGGCCGCCGCCTGTGACGGTCAGTAATGATGTTTCTTTTCAAGGCATCATAACAATACGCAATATATGTATCCAAAAGAACCGAAAATTCTGAAAAACAAAAAAGAAAAGAAAAGAAAACTCACACATCACCCTCGGCCAGCCCACACACCTCATGTTGCACTGCTCGTCGTCCACCTTGGCGGACTGCGGCGGCTTCTCGTTACCGCAGTAGCAGTGCGAGCCGCGGGTCAGGGCGGCGACCATGGAGCCGTTCTTATGGCATTGGGCTAGACAGTAGCCTGGGGATTGGTACGAGTGGGAACCTTGGTCCTGGAGAGAGCCGGCGTCGTTGAAACAGCCTGCATTGCCAGCAATGCGGGAGGTGACGGGGAGGGCGAGAGCGAGGGCTGTGAGAAATTGCAGATGCATGATGGAGAGAAAACAGTATTGTAGAGAGTGTAGAGAGTGTAGAGAGTGTAGAGAGTGTAGGTGTAGAGTCAACAAAAATAAAATCAAAGACTAACGCAGCCAAGAAAAGGGTTCAACCGGGGAGCTTCCCCATTTTATAATTCTTATAAAGCCAGTCCTTATGGCCATAGGAGCTCCAAGTGAAACACCTCAGCTTCCATGACATCTTGTGGGCCATTTTTCTCGGGGATCATCAGTGGCCCAATTGGTGCTTGATGGGGCTGGCTTCATTTTTGGGAGCGATCAGCGAGGGGGTGAAACGCCCTTTTTCGCCACAAGTGTGGAGTATATTGGTATGTAGTAGTTGACTGGTCACATTTAAATAGGAGCTGGGATCGTTCGTATATCATTCTTCTGTTGGTGTACTCGGTGCGAGGTACAGCAGGCTGCTGTACTTATATAGCTAATAGTTCCTTTGTGGATTGTTTACTGGGTGTTCGTGTGTTTGGCTTGCGAGACCCACCGAACTTCGGTGGACCCGAGCGTATCTCCACATGGGAATGTGGTTTTGGAGAAGTTGCGTCAGGGGTAGAATGGTAGGGACAGAGTTTGGGATAAGCATAGACCATCATAATTGAGGCAAGAAGATAGTTGATAGCTCATATCAGTGTTTAACCAACCTAGTGCAATTACGGTTGCGTTGAAGGCAGTTGGCAGTATTAGATGAACACCTAAACTATCTCGACAGCATATGAACAGTTCAATCGAACATTGGAATAATCACGAATGAAGAATAAATAAAGAATAGCCGATATCGGCAACAATCCAAGGACAATTAGGGCCCGTCGGCAAGGCGTGAGGGGAAGATAAGATAGCGCGCCCATATAAAAGCAGCCCCTCATCAATCTACTCCGTACTCCAAGTGTTATTTCACCAACAATAACCTGCCAAACCCCCTTCGATTGACTGACTGTATCGACTGTCATGAAGATCGCATCTCTCCTGGGCCTGGCATCCCTGCCCTCAACGCTGGCCCTCGGCATCCCCAGTCATCAACAAGTCTTTTCTTCACCGGAATGGTTCCGTCCCATCTCCAACCCCCGAGAATCCTGCCCGCAAGCACCACCCGTCACCATCCCCAATGACGGGCTGCACTCATCGCTGCGTTTCTTGTCGGACGAGGCCTTTCGCGCCCGTCAGGCGGACCGGCTCTCGCGCGCCGTGCAGATCCCTACTACGGTCAGCGACTACATGAAGGATCCGTATGACGAGGCGTTTGAGCCGGTGGTTCGGTTCCAGGCTTTTCTGGAGAAGACCTTTCCTCTCGTGTAAGTAATCCCTTCTAAAGAAGCCAATGCTAGTTGAGAGGCCTCGGCAGCAAAGTACACCCTGGAATACATAATCAAGAAGAAAGGAAATACTAACCCATTGGCAGCCACACCCACGCCAAGGTCGAACACATCAACCGTCTCGGCCTGGTCTTCACACTGCCAGGAACCAACACCACACGCAAGCCAATCCTGTTCATGGCACACCAGGATGTAGTCCCCATCGACGACCCAGCCGACTGGACACACCCGCCGTTCGCGGGTGTCTTCGACGGAGACTGGATCTGGGGCCGCGGCGCCAGCGACTGCAAGAACGTGTTGATTGGGCTGCTGTCAGCGGTCGAAGGCCTACTGGCACAGGACTGGCGTGCACAGCGCACAGTGGTGCTGGCGTTTGGGTTCGACGAGGAGTCGCACGGGTTCCTGGGTGCGGGGACGATTGCGCCGGCTCTACTGGAGAGGTATGGCGAGGATGCGTTTGAGTTTATTCTCGACGAGGGGGGTTTGGGACTCCAGAGTCTGGGTGGCAGCAACAACAACGAGAACGACAACGACAACGACGATGAAAATGAAGTGCTATACGCCCTCCCCGCCGTCGGCGAAAAGGGCAGTCTAGATCTCGTCCTCGACCTAGCAGTCCCCGGCGGCCACAGCTCAATCCCGCCCGCCCACACAGGGATCGGGATAATGGCCGAGATCCTGTACGAGCTGGAACGACAGGAACTCTTCACCCCCTGGCTGGACACGTCCCACCCCGCGCACGGGATGTTCGAATGCCAGGCCCGGTATTCGCCCGCGCACGTCGAGCCCTGGCTAGCAGAGAAACTGGCGGCGAACGACCCAGCCGCACTGGCCGACGCCGTCGCCATCTCGCGCGGCCCCATCATCCGCCACACACTGCAGACGTCACAGGCGGCGGATCTGATCCGCGGCGGCGTCAAGACGAATGCATTGCCGGAGAAGATCTCAGCGGTGGTGAACTACCGCGTGGCGCTGCATCAGAGTCCCGACGAGGTGCGCGAGCGTGCGGAGCGGATTATTCGGCCGGTTGCTGAACGACATAATATCACGCTTCATGTTGCTTTTCCCGGGGTTTCTGGTGCAACGGATGATAAGAATGATCTTAAGAGTGAGGAGGGGGAGAGTCGCTCACTCACCCTCTCTCCTCTGAGTGCCCCTCTCGTCCCAGCGCCGATTTCACCCACAGACCCGTTATCTTCGAAGACATGGGCCCGATTTGCAGGGGTAGCGCGGAGTGTGTTTGAATCGCATCCGAATCCTCTTTCTGCAGATTCATCTATGTCTGGATCTGGGTCTGAGTCTGCGAAGAAACCCACAGTCGTTGTCACAGGCGACATCATGACCGGCAACACCGACACACGCTTCTACTGGCCGCTCTCGAAAAATATCTACCGGTGGAGCCCGGCGCGCGTCGGCGCATCGCTTAATATTCACACGGTAGACGAGCGGGTTCGATTGGATGTGCATTTGGAGGGGGTGATGGTTTATTATGGTTCGTATTCCCCTTTCCCTACATGTTTAGCACATGAACTATCAACTAACGCTTCCTTGTTTTAGATCTGATCCGCTCGTTTGATGGCTGGGATGAGAGTGTGGAGTAGACTATTAAATGGATAGCGATCTCGAAGCATACAATTGATAGATACATCGATATACACATTGAAAATGACGCATAACGACTCTCATATCAAATAGTCGATACTACTACCCAGAAAATCTATACCCCACTAGACACACTGAGTACGACTACAAGTCCATGTCAAATAAAGCTCAACTTATAATAAAGGTAATGGAATTTCCATACAGATGCAATATGCACAGAACCCTGGACCACAACCACCCAGCAGGACAGCGCCTGGCAAAAAACCAACTCACACAGACCAGCACAAGAGACGGTCCATGGATGGGTATAAAAATGGAAATGAAGCAAAGCAAAAAAAAAAAAAAAGACATTACAGATACTGGATGAACCCCACAGAGCGAACCAAGGGATCCAGTACATCCTCCTGCCTTTCTTAACAATCGAGGGCAACTTGCTCTGGGCGGTCCGATATTCCCAAACGAAGGTCCGGAGGGGAAGGGAGAATATGTCAAGTAGGAGCGAAAAAAAAAAAAAGATGAAAGGTAAAAATGCATCCACAAGAAGCGAAGGTTGTCGATTGTTTACTGCCGGACGAGCAGGGGTGCAAAGGCGCCGCCCATGACGGGTCGAGCGACGAACTGGTTTTGGGGGTAGCTGGAAGAGGTTAGCAATGAATTTGGAAGAGTTGAGGTGCTGGCACTCACTCTCCCGATTTTGTCTCATACAGATCCGTCAGGGCACGGTTGGTCGGTGTCTCGTCGACCCAGGTGGCCAGGTCCTTGACGAACATGTCGCGGGTGTCGCGGGACGAAATTGCAGCAGTGAAACACTCCCAGTCACCTAGGACCGTGGTTAGTTGATATCTTCGATTTTTTTTTTTGGTGGTACATACCCTTGGTGTAGGTGTGTCGCGTGTCAAGAGGCACGCCGTACTTGTTCGCCACCGTCGGGTAGAACTTGCTCTGCATATCATAGACCGATTGAGGAACCAGTCCCAGACCGAGCTGGGCATCAGCGAAGAGGTTGTACAAGAGACCTGTAAGGGGAAGATAAGCAAAAATGAAAGAAAGCAACCTGAGACAAACTTACCGTGGCTCTCAGAGTCGCCATAGGCCAGAGTCGTGTGCGGAGGGTTGGCATCGTGGTTGATGGCCAGGCGCTGCCACTTCTTGATGTAGTCGTGGGCGATGTTCGAGTATTTCTCGGCGTCATCGGCGTGGCCGGTCTCATTGGCAATGACAGACATGGCCTGGATACCGATCATGCCCTTCAGTGCCAAGTTGGTTTGGTTGCTAATTATTGGGTCAGTTAGTACACTCTGAAACAAGGCAATGGATGGAAAATCACTCACGCCAGGGACCCTGCAAAGTCGTCAGTGGAGATCTGGTTCGCCGGGTACAAGGCATCGTCGACCAGATAGCCAGTCCACTGCTTCAGCTTGTCGTAGTGTGCGCTCAGATATTTAGAGTTATGCGTCTTCATCGCATACGCCAGAGTCATGATGACCATGTTTCCGCACTCTTCCAAGGGCATCGCTTCGTCCTTACCATCGGAATGTCCAGTAGCGTTGGGGTAACTCGAGCCCAGGTCGTGCATGGCGTAGGCTTGAGGATACTTGCCAGCCTCTTGGTTCTCGTACAAGGGATCGAGGACCAGCTTGAGCAGCTCGGGGTTGGAGTACAAGAAAATGGGGTAAGCCGGGAATACAACGTCCACAGTGTTCATGTTGCCGTCAGAAGAGATCTCCTTAAGGAACAGGTACGTCTGGTCGGGCGTGCCGCACAGCTGCGTAGCACCAAAAGCTTGTCGGGCCGAGAGTGAAGTGAGAACGAGATAGTCCTGGCCAGCGGTGGCAACGGAGTCCTTGGCCACCTGACTATCAAATGAACTCGACAACGAGTTAGACTCGCTAAAGTCCTTGTGGAAGAAAGACAGCGCGCCCAGCTCGGTCTTGAAGTGACTCTTCCACAAAGACGGCACCGGGTCATACCCGTCGTTGCCGGCATATTGAATCGCCGCGTCCTGGGTGAGGCCCAGCGAGAAGAGCGTGTTCACAGGGGAAGAGCCTACTTTACCCAGGTTGGAGGCGAACCCAAAGACCGGCCAGTCGGAGTTGACGGCGCGGTATTTCTGGTCTTTGGCGTTGTTCAGTTGACCAGTCTTCGAGAACTGTCCGCGTACATCGTTGTCCGCGCCAGACTGGTAGGAGAGGCCCTTGTGCTGGTCGGTACCCCAGTACCAGTTACCCCATTCGGCTTGCTGGTTGATCTCGGAGAAGGCCAGGGGAGTCTGGCGATGCACCTTGTGGTAGGCAATGCCGTCAGTGGTACCATAGTCCCACTGGACGGTGGCATTGCGATCTCCCGACACCCATTCTGCCAGGGTTAGATGATCAACATACCATCTGGCATGTGGTCTCAAGTTACTTACCTGCAGAGATGTCCGAGTAGACTTGCACGTCATGTTCCTTGCCATCGAGTGAAGAGACCTCCACGTTCAGGTACGAGAAGACCAGCGATTGGCGTCGGAGGTCCTTAGGTGTAAGAGGCGACAGGAACGTGATGTTCATTTCCAGCGCACCGTCCACGTTCATAGTAAAGATGCTCTTGGTGGAAGTAAACTCATATGCAGTCTGGTCGACTGTCTTTGATCCAGGCAAACCCATCCATGTATAGACCTTGCCGTCCACACGAATCAAACCCGTCCACCCAGTGATTTGGTTACTGTTTGGGGCAACAAGGTCAGAAATATACTACTCAATGAGAGCAATTGGCACATACGCCCAAAACACAGGCCATTCCCCAGCCAGATACCCGCCATTACCCCCATCTTTCCCAGCGGGGAGCCAGGTGCTGAGGTACGGTGACTTGACAGCCAGCGGCAGGGCCGGCGGCCGAGCAGGAGTAAAAGTTGATTGCGCTGCCACCGAGGCAACGCACGAGGCGACCAGCAGACCGAGGCGATACAACTGCATTGTGTGCAGTAGCTGGGAGAGGGAGAGAGGATGGCGAGAGAAGCAAAAAAACCAAAGAGATTGGACGAATTCACAACGTGCAACCCGGGAGCATGTCCTTTTTGTGAATTTTTTTTTTTTTTCGTTTATTTACCAGCCAAAAAGGAAATGAGCTTTCAGGAGCTAAGCTGGATGGGCCGGACTATGACGGGAGAGAAAGACACAGGGAAGGATCGGCGTTGTGTTTACAGGAATGCCAGGGACATTTTTATACTCGAGCTCCCAGTCCAACAGGAGACGAAGACACAAAAGAGGGAGAGGGGGGTGAACAGGCCGAGACCCCCCTCCTCTGGGGGCCCGCATGCCAGAATGTACCCTCCACGACGACGAAGTGGTCTTGCGTGACGGAGATCGTGATCACAGAGCGCAGCAGACCTACATGTGTCGAGGGAAAGTTCCGAGCACGTCGCCTGACCGTGGTCAGTGTCCGGGGTGGAAATCAAAAAGAAAAAAGAAACAAAAAAAAAGCGCATGCATGCGGTTTGCTTCGGGCTTCGGCCATATGGCAAGGGAAGGGAAGGCCGGACGCGAGGGGGAGGAGAAGGGAATGGAGCCCGGGGCAGGGATATTCTCAAGACGACGGGGATTTTTACCTGGGCGAATTTAGTTCCGATGAAATCGCGGTCTGGGAGGAAACCAAAGGCAAGCGAAGCATCCACCGATGGAACAAGCAGCGGTCTATGCGGGATCGACGGGGACAATGGCGTCAGAGGACAGGGCCAGCAGGACCATTTAGCTCGTGTAGTTCGACACCCTTGCAGATGACGGCCACCGATACCACAAGGAGAGAGTGCGTGTGGAGGAACGAGCGACTGGATGAAAGGAGGGTGTGAAAAGTGTGCTCTTCGGGATATCTCGACCCATCCCATCAGGCCGAATGGGAAGGCGACACACCGCAAGGAAAGCGCCAAGGGGCGTGATGAGACCCCATCATGCGACATCGAGAGAACTCTCGGATGCATGGAAGGCCCTTTGGATCGGGCTGATGCTGAGTGCCCGATGAATTGCGGGGGAATGGCGATCAGCGGAGAAGTGTTGAGTAGAAGTGTAGTTGCATGCATCCTGTAGTGACTGTGGACAGCATATTCTCAAGTAGACATACTGTCTAGAAAATGGCAGTCCGGACAATCCATCCGGGGACCTGCAGAGTGTGTGTCTAGAGTGTTCAAATCACAGCCCCTGCCCTTGCAGTGATACCCGCTTCTGTACGCGTGCGTGAAACAGCCCGATGGGAGAACACACCCAGTAACTTGCGTACTGGGTACTGGGTACCTGGGCTGCGGTGCGAGGACGTCGCGTGCGCCGAGTACCGGGTACCCGCTGCGCAGATCTGCGTCTTATTGGCACCTCCTTGCGGGCGATCGGCTGAGATACGTCAGGTGTTGATGGATTAGAAAATGAATGAGAGAATTTATGGGAAATTCTAAGGTTTTGTCGGGTACTATTGAACTTAGGTGATTTGTTGTGTAACCCGGTACTCATCCATGGATGAAGGATATATCTGGTGGTTCTATAGACACAACTGAAGGATATATACCCCAAATCTTGAGTGATATGGAGACAAACGGCTCAAATATAACACATATCTCTTAATAAACTCAACGCAGACCACCCCTTTAGCGCATGTCGCACCCTGTCAAGCAGATGGCCTCCACCTAGATCCCTTGAACATGGGGTTGAACTCGAACATGAATGCAAAGCAGAAACCCATGCTTAAGATACAGATATGCAAGTCTCGTGTACAGATTAACTAGCGTGGCCAAGCACCTGCATGCTGATTTGCCGAGTGTGTCCCCGAAAAAGCCGGTGCACATGTTCCGGTGACTTGATAGTTCTCCGCTCGCAACTAGACTGCAGTGTGCTAATATACTAATCTACTGAATCCAACAAATCTCATGTTCAACGATCTCGCTCATGATGTCATACCCCACTGTGCACTGTTCTCTATGTACTCTATCTGCACGTGAAACCTTGGGCTCGGCATTCCCATCGGGGTGGGTGGTTGGACATGTACGACCATGGCCACCTGGCTGAAGACTACTAGACTAATAGAAAGTGAGTGAACTTGTGGTACAAGGACACCACTAGATCTTGGAAATCAAATACTTTAAATCAAATCTTAGTCGGGAATGCAAATACACTCGATAGCTTAGAATACCCTCAAGTATCTACTATACCTCGTCTAGTTCTAGACAGATACCTCACTAGACACTAAACACTAGCGAGCACTAGAACAATCCCGAAAGACGCCTATGACAGACTAGACATATTAACAGCTATGTATGATCCATGGATATACCCCTAGATACCCAAATCACCGCCCCATATCCCTCGAGCTCCGCGCCAGCTCAATACAAAACTCGCCCCACTCGCTGCCCCCACTCGACGACATAACTTCCTCGGCAATCGCCTCTTCCAGAAGCTCATCATACCGCCGCCGGTATTCGAGCTTGACCTGCTCCAGATGACGGGGCTCCCAATGGAGCCGCACCAGACGCGAAATAAGCAGTTCCGACCGTTCGCGGCCGGTCCGGGATTCGCGCAGAGCTTGGTGGAGCAGGAGGGCGTCGCGCATGGGGCGATTGATGGCGCCGTTGAGGATGTGGGCGAGGGTTTCACCCTGGGAATTGAGTTAGCATGGGAAAAAAAGGAAAAAGAAAATCAAAAGGAGGAAGAAAATATTGATAGTAACAAGAATGACAACATGATTGTCAATGTTTCAAATTCAAACAAGCAGGGGTGAGTAGAAGTGAGAAAAAGAAAGGGATAGAACGAGCGAAGGTGGATGAAGGCAAGTGGATAACGGAATGAAGGGTAACCTACCACCAAGTTTCGCGACTTGGCAATCATGGCCCGCGCGAAATTATGCCCATAGCTTGCCTCGTAGGCGCGCAGCACCTCGCGCAGATGCTCGTCACTGCGCAGCACGATGATATGAATCATGGCAGTCTCACCCCCATCGCGCGAGACCAAAGCGCGGTGCAGGTCTCGGACGTCCTGGCGGATGAGACGCGAGTCTAGCGGCTCGCGCTCGTCCTGGCGGCCGGCCTCGAGGGCAAGGAGGATGGCCGTGCGGAACTTGTCGGCGCGCAGCTCCGAGCGCATGCACCGCTCGAGACTGTCGCCATAGCGCGGGTCTCGGAAACAAGCCTTGATCTCGCGGATGGCGGTGTTGGATCGGCCGATCAGCGACTCGATCAGTAGCTCGCGCCGCGATGTGCCGGCCTGGTAGTAGCAGTTGGCCCAGTAAGCTTCGGATTCCCAGCGGCCGAGCGCCGTGGCGTAGCAGACCTTTCCGAAGGACGAGGTGCCCAGTTTCAGACGCAAGTGCTTAGCGAGATTGATCCCCTTGCCGTGCGTGCGGACCCGTTTCTTATACTCTTGTCGCAGGAGCGGGATCTCGTCGCTACTCAGCCGTGGCAGGATGTGGATGATGGGTTTAGTATCGATGTTGCGCGTGTGGTTGAGGGCCGACTGCATCGCAGCGGCATCGGCGCCGGCGTCGTAAAACGACACACGCTTGCGACCGCTAGTCGGGGAGATGAGGACCAAGGCGTCGCTTCCGGGAACCGAAGAATTAGAGTCCTGCCGAACATGGCTGGTGCTCAGTCGGCTGCGACGCTTATCCTCCTTGCGCTCGTCACGGCCCCTGTCCTTCTCTTTGCTCTTGTCTTTGCTGCTGCGGTAGCGGCTTTCATCGGTGCCGGACTTGGACCGGTGCTTGTTGCGCCGTCCCGACTCAGAGTTAGAGGTGCCCCCGTCGAGCGGCTCCAGATCGGAAATGTCTTCATCACGCGAAGAGGACATAGCAATCGGAGACGGCATGGGCGAGATGGATTGATAGGTGCCGTGGTACGGCTCCAGCAGTGGACTGGCTGGCGCGGGTCCTGTCGGGGTCCCGGTGACCGCAAGGTTATTCGTTGACACAGACAAACTGTGAGGACGGCCGCGGCCTCCGCCGGGCGTGATTTCCACAAACTGTGGCTCGCTGCTATACCGGTAGGACTGCATCGGTTGGACCGGCTGAACCGACTGATCTGCAGGTTTGCCAAACTGCTCCTGTGGCGACGCTGTGTAGGACTGTTTGGGCGGCGCCTTGGAGCTATATCGGACTTTGGGGTCGACCTGCGCATACTGGTACTGGGGCACGCTCGCATACTGCGACGTTGGCGGGTAAGCAGCATCGCTGGCTGACGCGTTGCGAGAATGCGACGGCACATAAGCGCCAGCACTGGAGCTCGCATACGGAAACTGCTGAGAAGACAAGTTTGCATATTGCGGCGCAGGGAACGAGGGCGCAGCCGTCCCAGATGCATTGGCGTACGTCGACGCCGGAGGGAACGCTCCGGGCATGGCCGACGTCTCTCCAGCTTGAGAGGACGGCGGCACAAAGCCCGGTCGCTCGCACTCGGGGATGGGTGCCCAGTCCGACTGCGGATCAGCATAGCCGGACTGGCGCGGAGCACCCGGCTGAGCATGCAAGAAGTTCGCCGGCTGGGCGTAGCGGAATCTGTCCGGGCGCGCATAGCTGGGATGGCTGCCCAGGGCATCGCCATAGGCTAGGGCATCGTCCAACGAGTCCGAGTCCGAGTCGTCGAGGCGACTGCTGTGACCAGGCGGAGAGGAGGGGCGGCGGCGGCGCGGTTGGGACGAATACTCGCGCGCACGGGCAGCGATGCGCTCGTCCTCGGAGCCCGAATGTTCATACCGGTCATCGCGACGGTCGCGACGACGGCGCGACTTGTCGGCGTCGGAATCAGAGCGGTTGAGATCGTAGCGAGCGGGGCTGCGAGGCGCGCGAGAGATCACGTTGCGCGGTTCCTCCAAGTCCCGCAGCTTGCGCTCACTCAGCAGCTTGTACTGTCTCTCGATCTCGGCCTCCTCGTCCGTCCCGTAGTCTCGGCTGGACGTTTTGGGGAGCTCGACGGCGGGTGAGCGCGAGCGGGGGCGGGATCGCGATGGCGAGGGAGACGGCACCCGGCTGTCGCGCGATCGCGAACGCTCGCGACTGCGGGAACGGGTGCGCGACCGTGGGTCGTGCACTTGGAGCGACATGACGTTCCAGGGTCCGACGGTGGGGGCGAGGGTGCCGGATCTGGAGATGTGTTTATGGATAGTCGAAGTATGAACGAGCTGGGAATTTCAGGTCGAATGTAGCTGGGTTTGTTCACACAAAGAAGTGGCGGGTCAAATGGCGACCGGAGCAAAAAATTGTGAGTATGAGCGAGGACGAGGCGTCGAGTCCACTGGTCAGGGCATTCTTGCACAGTCACACAAGTCCCCGAGGGAAGATAAAGAGAGAAGAAAGAAGAAAGAGAGAAAAGCAGGGCGGCTTGTATTTGCACCTCGTATTCCCCTCCAACGCCGCCAACCGCGCGAGCTGCAGTTCTGCAACAGAACGGCCCCATGGAGCTACCATCCAGCCACTCTTATTGGCTCGAGTCAGGCGCTCGACTCATGATCGCCTCGACGGCGCTTCAGCTCAAAAGTGATGTTGGACCCCCAATGGGCAGGGGACTAAATTGCCAATCGAGCTGGGGATATCCATGACGTGGGCAAAACGTGGGAGAAGTCAATGGGCGCGTCTACACTACGAGGGAAAAGAAAAAGCCAGGCCAAAGACACAAGTGGTATTACTACCGGGGAAACAATAGGTAAGCACATAGGAACACAAGTACAGGATTTGACACACAGCCGACATTTTGTCAGAAGGGAAATACAGGAGAAAGAAAGACAAAAGACAAAGAAAAAGTCCTAGGCCGCCAGATGTGGCCGAGGCGAGAATCGGGGTATGTGCGAAAGAAAAACAAGCTATGCGAACAAGACAAGAGAAGACGCGCCACGGGGAATTTATCGCGTGCGACGGCCATCGTGAACGGGACGCAAACGACCTCCGTACATGGCCTTCTTGGACACCGGCGCGGGCTGCTCATGGCGGTGCAGGCGGCTGGTTCTCCAGCGTTCGTACCAGATCACGCGGCTGGCCTCGCGCAGCTCAGAGCGCCATTCGCTAAACACCGAATCCTTGAGCCGCACAAAGTCGCAGTGCTCCGGGTTGTAGGGGTCCGCAAATCCCCAGGGGAATCGACGACCGACCGGCTGATCCCCGGCTGCCAGCGAGTGAGGGTCGGGGGACAGGATCGAGAACGGGACGTGCTGGCTGGCGGCATGCGAGGCGTTGGACTTGCGCGTGCTCTGGGTGCGTTGCGACGGCGAGGTGGGAGCCGCCTTCTCAGGCACAGGCTCCGACTCCTTGACATCATCGGCCACTTGGGCAGATTCGGTGGGTTCGGGGGGCTCAGAAGTCTCAGCGGTTTCAGCAGACTCAGCCACCTCGGCAGGCTGAGCAGGCACAGTAGATCCAGGGAGCTCAGCGGGCTCAGTGGATTCGTCGGCCTCAAACTCGCCGTCTGCGGTCTCCTCATCCGCGCTTTCTGACGAGGTATATTCCTCCTGGTCTTCCAGGGTCAGAATCTCAAGCGGGTCGATGTTGGCCTGCTTCAGGCTGTTCCAAACCGCCTTGCGGAGGTAATGCATGTGGGCAGAGGTGATGGTGTCCGCCTTGCTAATTACCGGCACAACCGTAGTCTTGCCCAGCACGGTGCGCAGCACCTGCAGATCCAGGTTCTGGTCCAGAACCCCGATCACGGGCGAATCAGACGGCTTAGAGGTGCCATTGGCGGCGCGCTCGGCGGCGGCGATATTTTCATCCAGACGCACGGGGTCCAGGATCAAAAAGGTGCAGTGGATGTGGGTGTCCCGGGCACCTGGGGAGCGCACGACCTTCATCTCCTCGGCCAGAGTCTCCTCGAACTTGCTCTCGAGGAAGCCGGTGACGGCGCGCATCTGGAGATCGGCGATGTTGCGATCCAGGCCCTCCGAGTCCCACAGGGTCAACCCGACACGCTCCGTGTCGATCTCCGTCTCCAGGTACTGCGAGGTGAATCCTTCGTAGGGCGAGGTTTGGCGGTCGAGTTCAACCAGCTCCTCTGGAGTGCGCGACGGGTGCTTGTGCGGGGGCATCGTCAGGGCCTGGCGCAGGAAGTTGATGAACGAGGTCTTGCCCGAGTTGCGAGCGCCGACCACCAGGACACTAGAAAGTAGAAAAAAAATTATCTGTTAGTCGGATGTCATGACAGCAGGCACGGTCTCTTCTCTACTTACTTGTAGGACGTGGGGTCCTTGCGACGCCGCAGACGACGCGGGCTGTTGACGGTGCTCACAGCACTGCTGGCGTAGCTGTAGCGACCACGATGGGTCATGCTCTCAGTGCGGGCATAGGGGTCAATGGGCTCGGGGATCGAGGTGGATGCGGCAAAACCCGACTGGGGGCGTGGCGGGGTCGGGTCCACGGCGAGGGCATCACGCTCTTCGCCTCCAAAGGTCTCCAGTTGTGGGGTGGGGGAGAGGTCAGGCAAGCGCGGGGCATGCTTGGGCGCGTAGGATTCACGCTGACGGCGCAGCTCTTCTTCCATGGCTTGAGCCTTGGACATCTTCTTGCGATTGCCCGAGGATTTGCGCTCGCCGAGGGGTTCGGTGGATTTGGAACGACGGAGGAAACCGAGCGAGGTGCGGCGTTGGTTGAGGGAGCCTTGACCATTCTCCGTGATGGCAGGTAGGCCGTCAGAGGGAGGCGCCAGGCGGGTACCAGAGGGAGTTGCCATGTTGTGCGCTTTCCTGATTTGGCGTTGTACAATCGCACCTGCCCAAGCAGGAACCGGGTCTTTAGGGTCTTTTTGGGGTTCTTCTTTTCTTTTCTTGTGAGGTCTACTACCTCAGCATTCAACCCTCGATCAGCACCAGAACCACTACCCACGAACAGGTTACTTGTGGAATATGGAAATACTCACACCAGATCCAAGATCTACCTTCAATTATTTCGATGACTCCAGGGACGCGAATGGGAGACTGGAAGTTCAACACTGCAGAACACGGTCCGGTGGGGATGTGGAGCGATTCGAAACTGCCAATGGCTTTCCTAATAGTCCCAGACTGAATACAGAATCTCACGTCGAGATTCAATATTCGGAAGAATGCGATTTCAGAAAGAAAAAGGGAATGGGTCTGCGACAGCAGAGAAATGAGAGAGAAGGGCAAGCGAGAAACAACAAGCTCCCAGCCAGTGGGTTCTGTCCCGTCACTACTGGAGTGACGAGAATTGAGCGAGAGAATAGAAATTGAGACTTGGAAAAGAAAAAAAAAAAAGAGAAAAGGTTCCAAGGCCTTCTTTTGTTTTGTTTTTTCGGGGTTTGGGGGAAATTGAGAAACAGCCTGCTCACAGCGTCCGACTACAGCGGCGCATAGAGAGAAGAGGGGAAAAACACAAAAGGAGAGAAAAGGTGGGAAGAAGAAGAGAGAGAGAGCCGAGACGATGCCGATGGGCACTTATTTTACGGAGCTAAGGGGAACGGGGATCCATCGGCCATCACATTATGAGAATATGAGGATATGAGTATAATTAGTATCAATCCGTATCATTACCAGGAACCTCGAATCCCGGCAATCCAGGCAATCCAGGCAATCCAGAGACTGTGATGGCTCTCAAACTCAGCTCTTTACCATTCGTGAAGGTGACCGGAGATTCAGGGGTAAAAACGAACCCAGCGCCCCCACTTGAAGCTGTGATGGGTCCAAGGCGCTTGGAACTAAAGCCAGACGGGAAGTATGCTTGTCGATGATTTGTCCAGGGGATGTATCATTCGCGAGAGTATTATGTTCAATATTAATGGATTTAAATATATCGAAAATATAACATCAGACATCAAATATACATGTAGTATACATCCAGTATACAGTGTATATTCTCTTGCATAGATGAAGAATGCTCGCGAGTCCCCTGAGATCTGGCTCGTGCCCAACGGACGCCAGGGGCCGTTGAACTCCACTGGCAAAAGGATCGAACATTAATTTTGCATGAGAGAAAGCAGCTTAGTGACTCGCAGACTTGAAACATGCTAAATTGTGGGTTCGTCGGTTGGGCCGTTTCCTTTGTATCTCCCCTGGAGTGCATGGGAGATGCACTAGCACACGTTCATGCACGAGCCAAGTGTCGAGCCTCAACCTGTTTTTGATTTTATAATATTATATTTTATTATGTTATGATTATTATCCATTGGCTCCCTCCGCCCAGAGTCGCGATTACCAGGTATACCAAGTAGGGCTATAGATCGCTGAGCTAGGGCTATACAACATTGCCGTTAACAATATAATTCGACCTCAGTTGCCCTGAATCAATTCTTTCTCTCTTTCCTTCGGTTTCTTCACTAAAGCTGCCCCTTTTACAACATTTTGGGTCGCGACGTGGGGCGCATCCAGCCCGTGTCTGGGACGCGTTCGGGGAACCGAACTATTGAACTACAGCCATGGTTGGCCGAAGCAATCCATGGATAACTAGAATGCAAGCTTAGTCTTCAGGTTGCACAAGCCATCATATGCTGTTTCATCGATGCCAATGTCTAGCCCTATATTTATTTACATTACGATCCAAAAGACCCTGAGTCACACTATACCCAGACGGGCCGAGTGAGGCACGGGCCCTAACATCCCTGCGAAGTAGACTTACGTCTTGACTCATACCTCACCTTGCCAAATGGATTTGAGCTACTTGTTCTCAGTTGATATATCGCTTGGAGATGCATCGAATACCACGGCAGCATATCGCGTCTCCCATTACACGGGCGACACCGTCACCGGCGTGGTCTCCCTCCGATCTACTTGTGATGTCCGATTCGATGTGGTTGAGTTACTGCTGATAGGTAGGTCACCAACAAAACAAAAGAATAACCCTCGAATTATCATGGCCATAGCACAAGAGTAACTGTAAGAACAGGCGAGGAACGCACAACACTGCTCAATGAAACCGCGCACCGTCGATTCTACCAGAGCCACTTCCCGCTCCACGAAACAACCCTACCATCTCCAAGGACCATCATCAAAAACCGCACATATCGCTTCCCATTTTCATTTCAAGTGCCCGACCATCTCCCACCAAACTCTTGCAGCCACAACATCGCCAGTAATCCTCTCATCCACCAGGCCCATCTCCAGCCGCCTCCAAGCTTCGGCGATGCCACCATCTCCGGGTTCGGCGGCCAGCTGCGCGATGACTTTGCACCTCCCAGCTGCCGAATCCTGTGGCTCGTGCAGTTTCGGCTCCTGCGCAAGAACATCGTCTCGGCAGAGCCCGAGCCAATCCTAGTCAAGAGTCTCAAATTGCGAGTCAAGCCCGCAACCGACGAAACTCTGCACCTCAACCTCAACCGCGGCAGCAGCGAGTACTGTCTGCAGCAGACCAGCATGGTAGCTGGCAAGGGCTCAAGGGAACTGGGCACGCTCACCGTGACCCTGGAACCACCAAAAAGCTTTTACCTCCCACTTCGGGACCCGCACAGCTTTATCGGCAACGCAGTGCGATTATTTCTACGATACACGCCCACAGAACCGACAGAAGAGTTGTTGCAATTGCCTCGCATGCGATCTCTCAAGGGGAATATCACCGCAACGACCTTCTACACCACCTCCTCGCACCACGACATCCCCGCGAAGAAAAAGGATATCTTCGGGAAAGCCAAGAACTATGCCGAGATGAAGTTCCCCCCCGTTCTGTCACTCGATGGATGCGCTCGAGTGGGCGGCGGATCCTGTCGCTGGTGACTATGCGGCGACGCTATTGGTGCCGGTGAATCTCCCGCGCCAGAACTTCGTGCCGACGTTTCATTCTTGTTTGATTTCGCGTGTGTATGCGCTGAGTCTGCAGCTCGGGGTGCATGGGGCTTCGGGGATTAGTCTGCGTGTACCTGTGCAGGTTTCTACGCATCGGGATTCTTTGGTTTTGCCGTCGTATCATGCGTCGGTGGGGATCGGGGCGTGAGCTGTGGATGCTTGTGCGACGTTACGCGGAGGTAAAATTCGGTTATTCCATACTTTCATGGATGCTTCGAAGGGTTGTGGGTGGTTTTATAGGTAAAACATTGTCGTCAGCAATTACACAACTCCAAAGCTAACCTTGCTGGATAGACTCGGCTTGGCTTATAGATTATGGATAGTCGATCAAAATCCATCCATGTACCAGTTCTCGACAAGCCGAGTAGAACCACCATATCGCTATATCACTTCCTTCTCTGTTTCAATCGCCACTGCACAGCTCCACATAATCCATACAGCGTAGACAGAATGGGAGCATCCACGCCCAACCGTCTAGCTTCCCGAACAGCCTCCCCGAGAATATTCTCATACTCGATTAAATTCCCCTGCAATAGTCAAGAAGGAATCAGCTAAAACTCCACAAGAGACTCTTCATATCTTCAAGAACCAACCTTTTGAACGTCCACCTGCATACTCGGGGTAATCATCTGCTCAACAGGATTACTGCGAATAGCATCATCCACAATATCCTCGGGGAGTATATGCCCCGCAGCCCGCGCAATCTCCACCACTTCCTTCATGGCCGGGATAACAAGTCCAGCCAGAGTATGAGTATTAGTATTCTCGTTCAATTGGAGCTCGCCCGTGTTCAGTCCAGTGAGCGCACAGACCGGGTTAAAGCTTGCATTGTAAACAAGCTTCGTCCAGCGCTCATACTCAACCTCGGGCTTGTAGAGACACGTTGTTTTCCCGCTGGCGCTGTAAATAGCAATAAACTGTTTTGCTTTCTTCTCCAGCGTATCTCTGCTGAGAGACGGGTGCTGAAAGGCTCCGATGTGTAGCAGATCGCGCTGTTTCTGCTCTATCACGCCTTTGCTGACTTCGTGTGCGTCGACGCGGCTGACGCCTGATAGGATAATATTCTCTGGGAATCTTTCGATGAATGGCCGTTCTATATGCAGCCCGTTCTGCATGAGCACGATTGTCGTGTGCCCTGCAGACACTGCTGGCGAGATGATCTCTGGCAGTGTTGGGCTGGTATCTGGGATGTTCTTTGTGCAGCACACGATATAGTCGAAGGGGCGGTCTGATGATTCTTTGGATATGGTGGGTACAGCTTGTAAGACTGTTGTGTTTTCCTTGCTTCGTTAGTTATCTCTCGCATTGATACATGGAATGTGTGCGACTGACCCTCGGTTGGTCGCCACCCTTTCAATTCGCCGTGGTCACAAGAGTGAATCGTGTACCCGGTCTCTTTTACCAGGTTATAGTTCGATCTCAACACTCCCGACACCTCGGCTCGACCTCCGCGTTCGAGGTTGAGGGCTGCGACGGTTCCGACACCGCCGCATCCAACCAAAAGGACCCTGGATTTGCCGGACATCAGAATCTATTGCAGTTTGTTTCTTGCCGTACGAAGTCTGGTCATTCAATCTGATGGTGAGAGGTGTCATCTCTGTGGACAATCTCTATGCGGGGCAAATGGAGAGGTTGCGGGCCGGTTCATTCTCCTGACCGGCCCGAGCTGCCATTCCCTTGAGTATCATCAAAACCGAATACACAATAACATCCAATATCAGAGCCTAAATAACAAAACTAGGGGTATCCTAACTACAGCCAAGCACAGTATTTATATAGCAACCAAAATGATAGTTCACGCCGTCGAGTTCTTCTCCGCCCAGATCCTAAACGGCAACACAACACACGGCGACGACGGACACACCTCCTTGCGATCCAGATGTTTGAATTTCGGCCCATTGGGCCCCGCCACATACTTGGCCTGCCCGAAGATCGATGGCTCGTTAGGCGGCTGGTCGTCGCCCCACTGCCCATTGAAATTGAGCCAACCAACCGGGGTATCGGGTTTGCCCGCCGCGAACTTGGCGGTTGCTGGATCGTACGTGTAGGTGTAGGCATTGGCGGTGGGGTCCCACAGGAGGCCGCGATCTGAGTAGTCGACCAGGGGTCCGTCGGGGAGGTTGACGCCTGGAATGGTGTGGTCGTGTTTTCTAGTTAGGTTGGTTAGTTGGTTTTCAACATAATGAGATATTCAACGAGTATCTGATCAGGTGGAAGGTGATTACCCTGCTATCGCGTAGTTGGCGTGCGTGCCGTTTCCCGAGTAGGCGTACGGCCGCTTGCCCTTCTTTTCTGCTGCATCGTACGTGAATGCCTGTCCGCTGGCGTGCTGGCTGTACCAGATGGCTTGGGGCGAGCCGCTGGAGAAGCGGATCATATTGTGTTCCCTTTGCTAGTGAGCTAGAATACTTGGATGTAGGCACACTACCACAGACATGTCACTTACCAGTCTCCCATGTGGTCGCCAAACTCCATGCCCAAAACCGTGTTGCCCTTGTTATATCTACATAAGTCAGTAGCCACTTCAAGTTATTGAGCATACAACCCGTAGACTATATGGGCCATGACTCACGCATAGAAGTAGAAATAAAAAGCATCGACATCCCCCTTGCCATGATCCACCACAATAATCGCAGACCCCGTCCCCTTCTCGGTGACGCCCTGCGCTGTCGGCGTGATCCCGTGGAACCAGTCCGGCTCAGGGCTGATATCGATGCCTTCGTGCGAAGTCAAATAAACACTAGTGTTGCCTATATCATTGAGTTTGTCGAGATTGTCTAGTGTCAGAGGAGAAGGTGCTCCGTCGACTTCTTTCCATTTGACCTGTGCTGTGGTATGGTCGAGTTGTTGCTGGAGGTCGCTGGGTCGGTAGGGGTCCTGGCTGTGCAGCCATACCAGGGGTGCTGTAAAGCGTTCAGAAATGAGATGGTTGCAGATATGAAATATCAGACAGTCTTACCGTAGTCGATCACATATTGTGGAATTGTGGGTGCGTCGCGGGCTTTAGGCAATGCGCCAGCAGGCTGGATTAACGATAGAGCAACTGGAGCAAGCAGCGCCAGGCGCGAAATGAGGCAACTCATTTTTTTTTTCAATGGTTTCTCAATGTATTTAGTAGTTGAAATTGCAGTGGTTGTGTTTTCGGCCCGTGGAAAGTCTCTCGGGTGGCCGTCGGCTCTTTATCTATATAGCGATCAGCATGACCTCGTCACAAGATGGCACCGAGTCTGCTCACGACCCCAACGGAACATACAGTAGGTCACCTTGAGATAGGAGGAGTGGTTATTTGAATAGTGTAGAATGTAACCCAGAGAAAAAAAAAAGAAAATGTCCTCGGCAAACCCCTTGTTAGCGACTCATTTCCCCGTCGGCTCCGTCTTTATATACCCTGGGATATTGCAACGGGGGTAATGACAGGGTTCCGACGGTCCACGGCAGCTCCGATCCAAATTCAAGGCCGGACGGAACGGCGACGCCGATAGTGCAGAAGCGGGGGAAAACATTCCCTACCCTAGAAGGGGGGTGGCAGAGATGGGGGGCTGTTCATCTTGGAAATCAGCCAGGCATGTTGATTTCCTGCCGAGGAATGTGGAGGTGTTGATCAAGACTGTAAAGACCAGGCGGTTGCAAGAGTAATTCTGATTCGATGCACATCACCATGATCGCATCTGCGATTTCAAGTTCCGGTCGATCCCCGGTGGGAGGCCGGCTGGTGATCCTGAAGAGGGCGGTCACCTGGTGGCGGGGGGTTGTGTTCAAGGTTACCCACTGACCCTGTTATTCTCATCAGCCGATGATTTCTTGAAGATTGAAGAATGATTTCAATGGTTCATCGCGGGCTTGTGAAGGATCAAAGGTGCATCCAAGCTCTCCCACGCTGAACATGCTCCACTCCTATGCTCCCTCGTCCGCCAATCGAAAAACCGCCTGGTATCAGCTTCGGCCGTCTGCCACTCCCACACGCGGACCTGCAGTCTCTGTGAGAGAGAGCGATGATCAATCTACTAGTATACTACTGTATCATTTTGCATGGGTCATGGGTCATGGCGCAAGATCATAAAATACAGGGGAAAAGTTATTGTTTCTCCTTCCATCTACAATGCCTCAAGAAAACCCAACTCCCCTTTTTTAAGAATGCTGCTGACGCTCTTCCCCCTCTTTCTTCTTCTGTGCCTCCTTCATCAGCTTAAACAGCCTCAAATCCAACGGAATCCGATCCCCCAACCACGTCGCCCGCTGCGTATGATTGCGCTCCTCCTCCGTCTCCACCGTATTGGGATGCACCAGCGCACTCAGTGGGCCGCGGTTGATAATGAGCCATGGGATGAAGGCGCCGAACTGTGCTGGCGTAAATATATTCACTTCGAACATGGCGACCGGGTGAGGGCCGATGGGGCGGTCGAAGAAGGTGTAGATGCGTAGTTCGGGGACTGGACAATCATTAATAAATAATCATCAGAGCCAGAAGTAAACCAAATTCTTCTATATAGAAGAGATAAGATGGATCTGTCACACAGAAATGTAGAACTGATATTTGATAGCTGGGTGCAATACGTACATTCGCGTCGGATTCGTTCCCATAGTGCTTTGGCGTAGGTGACTTGGTCGGGGTTATTCTAATTCCATTCACGCTGAGTTAGCTGGAACGACTGTATTTCAGAAAAGTAGTCACTGTAAACTATGGATCCCACCTGGAAGTGATAGATGTGGACGTCGAATCCCCCCTGCCGGTCTTTGCTCAGCGGATCCGGGAACTCGTCGTAGGCTTTGCTCCGCACGCCATGCTGCGGGTTCTTGAACGATTTGCCATCGTCGTTTCTCTCGCTGGACTCGATGGTCAGTATACCAATTTCAAGAGTGGATTCTGTCCTATCGCCAGCCAAAGGTACAGGGGGGGGTTGTGTGGCACTCACTCTGACAACGGCTCGAGATTCTCATACCCGTCCAGTGGTGATGGATATGAAAAGGCGAACTGGTCCGTCATTTTGGATATGATGATAGGATGAACAGGTATTTTCAATGATCACTCGAAGATCAAGGGTGGTAGTTCGTAGCGGGGGGTGTTGTATATTCCTCGAAGAAACTGGACAGACTGTGTCTTATCAATCAACAGCACGCGAGAATTAATCCGATAGATTCAAAAGATCAGATCTGTCAGCCTTGATCATTCAAGTGGATGATATTCATGACTCGATGGATGGCGTCAACAGAGCCCGCTCGCTCGTGGGAGATTTCCGCACTCTGACAAAGCCGCGGAACTGGCGGGTCCCTGGCAGATTGATCTACTTCTCTACTAAAAACATAACACTGAATCGTAACTCGTGTGGATTGATCATCCATAGTACATGTACATGTTCATGGACACCCCTGCCCGATCTGAAAATAACACCCATGAAAAACAACACAGTAAACTAGTAAATCCGAACAGTACATGATGGTATCGCTAGACAGCCCGTGAACGCCAACCTCAAACACCAGACCAACACCAGATCTCAAAGACTACCAAGCAGGTCGGACACAAGTATGGCCGTCGTCATCAACGACCTTGCCTCGGTCCCATTCCCGTTTTTCGCCCTTCTTCGACCACTGGACGTCCTCCGGCCGGCCTTCGTCCATGCTGGCGAAGGCCGCATTGTTCTTCCACCGATCGATGGCAGTATCGTTAAACCCCGCCGCACGCATTCTCTCCTCGCCTTTCTGTCGCCACTGTGTACGGTCTCGCAATGCCTCGAGGGCCATGTCCCAGTCGTCTTCTTGAGTCATGAGCCCTTCAACGGGGCGGCGAGAGGAGCTCTTGCTTGCGGACTGCAGACCATCTTCTTCGGGGCGCACATCGAGCGTAGGGTCGTAGTCTGCCGCAAAGTGAGCGTCAATGGTACTCGAGTTAGGTTTGTAGGCGCCTCGGCCTCGCGAACGAAGAGCATTGCCGTTCTCCGAGGGAGGGAGCGGTCCGATGAAGTCTTCAAGGGGATCTGATTCATCGGCCGACTCGTGGTGCAGGGCCTTGACAGGGGGTGCCTTTACTTCAGGGCGTGCATTGGTCTCTCGACGAGACGAACGGTGTTCCTGAGCCGAAACTTCCTCATCACGTTTCAACCGGCGATCTCGGTGACGCTCGCGCGAATGAGAATGACCACGCAAACGATCGCGGAATGAGGTCCCAGACTCGTAGTGTCGTCGGCTGCGGTAGCGGTCCCGGTCCCGGTGGGGAGAGCGACTGCGAGACTTTGAGCGTGAGCGGCCCCGGTGCCGTCTCCCCCGATCATCCTTCTTGTCTCGGCGGTCTGCCCCAGGGGATTCATGTCGATGACGTTCACGTCGATGTCGACGGTGGTCACGATCCCGATGTCTTTCATCTCGGTCGTATTCCTCGTATTTTCGATGTCTCCGTGACCGGTCTCTCTCTGCCGATGCAGAACGACTTCGGTGCCTTTCCCGATGCGAGTGATGCTTATCATAATTGCCCCCATGCCCCTCTCTCTGGGGTTTCTCCGGCTCTCTCGCACCAGCCTGACGATCATTTTTCGGTATCGCAGCTGAGCCTGAGGCTTGGTTTTTCAGCTGACGCATTCGCTCTTTGGCCTCTCGCTCCTCCTTGCGTTTCAGAGCTACATTGTGATTGTCCGTCTCTTTGATGAGATGGCGGAGGAAACGGGTGTTAGGCTTATTAGGTGCACCGTTCGATGGCCTGCGGTGATTTCTCGTGAGCTTTGAACAACCACATTTTAACTTCTGGCTGGTAAACACACTTTGTAGGTAGATATGCCCCAGATCCTTGGGACGAATACTTCAATGAACTGGCTCGTGCCTCATTGGCAAGGACCTGCGCAACATAATCGTCGTCCATGATGTAGTTGGGCAGATCGCGGGAAAAAAAGGGTAGATCGTATGGATGCAATACTGTGTGTATTTGATTGAAGAATTCAACCAATGAAACACCAAGAAAGCATTACCATACCATCATCAAGAAGAGAAGAGCTGCATCAACGGCGCGATGAGAATCAAAAGAAGATGCAGATCGCAGGCGCCTGCCAACGCCGAAGCTTCACCGCCTTGGCTATCGCTTATCGCGATTGTTTACCTGCCCGCCTTGTCAGTGATTCCGTTCTCCCACAACAGTCCGACAGAGCTTCTTGGACCTGCTGCTTTTTTCATTGATATCAAAATGGCAAATGCATCATCTGAGGCCCTTGAGGCTTTGAAGCGCCTGGAACAGGACCACGGTGATCTCAAGACGCATCTTGCAATCGTTCGCATCAGCGAGCCCATTTCTTCCGAAGCTGGAGATGTGAACGCGTCTCCTTTGAAGCGCAGCTCAGATGTTTCAGTATCCAAATTGGATAATCCCACGCCTGGTTCACTGGAGGCAGATCTGTCACATTACAAGGTTCGCGCAACGAGTCCCAATCTGATTGCGATCGCGTTTTGAGTGTCACCAGTACTGATGTAAACTGGCATAGGAACTCTTCTCCAAACTACGGTTTTCCTATCTCGAGCAGGTAACCAAAGAAAAGTTCCTGCGCGCGATTGTCGACGACCCGCCACTTGTGGTCGGACACAATGAGAATGTGGAGTTGGAGACGCAGCTGGCCGAGGTGAAGGCAGAGCTCAAGGCGCGCAAAGAAGAGGCCCGAGTCATGATCGAGGAGATGGAACAAATGGGCCGTGACTTGGCAAAGCGTAAGTATTCTTCACGTTATGCGACGTTGGAGACCCGCATGTCTACCTCCAAGGTAATAAACTGACGACTAATCGCACCGACATCACAGGCTACACGAATGTCGAGCTCCAATTGACCCAGCTTTCGACTCTGCCCGACTCCATAGAGAATCTGGAATCCACCGTCGCCGGCCTCCGCGCCAAACAGGTCGCGAACATGGACCCCTCTGACCCCAGCAATACTTCGTCCTCTCAGAATCTTCCCTTGCCTGCAACCATGAACCTGCTCTCGGAGCGCGAAGCAGAATTGGCTGCACTAAACCGCCAGCTCGCTGCAGTGCAGAATACTCTGCCTCGAAAGACCCGTGAAGCTGAGGCGATCGAGAGAGAGTGCAGCGTGCTTGAGCGACGCAAGGCTGAGGCGATCACGCAGGCTCGAGAAGCCCGACGGAAGAAGCAGCAAGGCGAAAGTGATGGACTCGAAGAAATGGGCCGGTGGTATAGAGGAGCCGAAGAGACCCTGAAGGAAATGATCGGTGTGGGGGGTTAAGCTTCAACATGAAGCACCAACCCTGGCAAGGTTTACATGATTACGAGGCACGAGGCGAAAGGACTGGGAAATGGCGTCTGGATCTACTGTACATACGGGGGCCATGTACTAATGGCCGAGTATGGGATTCAAGTGGGCACTGAGTTCGGGTTTCAAATTGAAGCCTTCTGGCTGTTTTAATTGCTTGCATTGCATGGACATACAACACGATACGCTATGCTGCAGTCATGAACCTCCCAGAGTTTTATGCACCCCAAGCGAAACCCGGCCGTACTCCATTTTTTAGGTCATGATTTACTCCTCCTCTTCCTCACCCTCGTCGTCACCGCCACCCTCGGCGGCACGGGCCTTCTTGCGGCGAACGCGGCCAGGGCGGCCACCACCGAAGGGCGAGGTGAGGGAGAAGTCAATGTGCTTCTGGGAGTCCAGGCGGACAACGTACGAGGGCACGTTGACGATCTGCTTGCCGACACTGTAGGGAAAACATGTTAGCTAGGGAGCATCCAGAAAACATGCTCGAATCGACATACCGGATGTGACGCTGCTTGATCAGGACGCGAGCGTGGTGGATCGACTTGGCGAGGCCAAGCTTGTACACGCAGGTCTGCAGACGACGCTCGAGGAAGTCCTCGACCTTGAGGGCCAGGACGTAATCGAGCTTCATGCGCGACTCATCGAGCACACCGATGCGCACAAGACGGCGAATCAGAGCATTGCCTTCGAAGAGACGCTTGGGGTCCTTCTCGTCGAGGGTGAGGAGCTCACTGTCGCACAGGTTAGTTTTGAAAATTCCAACCTCCAATTCTGCATGACCCGATGTCATCCGCAGCCTTTGCACATCAGATGTATTCCTCCACATACCGAGCAGCACGACGGATCTTGGACAGAGTGAGCTGGACACGCCACACCTCACGCTTGTTGCGGAGGCCGTACTCGCCGACAACCTTCAGTTCCGAGTCACTAGAAAATGTGGTTAGGCACAGGAACACGCGACATAACCAGAAGCACGCTTCTGGTTAGTGGCCGGAGAGTACTAACAGACGAGCCGACTCGAATGCTGCAATCGGGTTAGCCTTGAGATCATTTCGAGAATTGAGGATTTTTGACAAAGTCAGGACTTACGGCGACGGGGGACCTTGTAGGTCTTGGAGTAGACGCGGCTGTAACAAGAATTAGAGCAATGCGGCGACACATTGAAGCATCGTATACTCACGGGACGGGAGCCATGGCTGCTGGGCGATTGTCGACGTTGAGCAGATGAAAGTCGCACAATCACAGACGACACTTTCTTGAGGGGAATTCGGCTAGCGGTGGCCCTTGCCCGTCTGGGTTTAGCGTGGGGTTGAGCCCTAGTGTCGGTGACTAAGCACACCACCGATTATCCGAGCCGCTTCAAGGTCTGACCCTCCAAGGCCGTTGACGACCATCACCAACAAGCACCACCCACAACACCGCCGTCATGCCTCACTCGTACGGTCTGCGCGCCGGCACCCGGGTACGTTTACGATTCTTTCGATTTCTACATCTCGAGGGGGACAAATATTGGAAACATGGAATTGGATCTGGCATTAGGAATATGGCGCGCTGACAGATGGACAGTATGCCTTCAGCCGCAACTTCAAGGAACATGGCATGATCCGCCTGTCGACCTACCTGAAGACCTACCGGTACGATTGAGCGATGTGACTTTGGCAATGGATGACAAGATTGGAGATCTAACAGACTTTTTTTTAGTGTTGGTGACATTGTCGACCTGAAGGTCAACGGTGCCGTCCAGAAGGGGTCAGTAAAATCCCTAAATTCTTCCCAAGCTCGCTCGCATCCGATATTTTGCGAAAACGACGGACTGTAGTTCGAAAGGTGGACAAAATGTTGACTGAGACTGTTTAGTATGCCCCACAAGGTCTTCCACGGCAAGACTGGTGTCGTCTACAACGTGACCAAGTCCTCGGTCGGTGTCCTCCTGTACAAGCGCGTCGACAACCGCTACATCGAGAAGCGCATCAACGTCCGCCTCGAGCACGTCCAGCACTCCCGCTCCCGTGAGGAGTTCATCAACCGTGTCAAGGAGAACGCCCTTAAGAAGCGTGAGGCTAAGGAGAAGGGTGTCCACGTCCACCTGAAGCGTCAGCCCGTCGGCCCCCGCTCCGGTCACCTCGTCACCCAGGCCGGCAACACCCCCGAGACGGTCACCCCCATCCCCTACGACACCCACATCTAAAGGAATCGTACGGAATGGGACTTGGTCGGTGCACGTGGTTGTATGGTGTTTTTGAACTGGGTTTTCTCTCTCTCTCTCCGTTTTTTGCCCTGCCAAGGGTGGAATGGACTCTGGCTGCATGAGACGAAGCGCAAAATGGGTCTCGGATGCCCTGGGCACTCGGCCTGTGCATAGATTCCCCTGAATGAAACAAAATCCAAAATTTCCGAGTTTACGTTGAATTCTTCTGCTGCAGTCGGGGAGTTCAGCCCTTGACTGCCACTGTGTCCCATTACCACGAGTAGAGGTTCTACAGTAGCAGTTTTCGAAGTGCTACCAGACGACTACTTTATTCATACCCAGGAAAGCCTGAATCGTGGACAAGAGTCCTTTGCACATACAATATCTTAATTATCGTATCCGATGAACTCTCACAACCATTAGACACACTCGATGCCTATAAATACAATTCCCAATGCCCGCGATCAATGCAAATTGGCCATAGATAGGCATCCATGGCTCCATCGCATGATTTACTACCCGCTGAAGATCATTCTCTGGTTTAAGTCCAATCGCCGTGTATTCTATGCCCTCTTTAGGTTTGAGGTGGGCGGATATATGGTGTTGTTTTTGCTTCGGCCCGTGTTTTTGAGCCCTTTCTCAAGAGATATTTTGGTACATACAAAACGAATTTGGTTTTCCAAGTAAAGAAAGTCTGCACAGCCCCATGAATACATAGCAATATTCAGGAGTCGTCAAGGCGAATGTGCTGTGTATACTCCTCCCCTGGTACTAATCCCTTTTGGGTATAGCGGGAGGATCCGCTAAAGCGGCGAGGCGAGTCCGGAGAGGAAAAAAAAATCACATCCGCATCACCTGGAAGTCGCCATTCGTGACGGATTCTCCCTCCGTACTTGTCCATGCATCTCTCATCTAATCCGACCAGCTCTGCGCAGGCGCATCTGGGAACCACTGCCCCTCCCACCTTCGACAAAGATGTTGTCGTTCAATCACGAGAAACTGGCGATGTGATCCCGAACCGGACGCCGCCGGGCAGCCAGGAGGAGACCAAGGTCAAGCCATGGGCGCATTTTGTTGCTGGCGGGTGAGTTGCTTGACCTCCGAGAGGAAATATATCGAGGACCCAAGGGGAGACGGGCTTGCTAACGCAGGTACGGTAGCATCGGAGGCATGACGGCCGCAACGCTCACGTCGCCGCTCGACGTGTTGAAGACGCGACTCCAATCGGATTTCTACCAAGCGCAGCTCCAGACTCTCCGTGCCTCTCACCCGCCACCGCCGCCGACCTCCTCTTCCGTCGTGTCCCTTACCCGGAGTGCTGCGATGCACTTCGGCGAGACCTTCCAGATCCTCCGCTCCATACACGTCCATGAAGGCTGGCGCGCATTGTTCAAGGGACTGGGCCCAAACTTGATTGGCGTGGTTCCGGCGCGCGCCATTAACTTCTCCGTCTACGGAAACGGCAAACGCATCCTCAGCGAGCACTTCGACTACCGTCAGGGCGAGCAGACCCCATGGGCATCCACTTGACGGCGGCTGCAATCGCGGGCATTGCCACAGGGACGGCAACCAACCCGATATGGCTCGTAAAAACTCGCCTGCAGCTGGACAAGTCGAACGCGGAGCATGGCAAGAGCCGGCAGTACCGGAATAGCTTTGACTGCATCAAGCAGACGGTGCGCCACGAGGGTGTGCGCGGTCTCTACAAGGGCTTGTCTGCCTCGTACCTGGGTGTCACGGAGTCGTCGCTCCAGTGGGTTATGTACGAGCAGATGAAGATGTTCCTTCAACGCCGCGACGATGCCAAGCGCGCGGACCCGACATACGACTACTCTACCTCGGATGCGGTTGAGCTCTGGGGTGGTCGGGTCACTGCGGCCGGTGCGGCGAAGCTGGTCGCTGCTGCCATCACCTACCCCCATGAGGTGGTGCGCACACGCTTGCGTCAAGCGCCGACGGTCTCGGTGGGCAACGGCAAGGTAGAGATGAAGTACACGGGGCTCGTACAATGCTTCAAGACCGTTTGGGTCGAAGAGGGAATGGTCGGACTCTACGGCGGCCTGACGCCACATCTGCTCCGAGTTGTTCCATCGGCGGCAATTATGTTTGGAATGTAAGTTATCCTGAGGATCCGAACCATCGCAATTACCGACTGACATCCCTAATAGGTACGAGTTCATTCTGCGTGTATTCAACACGACGTCGTGATCCACCTCTAACAGTCACGATTGGGGGGGGATGGTTCTTAATTCGGTGCAACGACCTCGACTCTCTTCTCCCAGCATACTTCTCACCTCCTTCCGCGCCACTCCTGTACAATATTCTACTTCCCTTGCCCGTTCTCTCCACTTCCTGGGTGTCTCGAGAGGACACCAGATTCTTCACTATTCTTATTTTTTTATTGGTCCTGTATAGATGAAAAAGGGCCACCTGCATGTCAACGGCGCACGCGACTTGGGGTTTTGTTTTATTTACTTTTTTTCCCTATCAAATCGGCGCCGGGCATGTACCCATGTACCATATGGATATTTTTTTTTCTGAGGCAGACTTGGAAGGAGAAAAAAAAGGCAAAAAATAAACCGAATACTTTAATGCTTGAATATATATACATCAATGTATCTCTGAACCTGTTGCTCTTCCTTTACGGGCCCCTGCAGAGAATACTTCCAAGGTTCGATGCATTGCAGGGAACACAGCTGCACGCACATGCAACCCGCCGACGGTACTTTTTTTTTGATACACTGCCACAATGGCCAAGCCAAGCGACAAGCGGGCAGCGATCCGAGAGAGAGAAGCTTCCTATATCAAAGCTGTCGATGGTGTGGTGCAGAGAATTCAATGCTGCGCCACACTGTCTATCTTGTCTGCTCTGTCTGTGCCGAGTCTCCGAGCGATCGGTCAAGTGTCGCACTATTATGTCGGGCTAGGGCTGCTGTACGAAGACCTACAGGGCACAGTCCAAGGTATGTACATGTACCAGGTACTAGATACCAGGCACTTCTTGGGCAGCGACATATACCTGATTCCCAGCGAGAGCCCGTGCCCTTTTCTCCTTTTCCTTCGGTTCGATTCTATTTTGCTATCCAGCAAGACTCTGGGTTTCTGCTCGAGCTGGTCCCTGGTCATAACTAACAAGTACTTAGTGCAAAGGGGGTGTCGCTCGAAGGCAGTCTGGCGAAAAAAAAAAAAAAAAACCATCAATTCGACATCGCCATATTCACCATGACATTAGGTCGCGGGTTTTCTCTGATTTTCTCTGATACTCTCTACCACTTCTTGGCCTTTCATTTCGCAGAACTGAGCACCCTTCTGAGCTGATGGATGAAGCTACCAGGTTGGAATTCGAAGCTATGGATCCCCGTCCGGAATAACTACCGGCCCGCCACCCGATACTGACTCGTAATGAACACTCTGATTGGGCAGATCAGTACTGGTCTGCTCTATAAAAACAACTCTCGAATTTGAGGTGCTATAGCCCTATAACCGAAATCATGAACTGCCCCGATCAATAACCCCCCTCGGATGACCTATCACGCGCTAATTCCGTAATATTTACTGTAGTGTATCAGATGCCAAGCCTACAGATATCTATGGAAACGAATGGGGGGGCTGCCAAGCTCTTTCTGGGGCGGCCCCCCCTACAGTAGTAACACACTCCGAACCCACTTTTACTTCAGTGTTACCATCTTTAGAAATCCAAATGTCGCTCAGAAAATGGCCACGGGGTAACACCAAAAGCCAAGGCTCTACCTTTGGTTGTAGCTCCCTAATAGTGCGGTTTCTAGTTTGACATCCAACTTCAGGCGGCGGCTTAAAAAGATTATGTCTATATTTATACTGAAGCTGTGCTCCGTATCCCTTTTGACACCTTAAAAAAACTCTGGTCGTAGATAGACTCAAGGAACATCAGGCTAGAGGTTTAAGCCTACGATACTTCCGTATCTTTTCGGGCACCATATTGCCCAGTCTACGCCTGAGGGTCCGCGCGCCGGGGGACGAGAGGGCGGGGGGCAGCCCCCGGTATAGTTGGAAAGCAGTTGATTCTTGCGATGATCCTCTAATATAGATTTCTTATGCACCAATCGGTGCCATTGTCTGGACCCTGTGAGATATGGAAAGCGTCCATTGAAACAAAAAAAGGGCTGACCCCAGTTTAAAAAAAGAAGCATTGACAGGGTCTACATACAATAATCCGGGGGGCGACCGCAGGGGGCGGCCCCCCCAATCTCTTTATCCTCGCTCTTGGTCAAATATACTGTCTATATCAGAGATCAGGGTGGGTCATTGCCGTCTTGCGTGACTGCAAATATGTACCTAGGGAATGGACCCCAATGTCGATCCTTTCTGTTCTACGGCAAAGCTGCTTAGATCCACGCCATTAAGGGTTCTTATGTATGTATAGTTCGACATACAGAGGATTCAGCTTAGGGGGCCAAGTCCTCTCTCTGATGGCTATATAAGGGGTGTTCAATATCATCCTCTGATATCTTTTTTTCTTCTTTTCTCCTCCAGACTCTCCACATCCTCCACAACTCCCCAGATCCTTCAATCGATACAATGAAGTTCAACGTGGGCCTTCTCCTCGGGACCGCGGCCGTCGCGGCTGCTGCTAGCATCCCCAACATTCCTGCGCCTGGTAAGAGCCTTTTTTTTCCCCCTCCCCCTTCTATCTAAGCTTCGCACATCCACAACCGTGAATCTCTCAGCTAAGCCTTTTTTTTGTCTTTTTTTTTTCCAGACACAAATGGCACGGCTCTCATCAAACGGGAGCAGTCTTCTCCCGGCTGTACTGTTGGCGACGGTGGCACCAAATTCGAGTGGGCAAGCTGCGAGCACACCGAGCATCAATCAATCGATGCCAAGGTGAGAAAGATAAAGGATGGCAGAATCGTCGACAAGCCATGGAGTGACGGCGATCTCTGGTGCTGGATCGTGTGGGAAGGTTCCGGCAGCGACCGGGTTCCGTGCGACGGTGATGGGAACCCCTACGCTTTGACCGACAAAGCGAGCTGCATGACTGTCAGCACCAATGTGCTGGGTGAGTATGAAAGATACCACCATGGAGGCTGCTTCACTTAAGCTCAGGGTGGCAAGGATTGGAAAGAATAACATATGGCTTTGGTTATCATGTTATTGTGTGATATGATTTTGTAATTTACGTGCTTGTCAAAGCTCTTATTCTTTATCAATTGCCCAATCGTTCCTTTCACTAGTGTCAGTCTCCATTACAGATGAACATTCTTACCTTGGTCTCGGACTCCCCTCGGCTGCAATGCTAACGAGCGCACCGGTGATCTCAGGTGAGAAGCGTCTAGTTCCGACAGTAAATATGTTGGTAGACTTAAGCTACCTTGAAGATATAAAAACTAGTTTCAGAGTGCTTCTCTGTATATAGTCAACCTCTGAGCAATAAAAGTAATAAATATAAGGATATTGTACTTAGGATTGTCTTAACTCGATAAGAAAGCAACGTACAGATTTAGCATTTCCCCCTCTTAGATATTGGATCCGCACTCCAAGGTCCAAGATCTGCTTGCTAGTGACTAGCTAGGGTAAGCTGGTTATATATTTAATGTTAACGCATATTAGCGAATCTTCTTGATTCAGAGGTATTAATTAGGTGAGTTCTACAGCTAAACATGCAGAAAATATTACCCGCAACAATATAAGCAAAGCATGAACCAGGTGCAGACGCGTACAGTCCTGACTCATCGAGTGGTTATTAAGTTAGGATAAAGGATTACCGATACCTGAGATCTCAAGAAAGAGAAAAGAAAAGAAATCCCCGATTTGATCCACATAGGCCAAGCGGCCCGATAACGCAAGACGAAATTCTGCCGTAATAGGTAATCCTCTATATAGAGATGCCTACGTAGTCCCTAAATAGTTCGATGTACCTGGCCAAGTACATACACTAGTACCTAGTACCTACATTAGCGCAACAGATAACATCCTCAGCTCGGGATTCCATGATATGGTCTGACTGTTTGAGTCATGGGGATGTCTGTGCGAGCAAGATAATAATTTTGTGTCTGTGTGTGCGCGCTCAGGCAAATCCCAAGGAGAGTATCGTTTCAGGCATGCATCAAGGCTGCAGCTGAAAACCCTGGAAATTGGGAATGCGGTAATCTCGTGCCTGAAAAAAAAAAAAAAAAAAAAAAAAAAAAAAAGAGTATGAGCTCATCTGATGGGTTGGTTCAATTCGAGGATCCTCTCCCCCCTCCCCCCCTTCTCTCAGGTCTAGACAAGAAAATCTCATTGAGTGTGGAGCAGAAAAGATGAGAGGGGGAACCGGATCTACGTATCCGCAGTGGGGAAGCACCTGATTTCGGTGGCCTATAGCACCCAGCCACATTGTGGCGCACCCTGTGGCGCACCCTGTGGCGCGTATATGCAAGAAGACACCCCTTTTTCTTTCTTTCTTTCTTTTTTTTTTTTTTTTAAAAAAAAAAGTAATTGTTAGTTTATTTCTGTGGAAATACTGTTATATTGTAATTTTCAACTCGATTGCTCTACACATTGAGAAAAGAGCATGGCTCGAGACGGTGGCGATGCAGTGTGACAGTCTAATGTAGTTCGCGCAATGAGACTCGTTCTGTCTGGCTTCTCATGAGCTTACCATGAACCACAATAATTATCCTAATAATTAGGATTATTATTTCCTTGTTCCTATTCTTCTATCTATCTTTTTTTTTTCCACGTCCATTTCCTAGGAATCGAAATTTCAGCTGAAATCACCAAGGATCGTCCGCCGCTCAGGCCTCTCCATGCTGCAGGACAGGGTGCACCGGAAAATACCAATACACACACGTTGGACTCCACGATCGGCTGAGGTACCGGCCATGCGGTTCCGTGATCGAGCTCGAAAGCGAATTCAGATCCTGGCCAGGACGTCCCAGAAAAAAAAGACACTATAGTCTAGTAGATCTGGTTTTTTTTTTTTTTTTTTTTTTTTTTGGTATCTGCCCAATGGAGCAAACCACTAGATGTAATTCTTTTTAATTCCCACCCCTGAGAGATTATTGTACGGACAACTAAGTCCATAGATGTGACCCCACAGGAAGTATGTAGAGTTGGCCAGACCGATGGAGTTTATCCCCGTGGAGGACGGAAGGTTTTCTTTTTTTTTTTTTTTTTTCTTTTTCTTTTTCTTTTTTGCTTTTTGGCCAACGGCTACTATAACGGCCGGTGATGTATGTCCATACGTACATACATACTTTTTCACTATGCGTGTTTTTACCCAGGCGGGAGGGGAACATGGCTGAGTTGGCAATGATCGACAGTAGTACGTATTGCTACGGCTCTCTCGGCCTTGTCCTGCATCGGCCCTGGATGGAGACATCAGCTCTGTATGGAGATGCAGTCGATCGATCGGCCTCTGGGATCTGTCAGTTGTAATTTTACCAGGGGAAATGGACATGGATTCATAGATGTTGCTCGTGCCGGCTCCAACACAACCTAGTATGATAATTGTAAGTATTTACTAAATCATATGGAATAAGAGCAGTCTTTTTGGTAATACTAATAATCCAAAATAAATAAATAAATAAAGAAGAATAAAGAATAAAGAATAAGGACACTGAGGAGCTGTACAAAGCAACCTGGATCTTCTGCGGATCCGCGGGCCTGTCAAGTGTATCTCCACGCTTAAATCCCTGGTTCTGTCCGGTCCTTCAGTTTTTCACGTAGCACCCCGATTCTCCACAGCCTGCCAGGTGTGATAGGAAAAAAAGATTTTAATAAAAAAAATAAAAATAAAAATAAAAATAAAAATAAAACTAATAGTCCAGTGGAGTTTTTTTTTGGTTTCTCCACAGCTCTTGCTCCCTCTTTCTTTTGCTTCAATGCTTCACACTGGTCATCCACCGAGGGTGTTTTTTTTTTCGACCACCATCATGGCAACCCCTTGGGTTGACATTCAACACCCGGGTCTATTCACCTCTTGGGTACGTCAAAGTATCTATCACTATCATCTCTAGGTTAAAAAGCTGTCCATCCCCACTGAACAACGCTGCCAGGAACCCGATCCCATCTCCCACATACATCCCTCGAGTCTTGTCGAGCTTGACCTTGACCTGGAAACAATATCTTTGTTCGTTGCTTGCTGTCCGAGTCAATACTCCACCATTTTTACTTTTGAGCTTGCAGTTAATCTCGTCGAGATGAGCTCCCAGTCCCGGTTCGTACCTGGCCGTTCTCTATCTCCATCTACTTCTCCAAAGTAGCTCCTTTTTTTTCCCCCTCTTGTTGACTTTTATCTTATTCTGTGTAGGTCCATGTCTCCCCATCTCCGCGAGATCGGATCCTGGGCCTCCGATCCCAAGATCTCCGGCCAAAACTCTACCGTCACCACCAATACCACCACGATGTCGTCGCTGACATCTGGTAGCACCGCCAGCCGTGGGAGCTCGCTTCCGCTGGAGGCTTTTAAAAATGCGCCCGGGGGATCGCAGCCATGGTCCTCCGTGAATCGACGGCCCTAATTTACTCCATCTACCTTGAAACTTTTTCTGGGTTTCATGTTTCTGTGCTTATCATGCTGGGAGGAGTCGGATAGGGGGTGGATAGGAAAAGGGGGCGCTTGGGTTTCATGTTCTTTTTTTTTTTTTTAATCTTTTTAATCTGAAATCTTGGACTTGGTTTGGGGTGTAGGGGTTCAGGGTCTGGCAAGGCGGAGCCATAATGGGGCGCAGAGGGGTGAAGAAGCTCGGTTTGCCGATAATTGGGTTGGTTTGGGGGTATGGATGGGAAAGGTCTATATGGGTTGGTAAAATAGATTTGCGCGTCACTTTCCATAGTTTTTGTGTCTTTATTCTATTCTATTCTATTCTTTTTTTTTTTTTTTTCAGTAACTCATTCTTATTCTTAAGGTTCAATCCCTCTGTCTTGTCGCTCTCTGACGCAGCCCTAAGATTACGTCAGAGGAACAAGCCGTTCTTGCGTTACACTCTGGCCGTCTTTTTCTTTTTGTTTTATTTCTGTTTACTTCGCAAGACTTATCCACCACCCTAATTACATGTTCTATTGAACCCCTCGGTATTTCTTTCGTACACTCCCGTTATTTGTATGGCGATCAGCAAATCAACGGTAATCCACGGTTGGTTCCGCGGGGGAGTTCCGCGGGGGAGTTCCCGTCCGACCCACCAGAACCACAGTGAATGTCCATTGCAGACAACTCGCTCTACTTTTGCGCCCGACAGGAGCAAAAAAGATCTTCTGGTCGATTTCTTTTTCTTCCTTTTTTCTTTCTCCGGGCCGGGCGCACTGACGCGTCCACGAAGGAACAATTACTATCATTATTATTATCATTATTTTTTTTTTCTAAAATGCTCCACTGGATCAATAGCGTTGGTGGTTCTCCATGCGGAGGGAATCCGTTTAGTATGGAAGGAAAGTATCTGAGCGCGGTGGCGACTATCGCCATCTCTTCGCGGTTCCAAGCCCCGAAGGAGGGGCTGGTCTTCGGGACTTGGGGCTGGCTGATTGGTTAGGGAAGTACATGAACCAGTATGTTGAATGTGGTGTATATTGTACAGTACGTCCACTGGCAGATCACGATGTGCCGATTCTGGCGATCCCGTTGGGAAAAGGGAAATTAAAATGTGGCAAAAACGCGAGGTTAATTGGTAGCTTGCTTTATTTATTATTTATTATTATTTAATTATTCAATTATTATTATCTTTTTCTATCCACTTGACCAGCCAAGAAACCTACTGTGTTTTTGATTTTTGATTTATTATTATTAAGAAAAAAAAATCTCCTAGAAGCATGCCCCTTGGGACATGAACGGGGCGTAGCATTGCTCGCCTCCCCCGCATTGCAGTGCCCCAGTATGATCGCGTCCAGTCTGACGATATAGTCGCCACTCGGTTCGAGGCAATGCAATTATGGTTTTATGGCCTTGGCTAGTCTTGTACACTATGCACCCAATCCACTCTACTTTGCAGTGGACGATGGATTGTTGACAATCCCTTTCCCCTTCCCCCTTTGTCCTTTGTAATGCGCGCAGCCGCACCCTGATTGTGAAATTATGAATCGGACTCGAGTGGCCGCGTGGAGCGGAGATCAGACCTCTCTCTTCCCTGTTGCGGTCCACTGCGGTGCGTCGTGATTATTATTTTCATTACTATTCGTGGTTTTTTTTCCCTGGTGATTGACACTGGAGTTGGTATAGATCGGCTGTGTTTCTTTTCCTTTTTCCTTTTTCCTTTCTTTTTCAGATTTTCTGGAATTTCTCGATTTCTCATGACTCTACTTTTTTTTTTGGAGTATTATTATCCTTATTCTTTTTCCTTTTCTGTCAATCGGGTTGTTTTCTTCCCACTCGCCAGTCTTGGGAGGACATCATTGGGGCTCTGCAACGTCATTTTCGGTCCGGGTGAGATCCTAATTCCCTTGCCAACCCCCCCCCCCCCTTTTTTTTTTAAAAAAAAAAAAAAAAAAAAAAAAAAGAGTGAAAATAATATTTTTAATGATTAATTACTAAATTCAATTCCTGAAATTCAATCATTGTAAATCGGAGGGTCTCCGGACCCATGGAACTTGGCAGAACATGGAATGCCGCACCTTTAATTCTGATTCTTTCGTTTAATTTCAGAATAATTCTTTTGCGCGCAGAACGTGAGCTTCAGCGAGGCAGTGCTATACCGGTTTACTTAATCTCAATCCGCGCGCCAGCCCTGGACGCCCCCCCCCGCAGATCCACGTCGATGTATGCCACAAGCGCCCTTTTTGATCTGCGTAGAAAATCGGAGTGACCCGGAATGGACGGCTTTCTGAGTGATTTTCTCTCCCTTTTGACCCACCGCCAGCAGAGTGCGGCTGCTTTCCCTCGATTGGCTGCCCTGCCTACATCCAAGTCCGTTGCCCTATCAAGGCATCGCATGCGTTTATAGTCGGGCGCACTTCCTTGTCGATTGCATTTCACGCGCTACAGAAACGGGCCCTTTGGAATTTGATTATGGAGAACCAAAATGATCCTCACAATTGCCCACTTGTTTAATTCCACCCCCCGGGACACCGCCAGAAATAAGCTGGGTTCTGCGCGGTGACTCTCACCCCCCTCCAAAACCCGGGTGAGTGGGTCAGGGCTATGCCTAGAGGGAAAGGAAAAAGGTGCTTCTTTCCTCCCATTCTCTTATAAAGATGAACTGCCCTCCCACAGGGTGACAGTTCCTGATCATTCTCTTCAGCTGTTTGGCTCATCCTCCCAGAAAAAAACTGTCTTGCATGCTGCATATGCCCCCTCCATCTCAAAGTACTTGCTTTGCATTGCTCCCATCCTTTGGGAGTCTCTACTTTACTTCCTCATGGGCCAATCTTCTGGTTTGGATGATGTGGGCCAGGGGCTCACTGACTCCATAGTCACCGTCCGACCTGACGAGGATCAAGGGTACTTTCGTCCGGTGTTGTCGACTTCGGGCTCCTCGATGAACATCGTGGTGAGTATACCGATGAAGATCATGGGCAAGCTGAGTTCAAAGGCAGCTGACGATCTACTCCTCTCAGGATGCCCAAGATGCCATCGAGTCGCTGGCCTCGGGCGAGGACTCGAGCCATACCAGCTATGACCAGATCTTCCGGGACTCCGTATTGGACAGCGGGGAACTCATGGCGTTGAGTCTTCCATCGGAGGGAAGTCACGACTTCATGGGGATAGGCCATGAACTGAACCAGGCGCAACCCATCCCTGAAACCATGGAAGACCTGCCCATAGGGGATGTGCCCAGTGCAGGCCCATCGTCGCAATTTCCTCCTGCAAACTCGACCACCACGGCTCGGCCGATGATGGGCCTCCCAAGTGTGGAAACCCGTCCCGAATCGCAGTGGGACTTGGATGAGGTGTGCAACACCATTCGACTGATCCAGGCCGGTAGACCATGCGAACAGGAACAATTGTTTCGGACCCGACAGTACCTGCTGTCCCTCACGGAGCTTGTCAGTGCCCAGATCGTCTTGCCGCCCCCCGCACCACCGATTCCACCCTCGTCCAAGGCCTCTTCGAGTCAGTATCGAGCGCGGTGTCTGCTGTGTTCTGAGAACCCCGAGACTGTTAGTACCCCTTACGCCTTCAGGCGCCATGTAAACAGGCATATTCCCCAGTTCCTGTATCACTGCCCTGCACAGGCCTGCCAGCACAAATTCTACACTCGACGTGACAAAATGCGCAACCATGTCTTGTGTCGACACCGCCTGAACCCTGATATCATCAATCAATATCGGGTCGAGGTACCGCCTCCGGGTTTCTGTCCCCTGTGTTCGGAAACTGTTCAGGGCTGGGACAATCTCTATAAGTGTCTCGAGGTTCATTGCCGTATTGCCGCCCCTCCGTCGGTCGATGGAGACATGTTGAATCAGGGCCCCGGCCCCGGTCCTGGTGGCAACGGAGGAGGACATGCTTCTGGTAATGGGGCGTTCCTGCCCGGTTCTGGCGCGGGAGGAATGTCCTCGAATTATACCCACGCCGGGTATGGCCACGGCCAAGGCACTACCTATGGATCCGCATACAATGGCTACAACCAAGGAATGCCCAGAAACTATGCCAGACCCGGTGCCATGCCTCACACCGTCTCGGATAACCAGCTGGACTTTGGCAGCCTAAGAAATACCACTGCTGCCACGGGGAACTCTTTTCAAGCAGATCTAGCGAATGAACACACTGCCCACAAACGTTCCATTGCCGGGAATAGCAGTCATCTCGACCACCATTCACACCAAAATGGTTCTGGAAACCCCCCCTCAGCCCGACGTCCTCAGCCAGAAACGCAAGCGTCCATCCCAGCCCAAGAAACCTCAGCCCAAGCCAGAGCCGGATGTCGAGACCAAGTGCACGCAGTGTGGCCACCCTTTCAAAAGCTGTCATTTGTGTCACCAGCAGAAACAGTCATCCCATGGCTGCCATGAGTGTTGGGGCCAGTCCGCACTCCCGGTGAAGGACAATATTCTTCCCAACATGGCTGCATCCGCTCCCCAGGACTCGTCCTACAGCCAGCCTCTCGTCAATCCATATAATCTCCACAACCTCGGGGTCCTCCTCCCGGAATTGGGGAATGGGCAGAGCATCCGGATGCCTCTGTCCCCGGCCTATGGATCGCATGGGGCAATGCAAATGCAGGGGGGATCATTCAACAACATGCCGACATCTCGGAACCAACAAAATCAAAATCCTCCTGGAGGAAGTCCCTTCATTGGGCTTGCCGTTGCAACCGACCCAATTGCCTCCATCTCGGAGACCCTCAGCCCTAAATACCAAACCCTCGACTCTGACACTGATTTGCTGCACGATCTGGGCCTGGGAACCCTGATCAAGCCAAACGGTGTCAAGGTCCAGTCCACCGGAACCCTCCCGAAACTCCTTCGGGATGCAACGAGTGTCTCAAAAACTGGCCCGGGCACCACTGCTATGAACAAGCCACCACCCTCAGCCCCAGAGGCAAAACCTAGCCCGCCCGGAGAATGCCAGTGCCCCTACCGCACCGTCCCGCGCGTCCACTACTCAGCTCAAACCCGCGCCGAGCTCTCCCCGGGAAAACACATCGAGATGTCTTTCAAGATGGCACCCGCGGACCGCGAAGCAGCTCATCCACTACGCACGCGCGTGCGTGTTGTAGTGAAGCTGCTCAAGCTGCGCTCATCGGTGGCAGGTACCAAGCAGAAGGGAGAGAAGGAAAGCCATTCTACTGGCACCTGTGTTCCCGAGTCGTCTCCTCCAGAGTCCTGCAAGGAGGAGTGGTCGTCTGCCTGTGAGCAAATCGCACTGTCGAATTTCTCCAACAGCTTCGAGGAGATTGAATCGACCTTCTCTTTCAGTTTTGATCTCAGGTGGGCTATCCGGCAGCTCTCTCGCTGGTCTTGGGAGCTGGATTGTGATACGTGCTTGAAGTTCAATGATCCTGGCTATGTGCTGGATTTGGTTGCTTTTTATGTCTTGCAGGTCTTTCTGCTGGTGTCGCGTATTGGGGGTGATGGGGTTGGTTTGCTGATGAGTAGTTGACTGACCTTTCTTCTTTTCTTCTTTTTATTCCTTCTCCCTTTTCTTCCCTGCAACCCTTTCCTTTTATATAACTTTTTGTCTATTCTGTTAACCTTTCAAGTACTTATTGCTCACCATTTACTCTTGTCAATTTCTTTTGTGGGACATCACGATTTCAGGAAGCCATGTCAAAGCTTCTTCTGGTTTCTTTACTGGTGAGTATTTCCTCGGACTCGTGTTCAAGACCTTGCTTTTTCTTCTACTTGTGGGACGTACTAATGACTGGACCAGGGATTGTATACATATTGGATGGGTTTGTATACTACAAGGTACAAGGTGTCTCCTTCTATATATCCTGGGATGTCTGATCTTATGTTTTTTTTTCTTTCTATATTGTTGCAACTTGGCCCGTACTGGTGTTTTGGGTGGCATAGCCATGATTCACGAGTGATACGTTGATGGTATCATCTAATACGAGGGATCCATGAAGATGAATTCCTTAAGACTGTGAGGTTGATGCTGGTTTTTCATATTCTGCTTTATTAGTCTTTTTATCTCCCCTCTCTTCCGATCTCTATAGAACATGTCTTTACGAAAATGTAATTTGCCACACAGAAGACAGCTTCTCCCTCCACTTCAAGACCCAGTATCATGGAGTGAAGAAACACTTTCTCTAGTGCTCGTCCAGTCTGCATGCCGCAGCTTCGCATATCCCCGAGTATGAGTACTCAGTCTAGAGGAAGACAGAAAATCATGATCATTGTCACATTGTCAAACACTAACAGCAAAAAGAGCTCTGTTGATTTCGCATCTAATACAGCAGTCGAAATGAAGGAAAGGAAAATAAGATAAGATAAACCAGGAGAAGAGGAAAAGAAAAGAAAAGAAAAACAACTCCATCTCAACCTACCCCAGAAACAGGAATACTCAGAAACAAGCCAGAACAGGAGCTCAATCTGTTGTCCTCAAGATAATCACACACTTGCAAGTCAAACGCGAAGAGAAGAAGAGAGATAGAGGGGTGCTGGTGTACTCCGGAGCCAGCAATGCACCACGCCACAGAATCAAAACACCTTTAATAAGAAGCTTACTCCTGCCGGCTGCGCTTCGCTCCATGCGGGTTCCACGACGCATCGCCGCCTCCTTGGTTGGGGTTGAAGAAGCCCTGGTTGAAGGCCGGGTTGGGACCTTGGAAGCCTTGACCTGGAACTGATTAGACCAAAGCAACCCCTTGAGAAACAATTGATGACTGATGATGATCAGGACACTCACCCTGCATGCCCATGTTTCCTCCCATCCCACCCATCATCGGGTTCATCCCCCCGCCATCGGATTCATTCCCATGCCCCCGGCCATCGGGTTCATCCCAGGCATGCCCATCATATTCGGCCCGCCCATATTCCCACCCCGGCCGCCGCGCATTCCTCCAGGCCCGCCGCGCATGCCCCCACCCATCATATTGCCGCGGTTGTTGAAGCCATAGTTCTGCATCCCACCCATCGGCGCCCCCTGGAACCCGCCCATCATGCCACCAGCGGGAGCGGCGGCTCCTCCGCCCTGGAAGCCCATGGGGTTGTTGAAGTTCCCGCGGTTGTTGAAGTTGCCGCCCATGCCTCGGTTGTTGTTGTACCCGCCGCGACCGCGGAATCCGCCACCCATGTTGTTGTTCATGCCGAAGTTCATGTTCTGGTTCGCGCCCGTGTTGAAGCCTCGGTTGCCGTCCTTGCGCATCGGCGTGTCCTTGGGCAGTGTGCGGAAGGGGTTCGTGTGCGGGTTTGTGTAGTTCACCATGTATTTGCGCCCGGTTGCGCCGTTGGCTTCGATCTGGTGTTTAGTCGAGGTTGCCGCCTGGGGGGTCGTGAATTCCACAAAGGCTTGACTGGAGAACAAGAATCAAGGCATTGTTAGTCTTCTTTTTGCCTTCCTCTACTTCAAACCGAAGCCAGGACTATTCTAGTAGGGGAAGAGGGGATCCCACCCTTTGCTTTTCCCGTTCACCTTGTGCTCGCTGAATGTCACATCCTTGAGCTCGTCCTCGCATTGTGCCTGGTTCACCCAGCCGCGAATGTCATCGTCTGTTGTCCACCAAAAGAGGTCTGAAAGGAGGAGAGCTGTGGTGGCGTCCGGGTCGGCTTGGCGATCATCGTATTCTTTGCGCTTGACACCGTGGGGCGGTGCTGGAAGGTCATGCGCCAATGGGACGGGCATGTTGTTATGGTCTCCGTTGGGGACTGAGGTTTGTTGTGTCTCTTGTTTGGGCTCTGACGACTCATCATTGCGCGGGGCCTGAGGCGGGTTCTCTGGTGCGTCTAGCACCAGTTCGGCGTCATCCTGCCCCTGGTCATTGGCATTGTAGCTCCCATCCCCATAGATGTCAATATCGAAGTTATCATCTTCCGTGGCCATTGTGCACTGGTTTCAGGCTCAGAGCAGAAATTCGATTGGTTTGGATATGGGAGACTGGATAATACAGAGGTCCTCTTTTTTTTTTTCTCTTTTCTTTCTGTTCTTCTCAGTCAAGAAGTGTACATGTCTGTAGCCAGAGGACATGAATTAGCATAGAAAAATCATTCCCAGACAACCACAGACGGTTCAGAGGTGATGCCAGCGTGTACAGGATCCCAATACCTGCGCGACATCTTTATAGATGTGAAGAGAAAAAAAGGAAAGAAAAGAATCCAAATAACAAAAATCCAATGCTGGACACAGGGTGACAGGAAGGCTAGACCATACGTACAATCCGAGGAACAATTCCCTCCAGGGTAAATAGAATGTGCGCCACTTGCCGATGAAGCGCGTACAATGCTTGCAGATACAGGGAAAAGAGATGAGTCTTCCAGGCCACAGACAGGCACGGTCAGATAGAGAGAAAACAGCTGAGACAGGAACAAGGCAAGATAAAAAGGAGAACAGAGAATGCCTTCCCACTGGAAGTCCGGGATGAGGTAATTTCTGTCCTGATTGTGAATATACCGATGAGCGAGAACAGAAGAAAGGAGAGGGTCATCGAATGGCTCGTCGAGAAGATGAAGATGAAGATGAAGAAGACGGGAGAGGCGAGACTTCGAGCTCCCAAGGAGCTTGGCCGGAGAAACTTAATTCCGAAGACCCTCGGAAAGGCCATTTGTTCCTCTCCCTCCCCCGAGATCCCCGTTCTTTATTCCTCTTCTTCTCCGTCCTTCCTTTGCTCCTTTTAAATTATTTTATTTTCTGTCATCATGTCGGAAACCTTCCAGGAACTTGCTGATATCCCCAAGGACTTCATCCGGGAGGGATCCCTGTTTGTCCGTCGCTGCACGAAGCGTATGTGTCGGCCTCCTATCGAGACACCATGAACCGCTGACCTGACTCCTATGACAGCCGACAAGCGTGAATTCATCAAGATCAGCCAGGCTGTTGGCATGGGTTTCCTCGTCATGGTATGCACTTGACGTATAGCCTGTCTCCTGTTATCTTGTTGCTAATATTGCGATTAGGGTGCCATTGGGTACTTCGTCAAGCTGAGTAAGTGTGCAATGGACACATCCATGACTTGAAACACAAAAAGACGTTGTCCTCGTTTTAAATTGTGTACTGACTGTTTTGTGCAGTCCACATCCCCGTCAACCAAGTCCTGGTCGGTGGCGCATAATCGGATACCAATTCCCCCTTTAAAAAGACGACTCGAAAATCCAGTATTGGTCGTATCAGAAGACGGGAAGGGAGTTAGAGATGGACCGAGGACATCGGCGCAATAGTTGAACCACGAGCGAACGGCTTCGTCGCCTGCGAACAAAAGCCCTAGGAGTGACCACCGAAAGAGCGCCTGCATTGGAATTCTCGGCGTGGGCGCGCAGCTTTGTGTTTTTTTTTTTTTTTTGAATTGTTTTATTGTGGCAGCTACTGCTGCATAGGCGCTTTATGCTTGCAACGCGAGAGGAGAGAGTGCACCGCTCGCTTCTCCCTGAGATACCATACCCTGTAACACTAGGAGGGTCCTTATTTTCGATTTAATTGATGGCCCTTCAAACCAATTTGCCTTGATCAAGATATTAAAATTGTATTTGCATTTCATTCATTTCATTATGAGTTCAGCTGAACTAGAAAATGGAGAACAGGTGTCCTGAGCAGCTATGTGCAGATATCGTCGACGCAGAGGCGCAGACTCGAGTCCCTCGGTTCATCTTGTCGCTTTGCCAACCATTCATAAACATCTCCACCAAAGCCCATCTCACCATCCTGTCTCGTCGTCATCGACGAACAGCCGTCGTACGGGCCGGCTGCGCAATGGGCGTCGGGCATGCACCGCAGGGGCGTTTTCCCGGTACTCGTTGAATTCCGGCATAGGCCGAAGCTTGTCATCATAGCTTTGCCCAACAGGCGGGTCACCCTCATCGCAGATGGAACCATCACTCCATGAATGCGCGGTGCAAGTGCCAGTCGACAGACCCCAGCCATTCCATGACGTCGCTGTGTAGATAACCAAGATTAGCCACGATTACTATGCCCCCAATTTCATGGGCAGTCCCTACCTGCAATCACCGGGGCATTCGGGTGCCAGCTTGCATCCCGAACGCACGTCCTCCACAGCATCTCACCGCTCATTTCATATGCCGTCGCGAAGACATCAGGCTCGCGGGGCCGGGAGTTGATCGTTGCCTTGCCGACATCAATGGTACCTGCTAGTGTTGCATCCATGTTGTATACGTAGACCTTGCCATCTTCGCTGCCGGTGTAGACATAGCGCGAGTTGGTACTGTCCGGCGGAGAGAAATGGCACCGGATTAAGGTCTTCAGCACGCGGTGGCCCCGGAAGGTGACCACAGAGCAGTCGTGTGGGTGCGGCTCATAGTAGTCATCTGGGTAGGGCTCAAAGCGGTAGTCAAAACCGGTCGTGTAGCTGTTGGGGTCGATGGTATCGAATTTGGCGGTTGTCATCATCCTCCGCAGATCCCACAATTTCATCGTTTGGTCCTTGCCATTCGACAGCACGTAGCGGCCGTCGCCTTTGCTATCAACATACGTCAAGCCTTCGGTGTGACCCATGAATGCTCCGGCTTCGCGGCCGTCACCCATAGACCGCCGGTCCCAAACCCGGAGGGTCGTGTCGTCGGATCCCGAGTAGAGGAGGTGCGGAGATGATGTGTCACCAAAGCAAACTGCGTTGACATGGTGCTGATGGCGATCACGGAGATTGAGGACCGGCTGTTTTGTCTCGATATCATAAACGATGACGGAGTCCTCGGACGTGCCTGCAACGACCTCTCGGCCATCGCCAGAAAACCGTAGAGACCATATCTATTCCAAGAGTAATCCACGTCAGCTATGTTTAGTAAAGAAACACGTCAGAATCATGTTCCTACGCCAAAATGTGAGCTCCCCCAGCTGCGCCGTCGCCTTGTGCCTGGTGGAGTGGAAAAGTCCAGCACATTGGGCTCGGAGTCATCCTCCGGGTCGGTCGAGGCTATGTAGGCCTGGCTGCGTATTGAACTATAAACCAGGAATCGATTATCCGGGCTTAATGTGGCATCGGTGATGGTCCACTGGCCAAAAGGATAGTCGACGGTCTTGTAGTATTTCCACTCGTACGGGTTGGATGTGTCATACATCCGCACCTTGAAATCCTGCGCACAGCAGAAGTAGAAGTTCCCATCGTCTGAGAACTGGCCGGAATAACTCCGCGAGTCATAGTGAATGATCTTGTCGGTCACGGAGCCCGGAATCAAGCGCTAATCCAGTAAGAATATCAGATTGTCATTAGTCAAGGCGATTATCATGCTGTCGTCGTTGATGACTGTACTCACCTGAGAGATGGTTTGATCGGCCCGTTTCCGTACCCCATACGGATCAACGCCGAGTTCGCGCCACATCAGGTTGGTCGCAAGGATCTTCTTCCGTTGCTTGAGCCGATCGATATAGTAATCATCAGTGCCGAAGTCGCCATCTTTCATCAATTGGGTGCCCGCATCGCTGGGTACTTTGGGGAATTGGTCGGTTCCCCGGCCCCGCCTCGCTCGGAGGCGATGTCGGAATGCACTAATATAGCCATCGTCGTAATCATCATCGTCCTCTTCTTCATCTTCCTCTTCATCATGCCCTAGGGTACTCGCCCATCCATTGGAGTGGAGAATATGCTGCAGCCCGCTGGAGGCCAGTAACTCGAACAATCGTGCGGCGGGGACTGTGTCTCGTCAGTGATTGATTCCCTGTGTGTCTGGATGTCATGGCATACTGCGTCTGGCACCACCAGTTTGATCCTCTTGGTCCTGGTCTCCCTCAGCCGGAACGTCCGTGGTGAGTTCAATCTGGATGTTTCCAATATTGATGTTGGGGTTGTCTGTAAGAGAATGGTCTGTCAGACTACCTATCTCTCGCTTGAATTGATAGAGATCCAGGAGCATTGGAAATAATCCATACCGTCCGAAACACCAAGACCCATCCCCTCATCCTCGTCCACGTCGTCCTCCCAATCGTCGTCATCTCCCGAGGCATCGGGTGGGTGGTAGTTCATATCGAGCTCATCGTCTTCGAGCCATTCCTGTGCATTATGCCATACTGTCGAATCCTCTGCTGGTCTTCTTGCGCCTGAGGGTGACCCGCGAGAGCTCATGATGGGCGTGATGCAGGTGGCAGATGAGGAGATGGCTTATCGATAAGTCACCGCTGCTTCCGGGTTATGTCATCCTAAGTCCGATATGTCCGGATCTATATCCTGAGGTCCGTTGATGTTCGTTTTATTTAAAACTCTCAAGTAGTTAATATACAAAGTCCAAGGTATCTAAGCATATGGAGCTGCATCCGAGGTACCTCGCCCTTGACCCATTTGATAGGGTTTTCCACAGGCCTCTGGGATAGCCTCAGACGAGATGAGATCCATGCCATGATGCCTAACTGTCCAAGGCTCAGTAGGGCTGTCCAATTGATAGACTGCCTGAGTCAGACTGTTTGAAACATTATCAATACTCCAGTGCTCTTCTATACTCAAGAGTGTATGCAGCCTCTGGTCCAGCCACTGAATGTGATTTGCAATGTTCTTGTCCGGTATTGTTTAGCTCATCCTACCATGGCCTGAGTCATGTAGGAGTCCGTCTGGTATGTCGGCTAAGAAGCAACTAGCTGAAACATTTGCAAAGAGCCCAAATCTCTCACTAGGCGGAACTAGTGCTTGGAAGCTTCCTAGGCCTGTGCAGTCACTACAGTGTGTACGGCTTCGGGTGTACTTAGTTCTCAGTCGGTAGTAGGCGAATGACCTTGATAACCACTGCAATAGTATCATGAAAAGCAAATATGTTTCATCGTTGTCAAGAGAGGATATTTTGAAGCCGAGGCAGAAGTGCAAGCAACAAAAAGGGGAGAAAAGGGAATCCCCGCGATAAGCGGATCAACCATTCTTCCCGCTCCCCCACTCCGTCATTCCCAGTTGCGCAAACCTCATGTGCTCACGGGGGTAGAGAGCTCATTCAATTTTCTGGCATTCTACTCTCAGTCGGCTCCTAGCTCTGCGATCGTGTCATCTACTCACTAACTCCTCTCCTCGCCTCCGCAACAGCATACCCCTCACCATGCAGTCCGTCCCAGAGTCACGCCAGCAGACCTTCGAGGAGATCTACGGTCCGCCAGAGAACTTCCTCGAGATTGAGGTGAGTAAACTATGCAAATATTTCGTTTCTTTCCCAGATATCCTCAGATCAATCAGCCCCTCTACCTACATTGAGCTCTCATATCAACATCTCTCTCTGTTCCCCTCAATCGCACAACCCGACAACAGTTCAGGATTCGCACAACCCCAGTGACCAGCAACATCCACAAATGAGCCAGCTACCAATCCCTAATCTCTTTCTTTCTTCTTACAATAGGTTCGCAATCCTCAAACACACGGCACCTCCCGGAATATGTACACCTCGTACGAGATCGTCTGCCGCACCAACATCCCCGCCTTCAAGCTGAAGCACTCGGTGGTGCGCCGCCGCTACTCCGACTTCGAGTACTTCCGAGATATTCTGGAGCGCGAGAGTACCCGTGTCACCATCCCCCCGCTGCCCGGCAAGGTCTTCACGAACCGGTTCAGTGACGACGTCATCGAGCACCGCCGCGAGGGCCTCCAGCGCTTTCTGCAGATCGTCGCGGGGCACCCGCTTCTGCAGACGGGGAGTAAGGTGCTGGCTAGTTTTATACAAGGTGGGTCATTTACCTTTACTTGGATACTTGAATTATGCATATATTCTTGTGTTTTCTTCTCTTTGTCTCAAGTGGCATGCTAATTTCTTGTTTAGATCCGAACTGGGACCGCAATGCCTGGTAAATGACCTTTACTTAAAACTTATCATTTTTTTTTTTCCTCTTCTTCTTTTACTCGGGTTTACTCGGCAAGCGATAAGCGTGGTTTGCCTGCTGGGTTTTGTTCCATGATCTCATAACGTCTTTTTTCCCTCCTATCTCTTTCCTCTTCTCATGTATCTCCTTTGCCTCTTCTATCCGACAGCAATCTCTCGGCAGCCGGGTTCCCTGGAAATCGTTGAAGCCCGTTTGATATCCTCATCACCTGTGCGCACTTTATCTGCTTGATTTGTGTCTCTTGTGCTTCTTTTCTCATGCCATTGTTCCTTGGGGTGTTGTCTTCCGGGGCAGATGAATTGCAGTTTATTTGTGGTCTTGGTCTCTTTTTATCGGCAGCACTGCCGTTGAATGGCGCTTGATTCTTGTCTCATTTTTCTTTCTCATTTTCTATTTATTTTCTTTTCTTTTCCGGTGAAGTCATGTTCTTGGTCTTGTCTTTTGGATCGGTTCGTGCATAGTATGAGCGGCTTGGTCTGGTTACAATATCACTCGGTGCAAATTCTTTCAGAAGAACTGAAGCTCGGATGCTATTGAATGAACTCCATCGAGGTCCGTACTCATCGCATACTTCGGGATATCAATGTAGACAAACACATTAACTCCGACCCCAGTAGAAGAGTAGCCCCCAGTAACACCTGAAATGCAAGACCTAGAAGTAGAAGAACTAATAAAGAAGTGAGGAAGAGAAAATGACCTCCTAATTGGTGTCTCTCGATTCCACGGCCTCCCGTTTAGTTCAGGTCATCCCAAAGCATGGGCGCAAGCGTATTATCTTCCCAGGGCGTCTCCAAAGCCGAAGACGTGCCGGCAGTATTTTCGTCTAGCGAGAACGAGAGCATACCCGCAGAGCCAGAGGCATTAGTCGCCGACGGGTCGAGGAAGCCCTGTGGTGGCGGAGGTAAGAGGGCAGGATCGCCAGGGCCTGGGTTAGCATGCCGGGTCCTGGTTTCTGAGCGATGATGCGATGCTGCAGAGATCTTTGTTGGAGTATGCTCCATGCTAGGAGCAGGAGGATCGCGATCCCCTGATCCAGGCAGGGCAGGGCACTGGCTCTGGCTCTGGCTCTGCTCGTGCAGAGCCTTGCCACTCACAGAACCTCCGTCGCGATAGGCATCTGGGAATTTAGTCCGGAACCGATCTCGAAGATCTGTTGCTTTGCGATGGCCGAGATTCAGGCGCGGATCCTGGCATATCAGGGTCCACTGGAACCCGTGGACGGCGTAGCCTTTCAATAAAGACTCGTCTTCTACACTGGTGAATGGGCGACGAGAACGGCGGCGCGATTTTACTGTGCCCTGTGGCTCTGGGACGCCGAGAGATGCTAAGCTTGGTTGGGGGAGGGTTGAGGAAGTGGATTTCTTTGGTGTTGACTTTGTGTGGTGATGTGATTTGCCGTGAGTATTGAAGTCGGTGTCGGGAGTAGATGAGGAAATATTTGAGGCTGAATGTTTCTGGTCCCGAGTGGCTGCTCTGCCAATCCTGAGATTCGAATCGGATACGACATGGGCTGATTTTCCTCGTAGAGGGCGTTTTTTACTGGTCTTGTCACCAGAGCCATCAGAGCCAGGCTTGACAAGCGCCTGGGCGAGGATGTCATGTAACTGCTTAGTGGCTTCCTTCGGATCAGATGCGCTGGATGAGGTTAGCTCGGGTAATCTATTGAGCTATCAAAGTGGTTTCTCTTACCGATATGCCCCAGGGCAGCAGACTCGAAATCTTCACATAGCTTAGCGTAAACATCAGGTGATACAGCATCTCAATTCCATACCTGTCTTTTAAATTGGAAGCAGTTCTTTGATTGAACTCAAACTCTGGCTGCGCAAGAATGGCCTTCCAGTTCCCGATCCCGCACTTGACCACGCCCCGCAGCAAAGCTGTCGTTTCCTCTTCGGTCCATTTTCTCAAATTCTTGCGCGACCGGCCACGGGTTTTGGGCGACAGAGGCGCATCGCCCTCCGCTAAATATTTCGTGAGTTTGCTCCCCCCCAAGCGCTTCTCGCGCGGTATTGGGCCACTTGGACTATCCAGTAAATTCGTTTTCTCGGACCCATCATCATCGTGATCTTCATCACCGTTGTCATCGAGTGTAGAGTCGAGGATCTCGTCTATTCTTGCCTCTCTCCTCTCCGCAGGCTGAACATCCACTAGACCGGCAGTATTAGAGTCCGAGTTGCTGGGATCTGCAGCAGCGTCGTTTCTAGAAGGCTTCGAGAGAAGCTGAGTCATAGAGCCTGCTTCAATGGGCGGAAGAAGTGCCGCATTAGGCGGAGGCTCATTCAGCCCATTCAGAATAGCAAACGGCCCGAACGGCGGGGGGCGCTGCTCCTTCTGGGTCTGAGGAATCGGCAGCTGCAAGTGCTCGCTGAAAGAGTCTACCTGCGGGTCCAAGCGACGACGCTTGCGAGACCCATTGCGCGCATCGTCATCAAACGACGAGGAGAACGGAAAGCGTTCTAGAGCCCGAAGATTTACAAAAGCTGGCAGGATGGGCTTCGGCAACCGCTCCACGCTCGACTGGGACTCGGCCGTGGCAGCATCGGTCTTCTTACGCCGCGCCGCATTGAGAAACTCGGTCACAGTTGGCAGCTCCTCGTTTTTGGCATTTGCTGGGGCGTTTCCGCTCGCTGCTGGTGCCTTGGAGATGCTGTTGGAGTCGTGGGCTCTGCTGGCATTGGGTTCCAGCGGCGAGGGGACACTGAGCGTCCGTGATGATACTGGTTCGCGGAGAGGTGCGATACGGAGGGAGAGCTGCGGCAGCTCGCGTCCTGACTCGTCATGGGGCCGGAGTGCGCTGGGATCCATTGCTGGACATTTGGATGTCAACTCAGTGGTTGGATATGAATGTCCTGGAGCACAAGGAATACATTGTGCCATCCATGATGTGCTTTTGGAGATGGTGGAGCAGTGATGACCGCGATAACTGGCTGATAACGGCTACGGGGGGCGACAACTGCCAATGCCGCATCTGGGGGATCGGTCAACGCGTCGGTGGTTTTGCACCTCCGCTGGTAGTTTCTTGTGTTGTTGCTGTCTGCTTATTCGCTGTGAATATTCTTTTCTTTTTCCTGGGCCTACCTGACCAAATTCAGCGTCGCCAAGTGAGTGTCTCCGCCATCTACGAATCTCGGAGCTCCCGAGACCTATCCCCGAACCAGCATTTGGACCATGGCAACCATAGCATAAGAACAAACCGACAGGCCAGACGAGAATAACAACCAGAAAACCACAGAACGAGCAAGATGCCCACCCTCTTCCCACCATGGCCAAACCTCCTCTTCGGCATCCTCGAGCCGATCTCCCTGTACGTCCTACCTCCATGCTATAGCAGCACTCGACTGCTTGAATTACTACTCCCAGACCGTCCAATATTGAAAAACAAATAACTCACAATAATATAGAGTTCTAGGCAGTCTAGCCCCGCTCTACGACCTAACCGGCTTCATCACCGATCAAACCCCCGCTAGTTCCCCTCCAACCCCACACCCCAGCAGCGCAGCCCTAGCCTACCAGCTGGGGAACCTGTATTTCCTGCTGTTCATGGTCGGTGTGGCCGTGTGCCACACAACCTCCGAGCCCCGCGTTTTGCGAAACTACCTCGTCGCACTGGCCATCGCCGACGTCGGCCATGTATACGCCACGTACTCGGCGATGGGCTGGAACGCGTTTGTGGATGTCGGGGCCTGGAACGCGCTGACGTGGGGCAATATCGGGGCGACGGGGTTCCTGTTTGTTAATCGGGTTGCTTATTTCTTGGGGGTTTTTGGGGAGGCGAGGGCGTTTAAAGCGGTTGGGAAGTGGGAGTGAGATGTATAGTCCATGGATTTAGATGTGCTTGGTAGGTTGGGTACATATCTCTACTGTTACTCACCCCATTTATTTCTGTGTCTAGAGTGTATTGTATTTGCATGGAGCGAGTAACTCTAACAATCCGTGACTGGGTCTCCGATTCGATATTTTCAGTTGTAGGCCTCGCTTCGTCGAAGCAATGCTGTATACTCTGTGCCAGCATAATCATTGCTGCCCGATTATGCAACAACCCCTACAACCAAGCCGTTGTTCTCTACCCTAAGCGAAATGCAATTAGGGTCCCTTGACGTAACGCCGGACACCCTGACAGCTGTCAATGCTAGCATGGGTATAGCGTACAAGTACAGATCCATAAAGCATTAATCCAGAGCAATCAATGGCGATCCCGTCCCCCCCCAAAAAGAAAAGAAAAGCAAGATATTGTGAGTAAATAATATAACGAATCCCCCCTCTCTGCGCAGTGGGGCAGTGGGACCTCGTCACCTGCAGCCACACAAGCCAAGCACGAAGCCCACGTCCTCCCACAGCCCCCCCCCCCCTCCTCTCTCTCCGTGTCTGTCTCTCTCGCCTCTCACCGAGTCCAGCAACATCCATTTCGGGATGGGCCAGACCGATGATCATTAATCTTTTTCGTTCATCGCCGGAACGCCAGGTTGCTTTGCATGTACTGGAGCAGGGGCTGGAGTGCGGGCTCGCCGTGCTGCTTGTAGTCGCGGATGTGAGGAATCAGAAACGGGATGCCGGGGTGTTGGCGGTAGTGCTGGCGGTAGGCGGTGTGGTTTTGGGCTGGGTCTATGAGGAAGAGAAGATCGGCGGGGATGATAGGGTCTATGATTACGGTGCTGGTGCCGGTGCTGCTGTTGCCCCCGATGCCTGGGCTCGGGCCCATATTGGGGGCGCGCACGGTCGAGATGCTGTATTTGTGGAGGCCGTCCAGGAAGGCTGTTAGGGAGTGGTAGTTTCGCGTGGTATATAGAATCTGCGATATTATTAGAATGCATACCATACCTTTCAAGAAGGTTGGTCTATCACACTGCTAGGGAGATGCTTACCTGGGCGCACTCTTGGAGATATGGAATGAGATCAGGTAGTGCCGAGCAACACTCCCACACTGACCCGCTCAGGGCTCGCCAATCCGCCAGAAATCGCACGACCAATGCATCCTCGGCGAGGATGTTCTGCCGCGACAAGCTGGCGAAGTCGATCTCGTCCGTGCTCGTCAGCGTGCGGGCCAAGTCCATAGCCGACATCGAGGTAAGGCAATCTTCCAGAAACGGGATGTCGGTGTTGAACTTGACTCTCCAATCCATCGTCGGCGTGTGGATGTACTGTCGTCGGAATCGTACCCCGAGCACGCTGAACATTTTCAGGATCGTGGTCAGGCTCGGAGGCTGGTCTTTGAACAGGCGCTGAATGGGTCCGGTGATAAACTCGAAGCCGGGCGCTGGCGTGGGCATGTCGCGGTTGCCGCTAGGCCGAACGGCGCGCAGACACTGGAGCACGGCTCGGTGCGCGAAGGGGCTTGCGGGTCGTAGATGCTAGAAGTAGTTAGTCGGTGGATATCATCCATGACAATCCCTAACAGTTTTGTTGCCAACCTTTTCTACTTCTGCATAGAGCGGGATGTCTTCTGGGTACATGCGCAGATGATCTACCAGATGGATATGAAACGCAGTATGCTGCTGCAGGAACCAGTCGACCGATGCCGCATTGTACCCGAGCGAGCAGCGCACAATCTCCTCAAAGGCAATCTGGGTAAAATGGAAATGACTCTCGGCTTCGATGGCCGCCGCGATCGCGCGCGCATCGAGGGACAGGGTCGGTGGCGGCGGGAGCCATGACCAAGGGACAGGCTGAAACGCGGGAATGCTCGACCGGCGCAGGATCTCCTCGACGCGCTGCATATGAGAGAGAGTGGCAAGCAGCTGGTGCTCGCGAGGATCGGATAACGCAACCAGGAACGCATCGATGGTGTCTGCATTGCGACTTAGCAGCGAGCTGCGCGGGAAGTTCTCGTCGCGGAATAAGCCATAGCGAATCACACGGCTGATTTCTTGTACATTAAATGCCCACAGGATTGTCGTTGCTTCGTCCTCCCACCAGCGGTACGAGACAAAGAAGCGCGGGATCTCGGCGCTGGCTTGGAAGAGGGACTGGTACGACGGGCCTGGTTTGGATGGCACGGTTCTGCTCGCGAGGATCCGCGACATGTCGGGTCTAGTGGACTGAGCCCTATTCCCGGACAAAAACGGGCTCTTCTTGGGAGGCTCGAAGGTGAATGCCCCGGGGCTGAATTGCATTTATGCGGTCACACCCCCGGATGGCCAGGGCCAACACATTGGAGCCGAACGACACGCGCGTGCGATATGCCAATCAAGACTGTGTCGAGAAACAATGCATGCAAGAAAGCCCTCGGAAAACTCGGAAAGAGCAGTTGTGAAATGGTCACAGAATAAGATTAATTAATTTAGAGAAGAGCAGACCGGGGTACCTTTATCCCTGAAGTCCTCCACGTTGGACACATCACGAGGGGAATCAAGGCGAAGAAAAGAAAGAAAGAAAAAGAAAAGAAAAGAAAAGAACTGGATCTATTGACGATCCTCCCAGTTCCAAACTACCGGGAATCCCAATGGCCAGGAAAACATTCGGAGAAAGGGGGATAATCAAATCATGAAATAATACAATAATACCATCGATCATAAGAGAATCAATAAACAGAATCAAATAAATCATAAATACGCAGTTATGAAGATCGAGGAGAAGACTCCACCGCAAAGAATGACTTTCTGTTCTCTTCCTGAACCTGAAATTTCCCCGTTGAACTGGCTCAGTTGCCCACGCAATCAACTTCATCTTCTGGAATTTCTTCAGTCGATGTCGATGCATCGATCGGTTGGGAAGCGGTCAAACGACGGTGCGAGTGGACGTGAGTCGGTCAGGGAATCTCCATCTTCATCTCGAATGATTTCATCTGCAGACTAATTCAGCGCTAGTCTTGGGGTGTACCCCGTCCTGACACCAACTCTCTCTTTCTCTCCATTTCCCGTACACCGCCAGAGACCATCCGAACCCATGTCGTAGCGTGTCATGCCTGCAAAGGATCAATCTCATTCCACAACTTGCCCTTGCGCAGGATGCGATTCCCCCCCCTCTCTCTCCTCTGGTGGGGCCGAGGGCGAGACTCCACCATCTGACAGGGGCGTATCCTAAGGACCATGTACGATCCAGCAAATGTTTCCCCCATAACCACATATCCATCGACATCGACATCGCATAGTCCCGCCGCGATGGATCAACCGAAACCCCACGTGAAGGGGGGTGGTTCCCAGGAATTTATCCATGGGAACCCGAGGGTATGGACGCCGGATCTCGGATGATCCACTCGTTCCTGGATCCAAAGTTGGAGGTCACTGTATGCTCATATCATACTCATACTGATATCGCTAGCGAGATATGGAACAAAGGAATGGGAATCCTGAACTTCCAAGGAGGATCGCGTTTACCGAAATTGATGGGGGCATTTCAATTGACCCACGCTCCTCCTCCCCGGGCACCACCGGGGGAGCCCAGAGAGAGCGCGCGTGCAACGAACACTCCATGTCTCGTCAGTGGTCGTTCGGGGTTCTCGTGGTGCATTGGAAAGACTGCGCCAATGCCACCGTTTTCAAGGATCGGTGATCTCCATAACCAAGCTGGACGATCTCTATTTCTCTGTCTTTCTCTTGCTCTTTCTCGTTCTCTCTTGTTTTACTCGAGACAACAGTAGATTCCACAGCCACCTAGAATACTCGATGAGACCATCCTACTTTCTAAACACAAGCCCTCCACGGCGGCTCAAAGAAGTCTACTTATTTCCATGTCGCATCGTCGTGTTGGGTATAATTCCAGTGCTGTGGCGCCTGGAATGAGGATACTTTCTCCGGTGGAGATGGAACGTGGGCCCCAGCTGGAGAAGGGGGGAAGGGATTTTTGGATGCATCAGATTTGGCCGATTGAGCCCTCACGGTTGGAGATGATGATAGGCCCTCGGAAAAAAAATCATCAATTACTCTCTTCGTGATCCTTTCATACTCGGTACGGGTTCTGATCTTGAACGCAAACAAATGAAATAGCTCAAATCCCCTGAAGCAATAAATAGTAAGACGGCCAAGCAATAAAGTAAAGTAAAACAACAAATTCTCCTAATGTAAGAACCGCTGATCCTGCAACCCATTTTCTTTCTGGATAGTCAGTGCATACGTGCTTCTTATACGTCGATCGGACTCGATCGATGTTGGGGACGCGCTGCACCTACGGGAAGGGCCGGGAGGACAAGAATCCTTTGTTTTTTTTTTTTTTAGTCCTTTTGGTCTCATTTAGTTCTCTGGCAATGGCATCATGATAGGAGACGACACGTTGCGTGGTTCATCCCAATTTCCCTGGTGTCATATAGCTGCATTCCGGACATTATTTCCACCCATCTTGCACGGGAAATATATGCGGGAGTTTTGCGACATGCGCCGAAGGCTCTCCACCGCGGGAACTTTTGCTGCTTGCATTGTATTAGCATTAGCATTAGCATCAGGATTCAAAATCATCCAAGTATAGAAATACAGTTCGAAATACAGTATAGTCCCAGGCTAGATCAGCGCACCGCTTCATTGGTGCAAAGTATTTGTCAACCGATCATCAACAGCAGATCTAATGGCTCACGGTGCTTCTAAATTCCGTTGATCGTCTCGACTATCCACTTGGTAGATGAAAAAGGGATGATCACCTCCTTCCACAGCGGAGATAGCGCGGGGGGTATATTTTGTGTAGAGTGAAAGTCATCTGCAATTTGAAGAATGAATCAGGCGACTACACCGGGTGTTTCCATTCATCGATCGTCATGACTCTGCGTCAGACGGGAACTTGGTACTCCGCGTAACCCGTGTTCATGCATGATGGGATGTGGATATGGTTGTTGTTAGGGCTTCAGAAAAGCCGAGGCTATTCTTGGAAATCGACAAATTACGTCCTCGGGGGTATATCATTCATTCTGAGAGCACAAGGTAAGAAAAAAGTGGGTTGGCATATCCTTGAATGTATCGAGATGGGATATCGAAATATAGATAGTGGCACTTTGATTGTTTATTCTGTTGCAGCAGATCGGGTGGGCTCAGCTACTCATAACCAGGAGCCAAATCTTTTGAATGGAACCTAAGACCAGACATGTACTTGGCGTTGGTCGATATCACTGCAAAGCAGCAAGATGTCCAGGACTATCGGGCAGTGGTCTGCAACAGCCATCATGGCACATGCTCATTCTACTCGAGCAAAGCAAGGGTGACAAGGCGAGGACCAGGAATCCAGACAGGCTCATTAAATCATTCGAGAAAGGTAACGTTAAATGGTATCATATCACTCGGAAACGAGACGGGTATGCCGTCCCAGTTTTGTTTGCTATGGTTTGAATCTACGAAGCATCATCCAAGCCCATACAGCAAGACAAGACGCTGTTTCCCAGCTACTGTGGTTTTCTTGGTTTCTTTTTTATTTCATTTCCAGAGACTGGAAATCGCACACACACTCATTGCCAATGTCTTACAACATTTAGTTGGCAATGGCGTGGGCACGGCGGCGGTCACGCTCCTCAGAGATGGAGAGCTGCGAAACATGTTAGTTTGTGGATCGCAAAACCAAGAAAGTGAAGTTCAAACATACCTTGACACCCTTGCCCTTGGGCAGGGAGATCCAGGGCTTCTCCTGTCCAATGACGAAGACGTTGGACTCACGGGTGGCGAAGGTGTTGTCAATGGCGTCCTTGACGTGGACGACGTTGAAACCACCGTCATGGCGCTCACGGTGAGTGACAACACCAACACGACCCATGTTACGACCACCAGTGACCATGCAGACAACGCCGCTGTCGAAGCGGACGAAGTCGGCGATCTTGCCAGTGGCAATGTCCACCTTGACGGTGTCATTGACCTTGATGGCGGGGTCGGGGTACCGGATGCTGCAAGACACGAATTAGCAAATCCTTGTTCTGTATGCCCGGGGTCTTACTGTTGCCAGTATGCAGGGCAGAAATAAAAAAAAGTTCTTCGTCCTCCGCCGATCAACCAAAGCTTGGTCCAACGACTGAATGACACGGAACTTGTGGAGAGTATGCACTCACGTTCTCGCATCGTGCGTAACCAAGAATGGGATCCCGCCCTTGCCGAGCTGAACGCGCTTGACCTTGCACAGCTTGAACTCGGCCTCCTCGGCCTGGATGCGGTGCACGGTGAAACGGCCCTTGGTGTCGTAGACGAGACGGAAGTGCTCGCCGGTCTTCTCCAGGGAGATGACGTCCATGAAACCAGCGGGGTAGGTGGTGTCGGTGCGGACCTTGCCGTCGACCTTGACCAGACGCTGCATCATGATGGCCTTGACCTCACGACCGTTCAGGGCGTACTTGAGACTGTGGCACAAATATTAGCTTGCTGGTTGTTGGAGGCGGTTGTATTTGAATCGTACCGGTTGCGAATGAAGACGATCAGGGGCAGACAGTCCCGGAGCTTGTGAGGACCGGGGGAGGCCTTGGGCGCGTAGGTTCCGGACATCTTGTCCAGGAGCCAGTGCGAGGGCGCGCTAAGGCGCTTCTGGTGCTTCTTACTGTTGGGAAATTGGAGTTAGCCATCTCGAAATCATAATTTGTCGAGTCTGCAAGCGAAAGTCCGAAACGGGTTGAAACCCCATGCGAGGGTGCTGAGACCAATTTTTTGCGACTGAAAGACAGAGGAGATGGCATGAAACTTACGGTCCGCGAGCCATTTTGACTGAATTGTCGACCTGTACCCGGTGTGGTGTCGAAGAGTCGCGATGGAGAGAGAAGAGTCAAGGGCACGACAAGTGATAATCTATTTCGCTTAGCGCACGGTGTCTGTGGGTTGAGCCCTAACACCTACTAGTCCATAAAGGGCTAGTGTATAAAATTACGTCATCAAATGATTATATAATACCCATACTGTTTCCTTTTTGGGAAATATGTACGAAACGCGTCTATTTATTCTGCGCTGATAATGCCACTTTTCATATCTACATTTTAGATGTATCCCTTGATCACCGCAACCTCGGCATTCAGGATGGATGATCCGGCGGCACCAATGACGGTGTTGTGGGAGAGCGCGGCAAAACGGAGGTCGAAGTAACCACCCTCGGCACCCTCGCGCACTCGCCCCACGCTGACGGTGTATCCTCCGGAGATATCGCGGTCCAGTCGGGGCTGGGGTCGGTCGGGCTCGTCAAACACCTTGATGGCCGGCTGGGGAGCCGAGGGAGCACCCAACTTTTGCGCCTCGGACTGGTACTCGCGCAGCGCTTGCGCAACTTGCTCTGCGTTGGGACCGGGACGGTTCTTGAATCGCAGCGACACAAAGGCCATGTGGCCATCTGTGACACCCACACGGGTGCAGGTGGCGCCAATTCGCAGACCGGCCTGCTCGTCGAATGCCGTAGCGTCGGTGTTCAGGGCACCCAGGATCTTCTGGGCTTCATTCTCCAGCTTGTCTTCCTCGCCGCTGATGTACGGGATGACGTTGTCCACAACATCCATGCTGGGCACGCCCGGGTAGCCGGCGCCAGAGACTGCCTGCTCGGTGAACACCTCCACCTCCTCGACGGGGCCGAACTTGGCCTGGAGGGCGGCGAATGGGATAACAATGCCGATGACGGCACAGTTGGAGTTGCAGACCAGAAATCCCTTGTTCAAGCCAAAGTGCTTGCGCTGGTGGGGGATCAGGTCCAGGTGCTGGGGGTTGACCGTGGGCACCACCAAGGGCACGGCGGGGTGCTTGCGGTAGTTCTTGGCATTGGAGAAGACAGGAATGTCTGCCTTGATGAATTCCATTTCTGTAGAGCGTCAGTATATATTATTATTGATTTCTTGAATATTATAGAGTCCATACCTGTCTCGCCAGCAATATCGCTGTTCAATCCGGAGAAGACCAGGTCACAGTCCTTGAACTGCTCGGCCCTGCATTCCCGCAAGACAAGGTTACTGAGCTTCTCGGACATCGAAGAGGATTGCTTCCATCGCACGGCATCCTTGTACTTCTTGCCAGCAGAGCGTTCAGAGGCACCAACAGCCTCGAGCTCCAGGAAGGGGTGGTCTGCCAGCAAGAGGATAAATCGCTGGCCCACGGAGCCTGTGGCACCCAGAACACCTGTATGTTGTCAGAAACATAGAAACACACATGAATAGGAGGGCAGAGTGACATACCGCACTTCTTCTTCGGGAATGAGGGAGCCATCTTGCTTGATGTGTATGTGTAAAGATGAGCGTCAATCTGAGGTGGGAGTTAGTATTTCAGGGATATTCAAATCCAATCAACTACAACCAAGCAACAATAACAGATATATCCAAAGATCCAAAACACTAGTTAGAGGCGCAATTGGAACACTAAGAGACCAGTGAGTCAACCGTTCCAGAGCCCCGCATAGTTACTGCTAGGCAGGTCTTCCGGGTCCATTGACTCACAGACTTCACAGTCCAATTGCCCAATGCGCAACAACAGAAAAAGCAACACCATACACGCAATTGCACTTACCACTTTCGCAGTTGATGAGGGAGAGCTGGTGGCAACTCGACTCGACTGCGATATCGCAGCGCCAATCACCCCACCCTCGGCTGAGTCAGCACGCGCCCGGTCAAGATTTTTCTGCGACGCCATTGGCTGACGCGACGGAGGTATGAAGGAACAATTCACATTGAATGGCTGCTTGTCATCTACCAATATCTATTGCACCACTCGCTTGATCGTCTCCTGGATACTTTCCAATGACAGCCCCAACACCGCGTTTGCAAGACTCTCGTCCTTGGCGTAGTTCGCATGGAGACCAGGGGTGTTGCCGAATCCAGTGGCACGAACCAGCGCAAAGGCGCCGCTGAAATCCCCCGCGCCGAGCTTCTTGAATCCCCCACTAACTTCCGCGTCGGTGGTTGTCTCCTTCACAGTCCACTTGGCCCCCGTTGCTTCTTCCAAAGTCGCCAGGATTTCTTTCTGCGTGGTCTCCACCGAGGCCACGTACAGGTATTTGTTGCTGGTTTCCTGTGGATGTTGCAGGACCGAGACGACAGACTGACCGAGCTGCTTCTCGTTGGTCAGAGTGAAGCTATGGTTACCGCCATCCCAGATGGTTGCCGAACGATTGGCAATGTCAAATTCCAAGAAGCCGTTCCCAAGACCCTATTGGAAAAAATAACACAGATCAGGATATTATGTTCGCACAATTCTAGAGACTCGTGATTCACTTACCCAGTCAAACAGCAAGGAGGTCGCAATACCCGTCCAGGTCAGACCTTCCGATTCCTTGGTCTTGAGGTACTCGATCAGCTCTTTCTTCTGCCCAAACAGTGGCAGGAGCTGCAGCACGGCTTCGTTCTGGCTGCTTGCCGAGAACTCCGATGGGATGAAGCGCTTAACACCCGCCCGGATGGCAGCGTCCACAATCTTCTTTTGCTCGCCGAATGCAGTGGCTCCCACCGCCGAGATGACGGCGTCCTGGCCCTTGAGGGCGGCCTCAAGGCCTGCGTTTGAGAAGTCGGTCTTGTGAACGGCGACGTCCGAGGGAAATGCTGCTTCGCTTTCTTGGCGGGAGATCACGGTGACCGTGAATTGCGAAGATGCTACTAGGCTGTTGAGGATGATCTTGCCAATGCTGCCGCTGGCCTGAGGGGGGTGTTAATGCATGCACTGACGTTCTGGTGGGAATGTATTTGGGTAGGAAGCTCTCATACCCCGAAAATGGCAATGTTCTTCGAAGAGGAAGTCATTGTGGTTTGCCGAGTGGTGGTTGAAATTGACCTGGGATATCTATTGTTTACTTTTTTGTGTCTGGAGAAGATGCGATGAAGGGAGAAGGACGGCGTCTTTATATGCTTGGGCTGGTAGTCTCATAGATCTATACGCACCGAGGTGTCTATGTTTGTATTACATACTCAATATCACGAATCCATTTTAATTCTGCTTAGCAATACGGACTCCGACTCCGCTCCGCCCGACTCAAAGTAGACGAGAGCAATATTTGCGTGCTCGATTGTAGTCGAACTGCCATGTTGATACAATTTCGCCCCATCGTCGCCCCACAAGTGCTTAGCAATGCGGCGCTGGTGTCCGTCCCTCCGCCCCAGCCAATCAACGAAGGATCTCACTTTGGCTACACCGGCGAGTCATCACGCTGTTGCAACAATCTCTCTCGCCCCCAACTGATACCTTGACCCAGTTTACTACACTTGATTTCCGATGTCGCGCACTATCACCACAGGCCGATCGTGTCTCGAGTGCCACCGACGAAAGATCAAATGCGACAGATCGGAGCCTTGTTCGTATTGCGTCCGAGTTAAGATTCAATGTCGCTACCCGCCGAGACACAGCTCGAATAAGTCAAACAGCGATGGCGATGTGGCCGCTCGCATTGATAGGATTGAGCGCACGCTGCAGTCCTTGGAGCGAAGCCTTTCGCATATCTGGGAAGTTGTTCAGCCGAATCAATGCTCGCATTCTACTGGGAGCATTCATCGCACTGAAAGACAGGAGACCTGGGACGAGGGTCGCCAGCATGTGGACCAGAACTCTTCCCGGGGTCGAAGCGACCATGTTGGTATTGTCTCTGGGTTCAGAGAAGATATGCTAACAATAAATCTAGAGTACTGAACATGACCTCGACACAACTTGGTCTGCTCATATTGAAGAACCTCACGAAACTTCAAGATGGCATAAATCGCATGGTAGCTCATCGAGCTCTCTATTTGATGTTCCTAGCTCGGAACCTACGGCAACCCTTCATCCACCCCCAGCGACAAGATTGTTCTTATGGCAAAAATACATCGAAACAGTCGATCCCATTCTCAAGATGTTCCATACACTGACAGTTCAAAAACACATCATGAAATCTATTCGAGGCCAAGCTGACCCTGACTTACCGTTTGGATGCTTGATGTTTGCAATATACTACGCGGCAGTGGTGACCATGCCAGCCGAGGAGTGTCGTACGGAATTCAACGAAGACAAACACGAACTGCTAAAAAGGTATTCTTGTTGACTCTTATACATCGGGGAGTGGGCCACGCTAATAGTATAAGGTACCGCACCGGAGTCGAGAATTCTCTTTCCCAGGCAGACCTGCTGAGCTCCTTTGACATAACGGTTCTGCAAGCATTTGTCATATACCTTGTCTGTGACCTCAATTCTAATAAATGATACACAAGCTAATATTTCCCTTGTAGACTTGTGGTCGATGTGACGAACATGGACCTGATGTCAATACCCTAGTTGGAGTTGCCATTGCCATTGCCGTCAAGATCGGCCTACATCGCGACGGAGACATATCCAACCTTTCGCCCTTCCAAGTCGAGATACGACGTCGACTCTGGTGGCAGATTGTAATTCTAGATGTCCGCACAGCCGAGGACCACGGCTGTGACCCGCGCATTCTGGACTCGTCATTCAACACCAGATTCCCGTCAAATGTCAACGACGCCAGTCTCGATCCCGACATGAGCACATTACCTCATAACAGGGCAGAGAGAACAGAGATGCTGTTTAGCTTGGTCCGTCTTGAAGTGAGCAATTTCGCTCGTCGAATGGTTTTCTCTGACCAATTCTGTCGCGCGAACGCCTATCCCACTCTAGGGGCTGCGCAGAAATGCAAAGCGATTGATGGGTTCAGACAGCGAATAGAGAAGCAATATCTGTGGCAATGCGACAAAAGTCTGCCTCTCAATTTCGTCACTGCAGCGTCCAGCCGACTAATCCTCGTGAAACTCAAACTGAGTGTGAGCAAGCCGCGGACAAGAAAGAATCAGACTGTACTCATGCGCGAGAATTTCCGCAACATCTGTGTGGAAATACTGCAGCGGGCTCGCTCTTTACGAAACTATGACAAAGGCAAGCAGTGGCTGTGGCTTTTCCAGACTTATATTGAATGGGATGCACTCTCCTACCTTCTAATCCACCTGTCTCTGGTTCCGAGAGGGGACGGTGTGACCCTGGCGTGGCAATCAGTTGACGAGGTATACTTTTACTGGAAAAATAATGCCGCTCATTATCGAAATCACCGCTGGATATATATCGAAGAGCTACGCTCTAAGGCTTTGCTTGCTAGAGCCATAGTGCCGCCTGCTTCAGCGCAATGGGGATCACTGTCGAATGATAGCAACGGTCAAGAGCGGTCCGACACTATCAGTGTGACACCGCAACAGCAGGTTTCCTATGGAGTATCTAAGCATGGGATTAGCGAAGGCGCAAATTGGTCGTCAGAGCAAGAAAGCCGCAGCCCAAAACGTCGCCTGCAACCACCAGTGTCTCGATCAGCAACCCAAGAAGATCCCCAAGAAGATGTTCCTCGAATGTGGGCGCTTGCGAATGCGGCTGCGGCTGCTACAGCCACCGACGCTTTATCACAGCCAGAGACATTGAGCGAGCCTGCAGATATACCGAGCTCGGGCACCGCTTGCCAATGGAGCGCAAGCATCTTCGAGAAATACTTCCAGGTGTTGGAGACCGAGCAAGACGTGTCTGCACCTTGGCTTTGAACAACAGAAATTGATTCTAAATATTCAAGGTTCTTCGGAACATGCTATTTACATGGTGCCATTCCAAGCACACTATATCCACTTTTATGCGTCGTCTTCCATGTCGAAAATCTTTCCCGGGTTCAAAAGCCAGTGCGGATCCAGTGAGCGCTTGATGCTGCGCATAATATCGATGGTTCCCGGGCCCAGCTCTTTTTTGAGGGAGTCTTTCTTGCCTAGACCTACACCGTGTTCTCCCTAAGCAATTCGGTTAGTGAGCAAGCTCTTGTCAATGGAGGGTGAAGGGGATATGTACAGTGCAGGAACCCTCCATGTCAAGAGCACGATCAACCATGTCATAAACTACTTTTTCGACTTTCTCCCTTTCGCCGGGCTTGTGTCGGTCATACATGATGCTGGCATGGAAGTTGCCGTCCCCAATGTGTCCGAGAACACTGGCGAACATGCCGAGATCATCGAGTTCTTTCTTTGAGATTTCTAATGTCGTCAGTCTAGACAATAAACATTCCTCGAGGGAGTCATACCGATGATATCAGGCAACCTGGAAATCGGCACGGCGACATCTGTCGACCATACCTCGGAGCCTTCTCTGCGCAAGGCCATCATGCTCCACAGTGACTGCTTGCGTGCAGACCAGAGGTCATGGGCTTCACGCTCATCTTGGGCAAACTCAAAGGATTCTGCGCTGTTATTCTGGGCGAGCTTCGTGGTCAAGTTGATGCTATCCGCGACACCTGCCGTAGTCCCAGAAAACTTGAAGAAGAGTGTCGGCGAGGTCTTCCAGGAGCGACCCGTACCCCCGGCCCGGTTAATGACGTCCATCTGCACATCGTCCAATACCTCCATGCACTGCACGGGAATCCCTTTGCGAATCAGCTGCATGGCAGTCGAGGCGGCATCACGAATCGTCGGGAACGCAACCACCCCAACCCGAGTCTCCTCGGGAATCACAGCAAGTTTCAACGTCGCCTCAGTCACAATCCCCAGCGTGCCCTCGGAGCCAACAAACATGCCGGTGAGGTTATACCCAGCCGAGGTTTTCCGCGGCCGTCTCCGCGTCTTGAGAACGCGGCCATCCGCCAGCACAACAGTAAGGTTAATCACCCAGTCCTTCATCGTCCCATAGCGCACAGCATTCGTCCCGCTGCAGTTTGTGCCAACCATTCCCCCTATCATGGCGGACGGCCCCGGGTCCACGGGGAAGAAGAGACCCGTGTGCTTGATCTTCTCGTTCAGATCCATCCACTGGATCGACGGCTGCACCACCACGTCCATGTCCTCCTCGTGGATCGTCAGGATGCGGTTCATGAATGCGAAATCGATGGTCATGCCCCCGTGCGGCGCGGAGAAATTGGCCTCGAGACTCGAGCCGCCCGAGTACGGGATCATGGGCATGCGGTGCTTGTGGCAGATCTTGGCGATCTCGGATACCTCTTCTGTGGTTTGGGGGTAGGCGATTGCCACGGGTAGTCGGTCGGCGTTGAGACTTGACCATTCTGAGAACCCGTGCTGCTGGAGCTCGTCTTCGTCGGTGCTGACAGCGTCGTCGCCGAGCTTGGTGCGGATTTCTTGGATGGCCTGGTGGTAGGTGTTAGTCTTTTGTGTTTCCTCTAGAGACTTGATTCTTTCGTGATAGTTTCATGTTTGACTTACCTTTTCGAAGTCTTTGGCCGAGCCATACTGTGGCTTCGTGGGTGTTGATTCTGTGCTCTGGTACGACGCATAGCCATACCCCAACCCCGCAGTTGCTGCGGAGATCAACAGCGCTTTGCTGGACGTCCAAAAGGGCGGCGGCGGGTTTGTAGAGGAATCCGAGTAAGAGGGACTATAACCGCTCTTTGTTCTATCTGCTCCAGCACTGGAATTGTTGAATCGGACACCACAAGCCAGAATACGCTGGCGGTGTGAAATCCGGGGGCGGCATTGAACCGCGCGGGGAGTGGGGAACCGAGGAACCAGTACTCGCATGGTGAACGGGAGAGGGAGAGAGAGTGAAGGATGTGCAGACAACAATATGGATAAAATGTGGAAGCAAAATGTCTATTGCATAGCTATCAATTTCAGGTTGGAAGCGTCTGGAAGAAATGAATAGGCCCGTGTCGATATGGCGTCCATGATGTGATTGCGGTTACTTGGACTCGGGAAATGGCCAGCGAGACGGTCGGAGTTCGGCCGAGAAGCCGGTGCGTGGGGGGTGCCGTGGGGGTTCGTTTTTGTGAGGGGAACTTCGAATTAGGGTTTCTCTCCTTCAATGTCGACATCTGCTTGTTGATGCTGTGCAATTGTCACTCGCTAGAGGTTTGGATTTTTGATATATTGGGAATACACATGGCCATAATCATATAAGGTCAATCACTATCCCCATCTGCCCGAATGGCGGTCTACCCCTTCCCCTTCAATTGTGAACTGCTTCCCCGATTCCCATGCCCCAGATCTCCCAGTGTGTAATTCTCTCCACTGCGACGGGACCCATCGCCTACGGCTCCGCCATCAGCAGAAGCCGATCCCACAACGCCAGCACCACCACGGGAGTCGGTGTGGTTAGATTTGGAGAGCGAGCGCGCCGTCGAAAAGACACCCGTGGTGCAGAACTTGACGAGCGGTGCGGTCGTCGGCAGACAGGCCGAGATCACGCCCGCGGCGGTTTCAATCACACACCAGATCTGGGCATCGGCCAGGGTCCAGGCGATGTCTTTTTGGTCGAAGATGAAGATGCGACTGAAACTATAAATGCTCGCGAAGACGACGCTAATGCGTTTCTTCTGTTAGTATACAGCTTCGCCAAAGGCACAGAGGGGAGGGGCGCGTACAAACTCCCACTTAGAAACACTAGAATAATCGACACGCGCTGCCAAACACTCGCCTGCAGTCCCCAGACGAGTTTGGCTGGTGGTGCCAAAATCAGGATATCCGTGACAAAATTCGGGACCCCGTCCCCGATCAAGGCTGCTTTGAAGGTTAATGCAGCTGCCTGGGAGGGTGGGATTCCACTCCTTGGACACCGGTGAGCATTGAAAGATGGCGACCAGGCTGACGGAGATCATCCAGGTAAGCTTGATGCCGCCGAGGAGATAGCCGGGGATTCAAATGAAGCGGACGGGGAAGATGCGGTAGTACATCAACAAGACGGAGAATTTGATGATGCGCACTGTGGTGATATACAGCGGCTCGAAAGCGTAGACCAACTAGATAATTAAAGTGGATCAGCAAGTTCTAGTTTTGTTTTAACCTTTTTCAAGTTCGATTGGCGATTCATGGATTGCATACCTTGAAGATGACGGGTAAGTCGGCCGGGGAAATGGCGAGAGTGTGTTTGCCCATGCCATATTGTATACCTTTTGTGCCTCTTGTTACCTCGGCCCTTGTCTAGTTTGATCGTCCATCCCCAATGGCACCAGTCAACCTTTTCAATTAGAACCTTGAAAGCGGATATCTATCGGGAATGACATGAATGTGTGGTTTACTGATATTTGATACCTATCCCCACTTTTTTCTGTATGGCATTTTGAAATTTACAACTGGACGTCTAGTGTGGTATATTCTTTTCTCGATTGTATGTCTTAATCTACCAGGGGAGATGCAGGCTCAACAGTCCATTCGGTCCAGAGTACAAAGACCAAACTATTCCTACAAGCTTACAATAAATTTAAACTATACATGGATATATCAAACATTTACCTGATCTCCAAACGGTTACTCTCTCGAGATCGTTGCTTGTCGCATGTCATTGGCACATCCCACGCCAGGGCTGGTTGAGGGGGCAACCAGCAGAGAACCCACCACTTCACAACCTTAACATTGACCATCGCATTGTGCTAACGCCGAAACCAAGATAGAGGCAATCTCCATTGAAAGTCGTTTGGATAAAATGGCAGACGACCTGGCTCGCCTCGTGCACCAGATAGAACGCGTTGTCACTGCACCTTATGCGCCCTCGCTGCAGGTATGTCGATTTTAACATCGCGCCCGACGGCTGAATGATAACGTAGGCCTTTAGGATCTGCACGAGCTCGCCCATCAATGCTCGAACTCTACAATTGAGTCCTGGGCTTTCTACAAACCTTGCCAGGTCGGGCTGTTGGCCGATGTGCTGGTCGAAGGGCTGTCTCGATCTCGCGTCGCGCTTCCACTTGTTTCCGCTTTTGGTATGCTCTCCCGAAAATCAGCCCAGCTTTGTCCTTTGCGAAATAAGAATGAGGATTGATCTCTATTAGCGTCTGTAACATCCTTTCGAGATGCGTTGCTGGAGCGCCACCCGGTCATCTTGGATGGCTTTCTCGAAAAGACTCTCGACGCCGAGGAGCTCGAGGTGAGTTCATTGAACTATCCCACAATTTGATTTGTAGTGACTCATAAGAATAGTACTACCCGGCATGTGTTGTCCTGCTGTCATCACCTCTCCCATCCGAGGTTGTGCCACCAGCGCGTCTATCTAGCTTCATCACGAAGCTAGTTTCTCGAATGGCAGAAAATCCCTGCGCTGAGACAATCACGCCTCTGCACACTCTAATAAATGGTCTCCAAGGATCCCTAAGGATCCTATACGAGCTTTCCTCAGAAACCCTGTCGAATCTGCAACTGGAATTCACCAAGACCCTGCGCAACCTCGACGACCACATGGGTAACCTCCTGTGCCTAGCAACCTTTGCGCCAATTGCATCTGCATTTGATACTGCATATTATCGCCACCACCACAAACAACAACACGGACCGGAAGCTCCATCTTGGCTTCTTAACATCAAGCATTTCTTCGGCCCGAAGCGCGGCATGAAGACCTTGGATTTGGTTGTTTTGCGCGTGATCTTGGCGTGCTCGTCTAGCTGCAATAGCTTAACTCCGTCTGCGGCTGCGGAAAGTATTCGTCTGGCTATTTGCATTGCCGATGCTCTTGAGATTGACCAGAAACAAACTTGGATTTCGGGCAATTCTTCTAAGATCGGCAAATTGTGTGAAAAGATTGCCAGGAAGGGTCTCGACGATGAGATTCGGATGATGGTATGGCTGACCTAGATACATTATTTGGCGGTTATGGCTGAACTTTTGGTATTTTGGTATAGGGCGTGGTATTTCTGCACACTCTTCTCCCCCCTCAGTCAATTCCATCTCAGATGCGCGGGCTTGGTTTGCAAACCCTCATCTCGAAGGACAGCAAGAAGGATTTGCAGGCCATACCACCGCATCTAATTCCACGCCTTGCAGAATCGTTGGCTGTTAGTATCCCGGCCCTTTTCCTCTGTTATTTCTTTCCTTCTGACCTGAGCAGGATTGCGGGGAATCTTCCATCAAGGAACTGTTGAGTTTTATATTTGCCGCTCTGGCACACAGTGCTTCGCCCAGCGAAAACACTTTGTTAACCATCCGATTGGCGCACTTGATTCTTATTGGTTTGAAAAATACCAAATTCCAACCGGAACTGACTATCATCAACAGCACGGTGTTCGCCATTGGTACAGATACAATCGGACCTATGCTTGAGCACTTCCCCGCCAAGCCAGCTCAAAGCCAATGTGATGGGTCTAGTACTTGTGAGTCTGCCTTGAGCAGTGCTCAGAACAAACTGTTTCTTGATCTTTTCGATCTCTATTCTTCCGCCGCTCTTGCACGAAACGGGGCCGAGGACACCAGCATCAAAATCATGAGGGTCTTTGTAGACCGCATGGAGAAATCATTGTCAGGCAGCAAATGTGCATTTTCGAAGTCGAAACCAGCAGACTTCCGTGGCTCCCTAGCTTTGCGCGACACACCAGATTTTCTGTCAGCTCATTGTTCATCTCGGGACTGGCGTGCTGGGTTTACTGACACGTTCATGAAAAACGCGCAAACATTCCACAATGCTACAATGAAGAAAGCCGAAGAGCTCTGCTTTGATCTGGAGCGTCGCTGCTACAATACCGAGGCACCGCTACGGGCGGTCGAAGAGGAGCGAGACGGGTACATCATCGAAACCGAAGAACTGAAACGACACAACAGGGAGCTAGAAACGCAACTGCAGCAGTTATCCAGCACTATCTCCAATCTACAGCAGGAGATAGCTCAGCTTGGAGAACACGCCGAACATGCTTGCACTAGAGTGGAAGAGTTGTCTGCATCTCTGGACTCTACACACCACGCACTCCGGGAGCAGCGATGCAGCTCCGACGAGATAATCCGGGTTGAAAAGGAAAAGGCTCGAACTAGGGAGCTTGACTTGATTGCTACTTTGACCGAAAAGGATGATCTGTTGGAGGAGCTGCAGGAAGAAGTACACTCTTTGCAAGCTGAGAATGAGCAGACGAGGAAGACGCTGGATAGTGTTTCCAAGGAGAAAGCTACCTCCCTGGACGACTCTGCGTCTTTGCGTCGAGAAATCGGTAGCTTGGCAGGGCTTCTTGAAGAGAGCAAACGGCTTTCTACTCTGAAAGAAGACGAAGTTAAACGTCTCTTGACAGACCAAGAGGACATGCGAATGGAGCTTGGTAATTTCAAAACGACGGTCAGTCTTGGCTTTTCTCTCCGTTGTGGATCTTTGGCTAACTCTAATTATAGACGGAAGAACAAAACATAGAAATTGACCGTCTCTTCTCTGCTCTGCAAAAGACCGAGGAGCAGTCGAGGCGTGAGATCGAGATAATGAAAGAAAACCACCAGGCCGAGGCTTCTCAGGCCGCATCGGAAGTATGTTTTGAGAATATCCCAACCTGTATCAAATCAGCGCTAAATGGGCATTGTCTAGAATGCACGACACAAAGAGGACATAAAGCGTTTGCAGATTACTGTATCTGATGCTTCCAAGGAAGCACAGACAAAGGACAAACGGATTCAGAATCTGGAAAAGAAGGTAAGCTATCTACAGAGAAAAGAAATGCCCCATCTTATTTATTTAACTTGTCCCTCCAGATCCAATCTCTACGGAATGAACGCGCAGCCAAAGCTCGAGAGTTCTCCGAGGCACAGCAACACATCGGCCGACTGATGGCCGTCATGGGCTTCACAGCCCAACCAACCGAACCAAAGCACCCCAGCAGGCACCAACGTTCTCGGTCTAGCGTCGCCCCAGCCCCTGGTGCCAGCATCCCACAACCGACGCGGAATGAAGAAGACGACATGCAACTCGCCCAGTCCTTTGAGTACATGACGTCTAACCTCAGTCACCCAAGTCCAAACCGACCCCGGGGCAGCCGCCTCTCCATCCACCCGTCTCAGGCTCCACCGTCCAAGAACCCTGGCATTGCAGTCCGCACGCCCAAGGGTCAACCTGCCCCTGCACCTGGCACACAAAAGTCGGTGCGGAAGCCTCTTGCGGAGACAGACCGCAACAGCCCTTCCAAATCGCAATCTAGCCAGGCTTCCAAACAGAGCCAATGCGATTTGTCCACCCAAGAGATTCAAGAAGAACCTGAGAATCGACTTCAGGAAGTCAACTTGGATATGGATCTGGAGTCCTCTAGGGACTTTATCTTTACGAGTACTGCTTTCTCAGGGTCAAATGATCACCCGGCTCTGCATTAAGCTTTAGTTACCTCTATTTAAATGCTACTAGTTGAATCCATTACCTGTTTTAAATACGATTGATAGATTCAAAGAATCTAGTCTATCGAAAATAGCCAGTTGACCTAATTGTAAATTGCTAGTATGCTTATTTCACTGGAACTTATTGTTTGCCTACGCTAGGCGCAATAGAGTGAAGTAAACACGCTGGAAGTCTGCCTACTCTTGGTTTGCTATTGCTAGACCAACGACAGCTGCCGCCTGAGGCCCTTTGATGCTTCAATCGCTATTCAGTCCTAGCAAAAATAAAGCCTTTGTTGCCTTTCAAAGCGGAGGAGCATTCAGTCAACCAGCGCAATATTCCCTCATTTCCGCACTTCTCTTCTATACTACGCGTCGCTTTATCTATTTTTCTATCTTTTCTTTGTTCTTTTTATTTTTATTTTTACTTTTCTATTTCTTTCTTTATCATCATTATCATCTCTTTTTATTTCTTCTTACTTTTCTACTATTTTCCCCTTACTTTGGCTATCGATTCCTCTCACCATGGCCTCCAACCCTCCCCCACGCAATGGCTACCGACCCTTCCCAGCCGCGAGCGGGTACAATACCCCAGCCTGGCTGCAGTGGCGGACCTGGGAGTCCGTGGCCATTAATCTATGCCGGGTGCCCCGGGAGGCCAACACGTTCACACTCTGGAAGGCTTTCCGTAAGGAAGGGTCGATCACATCGATCGATATCTTCGACGATGCCCACGGGCAGCGGGATACACGAGGACGAATTCGCTTCAGGTTCGCTTGAGTCTCGCTTTATACTTCGCTTTTGTTTACTTTTTATTTAATGTGTTGTTGTTTTTGATGTGGTTTGTGTTATGTTTCGTGCTATTCTAGATATTGGTTAAATATTTCGCTCTCACTAGGCCGCCACCCGCGACTGATTTCTGGCGTCGCGGGCCTTACCGCGTGAAGCTTCGCAGTGGGCGCGTAATCGCCATCCCAATTGCCCTTGACCTAAAGCTTCACGATTCGTTGGTCCCTAGCCCCGCTCGCTCGGGGGTCGTCTTCCCCGCGGAGATGGTGAGTCTTCTATAGCCCCCAAACCCTAATTCAACTTACCCAAGGCTAATGAAACCCGGGGTTGCTTTTCTCTAAAGAAACTGCAGATCCCCAACCTCAGCATTGGTGTCCCTCTGAGCGGGTCTACAATCCATTGGATGCGCAGCGCCCAGGATTTGACCCGCCCTAACTTGATCGTGGACCTGAAAAGACGGGCCTTTTTCATCACCTTCAATACCTGCCCCCTCGTTAACCAACACACCCAATATGCAGGCTCATCCGCCCCTCGAGACCATCCTCAATTCCGCCTCAAAATCCCTTTCCTGCAACTCACCCGTATCTTCGAGCTCTGCGACCCTATCTCACAGCAGGTATCCTTTCTCACGATCCTGGACTCGCCGCCGACATATCACCGGTTGGCAGGAAATGTCCACGCCTCCTTCCATAGTGACAGCACATGGAGAGAAGCCGATATGTGGTTCCGACAGACCCTGGTGTTCCACAATGCTACGGAACAGTTGAATCTGCCCACGAACCTGCGGGTGGCAGGACAGATCATTGATATCGGTGTGTAAAACACATATTCCCGTCACTCCAGCTTAGAAGCCCAAAAACCCTAATAAGCTTTTGATAGGTCGGTGGAATGCCTTCAAGCTCACTTTCTCCAGCGAGATGAATGAGAAAGGCAATATCAAACTCCTCCGCGAGATCATGAAAGATCACAACATCCCTGTCGTGGACGGAAGCCACTTCATCGATGTCCCAGAGCTCCCTGTGCCCGTGTGGCGATGGATCGATTTCGTCGAGTCCCAGTTGACCGGCGCATCCTCGTCCGGTCTGCAAGACCTAGCTGACCAGGACTACGTACACGTCCCCTTCGCTGTGCGGTACCAACTAGAAGTGTGTCTATCGCATGGCTATCTTTCCGAATTCACGATGAGTCGTGCCTTCGTGATGAAACTGATGGAACTCGGAGAATCCAAGGCCAGACGGCTCCTGGAGCACATCGCGAACAAAAAGACCACCTATCTCGACCCGATGGACATCTTCGATATTCTAGGCGTCAATGGTGTGAGTGACTCGAAGATCCCGGCCTATTGCTGCTTCATGCGTACCGCGCGAGTCACGCCAAGCACTATCTATTATAATTCGCCCACAGTAGACATTTCCAACCGCGTCGTGCGTCGCTACCTCGAGCATGCGGACCGCTTCCTTCGCGTAAGATTCACAGACGAGAAGACCGAGGGCCGTATTAACTCCACGCTGAGCGACACCAATGACGAGGTATTCACCCGAGTCAAGAAGACGCTGGCTAACGGTATCACCATCGGTGACCGGCACTATGAGTTCCTCGCCTTTGGTAACTCGCAGTTCCGTGAACACGGCGCTTATTTCTTCGCGGCGCTGCCCAACCTCTCGGCCGCGCACATCCGTGTCTGGATGGGCCAGTTCCAGCACATCCGCAATGTGGCCAAGCATGCTGCACGATTGGGCCAGTGTTTCTCGACAACCCGAGCTATCGCTGGATGTCCGGTCACAATTCGGAAGCGTCCGGACATTGTTCGCAATGGATACACATTCTCTGATGGCGTTGGCAAGATCTCCAAGTTCCTAGCCCAGATGGCCATGTCCGAGCTCAAGATCAAGCCTGTCACCGGTGAGCCGCCCTCAGCGTTTCAGTTCCGGCTTGGTGGTTGCAAGGGGATGCTTGTGGTATCTTCGGATCCTCAGCCCCCCGAGATCCATATCCGACCCAGCCAGTACAAGTTTGATGCGGATCATGGTGGGCTTGAAATCATCCGATGGTCACAGTTTTCGATTGCGACGTTGAACCGGCAACTCATTCTTGTTCTGTCGGCTCTGAGAATCCCGGATCATATCTTCCACAGTAAACTCGCCTCCATGCTGCAAAGCTTCAACGAGGCGATGGGCGATGATGTTCAGGCCACATATCTGCTTCAGAAATATGTGGATCCTAACCAAATGACCCTTAAACTGGCTCAGATGGTGTTTGACGGTTTCAGACAAAGCAAGGAACCGTTCATGACCTCCATACTAGCACTATGGAAAGCGTGGCACCTGAAACATCTCAAGGAAAAGGCCAAGATTGTACTGGACCAGGGCGCAAATCTTCTTGGCTGCTTGGACGAGACGGGGACTTTGAAGGGTTATTTCGATCGGAGCCTGCCTGGCAAGGGTGCTTCACTTGAAGAGAAGATGGCGGCCTTACCGGAGATTTTCGTTCAAATCTGCCGCCTGGAAAACAACGGCGTGCCCGAGATCATTGAGGGGCTTTGTATCCTTGCACGTAACCCTTCCCTGCACCCAGGAGACATCCGCGTTGTGCGTGCAGTAAACAGACCAGAGCTGCGACATTTACACGACGTCATCGTGCTTCCGCAGACGGGGCATCGGGATGTTGCGAGCATGTGCTCAGGCGGGGACTTGGATGGCGACGACTACCTGGTGGTTTGGGACCCAGATCTAATCCCAAGAGATTGGTTTGTACAGCCGATGAGATACAGCAACCAAAAGCCACCAGACAACGACCACGACGTCACAGTCGACGAGATCACCACGTTCTTCGTCACGTACATGAAAAACGATTGCCTGCCACGAATCGCCCACGCGCACATGGCCTGGGCCGATAGCCTCCAGGATGGGATCAAAGAGGAGAAATGCATTCGTCTGGCCCGGCTTCACTCCCACGCTGTCGATTATAACAAGACCGGAAAGGTGGCAGTCATGACGCGAGATCTCAACCCGCGGCTTTGGCCCCATTTCATGGAGAAGAAGCACAAGCGCAAGGAGCAGATATACCACTCAAAGAAAATCCTCGGACAGTTGTACGATGCAGTTGAGACCATTGACTTTGTCCCCAGTCTCGAGATGCCGTTCGATGTCCGGATCCTTGAGTGTGAGCTGAAGCCCCCGAGCGAGCCGTTCATGGAGTATGCGCGTCAACTAAAAGAGGGCTATGACGAGGCCATGCGTCGCATCATGGCCCAGTACGAGATCACCACCGAGTTCGAGGTGTGGTCGACCTTTGTGCTGAAGCATGGCAACATCTGCAGGGATTACAAGCTCCATGAAGACTTGGGTCGAGTCGCAAGCACGCTCCGCGGCGGTTTCCGTCAGCAATGCTGTGACAAGATGAAAGGCCGTACTTTTGACTCACTTTCGCCCTTGGTCGTTGCCATGTACCGCATCACGCACGAAGAGATGACCTCATACCTTGAAGCCCGGCGTCGTGAACAGCATTTGGGCGACGACGATGATTCTTCCCCTGGATCTGAGGCGAGTGTGACGCCATTGCCTCTTATTAGCTTTCCCTGGATTTTCTCGGATATCCTTGGTCAAATCGCGATGGGTCAGTTCGAAATGCCAAAGATCTCAGTCGAAGGCTCACCCCCTACAACGAGCAAGAAGGAACTCGCCACCTTCACCCACACTGAAGTCAGAGAGATGCTTGCAGGTTTCGGACAGTCTTCCTCGGAGCCTTCGGTAAATGAGGTATCTTTGACGCCTATTTTCACCGAGGAGAGTGTGGGAGAGTTGAAAATTGACTGGGACCAGGAGAAGAATGCTGACGGTGACGAGAAAGTGGTGGAGATTGTCGAGGTGGAATCACCCCCGACGCTGGGTAGATTGGCGAACCTCGTGCATGATTATAGCAACAGCGTGGGGGAAGAGAAAGAAAGTAAGGGGAAGGTGGCATGAACAAAGCGAGGGGCAGCAGCAGCGAGATCCACGAGATGCGTCTACATGAGTTTAAGAGAAAAGAGAGAGGGTTAGAGAAAAAGGCGAGAAAAGCAAATAGTCAACAAGAAAAATAATGATATTCATGATTCAAACCAATCTGTACGCCGTAGGGTATTTCCAACTCCAAAAGCCAGTCGTGTATCATCAGTATCAAAATCACCAGTCCAAGCCCTCATCGCCTTTCTGTTCCAATATCTCTACCACCGGCCCCAGCACGGCTCGCGAGTGCCTCAAACGAGCAGCTTCTCTCGTCCGAGCATAGAAAACTGGACAATCCATACTATCGCAACGGATCTCGTCACCCGCAGGGACGCCCGTGCAAGAGCGACACACGGTCTCCAAGTCTACAACACGCTTCTCGGCATGCTGCAACCGCGACACAACGTCCAGCAGCGCAATATGAGGATGCTGAAGACAATCACCACACACAGGAGTCGCCGCATCAGACAATTTAGATCGACAGACGACACACGACGATGATCTCATGTAGGACTCAAGTGTTTTCTTCGAGAAGCCGAGCAGATAATTCGGCCGGGAAGTCGGCGCGGACTCGACGCGGCGAATGCGCTGCACTTTGGGCATCTCGTCGTACCATTGGCGCACACTGGCACCAACCAGATTGAAGATACGCTCGAGAGGCGGGATAAGGTTCTTGGTGATGTAATACTCGGCATCAAGGTCGAGCTGGGCATCGTGAAGGAGCGTCTCTGGAGGAACGCACCGGTCAACGAGTCGGGAACCTGGCGCGCCCGTAACAACAACGTAGGGAACGCGCTCGTGGCACTGCGGCTCACGTCGCGGGTCCTCGAGCATGCGCTTGGTGCTGATCATCGCGCCAGCCGGGAGCAAGCCGCTCTCGCTATACGTGCCTAGGCGGACCTCTCGGGCGAAACAAAAGTCCTGGATCGAGACACGGCCTTGCATGATCTTGGTACATTGTCGCTGGAAGTAAGCCTTCACCTGGCTGAGGTCCGCGGTACGGAATAGGGTCTTGAGCGCCTTTTCCTCGATTTTCTGTTCCGCAGGCGTGCCGTCGCGTCGCACGGTCTCAATGCCTTTGGCATCGAATTCGGGGTCCGTCTGCTCGCGGTGCTCGTACTTGAAACCAACGTACCGCTTCTTGGCTAGCAGCACACAAGGATGATAGACCTTTTCGAACTTTAACTTCACCGGTCTCGGATTCATGTCCGTGACCACCTGTGCGATCTCTTCGCCGATGTCGAAAGCTTGCTCACGCGTACGGCCTTTCAAATAGACAAAGAGGCTGTCCGTGTCGCCATACACGACTTCTGCGCCCCACCGTTCAACTGAGTGAATTAGTGCGATGGCTTTCTCGAGCGTCTCTCGTCCGGATTGCACGATGCTGTCGGCAATCTCAGAGCACGGCATGCGTCCGGAGAACGAGGCCGAAGTGTATCCATAGGTGACATTCGCGATCAGCTTGAGGGCCAGCTGACGGTTGTTGAGCATTCTCTGCAGGACTTTGTCGTCCTTGTCGGCCTTCATGCCATTTTTGACCATCACACGAGTCTCCAGGATCTCAGTCAACATCTTGGCCAGGAGCGACTGCCGTGTCTCCCGCTTTGCATACATCATGCCATTCGGTGCAATGTTGACTTGGTCTTTTAACAACTCCAGCAACCGTGGCTGGCGTTGGTAATCCAGGAATCCCATCTTGTCGCGTCCGCGCCAGTCCTTCGCTCGCCCCAGAAAGGTTGAGTAGCAGTAATTATACGCTATCATCACGCTGGGGTAAAGCGACTGGAAATCGAGGACAAGAAGTGGGCTTGTGTAGAAGTCGCTTTGGGGCTCCATGACCAATGGCAGGCATTCGAGCGCGTTTTGCTGTCCAACCTGCTTCTTGCTCGGAGACACAAGCAGGAAGTTCTCCGGTTTGGCAATACGGAACATCAAAGACTCCACTTTGAACTGAGACCCGCGAGAAAAAACGGAGCAGAAGTCTATACCCAGTAATCTTGCTTGCTCGCTGGTTCGCGGGACCAACTCATTGGCCTCGAGGATCTCCAGGTTCATTTGCACACGGGACAAGTAGTATTGGGCGACTTTGAGAATGCTGCGAGACTTCCCACTTTGATGCCATTTGGTCAGGTCCTGGGGCGAGTAGTGAGGGATTCGACGATGCAGGAGATGGAACACCACATTCTCCATGGTGTACTGTAGCAAATTGAGCTCGCCTCTCATGGCCTTCCAAATGTTTATCGTGTGTCGTCCTGTGATACGGATAGACGAGGTATGCTCAAACCCCCAGCGATCGGCATCTTTCCCGAATCTCCCATGCGATTGAGATTTTACTCGGGACAATTCGTCGCACAGATCAAAATCGTATTTTTTCCGAGCCCGCTCGATTACATAGCCCCAGGATCCGTTGTGGACCTCGTAGCCTGTGATGATATCAGGGTCATGGTAACGAACAATGTCAACAAGCCGGTTAATCAAGTCCAGCTCTGTCAGCTCATGTTCCAAATCAATCTTCAGTGCCTTGGAGATCTTATCCTCGGGCCTTTGATTTTCACCTTGGTAGACCATCCCGACGTGAACGCCAGGAAGATGGCTATTCACCTCAAGATCCTGGTCTTCTGATTGAAGACACCAGAAAAAAGAAACGATCTCATCCTCATCGGGATTGGCGTATAGAGCTCCACGGGTATTGACATGCACCTCCAAACTCATTGTACTCATATATTGAGCTTGGTGCTCAACGCTGGTTGACTTTCCTTTCTGCGAGTATTTGAACCCATACGTGTTTTGCTGTGTTGGTCCTTCAATCTGTGAAAGCACGTCTGGCTTCATTTCGGGCTCGGGGTGGCTCGCTTTCGGTTTTGCAGCGTTGCGCGAAGCTTCAACATTCTGAAACCACTCTATCACCTCCGAGCGGCTCGGCGGTACAGGTGCAAATTCCCACACCCTCGAAGTACAAGATGCCCGGAGATGCTGATCGAGTTTTTCCTGTTGCTCTCGGTCAAACGAGACAAGTGTCTGTTCACCAAACATCGCAGGCGTTTCGGCGGTTGGGTCGAATTTGGGCAAATAATGGATGGTGTTACTTTCCAGCCGAAACTCTCGGCCGGCGTATTCTCGCCGACGTTCGGGCACATCTGTCTCCTCGCTGTAATATGCTTTTTGGTAGACAACAGAGGGACGGCCGTAGTCGTTCATGGTAGAGACGATCTCGTTGCATCTCGGACTGGCGAATCTGAAGCAGCCAAGAGGGGTGCTTAGGGGCATATCGAATGAGTAGTGGATGTTGCCCAGTAGTTCAGCGACATGTGGATTGAGTGCCACTGACTCGATCACAGTGGAAGACTGAGGTTGCGAGGAACTCGCCGCTTCACCAGCATGACCCGAGACATCTGTGGCAGATGCAGAAGGGGAGGAGCTTGGCGTTGGCTGCAGAGATTCTGGGTCCTTGTTTGAGGAATGCACATCGTCTTGGCTAAATCGCAATATTGTCAATGGGTCATTAGGATCCTTGACCACCGGAAAGTTGAGCCTGCTGTTGGGAGTCTTTGTCTTTGGACGGATGGTCCTCTGGGAAGAAAACCTGGGTTCCGATGATGAGGGTCCCATTTGGGGTCCCAGATTGCTATCGAATGAAACCTTGTGGTTTTCTCCTGTTTCATGAGTCTTTGGCGTGTTCATCAAAGTTTGGGGTAAAGCAGGTGACTCATTTTGACCAGGATACTTGGTCTTTTTACAAGAGGGCTGGTTATGATCATTATCATGATCAGTGGCTTGGCCGTGCTGTCGTTTGAGGTTCTTGCTGCCACTCGATCTTCCATCTTTGACACTCTGCTTGACTGGAGAGGACTGTGCCTGGTGATTGCTCCCATTGAATGTCGGGTTCGAGTGGGTTCGTTTATACCATTCCCTGGGTGTATCATCTTCTGGTGGAGGCAGCTCGTCGAATATTCCATCGTCAAAGCTCTCTTCCAGAGCGTTATCGTTTGCATTTGGTTCCTCTTCGCCGTTTTCTTCCAAGAAGTCACCAAATTCATCGTCTGATTGGAACAGCTGCCCGGGTTGGGAGGACAAGGCAACATTTTCATCAACCGAAATCTCGGGTGCTGTGCGTTCGTTCGATGGTGGTTGATGACGGGTGTCGAAGGTCGAGTTATCGACTCTATCCGGGTAAAAGTCCTCGACACTATCGAGCACCGTTTTCACGTTTCTCTCGTATTCATTCAAGTCCAAAAAGGTTTCGAAGGACACATCCTTCTCTTTGTCTTCCCGCCTCTCTTCTGCCGCAGTATGAAGGGCCATCTCACGATATTCCTCCTCGTGGACCCAACCACCAGCGGATTTGTTTCTTGGGTCGGCGGACATTGAAACCAACTCTTCTGGTTTAAAGGGACTGCTTCCAGGATCATCGATGCCTAAGCGTTTCTTGCGCCTGCGAGTTTCATCTTGCCACAGTCCGGCCATGCTCGGGACGAGCCGCTCGTTAAACGCAACCGGTCTAAGAAGCTCGGTGAAGTCATGATGCAATGCCCGTTCCTTGATATCAGATCGATTCAGGATATCCTGTACGCATATGTCCGCTTCCAGAGAGCAGTGGCTCTGTTTCTGGAGTGCTGGGTCATCAAGCATGTTTTCGGTAGTTATGGACCGATCGTGCCAACGGTGATCCAGATTGCCGAGTTCGAGATACTCCGGTATTGGGGTGCGGAACTTGACCGCACTGCAATTCATGTATGCGCAACCGTACAAGTTATAATCGCACATCCACTGCGGAATGTACTGGAGATGGATTTCATATGGTTGAAGCTGGCGCTTCATGACTGCTCCCTGGTGCAGAAGATCGGCCAAGCGAGTGATGTAGAAAGGATTAAGGAGATATATCTTGAAGAAGAAACGATACCCCACATGGTATCCGTAGAAAGGGACGCCTTTCACCAAAGTAATGTGGGCGACGTACGCGGTCTTCCTATCATGCGCATTACGTCGATAGCTAACGGCCAGAGCATGATCAATCGAAAGGTGAAGAGTCCTAATTGCCGAGTTCACTAAACAGAACCTGCTTAGCCACACGCGCAGTCATGGTGGACTTATGATGCAAACCTTCTTCCGGCGTCAAGGACCCATTGTATTCGATATAGAGATACGGAAATGCGCCATGTACATGAACGCACACCTTTTGGCCGGTTTCAGTAGCTCCAAAAACTCGAATCACAGGCACCCTTGGCCTGAAATCCTTTTCAGACACGACATCACGGAAGGGTAACAGTGGGTCAAGTTCTGACGCGGTCGCCTGGTAATGATCGATGCAGTTGAGGCGCACACGAAACGGCTCCATCAGACAGGTGGAGATCCAAAAACATCAGCGACATTACGTGAGAATACCGAGTTGAGATTCCATGAGTTTTGTCTGGCGTTTTCTGGCGCGTTAGCGAACCCGAGGCATGCGGCATGACAACGCGAGCAAACGCCGAATCACGTGATGATGATGATGATGATTAGTTCAACCACAAGTCTGTACGCTACCTCACCTTCCCCAGACAACGTTGCAGGAGTGCTGGACTTTTTTTTATCTGTATTCTTATATCTCTTCTTCTATTTTCTTCTCTTTCTTTTACTATACCAGCTGCCTCTCTTCCGGCCCCTGTCACGATGTCACGGAAACCGGCCGATGTGGCATCCAAGGAGCGCAACGAGTACATTCCCTCCTTCATCTCGAAAAAGCCGTTCTATATCGACGATGACTCTACCAATGACTACCTGGAGCACCAACGTTTACACAAGACAACCCCCGACCAATCGAAATGGTACGAGCGAGGAAAGCGCGCCGGCCCAGCCGCAACTAAGTACCGAAAAGGCGCATGCGAGAACTGCGGCGCGATGACGCACAAGACCAAAGAATGCTTGAGTCGACCGCGAAAGCAAGGTGCCAAGTGGACTGGCAAAGATATTCAAGCGGATGAAGTCCTTCAGAAAGTTGATCTCGGGTGGGATGCCAAACGAGATCGGTGGAACGGCTACGATGCCGGGGAATATCGCCAGGTAGTTGAAGAATATGAGGAGATGGAGTCGATCAAGCGGATGGCCAAAGAGGGTCAAGACCGTAAAAGACTCCAGGATGGTGAGGATGGAGACGAGGGACTCGAAGAGGACATCCGCTACGCCGAAGAGTCTGATATGGGTCGGCAACAAAGCACGGCAACCCGCAACCTTCGGATTCGAGAGGATACCGCCAAGTACCTGCTAAACTTGGACCTTGACTCGGCCAAATACGACCCGAAGACGCGGCGAATGGTGGACATGGGTGCGCAAGACGACCAGGCCGCGGCGCTGGTTGCGGAGGAAAATTTTGTTCGTGCTTCAGGAGATGCTGCCGAATTTGAGAAAGCCCAAAACTATGCGTGGGAGTCTCAGGAGAAAGGTCGCCCCCAGCTCCACCTCCAGGCGAACCCGACATCCGGAGAGGTTCTACGAAAGAAGGAGAAGGAGAATACCGACGCCAAGAAACAAGCACAGCGGAAGGCTCTTCTGGACAAGTATGGTGGTGACGAGCATTTACAACCGACTCCACTACGAGACACCATAGTCGTTGAAAATGAGCGGTTCGTGGAATATGATGAGAGCGGTGCCATCAAGGGGGCACCTAAGAAAGCGACCAAATCCAAGTACCCCGAGGATGTCATGGTCAACAACCACAACTCGGTCTGGGGCAGCTGGTGGTACGACTTCAAATGGGGTTACGCATGCTGTTTCTCCACGGTGAAGAATAGCTACTGCACCGGAGACGAGGGCAAGAAAGCCTTTGAAGAAGAGGGCAATATGCTAATGCTCCCTGGTGTTGACGACAACGACGAGGAGCCGCAAACTGAAGACCCAAGTCACTCGCACGACCTTGAAGATTCGAAGAAACAGGATCAAGACAAGGAATCGGGGACCAATGAAAAGAAGCGGACATTGATGGAGCTCCAGTCTGGAATTACGGAGGAAGAGATCGAATCATACAAGCGAAGTCGGCTTGCAGCCGAGGATCCAATGGCGAATTTCATCGGAAAGGATTGATGAAAGATTCACTGTCTAATAGGCGTTCGGCTGGCCCAAAATACCCTTTGATATGCATGGAAGCAATGGTCAATTTAAATTCCTGTTCATATTTATCTTCTTGTTTGAACACACTCATAGATGTATACTCGAAAGAAATACCTTGGGAGGCAGTGCTGTACATTGCGTCTGATATGTACAGAAGGTCACGTGAAGCAATGCCATGTATGTGCACGGCCATGCTTAAGATGGTCGTGGTCATGTGATTTAGTGTCACGGGATCAGGGCAAGAGCCCTGGCGCCGTTCCCGCACCGTCGCTTAGCGACACCTCACCCGATCCCAGCGGAAGTTTCGATCCAGCGACGACGACACCGACAACCAGCCCTTCCACGGAATCGCCAGGTACGTCCACGTCGTGTTCTTTCTGCATTGCTCTTATCACCCTGTCCGTCCTGCTAACTCATAATTTTGCGCACAGTTCCTTAATTCAAAATGAGTACGTCCTATGTCGAAATCTCGCAACCGCCGACCGCAACGAAACCGTGATAACTGACAACCGCTACAGCGAAGGGTACCTCGAGCTTTGGCAAGCGCCACAACAAGACGCACACCCTGTGCCGTCGGTGTGGTTAGTATTCCTCTTTTTTCAACGATCCCCCCGCCCGGACCGACGCATCGCATATCTCTTCCAAGGACAAGCGTTGGCGAATATGGGAAACAAGGGCTGGAATCTCCTTCTTGGAAAACAGGCAACGGCTAACAGAATTCTTTTGCGACTACCCAGGCCAGCGCTCTTTCCACATCCAGAAGTCGACTTGTGCCAACTGCGGCTACCCGTCCGCTAAGACCCGCAAGTGTACGCAACCCTCCCCGTGAGTCGGATGGACTCGAAGAAAAAGACTACTTTGAAGTATTCAGCCCTCGCTGGAATGCACTGGCTTACAATTCTTTTGCTCTGAACAGTCAACTGGGGTGAGAAGGCCAAGCGCCGCAAGACCACTGGCAGCGGCCGCATGCGCTCCCTGCGTGACGTCCACCGCCGCTTCCAGAACGGCTTCCAGACCGGTACCCCCAAGGGCGCCCGTGGCCCCGAGAGCCACTAAATTTCCCTTTTGATTTCCCGCTCGGCGTCGCGTTTTCGTTCTCGGAGAGGCTGGAAAGGAACTGAGGAGGGGATTGGAAACCTGGCATGGCATAGCCTAGCATGACGACGTAGCTCGAAATGCAAAATGGCTCTTCCGAAATCTTAACGCTTTCCCGTGGAGTTGGTGTGATCGATCCCGTCTTTTCTTTTCTGCTTGCCGCTGCGCCGGTTCAGACGACAAGAGAAGGATGTTGCAAGGATGGGCAAGGAAAAAAAAATTGTTGCGAGATGTTGCCGCGGGCGAAGAAAGGGAATAAAATTCAAGGGAAAGCATGCATGAATTTCCTTCTTCCTCGTTTTATGACTGGCGAATATCCCCATGTCGTGACAGATTCAATGTGAAGATCTGTTCTGTTCTACTAAATGCGTCTCTACGAAGCGAATGGCAGTTTGCCTCGCTCGTCCTTAACCAGCAGTAACAGGTCTTCGTTTCTGAGGGCCTGGTCTAACCTATTATCTTGTTTTATAGTCTCGGTTTATGATTCTCCTCGACCAAATACCCGCACGCCCCCATCCCGCTGGATGAAGTACAGTACATCTTTCTCCTCCAGACCATCTTCTTCTCCAGTGCTCCATCCACCGCCTCGGCTGATTCTTAACACCCCGCTCACATCCCTAGCTGCACCAGTCTCCAGGTTGCGGAGCTGCAACACCGACCGAGCCCGATGCGCCAGCCCAATCGTAAATGCCGCATGCTCCGTCTCTATCGGCGGAGCCGGGTGTCCTCCGGACGTCGATGCGTTGTGAATCAGTGGAGAATCCGCGGCCAGAGTCAAGACCGTTGCATGCACATGCTGTAAAAGAACCATCTGTCAGCTCCTCTCGTAGTCCATGTACACCGCCAGGTCAGGTATTGCCTTGCCTCCTGTAATCCCGTTACCCACTCCGCCATTTCCGTAGCCCCAATCCCCATACTCGGGCCAGTTGCGGCAAGTAACAGGTCCGGTTGATCCACGATGAGGAGAAGCTCCTCGTCCTCCGCCATGGATGCCCGCTGTTGGTCAATTACTGAAACAATGTCCTTCTCCAGCGCGTCGAGAGCTGCGGTGCCACGGCCATAGAGATGTAATTTCCTCGCGATGCCGAGCTCGGCTTGACCCGGTGTGGCAGTGCTACCCCCTTCTGTCGTCGACGCCGGCGCTGGTAACCTCCCGGGAACGGCGCCAGGCTGAGACCGCAGTGGGAGTATTGCGCGCGGGGTGCTCCCCAGACCAGCAGGGGATACACCGGGGGTGGCATGTGCAGCTTGTGGTGTGTAGAACAGCTCTGACAGGCCATCGATGAATGCAAATTGTTGCTTGTCGGCCAGACGCGCAAGGTCCAGACCCTGAGGTGGTATTAGTGTATTGCAAGTACACAGCAATGGAGTAGCTCGGAGCAATATAAGAATGGCAAGGAACCCAGAATACGGACATCTACTCATCCCGAGAACTGCTGTTGAGTCTGACAGAAGAGTACTTACCAATCGCTTGGCTTCGGTCCTCCAAAACTCCCAACTCCGCACAAAGCTCACGAAGACCACCTTCTTCTTGGTGCCATTGTGCAACCCCTCCGCACCAAATGCAGTGTTAGAGCTTGCTGAAGTGCTTAGCGCCGCATGTAAAAATCTTAGTACCAGCCAATTCCCCGTTGCGTCGAGAATCGAAGTAACCAGCGTCAGGGACGACTGGGGAAAAGTTGATAGATACGGCGTGAGGAGGGGCGGGAGCGGGGGTTGAGAGGGCATGATGCGCCTCGTTCGACTGAGAGTGGGATTACCCCGTGATTTTTGTTGTGATTTATTTCCTTGTCCCCTTTGTCTGCTTTATTGCTTCAAAGCTTTCTTTTGGACTTTCTTGGGGTGGTTCTGGTGATTGGAGAGATGATGTCGAAAAAATTGTATGACTGCTGTGATTGGCCGCTGTCGTGTCCGCCTGAGCAGAGAGGAATCCACGAGGAAGAGATGTCAATGATGGGTTTTTTTTTTTTTTTTTTTTTTTTTTTTTTTTTGAGCTGATAGAGATCTTTGAGTATGTGACAATTCCACTGATCATTCCTAGAAGGACTGGATCCTATTCTTATGTGTTGGGACTGTCCTAATGGACATAGTTCGAGATATATATCTTTCTCAAGAGCCTATTTTCCTTTCCAATTAGATTTCCAAAGTCCCTTCAAATCCTCGAAATAACACCATCAAACATAAAGACACAAGATCCCTTCACAATTGATATTCTTCCTTTCCCTCCAAGTGGAGTATCGTTGTATACTCTTTTCTGCCTCAGGCACAAATGAGTTTTTTTTTCTGCGTCACATGACCGTTTCCCCACCATCGAGGGGAAGCCATGAACGTTCTCGTCCATCGTAAAGTCGGCCTTGATCTTACAAAGTGGATCAATGATTGCTCTAGCGCCGATCGTGAGTTGCCTCATTCTGGTTCATGTCTAGCTGTCTTTGTCAAAGCCCCGAGTAATCAATGCTCCGCTTCTGAGCGGGGTGACGTGATGCTATACATTCAAACCCCGATATCCCAATTTCCCCCCAGCTATCTGACATGGTTGCTGATGGCGCGTCCAGATGACTGTCTTGTGGCATGATCAGAGCGCATTGGATACCCGGTATAAACGATCAGACCTGCCAGGATAAAGATGGCCAGTACTCGTGATTCCCATTCATTTGCCGTATGTATTGACCAGGCCTCTGCACTGACCTGACGTGGCACCAACCAATGTTCCATCTTGGCTAATTGTAACCAAAGTGCGATGAATGTCGTCTGCGCAAGTCGAGGGTGAGTGGTCTTTTGACATAATAACATGGAGATGTTTTAACCCCGCCCGCTATAGTGCTCGAAAGAGAAGCCGACTTGCTTGCAATGCCGACAGCTGAACAAAGAATGCAAATACAGCCCAAAAGTCAGCCGGAGCCCTTTGACGCGGCAGTAAGTAGTTGCAAATATATGGCAGAGTGCCTCCACGAAACCACAAACTAACAGGCTTCCAGGCACTTGACCTATGTTGAAGATCGGTTGCACTCTTTCGAAACTGCCTTGGGAAGGCTTTTCCCAGGAGGGGACTTGGACGCCACTCTTAGGTCTCTGCTGTTTAGCCAAGAGGCTCCCCCACAAGCCCCCTCATCCAAATCGTCCTCGAGACACTCGACCCCGGCCAAAGCTGAAGCAGACCGGTCCGAACCAGCACCAGAGGCTCTACCGCAGCAAGCCGATGGCTTTGACTGGGCTGAGAAGGAGCTCACTCTTGGGGATCTCACTGATGGCATGGCCGCATTGTCGATTAAGCCCGAAGGAGCTGGCTACTTTGGTATGTTTCCTTCCAATGATATTTGATATCGCGTTCCAAACTCATGATTTATTCAGGTGCATCCTCGAGTGTGGTTCCTCTCAGAGCATTATTTGACCATGGTTTTGACCTTAATATGCCCGTCCGCTCGGCAAGATCCGGAGGTGTGCCACTCAAGGCACAGCTTCTGGAAAGCGCTCCGTCCGGCCTGATTGAGCAAGCATTCATCGACGCTTTCTTTCTCAACTACCATACCAGCTATCCTTTTGTCCATGAGCCATCTTTCCGGGCACAATTCAATGAGCCGTCGCTGCGTCCGCATGGTACAGCCTGGCAGATCCTTCTCAACACCATTTTGGCCCTAGGCGCCTGGAGTATTGGAGATGACAGCTCTGACCTCGATATCACCTTCTACCAAGAAGCAAGAGGATATCTGCAACAGGCATCCGTGTTCGAGACCGGTAATTTGACATTGGTCCAGGCGTTACTGTTGCTGAGCAACTATGCCCAGAAGCGGAACAAGCCCAACACCGGATGGAACTATCTAGGGCTAGCGGTGCGGATGGCCATGAGTCTCGGGCTTCATAAAGAGTTCCACGGATGGAAGATTAGTCTTCTGCAGCGGGAAATTCGTCGAAGACTGTGGTGGGGCGTTTTCATTTTCGACAGCGGCGCGGCCAAAACATTTGGCAGACCGATTCTTCTCCCTGACGATAGCGTCATGGACGCGAAACAAGTCCTCAATATCAATGATGAGGTATGGCTAACTGTGATCGAAACCAACAACCAAAGACGATACAGTGTGATTAACTTGCATTCCAGGCCCTGACATCTACAACCACCACACTCCCCTCCGAATCCCCAGGTCCAACCATCTACTCCGGGCTGATCGCGCAGACTCGCTTCCACCTTCTCACCAACAGCGTCTATCAGCGTCTGATCTCCAGTCCGAGCATCACGCCCGAAGAAACGCTGAATCTCCAAAAACCCATGGAGGAATGGTATAATGGGCTGCCCTCGTACATTCAACACCCGCAACAGCCGCTTTCCATGTTGCCATCCCAACTGGATCCGGACTCACTCGCCCTCGTCCGGAACCGCTTGCTGTGGCGCAACTGGAATTTGACCATTTTGATCTACCGACCCATCCTGCTCCGCTGGGCTGCGCGGCACTGGGCCCCGCATGGCGGTGGAGGCGTCCCAGAAGGAGGCGAAAGTGAAGACCCGGGCGAGACGGAATGTCGAATGCGCTGCCTGCAGACTGCCCAGCTCACAATCTCGTCCATTGCCGAGTATATGGATAATTACGTGTGCACAAGACTGGGCGCGTGGTATATGCTGTATGTTCTTCCTTCCAGTGCTTTACTCTCTTTCATCTATGTACCTGTACTCTATGGATATCTAACAAAAAAACAGCTACTTCCTCTTCCAAGCCGGGCTCATCCCGATCGTCTTTCTCATGACCGACCCCTCCAACCCCTCCGCCGCAACCTGGCTCCAAGACATCGAAACCACCAAAGCCCTTCTCACCCACCCCTCGCTCGGCACCAACCGCTTCGCCACCCGCTGCTACGAAGTCGTGAACCGTCTCCTAGGCTCACCCGGTCTACCTCCCGAGCTAGGAGGCGTAAACGGGGGGGTAGGTGTGGGGGTAAGTGTGGGCCCGCACCCGCCGAGTCAACAACAGCAACAGCAGCCGCACCAGCCGCACCAACAGCAACATATCCCGCCGCCGCAGCAACAGGGCTATATGCCGTTCCCAGAACAGCTGTTCAGTGACCCCACCTTTGGGGGCAGTTTGTTCGCTATGGAGCAGCCGATGCCGAGTTCTACGGGCATGGATTTCTCGGAGTGGGTGAATTTCCCGGGTGCCGAGTGAGCTTGCTGTTGCTCTCTTCACACACACACACTCTCTCTCTCTCTTGTTTTCTTCCTTATGCTCATTCTGATTTTCTTATACTCCCTTTGTATGATGCTTGACCTCAACCTGATTAGATTGTGAACGGGTGGAATCGAGTTGGGAATAAGGGATCGGGATGAACAAGCGGATGAATATTTCCCATGATTTTGACGGGGTGGCCGTTTCCACAAATGCAACTGATGATTATGTAGATGAGATTACTTCTATAGTTATCAAGAACTGAATGAACTGAATTCCCAAGCATTCCATCCCACCCACTGTAAAAGATAGGAAGTAACAAGCTACTGGCCCTCGTCTCACTTAGGTGGCTTTAGGAGGCATAGTAGAATACCTAAAGGAGTAAATTTTATAGGGTTGTTATTCTTTATCTTCTTCTTCCTTCTTCTCTCTTGATTTATTCTCTCTCTCTCTCTCTCTATTTTCTTATTATTTTTTCAAGTCCTATTCCTAGCATTTCCCTTAATATTTTAAATTCTGATTTTACTACTCATGTTGAGAGGGATATCTAGAGAGAATGCTAGCTTCTGGTAAGGAACCCAAGCTAGTTGCTATCTCAACATCACTATACAATCCAATCCCACATTCTCCCAGGGTTTTATGCATCATCAACAGTCTCCCGCTGCTCATCCAACGACACCTTCAAATCCGCCGCATCCTCAATCCTCGTACCGCGCAACTCGGCCTCAATATGCTTGATGCGCTGCTTCTCTTCATGGGCGGCTGTATCGCCGAAGATGAGGTCCATATCTTCGAGGGTCTATATCCAGCAAGGGAATTAGCATTTGAGTATGGAAGCTCGTAATGGATACGGAGTAAAATGGTATCAAAGGGTAAAACAGACCTTGCCCCGTGTTTCAGGGATGCAGAAGAATGTAAATGCTAGGGCTAGTAGACAAAAGGCCGCGAAGAAGATGTATGTGCCCCAGGAGATGGACTCGAGCATATCCGGAGTGACGAGGCCGATGATGCTGGAGTTGAAGATTAGAAAAAGAATATGAAAAACTGAGGTGAGTATATTAAAGTGGGATAAGGGAATGCTCACAAGTTGCACATCCACGTAGCCGACGTCGTGATCGAAATGGCCTTGGAGCGAATCGAGAGATTGAATATCTCTGACGGAAGAACCCAGCCGATGGGGGCTGGTACAAGACAAACGAAAACAAAAGATGTTAGAATAGATATCCAAAACAGAGAAGGATCAAAGAGAGCAACTCACCAAATGAGTACGAAAAATTGATATCGTAGATGTAGATAAACGCAATCCCAGCCCACCCGGCCGACTTATGGTCCACCAGCCGCGACCCATAGCCACCCAGGATCCCGCCTACAATCACCAGCGAGATGCAGGTCCCCGTGGCACCGGCCATGAGCAGGGCGCGCCGGCCGACTTTGTCGATGAAGAAGAGGGCGGGGAGGGTGCTGAGACAGTTGACGATGCCGTAGACGCCTGTTGCGAGGAGGGAGGTGGTGTTGCCGTCCATACCGAGTTGGGCGAAGATTGTGGGTGCGTAGTAGATCATTGCTATATGATGAGAATTGGGTTTGGGAAAACATTATGTAGAGAGTGAAGGAAGGGGATGAATGGTGGATTGTAAATTTCTTACCATTGCAGCCCATGAATTGCTGGAAGAACATCACGCAGCAACCGATTGCCAGCCGCTTGAAGCGCGCCCAGGTGGTTAGGAATGAGAGGTACTGTTGGTATCTGGTTAGTATATTCACTTCTTGAACAAGATTGGAGACACTTACTTGCGCAACATGTAGTTTAAATCCAGAGAGATTCGGAAAGTTGTCTTTGGCAAAGGTGTTCTCAAGCATGATCGACGCCTTGATTTCCAGATACTCGTTTAAGAGCACAGGACTATCGCGAGATTGTCGACGCAGTCTAGAGAGCGCGACCAGTGAGTCATCATCCCGTTCTTTCATCAGTAGCCAGCGAGGCGTGTCTGGGAAGAACAACATCCCAATGCCTAGGATCACGGCGGGGACTATCTGCAGCGCCAAGGGAAGACGCCATGATGCCTCGGACTGGCCGGTGCAGCCGCCGATTGGCATGTCATGGTAGGGATCGAAGGTGGGCGACGAAGCTGTCCCGCCGGTGTAGGGGATGCTAGGGGCGCAGCGGGTGCCGCCAATGTAGTTGGTGCCATAGTCAATCCAGTAGCTGATCAGGATTCCCAGGGTAACGGAAACTTGAACAATCAGTAGACGTAGAGAGATGTGGAAGAGAGACTCACGTTGCTGCAATACTACCAGTCCCCCGCGGATCTCAGGAATGGATACCTGACCAGGAGTGAGCGCAGATCTGCTATTGCTGTTCGAGTCAGTCTTACCTCGGAAATGTAAAGAGGCACGACCATGGTCAGCTGGCCAACAGCCAAGCCAGCAATAGCTCTGCCTGCACGCATAACATCAGTTGAAATTCAAGAACCACCAGATAGCGCCATATTGCTCACCAACAAAAAGCATCGGGATGTTCACAGCCGCACACTGGATAGCCGACCCAACCACAAAAATCGCCACGGCGATATTAATGGAAAGTTTCCGTCCAAGTCGATCAGCCAGGGGACCATTCACCAAAGACCCGAACCAAGCAGCTGGAGAGCAATCAGCACTTGTTTAAGCAGTAAGAAGCAGCTCCAGAGATAGATAGCTCACCTAGTAAGAGGGTCGACACAAACCATCCCTTAAACCCACTGTCCAAGAAAACATGCGGGAACCGGGCCGCAAAGGACTCCATGGTGATCACACCGCTGATGACGCCTTGGTCATAGCCGAACAACAATCCTCCGAGCGTTGAGAACTGTAGACATATCAGACGAGATGACTTTGTTCAGTAGGGATGGGTACTCACCGAGGCTACTCCACAGAGATAGGGGTTCTGAAGAACAAGACCGAAGCCGCCCTTGGGGGCGGTATCCCGAACAGAGCCCATGAGGGATGGTATAGCCTGTGCTCTGATGATGGCGGTGGAAGAAGACTATATATGCTCGGGCTTGTTTCGTAAAAGCCTTATCTCTGTAGTTGCCATGCAGGAAGACTGACCATATCCCGAGCCCATAGCTTTATAGAATGAAGCCAAACAGCGGAGTGCGGTGCTCCGGCCAATGGGGACTCATAGGGACTAAATCTGGGGAGATCAGGCTCGAAGAAGCTGGGAATGCGGGGAAAGCCGAAGCTTTCGCAGATTGAGAGGTTTGGATAAGAAGCAGCGGTAGGACAGCTATTGACTAGAGGAAGTCGGGTGACGCAGGCGGATCTGAGTATCCTGTGCTTCATTCTTTGCGGCCGCATTGTTGGTAACTTGAATTCAGCTTGAGTCGGGAGGCAGCCGAGGTGTACATTGGCGTGGATTTGGAGAATCGGCGATATTCCGACCCTGCCTCTCGTTCCACTGCTGATCCCGACAAGCTATATACTTGGTTGGGTATAAAGAGTATAAGAAATTAAACACTTAAAAAAGCCTCTGATCCTAGTAGTAGAGAGCAAAAATCAGATTGATCGCCTTACTGCCTGAACTTGACTGTATTTAAGAGACTTGATTTTCTATTGATATCTATGGATCGATCACTTTGGTTACTACTACTATTAATACCCCCTTTCTTACCCTATTTAATAATATTTAATTATTTTCTCGTTCGAGATACTTTGTCTGTTGCGTAATTCAATAAAACTGATTTAAGGTCCCCTTTACAGATAGAAAAAGAAGTAGATCCCCTCGGACAATCCTACTTTCCACATACCTAGAATATCACCAGATAAACCAGACAGGACTTAAATACTAGAATTAATTCTATTCGACAACATAACCCCTATATCAATATTTAATATCTAATCATGAAAAATCAGGTACAAGTAGTGAAGTGAAGTGGAGATGACCAAGATCCAAGATCAACGTCATCCCGCGCAACCCGGTTCTTGCTGGAACAAGGTAGGACATACACACCCTTGGAAACTCTCACTCACCCTCACATATATTATACTTATGGATATCCATGGCTATAACTGTTACATGTGTTGACACAATCCATGCCCACCACCATCTCCATCCTCGTCTACGTCGCCTCCCTGCTCGACTACGCGCGCTACCGACATGCGGCGCTGTACTTAGAGTTTAGAGGAGATGACGCGGCAGACACGAGTACAAACAAATATGCAAGTACAACAATTACAACTACAACTACAACTACAAGGAGAAGCAAAAGTACAGACAACCCCCCCCCCCCCCAGACACAACCGAAGTCGGGATCAGATCCTCGCTCATGAAAGTCGTCGGATCCCCCGGTTTCATGAGTTTCTCTGAGCGCATAAACCTGGATGTACCAGTGACATCGACAAGTATAAACATTTACATTCTATACCCCTCCACAAATATTCCAACCCAGTTTCAGGTCCAGTCCAGTGGTAAGCTAATTACCAGACATTCTATCCCCATGCAAACCCTCCCCTAGCAACCACTGCACCCATCTCCCTTCCACACAGCCACCTCGAAGACCCCGATCCCCGCCGACGCGGGCGACTCGGACTGGAATAGCCCAGAACTCGGTGGGTGGTGCGCTTGGCCGGCTGGTTGCGGCGCAGTATGTTGATACCGGGATGGTGGAACGGGGGTTGGATGCGATGGTGGAGACGGTGATAGAGGCAGAGGGATGAGGCTATGAGGTGATTTATTTTTTTATTGTGGGAAGGAAGAAAGAAAGGAAGAAAGGAAAACATTATGTATTTAATTATATTAGATGTCCATGGATAATAGATATAATTAAGGGTATGATCAATATCCTCTTTCTCCAGGTGTATATACCTCTTACTTTAGTAGAAGAGATGCTTATGTTAGTTAGTTAGGCAATGGTATATACTTGAAAACAGATATTGATACCGAAATTCTATCATACTAGCTTACTAGTACAAGTACTAGTCCTAGTACCTATCTCTTATTTCTTCCGTTCCATTCGTAGAGACGTCAACCCGAGGAAAGCAACAATCTGGGCGAGGAAAGAAATGAACATAACCAAAATTTCAAAAAACAAGTCAATCATGAAAGCTTCAATAAGCACTCGGCAAAAGCAGGACAAACGCTCGTACTATGCAATGCGCTGCTCCACGCTAAGAAAGACAGTCAGAGAAAAAAGGCGCTGGCCATCAGTCCTGAGATGAAAAGAAAAGGAAAAGCAGATTTAATAAAAGAATGAACGTGCTGAACCCGCTTCCCAAACATATCATGATAGGATCTCGAATCAACCAGAAGAAAAGGAGAAAAGAAAAAGAAAAAAAAGAAGAGAGAAAAAAGCAAGAAAGAAGGTTTTGTCGTTTCATCACATAGCATACGTCGCTATCTTCGAGAATCGTTCGGCTCCCAATGGATCGGTTCAAAGTCTTGATTCTGGAAATGCGCTTGGTTGTACGGGGAACTAACACGAATCAACAAATCAAATCCTGCCGAGAAGTATACCCAACTCACTTTTTAAACGGAGTGGTCACCGGCAGCGAGTGACTCAAATTAGGTTTCATCACCAACGGATTCAGTCGAATCTGCGGCCCATCCGACGATCGGGTCGGCAGCGAAGTCATCGGCGGCGGCGGCGCGGACACCATGGAAGAGGGCGAGGAAACCGGGATAGAGGGAACGGGTGCATGGGTCTGCATGGGCGACTGGTACAGGTCCTGTGGGGGAGACACCCGAAAGGAGCTGGCGGGGGATGGCGACACCGAGGGCATGGGAGACATGGGCGGTGCCATCGCGAAGGACGGATCCGCCATGAGATTGGGGATGGACATCAAGTGAGAGTTGACGTCGAAGGAGAGAGCACCTTGATCCCAGGGGGAGCAGTTAGAAGTCATTGCGTATTGGTAGTTGACCACGGGTGCCATATTCACAGAAGGTTCGGCTCGGTAGAGAAGATCATAGTGGCCTCTGCGTTGGTTAGAACACTGCATCCGGGAATGCTCGGGAGATGGTTGACGGTAGCAACTCACGGTCGGTACAGCAAGCGAATGGTCGCCCCGCTGGGTCGATTGGGAGATAGCTGGTGCGGCGTCACCGCATCGCCTTCGCTTCTGTCGAGATACAAAATCTCAACTCCAAACCCGGCGCCCTCGATCACACCATCGACCAGCGCCTGCAGGCCAACTTCGTCGATTTCCGTCCTCACGGTCTCAACCTGCGTGGCGCAATACTGGTCCAGCGGTAGGGACAGGAAAGCTTGATACCGATGCGGGTTGAGTTTCATCCACGCACTGGTCATGAGCTTGAGGGTTGTTAGTTCAGAGCTGCTAATCATATTAGATGACCCGAAAATAGAAAATAGCACGCACTCTGAAATGAGTAATGACAGCACTGGAGCTATACTCTTCATTGAACGCATCAACGAGAAATGTCTCATCCTGGACGCCATTCTGGATTGCAGCAGAGGCTTGACTAAAGATATCTTCCGTAGCATCGACAAAAATCTCGTACAGATGCTCCTGCTGTCCGACCTGATCTAGAAGCGAGTTAAGTGACTTGATCCGAGCCAGCTCGCGCTGCAGACGAAGTGGATCCCGGAGGGCAAAAAGAGTCTCAAAATAGCCAAAGGCCACGGCTGCCGAGATCGTCAGGCACATTCACCTTCATGTTCGAAGATATGCATAGACACGTACCTCTCCAACCACAATTCCCATCACCTTTCATGATCCGGCTCATGGGATGTGTCACAGCAAGGGCCTATGCAGGTCAGATATGCCTGAATGTTGGTAAATCAAGATTCATTTCCAAGGTTAACTCACGTTCGTCTTCGTGGACAGGGTAGGGTCAGCATTGGCGTAGTCCAAGGCAATCGAATGGCTCGACTGTTTTGTCGACACCAGAGGGCCCTGTCTGGGTCAGTAAGAAAGACCACAGATGACAGTCATGCAACACACCTGCACATCAGGCTCAAACTCATTCGAGAGCTTCTGGAAGCGCTCCATCTCATCAGGGGAAAGGGCATTCATGTTGACCGAAGAATCAGGGGCAAAGGCAGAGGGTAGAGAGAGGCCTCGCGAGGAAACCAAAGATGACGGGGCGTCCCTGTAGAGGCCGGCAAACGTCTGTTTCTCCGGGAAGGGATGGTGAGGACCGAAATGATTCCAGGGTTTCGACAAGGACATCGCATACAGCGAAGAAGCTCAGTTGACTTCGGAGATTCCAAACAGGTTATTCTTAAGTCTTCAACACTTCTGGAGGTTAGAGAGACTCGAGTCCAGTTCTTTAGGACGCCAGCAGGGTATAAATGGCACACGCACAGAGCCAATTGACATCACCCCCAAAGCCTTGCCTGGACAAGCCACGGACTAGAGGATGTTGATCTTGTGCGACAGTGCAACCGACACGGTCGACAAAATAGACCCCACAAACCCGATAATCTGGGTCTAGTATCCTGTTCGTCTCAAACTTAGCACCACAATCGAGACACCAAAACAGCAGGCAGTGCAGTCATGGACAGGAGAATCCAATCAAGGATGCATAACCGTGGGGCCGCAACACGACCAAGGAGGGGGGTCGAGTCTGTGGTACCACTTGAGGGTGTGTGCTGCAGGGGAAGAACATGCAATCGATCACTGTGATTGGGTCCAAGTTCAAGGGAAAAAAAAAAGAGAGTTGTGATAGAAGCAAAACTCTTGACTTCAACATTCGTCATCCACGGTTACAAAAGGGGGAAGACATGGCAATCACCGAGGGTGAAGGGGAGAGAAAGATATGATGATGTCAACCGAGCTCGGAGCTCGCGCACATACCCTCTCTCTGTCTCGCGCTCAACGGCTTCGTGGAGGGCTGACAGGATCGTCGGGCCTCTCAAGGATCCACGAACCACCAGATCCGCAGTTTGCAGGGATCACAGCGGTAGTTTGCGGAAGAAGATTCCGAGAGAAAATAGAAGAAAAGAAGCAGAAACAGAAAAAAAGATTGGATGGAGAGAGCGAGGGGACGTGCTGACCGTGAAGGCAACCAAGAAGATTGCATGAAGGGGGGAGAGAGAAAGGCCAAGGATGGGAGTCCAAGTGGATGATACGCCATGACACACAAAACCAGCGATCGGAGACTCACGTTTGGTTGTTTTTTGTTTTTTTTTGTTTTTTTTTTTTTTTGTTACTTCAAGACCTCACGAGGATGAGATAATCATGGGAGAAAGGAGAAAAGCCGAGAGAAACCGAGAAAGATGGAGATAAGCAAAAGAGACAAAAGCAAAGTACGAGAATCAGAACAGAAGGGCATCGAAAGGAAAAAGACCAGAAACTCTGGAGAGGGGAACCCCTCCGTGAAGTTGATCTGCCAACACACCAGGAACTGGGACCCGCAGAGCCCGATAGCTATCTACTTTGATTTCTTTTAATTTCCTGCCGATCCCAAGAATTGAAGGGCTTGAAACAGTAAAGGAATTAAGAAAAAAAAAAAAACTAGAAGAATTCAATTCACAAATTCAGGATTCTCAGGCTAATCTAGTCGGTACCATCTCGGGCCCAATGATCCAGTCAAGTATAGTCCAGCATACTCTCGATATTGTATAATCTAGTAAGTACTAAGGAGATAATACCTCTCATATTATTCTTTCGGGTAATCGGGCTCGGTGAAAGCGGGGGTTTCCATCGTCTCGACAGAGCTGAAAACCTCTGAATTTGCGATTCGGCTCGAGGGACCGGGGTTAGACCAGGATAATATCGTTATCCACGTGGGATATAGAATGTCCATGGTTGATGTACTTCCCAGGTTGACGCGAACCAAAGAACTAAATTGCCAGTCAAAATACTTAGTATGATAATTATAATAATAATAATAATAATAATAACACGAAGTTCAAGTCAAAGCTCCTATCACCCGACTCCAGACTCGCGCTTGATAGGTGGACCTCGATCGTGATCCCAGCTGGAGGGGGACTGTGCATGTATGCTCACCCTTTCAACACCCGGTGGGTCTAAGTTTCGGGAATTGCTCTGCGTCTCAGATCACCCTGGGAAGGGGAAGAGAAAAGAAGGAAAAGTGACAGGTCATTCAGGTCATTCTTCTACCGAGGGGATGTATAGATCAGCATGCCAAACGGGATTCCTCGATGACTTTTAAGGTTGGTACTGGATAAAGTCACATTCAAGAACAATCCCCGAACAAATTCACATGTCTTTCTATTTTCTGTCTCTTTCTCTCTCTCTCCAAGTCCCCGACCAAGCGCCACGCTCGGAGTCTCTTGCCATGTCTGGTAAAGTCCGCGATCTTGTCAACCGGGCGGCGGATTCGGCGATGTGATTTGCCTGCAGTGCATGTCGCTTGGGGGGTGGGAAACCCAACCCCCCGGGTTTCTCCCAGCTTCGTACTTTTTTCGGCCCCAATAGCAGCAGAAAAGATTGAAGAGGTTCTACTCGATTCTCCTCACAAGGGATTGGATGGTTCATCTTATCGTGATTTTAGCGTCTTATGTCACAGCAACTCTAAATAGCGGGTCTGCTGAATGAGATGCACAAGCGGCAATGCTTCAAATGTCAGGACTCGGCATATCCCCCGTGGCAGGAGGTTGTAGAAAAACGCGGTGTGAGATTTGTCGACCACCCCACAGACGGGCGCCTAAACCAGATCCTCTTGGATCCCACCCTCCATCAACCGCGGGAACGTCCTCGCTGGGATGAAAAACCGCAGGTGCCAGACACGTGTGAGCGAGCCGTTCGGGAATCGGCGACACTGCGGCATGTGGAGCCATTAACATGGATGACTCAAGGGGGGGGGGGGGGGGGGGTCTACAGCCCTAAAAGCCTCCGCTTAGCTTGGCTGTAAGCTTTGGTTTGCCTTTCGCCTCTTTGCGCTGCCGCGGGTTCATTCGCATGCCGACAGGGAGAGTCGTCGCCCAAGCCGGTTGGAAACATCGAACCGGGTCCAGGAGAGAACTCGTCCGCGCGGAATCCCTCGCCATTGAGCGCCATCTGCCACAGACTCCCCAGCGATGACCCCCACTCTTCCAGGGCCCGCAGTCGCTCCACGTCACTCGCACTCTCGACCACGACCGTTCCGTTTTCCTGGTCGATCTTGGCATTGAGCTTCTTGTCGAGAATTAAGAAGCTGAGAATGTCCAAAACCTCGGGCACGGCGATCTTGATATGCTTGGAGATGAATTTGAGCGAGAAGCGCGTGTAGGGCGCAATAAGCTTGAGCACAGCCTTGGTGCGCATGTTCCGGCTGACCTCGTCGATGTTCTCCGCGATGAACGGGTCGGCCAGCACATCGGGGTGTTTGCTCAGCACTGCTTCATAGGCATGGATGTCATCGCGCTGGAAGGAATCGACCAGGTCGGTCATGGCGGAAATGCGCGGGTCGTTCTTGTATGGCTTGGTCTCCTGGGAATCGAAGGGGTTGATGTCCGACTTCATGAGCATGGTCGTGAGGACAAGGTATTTGAGAACCTGGATCCGTTGCATTGACCCGGCCTCGTCGTAGTTGCGGAATGATTCGAAAAAGTCGCTCTGTGCCTCCTCCCAGTTCTCCTCACTCATGTGCATCTTCCCTCCACATTCGCGGATGATCCCCATGATCTTGGGGTGTGGAACCGCCGATCGTACGCGGAGAGCCCGCTGATAGAGTGCCTTGAGTCGTTTGTTGTTCTTCGTTTCGGCGTACATCTGGATTTCCAGGGCATAGAGTTCGAGCAAATAGGTTCCCTTGCTAGGGTCGTCGGACCCGTCCTCGCGCTGACAAGCCCGGTGCAGCTCCCGTACTTTCTTGCTCAGCTGACCATAGTCTTTGCGTTCCAGCCACAACCGTGCCAATTTGATGTTTGTCTTCAACCAGAGTCGCTCGTTGTTGGTGTTTTGGAAAGAGTGGAGGGTGAGGGAGTAGAACTCTTCCATGCACTGATATGCCTGGGCGTCGTCGGACCCCTTTTCGATGTAGTCGAGCATGTTATTGATGGATTTCTCGGAGTAGTTTCGCGTGACGGCTGATTTGACATAGGTCAACAGTTCTCGGTAATGTTCGACGGCCTGCACAGGGCGAGGGGTGAGTTCCATGTGTGAGTAGTAGCCAAGTATAGAGGGCAGGCTTACATCGCTGTATCTCCCCAGCTTAAACTCCAGCTTGATAGCCTGTTTCAATCCTTTGAATCCCCTGTTGTCACCCATCAGCAACAATCGCCGCGATCGTCTTCGAGCTTGTTTACCAATCGCTCTTGTCTTGCTCCAACGGTGGTATACCCAGGAACTCATCAACCGCCTCCTCGGGGTTATCCACCTTCATCTGCTTCGCATTGTAATATTTGTTTTCGATCCCGATGTCGCCTGACTCATCCTCGTCGGCATCCTCGTACTCAAAGTCGTAGCTGGATATCGGTCAGCTTAGCTGGGAGACAGCGAGGGGGTTGGCGGGCATACTCCTCGTCCCCTGAGTCCTGCATAAAATCATCGTCTGACATGTTGATGTGTTGATGTGTGGGAGGTGAAAGAAACAATGAGGGGAGACAAGTTGCAACGGGCTGGGGTGAAGCTGAGGCGGGGAGAAGCTGCAAGATAACGCGGCCTTAGGTTCTCCGCCAATCATTCCCGGCCAACTGGTCAACGGATCCTTTGTATTTTGATCTACGAGATCGCTCTTGATTTCGATTGATTTCGATTGATTTTGGCTTCTATTTTATGTATTTTATTTCATTTCATTTTTTTGTTTTCATTAATCGGCTGTGCAGATGCCTTCAGTGCCAATACCAATGCCATCTTGTTGCGATGGAGTGTCCAGTCTCTCACTGGACCATAACATGTTCATGAATATACAGAATCTTTAGGGCCATTCTGCAACGCTGATCGGGGTACCCCTGTCAGAAGCGTGGTATGGCTCCCGAAGACACTAATGATCCTTCAGCGCCGCAACTTCAAATCTTCCAATGACGACTCTGTTTTTCCCGAGGCTGATCAACGCTGAAAGCAGTTTGCAGATCGCAGAGACGGGGCGTCCGAAAGGCTGCAGGACTAACTGTCGGGTGGGTAGCGAAGCCGATGACAGCTGCAGAACCTTGGCCCAGCGTGGGGATAGTCGGGATTCCACCTGAGCAAGACATGGAGAAGAGAGTCAAGAAACAGGATGGCCTGGCGGATATTTCCAACACGGCCAACCCGCATACTTTTGATTCTCCCGTTCCTGAAAGAAGAACCAAAAAAGAAGCGTGCCCGAGGCCTTCCAGAAGGGGAGACCTTATTCGCCGATCCCCTTTCAGGGCGCGATGTCATCGACTCCGTGGCGTCTTCCCTCGACCCTCCCTAAGCCCGACTCCGCGTTGAGACTACTTTATAAACTATCTCTGGTGATTATTTGAACTAAATTGGTCTTATATTGACTCTTTTCGGGACTTCGCTCTCTTTCTTGTCTTGAGTATATTCCCTCCGGGCCCACGTCACTGTTCGCAATGGATCTGTGCGGGCGTCAGAAAGTCGTTCAGCGCAAGATGGTTCTTCTGTCGGTTTGGTTCTCCTGATCAAGCTGGATCCAAAGCTAACCATTGCATGCTGGACAGAGGCGACGGTGCCTGCGGGAAAACATCTGCGCTGAACGTGTTTACAAGAGGGTGTGTCGAGTCTTCCCCCCCCCCCTCCCCCCTGCCACTCTCGATCGCTAATGGACTTGGACAACTAGATTCTTTCCCACTGTCTAGTAAGGAGGGCCCCCATTCCCAGAATTATGTATTTATGGAGGATTGACCGCTGTGCTTCGTGGTGGACAGTGAGCCTACGGTTTTTGGTACGTGCGCATAACCCACCACTTACGGAGCTGAACTCGTGTGTTCGCTGACTCGTTTGAACTCTCTAGAAAACTACGTCCACGGTATTATCACTCTGCCTTGAATTTCTACTCTCACCCCGGAAACTCGAAACTCATACGCGCCCCAGATATCTTCGTCGATAATGTACATATGGAGCTTTCGCTATGGGATACGGCCGGACAGGAAGAATTCGACCGGTTGCGTGCGCTATCATACGAGGACACGCATGTGCTCATGCTCTGTTTCAGCGTAAGAAGCCACGGACCTTTGGCCTCAGACCAAGATTTCCAATCCGGCCGGCTGACCTTTGTTTTTTTCTTCCGTGCAGGTCGACAGCCGCGACTCGTTCGAGAACGTCGGCTCGAAATGGATTGCCGAGATCAACGACAACTGCCCCGGGGTGCGCGTGGTGCTGACGGCCCTCAAATGCGATTTGCGCAAGGATGACGACCTGAACGATAATCCCAACACCATCTCGTTCCAGCAGGGGCTGGCCAAGGCCAAGGAGATTGGCGCTGTCAAATACCTGGGTAGGACTGGAATTACTGTGAACCACCGACTGCATACTGCATGGACTGACTAACCCGGTTCTTCCAGAATGCTCCGCCGTCCAAAATCGCGGGATTAGAGAAAGCTTCTATGAAGCCGCCAAGGTCGCTCTCGAGGTTAAGCCCGCTGGGTCCAAGGGATCTGGCTCTCAGTGCATCATTCTTTAGCCTGCGTTGTTGATTCGCTGCCTTTGTATCTTACTGCTTCTATCCCCCTTCTCCCCCTTTGTTTTGGTCCTGATTGAATTCGTTGATTCCCCTATGCATCCGGTGTTTTGAATTCCTCCCAAATTGCCTTAACTTTTCTTTCCCCTTTTTCCCCTTTCCTTCCTCTTTTTGGAACTTCCTCTTCTCTGTCTGGCCGGGGCACTGGCGGGCTTTATCCTGTCCCAGTGCCGCATTCTGCATTGGCTCGGCCTTTGGTTGACGCAGCATTTCAGCGATGTTGGTTTTCTTCAGATTCAGATAATTGACTTGATATATACAAGATGATTATTTCGTGGTATCCGAGCAAATGGAATACTAGACTGTCCAGTCTGGGACTTTAAGGGACAGGCAGTCGTGCATATAGATAGACCTTGCTAACTGGGACTATCCTGGATTGGACTATGTGATTCTGATAATGACCTTCTTTTGTGTCATAGTACATTTTAAATCAATACTTTGAGGATCTCTATCATAGTAGCCCCATTATATTGGCAAGTACCAAGTAGAAATGTGAAAGCAAGATCAAAGAAGATCCCCCCCCGAACCGAATAAACCTCCTCAATCCTCTCCCCCAACGCACCCTGGCCACACGCAAAATCCGCATTGACCCGGCTCACAAACCGGTCCACGAACCCAGCAGCGACTTGGTCAACACTGGCATCGTGCACCCCCAGCCCCTGCAGACTGGTCGCCTCGCGGCCCTCGAGCCCGCAGGCGACGATCTGGCGGAAATACCACATCGGCTCCGAGGTGACATTCAGGCCGATGCCGTAGCTGCTGATATTGCGGCGGAGGTGGACGCCGACGGCGGTGATTTTTTTGGGTTGGTTGGTATTTGGGATAGATGATGATGCCGAAGCAGAAGATGTAGATGTAATGGTGGATGTGGATGTGGATACTTGGGCGTCATCTACCCAGACTCCCGGGTCATCAGTCACAAACCCCGTCACCCCATAGCTCCCCAGCAGATCAATCACGCTATTCTCCAACACCCGGATATGACACCGCGGCGTCAGTCCCAGCCGCTTCAGATCCAGGATCGTGTACGCGACCATCTGCCCGGGCCCGTGGTAGGTAGTCTGGCCGCCGCGCAGCGTGGGGTGGTACTCCGCCGTCGCGGGGCCGGATCCCGACGGGGTGAGCAGAGACCGGATCGGCTCGAGAGACGGTGGGAGGGAGAGGAGTTTCGGGGGATGGGTGCTCGTGTTGGAGGGCGGCAGGTCGCGGCGGCCGGTCGTGTACACCGGGTTCGGGGTGAAGGTGATGATGGTTGGGTCGGGGGGTGGTGGGGGTGCTGTTGCTGTTGAAGCTGTGGCAGCATTGCTGGTGGGCTTGCGGCGGTCTTGTTCTTGGGAGGAGAGGGAGCCTGGGGAGGCTAGTTTTTTGTAGGTGAGGAGGCGGGTTGTGAGGGCTTGTTGGAGGTCGGAGACTCGTGCGAAGGGTGTTGTGTGGGGAAGGTGGAGGTGGGCGAGACGCATGATGGAGAAAGAAAGGATGGGGGAAGTTTTAGTTGAGGCTGCTTGATTGTGAGGACTCCATGGATTTGTTCAATTGATGTTGCGCGTTGGAGTTTTCCTCGGGTGAAGTCTGGCTGCGGAGAAGTTCCCTGGCCGATAAGCCGCGATAAAGCGTTGGCGTTGAGCAGTTGATGTACAGTTAAGCAGATCTTCTCTCAATTCAATCTCCCCTGGACTAAACATTCATCGTTCATTTAATCCGGTCATCTTTCATCCTTCATACCCCATTTGCGGGTCATGGCTTCTTGACGTCCAATGGACAGACAAGCTCATCTACACTCATTTTAACCCACAAGTCGAATTAGGCGCAATTCGAAACCCCAGTCAAGTTACTGGCATATAGTCCCCAAGACTACGAGGGCACGCCATTAACCAGCGCAACCTGCTGGTCCTCTGTAGGCGGGAGTAAGACCCAATCGCGCACACCACCCTTCCAGTCCGCAATACGGCCCTCGGTCACTCGGACCGTAACCACGCGCACATCACTATCGATAGACATACTCGGTCGTCTCTGACTTGGATCCTGGCGCTGCTGCTGACCAAACAAGCTGATCTCCTCCTCTTCAAAGGTGTTGTTCTCTAGATGTCGCTCCTTGCACCAAGTCTCCTGCGGGGATCCGGGTTCCAAGAACTGAGCGTCGCCGGTGATTGTGGTCGAGATGCTGGACAGGGCGCTCGTGTTCAGGTTCAGCAACAGACTAGCCAGTGATGAACGGGTTGCCGCCGGTGGAGGAGAGCCGTCGCGATCGCCGTGCGGATTGGGGGCTCGGGTCGGCGGGCGGTGCGAGACCCAGTCGTGGACCAGCAGCGAAACGCGCGGGTTGGACAGGAGGTGGTTGGTCTTACGCGAGGATGGGTTGGTGGTCATGATGATGGTCGGGTAGGGGTCAAAGGGTGTCGAGGGGAGGTAGGTGTAGGACATGAGGGAGATGTGGGGGGTCGTGCCATCACATGTTGCCAGATGAAGCTGTGTGAAAAGAGCCCAAATGTTAGGGAACTGATTCGGACAGGATCTATATATTTCAAGGTGGGGTGGGGGTTTCGACATACGAAGCGCGAGTTCTTCAGACATGAAATCACTTCGGTTGGCAGTGAGGTCGCCTCATGAGGATGAGTGGTGGTGGCAGAAGCCTCGTACGAGAGTGGGGGGTTGAGAGAGTCCGTCATGATGTGTGTAGAGGGCAAATCGGCTGGACATGAAGCCCAAGACTCCGTCGAAGTGGGCTCTGATGCGATCTGCCGGGCGGTGAGTCCGTTTCCCATCGACGTCATCCACCGGGGGAAACAGAAGGACGTGGCGGATTCTGCTGACGGCCCGTTCCATGGATGGATGCATGCTCTCTCCGATGTCAACTACCTGCACACCTTACTGTTTGCTCTACCCTACACGCGTACAGAAAATTCGACCTTGGACGAGGCAGGGATGTGCAGTGTGTGGAGTCGACTTTCGTCATGATGGCGACAGCAAGGATTCAGAGCCAGATAGCTGATCTGCATGATTTAACCCCGAAATCGAGGAAAATCAGACTCAGAATTAGGGTCACCTGGGAACCATGCCCATTGGCAGTTGAAGAGTGGCCAAAGGAGTCTATTCTAAGGATGACAAGGACCTATGAAAGAGCTCTTATTAAGGGGATCCGCCATCGATTCTGGGGGACATTCCTTGTACTGCTACCCTGCCCCAATGTCATCATTACCCACCCGCCCGTAGATGCCCCGAAGGATCCTTGGGTACCGGGTACCAGCACTGCCCGTATCAGTACCGGGGAGCTTACCTTTCCCCGCACTCTAATCTATCCCTTGTACTCCTCTTCAACTCTCTCTCTCTCTCTCTTTCTCCTTCCATCCCCACATTCCCTCTCTTACTTGATCGCCCTTGATTCCCCTGGAGCTTCTTTTGTCTCTACACTCTGCATCTGCGTGGTCGTTAGTTTTCCTTTGTAATTCTCTCCATCCACACCATGTTCAGTCCACGTGTCGTCCGCTCGGCGACTTCGCTGGTGCGGCCATTCAGCAGTTCCACGGCCATCGCGTCGCGCGCCCCCTCCATCCGCGATATCACAGGTGATCCCACCGAATTCAACCGGCGACAGAAGGAGTTTCGCGAGAACCTCGAGCAAGCTCGCAAGAGAAAGGAACAGAAAGAGAGTCAGTCTGTCGAAGCCTCTGCCTCCTCTTCTCCCCCTTCCCGTGAGTCCGCTCCCACTGCTCCGCATGTGAGCAATGCGAGTCGCTATGACCCAGTCCGCCCAGCTTTTGATGCGGCCGCTACACTTGACCAGAAAGAACTGGGCTCACTGTCGATGCACCGCTATCTAGGAGAGGACCAGCATCTGGACTCGGCGGCCAAGCGAGGGGCCCTGTCCTCGCTCATCTATGGCACGAAGGAAGGTCAGCATTTCGACAAGGATATAGAGCGCTCCTTCTCCCAGGTGCTGGCCCGCGGCAAGTACGTCCATTCGATCGTCTTCCACGATGTCAAGCCCGACAAGGTCGACGAGTATGTGGAGCTGGTGGGCCAGTGGTACCCCCGCATGGCCGGCACCGAGGAGAACCGCGTCAACCTGGTCGGCAGCTGGCGCACGCAAGTGGGGGATAACGACACATTTGGTAAATCAATTGAGCCAACCTGGTGTGAGAATAGTATGGAAAACAGATTGCTAATCGTTTGGAATAGTGCATATCTGGGAATACCAGCGCTACGAAGGCTACCACACTTCCTTGCACAACATCTCGCAGCACCCCGAATTCCCCGAGTTTGACCGCAAACTCAAGAGCCTGATCAAGAGCAAGAAGACGTCATTGATGCAGGAGTTCTCGTTCTGGCCTACCACGCCGCCCCGCCATCTGGGTGGCCTGTTCGAGCTTCGCTCGTACACGTTGCACCCGGGCAACCTGCTGGAATGGGAGACTCACTGGCGCCGTGGCCTCACAGCACGCCGCGAGGTCATGGAGGGCGTGGGGGCGTGGTTTGTGCAGATTGGCGAGCTCAACACGGTGCACCATCTGTGGCAGTTCGCCAACCTGGAGGAGCGCAAGGTGCGACGAGAGCAATCATGGGGCGTCGAGGGCTGGGCAGAGACGGTGCACAAGACAGTGCCCCTCATCCAGACGATGCAAAGCCGGATTCTCGTTCCAATGCCCTGGAGCCCGGTCGGTTAAGTGGAAGAGATCTGCGGGGGGCTCCACCAGGGACTGTGATTGTGATGGCTACACCGGAAACCCAGGATGGGAAGGGGATATAGTTCCCGCTGTCTGCATTTTATTCTGTATTGTGTATCTAGGCATGAAGCATATGTCGAATCCAGCCTGCTACCATATCACCCACACTCTGCCCTACGGGAACTTGGCCTCAACACCAACCTCGGGTAACCCCACTTCTTGCGTCGACGATCTGTCGAGTTGATGTCTTTGATTGGCACTGCTGCACTGCACATAAACCACACTTGAGTTGCTGCACGTGGGCCGAGTCAAGTGGTGACGCCCCTGGAGGCTTGAGCGGGAGATGGAGTCTGCCGAGTCCCTTAGGTCCACATAGCCGTAGACACGGGTCAACAGATGGGTCAACAGATGGGTCAACAGATGGGTCAACAGATGGGTCAACAGATGGGTCAACAGATGGGAGGTCAATAGATGCTGGAAATAAGTAAATAAATAGAAAGTATGAAATAGCGCAGTGTGTTTAGTAGTTTTCGAGTCAGCATTCGAGAAGAATAAGAAAAATCAAAGGGCTGGCTGAGTGAAGGAAGAAGCAAAAAAGAAGAGAAAAGGATCGGCGTGTTCTGGCAGACTCTCCATTCTGCCAGTCCCCTAACACCAGCGGGGCCCAAATTTTTTTTTTTTCTTCCTTTTTCCCTTCTTTTGTTCCCTTATTTCTCCTTGCGAGGCCTTGTGTTTCTTGTTTTTCTTTCCTTCCCCCTTCATATCTCCACCCGACCTCCTCTGTTGATTCTCTCCCCGCCTTTCTCTCTTCTTCATCCTGTCGCGTCGCGCGTTCACCGAGTTGAGACGTTGAGACGCGGGTTCGTCTAGGGATAATCTAGGGGATTATATGCTGTGACAAGAGAGAGAAGAAAGAGAGAATGGTCTACATCCGGCAACATCACCTCGCGAACCTCCGCAACTATCGCTATGCGGGCGTCGACCACTCGCTCGTCAGTCGGTACATCCTCAAGCCGTTCTATAGCAAATATGTGATCCACTGTTTCCCCATGGGGATGGCGTGAGTTCCCTGATCTTGTCCTTGAGAGAGACCGAGCATATACTCCAGATCCCCTGTGTCTCTGAGAATGTGCTGGAGTATGGAGTCAGCTAATAAACCGTTGCCTGTTGCGCCTTGACAGACCCAATGCCGTAAGTTCTGGCCCGTGAGACTTTCTGATGTTGTTCCTTTTTTTTTTTTTTTTTTTTTTTGCTTCCATTCAGAGTAATCAAATTAATTCTCGTGTTTTCTGTAGATCACCTTGACCGGCTTCTTGTTCGTGGTATTTAATTTCATCACCGTCCTCTGGTACAATCCGTCTCTCGACCAGGACTGTCCGCCCTGGGTTTATGCGTCCTGCGCGCTGGGCTTGTTCTTGTACCAGACTTTTGATGCCGTAGATGGCATGCAGGCGTAGGTTTCTCCTCTTCCACGGTCTTCAAGGTCTTCAAGGTCTTGGTTTACTGAGGGTTTCTACAGGCGGAGGACGAGGCAGAGTGGACCGCTGGGCGAGCTCTTTGACCACAGTGAGTGGGCACAAAGATATGGATTGGGCAATATGAGCTGATTCATCTAGGCGTCGATGCATGCAACACCGGCTTGGGCGTGTTGATCTTTGCGGCTTCGATGAACCTTGGCCAGTCGTGGACGACCGTGCTGAGTCTGTTTGGCTGTAAGTGAAGCGCCAATTCCGCGCAAACCTCCCAATCCGACCATTGATCGTCCTGACAATCTCTTGACAGCGACCATGACCTTTTACGTGCAGACGTGGGACGAGTACTACACCCAAGTCCTGACCCTCGGCATCATCTCGGGCCCCGTCGAAGGCATCCTGACGCTGTGCACCGTGTACGCCATCACGGCGTACATGGGCGGCGGCAGCTTCTGGCACCAGCCGATGCTGTCGACGCTGGGCGTGTCGAAGCCGAGTTTCGTGTCGGACCAAGTCTACGCCATGCCATTCACGCAGTGGTACCTCGTGTACGGCGCGCTCATGCTCTTCTTCGCCACGAGCTCCAGCATCTGGCATGTCATGCAGGTGCGTCGCCAGCGCGGACAGGACCCGCTGGCTCCGCTGTACGGCCTGCTGCCCTTGGTGGTGATTTGGATCTTGGTCCCCGCCTACCTGGCCCTGCAGCCCACTATTCTGGATAACTCTCTGATTCCCTTTGCGCTGTACGTTGGCCTGGTCAACGCCTATGCTGTCGGCCGCATGATCGTCGGCCATCTCGTTCAGTCGGGCTTCCCCTACCATAACATCCTGCTGTACCCGCTGGCCCTCGGCGTGATTGATAGTGCTGGGCCGGTCGTCGGTCTCTGGTCTGCTTCGGTACTCGGCGACGGGTTCGGGCAGGTTATCTTTGTCTATGCGTGTCTGGGTCTGGCGGTCGGTATTTATGGCAGCTTCGTGGTATGTTTTCTCTTTGGATGTCCTTCTGTCAATTCATTCACGGTCCCGCTAATACAAGTCCCGAATAGTTTGACGTGATCACCACGATATGCGACTACATCGACATCTGGTGTCTGACCATCAAGTACCCGTTTGTCGAGGAGACGGAGCGCAAAGGCGAGGCTGTCAAGAAGACCAAATAAGGCATTGGCAGGACCTCGAGATTTGTCGAGGGAATAAAAGCCCAGCGGATCATACGGGCGTAGTCGTGCAGACCAGTGGACTTTGTGAAACGAACAGTTCAACCTCGGATCACCGTGTCCACGCGACATGACGAATGGAAATGAGTGTCAGCAAGTACATAATTTCAACACCGAGCGAGTTGCTCTGCGATTTAGCGAACAAATACGAGGTAATAGGATGAAATGATATGAAAGAATATCTTCGGGTAATTTCTCTACACTTCTCGAAGTATCAGGCCTCTCATAGAAACGGAGAAAGTAATAAGGCACCTGACCTAACTAATCGCTAGTTCATGGCTGCCTGAGAAATCTGGCACCAAACTCGTCTCTGATTGGCGGGACCACTCCGTCCATTCCCAATCGAGCGACCCAAGCGAGGGCAACAGCCCTAACCCCCAAACGGGCGAGCAAATCCCTTTCTCCTGGGGGGAACCACCTCTTCCGCTTCCCACACGGCCATCGCTATCAGCGCCTTTCATCAACCCCCTCGCTGATCGACTTTCAATCAAGATGGTGAGCTCCCATTGTTGCTATCTCGCTATTTTTTTCATCTGTCTGAGTCGATGGACATATTCGACATTTGGTGGATTTGTGCCCTCGATCAGAGACGCATCTTGAATCGAAAATTTTCTTCGAACTTGGGACTAACATGCTGCTTGCTCTAGGTTCTCGCGGTCGACCTCCTCAACCCCACGCCTCAGGCTGAGGGCCGTAAGCACAAGCTTAAGGTATGAAACTGGACAACACCCGAATGGAAAAGAGATGAGGATGTGGAATCGGGATCGGGATCCCGAGTGGACGGTCTTCGATACACGGACATGCACCTAGGGGGAATACATTACAACACAGTCATGACACAGAATGCTGATACGGATATTTTTCTTTCACAGACCCTTGTGCCCACGCCCCGCTCCTTCTTCATGGACGTCAAGTGCCCCGGCTGCTTCACCATCACCACCGTGTTCTCGCACGCCCAGACCGTCGTCGTCTGCGCCGGCTGCTCGACCGTGCTGTGCCAGCCCACCGGTGGCAAGGCCCGTCTGACCGAGGGCTGCTCGTTCCGCCGAAAGTAAACGCCACGCGCTTCACGAATTCCCAAATCCCCCATTTTTTTATTATTACTTTTTTTTGATGATGGGAAAAAGATGAAAAAATCGTGGATGAGCGAAGTGGGACGGGGACTTGTTTAGCACCCCTTGGTGTCTTGTTTATGTTTCTGCGGCCAAAAAGCGGGAATTTTTAGCATGGAGAGAGAGAAGGAAAGCCCCCATACCCCCCTTGGTCTTATGGAAAATACGCCAAACTTGAACCGTTTCCCCTTCGCCCGGGGTGTTTTCGTTTATTTTCGCGCTTCGGTGTTCGGGTTCCGGGGAGAGAGAGGGGGTTCTGTCCTTGTCCTCTTCAAAATGTCACATACCACCCCATGAAAACTTTTTTCTGATCTCGTCTTCACCCGTGGTTTGACCAGACTACTACGGTGTTTTGCTTTTTTTTTGCTTGTGTTTATGTTCTATGTTCTATGTTTATGTCGTGACGGATAGAAGATGGAACTCGACTACAAAAGTCCAGCATCCAGCTCAGGGAGTTCCGGATATCTGCATTCAAGCATATAGCTTGACTCTGTTGAATGTCTTGTTTTGATTGTTTTGACTTTATTTGGTTTTTGGTTTCTATGTTGAATGTTGCAAGTTGTGTATATGTAAAAGGTTGTGCTCAATGAAGAGTTACGCCCAACCTACCTAAATAAGTAAACTCTGAGTAGATAGAGTACACCCTAATAGTATAACGGGAACTACAAAATAACAAGGCTAGCCAAAGCGAGTCCACAAGACCTGTCGATATGCACTCAATGTAGACACATACTTGAAATGCAGAGTGCCCTATACTATACTGGATTGATTATCCACAAAGTGGATTCGATCAAGTCCCACACAAGTAACCAAAAAAAAAAAAACACCTTTAATCGAAGAATCCAAGGGAGTTTTCTCGAACTATCTACACGATTCCGTCCATCCCCCGACCCCACAAGCCACGCCGACGCGCTGGTTCCCCGCCCCGAGATGCGCTACATACGTCAGTACCGCATCGTGGTCAGGCACCGTGACATCATTTTCATCATCTTATGGCATTGTCGTCAGTACACACGGCTGTCTACATGGCTTCTGGGATAGGGAAAATGGGGGAATAGGAGATAAACAGGGTTCTTATAATTTGTATATTTCTGCGACTGTCTTAGACATTGATCATGTTTAGAGTGTAGGGTTGTTCGGGGTATATACTTTCTAGGTAAAGTGTATGAACTACATTGCCTCAGTATAGAGAAAAAGACGTCATACTTGCTGGGGATTCGTTTACTCTCTGGCCATGGGAAATACCCAGATATGATTAAACAGGGTAGATAGATTTGATCAAACGAAAGACTGCTTGGCTTTGAACAGAAAGAAAAGAACCGCGAATTCAATATCCCGGCTCAAAGAGAGAGATATATAACCTGAATACCTCAAAATCCAAGTTCCATAAAGATAGATCCCTTCAAATTGGACCTGAAAATTGCATGACAAGAGACAATCCCATCTCAATCAAACCTCAGTCAAAGCCCTCGCCTTCGCCTTAATCTCCGGCCCCAAGTCCACGGGGTTGTTCGGGTCACTCCCCGTCATAAGAGCCAGCTTGCCACTCGAGTCGTTCACCAGCACATTGGCGAACTGGTTGCGCCCCAGAATCTCCTGCGCGGCGTTGCGCGCGCCGCTGTCGCCGGCGGCGAACTTGGCCGGGTCGACGTCCTTGAGCATGCGGTGCGTGTTGCGGATGAAGTCCAGGAGGAAGAACACGGTTGGGTGGGTGTTCGGGGGCTGGATCTGGGGGTGGGATTCGAAGGCACTGTTTGTGTGTTAATTTGGTTTAATTTGTGGGTGTTTGTAGGTGTTGTTGTCGTGGATATGTAAAAGGTTGCTGCTGGTTGAATGTATATATTGTTTTGTAAATGGATGGGACGGCATACTCGATCAGCTCGACCATTTGGCCGTCGATCTTGTCGATATTCACGTCGAGTTGGGCGCTCATGGTGGAAAAATGAATGAATAGGAGAGAGAGGGTTGTTGATGTGATAAAAATCCCTCGGAGGGACACTTTAAATAGCGTATCTTTATCTTATCGCGGGGGATCCTCTCCTTTGGCGTACTAACATTTTCCACCTCTCCCTCATTGTCTCTCTCTTTTTCCCTCTGCTTTTCGCTCCTTCATGTACACACCACCCTAACATCCAACACGCTACAACCATCCAACCTCGATACCACACCCCCACAATGGCCCCAAACCCCTCCGCAACCCGCAAACCCCTCAAACTACTGATGCTCCACGGCTACACACAATCAGGACCCCTCTTCCACGCCAAAAGCCGCGCCCTAATCAAACACATCCAAAAGGCCTTCCCGCACCACGAAGTCGCCGCCATCTACCCGACCGGCCCGCGCCGCCTGAACCCCAGCGACATCCCGGGTTACGAGCCCAGCACCGACACCCACGAGCAAGCCGATGCCATCGAGGCCTACGGCTGGTGGCAGCGCTCCAATACCGCAGACCCGCCGCTGTACCAGGGTCTCGACGACGGGCTGGCGGCCGTGGCACATGTGCTGGCCGACGAGGGCCCCTTTGACGGCGTGATTGGGTTCTCGCAGGGCGCCGCGCTGGCAGCGATGGTTGCGGCGTTGTTGGAGGGGGAGGGAGGCGGCAGGTTGGGTTTGAGAAGTGCGCGAATGAAATTTCGTCTGGGAGTGGTGCTGGTGCTGGTACTGCTGCGCCGGGAGTACCCTTTCCCTCTTCGTTTTCTCCCGCCGCCTTGCTCCACCCGCCCCTCAAGTTCGCGCTCTGCTATAGCGGCTTCCGTGCCCCCGGGGCTCGGTACCGTGCGTTTTATGAGGATCCGCCCATCCAGACGCCTGTGCTGCATGTGCTCGGGTCGCTCGATGCTGTCGTCGAAGAGGCTAGGAGCCGCTCTTTGATTGATGCTTGTGTCGGCGACCCCGAGAAGGATGGCCGTGTTGTCTGGCATCCTGGTGGCCATTTCCTGCCCAGTCAACGGCCTTACCTCGATGCGGCGGTGCGCTTTATTCGGGAGCAGGTGGAGCGCGGAGACTCAGGGAATGATTTTAAACCTAAGAATGAGGAAGAGGATGTGAGGGATATGGATGTGCCGTTTTAAAGGTGTCTCTATTCTAGATGCGACATACCCGTGATACATTGATGGATACACGATTACGATTAGTATATAAACTACTGTACCGTTTTGTTCTTTACTGTCTGTTGATAACCATTTCACAATAACTAATGCGGTGACGAATTATTGTACACCACTCAACGGGCCTTGCCCTTGCCGCCACGAGACGGCAAGATGCGGGCCATCATCTCTTCCTTGGTGATCAGATGATCGATGCGCTCCAGCAGGCCGAGCAGGCTCTTCATGTCGCCGCTCCACTCGTTCAGCACGTCATCCGAATCGCGGGGCTTAGCGAAGTTGACCAGCCGCGCGGGACGGTCGATCTTCGCGTAGATGATCTTGGAAGTGACCAGCTCGCTGATGTACTTCTCGGTCTCCTCCTCAGTCAGATCCAGCAGTTGGGTCAGCCGGCCCATCTGGATGCGCGTGTAGTACTTGGCCACCACGCGCACATTGTGCTCAATCACCCGCTTGCGCAGATCCTGCCATCTCCGGTGTGCTTGGTTCTCGGCCGTCTGTCGCGCCTCGGCGTCGAACACGTCCGTGCTGCACAGGTGCGGGCCGAACTGCTCGGCCACCATCGGCCAGCGCATCAGCTCGGGGATGGTGAACAGCTTCACCAGTCGTGCCTCCGCGGGCACCTGCGCCAATCGCGAGTCTTGCTGGATGCGGTGCAGAAGGTCAGACTGCTCGTTGTCGTAAGGGGACAGGACAATATAGTAAACGATGCGCGCGAGGGACTGGTCAAGCGTTAGTTCGTTAGTTTTATTGGTTTGCAATGGCATACTTCTCGAAACGTACCGCACGCAGGTGCTCTGGATTGTTTTCCACCGCTTCCGTGTCCAGAACCTCTCGGTAGTTCTTGCAGACGTCGAGATACTTGAAGTCGTGGTTGGCCAGAGTAATCTGCTGGTCAAAGTACCGGAGCTTGAGATCTGTCACATCGTCATCCACCTCCATCGGGGCTTCATCCGGCGCCCGGGTCTTCTCTTTCTCCTCCGCCTCCTGCTTGAGCTTCTCGATCTGCTCAGGGGACTTCTTGGGCTTGCGGGCAAAATATCGCTTGTTGATTTTGCGGCTGAGAATCGTAGCCTGTGTCCAGTCGCCCCGCTCGATACACAGACCGACTTGCTCCAGAATGAATTCTGTCTTTTCCCTTCGGGTCATCGACCCAAACGTCTCCACCTGCAGCTCGCACAGGATGTCTGCCGCGGCATTGAGATCGCCTTGGGTCTTTTTGATGTTGGACAGGATGCGTGTGACACGGGCTCGCTCTACCTCCACGAAAATCTGTTTGGGCCGTGGTTAGCGACCGGATTCCGAATCTCCCAAAACATATAGCGTACCTTTCCCTCGGTGACTGTTCGCAGTGTTTCGATGACCGACAGCTTAACATCCAGGTTCGGGGTCTCATCCAAAAATCCCATCACCGCCTGCACCATCCTCGTCGTGGCCTGCTTGAGTTGGGCATGTTTCTTCGAGAGGAGCAGCACCTGGTCATTGAGCAGGTTCCAATCGCCGGAGTTCTTGCTGATGGTGACGATGGCAATCAGGACTCGCGATGTAGAAGCAAGGTCGGATGCCTGTGATTATGCGCAAGTAATTTAGCTATGAAACTCCAAGAAAACCAGTGTAAGAGATGGTGCTGGGCCATACCTGTCGTGCTTGCTTCTCCAAGACTAGCAGCTTGTCGACCGCTCCCTGGACATCGGTCTGGATAATCGTCGCAGTTAGCATCCTAGTAGCCACAGGAAGCATCCTCCTCTAACCTTTGCAAGAGCCTCTGCCTCGGGGATGAGTTTGTCGGCATCCTTGGTGAAGTCCTTCTCGGCCTTCAAGAGAGCGCCGTCGGACATGGTGACGAATAGGGATGGGTGCTGGCGAATCAATCAGGGTGTGAGGAAAGGAGTTTTCAATCAAGAACAAATTTGTACAGTGAAGCAGATCAAGGCAATGCGGAATCCGATGGCGGAGGATGACAGATGTTGACGCCGAAGCTCCGCCCTTGGCTGGAGCTGGAAGCTCTCACGTGATCGTGTTCGATTTGTCTGGATATCAACACTCTTCCTACGGCGTAATTGCTTAACATTGATTTGATTAAAATGAAAAGTATTCTTTTTCATTGCTCTCAATCTTTCTTGTGAAATGATTGCAACCTATGGCTCTCGTAGAAAAACCGAATAAACCAATCTTTCTCAACCGACCTTGATTTGAAAACTGATCTACAATGGATAGATGGTCTTCCAGACACTGTTAATATATTCCAGCTGCTCTACACTTTATACTAGAGACTCTATGCCAGTGCTATATGGTAGAGTGTGGATGCCATTTATGGAGGGATCAAAATGGCTTAGATAATACAGATCACGCAATCCCCTAAACCGCATTGGGCGACCAGACGTTGTATAGATTTTTTGAAGAAAGAAAAAAAAGACAAGCGAGTCCACTGAAAAAAACAACGGAGATCCCGATTAACCCGTGATTTATCCCATTGACACATCTCCAAGTACGATCCCCCTCGAGATCGAGTCTGCGCTGTGACAGATCCCCGTCCGAGATCTGCCAGGACGCTTATCAGCGCGTTATCGCCAATCGTGACGGGTCTTTTACTCAGTGAATTTTGTCGCTTTCTCCGCGGAATTCTGCAAAGCCACGACATTGGCAAGTGCTGTTTCTTGGTCGAGCACCCTGTCGAGGGTTTGCTTCAAATACCCGCTGGTTCTGCGACACTTTTTTTTTTCATCTGTCATATCCAGAAGCGTCGCCTGTGATATTTATCTGGAGGGGCATATCAATTTGGGACAACCCCACGACACAATGAAGGACGCTTCGTCCGATCCCGGACATCCGGTGCCGCTGATCACGGCTTGGAATGTCGAATCGCAAGTCCATTTGATTGTCGGTGCCAATCCTTTGGCTGCGGCTCGATGTGCCAAGAGTCTCGAGGCCGGTGCCTTGCCCATCGTGATTGCGCCGGATACCGGGGACATGCACTTTGCTTTGTCTGAGCATATTGCCACCGGTGCCGTGCAATGGGTGCGCCGTGACTTTCAGGATGGTGACTTGACGAGCTTGGGCAGGGAAGAGGTTGACCGGGTGGTGGATACGGTTTTTGTGACTCTGGGTGGCAACCACCCGCTGAGTAGGTTTTCTCTGTGATGGTTGTCACTGTAAGCATTGTTACTGACATACTTCTCAGGCCCACATATCTCGAAGCTCTGCCGGCGTTTGAGAATCCCGGTCAATGTGTCGGACGCCCCCGAGCTGTGCTCGTTTACTCTACTTTCTACCTACTCGGACGGACCCCTCCATATTGGAATCACCACCTCCGGTCGTGGCTGCAAGCTTGCATCCCGATTGCGGAGGGAAATCTCTGCCTTTCTACCTCCTAATCTTGGAACCGCCATCGATCGACTGGGTGCCGTGCGCAGGCGGCTGTGGGAAGAAGATAACACCGCTGGGCTCGGCGGAGAAGTATTCGACGCTGAAGATGACGACGCAACAGGCCAAAAACATACCTTCAACACGTTGGTCACTGAGAGTGACGTCGCGGCAGCAAAGACAAGACGCATGCGCTGGCTATCGCAGATTTGCGAATACTGGCCGCTCCGCAAACTCGTGTCGATCAGCGACGCCGACATCGACGCTATCCTCAAGGCCTACTCGTCTGGCAAGGACAATGCCAAAGGCGCCATGGGGTCTGAAATGCTGTCACAAAAGGGAAAGATCGTGCTCGCAGGTTCTGGGCCCGGGCATCCTGACCTACTGACCCGCGCTACATATAACGCCATCCATAATGCCGACATCATCCTGGCCGATAAGCTTGTACCGGCCCCGGTCTTAGATTTGATCCCTCGCCGCACCGAAGTCCACATTGCACGGAAATTCCCCGGCAACGCCGACCAGGCCCAAGAAGAATTCTTGCAGATGGGTCTTGCCGCTCTGCGAAATGGACGACAAGTACTGCGACTGAAGCAGGGCGACCCATATTTGTACGGCCGTGGCGCAGAAGAATTCGACTTCTTCCGGAAGGAAGGGTACCCGCCGGTGGTGCTACCGGGGATCACCAGTGCAATGAGCGCATCTCTTTTCGCAGATATCCCCGCGACACATCGCGGCGTGTCCGACCAGGTCCTGGTCTGCACGGGGACCGGCAGGAAAGGCGCTGCCCCGGAGCCTCCCACCTACGTGCCAACCCAGACAGTCGTGTTCCTCATGGCCCTCCACCGGCTGTCTGCTCTCGTGGAGTCTCTCACTACCTTCCCTGCCGAGGACTCCACTCCCCATTCACGCACACTTTGGCCCAAAGATACTCCCTGTGCGATCGTCGAACGGGCCTCATGTCCAGACCAGCGCGTCATCCGTACTACCTTGGAGCATGTCTGTCTGGCCTTTGAGGCAGCGGGGTCGCGCCCACCTGGATTGCTTGTGCTTGGGGCTAGTTGCCATGTGTTGCATAACCCCCAAGATCAACGGTGGGTGATCGAGGAAGGATTCCATGGGCTGGATGAACTCCACGGCGAGGCGGAAGCCGCAACAGAGGCAGTGGGCGAGAGCACGCGATAATTTGCACACAACAATCTGCATTACGGAATGGTGTATATAGAGAATATTTAGATACCCCTAGACAAGCGAATGCTTCGATTCCATGATGAAAGACGATGGGTGTGTTGGTAGTGCTGTAGATCGTTGGGTCTGAGTGGAGGCTTATCGATAAATTCGATCAACTCCACCTCAGCAACTTTGCCCATCGCAACATCCGCCATATCTGCGCCGCCCAAACCCGTGTATTTCTCCAACGGGCAGGCTCTTCAGAGGTGATTGATTCACCCTGGTCTTTGCATTACTTTTGCTTTGCTAACCCAGCACGACCCTCCCAGCCCCCCGTTCTCAGTGCGCGTCAGCCGCTTCTTCGAGAGCGCTTATCTCTTCGTCGGCTTGTACTTTGTCAGCCTGTTCTCGGTAGGTCGCTCGTTGGTTGATTGCATCGTGGAATTTCTTCTTTTCTTTCCCCCTTTCCTTCCTCATATCTTCATTTTCTTGCCTCCGATGTCCCACGCTTGTTTCATGAAGCTCACCCATTCTACCCGCAGTTCGATCCCTACGGCGCCGCCCAGAACTCGCAGTTTAACATCCACCAACCTCGCTCTGTCTCTAGTTCTCGTCCCCGTTGGGGCTGGGGCTCAGGATCTTCTGGTGGCGGCGGTGGAGGTGGAGGAGGAGGCGGTCCGGGTCCGGGTCCGGGCAGACGTATTGGGCGAGTCGATGATGTTCGGGGCCCAGAGTGTGGCAGCTGCAAATGAAGCGATGGATAAGACACCAAAACTTACGGATGTTGCGGGTGAATATTGGGAGCAGTCGCTTGAGATCAAGGCATGGTTGTGAACTACGTTGCGAACTACGGTTGTTATGCTGCTTCCTTGACTCCTAGTTGTGCTTGAACCCGCCAATCCATGTGTTCCCTGTAGAGCGATCCAGTCGCATCCCGCTGCAGTATATCTGGAGGAACTTCCGGATGTCAAGATGAATCACGCCTCGTCATGATGATGGCCCAACACCCCACGTGACAGTTTCCCCTCTTGGAGCTTTGACACGGAGAGATCCAAATACACCTAAATTATATACGCTACCCCTACACCAGATACCCCGTCACCATGTCGTCTACCCCGTCCACCGATGCCGAGTGGGCGGCTCAGATCTCCAAGATGAAGGAATGGCTGCCGGCGAGGTCAGTATCACAGCCGCCGATCCCGCTAGGCATACACCGGATGATCGACCACACACTCTTGAAAGAGCCGATTGCGCCGGAGCAGATCGACACCATCTGCAAAGAAGCTCACGAAAACAACTTCGCCGCCGTGTGTGTGCGGCTGGGGTACGTGGCCCGCGCCGTTGCCAACTTAAAGGACGTCCCTGGCACTGTGGTGGCCTGCGTGGTGGGGTTCCCGGAAGGCACGCACGAGACGGCAGACAAAGTACGGGAAGCGAAAGAGGCGGTCGAGCAGGGGGCCAGCGAGCTGGACATGGTGATCAAATACGAGCTGCTGCAGAAGGGCATGTACACGGCGGTCTACGACGATATCGTCGCAGTGCGCCAGGCCGCCCCCGCACCAATAACCCTCAAGACCATTGTCGAGGTCGCCAAGCTTGACAAGGACCAGCTGATGGCCGCAACGATCGTGTGCTGCATGGCCGGCGCGGATTTCGTCAAGACCAGTACCGGGTTCAATGGCGGCGCCAGTGTTCAGCATATCTCGCTCATGCGCGTCGCCGCCGATATGTGTGGCCGCGACTGCAAGATCAAAGCCAGCGGCGGGATCCGCTCGGCTGAGGATTGTGTGCGCATGGTTAAGGCCGGCGCCCAGCGGATCGGAACGAGTTCAGGGGTTCGTATCGTCACTGAGCTTAACGAGGGCGAGCTGCTGGAGCAAGGGGCCAGTCACGCGGTGTCTTAAGAAGGGCCCTGCTTCGGCGCCTTGTGGGGACAAGCCAAAAGGTTCCCGTGGAATGTCGTCAGAAAGGTGTGGAGCGCTGGATTTGCAAATTTATCTCCCAATTGTTCAACGTTACCGCAATACACAAAAATGCAAAATCGGCCATGGCTGACAGAGATCCTGTCTTCCCTGAAAACGAGTATCTGCCGATCTTCCATGTCGCGTGCTTTCCCGCGTAGACCGCTCCCATACTCTCGAGGCGATCCGTGGGAACGGCCGTCGGTGGAGCCGTGGAGCACACGACGTCATGGTGTGCAGTGCTGCTGGTTCTCAATGGCCATGCCTTGCACCTCGCGTGAAAAAAGGATCTGCTGTTCCTTTTCCACTTCCCATCCCTGCGCGTGGTGAGTTCTCGGATTGATTGCCCCTCGAGTGCACACTCTGATCTTCCGAGCAAAATGAAAAACCCGTCTTTCAAGGTAAACTCCTTTTTTTTTATCTCTATATACAAGTGGCTATGTAACGGCATCGGATCCCTGCACCATGTCTTAACCAGTCCACTGCCTGTGCCACTCGGAAAAAGAATCCATGCTGATCAAGTGGCAAAGAAACATAAATCCTCCAACGGCCGGCCATCCCAAGGACAGGATGTCCTCGACTACACCTCCAAGCCGTCGGCCGTGTTTACTCCGACCGGGGGCCGGTCGCATACGCTGACCGTTGCGCTGCCGGGCAGCATTATTGCCAAGTGAGTAATACAATACCGAGCTGGGCAAGGTGGTGTGCAATGAGCGATACCGTGGGTCCTAATGCGAAATCAAATTTCCAGCGCGCAATCTCCCGAGCAAAAGACCCTCTTGGCGGGCGCCATCGCACGCGCACTGGCCGTGTTCTGCGTCGACGAGGTAGTCATCTTCGAGGATGACGAGAACCACACATCGAGCGACGACGACGGCTACGGGTACGACAACCCCGACGACGCCAGCTATGGCATGAACCACACCGGCCACCGCAGCGGGTACACGGCCTACTCGGACCCGTCGCATTTCCTGGCGCATCTGCTGTCGTACCTCGAGACGCCGCCGTATCTGCGCAAGCATCTGTTCCCGATGCATCCGAACTTGCGCACTGCGGGTCTGCTGCCCAGTCTGGATATGCCGCACCACCTGCGCGCCAACGAGTGGTGCGACTACCGCGAGGGGATTGTCGTCTCGCCCGCCGAGCACGCAAGCCGACAGCAACACCACCAGTACCAGCAGCAGCAGCAGCAGCAACAGCCCCGCAAGCAGAATAAGAAAAACGGCAACAACAAACGTCCCCACGATGACGACAACGGCGACGAAGGCAATGATGACCCGGCCGTCGTCGTCGACACAGGTCTCTCCCAAAAAGTCACCGTCCCACACCTCGACCTCCCCCCACGCTCCCGCGTCACCGTCCGCCTCCCGCAAGACGGCACCCCAACCGCCGAGCCCGTGCACCCGTCCGCGCCGCGCGCAGAAGCCGGCTACTACTGGGGCTACTATGTGCGCCGGTGCCGGTCGTTGTCGGCCGTCTTCACCGAATGTCCCTTCGACGGCGGCTACGATCTTTCTTTCGGCACCTCTGAGCGCGGCGACCCCGTCCACCGCGTTCTGGCTGATGATTCCCCTTCCTTGCCGCAGTATAACCATCTGCTTGTGGTGTTTGGTGGTGTCGCTGGTATCGAGGCTGCGATCCGGAATGACCCCCACCTCCAGGAAATGGAGATCCGGCCTACGGAGGCCGAGAAGTTGTTTGATTACTGGGTTAATGTCTTGCCAGGTCAGGGGAGTCGTACTATTCGGACGGAGGAGGCTGTGTGGTTGGGGTTGACGAGTTTGCGTGGATTGGTTCAGAGGCAGTAGTTCGTTTTGGGCGTGTCCCTGTCTCCGTGTGTTGTTTTCTTTGCCTTGCATTTTCAGCGGTGCTTTGCTTGGCTTTGCTTTATGTTGGGCGTTGTGGTTATATGCTTCAAGGTTGCATTGGGATAGCATGACTTTGTTGTCTTTCGGGTCTTTCCTGTTCGCACCTCTTTTCGGGCTACTTCGGGATTTCTGGTCTAATTTACGTTCGATACGGGGTAATTTGGGTATGAATTGAAGCTTGAAGTTATCAGGTCTACTTCCGTATAGAAAATTGGTATATTCCAAGGCTCAGTAAGAAACCTAGACATCGATGATCCATATAGACAACAGAAGCCGTTGCGCCGAGTCCCCAGATGCAGAAATCCCCCAACCCATTTTTTATCACGAGCATTTATTCGTCGCTCTGATCATCGGTGTCACTGGTCAAGACGCCGTCATCCACCTCCATCTTCTTCATGGCGACATCGCCACTGCGACCCTTTTTTCTGCGGCAAACCATGCCTCGCGGCGCCGGGTCTCGCGCTCCTCCTTCCGTGCTTGGCGCAGCACTTTCTCGCGCTGTGCGGTCTCCTGTTTCTCGTGCAGTTCGTTGATGTAATCTTGCATATGAGCTAGATCGGAGCGCAGCTGCACGACCTCATCCGCAGTGGCATGCCGGGCGGTTTCGTTGACTGAGACCTGCTTCTTGAGCTGGGAGACTTCTGTTTCCAGACCCACGACCTGATTCTCGTGCGCGGCGATATCTTCGGGGTTCCCGGTTGCTGCGGGAGTCGGAGAGACACCATGAGTAGAGTCCCCGCCGCCAGGTTGACGGAGAGCGGCTAGCTCGGCGAGTCCCTCCTCGATCATGGCGTCGGGGAACGATGCGTGGGTGAGCGCCTGGGAAAATTGTGTCGGGCGCGATTCCGGCGGGGCGAGTAGGTGAGTGTGGAACTGGTACTCGGCCGGCACGGCGCCCGGCGCATGCGACGGATCCGAGAAGGCGTTGTCGTGGCGCGGCTTGACGATGGTGTGCGCAGCCCGCTTGACTTGCAGCGCCGGGTGCGGCAGACCGCCGGGCGGCAACATTGTCAGATTCGTGATGGGGTGGGTGTAATCGGCCATGGAGGCCGCGAATCTGCGCCGCGCGGTATTCCACGATAGCACCTTGCCGCCCTCGTGTGCCGATAGCAGTGTCGTGCCGTCATAGCTGAGAGACAGGGCATGCACGGCGCCCGAGTCCGCTGCGGGCGGGAGCCATCGGTCCTCGGTGGATACCTGCGCCGGAGTCGACTGTACTGATGCGTCGTGGAGAGGATGTTGCACAGACTGGCTTCGGTAGAAGTCTACCGATTGCACGCTTCCATCTTCATAACCCACGTAGAAGGCTCGGTCGACCGGGTCTAGGGCCACGCACTTTGCAGAGAAGGGGAGGAGAAAGGTGCGCAGTGTGTGGCCAGTATGGTAGTCCCATGCGACAGCCGTGTTATCCTTTGCCGTTGACACTGCGATGTTGTGTCGGCCATTGCTGTGCCCGACGGCGATCGACGTGATAGCGGCGCGGTGGTTCGAGAAGGTCCGGATGGGCGAGTTCGGGGGCTGTCGGTCTCGGCTGACCGCGGGTTTGGAGAATGAGAGGATGGCTGGAATCGACCAGACATGTACACTTGCGTCTGAGGAGCCGGAGAGGATAAGGTTGGACGTGGGATCAACCGCTAGACAGGTGACGGGTTGCAGGTGGGAGGCCGTGGTGGCTACCTGGCGCCCTGTACAGGTCTAGAAGAACAAGTCAGAAGCCATTGACAATCATTAGAAAGCGAAACATGTTAACTGGGATCAACTTACCTCCCACAAGATCAATCGCCCCCCCTCAGTCCCCAAGACCAATACATCACCATACTTGGCACCGGCGACGGCAATGCTGCGAATGCGCTCCGGAAAAGGTACGATCGCCTCCTGATTGCCTTTTTCCCGACTGTAGACATGCACCACCGCCTTCTCGGCTTGCGCAGCGAAGATATGTGCGGGGCTGACAGCCAGGCAATTCGCTGCGGTCGAGCTCTTCTTGAAGGTGGAGCGCAGTATCGACGAAGGCTGGACTTCGTGCACGCAGATCCCTACATCTCTGAGCGTGGCCGCCGGGGTTTTGGCAGATGTCAGAGTCGATGCGACAAACGACTCGGAAAGCATGAGGAATGGGGCGAAGACAATGGTGGGTGAAGGTGAAATCCTAACTTTTTTTTCTTTTTGCATCTTTTCTCCCTTCTACAATCGATAAGCAGTTTGCAGTGTTTGGTCCGTCTACCAGGAAATGCGAGCCATCGACCACGGGCGACGAATCTCACGATCTCCCGTCTCATTATTGACAGAGCAGAAAAGTCTGTTTCATCTGAGATCTGTGCCGGGTGGAGTTGGACCTGTCAATCGGAACTGGCGAGCTGGCGCTGGCACTCGTCGCAGCTAACCCAACACCTACCACTCGCCTCAACATGGCATTATTACACTACTACAGACTGGGTTGTCAGGGCATGTCTGAGCCGAGGCACATCAGGAATCTGCAGAAACATTTATAGCTAATTTGCGCCTTCGATGCCCCAAGAACAAAAACATTGGCATGAACCAGCAAAGCAAGGGATACAGCTCACCTTGCCCTAACCAGGGGCTGATTGCCGTTGCAACGAGACACAACATCCAATGGAGACCCGCTTTGATACACCCTCTAGTCGATCCTATGGCCCTTGTCAAGAGTGCTGATTCGCCATGACTCCCCTTTGCGCCCCTCTCTCATCCCATTTGTCTCATTCCTCTTCCATCCACGCTGCGCGCGATGACGATGGTCGGCGATGAGAAGGGCCTTCCAGATGGGCTCCAGGGGCCAATGATTATTCGCCGGTCACTGAAGCTCACCGGGCTCTGGAATGCAAGGACGGGTCCCGAGCTCATTCCTACTATTATTGCGCTCCATGCCGGGCTTTCAAATCTCTTCGTCCAGAAAGAGGGCCAACCCTCTCTTGTTCCTGAAGGGGGCGATGGTCCGCTTGACATGCTTGGGCTTCTTCATGGCAGGGTGTTGTGTCAAGGGATATCCTGTTGCGCCTGGTGACCCTATATCCACTGCGAACTACCTGGCTAGCGGCATTCGCGCTGTATAAGGACATATCGAGCCCCTGCATTAGGCGATTTTCCTCTTTTTTTTTTTTTTTTTTTTGCTTGTGTTTTGTTTGGAGTGATTGTTTTCTTGCACCATTAGATCTGGTTCTCATCTGGGTGACTCTTGTGCAACCATTTGCTTTTTTCGAGCATCCAGGGTGCTTCGCTCTTGGGGCGCACCATGTCCGCCGTGGACGGTGCCTCGAAGAGGCCCAACAATCCATGCTTCCCAGCCCGGATCCAAACTCATATAAGAAACCAAGGTTCCAATTCGTCGTCCATCAGCCAGGATGCCATGCCCGCGGATATTATCCCCTCGCCGCGCCGATGGTCTCCGACATACCAACCGAGGCGGAGCAGACAGCCTCCGACTTCCCTTTCATTTGTACCGCCGCCAGCCGTGCCACGTTCCGACTCCCATGAACAGTCTCCCTCTTTGTCGCGGCGGCCAGCAGATCGAGGCCCTGTCTGCATCTCCCCGTTTCGCTCCGTTCGCAGGATGAAGGAGCCCTTCCCGCTCATGCTCCCGACATCACCGGTATCGCTTGATGGCGCACCGCCACTACCAGAGAGACCTATCAAAGCATCCAAGCCGCCGGCCGGCCACACGTTGCGAACATGGCGCTCAGACCAGAATCTGACCTCCGCGAGCATGGAGGCCTTTGGGCTGTTTCCAGGTTCTCCAATATCAGAGTCTCGTCCTGCGAGCGCGGGGGCCGACCAGTCTTTCTCAGAACCCAAATTTGTTGCGAAACCCGAACCCAAGCCCGAACCGGAGAAGCCTGCACGGGAAGATATTCCACCCATTGAGAAGATCGAAGACAAACGGGTCCGGTACAAGGCATATCGGCCGCCAGAGCGGGACGAGCTTGCCCAAGACCAACGAAGGACAGACGTGACGAATGTCCACGAAGCACATTCCAATCTCGTACGGCAGTGTGAGTCTACGGAGCCATCGGAGCAAACCGATCCAGACAGAGCGTCGTCAGTCACATCTCCCGAACCTGCGCCAAGCGAGAAAGAATCTACATCAGGCAGCTCCCCGAGGATTCAAAGGCCCAGAACAGCGACGGGTTCGAGTGGAGCCAGCTGGGTCCCAAGCACTTTCTCGTATTGCCAGCGATGGTTGCACAACGTTCCGTTTGATACGCCAAACGACCACGCCGAAAGTCCCAAAGAGTTCAATCGACGCAAATGCCAAATTGTTGAAAAGGATCCTCCAATGCCTCCACTGGACATCATTCCCGGCGCCAAAGCCCTCGAAGCACCCGTGGTCAGTTGAATCCAGTTTTCATCCTTGAAGATCGTCTGCTAACTCTCATCCAGAGACTCGCTGTTGCTAGTAAAACAAAGCCAAAACTGGTTGATATCGCTCGACAGTCTTCGCCATCTATACCTCTTCCTCCATCCCTATTGCCGAAAGCAGCACCAGCAACCCCTGACCAGCGTCAGGAAGAGGTATCCGCATTTAGTCCAGATACGCCACAAGATATGTCTGACAGTGGATATGGCACCCGCGATTCGAGGTTCTCGCTAGAGAGCTACACCGACAGCAAAGATGACGACGCTTATACCGATCCCGGATCATTGACCTCCGACAGCGTCACATCTACTGTGGTCTGCGAGAGGTCTGAATCCGCGCAGGGAGAGCGCGCCACATCCCCCAAACCTGAAATTCGATCAGGAAGTGTCAGTCCCAAAGGATCTTCGCCATCCACCGACTCCCCAGGGCGGACGTCCAACGCGTCCGACAAGGATGATTTGGAAAAGCAAAGACTTTGGGACGACGAATGGACGCTGGACGAGCTCGACCATTCTGTGAAAGATTTCCCTCGCCATATGCTCCGACTGGAGTCACCTGTTATGGTATTCCTACGAAACAGCGACGAAAAGGCTCTCGTTCGGCCCTTCCGCGCCATTTTCCCTAATGTCGCAGAGAATCTCCTTGATGGACTCTGCGCCGCTCTCATTGCCCGCAACTATCTCGTCACACTATCCAACACCCATCGCCGCAAACCCTCTGCGTCGACCCGCAACGACACCTATGCCGTCGACGCCGTCCCCACAAAAGCATATAGCACGCTGGGAATCCAGCTCCCGTCTGGGTCTCCTAGTCGAATCAAAGACCGAGTTCTCGGGTCTCGCAGCATGGAGCTGCGCCGAGAATTCGAGAAAATTGTCGATAACCTCCTTTTCGCCATCTGCGGCCGGGCCGACGAAACTTTGAAATCGGCCGTTGAAGTTCTGGCCGACGTGCTTGAGACTAACGCACAGCGTTGACCCTTTCATTTCCCCAGGTTTTCCTTATTTTTTCATCTATCTCTCTTTTGATACTCTCTCCATATCTCCTGTCATTCTCACATCCGCTTTGACTCTGACCAGAGCAACGATTTCCTTGATTTGCTTTTTTATCTTCGTGTATCTTCATACCCTTGCATCGCGATTCGCTCCTTCGGCCTGTTTCATTTATTTTGTCTGAGATGTACAATTAGTGTTAGTAGCATAGCAACCATAATCATAATGCTTTGCAATAATTCATTATCTCGTCTTCATCTTGTCAGTGTAGAAGTCGCAGGCGAATCAAATGATCGGAACACAAGTTGCCCGAGTGCAGATCGCTTAGTCATGCGATTTTCCCGCGGAATTCGAATTGCAAACTGCTGCGTCCGCCGACTCTCTCCTTCCCATTCACAAACACACACACAATGGCAGTACCTACACGTAGTCTACGGCATTTGTCTGCCGTGAGAGCTACCCTCTCTCCCGCACCGATCTCAATTCCGTCCATCGGCTGTCGAGGCTACGCCACCGCCGACCCGTCATCCGCCACAGGAGCCACCCGGCGCCGAGCAACGACTTTCCAAGATAAGCTCAACGCAGGCCCGTCGTTTGCAGATTTCGTATCCGGAGGCCAGCAGGATGAACCCCTTGATCCGTCCGAAGCCTACACCCTGAAAACGGCGCTCGTCGGTCCCGCCGGCCGCAAGAAGGAAATGACCCGGCTGCCCTCGTGGCTCAAGACCCCCATCCCCGACTCGAAGAACTATCAGCGACTCAAGAAGGACCTCCGGGGTCTCAACCTGCACACTGTCTGCGAGGAGGCGCGCTGTCCCAATATCTCGGACTGCTGGGGCGGAAATGACAAGTCCTCGGCGACGGCGACTATCATGCTCATGGGCGACACATGCACACGCGGCTGCCGGTTCTGCAGTGTCAAGACATCGCGGGCACCTCCGCCACTCGACCCGCACGAGCCCGAGAATACGGCCGAGGCAATCTCGCGCTGGGGCCTGGGGTACGTGGTGCTGACGAGCGTCGACCGCGACGACCTGGTGGACGGCGGCGCACGGCACTTCGCCGAGACCGTGATAAAAATCAAGCAGAAGAAGCCAAGTATGCTGGTCGAGTGTCTGACGGGTGATTACGCCGGAGATGAGGACATGGTGGCGCTGGTCGCGCGGTCCGGGCTCGACGTCTACGCCCACAACGTCGAGACCGTCGAGGCCCTCACCCCGTACGTGCGCGACCGCCGCGCCAAATTCCAGCAGTCGATCCGCGTCCTCGGCGCCGCCAAGGCTGCCCGTCCCGACCTCATCACCAAGACCTCGCTCATGCTCGGCCTCGGCGAAACAGACGAACAGCTCTGGGATACTCTGCGCCAGCTCCGCGCTGTTAATGTCGACGTTGTCACTTTCGGCCAGTACATGCGCCCGACGAAGCGCCATATGGCCGTCCATGAATACGTTACCCCCGACCGCTTCGAGCTCTGGCGCCAGCGTGCCCTTGATATGGGCTTCCTCTACTGCGCTTCGGGCCCGTTGGTCCGCAGCAGCTATAAGGCCGGCGAGGCATTCATTGAGAACGTCCTGAAGAAGCGCCGTGCCGCCTCGCCCACTGCCGAGGGCACTGTCGAGCAGCCTGCCGTCGCGGCCGACGAGGCAGCCCGCTAATCTATGTTCTTCATTGAGTTTCTTCCTCCTTCCTCTTGGACATTACCGTTCATATAACATAACTACATAACCTAACTTGCTGTTTTCTGGTCTGATGTCTTTACCCTAAGACTACTGGCCCTGTTCTTTTCCTTTCTATTGGCACGAATTTGCATTGTCTTGGTTTTGTTTGGGGGTTTTTGCTTTGATCTGGGGGGTTTGGCTGGTTTTCAACATCTCAACATTAGAAGTGTCTTGTCTTGTTTTTGTATGACCATCTGTCGAAGTTGTCCTTTTTTTTTTCTTTTTCTATACGTCCATGGATGTACATGTTACTGCACGAGCAATCAACCCTCGTCAGTACAGCCCGACGAACACTTCGAATGCCACACATATTTCCAATTCATGGTCGAAAAGCCACGCAGGTGGTAAAATTCATCTCTCGATTGACGACGTGTCGGTCATAAAAAAAAGGAAAAGAAAAGAAAACTATTTTCGCCTGCCTTATCGCTACTTCTCACACCTACGCCCCCTTCAGTATACATTGCCCTCCACTGTGGGTTCACTGCGAATCGAGGTACAAGGTGAAGTAGACCAAATCCTACACCACCTATAATACCACCACTCACTGCTCGTGACATTCCCGCCGATATAAACAAAAAAAAAAAAAAAAAGAACGAACTCCAGGCTTCTCAAAAGAACAATGAAATGCAGGCCAAGCGCATAGAGTGCAGCTCCCAAGCTGTCTCGGAATCGACCAGAATAGGGACATCACGAATGTTCGAAAGTGAGTTGTAATGACGAGCAATCATTCCCGCGGGCAAGGGTGCCCACTATACTGATGAAGTCCGAGAAGGATTGTAGCAAAGGGGAAAAAATGAAAAGGAGAAGATCTACTTCTGTTCCGAGATCAACTCCTTGATATCCTGCTTGCCCAGGCCAAGAAGATGGAGGATCTCGATCAGGCTCTCCCCGTTGAGGCGGGTGGGCGCCTCGAGCTGCACCTTCGACTTGGCGCGCCAGGCGACGCCGAGGCCTGCAGCATGGAGCATTAGGAGATCGTTGGCGCCGTCGCCGACAGCCATGGTCTGCGCGATGGGGATGTTGTTCTCGGCAGCGATGGATTTGAGCAAGGAGCGCTTCTGAGTTGCGTCGATTATGGGGTAGCCCGGGACCAATTTCCCGGTGAGGGTCTGGGAGGTTGGGTCGATTTCCAGCTGACGATGTGAATTAGAATGCTGATTCCCTGCAGCTTCTGGTCAGTGTAAGGGTGACTTACGTGGTTGGCGACTGCATGGTCAATGCCGAGTTGCTCGGCGAGCCACTCGGCCAGTGGCTGGAAACCGCCGCTCAGCACGGCGATCCGGTACCCCAACACTTTCAAGGCTCGGCAGAGCTCGCGCGCGCCGGGGGAGATCGTCAGGACGGACTTGAGTTTGTCGAAAACGTCGGCCGGGACGCCCTTGAGAAGGCCAACACGCTCCTTCAACGAGGCGGAGAAATCTAGTTCGCCATTCATGGCGCGCTCCGTGATTTCCTAAGGCGATGGTCAACTTCGATGCAGTCCAAAGAATGTCTGAATGGGAAGAAACCTACGGAAACCTCTTTCTCGACACCAATGAACTTGGCGATTTCGTCAATGACCTCGTTCTGGATCAGGGTGCTGTCCATGTCGAATACGGCCAGCCGCTTATGCCGGCGAAAGACACTCTCCCGTTGTAGCACGACCTCGACGTTCCACTCACGCTCGAACCGCCAGATATTCTCATGCTTGCGCAGATCGTCAAAGGGCAGATATTCGGGGTTGGGCGGCGGCGAGAAGGTGACTTCGACGACGTGCGGCTGGTCATCACGGTCGAGACATCGGTGCGACGTGTTCATGCGCTGGTAGGGGGTGGGCAGCGTTTCGAGGATCTGGAGGAAATTGGTCAAGCACAGCTGCGACACGAATGGCCCGTACAAGTGGTCCAGAGGCTCGGGCTCCGGGGCAGGCGGCTCGCGCGGGATCTTTTCCATGTCGTCCGTCGGTGCGGAACCCTCGGGCACTCTGGGCGACTGCAGCTTGTCGCCGAACGTAACGTTGGAGGGCACATCGGGGTGGAGGTGCGGGTGGACCGGATGGGCGGCCTTGTAGAAGATGGTCGCGACGACCCGCGGCGTGCCGCTGGGCAGCGGGTTTGCTTGGTGGTTGAAGATACTGTGGATAATGCCACTGTCGGTGACCTTCTCCGGATCGGGGCTGATCGGGTTCGTGACGGCCAGTTTCTCGTCGAGCTGGTTGCCTAGCACCTCGCCAATGTTCTGGGTGATGGGGATGGGGGGCTTGTACTGCTGGTGGTCCTGTAGGAACGAGCTGCTGCGCATCTGGCCGAGAGATGGCCGCGCGGGGCGAGAAGAGTCGGCCATGCCTTTGAGATCACAAAATGCCCCTCCATCAAAAAACGTCCTGCATCGATCGACACGTGGGTCTGGGTCACATGATCCCGGTCAACTAACTGGATTCCAGAGCAATAGAGATCATCCATGCAGAGATATCATCTACACAAAAAGACAAGTATTTTGCTAGATAGCTTTCTGAATTCAAATCAGATGTACCAGCTAGCTGGTCCACCTACATAGGATCTACTTCGATAGTTGTCACCAGTATACATGGAACCAAGTTTAAAGCCCGGCTCAAACCAAGTCTATCCTGGAACATGTGCGCTATGTATCCATGGATGAGTGGTCAAGACAGAGGAATTATTTTATCAGGAGTCTGATGCTATATTGTTGGGAATAAATACAATGACGCGTTATTTTGGTAGGGAGCTATACACAGAGTATGGGCACTTGCAATTGGAGAAATCAATCCCTTCTATAGAATGGAATGATGTCACGTGCCACTCACGTGAGAGTCACCAAGCTTCAAGAGGGGCAAGCAGGATGGCTCGAGAAAGAACAGGCCTCCAGCATCGGGTCAGATTGTCAAGGACCACCACCAAGCCAAAATCATGCTGGTTCGCCACTCCGTTGGCTGACAGGTAAATCCAGGTTTTCTTCAGTCTACACGGATGCTAACATCATCGCGGGCAGCCCCCAGATCCGAGGCAGATATGCATTGGTCAGCATACACAGCGGATCCTTCTCGGAGATTCGGGGGAATCGGGGTGGATTTCTCAGCGATGGGTCCTCCAAGGCCCAGCAGCCTACGAGAATGTTTGGAATGAAGACTCCACGCAAAAGATACATTGCCATGTCGGGTCCGGCGGCCCACAGGCACCCGTGGCGCAGGTATTGCGTGCTCGGCGATGGTGCAATTTTTCAGCAACTTCGCCTAATGCGGCAGGCGGTATTGTGAGATGTCGTGATCGAGCATCGGCAGAATGAGCCGGCAGAGGCAGGGCTCCGGACCAGGACGCCAGGCACGAGCTCCGAAATGATGTGATTTTCCTTGCTCTTTCTTATATCCCCCATTGTCATCCTCTACTTTCCTTTCCCACTCCCTTCGCCTCCCCCTTTGAAGTTTGGTACCCGGCTATTGCTTCCGGCATCTCACATCATATACTTCCTTTGCCCTCGCTCTACATATTTCCCTCCATAGTTACTCAAACACAATGCCGGCCAAAATGCCTGTCAATTACCCCTCAGATGTGGACAGTCTCGACTTGCGAGACGCCAACACTGAGTCTGGCTATGTCAGTGGTGGCTCAAGTGATGACTATATCCCTGAGATTGTCTTCACCAAGCCTCACCTCCAGTTCCTTAACCGCCAGCTGCAATTCCTCGAGCCTCAAGGTTCGTACCACCCCTGTTACCCCTCCTAATCTTAAGCGGTTTGGTTCTGACTCGTTACCCACAGATATCTTGAGATGGTGCATCACCTCGCTCCCTCACCTCTTCCAAACCACTGCCTTCGGGCTGACGGGGCTGGTCACGCTGGACATGCTATCCAAGCTGGAGGTGCCGCGGCCACAGATGGTCGACCTCGTCTTTCTGGACACGCTGCACCACTTCTCTGAGACTCTGTCTCTCGTTGACCGCGTGCGGGAGCGTTACCCCAACAACAACGTGCACGTGTTCAAGCCCGCTGGCGCCCACACTGCCGCGGAATTTGAGGCCAAGTACGGCTCCCGCCTCTGGGAGGTCGACGACCAGCTCTACGACTGGGTGGCCAAGGTCGAGCCCGCCCAGCGTGCCTACCGGGAACTCAATGTCCACGCCGTCCTCACGGGTCGCCGCCGCAGTCAGGGTGGCAAGCGTGGTGACCTCGACATCATCGAAGTCGACGAGGCCGGCCTCATCAAGATCAACCCCTTGGCCAACTGGTCCTTCGACCAGGTCAAGAAGTACGTCAAGGAGAACAACGTGCCCTACAACGAGCTCCTCGACCGCGGCTACAAGAGCATCGGTGACTGGCACTCGACCCAGCCTGTCTCTGACAACGAGGACGAGCGCTCAGGCCGCTGGAAGGGCCAGCAGAAGACCGAGTGCGGCATCCACAACCCCCGCTCCAAGTACGCCCAATTCCTGATGGAGATGGAACGCAAGCGCCAGGAGGAGACTCTGACGCAGGCATTGCAGACGCAGTTGTCCGCTGCCGCTCAGTGATCGTTTCTCCCCTTTTATTCTCTCTTGTCTTGCATTCTTTTTTCTATCGCATACCCCCTGGCGTTTTCATTCGGGCGATACCTATCTGGGTCTTGATGTTCTTTTTTTCAGCGGTGTGGTTTAAAGATGAGTTGCATCCTGGTGATGTTGGATTTTATGTTCCAGGGACACACACAAGTCCCTGTCAAAAATGATGCTACAAAAGAGTACATTTGTTGCATACCAACCCCATCCTCTGTCGAGTGATTTTCTGTACATAGGGAGTTGAGAATTTGGCTCTCGCACCCCTTCGGAGTTGTGGGATATGATAATGACTCGCATGCTATATGCAAAAACATACATTTATTCGATTCAAATATTTTCTCTACAAATCCTCTCCTTGCTAGATCTTAATCCTTAGTTTTTTGGAGTCGCATCGTTCAAAAGTGTCGCAAAGTGACGGTCACGTGTGCCACCAACCCTAACTTAAAACGATTTCTTGACATCGACATGCCACCATGATGAGTTCTAACCAATGGATTACTTTGAAATTATTGTATTTTAAGGTTTACATTGCTCATCATCGTTAATTATAAGTGTTCGTCCCATCCAGCTTGATATACTTGTGTAGTCGGTCGCCTCGTTCGTGGATGAAGCTGCCGGCACAGCGTATATCCGAGTTGGGAGGAAAAGACGGTGAGGTGGCTCTGACGCAAGCTCCGTTTTCGGAGAAACAGAGTTAGGGTTTTAAAGTTTATTCAGGCAGAGTTTTTGCTTGATGGATTAGCTTTTGGAGGACTCGTGTGCTGCTTTACCTAAGTAGTGTCATTCAAACTAATTAAAGTCCTGACTTTTATGGTAAGAAAATGATAGAAGCAAAAAAGAACTAAAGACATATTAATTACTTTAAAGAGACAGTATGACAAAAAAAAGGTAAAAACAAAAAACAGACAGCAGCAAGGATTCAGTGGTGGTCAGTTATCCAACTATATGCTTGCTAGGGGGCTATATGCAGCCCTATCGATCAATCAATCAATCACGGATACACGCCAAGAACCGGGGATTTCGTGAGAGCCAAAACCTACGCGGGTAATCTACGCGGCTTATCCGTTAGTGGATGAAAATAAAAATAAAAATAAAAAACGCCCCCAAACCGACGTTTAGCGCTTACCTCAGATGATAGTAACCTTGCGAGCATCATAAAGAAGTCCCCTCGTCAATCCCAAACTTAACATGTTTCAACCACCAACAGCATGGACTTCGAAAACCCCAAGCACCTGATAGCCGCCGGGCGGAAAGTGCGCGCCGAATACATGAAGGCTGTCCACAATATCTCTATCTCCGACCATCAAAAGCTCATCTGTCGGGATGATCCTGTCAAGGGGCCTCTCTGGGTGAGCAAGTTTACTCTCCCTAGCTCAAGCTCGGCAGGTGATACCTCTTGTGAATCTCTCCTCCAACTGGTCGATGAGGCCAATGTGCATCAGGTGCGATACGATCATCCGGCCTCGGCTCCACTCGACTTTGAATGGGTCGGCTATCGTGCCAATGTGAAGAAGGATACGCCGGAGCCTTCGATCGGGGAGAAGGAGAAATTCGATCGGTTGTCGGCTGAGACGAAGAGCCCTTTGACCATTTTCTATATCTATGGCGGAACTTTTGTGTAGGTTCTTTTTTTACCCACCGAAAGTTTACATATATGTGCGCGCATTCTAACGCCTGGCTAGTGTGAATACCCCATCATGCTATCGCAAGACGGCGGTAACCCTTGCCCAAGCAACAGGGGCGAAGGCCCTGCTTGTGCGGCAGCGATTGGCACCGCAGAATCCTTTCCCGGCTGCTCTACTAGATGTCTTCCAGGCATATCTAGCCCTGCTGCACCCGCCCGCTGGAAGTCCTCATGAGCCTATCCCCGCATCGTCTATCGTGATAGCCGGCGACAGTTCAGGTGCTTGTCTAGCCCTGGGCCTGCTTCAGATCTTGCTTCAATTGCAGCGCCGGGAAGCAACCGTCACCTTCCACGGAGCGAAGATTTCACTGTCATCCTCATCACCAAAAGTGCCAGCAGGTATGGCACTTGTCGGCCCAGCGTCCGATCTCACTAATTCCCTCCCGTCCTGCGAGCGCAACGCTTATTGTGATACCCTCCCTCTTCCCAACGATAAGCTCCCATACTTGAAGAAAAGCTACCCTACCTGTCCAGCCTGGCCCACTCGGCCAGCCCGCGCAAACTTGTACTGTGAAGCGGGGATGCTAGCCCATCCACTCGCAAGCCCGGCTGCTTCAGATGACTGGACGGGCACGTGTCCTGTCTGGATGGCTTTGGGCCAGGAGCAAATTGCCGATTCGGTGCGTTTGGTGGCACAGGAGATCCATCGCGCGGGTGGCTCGGTTACCCTGAGCGAATATGAATGCTTGTTCCACTCCTTTTACTTTGTGCTTCGGACTGCGCCGCAGACGAAGCATCTCTTCGGGGAGTGGGCGAAGGCGATTGGGGGATTTGCTCGAGGGGAACGACCGCTGTCGAGTGCGCGGTTCATTCGGGCTCGGGGACTCAAGGAGGAACCCCTGGATGTGGAGAATCTTGTGGATTTTTCAGTGCCACAGGCGCGAGAGTGGATGTGGGAAAAGACTCATACTTACAAAGTGCCTGCTTTTCATCAGGAGGGAAGAGGGCCTAGTCTGTAGAACGGACACGGGTCCATAAGTCAATTTGTATTTTATAGTTATAATATAGCATGTACCCTTTTCACTGCCATCTTTTACGGCCATAGAGGGAATACACTGAGTATCCGCGACCAGTGCAGACCGCTGCAACTAGGCTTAAATTCCAAGGGATTGTTAGTGGTAATCTAGGCCATCCTGCTAAGTCATTTTGGCTTTTCATCCCCTACACTGTGTGACATGGTTACCACTTTAATATTTCCGCTGCGCTGGTTTTAATTACTGTATTATTTGCTTGGCCCCAATAGAAAATTATATAACCCCCTCCCATGTCCGGAGAATAGATTTCATTAAAAGCCCTCTAAGCTGTTTTTCTCGGGAATGTAAAAAGCCCTATAGTACGAGTAAACTTGATTTGATCAGCAATCATATAGGGTAGAAGCGAATCGAGGGATCCGCTTCAGAATGTTCTGAGGGATGCAGGCGGGTTAGCTTCAAGAAATATCGAATAGGATTTACTCAGATCGATCAAGATAGCAAGAAATGATTCTAACACCGAGCGGGAGGGCTCGAGGCGACAGAAGGGTGCTGTATATGGGTTCGATGGGACGAGTGGCACGTAAGTGTGGAAGCTTAGCCGAGGGTCACGCCAGCGTATTTAGGCGGCTGTGGGAAAGTTAAATGAAGCGATAAGGTTACACAAAAAAAGAAGAAGAAAAAAACATACCACATTCAAGTATGATGGGGGTCACCCGACGCCGTCGGTTCGGTCGTGGGCGGCTCGCCGCCCTATTCAGCCCTATCCAGCCCTCTTCAGGCAGATTCAGGCGGCAGTTCACCCCGAATACTTTGTACCCTTTGGGTGATATACGTAAGAAATAGAGAGGAACATACGTGAATGGATATAATCTACAGGTGGAATGAATCTAGATTGGTGACACCTCAGGTGTCGCCCGGTCAGAGTCCCCCGCGTAGATTAGATAGTTCTGGAGGGTTGAGTATTCTCTTCCTTCCATCACCATCTCATCTGCATCTACCTCTTCTTTCAGCTCCACGGATCTTCATCGTAGAGCTTCTACTTTGTTCATTCTGTCTTCATCAGCATCATCCCCTGCTGACAGATATATAAGGAGAGCCACTTGGTAGATATAGCCAATATGGCTGATTCTAACATACCCCAAAGCGCAAATTTTCAGTCAATAAATCCATTGGTGTATTATATAGAGGTTTGTTGATCTCAAGGAGCACTAGGGGAAGCCGGGAAGGCAGAGCTCTGAGGAAGGGAGCAGAAGAGAGAGAGAATCAAATTGTCTATCTATAGGGTCTGTCTCTATCTCTAAGAGAGAAGAAGAGAAACGAAGCTATCTGCTACCTATAGGTCCGCTACGGGCGGTCAGGGAGGCGGTGGAGAAAGGCTGGCAGAACCCAGTCCCAACAGTTGAGTCCTCCAAGACGGCAAATGAAGCTCAAAATGTCTCACCACCTAACTTTTCGATTGTTTTTGGCACGTTGATTTCAAGAAATCTTAACCCGTTTTTGGTATATTATTACCGTCTCTCCAGCGCTGGACTGTGTGTGTACGTTGAGAGCCGAAGAACCCTATTCGCCGCGTAACCCACCTATTCTTGGATTGAAACTGCGACCTCAGAGCCCACAACCCATGTCCATTAAGCTATGTGTGATATTCAGGCGCAGCTGAATGGATTACTTTTCTTTCATTTTAAGTGAGAATACATACTATCATACTATCCCTTTCATGCCTAAATCCCATCTAGAATAGAATTTCCAGAGGCAGGAGCATCTCTATCTAGTACAACCAGCAAAGAGGACAAAAGTTATAAAGGAGCAGCGAAAAGGTTGTGGTTACGACAATGGGGTATTCTATCTTATCGTTCTCCTCTAGAGTCTTGACCTTACACCACAACGTAAGTAGATTAGTAGTTGTTCGGCCTCAGCACCGGCGACATCCTATCTTCCCTGGCGACAAGTATTTTGTCTAGAGCAATGGCCATCTCCCAGTTTGACGGTTCCCGATTATCAGCTCACGCTAACCCCTAAGCTGACTACTACCAAATTTGGCACCATGGTGTCATTCATTTTTAGACCAGTCTGAACAGGCTGATCGACGACGGGATGGTGAGATAGAATACCGGAGGCCTTGAATTGAGCCCGGCACCTTTCGGTGGTTATGATGGGTCCTCTTCCATCGATACGATTTCCGAGTGCATCAGCAACTCGTCCCAGCATCTCAGGGACAACAGAAAAATCCTCAGATCACGCCTTATGAGATCAATGTGATTTATGGCGCAACTAATAATTAAAACCGGAAAAAGCTTTTGTGTACGCCAAAAGGATATGGGGGAAAACTTGTTGATCACAGGATAATACCTCATCTCAAGGCGGTCTAAGTGCGAGACTACGAGGCTTTCCCGCGACAAACAATAAAAATTCCAGGCCCTTTCAGGTGAATCGACAGTCACCCTAGACCACACCCATTTCAAGCTTGCAAAGGTCTAGGAAACGGCAAGAGTTACAGCCTTGGTGCAACAATACTCTCCTGGGCCCTGTCCCGACGTCGTTGTATCATAATACCCGTCAGTAGGGATCTTTGGAGCTAATAATCATGAACAGACTCACCGTCAGGAGGTAAAAGAAACTGCTGATGTCGAAGCCGCGAAGAGCAAGGCTAGCAAGGTGCATATAGATACAAATTCCAAGCTTTCATTTCGTCTTGAGAATTGAATAATACTATGGTTACTCTTAAAGATTCGGGCGAAACTTAAAAGCTTTCCTATATGTCACACCGAGGATACACTCGGAATAAAGGGGTTGACTAGGGTCTATTTACAACGTAGACTTCCCCTTATACTAAATACAACCCTATTTTTTTTTTTTTTTTTTTTTTTTTTTTTTTTGTTTCTGGCAAGAGTAAGCAAGGTGAGTTGGGGGATGAACGAACAATGGTATCCGTGCCCCGAAGTTCCATATCACTTTACTTGCATGTATGGATATGCACAAATGAGCGAATATAACTGAATTGACAGTAGAGAAAGAGTGGACTTGTTACTAAGTAACACCCGCACGGCTTGCAGAGAGCAAAGCCGTATTGCAGCGAATAATAAACATGATGGCAACATAAGAAAAATGGTTTTCCATAGGAGACGCCAGGACTTACTTCTAAAACATCCTCACCCTCTCCCACTTACCGAGTGCGTTGGTATACCGGGACTGTAGTCTCTCAAGCCTGTTTCGCATCATGACATCGGATTGATCTTCCCCGGCTATTGCATCCAGCTCTTCATCATCCAACCTAGCAAATGTCTCGACGGACACGGCTAGCATTGGGCATTTTGGTCCCAGGATATGTCGCTCCACCACCTGCATCGCTACGTTATCCACAAAGCGATACAAAGCAATCTCATAGTATGATTGCAGCCGAGCACGGACGAACAACACCTGGCTGAGAATCGTGGAGATAAACCGAGGACGGTTACCATTGGGCTTGAGCTTGCTCTTGACATCTTCCTGCTGATCATGCTCCAAAGATGGTCTTTTAGACGATCCTTCCCCGAGAAGGACTTCACCTCGATAATGATCCGCATAGTTCAATTGATTCACCAACTGCGGGTTGCGGGTGACCAAAGGTCTAGCTCTATTATCTTCCAATAGTTCGGAAAGAGCTTTCTTTGCATCGTTGTCCCATGCATCCATTGTCTTGCCCATTATACGACTGACCTCCAATCGCACTTTGCTTTGAGGTATAGCAATGCGGATTAGAACATCATGGCAGAGCTTAACCAGATCCTTCACATCATCGACAAATCGGCGGGCAATGGCTTCCCAATGGATGGATTGCTTGCGGAAGATTTTTTCTTCGACGTCTGGATGCACAGTGCCGGGAAGACTGCAGCCTTCGCTGATCTTGGCTTCCTTGTATATTTCAGCATATATGCCACTGGAATTGCTGGCGATCCTGTCCCATTCTTTTGGGTCTGAGTCGCTGAGGATTTTCAGATCTTTTTCGTAGTTTGTGAATGGAAGTGGCATATTTCTGTCATCCACCATCTCTGCATAGAATTGATCTAGGCGACGTTGCACTTCGTAGCGAAGCATAATCCGCGGGTCCTCAGAAGGCACAGCTTGGTACTGACCTCTAAGTGTCGCCTCTGCCATGTGCTGCATCTTGTTGCAAAACTGGAAGATAAAATACCGCTGGGCCTTTGGACTATCTCGAGCTTCACCCATATGGCTTAGATCTGACTCACATTCTCGAAGCTTCTGACGAATCTCTTCCAGAATGCGCGGAATACCAGTCTGGATCTGCGCTCGTCGTTCGCTGTCGACATATTTCACGAGCGCTTGTATTCCTGTGCGGTCTTTCGGGACTTCTTGCCAGTCTTTTCTCATAAATTCGGCACTTTCTCTTTCGTCCCGCTCTGCATCAGTAATGTGGACTTCGTTAGGAACTCGGCTTCGTAATCCGAACCACCCGTGGTCGAGGCGAGGAACAGTTGAGAGGTCGTTCCGAAGGAGTTTCACCATCTGAATTGGGACTTAGCATGATTCGTTGCGGGTGAAGCCTATAGAGCGACATACCCATTCATCCGATCCTTCTTGTTTGCGATCACACTTGTTCAGCACGCCAATACATCGCTTTTCCAGACCTGGGATCTCCTCCATTAGTTCGAAGATCCGGAGGCGCTCCACATCTACATCATCAATAACAACTCTGCTTTGCTATCAGCCAGGATTTGAGAGACGATGCTGTCTGATGACCTACAAGACGATGTTTCGGTCATTTGTTAGATACGCGCGTGCCAAATCCGATGCAACAGCTGCATTCATCTGCATTGGCGCATCTTCCGACCCGTCACCAATTGCGCCATTCGGCATATGCTCTCTCTTTTTTTTATCGCTCCGAATGAGCCCCGGAAGATCGGTGATAGTCCAATGCATCTCGTCCGGGCCCGACCGCTCAATGCGCAGTGTGGCGTCGCTTAGACTCACCCTCTCTCCAGGCCGATGTGCGTCAAAAATGCATTCGGTTGCCTGGATCACCCAGCCATGAGATTATATCCAATAGTATACGGCACTGAGCATACCTTTTCGATAATCTCCCTCATGACATCCGTCGTCAGCTCCTTCCTCTCGACTTTAAAGTCCTTGATGCGAGCTAAAAATGCTGCGTCATTCTCGGATTGCCGACCGGGCACGATCGTGCCTTTAATAGGCAAGTCCTTCTCAGTGGAAGTCTGGCGAAAAGAGATCTGGATGGGGAACCGAGTGCAAGTTCCGTCTTTCACCGGAAACGAGACCTCTGTGATAGCTTGGAGCACCGAGCTCTTGCCCGCGCTTTGGTCACCTACTACCACGAGCTTGTGAACATCAGTATCGTATTACTGGTCGCAGTGATGGAAATTGATCCTTTGGACTAACCTCTGGTAGGTTAACTGTGCCACTCAGCCCGAGAGTCTGCAGCTCGTCGATGAAGGCCAGCTGCTCAGAGCTTTCGACCCCGGCGAAGTGGCGTGGTCTTTTGCCCATTTTGGCTCTGGGGGGCTTGTCTGTGGACATCGGCTTGCTTAAATATGTCTATCGTTAGTCACCACTGCAAAATATCTCTTATAAGACTAGCGGGCCGTTCAGGCAATTCTGCTTCAGCATCCCCGCTGCTAAAGAGAGACCATCGTTGCAACGCAGTCTTGCCGCGCGGTCTTGCTGCAGTCACCGTGCATGTTTCACCCACTAACCGCCGAGGGCACTGATCCCGGTATCGTTTCGAAATAATAATCAGCGCATCATCCCGTCACATTAGGTTAATGCTCAAGGCATCGAATAAGAATTAGAAATGCCATGTTCCATCTGCAGAACGCATCACGTACTTTTGATGCCCTTAGCGCAATTACATGGCTCGTTCGGTCTCCTCTGATCACGCAACCTGCGGAGCATGGCGGCTATTGAAAAGGCACGGGCCGGTAAGATAGAGATCGTACTCCATAGTCAGGCAAAAAAATTCCCAAATGATTGGCCTTACAATCACCATATTTTCAGCCGAAGTCAGCAACCCCACTTGCCGGAGAAACGAGGAAACACTTCCAGAACAGCCATTTACCATTTCTTCAGACAAATTTTTGCCCGAACTCCTAGCTTATAGTATAGCAAGTAGCCATGAACCTACTCATGCTAGCTATTGGACCCGATCTGTCATTTTAGATGGCAAGTTATATGTTTTGGTCCGACTAAGGTGGCTGTTATATCGTAAGATGGGGTATAAAGCTTTGCGCTGCCTGGACCTTCGGTAGAGAAAAAAGCAAAATGAACTTCCGAGCAGTTCTAGGAGACTTTAGATCGACATGATGTTACATCACATATGCCAAGAAAACCAATGTTTCAGATGTTCGAACCCGACGCAATAGACTCGCGGCAACTCGAGAGTTAAATTTAGAAGCCTATATAAATTTTGCGGTGACGCAGAATAAAATCTATAATGCATTCACCTCTGACCCTAAAGACGCAATTTCAATGCGCACATTTATCCAATTCTCACTTCGCCGACACTTATCGACTACGAGCCGCAAATAAGCCACACGCCGGGATTTTAATTCGAACAGATGCCAAGAAAAGTAAATGAGCTTATCTTAGAGAACCCAAAGAGGCGTAAGATAAGGTTTCAATAATAGCCGTACCGAAGTAGACAACAACAAAAAAAAAAAATTAACCGCGCGCTAGCTGGGTGAGTTAGCTAGGAGTGCAATTCATCTCAGCATCTTGGGAAAGTCAGCCGAGAGACGCGTCAGCTTGCTGATGGAAATGCAGAACAGACAAGTGAAGCGACAAAGTGTTCGAACGGTTTAGAGTGAAGGAAGAAGGCCTGAAGGAACTGAAAATTGAGGCGATTATAAAAAATAGCTTCGAAGCAAAAACATACAACAGCCAGGATTCGCTGGTGGTCACCCACCCAACTACTAACTAGCCGGCGTGTGGCTTAAGTACGGCTGAGCGGACGGGAAGCCCTGTTCTCCACACCCTGTGGTCGTATGTACTGGATAACCTAAGGAAATAGCTTATATAGTACCTATTTAACCCTAGGTGAGAAGAGTTAAGGGGGAGTGCAATAAACAGGGTGAGAAGCCGGGTGATTTATCACCCAAGTCGCGCGACAGCCGTATTGACCCTTTCAGCTGAACTATTCCATAGCATCATTGGATTATACCACTCCACCTGAAACACTCAGGTGTCTTGACATCTGCACATAGCCAGCGCCTCGCTAATATATATACAAGGTCTAATACGGACATATACTTTCCTGGCGGTCCTTGTAGTGATCTTGGACGCCGCATCGGGGCAGTGATAATAATAAGTGGGCTGCTCCTTACAAACCTTAAGGATTTTCAAAAGCGTTCTCATTTAAAGATATAGTAATCTAGGATATTGACTAGCAATCGGGCGGTTGTTCCCGCTCCGTATATTTAGGCTCTTTTGTGTTTTTGTGGAGAAAAGGGAGGGAGGCCTTGGCCGATTCGGATTTGGATTCGGCGTAATCCACGCTCGTCCTAGGCACGCTACGCTATCGCGGGACTCTCGAACAATAAGAGTACATTGGACAAATTGGATAGTAGAGGGCCACTAATAACTATAGGGCGTAGGATTCCGGACGTATATACTAAGGGTAAGCCACAGCCTAGTCGGTCTATCTATAGGCGCTGATACTTACAATATCTGAGAAATAACGGTTGAATGGGCAAAGCACTGTCCACTCTTGTAACTAGTTATTTGTGGCGGCCAATTTATTTCCTAGTTGAACTAAGTCTATTGGCTCCCAAAGCTTTCTATCCTATCCTATTATATTAGAGATTGGCGCTTATTGCTTCTTCTGATTGGATAGGCCTCACCTGGATCAACAGTATATATTAAAAATAGAGTACCTAGGCCTGCTATTTTCTGTCACGAATAACCGACCCCAGCCTTCTTAGCACTACTATTTCGGTCGGAAACTGTGTATAGAGTCTAGTCGAGAAAAAGGATAAACGCTAATACCTTCGAGAACGGAGCTTTTTTCCTGCCGACTGATCACCGTAAACCACGAGCTGCGGCAAAGCGACGTGATTGCTAATCTCTTTCGCTTGAACACGGTCAATCTAACTAAATCTTTTAGATGTTTTGGCAGGCTGCAATTGAGGATTGTTATTGCCGTGACTAGTGTTATCTGGATAACCTATCTTTAGGAAAAGAGGCTCCTGCATAGAGAATTCAATGATATCTGGACTATTAAAGAGAGACAAGTCTGAGGATGAAGGAATAAGATCAACTGGATCTATTGAGATAATGAGACGAAAACTAGGAGAAGTAGCTAGCTAGAAAAACAAGAGGAGTGGACTTACTAAGCTGCTGTTTGCAGGCGAGTATAAGACGGGAGACCGGTAGGTCGCATACTGGCCTCAAGCAATAAGAGAGTTAGTTTGGCTCCGATAAGGGAACTTACATGCCTAGTATTCAAAAAGCTCAATCAGGTTGACCGTGTATGTAATTGCAAGTGTTAGTGGTCGCGGTTGCTAGCCAGTAATTATGGCGCAAGATTTGGTTAATGATCTATTTATAAAGGCCTATTTCAACGCAATATGTACAATTCGAAAAGTGAGTCGAGCTCCTTATGCTATATCAGTCAAGTAGCGCGGACGTCGCGTATATCGCCAACGGCTTTGCCGTGTGACGGCTCGCATCAGTTCCGCCTACTTGCGGATAATATTAGCCACTAAACTAGGAGATAAATTAAATAATATATTAACTAGAAGATAACTTAGACCCTAGCTTAATTAGGGTAATTTCTTATAGTAATCGGAATTAGGGTCTAAATAAAGGATTATAGAAATACTATAAAGATACTATAATATAGTAGATATAGAATAAAAAAGATAAAAAAAAGATTTATATATATAAAATTAGCTTAGATAATAAGGAATTCTTTAGGCCCTAGTCGATTAAGCGAGTCGACGGGGGCCCAAAAACTAGTTTAAATCTTGGGCCCCCCTTAGCTAGGTGCCTTTAAGCTTCTATAGATAATCAGTGGCTATATCGATCATGGGGACGAGGTCTTCCAGCCTTTGTTCCTTGTCCATAGTCACATGGACATTTCTGTTTCCTCGACAAGAACGGTACATTCCACTATCATGGAATGCCCCGCTAGGCCGACTAGCCGGTTGTTCAAGCAGATGATCGATGGACTGGCATACTAGCTCAGCGACCCGCAGAGCTACCATCAAAGTCAAGCGAACACTCGACTTGGTGGGTATTGGCTGTACAGGTAGTGCATGCTTCACCACTGACCGTCATAGTTCTTTCTCGGATGAATGAAACTTTTCTTCCGTGTGTGTGGGAACGGCGAAGGCAGTGAGAGAAGGATAAAGAGCAAAGGAGCTGGAGGTCCCCGAATTTATGGGACCATATAGAGGCTCGATACCAGTCCGCTTGAAAAAAATCTTGGATTAGTTTCCCGAGGTGAGTTTCCGCATGGTCTATGATCGCATCGTGCAGTACTAGATGCAAGAAGGTCTCCAGGAGGCATGTCATAGTCACTGACACGGGTGTCGCGCATGACTGGCTGACGTGTGGAGCGTAGAGGCACTGCTCTGTACGACGTCTGATATGCAGCGAGTCCAGCGGGACTATTATCATAGGACTATTACCATGGAGCCAACATTGATTGTCACAGTAACTGACGTGTCGCCGGTGGCTGTCTGATCTATGATGGGTTCATTACGTGTACTTGATCTACAGCAAATATGTATGATTAAGGGTCCAACGTGCCCATCACTTCCACCGACACCGAGTTTAGGCGAAATAATTTGTCATGAATCAGACCCCTCGATGACGTGGGATTACAATATTAAAGGCACATGGACAAGTCCGGATGCGACCAACCAACATCAGTTACAACACTCGAGCATGGATTTGTTCAATGTCAGTGTATCTGGCAACCCCATCGACCGCGGCCTTGTATCCAGACTTGTGAAAAGCATCATGTATACCCCGCTTCAGTGGCCGCATCTTCTGTCGCTGTGCGCGTGCCTAATACTGGGTGGATTGTATCTCCGCAAGCTACCACTCCCCCCGGGCCCATCACCACTTCCAATCATTGGAAATATTCATCAGCTTCTGTCAAAACCTCTACCTGAGTTACTGCTCGAATGGCACCAAAAATACGGGCCCATTATCAGTTTCCGGTCCGGCAGCCGGCTCATGGTCAGCATTGCCTCGCACGATGTCTGTCAGGATCTGATGTTGCGGAAGGGCACTCTCTACAATAGCCGCCCGGAGATTGTGGTTGCGGGTCGGCACGCCACTCGGGGCCTGCACATCGCACTCATGCCTTTTGGCAAAAAATGGCAAGCCCACAGGCGCATTCTCGCATCCGTCACTACGGAAAATGCCTCCCGCAAGTACCGGCAGCTAGAGGAAGTTGAAAGTCTTCAAGTGATGATTAACTTGCTCACATCTAACGACTTCTTAGCAAACTTCCGCCGTTACTCCGCCAGCGTGACCAACGCCCTAGCTTACGGGCGTCGACTTGACCACGATGAGAGGCCGAGATCCATCAGTCCGAACAACTGACTTATCGAATAATGGAGGTTCTGTTCAACTTCCATTTTGCACTCGGTGAAATTTTCCCGGTCCTCGACTATCTTCCCGGCTTCCTTGCACCCTGGAAAGCCTTCGGCAAGGGATTCTACTCCGAGGCAACTTCGCTCTACTCCAGAAACCTACTCAAAGCCCAGTCCACCTCGTCATGGAACTGGGTCAAGCATAGCCTCACTCGTCCCGAAGCACGAGATATGCCGACTGATGAGCTGTCCATGCTCTTTGGAGCCTCCCTCCAGGCTGCTTTCGAAACAGTTCCTTCAGTCCTCCGCGTCTTCGTAAAAGCCATGCTCCTTCACCCGGAATGTGTGGTAAAGGCACAGACTGAACTCGACCAAATTGTCGGCTCTGACCGCGTTCCCTCCTTTTCCGACATGCCTTCCCTACCTTATATCAAGGCCATCGTGAACGAATGCTGCCGGTGGCAAGCAGTGATACCTCTCGGCGTTCCACACTGCAACACCCGCGGCGATGAGTACGGTGGCTATCGCTTTTCTAAGGGCACAACGGTATTTGCAAATACATGGGCCATTGGTTTCAATGAAGGCCTCTACCGTAATGCCCGCGACTTCCTTCCCGAACGGTGGGTGGAGAACCCGGAGCTTCCTAATAGCGCCCCCTTCGGGTATGGCCGGCGCGTATGCCTGGGTAAATTTATCGGTCGAGATAGTCTGTTCATTAACATTGCCCGACTACTATGGGGTTATAAATTTGCTCATGGGGAGCGGGAGGTCGCGCTCTGGGATATCGATCATGCTTTCTCTTCTAGTCCGCGTGATTTCGATGCCAAGTTTAGCATTCGGAGTGCCAAGCATCATGAGACACTAGAAAGGGCGTGGGCAGTTACGGACACTGATCCCAATGTAATCCTTGGAAAGATTGCGACGGATTATCAGGCTTGAGGCGTTACAAGTGCATTGCCAGGGATTGTAAAAAAAAATAAATAAAATAAAAAAAAATGGTTATCCCTGATACGTTTCATTGGCTGTATAGAATGGGTGATCAAAAGTTTGTATACCCCACCCCCTGACCCACATGATATTATATAATATATAATATTCAGCCAGTCAAAAAACTCTTTCTCCTGCATTTTAACCCCTATATACTAGTATCATACTAATATTTGGTATACCAACCCTCTACTTCGATAACTACTTTCACCCGATTTGGCATCGAATTCGATAGATTTTACAGAACCCCCTAATCAATTAAATCCCATGCTTTCTACGCTATATCGATCAGAAATTCTAGTGTAGTATTATTATTAGGCATATCTAGTAGCTTAGGATATAGATTATAGATTTTTGCTTTTAATAAAGCCCAGACGTTCTCAATTGGATTGAGATCTAGCGAATAAGGTAGCCATACCATAGTATTAACCCTATATCGCTCTAAAAGCTCACGTACGATATACGTGCGATGAACTGGCGCATTATTATACATAAAAATAGTATCTAGTCTAAGCAAAGTAGGTAGATATAGCGTGTATATACTAAGGTAAGCAGCTATATTAATAGGCAAGCGGTCAAGAAAATGCGGTGTAGGGGTGTGGGGTAGGGTATGCAAACTTTTGATCACCCACTGTACTTTCAAACCCTTTAGGCAATTTGATCAGAGGCTCCCCGGAAGGGGTCTAGGTTCTTTACAAATATAATGGAGCACGTCACTCAAGAAACAGCGGCTGTCTTAATGAGGACGTGGAATGTGCGGACTTTATAAACAATGCAAACAATGCCACGCTCTGTACAGGCGTACGCCCTTCAGTCCGGTCTCTTCGCGGGTCTTTCCCGCCTGAAGAAACAGTGACTTATAATCCGGGAGCCGTTTTCGGCCGTCGGTCCTCCGCGGGTTGATCTGCCGGGGAAGGGGGAAAAATGACATGGCTTTAGATAAATACGAACACGAAGTTTCGAGGGGGCCAGGAGTCGGGAGATGGGTGTTCTGATCCCTGGCAGACGAGAATGGATAAGAAAATGGGCGAAAATCACGCTAAGATGCGCCATCTCCATATTGATCGGCTTAGCTGAACTGCAGTATTAAATCATTGGATAGTATTACTCCACCGAGATGCATTCGCGCTAAAGTATATGTACATCGCCACTACCAACTAAATCAAGGTCCAATGGGATAGTGGATAGTCTCAAGCTTGCGTGATCTCGACGACGAGGGTGATCGATGGAGTGAATTTAAATTACGGAGGAACTGGTGTGGCAGATCTATTGCTTCGTGCGTGTGCTATTGCATGATCACCTGTGAATAGCCACTGAACAACAAAAAAAGACTCACCTGCTCTTTCAGCACTCGTCGCAAGTAGGGTCCGGGACTCCACAGAATGTTCTAAATCGCGATGTCTCCAGTGAATCTATCTAAGGAAAATAGTAAGTCGTTGTAAATTGCTTGGAGTGAGTAGATTAGCGTAGCGACTAGACTATATAAACGATTGGTTAGTGACTACATATCCCAGACTGCGTATCCCTGATTTGGTGTAACTACAATTCAACCAATAGCAAGACAGACTACGAGAGTATGTAACTTCCTGGCGAGTCTTCTAACATAAGCCCCCTGTCCTGTCTCACATCATAGCAAAATTGATTCATTGCCTCTTGCACATCTGCTACTATAGGTCTTTCTGAAAGCAAGGTGATCCTCGAAACCCTTCGAACAGCCTGTACAAAAGCTGAGAATGATAGAAAGGACGATATTGTTACAGTGCTTTCGAAACCGTATATGCGTTCGCCATACCCTTTATGTACCCAAACTAATCGATCAGTTTATTAACTCCCTGCGATAACTGTAGGCACGTATCCCTTCACAGACTAAAAGAACCATCGGCCACTATTAGACATGGACAGACCCGTCCTGTGGGTCAAAGGTCTTGACCCATGACCTAAACCCACGATCTATAGGTCGGGCTAACAAAATCCTGACCTGCCTATAGATTGACCCGTTAACCCGCGGGTCAATCTACTCTTAAACTACTTTAGTATAATTTTCTAAATTAGGATAGATGGTTTATTTGCTTATTTTAATAATATACCGTTATTAAATATAGTTTTCGTTCTAATATAAGTTATAACTATATCTTTCTAATTTATAAAAGAAATATTATATTATAGTAATATATTTAGAATATATGATTCGCTATACTAAATTTGGGATAGTATGCAGTGGGCCTGCTTAAGACTTTTGATATGGACCTCTGTATGTATAGCAACATGACCGATCCGCCCACTTTTCAGCCAAGACCCACCCATAGATCATCTTTAAGCTTTATATAAACAGATCGTGGCACCGTTAAATTGAACAAGTTTGGATGTAGCCCTTCACACCCACATGATAATTGTATACATAATTAGCTAACTCGGAAAAAAAAGACTTCATCATCAATTCGGTCCAGGGCCTGATACATCAAGCATTCCTTTTGTCAGGCTATCGAAGAACGCCATATCCACACCTTGGAAAGCCCAGTCATCAACACCTGCCGTGACTGTGGGGATATCCATTTGCGGTTGGTGCTCTTCTATCAGCGATATTTGAGGACACACAAGGGTACCACCATCAGTGGAAATGTTTGGCTGCTCTAGCTGGAACTCGGCGTCATGGGATCTTCCTGTCACGCTCGGGGGAGAAGCCTGCCGAGCGATCTTGATGCTTCCGAGGTAAGGTATGTGCAGGTATAACTGCTTCTCGTCCTGGAGAGTTTCCTGTGTGGGTTGGCTTTCTTCCGCCATGGTCCGTACATACGTGATCCCTTCGAAGGCATCAGCTTCGATATCAAGGAGGCGACGTATCAATTCGGCAGATTTTCGGGTCATTGCATCATTGTCTATCCTGCTGACAAGATCCATTAAATCGAGAACTTGCTCTAATGTTGCACGGTCGCCTAGACGCTGATGCGCTAGGAAGTTTGTCGCTTCGCGATGAGCATCAAGATAGGTAAGTAAGATTGTCATAGCTGCCAGGAACGCGAAGAAGTCGACAGGGCGCGAGCATGAAGACATAGGATTGAATGTCCGATGAGAAATAAAGCGCGTCATGATCTCGCGACTGGCATTGACACAGGTAACCTTTGAGTATTCATGCTCTGTATGGCTACCTATGCCAGAGATGGCGCAAGGCAGGTGCAACTGAATCAACAGACTGTTATAATAAACCTGGCATGCTAATCGCACAGTTTCCAATAGAGCATCCGGTGATCCTGGAGTAAGGCCTTGGAAATTTGCCGGCCTCCAAAAGCTGGAGGGTACACTTCTTGAAACTTCCAAGAGCTGTGTATCGATAGATTGGGTCATCCCAAAGTAATTTGTGAAAGATTTATCTGTTAAGGGATACTCGTTGCGTTCCAGAATATGAGATGCGATCACGGCTAGTTGACGCTCGAATTTCCCGAGTGGTGTATCATTCTGCAGAGTCGATGCCATGCTCTTGTCAGTCGTGCCTTGGGGAAGGCCGAGTAAAAGGCTAAGATAGCGGTCCATATAGACTATACGGAACCACATAAAAGCAGGGTCCATATCTAATCGTGAGTCGATTCGATTTATAGGAGGGAGAGGTGAACGATGGAGGCCCATCAATTGCGCTACCGTCATTGCTCTGCGGTATACAGCCCACGCTCGTCGAAGATTACCGCAGTTAACCTCAAAGACACCCTCGAGCATGATGCAAAGCACGCTTTCGAGGGTTCCCTGCCACTCCCTCTTTGTCACCCATGTTGTTGCAGCTGCCATGAGCCGGCGCATCAGTAACCCCCGTGGCTCAGAAAGTCCATGAACCTTTTCTCCGCTCGGGCTTTGCAGAGTTATTGCGAATATGATCATTTGTCTTGCTAATAGAACTGGATGTGGATTTGGACAAGGAGACAATGTTGTCGGATGAATGGCGTCGGAGGTAGCAGCAGCGGTAAGAGCATCGCGTGTCAACTTGCTGTGGGGCTGGAAATTGGCCAGGTGGGCGTAAAGCGATGGTCTAGAGCTTTCCTTGGCCAATATCTTCGCATTATCTCGGGATGGAAAGGCTGATAGTAGATGGTGTATAACTGCAGCCTCATCTGGACTCGATGGTCGTTGTAGTATGGACGAGTCGATTCTTGCGTCATCTCGAGATTGGGTAGGTGCTCGTAATGAAGTTGATTGAGTCCACTTCCTTTTCTCTTTCCGACCTTCGCCATGACTATTGCTCGGGGTAGTTCCTTTGTCCTGGCGAGAATACCCCTGGATACCTACTTTGCCAGAGCTTTCATAGTCCGGAGAATCGGCAGTGAAAGCTGACCGAGGACAAATTGAGACCCGGTCATCATGGCAAGGCATTGATGGGGTTGAGTTTGAAGGTTGGTTTGTATGCCCCTCTGGTTGCGGGGGCTCGTTCCGGGGCTCTTCCCCCTGAGTTTGGGCACTTCGAGTAACGACCAGATCCTTGATAATATTCTCAATTGTCGCAATGCGTTCTCCAAGATGTCGACTGTTGCTGGTTTGTCGTGTTGGAACTAGATCTTCCGGTAGTTTTTGACTGATGCAAGTGGTACGCCGCCGTTGACATTCAACACAAGTAGCAGAATCAGAAGATGGGAATATGCAGCGAATCTTGCGATGTTTGCATCCCCAGCAGGATCGTGTTCCTTTGCGAATTTTCCTCCGCTTGGCTTCCTGCCCTTGGTTTGGCGCAAGTGGCTCCTCCTCGAGGTTGTCATTCATGCTGCAGGTAGTAAAATTCGAAGCTCGGGAAAAGGATCTAAGAGAGGATCTGCGATAGCTCATCCAGGATAGCTAAGACTTGAGATGGGCTTTTTATTAGAAAAATGAGTGAAAGTAGGCACGCGTTGTTCTTCCGCCGCTCGGGCGAATCGGCTTGGCACGCTTGGTAAGCCCGACAATAAGCCCCATCACATGACCCTTCCGGTCCCCGAGCGGGCGAAAGTGGATTTGTCAACATTCAACGGTAACTAACTAGTTAACGAACGAACTTGGTTAATTAACTAGTTTGTTATTTGACTAGTTAACTCAGCAGTCAAGTTACCTCCGCCGACCGGACAAGGAAAACACTAGTTCGGGTACAGTCAGGGATCGCATACATTTATTGAGGAGAATCATATAATTTATATATCATTCATCTTCTAGCTCACAATGGGCCTCATTTCTCTCTACTTTCCCCCCCTTGTCATTTCATCTGGTCCGCACCGTCACAGGACCATTCGCATTTTCCCGAACTTGACCTCCTAGTATGGCTTCCGAAACAGCTGTCGAAGACATGTCTGGACCCGATGGAATCAGCAACCATCTCAAGATCGAAGCAAATGATCCGGCGCCCCTTGCGACTCCTGGACCGCCTCCCGACGGAGGAGCTGTCGCGTGGCTCCAAGTAGCCGCCGGTTTTATGCTCTTCTTCAACACATGGGGCATGATTAATACTTTCGGGGTGTTTCAAACCTACTACGAGAGTGGCGAACTTTTCACGGCCTCGTCTTCCAACATCTCCTGGATTGGCTCCATTCAATGTTTCCTGCTCCAGCTGACTGGGCTGATTGCGGGTCCACTGTACGACCGTGGTCACCTTCGATTGCTCCTTTTGACAGGTAGCTTCATGGTGGTCTTTGGACTTATGATGCTTTCGCTCTGCACGGAATTCTGGCAGGCTTTACTGGCCCAGGCTTTCTGCATTGGCATCGGGGGTGGACTGCTCTTCACCCCAACCGTGTCGCTGCTACCTACATATTTCAGCTCACGCATGGGACTCGCCGTTGGCATTGCCTCGTCAGGCTCCTCTTTGGGCGGTATTATCTACCCTATCGTGCTTTACAGGCTTCTCTTCAACAACAAAATCGGCTTCCCGTGGGCGGTGCGCACCATCGGATTCATCGCGCTCGCCACGTTTATCTTGCCTGTGCTTGTCATGCGGGTCAGGGTTCGAGCGCCTAAGCCGCGGGCCATCATTGACTGGTCTGCCTTTACCGATGGACCATACATGGTGTTTTCACTAGGCTTGCTGATTCTTTTCATCGGCAATGCAATTTTGATCTTCTACATCTCGTTCTACCCCCAGAATAAAGGCTTCACCGACACCGAGCTGGCTTTCTACCTGGTTGCCGTCTTCAACGCAGCATCGATAATAGGACGTATTGTGCCGAACGCAATATCCGATCGTATTGGGGTTTTCAATACAATTACACCTGTCTCACTCCTCTTGGGAGTCACCGTCCTATGCTTTCTCGGTGTTGTTAGCAAGGCCGGAATGATTGTCGAAGCTATTGTCACGGGATTCTTCAGCGGTGTCGTCGTTGCACTACCACCGGTCTGCTTCCGAATACTTACTGAGAACAAAGCTATGATTGGCACTCGCATCGGACAGGGCTTTGCCATTGGTGGTTGTGGTTTGCTAATTGGCGGACCAAGCGGCGGTGCCATCCTTGGATCTAATAATGACTGGACGGCCATTTGGGTTTATGGAGGGGTAGCCGGATGTGTTGCTGGGCTGGTCATGATGGTGGTTCGGGTGATGAAAGCTGGTTTCAAATCTGTGAAGGTGTGATCGCTACTATTTTTCTTGATGGTCCATGCGGTGGATGAAGAAGCCTAATTACACCTGCCATTTATAAATTCTACTAGATTTAGGAACGTTCCTAGCTAGGGAATACGTTGTTGGCTAGGGTATCATCTATCTAATATACTTTGGATTCGAGTCATTAGTACTATTAGGGCATCTGATTGGGTCTATATATAGCGTTTGTGTGGTATAGTTTCGAGAATTAAGGACTGTTTTATGTATCTGCTCGCAGTATTGATATTGGGGTAGATCATCTGATTCGTCAGATTTGTCGGTTCGACAGATTGTGATATAGATTAGGGATTTTCTACTTGATAAAGTATCATACTAATTTTTATACATGATTAATATTTATGTCCGAAAGAAGAAGGAAAATGAAAAGGAATAATAGGAAAAATAGATTGATTACTGATAAACTATTAATCATAACTAACTTGAACCTAGCAATTTCACTATTTTAGAAAGTTTTCAACTATTATATAGACATTAACACATTAACTGTTGAATAGGCACTAGGGCTTAAAAATTCATAGAATAAGCATGTAGACATTGATTGTATTTGAATGAAATTGCCGTGAAAGACACAATCTATCAGATAGAGCGTAGACGATCGTCAATATACACCGCAACAGCTCCATGTCTCATGTCGATGAGAATAGTACCGTCCCCTGGCTGTCGTGCATCGCTAAATTGGACTTCATAAAGCCTAATGGCAGGTATCTCGAGTCCCTGCGCTGCTAGGTGTGTTCTGGTTCGAGATAGATGGTGCTGCAATATTGGCCGGCTGTTTGAAGCACTACCAACAATAAGTGTAGTTGATTCTCTTGGAAACAGGTTAAAGTTTTGCTGGCACAGTGCGAGAACTCGGGTCATTCGTGTATCCAAATTCTGCAAACCATGTTCTGGATTTGGGCTCGGGTACGGTATGGGAGGTATGTGAGCTAGAATGGCTCCATTTGAGGAGAATAGTGCAACGGCTGTGCAACTATTCAGGTTTTGCGTTCCAATTGCACGTATCCCCTACCATAAATAGCGTGAAGACAGCATCGTTAATGCCAACTTCTTGAGTCCGGGCATCGCACCACAGTTTAAAGTTATTAATATAGCTTAAGTATAGCTAAACGGACGGCAAGCCCTGTTCTCCACACCCTATAAGCGTATACTTACAAACAACACCAACATGGTTTATATAGCTGCTAGGTCTAGGAACCCACAACCCCATTCCCTATTAAGATATGACCAGTCCAAGGCGTCGTTCAGCTGATACTGAGTGGTTGTAGTAGACAAAGCATGGATCTCCCCCGTCCTAACCAAAATATCCAACAACGCTTCCTGCTCCACTCGGTCTATTGTTCGGTCGCCGCCTATACCTAAATGTCAGCAGAGAGATAATATGGACAGTTCCTTCTGGAATGATACAGATTTACTTACACATGGACACACCCATACAGGCCGTGATCAATCCTGGTGCTGTCTCGTTCGACAATGCGATTCCGCAGAGCCGGAAGATTCGCTTTAATTTCGACCTAGAGGGTTCAATAATTGACTTTTCCTAGTTTTTCCCCCCTCTTTGTGCATTATGCATACCTCTCGGCGTATGGTCGCAGCCCTTTGCTTCGGGCCCATACCGGGAATATACGGGTCGAAGGCTGCAAGGAGGATTCCGGCGAGGTGCCAATGCTGGATTGCAGTTACTGCAAGACATTAGAACTTTACTGGGTGACTATATATATTTGAGCAGACCTGATTCCTCTGACTTACCTTGACAGTCATTTAGGTACTATAGCTCTGAAAAGACCCTCGTGTCGATAAATCCGACTCACGAGAATATATGCGATTGAATGTCGACGGTTTCGATGCGTACCATCCTGGTTGTATTTTCACAGCCCGTCATACTTCTCCAAGTTGTGGTGATTGTCTCTATAGCAATACATCAGTGTATCAGCGCAGTGCAGAATCACTCGATTCGCCTAGGTGAAATCACCTGCGGAGTCGAGTCCTCGGTATTGTGACGAATCGCAGCATTTTCAGGTCGAATTGAAACGCCCCGTTGTCGGATAAAGGCCGTATGGAATTCCTGGTGGAAGTCGACCCAGAATGCCGCATTGCGGAGACTGCCGCCTTGGACGGCAGCTTCGGCTTGGGCATCGAGGAACACCTGGGTTCCTCGTAGATATGTTTCATCGTCGAATCCTGTGAGGGGTGCTGTATATCAAGTGTTCAGCAAGCTAATTCACTATTACATCAGAGACAGTCGTAGGACGAACCGTCCATCTCTTCGTAAAAAACGAAGAATGACCGCTGCGGCTAGCAAGTTCTCATCTTGCACTTCAGTCGTGCCTCCAGACAGGGCCATCAAGTGTGAGATGCAAAGATTTTGGTATTCCATTGCGGCTTCCGATTAGATGTAGAACACATTGTCTCCCCTCCACATGGTACCTCTGTGATTTGTATCCTGGAATCGGCTGAGGTGTCTTGCCGAAGCGGAAAAGATTGCATGGAGCAGTGCCGGACAGCTTGCAGCTCGATGGGGAGCCACAAGCGCAGAATGCCTGGCAACATCACAAGAGTCAAACCTGAGAGGACAAAAATGATTAGCATATGTGGCTGAGTATGATTGACGAGAAAATATGAGCTTCCTACCCACTGTGCGAGCTCCTCAACGAAATAGCACATGAGGAAGGCCTCCTGGCCATCCCCATGGGGCCACATATATATGAAGAGAAGTCTTTCGGCGAGGGGCGTGTACTGTTAGGTGCTTCATGAGGGAACAACAAGTGATCTGAGGATTCGATGCAGCTGAGTATGTTGATTTTCGCGACTCGGAAATTGGACAGATGCTTGGATCTGGGCTGTCAAAGAACACCCCCGAGTGATTCCTTGGAGATCCATATTCTGGTTCTTGGAAATGCCCGGGAATCTCCCCTCCATGAAGGAGATCTCAGAGTGAGGACCAAAAGAGGTATCCTGCAGTCTGGCAGGTGTTGAGCTTTCTCATTTGAGGCCTACTGAGGCATACACAGGAAAGGAAGTATAAAAGCTAGCCAAGCGTGAGGTTAAGCAACTGTAGCTTTGTCAGGAACATGGACTCCACCGGGAAACAATACAGGGCCCCTGTGTGCCTTTAAACTGTGATTAGTATAAGAGAAAAGTGAAAATACAAACCAGAGCCCGAAAACAGGCGCTGGATCTCCATACTACGCAAGGGAGCCTGAGCTCTACGCGGGTTAAAACATCAACACTCTTAGCAGGAACACCGATGTAAACCCAGAAAAGGAAATTTGACATTCGAGCAAAAGGAGACAGCTAGAAAGGCATTTCTGGGTTGACATCACATCACATCTCATCTCCACGCATCTCATCGCACCGAGCCATCACCATACCACAATCACCATGAAAGACGCTGCAGATCCTTTGGAATCTGCCAACCATGCGTCCGACACGCTCGCTTGTAAGCTTCGACCGCCTCACCGACAGTGTAACTCTTGCGCTGCTGACGCGGAGCCAGACGCGCAGGACGAGGCTCAGTGTTGGTAATCGCCATGCGGACCTGCAGCAGCACGCTTTCAATCGACGCCGTCGGCAGCCAGCCCGAGTTGGTCAGTAGCTGCATGCACATAGCTCCACCGGCAGTGACATGCCCCCCGCCGCCGTGGGCAAACTCCAGGAATCGGGGGCGGATGACCCGCACAAAGGGGGGGTCCATTGGGAACTGGGGCGGGAAGCGGAGCTCCAGCACCACGCTCTTCAGATTCGCGGCTTTGAGATCCTGGGATAGTGGGAGCGCAGGATCGAATGTGTGCAGCTCCACGATCCACTGGTACACGGTTTTGATCAGGCTTGGGTCGACGTACCAGCCCAGTTCGTGGAGGGCTTCCCGCTTCTGGACTCTGAGTGCTGCTTGGAGGTGCTGCTGGAGCATCTTCGTTGCCGACATGGTTGCGTATTCTGGAGGACTGAGGAGCGGCAAGTTTTCCTCGCTCAACGTTCCTGGCTCAAAGTCGGTCTTGGGGTCAGCGTCTTGGGCCGGGTTTCTGTCCACGCTGGACTTCCTCGGGGGCTCGTTTATATCGTCGTCCGAGTCGGAAAGAAGAATTTTGAGATCTTCCACCGCTGTGGTGACACTGACATTGTCGTCGCTCATCTCTTCCTCATGCTTTGATCCTCGTTTCCGCTTTTTGCTGGGGGCCCTGGCAAACTTTGAGGGAGACTTCTTAGTGGGTGATGCCTGTTCCGGGGTTGCTTTTGGCTCCGCGTCGAGGTTCTGTCGTCGCTGGCTGCTCAGGGCCGAAATTGGGATCACAATCGCAGTGCCTTTGGGGCCATAGGCACAACGGTTCGGGTCTTGGTTGTAGACGAGCGAGGGCGGCTCTCCAGGTTTAGGAGGAGAAACAAAGCCGTTGCCTTTGACGAAGAGATATCTGGGCTGGATCCAGTCCAGATACTGTACCACGTAGTGGGGATTGATACACACAAACTTCTGGGGGGCATTGACCACCTCGTTCAAAGAGATCACCGACTGGATGTTCAACCTGCTGTTCGGCCACCCTAGAAAGGGGGCGCGATTAACTTGGGTGTAACCCAACGAGGTGCCGAAATGGCGAGAAAGATAGACGCCATTCCCACAAGCACGGCCATTGGCGATATTTTTGAAGTGCAGTCCTTCGCGGAGGATGCTGTGCCAGTTACGCAAAGGGCTCCCGTGCCACGCAAAGATAGTTGGATGTTGGGGGTTGGCGGCCAAGGAAACCGAATTGACCGCGTCAATAAAGCGTTGCTCCTTGTCAGGGGCTCCTTGAGCCAACCGGAACTGGATATAGCCATCCATTCCCGACACAAGGTGCTGAGGATCATCATTGTCTTGCATGATGCACGATCGATTGGAGGCGACAATCCACCGCAGCAAGTCCAAGGCAGCCGGGGAAATGCGATCTTTCCAAGACGAAAGGAGGGTGTCATTACAGCTGCTCTCGAGGAAACTCTTCATGCTGGTGATGCTCGGCAGCGTGTTCAGGAGCGCGACTATTGCATCCTGCTTCTGCGAAAAGGTCAGATCATCAAACTTCTCCTCGTAGATTGCAAACTCCACATCGACGATCCCAGTCGGCGCTTCTGCGGGAAACGACATATCGGGGCGAGAAATTGACGATGAGAGATAAATGTAATCAGATGACTCCCCAATATGCTTGATGCGGCCACTCCAATGCTGCGTAGGAATCATGTCAAGAACGCTGCCAGGTTTCATAAAAGTAATCCAATCGCCGACCTTGGCATGATGCGGCTTCAATGGACGGAGCTCCAGCTTGGCAGGATTCAGCTGTGCAGCATCGCATGAAGTTTGTACAGTTGTCGACGTGCCATCAGAAATTGAGGGAAGGCTCAACTTTCGAGGCACCCGAAGACCAAGGCCAGTAGGAAAATCACAAAGGTGGCCTGATCTTGCTCGGTCGTATGTCAGGCTGACCAGCAGGTCAACCACGTTGGGTTGGGTGCGAATCTCGTACTCCAGACTGGGGCCCATGCCCAGTGTAATGTATTGGTACAGGCACAGTCCGTTCGAGCAGACGTATGGCTTCAGTGCCTCAAAATTATCATGGGTCTTGCAGTGGCAGACCAGACAAAACTCCGTGCACTTGACAAAATGACGCAGAGTAAACTGCATGGCCAGAAGAGGTAAAGAGAGCTTGGAGGCATCCATGCCCGCATCGGCCATGTGGTCAGCCACAAGAAACGCTGGGGGCGATGCGGTCCAGTTGTCGGGCTCAAAAAATTCACTCCGGCCTACTTCGCTGTCACCGAGAATCTTGCCTTGGATGGTGTGGAAACACAACTCCGCTCCGGTCCATGAAAACCCATGCTTCAGTCGAAGCCTCACAATCCCGAGGAACCGTTCATTGAGCAGCGACTTGAGCGGCTTTCCAATAAATAGACTCTTGAGATCATGGCCTTGTTCCAGATCTGGCACGACCAAGCTTTCCCCCTGGTCGTCTGGTGTTGCTGCTCCTTGAATGGCCAACATGGCCTGGGCCAGAGATGGCTTATAGGACTCACAGAGTCCCACATGCATTGAGACAAAGGGGGATTTGGGGTCTTTCTCCTGGAGGATATCCTGGAGATCTTGATAGGTCGGCCGATATCGAATCACCAACACCAGGTAGTCTGAGGGACGCACATTCCATGCTTGCATCACCTCTTCAGAAATGCCGAGTCGGGCAATACGGCATGACACCAACACAATGATTGTGCCAGTAATCTGTCCCAGGTATCCCACTTTGAACCCGGCGTTTTTGGCAACCCGGAGGTCACGGCGGATTTTCAGTCGTAATTCAGGTCCACTAGAAACAGGCACAAAGAAAGGGTTTTCGTTTTCCTCTTCCCATTCCCAGTCAGATTCCTCATTATCTTCACCGGCTGAAAAGTCATCGCTCTGATCCAAATGGGTGGATGTCTGAGAGGGAGCAACAAGGACACCATTCACCATGCCATCGACGCTGCTCAGCAAGTCCTCAATAGAAAACCCGGGGAATAAGACCTGGGAATTTTCCAGGGATGTTGTCACTGCACTGGGGGTGTTTTCTGAGGTAGCAAAGACAAAATAGTTGTGGTCTTTGGGGTAATCGTGGGGGTCTGTTCTATATATCAGTAAGATGTCGCCACAGATGGGTGCTTCAAGATAGCCTTACCGGACACAATCGCTTGAAATTCAAGTCTGGAGTCTGAGAAGGTAAACGTAAACGAAATGGAACCCTCATAGTCTCCCGCCCTGACTTCACTCAGGTGAGGAAATCGACCAGGAGCGGCCGCCTCGCTGAGATCCTTTTGAAAATCCTTGTGGGGCATCGTGGTGAACCTGAGAAAAAAGGCGGTGAAGGTGGCAGATTTGAGGTTTAACAAAAACGAACTGCGAAGGGAGATGTAGAAAGCAACTTCACTCCAAGCCCAAGTCGAAGAATTTTTAACCAAACAGGCGGCGCGGCTGCGCGGGCAGCAAACATCCCACAGCCCCAGGCACCGCCCAAAACGCCCCTCGCACTTCCTTATTTACTGGATAGTGATAGATATCACACTCGTGGCAGCGATGGTGAGGCTATCTCGCATCTCTAAGAGGAAGAGAGACCCACCAGGTGGGGGTGTATTTTGAGCCTGGTGCCTCAGGCTCCACACTTTGATTGTTCTCCCTCTTGTGGCTCACAAGTTCTTGGTTGTTTCCAAGGTTGCGAACAGGATGATAAATTAATCATTGGCCATTTCCAACCAAGCTGCAACAGCATCAGGTTTAGTTGTCCGAGTCCCTCGGCCCGTCGCAATTAAGTTGCGGCTGATCCGAGGATCCACCACGCCACGGTAATCTTTGTAAGCAAATAATATCACCGATATATAAAATTCTAGATCGAATACTAGAAGCTGGAGGTGAAATCAACAAGTTTTATCATCAGGAAAGATATTATTTGCAAATTGCACTAAAGAGGCAGTAGCATGCCGCTCTATTTGCTTGTTTAGAAGGAATATTGTATGGGAATAGCTTCCAAAACCACCAAGATTGATACTGTTTCCTAGTAGTTTGATCAAGTGGTAGCAGAACTATAGAAATATTAAAACCAGCTTTAATTCAACTAAACTGCACACACTACCCTCCAAATAACCAATCCTCAAAACCCCTCCCCGCAGCAAGTGCCGCAACAGTCGACGGCCTCTCCGCAACAGCATTCGCCAAAGCGGCATACTTGGGAAACAACCTCTGCATATCAACCCCAATCTCAGTCCCCCAGCGATAAAGCACAAATAGATAAGCAGCAACAGCAGTAAACCTCCCAACAACAGCATAGTCCTCCCCTCCCAAAATCAAACTCCGTTCAATACTCTCAAAGCACCTCTGCACAATCTCCAACCCCCTTTTTTTCAGTGTCTCATACTGCCCCTCATCATCCGTAAACCTACCCGGTTTGAAAATAAGCCTGAACCCGGTCCCATGCAGCGTGCCCGCCAGCCAGGCTAGTCGAGGGTGTTGTTGTTGTTTTTGGGGTCGCCGAGGAACTGTTTTTCCGGAACCAGGTTGGAGATGGCGGTCATGATGGCTGGGTTCTCGGTGATGGCGGCGTCGTCGAGTTTAGGACGGGGGCGCGGGCTTTCGGGTTCAGGGTTAGGAGTTCGGTGGAGAATTGGCCGATTGTTTCTTTTTGCACGGTGAAGGATAGCCCGGATTCGTGGAGGAGGATGTGCAGGGCTAGAGAGCAGGCGCCTGGGTGGTAGAAGAGTTTGATTCAGGGCATTATGTATGTAGAGCTTTGAAGGTTGAAGGTTGAAGGTTCTAATGGAGAGTGGATGTGTGGATGTGTGTTGTGGTAGGAATGATATCTATACAGTCGAGGTGCAAACATCTCCCGGACTATAAAGAAAAAGCCGATGATATCTACGGAAAAGAAAGTGGAATTACCGCTTAAAATTTAGAGGTTCACTGTATTCTCGATTATAAATAAATAATTGATTCATGGACACAGCGGAAATCCTCTAGCAATTTCTAATCAGGACGGGATACTTCCAAGGGCTGGATGGGGGAAAGGACACGATGTGAAGTCCACGATGTATAGAAACCAAGCCTGGGTCCTTAACGCCGAGAATCTAGATGACTATTTTTGTACGATATGACCGAGGTAGAGACTGACAGCTACTGCCTGCTCCTCATAGTGGCTGTGCCATTAATTACTTGGATATAAACACCACACGGGACGGGATAGAGAACTTGTTGTTACACGCTAGATTGCGACTTGGAGAGTACCCAAGATGAGAGAGTATATATATACATATCAGACACGCCCAGGAATCAATGAGACGCCACATGCCAAGAAACCATTGACACACCCATGAAGATAAGACGCCAGAACAGGGGATGCACGAATCACACAAACAAAGAGCTGTTCGGAGCAAGGGTATCTAGACCCGATTCTCCCTCGAGCAAAGGAAAGAGTCTTCGGATCCGGTCCTCCAGGATGCTCTCCTCGGCCTGCCAGCGTCGACGATCTAGCGATTTGGCCTCTGCGCGGCGCTCACCTCCATACCAGGCTTTCCCGGCTTTCTCAATGCTCTCCTTTTCTTCCTTCTCGGCGTGGGTGACTAGGGAAGAAACCATCGTCTTCCAGTTCTCCAAACCGACTTTGATACATTGCGCGCAGCGCGTACGGGCACTGCGGTCTGCAGTGTTGCCGAGGTCCATCATTGCTGATTCGGCCATGTCAACGGCGTCCCGGGTCCAGGCGAGGCCGGATTCTCGCGACGATGAGGCGTAGAGAATCTCTCCAATGTATGTCATCAAGCCGGCTTCATCACAGACGGAAGCGGTAGTACGGGAAGGTGGACTATCCCCGGATGGGAGAGGCTCGGGGTATTCCACGGGAATGAGAACAGTCTTGAGGGATTTGAAAAGGCGGGCAAAAGGGTCGTTGGTGGAATTGAACGGAGAGGGAAAGGCGCTGGGAAGGACCGAGTCGTCTGACATAGGGAGACTGCGGCGGGCTTTCAACACAGACGTGAAGAGGGACAAGGCCGTGGGGAGGTTGCCTTGACGGGCGTTGTGAACGGCGAGCGCCGTCGAAACCCGAATCAGATTCTCAGAAGGCAATTCCGCACCGGCGTTCTTCAGAAGCCCCGTTTGAAGATCCACGATTTTGGTGGCATCACCCGCCCATGCACCCGCAGCAATATCCAGTGCCCAGGTGTACATGTCACCGGCCGTGCGGCCCAATCCTTTAAAGTCAAGCCAATCGGCATACGCCAGGGCAGCATCCAATTTCTGCCTCGTATCAAAGCCCTTGGTAGTCAAGATCTTCATATAAAAGCTCTCGGGAGTCGGAGACGCCGCCTCACAATTCTCCTCCCGCGGCACTTTCTTTTGCCCCGCGGGCATGGGCTTAGGCCGAGGATTCGAGGGCCCGACCACGTATTCAGCCGGTGCCGAGATGCGCTGTTTCCGATCCGTCAGCCACCCGTCGAGGTTCTCCGCAGCCTTGGCCGCGCCCATAAGAGCCTGGAAGTATCCGCGGCGCCAGTGTTCACTCTTCTCAGAGATATCGAACCCCGTACGACCGATCCCCTCAACCAAAAACCCACCCTCATCCTGCTCCACAATCCCCTTGCCCTCGCCCTCCAGGTTCTCCAGGCGCTCCAGCAGCTCCCGCAGATACCCAGCGACCATGGGCCAATTGGTCATCAGCTTGCCGATCTGCTCGGGGTTCTGCAGGGCTTGCGCGGACCGCAAGCACCAGCGGCTCTTCCAGGACCATTCCGGAGGCGTGGGCCATTGGTGTTCAATATCCTCTTGGTAAACACCGATCTTGATGACCGAGAACAAGACAAGGATGGCGTAAAAAGTCAGGCCAATTTTCACTCCGCGCGACAGGCGTCGCTTGTAGTGTTCGCGGCTCTCAGTGGAAATCAGACGGGCAAAGTGCTGGCGCAGGTGAATAGAGAGCGGTGGGAGAGGGCGCGTTGGCGCGAGTGGTGAGAGAAACGGTAGTTGAGGGCGGCCGGGCGGCGGGGAGAGGAGAAGCCGTGTTCGGTGTGTGAATGGTCGTAGATGAACACTTGGGCCGGTGGACCGCAATGGATACACCGGGCGGATGTGATTCGGTATTCGACCGAGGGCGCTCCGAGGGGGAAGCATGGTTGTGTGTTGAAGATGGATAGAACCGATGCTGGCGATGTTGAATGAAGCTTTCGACGGTGCTGTTTGTGATGTTTGCGTTGCGAGCACGAGGTTCACGTGACCGCCTAGATCTGCTGAGTTGATATGAGCCAAGTAACTAGTTATTTAACGTAATTAACCGGCAAGCGAGCTGCGCAGCCCAAAATACATTCATAATAGTGCTGGCTGTGTGCGGTATATATTTATACGACAATATGCTAAGTCGATAGAGTCTCCGGAGTCATGAGTGGCGATCTCAGTTTAGATGGAACGAGGGGCCTTACAAAGTATCAAAGAAATTTGTGTCATTTTTAGAAGATCCCACGCAGATAAAAATACGATTCTGGTCTCATTGCTGTCAACTTCAATCATACTATATTAAAATAAGCTGTGAGAAAATTCTATAAGGTCTTATTACAGCCCTTGAAATTTAGCGTGCTCTTTCTCATGACTTCCTAGTCTTCACGCTATGTCGGGGTGGAAGCAGGCAAGCAAGTCACCTACTAGCCAACAGAAACATTTTTAGTTAAACCTATCATGCTAAAAATTACCAAGTGACTGGAAAACGCCGAGTCCACCACTTCCTCGCCTAGACCAATGGTGCCCAAGATCTAGCAGTGTTGCTCTTCATACTCGTTGCAAACCATCGGCGACCCTTGTGCCAGGTGCTAAGGGAAGAGGCGGGGAACATGCCGGGCAACGGTCATATAGCGTCATATCCCCATCAAGATATAAGCCATTTCGACTAAACTTGTAGGCGATCCTCTTCGCCCCTCTATTACGATCTCGGCCTTGGTATAACATCCAATAATACTATAAGATTGTTAAAATTCCTTATATTTTGTACTTCCATGCGTGAACAACACTACCTGTAGGGCCCTTTGTTGAAACCACGGGCCAATATTTGGCTTCCTATGCTATGAGTATATTTCAACCTCGCTAGATCTGGTATAAATCACGGGTATTCTTCCTAGCATGATCTAGCCAATCATTCATAGACTACTCTCTGATATATCCCCTGTCTATACGACTACCACCACCAACCTTCTAATGCCACCCATGATGCAATTCAATCTGGACATCCCCGTGATTATCCTACTGGCTACTTTCTCGGTTGATAACAGCTCCGCCTGCGACAAAGCTTCGGGTACACTTGCCTGGATATAGCAGCTTTTCATGGTATATTACCAGTTGGACTTTTTAGACGGCGGTAGTTTTGACCATCATTCTGATTGCTGCTCAAATTATACTCAGCCCTCACCGTCACCGCGATATGCGCTAAGGAAGATATGTAGGGTTAGATTTTACCTTGGTCGTTGTCGGGTTTAAAGAGGCTCGAAGCTTTATGCTGTAGGCGTTATCGCAGAACCACCTGTTTTCGGCCATTTCTGCTTCGCCGCCGGCACCTTTGTTTCAGTCCCTACCAAACTAGCCCTTCTTTCTACGTTTGAGCATTCATTAAATAATATGTTGGTATAGTTCAATTGATTCTTGAACTAGGTAGCGGGCCAAACTATCCTCAATCAATATTTTCCCTTATGATACGAGATGAGCTTTTATTTTCATGATGATCAAGATAATGCAAGTTTAATAAAGTGATAAGAGTAAAATTATTTGATCTATGACTACTTGACTTGGGAGGCATAGTTACAACATATGTGCGTAGAATGGAGCTGCCCGTGGAATATATTATCCCAAAGTTACTGACTGGTAATATTGGAGAGTCTGCTAATAATTTTAAGGTGTAATATAATTTACTCATCACATACGTCCTACTGGGAAAAGAACCCATAGGACTCAGTGTTTTTACAGCCCAACCTGGTTTGAATTTATAACAAGGCGATCCCACCCACTCTACTATGCTAGGTTGAAATTAGACTACGTTTTATTGAAAGAGAGATATGTTGATATTCAAACTCTCCAAGCGCATCTTACGGCCTTCGACAGCCTAGAAAGAGCCCCAGTAGGGAGATATAGCCGGGTATGATCCAACTCTCTCCTTCCCCAGGCTTAACGCTGCATTAGATGCCAAAAAGCCATAAAACGCTGAAGCTCACATCTATTCTACACAATACATATCTTTTTATACTACTCACCCCATGCTACGAAATTCGAGCTTATGTCCTCGATAGCCTATTAGTAATATCATTGTGATTGATTGATGGATCGTGTTGTATGAAATCACTCAGTGTGGAGCTACATAGTCTGACTTCACGTCACAGTCGTCGTTCCAATTGACCTCACCACATACTCCACACTTATTGTCCTTCATCTGCTGGCGCGCTCGTTTTACCAAGTAGCCCTTCAAGATACATTCAGTACCTTTTTTCGCATCGCTCACAAATACACCGCATGCGCCGCCAAAACCGAGTGGATCGGATGAATTGCCCGTTCCTGCGCGACCATCAGGGCCACTTTTTCAATAGTCATTAGTTCCGCTCTCTTGTCTTGATGGATAGATAAAGTATTAGTTTACTTACTTTGTGCGGTAATCGTAGTCGTCAATCAGACGGTCGGCTGCCTGGTCGCAGTCGCCCTCAGTCAAACCAGACAATGAACTTGAGCATCCCCACTTGTTGCCATAACAGTCCCGTGGCACTAAAGAGTGCTCAAGCAGTGTTGGGGAAGCAAGGCCTTGGGTCACAAGGGCAAGACCGAAAATCATAGTTCGAAACTGCATTTTGATAGAAAGTGCGGATAAGAGTACAAATTGTGAATGAAGTAATTAGGAATACAGCGGGAAACTTTGGTCTTCATATAGGATTAGGTGGGTTACCAGCGGAAACTCTGATACGTCGACTATATATCTACATGAGGTAAAGGGGATCGGATCTTCGTTGGGGGCAAGTAGATGGGAGTGGCAACAAACTCAAAGGTCAGCAAAGTTATATTAGCGGGGAACAAGACTCAAAAATGCTAGCTGAACATAGATAAAACAGGGAGTACGTACTCAGCTGACACTATAACACTAAGCGGTGACATCAGTAGCTTCATATGGGCCCAACTTGAAGAAAAGTCAAAGTGGTCAAAATTTTTATCTATTGATGGTTAGGGGGGTTAAATTTAGATGTAAGCTTAGTGGGGGCTTGGCTTATTATTAGTGCCTGACGGAAATAAACTCCACGAAAAGGAAATAAAAGAGAGCAGACCAAAATAGACTATGGGGCTAATGCGCTCACAGGGGGCCAGGGGGCCGCGGGCTTAGTGGAGCGGTAGATGTGGGGGTAAACGTGGGGGCTGGATGGGGCGGGGTACGCCAGCTTGTTTGCTAAATACAGTGAAACAGATGGGAAGACCTACCCCTCATCATCATCGTCATCCTTAAATTTAAGATTCGTATATGTATGAGCAATTGTGATCCCAGGTCGGGTTCGATGGGATTCGGGTTTTTTCTGCCTTAGTGTATGCGTCTTTTTCCTTTCCTTTCCCTTTCCCTTTTCCTTTTCCTTTCTCTTTTTTTATAAAAGAGAAGGATTAGATGACCTAGAATAAATTTTGAGTTGCCACTTACTGAAGAAACCGCCTGGTGAACTATGTATACTCTGTCTTCTCCTGGCTTTTTTTTTTTCATGATAATAAAAAAAAAAATAGGAATTTAAAACCCTCTTGAGACGTCTAGGTGAGAGATTAGAGATGATCTACCTAGTAAGGAGGATAATATGTGGTATATCTTTATATATATAAATAGAAGCCAAGGAGAACATTTACACTAAATGCTCAAAATTCTTTATCAGAAGAGAATTCCAAGAAGCTTAGTTTATGATATATCTTTTTATGTTCAACAGAAAATACGTACATCACTATACATAATATGATCCTACGTAGAACCGTCTTTCAATATATAGCCCTAAATAGTATAAGTACATACACAGCCTTTTGTGGATAAACAGGAATCGGGACGTATATACACAAGATATGATAGTATCAACCGTTCAGCCCCTTGGGAGGTTACCCATGTGATCACGCGGGGCACATCATCAGCCTATCTATAGCAAAGAAATATTATAAGCACAGCTGATATAATATCAAACAAAATCCAGGGACTAGTATTACGCGTACCTAAATAGTCACTGTGAGTTAGTCCTCTAAGGTGATTACGAGCCGTAAGCCTATCCTTAATCGTCCCGATGCCTCGCTAGGTCTTACTTAGATAGGTTCTGTTGGATACTTATAAAGGTATACTAGTTAAGTATATCCTTGTTGCTGTTAAGACTGAATCTTATCTTGTTAGTCTAATACGAGAGTATTAATTTATTATATTATATCTTTATAACTCTACGTTTTATCGATAATATAAATGACCAAGTCTCTACCAAGTACCGTAATCATTCTATTATAGGATGGGTTAGATAACAGGATCCAACTTCCTATCTCTCTCAAGATCATATAATATCACCTAACCCGCCCCTCCGTCAGTTGGGAAGGGCTTCATACACCACCATCTCTATAGACCCTTTATATCTTTAAACCAAGGTAATAGAAAAGGAGCATTATATAGAATAGTAGTTATGATAATATTAGCATTTACTTTCTTTAAAGGTGTTGAGTATACAGTATCTACTTTCACTATTTCTAATAGTGTATATAGGTCATATTTCTACTTTGGAACAGGTTTCTACAGTTTACACATTATTATAGGAGCAGCATTCCTAGCTGTAGGACTATGACGTTTAGTGGTATACTATTTAACAGACCATCATCAGGTATATTATACTAACACTTTGTTGACATTGTATTACTTTTCTTATATATTTCTGTATATTACTGGGGTTATTAAAATAATTATATATATATATATATTTAATATATCTTTTTATCTATAAAATTATATTTAAGAGACTTTAGTTTAAAGGTAAAATATATGACTTTTAATCATTATAATATAGGTTCAAATCCCATAAGTCTTAACATTAATAATTTTTATATTTAGTTATAAAAAAATGTGATAATGACTCTAAGTTAATAGTAGACTAGTTACTTTTTAAGTAAAGCGTGTCGATTCGATTTCGACTAGCCATAAAAATATATAGGGTTAGTAACTTAATTGGTAAAGGGTTTTCTTATTGAGAAAATAGATACCGGATCGAAACCGGTCTAACTCGTTTTTATTTTTAAAACATAGTATAGTATATTTTAAAGGCGAGGGAAAATAGCTATTGGTAGGGTAAGATATTTGCTAAATATTGTGTTTTTTTTTCACTTAGATATTCGATTCCTCTCTTTTCCGAAGAGTATAGTTTAATAGGTAAAACTATAAACTTCAACCTTATATTTCTTAGTTCAAATCTAAGTGCTCTTGGTTCTATTTATAGGATACAATAGGTGTATAGTCGACATGAAAAGGTGATACATAGTGATATTTCTTTTTTTTTATCTATATAATAGTAAGGGAGGTAGGTAGGGTGGTACGAATGTTATTTTATTTATACGATAGTAAGGCTGTTATGTACAGTACTAATAATAGGAGCATATTCTATACAGAGAATTGATTCTTTAACTTTACTAGGAAGTGTGTTCTTGATAAGGATATGTTCAGTGTTCGAGTCGCTGAAGAATCCAAAAATTTAAAATAAAAATAAAAATAAAAAAAAAATCCCATATAGAAAAAGAAAAGGACTAAAAAGAGAGTTGGCTGAGTGGTTTAAGGCGGCTAGCTTGAGTCTAGCTAAGGATAAAACTTTCATATGTTCGAAGCATATACTCTCTGATTTCTAGTAGGAAATAACAATTAAAATTATATTGGTCCGTTTGTTGGTTTTCGGTTGAGCTGTAATCTCAATAGCACAAAGGCAATCGAAGAATCGCCACTTTGGCCTTTGCTATGTTTGGGGTCAGAATAAAGGAACCGCGTATCCTTCGAAGGAAATACTTCCGGGTCATCTCTAAGAACAGGGCTCGAATAAACGACGCACTGCGTAAGTTCGGTTCAAAATACTCGTTAAATAGTAGAAGAAGAAGAAGCTTATACTTCGATGCCTAGGCTATTATACACTCTTCAAAAGAAAACTGCACAGTGGACAGGTCGATGGTGCAAAGCTGGTTTGCGGAGATAAAATTTGGTTGTATGCCCGGACGTTTGGCGATTTAGGGTATACTGACGAAGGCATTAAAGACGCGGAGATCAGTATGTGGATCGGCTCTAATCTTCTTTAATTAGCCTCTTTTTAATCCTTTTTTTACTGCTAACAAAAACTATTCTTATGATATATAGAACCTGGAAAAGCAGGCATGTACTATTCCAAGAAATTTGTGGTCCGAAAAGACGATCAGACGGTCGATATAGCCAAATCCCTCCTAGCGCAGGATCTTGAATTGAATGGCAAGGGCCTCTGCACTCCGCCAACGGCGGCGGAGACGTGGGCGAAATGGAAGTTCATCATGATTTGCGATGATGTTTTGGCCCGTCCAACTCTAGCCAACCGGTTTAGGGAATCAAAGACCCTCGCGGTGGGCACGTCGATCGATAAGATGCAGACGGCGAGCGCGGAAATGCTACATGAGATGATGCATTGCATCGACGAAGAAAGAGAGTTCTGAAAACTTGGAGAAAACTCGACTGCAATAATCGGGGTGAAACCTGGTTTGACTTGACTGACTCTATATCTTTGTGGATATTCGCGGTCGGGGACTACAAGTTCCAGGATGGCAATGGAGGGCAACGCACGGCGTATTACTGGCCAAACTGCGTCGCCCTCGCTATGATAAGTATTAGTAAAAAGAATCCTGATCTGGTCCTGAAGAACGCGGACAATTATCGTATATTTGCATTGGCCGTCGCGCTGGATCACTTCGATTGGGATGAGAAAGGTCAAGTACCAGATCCGAACGCGGCCTAAAAGATGGAGAGGAACTATAATATTATCTACATGGATGTGATCAAATGCTGACAACCTGTCTATTGGCCAAGTGTCTAAGCCAGGGGAATCCAAGAAAAGCTCGCAAGTAAAAGGCTAGTACACGTCTATGGGCAAAAAACCACTCTAAAGTGGAGCGTCTTAGGAACGGTCAAAGTAGCCCTCGCTCTCCAGCATGAGCACGATCTCGTGCACAATGCTGCGAACGCTCTGCTTGGAGAAGTCGACCACGAGGTCGGCCTTCTCGGGGGCCTCGTAGGGGTCGTCCACACCCGTGAAGCCTTTGATCTCGCCACGGCGGGCGCGGGCGTAGATGCCGCGCTTGTCGGTGCGCTCGCAGTGGTCGAGGGGAGTGGCGACGTGGACCAGGAAGAAAGAGCCAGCCTGGGAGACCGAGTCGCGGGCGTACTGTCGGGAGTGCTCGTAGGGGGCGATCGGGGCAGCGATGACGGCGGCACCGGCGCGGGTGAGCTCAGAGGCAACGAAAGCAATGCGCTGGACGTTGGTGTGGCGGTCCTCGCGGGTGAAGCCCAGCTCGGACGACAGCTCGTGGCGGACGGTGTCACCCAGCAGCAGGGAGACGGAGCGGCCACCTTGCTGGTTCAGAGTCACCTGCAGGGCACGGGCAATGGCGTCCTTGCCCGAGTTCATGTAACCAGTCAAGAAGATAGTGAAACCCTGGCTGGCGCGCGGGGGATTGGACTCGCGCAGGATCTTGACAACCTCGGGGTACGAGAACCACTCGGGGATGTGGGCGCCTGTGCGCAGACGACGGCGCAGCTCAGTGCCAGAGATGTTCAGGGTCTTGACACCAGCGGGGACCTGGTCGACGGGGCGGTACTCGTCGGTGTCGGGGAGGTAGGTGACCATTTGGAACTCAACGACCTCGATACCCAGCTCATCCTTGTACTTCTCGACGGCGTGCTGGGCGTCGTACGGACCGTAGAAGTCCTCGCCCTTGGAGTTCTTGCCGGGACCGGCGTGGTCACGGCCCACGATGAAGTGGGTGGCACCGTGATTCTTCCGGATGATCGCGTGCCAGATGGCCTCGCGGGGGCCACCCATGCGCATGGCCAGGCCCAGCAGACCCAGGACGGCCATACCGTTGGGGTAGCGGGGGAGGAGCGCCTCATAGGCGCGGACACGGGTAAAGTGGTCAATGTCACCGGGCTTGGTGAGGCCAACCACGGGGTGGATCAGGACATTGGCCTGGCGCGAGCGGGCAGCGCGGACGGTCAGCTCACGGTGAGCACGGTGCATGGGGTTACGGGTCTGGAAAGCGACAACGCGGGTCCAGCCCAGCTTGTCGAAGTGAATGCGCAGTTCCGCGGGGGTGTCTGTGATTCTATTAGCGCGGACCTGCGACAAATCGATCGGGGAAAGCGCACAGCGCAGAGCGACATAGTCGTAGTGGTTCAGCTTGTTGACAGCCTCGATCTTGCCACCAATGTAGAACTCCTGGACGGTCTCGTTGAGGTACTTGACGGCGGGGTGTTCGGGGTCACCACCGAAGACCAGCTTGGCTTCCTTGGCCCTAGATTAGGAACGAATTGGCGTCAGCCAGACCCACACACACAGCAAGCATGAGCCATTCTTGGGAAATATGGCGTCAGGAATTGAACAAGTGCGACATGACGCCAGGGGTGGGAAAAGAAAAAAGCGCGGGATCGGCACGATGCGACTCGACTCCGAGCATGGCGAAAGAACCAAGAAACCAAGAAACCAAGAAACACCAAATATCCAAGATAGAACTCACTTGTCGGGGCGGTAGATATCGTCGATGGTCAGAATGGCGAGGTTGCGGTCATCGCGGAAGTCACGCAGGGCAATGCGGGACCCCACCTGAAGCTTGTTATCGGCAATCAACTGCTGGGTGGCATCGAGGGTGATGGGCATGGAGAAGACATTGCCATCGGCAAGGCGGCAGTCCTCGCAGACACTGAATGGTCAGCACTGGCATTTCAGCAAGACGTTTAGTCACATACCGGTCATAGTCGGCCTGGTTCATGAAACCTGCGAGATCGTGAGCAATTGCCCCTCGGTGTTTCCGCAAACCCCATAAAAATTATGACATCCGCACACAACGCCAAGGAGCATTGCGCCTAGAATTAAAAAGAATAGTACTCACCCTCTAGCGGAGAGAAACCTCCGTTCATAATCAGCTCGAGATCGCACAGCTGGCGCTCACTGAGCACCACCGCGGGCAGCGTCTCAGCCTCGGCGCTGAGCTGGTCCTGGCGGGGAGCATCGCGGGCGAGAAGGTCCTTGAGGACACCACCGTGGGGGGCGTTGGCCATTGTGTATAAGATCAATTCAGAAATAAAACAAAATCACAGACAAGGACTTTTTTTTTTTTTTTTGTCAAAGGAAGCGAATGTACAGAAGAAATAATAAAAAAAAAAGTAAGAGAGAGAAGAGAGAAAATTGGAGAGAGCCGGCTTATCAAACCGTTCCAAGGGTGTACGACACCTTTTCACGGCCAACGGGGGAGTCGTCAACTGTGGAGCAACAGGCTTGGCCTAGTCATTTCATCCACGGATGCTGAAGAATCAGACGGCGATTGGTCAATGGCAGACTATTTCTTGTTCCAGAGACTCGTTGGTTTGGTTTTTTATTTCATTCTACATGGTTCCTATCATGTCCATCTTTTCATAGTTTCATAGTTTCGTATGTTCCTAGTATCAGAAGTATAGGGAATCCTGGCCTCTGGACTCGTAAGTCGTAAGACGATCGTCAGATGTTCAGGGGCAATTACGTCCTCCTATTCCCCCTATTCTCCATTGACTGTGAATTGATTCCTGATACCAATAATGTGTTACTGCCCATCTGTTTCTTGTTCTTTTCTTTTTTTCTTTTTTTTTCTCGACATACAGGGCTGGGTCACGTGCCCAGCACGCAACCTCCGCCGGCGATGTCGTGCTTGCCAGAGACCCACTTGTCTTCTTGATTACACGACAAAATGACACTATGTACACTCTTCATCCTGTGCCCGTGTTGTTGGACAGCGTGATGGTCTTGTTTTCAAAGTCCATCTCAAAGAATCCAAATAATTCCAACGATGGATGAGTCGCCTTGGGATAGGATTCGGTCAGATAGGACTGGATGCTCTCCTGAGAGTCCTGTGCCGAGTTGAACGATCCGGTCTTCTGCAGCATGTAGAGCACGGCCACCTGCGAGAATTCCACCACCTCGTCCGGGATATTCATCGCGGTTGAAGCGGCTGGGTGGGTAGTCGAAGAAGCACCTACACTGGTCTTGGTAGTGGTGGAGTCATTCTCAACCGGCGCCGCTCTGGCTTCTGCCATCTTACCAGGCCCTGAATCGTCGTACAGGATGCCGTGCAAGGTCGCCAGAGCCCGGCCTGCGAGAACTGGCGTAGGCCCGTTGGACGAGTCGGAAGAATGGCTAGCGCTCTTGTCTTCACGGGACGCCGGTGGGTCGACCGGCAACTTAATAGATCGACGGGATTTCCCAGAGTCCCCGCGGTCGAGTCCACTGAAGGCGACCAGCGCATTCTCAGTCTTGCAGGAACTGTTTGCCAGACTGAAGAGAGCCATGACCGTGACTGGGTCGAGCGGAACGCTGAATTTCTCTGCGTCTGTAAAGAGACTCGGAAGTGCGCTGCCCGTGGTCGCATTCTTGCTATTCTTAATCTGGGTCGTGACGCAGCTGTCATCGCTGGCAATGGTACACTGTGAACCTGTGTAACCGTTTGCACAAACACAGGAACACTCCTTGCCACTCGAGACACTGGCGCCCCCATTTTGGCAGGACGTAGTCTGCAGGCAAGACGGTTGGCTACTAGCCTGGTGTCGGGGAACGGCAACAAGGAGGACTGGCAGAAGAATCGCAAGGAGGATGATGATGGAAATCACAATGCAAAGCAGGATGAATAGCCACAGCGGCATTCCACAGCAGTGTCGCTTGCGACGAGCGGCATGAGGGTCGTCCTCGTTGGACCCGAGCGGTTCGGCGTTGCGCAGGTTTGAGCGTCCAAAGAATACAGGCCATGAACTGCGGCCTTCCGAGTTGGTCAGCCCTGGCGGAGGAAACGAGGCGAGGATGTCAGAAAGAGATCCCGAGTTGCGGCCCCGGTTTCCTACAAATCCAAATGTCAGCTTGTCGGCCCTGCTGTGATGCATGACATTAGCGTGTCTTGCTACTCACCCATTACGGCTCGGAAATCTGCGTCGCCGGCTAGATCAGCCCTACTGGCAGTTTTCCCGCGGTCCAGATTCGATGCAAGCTTGGTGGCCCGTCGGATGAGATCACTCAGGCTGGAAAGACTCCCCCGAGCTTCGGCACCCCGGACGGCCTCTATGTCTAGCTGGGGAGGCTTGCGTCCCCCGGGTCTCTTATCACTCATTGTTGGCGCGGCTCTCGGCAAGGCCTTGATCTCCTTTTCGTAAGATTCACGATATGGTTCATCGTGATGCGTGATCGGCGGCTTTTCCGGATCCACGCCCTTGGAATTGTCACTGGATGCAGTCGAAGCAGACCCCCTTCGCAGAGGAGTCGGCGGGTAGAGTGTCTGGCTGACCATGGCTCCCATTCCAATGGCGCCGATCCCTGCGTAATTAGTCGGCTCGCCCCGAGCCATTCCCGGCTGCGTGTCTGGGACACACACCTCGGAAGTAGGGTTGGACTTGGAAATCGTGCGCATAGTCGGCTTTCCCCTCTTCCCAAGACTCGCGTTCCTCACCAGCATCGCAGGGTCGTCTTGGAGACTTGGCCGGGGGCGTTCATCGTCTGAATCAACATCCAGGTATGCGCCGAGGATCTCCGACTCGGCCACGCCAGAACCCCAGCTAGATGGAATAGCCCGGCTCGACGCAAAGGAACCTAGGGTGTGGCGAGGATCAGAAATCTCCTCGGGAATGGGAGAGACGGACGATCGACGCGCGCGGGGAGGCTGTCGAACGTTGGGCGGAGCAACCAAACCAGCCGTCCGTCGCTGCGGACCGATGGGGGGTAGCGGCGGCTCCGGTGGTGGCGGGAACGGGGAGGCACCCGGGATAGAGACGGTCGACGAGGTGGTCGATTGTCGGAAGAGCTCCTCCGTAGCGATGGAGATGCGAGGCGCCATGTCCACCGTGCTGGTGGGACTAGCGCAGGAGCCGTCGTTTGTGGACGGGCGTGGTGGCGGTGCTCGGGTATGGACTTGAGGGAGCGAGAAAGACCTGGCTGATCTGACAGTATATGCCGAGTCGTTCTCCATCTCCTGCCCCCTTTTCTCGGAGTAGATTGACGGCGAGGGCACCTCGTTCGGACGCGGCGGTCGTTGCGGCGGAGGGCCCCGTGGAAGCAGGAATCGGGCATGGTGGTGCATCGGGTAGACTGGCAGACCCGAATCGGGCAGAGGCCACTGCCCTTGAGCGGGTGCATTGCGCACCGGAGACGGATGGTGTAGTGGCTGTGGCGGCGAGATTTGTGTTGGGCGTACTCCTGCCTCGAGCAGTTGTCGCGCTCTCTTGACGGACCCTTTTCTGTCCGGTCCTGGGCCAGATGGACTGGGACCTTGGCCATTGCCTGGTGGGTTGGGGTGCATCTATGCTTGGGAATAGCTTGGTCTGTAATCCAGACCTGTAGCGGATCGACAGACTTTCTATTCCGCGTGAGGTTGAGGTAGAGTTAGGGCTTGCTCGGCATCAAGACGTAGTAAATATGGTTGCAGCGAGTTCAGCCGAGAGGATATACTCTCCCTCAGGCGATATTGTGGTAAATGTCGGTAAATGGTCTCGATACCCTGATCGAGGAAGAAAAAAAAACGAGCGTAGTGGACTGTATAAAAAGCGAAAGATAATGCCCAGACTAGCAAGCAAGCTAGCAGACGACTTTTGCGAACCAGATAGAATAGAAAGCAAATCAACGAGTCAAACGCGAAAAGCTTTCAAGAAAAAGCGTTGAAGATTGAGAGCCACAGAACCAAGCTAGCTGCAACAATGCTCAAAGGAATGAAATATGGGGGGGGAGCATTCAATGTCCTCTGCTTTCAAAGCATATCAATAAACAAGGTCAGCAACCTGCAGGGCGACCGTGGATACTAGGTAGGAAGGACAAAGCTTACCACGGGTTGAAGATGAAATACAGGTAAAAAGAGAATGGAAGAGCCAGTATCAAACCAGCCAAAAAGAAAGAGAGAGAGAGCGAGAGAGAGAGGGAGAAAGACTGATAGATGCATTAATACCAGACCAACCAAGAGAGGGACTGTGTCGCCCGTGGAGTTGAGAATACGTCTGGGTAGAGATGAGATCGACCCTCACTGCATCACTTACAGATACACCAAAGGGAGAGAAAGGGAGCTTCAAGCTCTAGGGGCAAGAAAAAGAGAGGGAGAGTGCAAGAAGAAAAGTAGAAGAGAAGGAAAGAAAGAATAAAAGAAAATAGAAAATAGTGGACGGGCTAATCGGCTCGAGAGAACAATGAACCTCTCAGCACGTACTTTTTTTTTTAGATGGGCAGCCTGACACAGTCACAGTCCAGCACGTTCTCATTACCACCCTGGTCAAAATAGATTAAACCGCTCTTCTCATTTCCTCCGAACGAAGCGAGAGAGAGGGAGTGAGACCGGTGGGGTCTATAGGAAGCGACGAGGCGGGCAAAAGATCCCGTCAACATGGATGAAATATATTAAAAAGAGCTCCTTTTCTTTCTTTAGTATCGGGGCCAGGGGGGTTCAGAACCATGTCCTCCGTGCTAAGCTAATAAGAATAAACTGCCCCTCCATCCAAGAGAAATCGGACTTTACCGTGGCAGTCAGCATGCCGAAGTAAAAAAGGGCATTGGAGAGAAGGCAGGACAGGCAGACAGACCAATTGATGTGCAGCGTCGATCCTTTTTCAAGGACTCCCTCTCATTCAGGCCTCTCATTCGAAGGACACATAATCCATGGTAGTATCCTATCAGAGAGGGGAGTGAGAGAGTCGCAGAATGTGACATGGCGAAAGAGGACCACCAGCCCGGACCGGAACGTGTGAAAAGACCCTGGGCAAAATCCGTCGGGAGTTTTCTTGGGATGTGATTGCTCGAACGGCACTGGCATCTCGAGGACTGTTGGGCACAGTGGGGTGTTTGAAGCCTGGAGTCTCTCGGGCGCTAACGTCTCATCTTGAGCCGGGGCGGGTGCTGAGTGTGGCCCGAGCGGCCAATATGAAACCTGAGTCCATATTATCCCACGAAGCCCTTTTTTTTTTCTTCTGCTTTCGACTCTGATGAAAGAAAAGTGAATTGAGGGGTGATTGTCTTTTTCTCTCATCAGAATTGCCAACGCCGTGTAGATATATAAGAGCAACTTCACCATGGCGGTTCAACTAAACGACCCGCCTAGGAGCCATCAGAGTTCGGTTCCAGGGGCTTGTCGGAGATTTTTTTCAAGTCGATGCAGTCTGGACTTGGAAGTGAAACGTCCTAACGACTAGCACTCCTGGCCATGGGTTATAATGCATTGTTTGGCCACGGGGCATCGGAATTGCCATTGGGACCGTCGCTAAGTCTGAAACCCGCGCGGGAATCAAGAATTGAGTGATCGCGCAATTATGCCTTCGCTTATATCTGGGAACGGGTTGTATCCACTATTGAAAAATTGAGAGCTCCTTTGAAGTGGATGGTCGAAGTTATCCACTGTGCATAGACTCAGGATTGACTTTCCGAGCATGCGCTGCGTCTGCTTCTTCCCACTTGACCTTGATCAAGAAAGTCCTTGGTTGTTATCGCTCCGCTGAACATAATCTATATCTCAAGATTGGTTGAACAAGGCTGTCCCTTCGAAGTGCACGGTGTGGTTGGACCAGATATCCAGCTCTTCTAAGGATGATATTGTGCTCAATATTGAATCGGTGTGTTGCTGACCTCGGGAGACTATGATCCCAGCTTTGCCCGTAACTCGGTGATCTGCTGTTCCAATGCGCGCATTTCAACAATTGTCTCGGCTAATTCTGGCACCTGTCCCTCGATGCCCTCTGTGAAGGATTTCTGTGCGTTGCGCAGCGATGGAGGGACCAGTATTCCATACCAATGGATGGGGTTATCAGAACGGAACTTCTTGCGTGCGGACTGAAACTTGCTGGGAGATGAAGTATCCTTTTTGGATGACCCAGAACAGGTTGAATCCTTTTTCTCATCTTCAGCAGACTCTTGTGATTTTTCGGCCTGCGGTTGTTCATCAAAGTTGGGTTGGTCGGTTTGATCCTTCTCGTCGGAAGGCTCTTCTGGTTCGCGGGTGGGTTTATATTCGACGGCGAATTTGTGTTTCGACCCATTCGTCCCAATTCTTTCTGTACTATGTTGCGGGTCGTTCGAAGATCCGGCTTCAGGCCCATCCTCCGTTTGAATGGATCTGTCCATCCCAAGTCAGCAGGCGGTCCCAAAGACAGTCCATCGCTCGAATGCCATACATCTTCCGCGTTGCCTTCATACGCTCGTCATAGTAATCAGGGCCATATCGACGGCCGGGAGGACAGGTGTAGTTCGCATGAGCGAGAGCCAAAAACCCCTGCACATATTAGTAACCTTCGAGAAAGAAGCCCTCACAAAGCAACCTACCGATGAGAGCTGTTTCGATAAGCCTGAGTGCAGCTTCTGCTGTTTATCCAGAAGATGCAGGTATTGCTCTAGCAGCGTATCCAGTGACTGGAGCACATCCGATGGCCAAGGTTCCACCGGCTTCACATCAGTGTCGGGAGATTCCGAAGCTGGCCGCGACGCAGGCGGTGTAGGGACTTGAGACATGAAGACCACAGAGAAATCGAAGAATTGGGTAAAATTGGGGGGATTGGAGAGTTGAATGGGGGAGGCCGAGGGACAAACACAAGAAGGGAGCTCGGCCCCGATAACTCCGTCATTCGCGAACGCAAAAGAATTTCCCGCCCTGCTCTGTCCGTCTCGTCCCCTCTCACCACCCTGGCCTTTCTCTCCAGAGTTTTTATATTGGGCTGAGACGTCTTTCTTGACGCTGCTTGATTGTTTTGGTATTACCTGGCCTCCCAGATTTGCCCTCTGTTGAGTGCAAGCCCGAACCGCCACCTCCGACTGCGCCGTATTGCCCGCGCCTGCCCGGCATCTCGTCAAGGACGACCTGTTTCGGCACTCCCTAAACATCGCACCGTGTCGATTCTTCCTTGCTCTGCAACCTTGTCGCCAGTCAGCCTGTTGCAGAATTCTCGTGGCGACCGTTGAGTGAACAAGGCGACCAAGAAAACCCGAGGTCGACTTTATTCTGGCGTTTCGTACCACTCATCCTCGGGCATTTCTCGATTTCCTCACTGAGTTTACTTGTGCCTCTTCTCTGCCCTTCACATTTCTCCGTCCATCATGTCCGTGGCGTCCTTTCACCGGGGTACCGCCTTTCAGGCACGATCTTTGGTATGTCCATATTGCCTTATATCTCTTCTTCCTCTCCCTGAGTCCATTACGCATACACATATTTTGTTGCAATCAACTGACCAGTGTTTTTCATCACACAGTTCCGCTCCCTTCTGCGACAATCATCCCAGTTCTCGAACTACAACTTCCGCGAATATGCCCTTCGCAAGACCAAGGACTCGTTCCGCGAACACCAAAATGAACCAGAGGAGCGCCGGATACAAGAACTCATCCAGGAAGGGTTGCAAAGTCTGCGTTTGATGAAGGTGAGTGGTGGATATTTTCTATGAAGTCGAGGCGTCGGTGGTGGCAGCATTGCAATTTGCGCTACGCTTGTCATGCTTGCTGTCTACGGGACCTTTTGGGTGTCTATTTGGAAGCTTTATGAGCCAAGAATAGTTGCGCTAACCTCTGTCACAGAGACAAACCATCATCAGCCAGTTCTATCAGATGGACAAGTTGGTAGTAGAGGGCCAGAAGACAGTAGGTCCTGTCTGAGTCTGTTGCTTATCGGTCCAGTCACTGATCTCATATCCTCTTACAGGGCAAGGAAACAGGAGATCATGGGGGAATCGTTCGCCAAAAGGACACAGGGTACGCCACTCTTCTTGGACTCAACTCCTGACAGTCCGGCACTTGCTAACATTGACTAGCTGGGATTGATTTGGGAAGACATGAAAGGTTTGGAATAAGGAATGCAATCCCTGTTTTTTTCTCATCAAGGACGAATGTCTTCGTCTTTTCTGTATTATAATGCGAGCACTACCGGCCGTCAATTTTCATCGATTACCCAAATCCATAGCCTCTCCACTCATGGAACTGAGTATGAGCACTGTCCAGATCTGTTGAGACAATTTTCCGTGTATGTAAATTGCATATAAATTGTTGATAGTATCGATGTTCCTCTAACTGCCAGCCGGCTGTACTCGTTCGGTATCACGTGACCTCTCCTTACGGAGATCCTGCGTCGCAGCGCGAGCGATGTTACCTTCTTCTTTGTATTCGATCCTGCGCGCCATTCTTCCCAGCGTTGCCACGATAACCTGGATTGTTTTTGCACAAAGAATAATTTTCCTGATTTTCAAGACAAGGACCACAGGAGCCTTTTCTCACCATGCCATCGACTGTACGTTGCTCGTTGCGCTCGCGACCACCTATCTTATCTGGGCCAGGTCGAGCAACCAGAGGCTACTGGATATACCAGACACGGGATAAATTGATTCTATGAATGATTCTTGCTAACATACACTCCAGTTCAGGGCCTCGCGCTCGGGTCGACATCTCGACAATGGTCCCAACCGCACGCGAACCGGCCAGATCGACCACGATGTCTTTGAGGGATTGCCAGTCCGTCGCTGGTCGCGTCAACCACACACCTTCTCCCAAGCGCCCAAGCCCGACGACTTGGAGTTTGGTGTCCAGGGTCCAAGCGGAGTCACCACTCTGCCAGAGCTGCCCATGCCACGCGACAGCCAGCTCCTGCCAGCGATGAGTCGCGCCCTTCTACGAGCGGCACGTGCGGGATGCGTTTACATTCGGGACAGCGGCCGGGCACCTAATGATAATGAAAAAGAACTGCCGGATGCTGAAGACCAAGCTGCGGCGGCCGTTCATCTGGCCGATCGCAGCTTCACTTCCCGGAAGTGGATGGCGCTTCCCAAGCACATGGAACCTCCGGAGATAGAGTTCCTGGCAAAGCGACGACCGGGTCTTCATTCGCTTTATGGCGGTGCGGCCGCTGCTGATGGAAGCTCCGGGGCTCCACCGATGCGAAAAACCAAGTTCAAGAAGGTCGATCCGGAGACCGGCAATATCTCTATCTACGAAGCCTGGGTTCCTGATGGCCATCGGATTGAAGGCGAAATCACCGAAGATGTTCAGACGTTAGCTGAGCAGAGCTCAGTTCCTGTGAAGTCGGAGGCGCCTGCACCTGGAACGGTGGTTGACGGCGTCGGGGTGGTTAATTCTGAAGGTGTGGTGGTCGCAGAGGCTGGTTCCGCGGCCGTGATGACACCGCCTAAGAGACGACCGCCCCCTCCAAAGCGCAAGGGCAAGGGCATTGGAAAGGGCAGGAAGAAGAAGGTCATGTTTGCGCCGGGCGAGGGAGCTGATGCTGCCACGGTACATGGCGTTGCACCTGGTCCTACCGATGGTGCTACTGGCTTCAAACAAGAAGAACAGGATGCTTCACGGATGTCGGTTGACCAGTCCGGCCAAGAGGAAGAGGACGAAGACGGCGAGGAGGGTGAAGAGAGCGACGAGGGCGACGAATCCATGGTGGACGCGAAGACCCCTGAAACCCCGCAACCCCAGTCCGGGGCGGAGTCCACGGACCGACCATCAACAGACGTCGATATGACAGACGCTACTTCTGAAGCACTGCCCGATTCCCAAGAGCCTTCACGGCCTGAGCAAGAAGCACCGTCTCAGGAGCCAGCGGAACCTGAAATCTCGCAACCCGAAGAGCTTTCGCAAGAAGATCCAGGCGCTCAGGCTTCCACTACATCAACAACACCAGCAGAGAAGACTGAGGAACCGACTACTGAAAGCGCCGAGACTCCACATGAAAAACCTGCTGTATCTGCAGTTGATGAGAGCGCTGCAGGGGAGGAGCTGCCACCGGCCACCACGGAAGATGAACCCAACATCGAGCACAGTGAACAAGCGGTGCCCGATGATGAGACCCAGGCTTCAGAGCAGGCTGCCCCGCCACTCGCAGAAGAAGCAGCAGACCCTTCTGTGGGTAGCAAGTCAGCTGAAGTGACCGAGCCTGCCTCTAAGGAGATCAAGGGTGAATCCCCGTCCACCGATCGGGATGAGCCCGCAGCTGCCCCCACGGCCAATCCCGAGGAATCCTCCATTGAAGAAGACTTCTCAAAGCAATCCCAGGCACCAGGGCCATCGGCGGGAGGATCAATTGAAGCGACTGAGCAAGGTTCGAATCCGAGTCCGACACCAAGTGGGGCACAAGAATCCGAGCAAGCTCCCGAACAGCCTGTTCCCCAGCTCGATGTGCCACAAAAACCGGCTCCGGAGAATAAGAGCCAAGAACCGGCAGCTCCTGAGCCTACTGAAAAGAAAGAAGATATAGAAATGGGAGTCGCGCCGGGACCTTTGGAATTGCAACCTCCGCAAGAGAAGGATTCCGCCTCAGCCCAGGCAGAACCACCTGCTGAGCCTCAACCTACCCCCGGTGAACCCGTCGAATCATCTGCTCCTGATTCCAGCGCTACTGGCCCGACAGAGCCTGGCCAAGCAGAAGGGACTGGGCGCGGGGCGGAGGAACAGACCTAGGAGGGGGCCGCCCCAGTAGCACCCGAGTCGGGCAACAACCAGAATGGTCTCCCTTTAATCGCACACTTCATAACTGTATTATATCAGGAAGGCGACGAGACTTTCAATTGATGCTTGATTTATAAAGGAAATACTAAGAAATCTTTCTTTCTCGTGTGGTTTGATTTTGTATAGCGTAGCTACATATTACTGTATGTATAAAAGTTCTACTCTCTAAGGTGAATATTTTGTCATATAGAGGTCGCGTGACCTTCAGATATCAAAACCTTGTTAGGTATAGTGGTATCTCATTATTTTAATAAGGTCCCCTCCGAAAACCTTGAAATATGTCTAAGTCGATTAAATTTACTACTAGAAAATAATCTCTGCTTTCTAATGAGAAATTTTTGAAATAGCTATTTTTCTATTATTTGTATACTTTTCTTAAAATCTTTTGTACACCTTCTATGCTATACAAAGTAATACCACGCTAGAAATAAATAATTCTCAGTATTTACGTTAGAAAGAAAGAAAGAAAAAGGCATTGACTGATCCTCTCTTTACATTCTTAGTATAGTAGTAGTAAGGTGTGTGAATGGAAGGATTTGGGTGTGTGATTAAAGAGAGCCTAGATATATTATTTCTGTTAATGTTTTGACATCTGATTATGAAGGTATCGCGTTATGTGACGCTAGGTAGCAGCGGAAGCAACGGGAGGACCCGGCCTATTATACTGTATATAAAGTAGTCCGTTAAATTACCATTCTACCTAAAGATATTAGCTAAAAGACCAAAAGATATCTAGAGAATCGAATTAACCAAGCTGACCTCTCCTTATTTCAAGATTTTCGAGTCTGTCTTCACGCCCTGGCGGATTGGCCCTCGCCCCCGCCCCCCGTGGGTCTATTTAGACATCCCGAGGGCCCGGTCAATTCCTGCGTGCCAATGGCCGTATGTCAGAAATCCTCTAGCCCCGTCTGGGCTGTATATCTGCTGCTCATGACACTGCTGTTCTTTGAATGTCTTGAGATGAGTCTTCAAACTCTGACTCTTTGGGCCCGGGTCAATTAAAGGAGTGGGGGGCCGGTGCGTGCTGACGCTGACCCAAGCCCTTTGTCTTTATAATTTGTCTATTTCAATTCCTATATTATAGCATAGCCCCAAATATCATGATTTCTTTTGAATCGAGAACTAGGTTGCCGTCAAGATGGCCTGCCTTCATCTCGATCTATTGTTTCTTCTGCTGATATTACCATTGACCCTTTCGCTTGTCATTGAAAGGTTCTTTCTCTTTTCTAATCACTCCAAATGCTCTGTGTGTGTTGTTATTGAGAGCTAATTCCTACTTAAAAGATCAGCCCTCGCTCTGCTGTCATATTCGTCATTCCCGACTTCTACATCACTGGTTTTAACTTCTATACTATCGACCGAGCCTGCCTCTCCTTCTTCCCTCTTAGCCTCAACAACAAGCCTATGGTCCTATTCAGTCCCAGTCTCTGTGGGATCCACCGGTTCATGGCCTGAAACCAGCACAGCTTCACCGGATTCCGGTGAGGCAAGTTTAATCTCAAGGGAATTCATCCCAGAAAACTCTTTCGAAAAACGAACCGAAATCATCGTTCAAATCGACGATCCACTCGGAACAGCCCTCAGCTACCTCGGCGCAGCCGGGCTCCAAAGCGCAAGTAAACTAGTCACCAACAAATTCGCAGACGAGAACAAGCAGTACCTGATAGGCACATGGGCCATGGGTGTCGGCGGCACGTATGAGCTCCCACGGCGCGGAGTCACAATCGAAGGGGTGCATCTCACTGGGACGATACCGTGGATGATACGGTGGGACAAAGATCCGTCCAAGGGCGTGCATATCAACGCGGTCTGGGGCAAAGGCCGGGATCGAGTCAAAGTGGCATATCAGTTCCATCGGGAGAGCGATGGCCAGGATATCGAGGGGTGGAATGAGTTTAAAAAAGGCGTTAAGTCTTTGAACAAAGCTACAAAGATCAAGACCTATAAACAGCGCACTGATGAGGAAAACAACACACATAAGGTTGTGTTCAAGGATGGTGGGAATCAGGAGGATGCTGTCAAGGCGATTGTTGAAAAGTGGACGTCGCTGATCGGCACACCATCACCTTGTTAGGGAATAAATGATGAAAACAACCTTGCAATTTGATAGTAGACTGTCTATTAGGATGTTGGGGGAGAGAGATGTGTGTCTATTCCCCGTGGTGTAAAGGTTTCTCCGGAGTCTTTGACTTGGACATTCCTCGGCTGCCCCACCATTCAAGTCAACTCTCGATTCTCTTTGCCCTTGAGTACTCGCCATTACCAGAAGAGTTCTTTTATTCTTTGGAGGAATACAACGCCCAAAATGCAGCTCTTCGGCTGTGGAGAAAATAGCAGCGGCTATCTGGGAGAACCACGCAGTTGCATGAGACGCTCAGTCAACGAACCCCATATCTGCCAGCATAATAACGAAGGCGAAAACAGTCCTTACTGTCCTCTGTGGGTGTTGAAACCCAGGGAAATCACAAACCCTAGTCAGAGTGTCCGAGTTCTCAGCTGTGAAAATGGGTCAACATTTCTGGATGTGGACGGACACTTGAAACATCTCGGCCTCAACCCATTAAAGGAGCATCAGCTCACCGAGATGACAAAAGTCTGGAGTCCTAGTTCCATCACCGGTGCTGTTCCACTGGCAGACGGATTCGCCTTTCTCTCCCGGGATGGGAGTCTCTTGACTGTCCGAGATTCTAACGGCATGCACACAATTCAAGGGAAACCGATCCAGCATATTGCCACCAGACGGGTCGACCTGCACAACCCCAATCTCATTTCTGGTGCTGTGGCCATTGTGCTCAAGCAAGATCCACAGACGGTACTCTCCTTCGACTCATGGCAGCCAATGTGTTCTTTTCTAAAGACACCAGCACCGAACTACCACCCAATCCATACTGCGACCTTCTCCTCGCCCATAGTCAAGTTGACCAGCAAATTTGCCGCTCTTACAGAAGAGGGTGAAGTGTTTATATGGGGAGAAAAGCTTCCGCAGCAACCACCAACACCTTCTGATGAGGACGAGGAGTTTGAGGACGCGTGGTTTGAGTTCTCGTTCACAAACAAGCCCATTAAAAAATGGCCTTCACGAGCCCCTGAACTACTTGATTACAACCCCAGAAAACAGCCACTTCCCCCAATTCAAGAACTCTCAACAGGCGGCTGCAACAATACTGCCGTGTCTCGTTCCGGCCAACTATTTGTGTGGGGTTATAGAAGCAATACATGGCCAGATATCGAGGATGCCAATGCTGTCAACAGCACAGAGCTCAAGGAGGCTACTATCCCCAGTGGCAGTGGAGAAGCACGTTTACAAATCAAGAATGCAGCCGCAGGACAGAAACATGTTGTGGCCCTTGCAGTTGATGGGTCCCTCTGGTCTGTTGGGGACGGGATATATGGACAGCTAGGAATTGGACTGAAACAGTTTGGGCTGTGCACTGAAGATGGTGTCATCGATATGCTGGAAAACGAGACGGATGAAGAGTTTGCCGTGGATTGGCAGAGAATGGACACTGAAGCCCTCGAGGGCCGCGAGTGTGAATCGGTTTTCGCCGAGGGTGCTCATACATTGATCATAACCAGGTAGTCTAGACTCCGAATAGTGGGAATAGCCCAATGCTAGCGGCAGCATCCAGATTATTTAAGTGCAATGACATTGGGGGTTTGAAACGGTGTTTTTGCCGAGGCCTTGATCGATGTTCTCCATATCCTCCATATTCTCCCGAAGTCTACTCCAAGAGCCACTAGATCTTACATATGTAGCAAGGTACGGCCACAACATCTCTGAGACATTTACATGACTTGTGTCTAGAAGGACATGAATTGCGTTCTTTCGTTTAGCCGGAGTGCCTCCGAAGACTACAATGCTTATACCCGAAATGACTTATAGACTATGCAGTAGCATGCGGCACGCCGTAGATCACATTTGATACGGCAAGGAGGCCCGTCTTCATGATTCAGGAACAAGCCCAGCAGTCAGACCGGGGCTGTCAACCAGATCAACTGAAGATCTCAATAAAGGATGCGGGTGAATTTCCAAGACGGCTACTTACTCGATGTCCCACTTGGGCTACATATATGCGATATGCTTACATCCTGAATATGAATCATGACATATGACCTCATTAAGTTTCAAAATAGCATCGTTATGTATTTAGACCTGAAGAAAAGAAAAAAAAAAAAAAAAAAAAAAAAAAAAAAAACAAAGACTCGAGTGCTCCCAATCAAAAGAAAAAAGACCAGTGGTCCTCTCACTATCAGTTATACTTGCACCCACAGCCACACTCATCCTCACCGAAAACATCGCAGCTCAAGCAGTCGGCATCGTTGTCAAGGCAGATTTTCTCATCTTCCTTCTTGCCAATGGGCACGGTTTTGATAGAGATTTTATCCCCTGTCCCTCCCTTGGTCGCCAGCCAACACCAGTTTCCCTTTTTCGTAGGCCCGCATCTTTTCCAGCAATTTCCGTCTGTCGTGCCATATGCGGTTCCTGTGCAGGGTTTATCGCGTGGCTCGAGGTTTTCACCTAGCACGTTAACTGATGACCATGAGGATTGATTCGCAGCCAGAGCCAGAGCATGAACAGCTCCACCGAGCAGAATGCCTAGCGAGGCTTTCATCTTTATTTCTATCATTATGTTAGTGAGTGTTAATTCACCCAAGGCACTATCGTAAGAATCACCGTGTTATAAAGAAAAAAAAGAAAAGAAAACTTGGATATGGGAATGAGAGAGGGAGAGAAGCGGGCATCGAGTATGACACGCTAGTTTCAACGGAAGAAGCAGCTCGGGCTTTTATGGAGTTTGATTCTGGTCGTCAAAATATGGGGAATTGTATGGTAATTTACCTGAAGCCTTGATTTTCATTTTCCATGTCATCTTTCGGTATCCCCGATATTACTAGTCGCGTGCGTATATCTCGCGAGTCATGTCGACCTTGGCAAAAGCACCCGCGTGGATCCGGAGAAAAATCAATCGTGGAGAACCTGGGGCCGTAGCGTTCCTGGCCCCTGCTGGCCAGGCTATGCAGGAACACGTAGTAGACTGGTATACGAGTCAGTGCAGAGCCACCATCCAATATAAGCCGGCAACTGTGGGGTGACATTGTTGCGACTATGAAGTATGGGGCTGGATGGAAAGGCGTAGTTACAGTGTTGTGGAGAATCATGAGTCTTTTCTATTCTTCTTCTTCTTCTTCTGGTTTGAAGTATTCAAGCTCTGGATGTATTCATCAACCCACAGCCCAAGTAAACAAATAAACAAGTAAGCACCATGCATTCAAATCATTCAGGAAGACTGCGAGTTCCTTCATAGAACAGGCTACAGGAGCAGCCACACTTGTCGCAGTCTTTACTCTTGCTACAACTATCGTCCTCACTGCAGTCCTCGTCGGATTTACAAGAATTCCACTTCCCTCCTCCTCCCTTTGCTGCAGTCCAGCACCATTCCCCAGCAATCTTGCAGGTTTTCCAGCAATATCCGTCCTCTGAACACCCGGATTGCTTTGCATCCGATTTGACGCAATTGCCAACCCTCCCTTCCGAGTCCATGTCATATCTCGGTTGAAGCTCTCGACCCGAGAGACTTATACTGTAGTTCTTGGCTGATGCCATGGCAGTGAAATGTGTTGCAAGGAGAAGACTGAGGAATCCGAGCTTCATATTGGTGGGTTTTCTATGGAAAGCCATCAGCATCTTCGCACCGCGGCCAATTCAGTCAAGATCACGATGTATCTCACCTGCGGGGGATGATATTCATAAACCTAGTAATGACAATAATAACAGGAAGGGCTGGGGTAAAAGTGTGCTAGACACGAAAAGCGGGTTCCTTAAATATCTAGAGAATACTTTGTAATTCCTTCCGGATAGAAGCGCCCCCCCCTAAATCATGCTTTTGGTGCTAGAACCAAGGCTGTAGGGGAACTCGGGCCCCTCAAAGAGAACCAAGTCAATGAAATAAAGCTTGGCATATCCCGCACCTTCTTCGTTTCAGGGATCTTGACGCGTTGCGATGTGACCTGGGGGCCATGTCTATCAGTGGAGTAAAGGATCATTCAGGACGGCTGTAGTTGGCATGGCGGTTTCGATGTACCTTATGGCCGATCCTTGTATCCTTCGTTCCGAAAAGAGTACCTCAGTGGGAATACGATGCAAGTGTGAATATCAGTCCGTACTGAGGATCTTAGGATTGTCTCGAACAATAGAGGGAACACGGGCGCCTGTATTATATTTTGTGACGATGTGATAAACGAAGACCTTTACGGAAAATATCTTGTTTCAATTACCTCGACAAATGTTTTTTTGTCTTTGTCTGCATAGTCAAACATGGTGGGAATTCTGACCTGCTTACTGCCATCTATGGACATTGCAACCTCCTAAATCAATGCGCTGGGGAAAATGGCTTTTCTGTGAAGTTTTTCATGTCATAAAATAAGCAACTGTGTAAATTGGAATCCTTCATTTTGCACTCATTTCATATATAATAGCTCTTGGTAACATCATTTCATGGCAGCCGTTGTTGCGCCCTTTCCTGGCCCTGATCAAGCACTCATCGCCATAGCCAGCCCTTAACTTGGATCCTGGATGTTTAAAAAAGCAACCCATCCATTCCATCCAGTACAGATCCATCGCCCCAACTGCCGGCGTTGTCACCGCATTTCAAGACACCGTCATCATTAGAGATCTCATCGTCTATTCTGGAATCAGCGATACATATCCAAACCAAGAGATTCAATTAGAAAAAAGAGCAGAATCTTACTGAGCTCAAGGTTTAAGTAGCTTTTACTACCCAGCGGCCAATTGCAACTGAGTGTGCTTCCGTCCACGTCGCAGTCCGTGACCGTCTTGAACGCAGAGCCACTGGAGACTTGTCAGAATGTTTTTTTCTCTTCTCAATCTATGACTTACTTGGAAGCTGGGCGGATGTTGTCGTTTGCAAATTCATAGCACAAGTTGAGGTCCAAAGTGGAGCTTCCCCATCTTTTCTCGCTATCGCTCCAGCAGGCCGCGTAGAGCATGTAGGGTGCTGCCCACTTCGTTTTTCCACACCCAAAGCCAAAATTTGCGGCCGATGAGAGGGATATGAGGTAGCTGAGTAAACTAGCGATCGTGTTTAACCGCATTCTCGACATCAGAGTTGAGGAAGAGGTATAGATGGTCAGGGGGAAAACAGATATAGAATTCGAGTTGAGCCAACTTTTCCCCTTTTCCACTCGGTCTTGGAGCAGGGGTTCCATATATATCATGGAGAGGCTTTGTGTTTTGCCCATTGGTAATAGTACAGAGTACCGAAAAACAGTGGTTAATACACTGCTCTCGCAACGCATCCTTTGGGCTGAGTTTCTGTTCATTCACAGTGGGGAAGTATACCGGAGAAAGTAGATCATCTTCCACCTCCATCTTTCAAAGATCTTCGGTTCAGTCGGACAGTTCCGAGCTGAGAATCTCGTATCAGATCAATAGATTGTTTTGGGGTTTTGGAGCATCATATCATGACTCAACGGGGTTGTATTGCAGTCACTGGGTCTCCACAATCGCATGGATGTTGACGCGGAAAGTTCAAAGTGAAACGAGGGCCATAGCCGAGGCCAATAAACAAAGACGCTTGACGTCGGTCCCCGCAATAAAATAACCCCCAGATGTTGGCAAGAATGCCGAAACTAGCGCGAGCTTCAAGGGCCCTTTGGTGGGGCTTAGCTATGGGGCGTCAAATCAGCCTTGCGAGTCATGCTGTGCTGCGATCTACATGAATACCATACACATACAAATGAGGCATTGTTCAGTTAGTATGGTCATACGTTTTCGATTCTATTCAATGTTCTTTTAGACAGCAGAGAGAGGAAAGAGGAATTCGGTACATGAATGCCATCAGATGAACTGTAAATAATGCAATATCAGATCTAGAGAGACCTTGTCTGTTGACCTCTTACCCTACGGCTGCATGGTAAAAAAAGGCTTATACCCCCCCCCCCCCCCCCATATGCCGTTATGACCGGAGATAGGGATCGACATCTATATTCAGGTGCAGGTAATGCTGGCGCTAGTAGGGCCCATTGACACACGCCAAGGGTTTGGGGGCTGATGGACTACGAGACCCGTTCAGGCTACCGGGATGACGTGGAGTAGAGTAGTAAACCCCGAATTCTGAAGCCATCGAAGCACCGGTTGATCTGGGGACTTGCGAGAACAGTATACAAGGAGAGAAACCCTGGATTTCTTATATAGCAGGATTCCTTCGTGGGGGAAGTGATATTCCATCAGTTGATAATCGTTTCAATCCTTTATCTTTTTTTTTCCCCTTTCCTCTTTTCTTTTCTTGTCAGACATTTTCACTTATCATCTCTGCGATTTGAATGTGAGCAATATTTGTTGAGAAGAATAACAATATATCACTATATACTGTCATGCGCAGTTCAACAATACTATGGGGAGCCCTTTCGCGTGAGTGTCTGGTGTTGAATCAAGTCAATTGAAAATCTAACAAGTTCTTGAACAGTCTCATCGGCTGTCAGCTCAATGACTCTCCCGTCAAGACTGGACTTAAGACGACTATCATCGGCTTCTTCCCGGTCTTCATCCTCACATTCCACGCCTGTCTCAGCACGTTCTACTCCTATCCCAAGTGTCCCGGCTCCCTCAGATTCTACACCTCCGCCGCCTATCCCGACTTCTGATCCTATACCTCCCCCATCTGGTCCAGCTTCACCGGATTCCACACCTCTACCGCCAGTCCCGAACTCGGATTCTACACCTCCCCCGTCTACACCAGGTTCACCGGGTTCTACACCTCTGTCGTCTGCTCCGAACCCAGTCTTTTCAGCCCCCCCGACTCCTCTATCTCCCTCTGGATCGACTCCTCTACCACATGCCCCGGCTTCTTCTAGTTCTGCGTTTCTCCCAGCTTTCAACCCTTCTGCACACCCTCCTGCCTCTATTCCCTCAGGTCGTGCGCAACGTGTCGTCAACAAAGCAAACAAAGCAAAAGCAAAGCCTAAAGATTCTGCAACGCCACACTCCACGGAATCATCTCCAGCCTCGGCAACTTCAGCCTCAAATGACTTCATCAATGCTATATGTGACGATTCGGGATGGTCCCGTGATAACTGGAAAAAGTTCAAGATGGACGACTGGCTTGACAAACAGTACGTGATATCCATGACTCCCACACTCTACAATGGCTCACTCACGGAAACAGGATTGGTGGCAAGCCCAACACCAAGATCACGATTCCCACCGCAGTAGCAAAGCTTGGATCCAAAATTGGAGATTTTGAATGCAAAGACATGTTTGGCATCCTACGGATACGTTCTGCGACCTTCTGCTAACATGAGAGGTAGAAACAATTGCGATTGGAGCCCGAACATGGAACGATGCTCTGAAGGTGCCAATGCACCTGTCTTCTTTGCCTTGAAAGGCTTTGAACACTTGGCCAATTTCCTCCATGACATGAAACGCGCGTTGACTGATCTCCGTGGTGAAATCGACACCCGAGCGGACAAACTATCCATGTCTTTTGGTCCGCCAGATATCGAGTCCGCTGGGGTAAGCCTTCTATTGCTATAGCAGAAGCAACGAAGGGGGATGCTTACTATCAAACTTTTCTAGAACGAAGTCTCAGCTGGACTGATCGGAACAAGTGCCGGTGTAGGTATACTCGGTGGACTTGGTGCCTCGAATCCTATTGCAGCGGGCGCCGCAGCAGTCATCGCTGGAGGGGTTGGGATCGGCACCAGCATCCAGCAAATGGTGCCTCCTACGACCAAGATGGCGCAGTATGTCACTTCTCTGGTTCATTACAAACCTTTACTAATGTGTGCGTGTGTGTGGGTCACAGGGAAGTCAGCGATACCATGAATAACACCGCGGTCATCAAGGAAAACACCTTCCAGGTAATCGATGAATTCACTCACGCCCTCGAGATGATCGGCGAGGCAATCTTCACAAACAAGCCAGAAGAAATGTCAGAATACCGAAAGAACAAAACAAACGCCGTTTCAATCCTTTCCAATGCGGCATTTGCCGAAGCCGTCACGTCCAAGAACATTAAACCTTTCATCGACTCGGTCAAAAAGACCATCGAATCTGCGGCTATTTCCTATGACTGGACGCAGAAAGAGGTGTATGCTATCCGGGTTAGCTTTCCCATCAATGGCAAGGGTCCTTGTGATCTGTCGATTCCACATGACGATATCAAACGGATTTGCGAGGGAGACGTGGCATACCTCCTGGTTAAAAACACCAACAATTACAAACTGACCGAGGCCTGGGATAAAATTCCAGGATTTGACGATTTGCCCAAATATTCCAATCTTAACATGTGGGATGTGGTCAAGGGCTCGGAATGGTCTCAACGCAAAGGAGGCTATATCAAGGGCTGGAACGTGGATGAGATCTCCAACATCTATAAAGAGGACAAAGAAGACGGTCCCCCGGGGAGACTTCTCTTTACCCTGCCGGTGTGTGATCTGGATACTCTCAGGTGGGACGAGGGCGATGGGTTGTCAGACGAGGTGAGTTTTTATTTTGTTGTTGTTGTTGTTTTGAGTTCCACGAGACTGACTTTCCTTGCAGTACTATCTCAAGTTCCACATTCGGTCGTGCTTCAATCAAAAAATCAATGGCAAGGATTGGCCATACTCCATCCCATCCATGGATAAGACGCCCGATTACGGAGAACCACATGTGCCGTCACAATGAGTTTGCTTTTCGTTTCAGCGGGCTTCTGGGATCAGAAGGAATCCATTTTGATAACTGTTTTTAAGGAGTTTTGTTTGATATTTGTTTACGAAACTATCTGACTTACAATGAAGTTTTTTATACCCTTCAAGATTCCCTTTTACTCTTTCTTAGAGCGTGCTGAGTATCAATGCCTTGAATCATTCGAATCCATTGAACCCTTGAAAGAGGATTCAGAAGCTAAGATCAGGAAGAGGAACCACTATATTGCCGGCAAGAACCAAAACCGTTGTTCCCGAGATGGTGACCCCCATCGAGGAGGTGTTTGGGCTGTGGGTGAGAGAGTCAACTTCATCAAGCACTCTCGTCCCGTCTTCACCCCCTGAAGCACCTCAACCTCCCTATTCCCATTTGCTTGCGCCACAACAGCGCCCTTGGTCCACAGGATCTTCCATGGACATCCCGGGGCTGAAAAACGGGGCTTCGAACCTGGGGACGTCCGTGCCTGACACGGTGGAATCGCCTCCAGTGGAGGTCAAAACATACAGTCCACTGTTGTAGCTCCTCGTCCTCGCAAGCTCTTGAGCAATGCACTCTTGTTGGGAAATTTTCACACGATATAAAGCTTCTTTGCTGCGGACCGGCACCAGGAGGTGGCGCGCTGGAGACGAGGTAACCACCTGCGGGCCCTCCAGAACCGTCCCGGAGTACTGCAGCCCGATCTCGCAGGGATCGAGACCGAGAGACTCCGCGAGAGAAGGCTGATTGGTGTGCTTATCCAGAAATTGCGGGCTCCCTTGTCGCATCGAAATACGAAACGTGGACACTGACACTTCCACGAGAAGGATGTCATCGCCCAGCTGTTGTTGATAGATCTACGCAGCTTTGTCTGTGCTTTTTACAAGCCCGGCATGCGCCATCCACCACCACGCACCCAGTGAGTTGTGGCCGACTCCGAAGACTTCTTCGCCGTTGGGCAGGAATGAGCGCAGGCGCCAGGTAGCACGTGGATTTGTTGGTGGGCACACAAAGGTGGTTTCGGAGAGGTTAAATTGTCTTGCTATCAGTTGCATCTGCGTGCTGCTGAGGAAGTCGGTGGTGTTGAGTGGGAAGTGGCCGCGTGGTCTCTTCCTTAATTCCAATCAGACCCTGGATCCCTCCAAAATGCATGTTTTGTATCTTTGAAGTTTCAGGTTTCCGAGTTAGGGTTTGTGCCGGGGCGACTTCAGTCTCTCTCTCTCTCTCTCTCTCTCTCTGCTTTGGCAATGAATTAGCACGACATTTCCTGCTAGAATCCCTTCAATCAATAACACGCAATACCAAGACAGTCCTCCAGTCAGATTGGGGCCAGGACCATCGAGCCTCCAAAGCCAACAATAAATCGCTCAGTCGATCGCGGGCCGTGAACACGCGGGAAAGCGAGAGAGTTTTGGCTGGGGCCCCGAGATCGTCATGCCGACAAGATGCCGGGTTCTCGGTGAGTTGCATTCGGGCTGTGGCTCCACACACAGGCGAATCACAGTGGATGTCGGGGGGTTGTCAGGGAATCGGACCATTGGGTTTGGGAGTTGAACGTTAGCATTGACCATGGTAGTGTTGCTTCATGACGTATTAGTCTGTTCCCTGGTTGGTCTGGTTGATTGGGGTGAAATCTGGAGACACTCTATGGTCTTGGTCGATTGAGCATGACGACAATGTTCTTCGTAGAACGAAGGAATCTGACTAGCCTTGCGTTAGTGTCGGAATGCTGTGCCCCTGTTGACTGACTCTCTCTCCGGGGATCTCCAGTCTGGGGTCCATTCGACTTCACTCAACTCAATCAACTTCCACTCAACTTCATTCAAATCCCCTTGGCGCCATCAACCCATCCATGGTCCCTTCATGTCTTTGCCAAATCGTTGTGTCTCACTGGCCGTTCCTGAGCCACCGCATCTGGAGGGAACGAGATCATCTTCATCCAGGGGCTTGCCACCTCAACTCTATTCCTCGCTCCTCCTATCAACGCGGGGAGCCATCCCCCTGCCCGTGGGTCTCCCTTCAGGCGTGGAGATGTGTCCCCCGGGAAATCACCGTGGGGATGTTTGTGGAAATGATCCTCGACTATCACAACGGCACGCCTTTCTCCAGAGTTTCATCATGGGGACAGAGCCCATGGGGAGATTTAAGTTGCCCCCAGTCTGATGCGTGGGTTATTTAATGCCGCTGGTCGCCACCTCTCTGGGAGGATTCTGTTTTCAGAGACCTGTGGAATCACTCCTAGATCAATATGTTAGAGAAGTTCAAGCCCAGCCAACCTTACTTTGGCCTCCGGGGTGGATGGTTGACCTTTTGGGTCACCGTCGCCTGTGCCACTGATATGATGCTGTTTGGCTACGACCAGGGTGTCTTCGGTATGTTATCTTTCTGCCCTTTCGGCTGTTTGGGGTCCCATATATAGTGCTGTATACTGACTCTTCAGGTGGTGTTGTCGTGACCAAGGACTTCCTAAACACCCTCAATCTCGGTGACAATGCCACCCTCCTGGGTACGGTCACCGCCATCTACGACATCGGCTGTCTGTTCGGTGCCATCATCGCCATGATCTGGGGTGAGAGATGGGGCCGAAAGCGTTCTATCATCTATGGCACAACGGTCATGTCCATTGGCGCACTCCTCCAGATCACCGCGTACGGCGTCCCCCAGATGATCGTCGGCCGCATTATCGCCGGCCTGGGCAACGGTATCAACACATCGATTGCACCTGTCTGGCAGGGTGAAACCTCCCAGGCCAAATGGCGTGGCAAGCTGGTCGTCATTGAGCTCACGCTCAACATCGCCGGGTTCTCCTTGTCCAACTGGATCACCTTTGCCTTCTCTTTTCTACCGGGCCCGGTCGCCTGGCGGTTCCCGCTGGCATTCCAGTTCCTCTTCATCTTCATCCTTTACGCTACCGTGCCTTGGTTGCCCGAATCCCCTCGTTGGCTCATCGCTCACGACCGTCTCGACGAGGCTCAGGTCATCATCTCGGATCTAGAGGACAAAGAGATCGACGACTCGTATGTCGTCACCGAGTACACTGAAATCATTGCCGCTGTTCAGTATGAGCGCCATCACGCTGTCTCCTGGTGGGATCTGCTCCGCGGCAAGGCGGGCAAAGAGGGTGGCACTTGTGCCATTCGCCGAATGATCCTGGGTGCTGGCGCCCAGTTCATGCAGCAGGGAGCTGGTATTAACGTGACAAGGTAGGCCACACCTAATATTCCTCAAGCCTTCTACAAACACAAGATCCTAACTCTCACATTAGTTACTACCTTCCTACCGTCCTGATGGAGTCCGTCGGGCTCACAGAGAGACTGGCCCGGCTGCTGGCCGCCTGCAACTCAGTCTCGTACCTCCTCGCCGGAGCCGTAGCTATCCCCAACATCGAGCGCTGGGGCCGACGCCGGCTCTTCATGATCTGCGCCCTGGGCCAGGGCGTGTGCTACCTGCTGATCACGGTGCTGCTGCGCTTCAGCGAAAAGGAAGGCTACGCAGCCAGGAAAGAAGTCGCCTCGGCGTCGATCGCCTTCTTCTTCCTCTACTACGTGTTCTTCGGCTGTGGCTTCCAAGGCATCCCGTGGCTCCTCCCCGTGGAGCTGAACTCGCTCAGCATGCGCACCAAGGGCGCGGCCCTGGGCACGGCCACCAACTGGGCGATCAACTTCATGGTCGTGGAGATTACCCCCATCGGCATCAAGAGTCTGCACTGGCGGTTTTATATCATCTGGACCGTCCTCAACCTGGCCTTTGTGCCGACGATCTACTTGTTCTACCCTGAGACGGCTAATCGTCAGCTCGAGGATATCGACTTGTTCTTCCGGGAGAACCACGGCTTGTTCGTGCACAATAACCCCGAAGCGGTCTCCACTGCGCGTCCTGCCCGCTATGTTGAAATCGAGCAGGACTTGGTCCATCGCAATGCGTCCGTCTCGGCTGATAAGAAGAATGCTGCTGGCCTCGAGGGCCAGGGCGAGCATATGGAGCTTGTATAGATTTGATGAGTTATGGTCTATGACTCTAGTTGACGAGAGATAGGAAAGCGAATAGATTTAGACATTTAGAACAATGCCGGTTTCATTTTCTACTGCTGTGTCAAGAATTCCATCGTAGCCTGCCTTGCCATTTATAGGATGATGACCTATCCATAGACTAGAAGACAGCTGGAAATATGTCCATGTCAAAAGACCCCCCCCTCCGCGATAGTTGCCCCCACCGACAACCCTGCATTGACATCCGTGATCTGCTGCACAATTGCCCGGTCTCTTTCCTCGGCAATTGTCAATTCTTTCGACGGTTGGAACCCACTGAACGCCTTCTGGCCCAGCACCACCCACAGGATCTCTTCGATCTTTTCATCTTTACTGGGCAAGCTGTCTCCTCACCAAGCAGCATGCGTGTCCAGACGAACAAGGACGAGATTCCGTTCCCAGATACGGTGGACCTGCGGCTCATCCGCAATAACAGCACGAGAAAGAGACGGTCCGAGACTGGAAGCCACAGCGAGAAACTGGTCGCTTGCAACGGACGTGTTGGTCTTGCTAGGCTGATTATCGGCAAAATGCACCAGCGTCCATTCGGGCCCGAATAGATCATTGGTGCTGGTTTCCCGTCTGCAGGTGCTGCTCCACCAGAATGCAGGACACATTGAGGCGGTCGAGCTGGTATGCTAGTAGCATGCCCACGATGGTGATCGGGGTATTATGCGGAGTCTGGGGTTGCGACATGTTCGATGGTGTGCGGGGCGGCTGGTCTATACCTAATGAAAGCGCGAGAGCATGCTAGTTATACCAGTGCCCCCATGTATGGTGTTTTCTTGACGATTAATGTAAACTAATGAGAATTATTGGCATCATTGTTATAGCAGAGATCGTTATTGTTTCAACAGTGGCCCCCCTGGAGCCAATGGTGGAGGTTCGGGCGACATTTTCTCATGCAGTGTCTGAAATTGAGAAACATGGCAATCGATTATACTTGAACTGTTGAATTTCAAAGCTATCGTGGCTACCTATGAGTCTCTTGTCACCAGGTCTCTCGGACTCAACCTGCACCTCTCTAGTCCCAATTCGAAGCCATCTTCCTCTCTCATGACCATGACACATACTAATCGACAAGCCAGAAGATAGAGAAAACAAAGAAAAAACCTGAAACATAAAATAATTCACGAAAGCCTGGGAAAAGCTGTAAACGCCAAGAAGGGCACCAAAGGGGGATGTCATACACCGGGGGAATTAGCAAAAAAACAGCAAAGGAGGCGCATCAAGAAAGCCAATAGGGTAAAGCAACAATAGGCTGGATCAGGAAACTGATGGGTTAAAAAAAAATCCAGAAGCCAAATACATAGGGTAGAATAGAACGTTGTGCTCCCGAACTTGGAGATGTTGAAAGAGTGCAGCTCATCTCGGTCCAGCAAAGTAACGTAGACTTGATAGAATGCCAGAAAACGGCCAACTGAATAGGTGTCCGCTGTTAAAGTCCAGAGTACGATCACTTCCGTGCGCCCCTGACAGATCGGACGACACTCTGAGCTGCTTTGCGCACGCCCTTGCCCAAGCCCCTCGCCTTGCTAGCACCCTTCGCAGTACTCTTAGCAGTAGACGCAGGCATTTTGACCTTGACTGGGCTCTTAATGGGGGCTTTTCTCGCAGCAGGCTTGCGGGGAGACTTCGTTTCAGTCTTTTGGAGCTTGGCTGGCGATTTCCGACCCCGGCCACTGGAGCCCTGGGCCGCAGCGGCAAGGATTTTTTTCTTGGTCTCGGCAGACGGACGCTTGAGTTGAGATGTCTTCTCCTTGGCCGGTGAAGCTGGGCTTGCCTTGGCAGTGCTGGCCCTCTGTCGTGGAGTCTGGACAGCGGCCTTCACCCTGGAAGCGGTCTTGACTGTCGGCAGTTTGACGTTCTTTGCTGGGGTTTTGCCACGGCCACGGGTTTTAGACACGGCGGCTCCTTTCTTTGCAATCGCCTTGCCTCGCACAGTGCTCGCCTTGGCCACGGCCCTCTTGACGCCGGCTTTGATGGATTTCGGCGCCAGCAGCTTCTGCTTCTTGCCTTGGCGTGCTGTCGAGTTCTCAATTGCTTCTGTAATCTTCCGTTTGGTGCCGGTAACTTTCTTCGCATTGGTCTTGCGTGGGCTTCCCGTGGCCTTCCGCTTCTCCTCGAGTTCCTTGGCGCGCTGCTCCTTGTCCTTGAGTCGAGGGCCCAAGATGCCCCGACAGTTCGGTGATCCACAGCGGCATTCCTGAACGTTTTTGTTGGAGTACGGGCTGGATTCAAGTAAGCAGGTCATCTTTTAGGTACTTCTTGACATGGGGAACTCACTCGAAGTTGTAGTCGTAGCTCAATTCCTCTCCAGTCATAACCCCATGGTCACCGGCAAAGAGTGCCATGCGCGGCTTTCCAGCAACAGTCCACTTCTCCATTCGACAGTTTGGCTCGCACGAGTGGTTGACAAAGCGCGCAATCGAGCCTCGAGTGGCATCGATGATCATGTTTTGATCAAAATACATGAGATAATAGCACTGGGGGTTGGAGTCAGCCATCGCTAGAGCATCAACAGATAACAGGATCCACTCACGTCATTGTTCTTGTACACCGACCTCATCCTCCTCTCACACTCAATTTGGGTCACGATCTCTCCCGTGTATTCCACAATGATCTGGTTCGGCTCAAAAGAGCGGTTGCTGCGGACACCATATCCGCGGTCCACCGTCTTGATGACCTCCACTCCGATATTGTACTTTCCGCCAGCCTTGGTCCTGTGCTTGAGCTCCTCGAAGCTTCGGTTGCCGCACTCTGAACCCAGTCTACAGTTGCCGTTGTCACACTCGTAGAACATGTAGCGGTTCTGACAGTTTTCGTCGCAACCATCTTCCTCGGTGCACATGCAAGTCGACAGCTCCAGCTTCTTGTTCGCCTTCCAAATACTCCCAGCGTCGCCAACAAAAACATCTAGAAAGTCAGTTAGCTGAGAATGCGCTTGGGCAAACGTTGAGACAAGCCTCACTCTTGTTGGTTTTGCGCCATTCGTCTGGTTTGGGCTGACCAGGAGGGAGCGGCGAGAAAACATCAAATGGTAGCTCGAAATTTCTGCCATTTCTCACCAGCCGCGAGCCCGCGAACATGGGCAAAGGGAGGATCTTGCGCTGCATGGGCCCACCGCCAGTTTTCCTAGAGTTCTTACTCCGACGCTGCTTGGGTGGTGATTCGGAGGGTTCCTGGCCGGTATACAACCCATGAGTCAACCAGCGTTTGGGCTTATACCGCGGCGTGGATGGCGCGGCAGGCTCCTCAAAGGGCGACGCATCCTGAGATCGCAACTTTGACAAATCACTTTCCGAAACCCGGCGTTTCTTCGAGGCCAGCTCCTTCGGTGCTGAGGCTAGCGCGTCCTCATTCGGTGGGGCGACATTGCGAGGTCGAAGACTGGCCCGTCGACCAACGTCCTTCTCTCCCAAATCGCGAGAACGTTTCCCAAGAACGCTGCCGGCTCGATCAACCAAATCCGAGGCCCTATCCAATAGACTCAGGCGAGTTGAGCGTCGTGTAGAGATGCCGGGACCGCTCTTAGGCGTCGCCTTCACCTTGTCTGCCCCTTCGTCTTCGGTCAATGTCTTTTCCACTCGCTTTCGCAATGTCCGCTGCTGGAGCGAGGTATTCATATCTTCAGACTGCAGCTCTTGTGATGACTTCGAAACCGGGGTATCGGGCACCATTGAGTGATCCCGGGTCACGGTATCATGTGCGGGAGTTGTATCGCTCCGCATGGTCGATTCCATGGCCGCGATGCTGTGCCGCAGGGAAGAGTGAGACCGCTTTGCTTTGGCAAGGCTCTCCACGTAGGCCTCGCTAGCCGAGGGTGTAGGCACATCCCTCTTAACAGGTGTGTTGTCTAAAGCTTCAACCGCTGCCAGCGATGCGCGTGCCATCCGTGTTGACCTCCGCCGCGCCGCGGGTTTCTCCTCGGCCAACGCGTTTTCATTGTTGCTCGAAGTCTCCGAACGGCTGTTCTCGGGGGTGAGAAGCTGCTCGGGAACATCAAGGCTCATGGTGTCATCGGCGGGCTCGTGTGTCGAGACGTCGGCGAGTGCGGGAGCCGCGGACGCGAAGAGTCGGGAGGTTCGGGGCGCCATTTTGAAGAAGCAGAGTGCTGGAGAAAGACAATTCCACACGGAATCGCCTTTCTCGGATGGGCGAGAACGGGCGCGAGGTGGTCGACTTGGCTAGAGGATATCAGGGGGGAAAGGGCAGATCAGAGAGGATCAGCTCCCGCGCGCTTCTTATCAATTAGGGCGATGCGGATGTCTGACGCGTGCAACACCAACGAACGATTCCCACGAGACTTTTTTTTTCTTGTCTTTTCTTTTCTTCTTACCTCTTCTTTGTTTTCTTATTCTCTTCTTCGGTGATAAATCCAAGTTGGTGGAAACTAAGCAAGGGAGAAGGGGCGGAGTGCACGGGGAAGACTTCCAGCGTGAGATTCCATGGAATGCCGAAATCCCTCATAACTCTGGGCCCCCGCATTGGGTCTACGCGTGAATGGGGCGGAATAGGGGGATGAATGCATTCATCTATCTGTCCAGATCATACACATAGGGTATTCAACCAGAAATATGCCCAAGGAAAGTAAATAGCTCCAGAGAAGATGGATATGGTGACAAGGAACAGGATCGACCGCGACCCCGAACCCTCAGACGAAATAAGACAAGGAACAAGAACCAAAGATGGGATGAGGGACATCATGTCTCTGCTGATAGCGAAAGAGAAAAAAGAATATGACAAGAAGGATAGGGGAAATGAGATTAGAAAGCGATACGAGGGAACAGTCCCGAAAAAGCTGGATGTGACCAGCAATTAAAACATCGTAAGAAATCGTCGTGCGCAGTCGTGGCAGGGGAGAAAGAGTTTTTTCTGGTGTCAGCCCTGACGAGGACCAACATGCTGCATCTCAATCCCCGCCTGAGCCTCGACATCCGGGACGCGATACTTGCGCTTCTGCGTGGCTAAGCGCTGGTCGCCCTCCTCATAAGGGCGATTGAACTGCATGTATGTCGGGGGCCGAGGTCGTCCAAAGACCGTGAGCCAGTTCTTCACGACATTACCTTGGGTGAAGGGTCGGTGGCGATCAGATTTAGCGAACTTGTGCGAGTTGAGGTATTCTCTCGTGGTTTCGCCGCGCCCAACAAGAAACAGATGGTACGCCCACAGCGAGGTCGGGTACGGGACTGCAACCACGCCGTAGATGACCATGGCCCAAGGCACGCGCCATTTTGAAATCGCGGCTCCGAAAGACACGCCCTCGCGGGACATATAAACCAAAATGTGCGCGAGACTGGCCCCGATCAAGAACAAGGCCAGGATGGTGCATGAGCTCACGAAAGCAAAGAAGTAGCGGTAGTTGCGACGGCCGACACAATTGTTCAACCACACGCAGTGATGGTCGAGGGTTTCAACACAGTTGTCGCACACACGACAATGGTAGCAGCGCGGAGGCCGCCAAATATTGCAAGTCTTGCAGTATTTCACGGGCACGTCCATGGCAGCCACATCGGACGTGGCGAGTTTGACCATCACCCAGTCATTCGTGGGCGGGCCAAGCGTCAAAGGGTCATCGGAGGGATCCGCGGGGGGCATGGGATGGACATTCCGAGGCATGATCTGAAGATAGAAGATTAGCGAAATGAAGAATAACTAGACAGACAACCACTTACCCCAGGATCAACGACAGATGCATGCACAAACGAAGAGAAGCACACGTAGAACACGTAGGCAAAGAGAATAGGAATGGCAGGGGAAATGTTATGCCACAGCCAAGGAGCCCTAATTAATATTCGTCAGTTTTTGGTGTAGCAATTGCGATAAAGATCAAGGTTGGTTGCATACGAAAATCCAAAAAACAAAGCTGACGGAACGACAACCAAGACCCCAGTTGCGATATTGATGGGCTTGTCTCTGGAGTTCTGAAACCGCCCACCACCACAAAAGAGGGTATTTCCAGTGAAATATTCATAGTTTTTTCCCATATCACCTCTGGGGGAACGCTCTTTCTTCATGTCGAGGGGCAACGGCGAAGAACCAGCCGAGGACGCTCGATCTTGACGGGTACCTGGATCCTTGCGCGCGGTATTCTTGTTCTGCATTGACAAAAAGGGATAGCGGGGACTTCGGCGGCGTGTCTTGCGCGTTTTGTGCATTATAATTCGCACTAAGATTCAGACGACCGGGGTGTGGTTGATGACTTTGATCCCGGTCCCTGAGAAGTCGGACGCTTTCGCCCAGGCTCCGGATAGTAGTTTCGCCGGTGGGGCTAGCGTTGGAGGTGTTCCTGTCTGAAATGATCGGGTCCGTAAATTCCGTGCCTCTTGATGGCGGAACTTCCATTTCTGCCGGGGGAATAGATCCCTGCGGAAGGGTGCCATTCGAAATCAGACTTCGTCGATTTTGGCTTGCTTGGTCGTTCCAGTCATCGGTAGAGGATACGGTTCCTTTGGTCATGGGGCGGCCTCCTCTATGTGCCTGCAGTCGTTGCGAGCTCATCGGTCGAAAAAATGCTTGTGCCGCCAGAGACGGAATATGAGTTCGGCTTAGTCGACTTCCTGAGCTGCCAGGTCGATTTGTCTGGCTAGACGCGGTGACGGAATTCCGCGTCGGGGGTGGGCCGCGCCTGGAGACAGAGGGACGCTGCTGGAGTGGCGGCGGCGGCGACGTAAAGGATGGCGACTGCTCGCCATCTTCCGAGGCAAGGTCTGTCACGCGGGATGAAATCCCTCCCACTGAGGGAGGGCGTGGGATTCCCAGCTCTTGTTGGTACCCTAAAGATTGGTTCGTGTCGCTGGTGTTGGGACGGTCTGTTTTCGCCATGGTTTGGGACGGAAGGTATCAAAAATTCACTAGAGGATAGCGCGCGATATCATATTGTGTTCCGAAGGCGACAAGGAAGCAGCGGTGCAAGCGAATACCAACGGGCTCGCTAATAATTGATGCAGCGAGAGAACCAACGAGCGAAATCACAAGGAGACAAAAGAGCGACGAAAACGATGATAGACGAGTTCAAAAGAGAGGCTGAACGAATCGTTCGGAGATCTTTGATTTCATTAGCGTCGAGTCCTTTCACACATCTCCCATTTATCACCGCTTTGCAAAGACCGGAGAAAACAATAGAGCCCCTGATTTGGAAATGGTGGAGGTTCCTACCTCGGGCGTGGACGACGATGGAAAAGCCAGGATGGGCCAGTTACATCACAAACCAGCACTGGATAACCGTGTCAGGGTCAAACGGAGCTCGCGCGAGAACCACACAGCGCAGGTCTAAGGCTCCGGCCGTCGCGACACCAAATCCGTGCTCGAAGCGGCCATGAGTCAGCAGGGTCACCTGATATGTCGGCAACATCATTCGATGTTCAACGCTTTGTCTCCCACCACCCCCATTCTCCTCTGCCCTCGAATTGCCCACGCACGCCCTGCTGCAACCATGTCCTCAATTGCTGCTCTGGCTACTCGCCGGGCTTTGCTCCGCCAGCCCCTTTTCCGCGCTCCTCCGCGCCGCTTCAACGCCACCAAGGCCGAGGAGTCCACCCTCGACCAGGCCCCCAAGCGTGACCCCGAGCTCTACGTACGAGCCCCAATGACAACCCATAGGATGTCGCTGCAGCTCTGAATCTAATTGCTCCTGTCGAATAGGTCCTTCTCGGTGTCATGTCGGGAGCTTTCCTGATTGCCGGATGGTGAATATTGCCCCCCCATTTTTATGCCTGTCTGCGCCACTGTGAAGTATCGCCAATTCTCTGAGAGCTTTGCGCCGACCGTTCAATCGCACATTCAAGAAGGCAGACTTTGAGATATCACTCCACAAACGGATTGCTGACCGAGGGGTTGTCCGTGTTCATTTAGGTACTTCGGTAGCAAGCCCACTTCCGTCACCTCGGAGAGCAACGTCCGCATCGGCGAGAGCTCCATGCCATGGGGTGAGAACGCCTCTGAAGATGGCAAGATCTACAAGTACCAGTACCACCCCCACGGTGACAAGAGCCAGCCTCTCCGCGCGGCCCCGAGCGCCCTCAACACCGTCATTGTCCCCAATGTTACCCTCCCTGAGGTATGCGCTTTTCCCTCGTGATTTAATGCCCGCTTTTCTCCACGCAACCAATTTTTTTTTTTGTTGTCAACAGCCTCAATTAGCTGGTTTGGTAATTTTGGATTCGCTGACCATTTCTTGTTCACAGGACCTCCACGAGCGGTTTAATAAGTACGGCAAAGAGGAGTGGGACTACTAGATTGACCCATTGGCTCCCGGGGAGCCAATTTTTCGTCATGAAGCCAAGCGAACCGCCGCTCTTGCGGTCGGCTGCTGTATACTAGGACGGTCGTAAAGAAAGGGAGGGGTTGATATGTCGACTTGCCAGTGCGATTGCAAGAGATTTGTGCATAGTATTCGCGTTCAGATCAAGAGTCAATTGGGAATCGGTCTCTTTTTTATGCCTCTGCCAAAAATATTCAATCATAAGAAGTACCAAATTTTACTAGTAGAATGAATGGACTCGAGGTTGACAATGAACAGTCTAAAAACTAATCACGATGAAAAGAATAACTACCTTATGAAGTCTCATTATACATGGTTGAAAGCCACCTCAGCCCCTAACTTTATCTCCCTCCTTTTCCCTCAAGTAGCCTCAAAGCACTCGTTTGCGGGACTCGGTTCTGGGTAACCAAACTGCTCGGCCGACTGCTCATTACCATCAACAACGGATGCAGGACACTCGAGAGGCACTGAGTCCTCGGGATTCCCGCCCGTCTCGGGGTTTTGACCCTCCACGTCCGGGTGCGGAGGCGCAATCTGGTCATAGACAGGCTGACCGTCGACAATTGGGACTTCATGCGCGTTCTGCAAGCTGGATGAATACCGGGTTTCGAACTTAACATTGCCCTCCGCACGTAGCGAAGCAACCACAGACTCAGGAAGAAGGTTGCCGTGTTGGTCACGGTATTCGACACGGGCTTTGTCACCGGGGATCTTGGGTTGCGTGACAGCCGCTGGCTCCTGCTCTTCAACCGATTCCTCATCATACTCGGATCCATACTGCTCAGAGGGTGGAAGGGGGGCATTAGTGGGCTCGGCACCTTCAACCCGTGTATACTCAGTGACATATTGGTTTAGCTAGCCGCGTTCGGCTTTCAAGTCAGTAATTTAATGCTAATTCGTTCAGAAGTGTCAGTGAGCCGGGTTCGACCCCAGAGTACTTACGTCGGTATGGAAGGAGTTGCAGTCAAAATCCCAAGAGCTCAACAGCTTCATCTTGTTACAGGCATCCTGTGTCCAAGGATTGCCATAGGCGAGAGGGGAATAAAGGGAAAATACCACAACACTGAGCCCAAGGAAACCTGCCATTAAGATCTTGCCAATCGCCGGGTTTGATGCAAGCCCGAAGCTCTTGATCCGACTGGTGACAAAGTCGAACTCTTGGCAAAGGACCATAATAGCAAAGTAGAGAGCCGGGAGGTAATGGTGCAGGAAGAGCTGCCGGGCCATGAGGTAGAACGGGAAGTAGTGGAAGAACCACCCAAGAACACTTGTACCAACTTCGTAGTCAAAGCGCTTGAAGGAGTTGTGGCGGTAGTCACCACAGCTTCGCTGCCACCGAAGAATGGAGATACCCTTGAACACCAAGTAGATACCAACGGCCAGAGTCGTCGACCACCATATTAGCGGGTTTCCGATCAGGTAGATATGGCGATGTTCCTTGCCCCAGAAGTTGATACCTCGCAGGAGAGTGGGCCAAGACGGAGGACGAGAATCCCAAGTATGAGATTCTACCAAGCCGGCGTTGGTAGTCCACATCACCTTCTGCAGCTCCCAGAATTTACCCAAGAAACCTGGGTTCCGATAATTGACTCTCTCTGCATCTTTGGGCAATGTGGGATGAAGGTTGGTCTCGATGTACCAAATGCTATTAGGCAAGGTACCTTGTTTAGCGCAAGTCACTTCTTGTTGCTCCCATCCCCAGTCTGGAAGTTTGACCTTGTGCGAGAACAGAACACAGCCAGTCATGATATGCACGAGCCTGAATCTGGTCTGAATGGTTCGCACCCGTTTCTTGGCCTCTTCGCCCTCGGACATGTGCTTGACAATTTCGACCCTGAACAGATCATTGGCATCTCCGGCAAAACCTTCGTATCCATAGGCCGAGACCTCCAACTGCCAGTCGGCCTCTGTTACCGGGGGGCGCTCGTCGTGCGAGTGAATTCGTCGGTGGGTGACCAGGTGATAAAGCCGGATGACCGCACCATCCTCAATATATTGAGAAGTCAAGTTGTCCCAGGCATAAGGACCCTCGACCTCGCCGTGGGGACCAAGAGGCTGTGTCTGGTTCTCCAAGAGGAACATGTTGTTGTCATCCTTGTGGGGGTAGAGCGTGACCTGCTGCTGCTTGCTTCCCGTCGGGTACATGTGGTTGTGAGAGTGCAGGTAGCCACCTTGCGTGTTCTGGTGGCGAAGAGTGACGCGCGATCCAAAGGAAACATCTGCCGGGACGTCTTGCATGGATTTCGAGTTCAAAGTTGCCTGGAACTCCGACGACATGAAGCCATCACCTTCACCGGGATTAACCAAGCATGTGAAATGAATGGCGAAAATCGCGAGGTAGAATGAAAGCGGAATGACAATAAGACAGAAAATCCGAGAGAACAGATGCTTGAACCACAGCCGCTATATTTTCCAAATGTCAGTTTTTGTGGGAGAAGTGGTTTGATCGATGACATGAGGCACATACCGGCGTAACAGTTTTCGAGTCACCCAGCAGCACCCAGAGTTGAAGAGCCGTAAGGGACCCCACCCAGGCCATGGTGAAAAGCCCAACCCATTTAACGCTAAGAGTCGCACCCAGGGAAAGGCCGGTGGCAACCAACCAAAACCACCACAGAATACCAAAGGCATGGGATGGCCCCAGCTCTTGTTGATTGGTAAAGCAGTTGAATGACAGCGCTGTAAGTGCGGTGAAGAACACCAGCGGAGAGTCCAGAAGAATCAAGCGCGATTGAGTGGTCAATGCATTGTCTAGATATTTCTTAGTAAATTTTCATGGGTTTAAGCAGTAAGCTCGAAGAGCAACTTACCGAAAATCACAGCAGTGGCACCCATAAACGCGGTTGAGGTCCGACACCCAGTGACTCTGAGGGTCAAAAACATCAGCGGGACAGTGAGAACACCCAGAACTGCCGGCAGCATTCGCATCGCGACGTAGGGTACGCCAGGCTCGAGATAGTCTTTGCCAATATCCTTGAAGTCGAACTCTCCATCGAAGCCTGCAAGCCAACCAGCCAGGGTAATCAAAAGCTTGGCGAGCGGTGGATGAACATCCATGAAAAACCGACCCTTGATGTACTTGGACGCAAAGCCACCGAAGCTGTTCAAACGCAAGAACTCGTTAGCAGCCAATCCTGGCGCTCTTGGTAGGCACCGCGGGAGACATACTGGACTTCGTCGAACACCACACTGCTGGGCTGATAGATCCTGAACAATCGAACAGCCGAAGCAACCAGCGTTATCAGGGCCAAAAGTTTGTAATCAGAACCGGGGAGGCTGAAGATATCGTTATCCGTCACCCCATCCGACGCGTAGCTTGCGGGCTTGGTCGCGGACTTCTGACTCTTTGGCTTGGGGGAGCGACTAGAAGAACGGCCAGAGCGACTCTGGGGCCGCACGGCCAGTGTGTCTTTGGATTTCTGACCCATGTTCCTTCAATGCTCGGATGCGGGATAGGAGGCCTTAGGGGATCGACACGAGGAGGGTCGGAATGTTGAAGATAAGAAAAAGAAAATCTATGTAGTAGAGCAGCGACTCAATCCAAGTGAAATTGGTCGCAAAGAATCAATGGGTGAGCAGAAAACTGTCAGAAAGCTTCACCTTGAAGCTCTCAACAGCGCAGTGCTCTCCTGGCGCCACACCAGAATCGAAGAGGGAATTAATGATCGTATTGAATAAAGAAAAAAGGCCCCATGACAGGGAATATGGGAAAAGAAAAAGAAGCCGTGGGAGTGTGAAGAGCAAAAGGGAAGAGGAAAAAAAGCGAAGTTGGAAGTCAGACGAAAGCGTGCAGTTCCGCCTTGAGGCCAGATCGACAGCCGCGGAGGGCCACAAGCACCAAATGGCCCCTTAAGATTTTAGCCCCCTCGACCGTACGGTAATTTCTTTACTAGTAGGGGCTTGGAGCTTGGTGCAGGATGCTTTTCTGTATTTAGAATTCTTCAGGGTTTTTAGGTCAAATCAATATCCCACGAGAGACGTAGTAAACAATGCGATCCCGGTGCATGTACTCAAAGGTACAGTGGAGTACTGGCTGCAATGCACAAGTACCCCCGGGTACTTTGGCCGCGCACGGGGGCGCCACAGACACCGCCAGATTAGTGTGGCTAGTGAGGTTGCGTAGTCAGCAATGGCGCGGATGAGGTCAAAAAGACCTCGTCGCGGATCCATTCATATCCCCCATCCAACCCCCACCTCGCCATGGAGTCGTCAAATGGAAACACGCCTCTTCCGGAGGACACTAACAAGCCCCCGGAGGGTGTGGTACTACCACCAAAAGATATTCGAGGTTCGTCGCCATCTTGCCCCCTCGCGAGGCAGGTTTGCTAATATTGCGATGTAGCAATCGTCGACAAAACTGCGGGTTATGTCGCTCGAAATGGTTTTGTCTTCGAAGGTAAGCTCTTGTTTTTCTGGTTATGAAATTCTGCGCTCATTGCTGGTTCGTCTTTAGACCGAGTCCGCGAAAAGGAAAAGAACAACCCCAAATTTTCCTTCCTGAACTCGGCCGATGCTTACGCGCCCTTCTACCAGTGGCGTCTCACGGAGATCAAGGAAGGCCGAGGCACGTCAGTGTCGGCAGGACGACCCGGCGAGGCGGCCCCTGCTGCTGAGCCTGAAAAGCCCAAGGGACCCCCCGAACCAGCTTCTTTCCACTTTTCGGCGCGCATGCCGATCATAAATGCGCAGGATTTGGAGGTGGTCAAGCTTACGGCGCTTTTCGTCGCGAAACGAGGGAAATCCTTTATGACCGCGCTGTCGCAGCGGGAGGCCCGAAACTTCCAATTTGATTTCCTGCGGCCACAGCACAGTCTTTACCAGTTCTTCACGCGGCTGGTCGATCAGTACACTATTTTGCTACGGCCTGAGGGAATCGATGAGGCGACATCGGCGAAGACCCGGATCGCTGAACTCGAGCACAATGTACAAAACAAGCAGCACATCCTGGAGCGGTCCAAGCAGCGGGCGGAATGGGTGAAATACCAAGAACAGCAGAAACAGAAGAAAGAGGAACAGGAAGAACAGGAGCGAATCGAATACGCGCAGATCGACTGGCACGACTTTGTGGTGGTGGAAACGGTCATGTTTACCGAGTCGGACGACCAGGCAGACCTGCCGCCTCCGACCTCGCTCACGGACCTGCAGTCGGCTTCCCTCGAGCAGAAAGCAGCGATGTCTCTCAACCCGCTGCGCATCGAGGAAGCTATGCCCACCGATCTCGACGCACCCACTTTCTACAACGCCTACCCCACCCAACCTGAACCCACCCCGGCACCGCAACCCGAGGTCTCGCCGTTCCCTGCCCAAGCCCCTGCTCCCTACCCTCCCCCCGGCGGGTTGGACTACAGCATGCAGTATCCAAACATGGCCGCACAGGAAGAGGAGCAGCGGATCCGCGAGCAAGCCGCACCCGGCCAACCGCCGATGCGCATCCGCTCCGACTACGTCCCCCGCGCACAGGCCCGGCGCCAACAAGGCACCGGCGCCACGGCACTCTGTCCGAACTGCCACCAGCAGATCCCCGTGGCAGAGCTGGAACAGCACATGCGCATCGAGCTGCTCGACCCGCGCTGGAAGGAGCAGCGCGCCAAGGCCGACTCCCGCAGCGCCACCACCAACCTCTCCACCGCCGACGTGGTCAACAACCTCAAGCGCCTGGCCTCTCAGCGCAGCGACGTCTTCGACTCCTCACTTGCCCCCGGTACAGACCCCGAGGAAGAAGCCCGCCGCAAGCGAATCGCCATGGGCGCCGCCCCCGATGGTCCTCCTGGTGTTGCCGGCGGTCCACAGGGCCCTACGGTGGGCCCGACCGGCGGGCCCAACCCTCAAAATATGAATATCGAGGACCAGATCAGACATATTCATCAACTCGCCAAGCAATGACCTCCCGCACTGGTCCTGGAATTGATACCTACAGAATAGGATTTCGGGAGAACCGGATATCTGTCTCACTTGACGAATTCCACATTCGGAGTTTGGGAGCATCTTGTTGCTTTACCTGGGGTGAATCTTGGACGTGTCTTTTCTGTGTATAATAGCCTTCAACCATCCTTTTTTTTAACGTCTACAAAATATCCGATCCTGGAGTTTACGTGAATAGTCTGGCTCAATCTCTTAAGTGTATGTTTGGGTGCAACTGCCCTGTCGCACCAATGTTGGTTTCCATGGGACTATTTTATTGCAAAGGTTTCCAGGGTTCAGTTACAGTTTCATATCAACTCAGCCGAAGACACAATACAATGATAGCCATGAATGGTGTGAAATTCATCCATCGAACTGCACTTGGTCAATGAAGATCGCATTCACAGAGACACGAGCAAGATGATAGAAAACAAAGACCAGGACATGAAAAAAAAGAGGAACATTATTATGCATACACGGAGGGAATAAAACGCCGATATTAATAATACATAAGAGGCAAGCTGCTCAAGATATAAAGTAAAAGGGGACAGCGATGAAGAAAGGCAGGGGGGTACAAGGGCATCAATATATGGGACCAAAAAAAAAAGCACAATTAAAGGCGTGTGAGCAGCATTGCCAGAAACAGGGACAAAGGCTTGGATCAGAAATCATGCTCGAATACCGAAACATAGCGAAAACGTCAAAAGGCAGAGATCATTAAATACTGGGTAGCCGTGCGTGCGGTCATCTCACTCATGTCGGTCCCTCAGGGGCATATCGGCGGGGCTCAAGAACTGTTCTGGCCAGGAGTGGCTTCGGTGGTCTCTTGGCCCTGGGTACTGGAGGACTGATCGACGGCAGGGTCCGCAGTCTCCGCAATCTTCGCGCTCTCTGCGCTCTCTGCGCTCTCTGCAGTCTTTGCAGTCTCTGCGGTCTCCGCCGCCACGTCGGCATTAGCCTCTTCGTAGACGCTGACTTCAGAATGGACGGAAGTCCTCTTCGACTGTGCCTTGCTTGGAGCCTCATCTTTCTCGAGGTCGATGTTTCGAGGTTCCGGGGTCTGGGGCTTCGTGGCATCGGTTTCAATTATAGGAGCCTCGCTTGTAGAAGTTTCAGGGGCAGGAGTAGGAGCATCAGTTCCAGTTGTTTGGGGTATGCGAACCTCAGTTGTAACTGGCTCAGTCACAGACTGGGCCGAGTCCGTCTCGTCTTTCTCCAGATCGAAATTTTGAGGCTCGAGAGTCTGTTGCTTCGTGTCGGGTTCATCCACGGGAGCTTCACTTGCGGGTGATTCGGGTGACTCGAGAGCAGCAGTAGGAGTATCAAGGCCAGTTGTCTGAGGCACAGAAACTTCAATCGCAATAGACTCAGTCACGGCCTGGGTCGATTCCGCTGCTGGAGACACTTCAACTGTCTTAGGTGCGAGGCTTGTGTGGTCCACAATGTGTAGCCGATGCTCCTCGAAATGCTCTTGGACAGCATCAGTGTTTGGCTCCTCAATCTCCGGCTCGGCTTCCAATTCGGCGGGCCGACTTAACAATGGAAGGACTCCGCCTCCGACCCGAGACCAAAACATTCTCTCCCGTAAATGGATAGTTTCCTCCCAAATTTCCTTTTCTTCTTCGTCGTCACCAGGGCGAAGATGTCCGTCCAGGATGAGACGCAAGTAGCCGGTGAACTCACAGCACGAACGCACTTTTTCCAGACAAAGAAGACACAATGGGTATCTTTGCGCTGTCTCGCTATCAGAAGTTCGGAAACGGTGGGTTCTCTCGTTGTGCAAGCCAGGCCTGCGTTCACCGCAGACAGAACACGGGAGTTCAAATCTCTTGGTGGCATTGGGCATTGGCTCCACGACAAGGCTTCCCTCGCAGATTCCGCTCATGACAGTCCGCCGAGTAAGCCACGAAATCCCCGGAGCCAAATCGAGCCGCAGGGTCGGCTCGATATCCTCCATGAGGACCCGCTTGTAGAAGCGGGATTCTTTAAGAGGAATATGAGAGCCCATTTGCGAGGACACACTCCCATTGGGAGAATGGGTATTCCCCTTAGAAGGGGAGGAAGTTGCCGAGTTAGATCCACCAGTTGCAAACCCTGCCAAGCTCATCACGTTCAATCCCCCGTAGGATCCACTGCCAGCCCGACTGGCAGGCTTGGAGCTCCGAGAGAGAACCATCAGATCCCGGAAATCCTCGTAGGCCTGCAGATCAGTCCGGCACACCATGCGGATCATCTGAGGGAAACTACAGGACGGGCCGGGTACCAATTCCTCGGGGTCGCAGGACGGTGCAGGAACGGAGTCAATCTCGGGCTCTTGCTTGGCAGAGATCTGCAACTGTGGGGGTCCAACTGGGGATGGGGGAGCTGTAGAAGCGGCTGTGCGGGATTCGACGTCATCCTTGGAAGGCCTCCCTTGCATAGCCGATTTGAGCTCCGCTAGCTGGTCTTGATGTGACGCAAGGAGCAGCTCGGTGTCTTTGATTTGCGACCTCAATTGCTTGTTCTTTTTCTCAACCGCTTCTCGTTCGATCTTAGCCGCAGCCACCATCTGAGACACAGTCAGAAGCACATTCAGAGGAGATTGCGAGGGGTGAGAGGGCGAAGGGGGACAGACCTTGTTGGCCTCTTCAAAGAGAGCAGCCGTGAGAGTCTCCAGCTCCTGCTCAATGGTTTTCTTTCCCTTCTCGGCCACCGAGCGCTGAGCTTTCTCCTCCACGAGAGCGGTTTTCAATCGCAGAATTTCGCGATCGGCATCGGACCTTTTCACATAGACTTTTTCGGCAATGTCTCGTCGGTATTTGTCGTTTTGAAACTCGAGGGCCTTGACTTTGCCCTGGGCCAACTCTAATTCCTGACGGGTAGCAACCAGATTGTCATCCAATGTGGTCTGGTTGTTAATCGCCTGGACCAGCTTCACACTGAGAGCCGCGACCTCATTGCTCAAATCGGGGTGGTGAGACGATGACGTCGATTGTGAGACCTCGGATCCGTGCGCCAGTCGGGGGTCCTGCAAGGTATTGAAAATGCTTTCTTCGAATTTTTCGCTTGGTTCATTTTCGCCCTGCCAGGCGATTTCAGCAAGATTGGTGGTGGATTTGGCCTTTGTGACGGTCTTGTCCGGGGAGAGAGAGCGATGCCCGGAGGACAGCGATCGCTTGTGGGCGTGGCGCGGAATCATTGTGGACGATGGTGGGAAGAAACTATGATGATGGGTTTGAAAGGCAATTAAACTGCCGCCTGGCCATCAGTGACTGATTCGAGTCGAGCAAACATCTCCTTTTTCGCAAAACTTACTCGGCCATGGTGGGTAACGTCGACGGGGATTAAGGAATGTGACCAGTGTAGAACACGACAGACTTGGGTGCTATCCAATTGGAATCACACCCAGAAAGGCTCTGGAGGGCCGGTTTCCACTGAACCCATTCACTTGGGGCGAGGAAGGATCGAGTACACCAGTCGCCGTCGGGCGTTTAGGATCTCGGGGTGGCTGGAGCGGGAGACGGAGATGTAGGAGATGGATGTATGATCAGGAGTGGGAAAGGACCGACGGAAAAGACAGTACGCAACACAGAGAAATGAGTGAAGGACAAGGGCAGAATCACAGTCGAATTCGCCCTTGGGAAAAAGAGGTGCCAAAGTGACGAAAGCTTTCGGGGGTTGCGGCCTGAGGGAGAGAGGCGAAGCCCTTAGTCATCCAGACCCAGAATGGAAATGGCAGCGATCGACGGGCACGCGAAGAAGGAGAACGTGGAGCGATATGAGTAATGGGGAGCAAGTGATATCTGTCCACGGGTGAAGGTGAAAAGATCACTTGAGGACTTCAAATACCAACCACCCAGAAATCCTCAAGAAGAGGGGGTGAGCCACGTGAAGAGAAAATGCCGGGGAGACCGGGTGCCTCTGGAAATCGAGTCTAGCAAGGAATAGTCAGTCAATTTGAGAGACTCGGGTAATTTGGCAGATCTCCAAGATCATTGTCCTTGTGACTTGCCTCCGAAGGCGTAGTCCTCGGTTCAGAGTGGCGCTAATGCGATACGCCCGATTGTGAAATTTTCACATCGAATGACTTCTGGCTGGTATTTAGCGTGGATATATTGTTTCTGTTGCTCTGGACGTTGGTACTAGAAAATCAAAAATCAAAAATAAGGGAGGGAGCGTGGCGAGAAGTGTAGTCTATGCTATATCATCTGGTGCCCACATGGAAAAGCAGATATATACTTATGGCCACACACTATCGATATACAATCATAATTCAAAATGGATTCTTAAATATACCGTGCCTTTCTCTACTTCTACATCTATTTCGTAGCAGATCCTTTATTATTATTATTATTATTATTATTATTATTATTATTATTATTATTATTATTATTATTATTATTATTATTATTATTATTATTATTATTATTATTATTATTATTATTATTATTATTATTATTATTATTATTATCTAAAATGCCTGAATCTCAAGGTTGTCTTCCCCGCGTGCCTCAGGCGGACCAAGTGGGGTTGCAAAATAATCGCTGGCCACCAACTTCGTAGATACTCTTCTCGCCATTTTCCACTGCAACCAGACCTTCCGGTCTCAACATACACCATGGCCGATGCAGAGCTGGAGGAGGTCAGTACCAAGATCGGTCTAGTGATCTGACAAATGCTCAGTGAGAAAACAGATCAGGCGAGCTCGCCTCGCGCAGCTTCAACAACAGGGCGGCTCCCGAGGTGGCCCCGCCGGCCAGGAGGGGGGCAGCCAGGATGACAGGAAGTGAGTGATGGGCCATACCGATGACCAGGATCATTTTCTTTCATTATACTTGGGCGTGGCAGGTGCTGACAACTGGCGGCAACCAGACAAGCCGAATGTAGGTCTCGTGCGAAATCGATATTTCTTGTCTCTTCTCCTTTGACAATCTTGCATCGCCTCTGATACCATGCCACTGACTCTCTCAATCCGGCTTAGCGGAACGCCGCGCCGCCATCATGAACCAGATCCTCGACCCGGCCGCCGCTGATCGCCTGGGCCGGATCCGACTCGTCAAGGAATCGCGCGCAACCGATATTGAAAACCGCCTCATCATGCTGGCTCAAACAGGTCAACTTAGACAAAAGGTCACGGAAGAGCAGCTCAAGGAGCTGTTGAATGCCGTGGCCGAGAACCAGCGCAAGGAGGAGGAAGAGCAGAAGATTGTGATCACTCGGCGCAAAGGCGGCTGGGACGACGATGACGATCTCCTTGACCTGTGAGGCTTGTCGCAACGCCTTTGTTGACCTTGGCTCTTTTAGATACCTCTTCGCCATTTGCCTCCCTACAAATTGAGTCCAGGCGTTACGGTCTGTTATTTTTACATTTATTTTCTTATGAACTATGAGACCTATAGGCATGTTTACCTACCTACTCAGATAAAGTAGGTATTGTACGAAAGGTGAAAGTCGAGGGTAGCCCGCCGCGGATATTCGCATCGGAGATTTTGTTTCCATCCCAAAATAATCATACATGTCTTGCTATACACGAGTCAAAACTCAGACGAGTCAACCCGACATCTGCTGCTGTCGCTCTTTCTCGCGCTTCTGTTGCTGCCGCATCATCTTCCGGATATCGCGCAGATCGGGCGGCTGCTCGATATTCAACTCAGCCCTCAACTCGTCCACATCCTTCTCCAGCACCTCTTCCCAATAGACATTGATCATCTCCTTGGAAGACAACCCACTGCGCACAGCCCAGGGCAGATGCAGCGAGAGGAACCGCTCCTTTTCGGCGGGCTTCATGCGCACAAAGGCGAAGAGGCTCAGCCCCGTCATGGGGAGCAGCGTGTTGAGAAACTCGAGCGCCTTGAGCGCCAGTTCACCCTCGACGAAGATCGGGAGCCCTGTCACCGCGTGATAGAAGTCGTGGCACTCGCGGTACCGCTGCATGACATAGGCACACTCCTCGTCGTCGATGTACTGTACTTGGTCCCGCGTGTCCGGTGACACGCCCTCGCGGTCCAGCCATTTGGCGTACGTACGTCCCACCGAGTTCTCAGGGAGTGCACGCAGATGCGACATTTGTAGGGTTTCGGAGGTGATGCGTGGTCGCTCGCGGAGAATGCGGCGGCCGGTGGGATCGGAGAGCATGGCGTCGCGGAGCCGGTAGATAAAGAAGGGTGTTGCTGTGGCTTCGCCAAGTGCGGCAATCAGATCTATATAGTGAGAGAATTAGAGCCACTGCAATAGAATAACAAGTATATGGAGCAATTAAATCATGGCTTGAGCTTGGACGTCGAGAACAAAACATCCCAAGCGTCTCGCGCTCCTATCCAAAGACACAGCTGCCCATACCTGCCCTTCTCGGGTTGATCAGAGACCCAATCGCCGACCCCACCGCCAGAGCACCGCGCTCAATAGTCGTCAATGGCACATGGCCGGGATAGTTCGGTGGCGGGCGGTTGAGGACGGAGAAAGGCCGTAGAGCACCCGCAGCCACGGGATTGAAAGTTGTTAATGAGCGGAGCTCGCGCGCTCCACGCCTCCCAAGGACCGACATTGTGAGTCCCAAGACCGGGGAGCCGAGTGCATGACCGAACAAGAGAACAAAAGAGAGAGTGGTACGATCCCCGAGACAGCGCAATGGGACGGTGCGCTCGGCCGTAGTCTGCGATAAGCGTTTTTATCGATCAACGCGGGCTCCACTTGCTCAAATCGCGATGCCAATGTCTGCGAGATGAACACTCTCATTGCCTATACCGTGGCCATTGAGCTTGCGCAATAGAAGCTGGCTAAGTCGCGACAGTTATATTTCCTCTTGCTCTTTGAAAAAGACCTCAGCCTAGGTTCGTCGGACTCAATATCCAAATCCGTTGTAGATGCTTATGGATCAGGGCGTTATATTTCTATATTTTTGGGCTATTCTCTCTCTCTTTCTCTTTCTTTTTCTTGCCCTAAACAAAAGCCACAATGAAACCAGACTGGTGGCCCGGCGAGGACCACGCGACATTCACCGAGTGGGCGTTGTCCCAAGGCGTCGTCACCAATGGGGTCACCCCAGCGCGGTTTTCAGGCCGCGGGCTAGGAATGATAACCACCCGGAACATCACAGTATGCGAATTGAAACGACTCCAGTTTCCATGCTTTGAATTTTCTCGAGCACGTACTGATAACATGTTGGTCCTGACTGAAGAGCGGCGAGACCTTGTTGCGAGTACCGGTAAATGTGATGTTGACCGCGGACCACATCCCTTCCTCGTTTATCGAGAAGTTCCCCGAGGATATCGGGGTGCAGACTCTCTTCGCAGCATTCTTGACTCATGGAACCACAGAGTACCTGGCCGAATATGAGCCGTGGCGAAAATGCTGGCCCAGTCGTCGGGATTTCGAAGATGGCATGCCCATTCTGTGGCCGGCTGCTCTGGGTGGACCGAAATGGCCGGGGAATGGCGATGATGATGATGCGCAACAGGACCAGGCTGGTGGACTCCCTAACTCCCTTCCTCCGTGCATCTCGGGCTTGTGGAATAGTTTCCAGAAAACCCCAACGAAGGAGTACGAAACCTACCATCAGAACCTGCTTGCTCAGCAGGTGCAGAGACTGCGCAAAGCGTGGACGGACGTAGTCTCTGTCTTCCCGGACACAGATTGGAACACGTTCTCGTACCACTGGCTGATTGTTAACACAAGAAGCTTCTACTGGGTTGGACCTGATCAGGATACTCCAGAGGATCGCAACGATGCCATGGCCCTGGTACCTTTTGCGGATTACTTCAATCATTCTGACGTGGCGGTACGTTGGTTCTCTCCAGAAATAGGCCTTTTCTTGTCGTGGGATGGTTCTAGCGTGTTTCATCCAGCTGAACCCCATCGAAACAGTGCGATGTGGAATTCGACGACGACGGATACCTCTTCCGTGCCTCGAAAAACTACGAGCCAGGCGAAGAGGTGTTCATGAGCTACGGCAGTCATCCCAACGACTTTCTCTTTGCAGAATGTAAGAGATACCCCCTAAACCTACTATTCCTTTACCAAGACATCGGATTAACCATGCATTGGCAGATGGATTTTTCTTGGACGAAAATGGGTCCGACACAGTCTATTTGGACGATATCATCTTCCGGGATATCAACCGTCCCCAGCTGCGAGATGAGTTGTGGGAGAACCAATATTATGGGTAAGTTGCATTCGATATTTCAATGAGATTGCCGTCCAAAATACGCCCGTTCTCCTCTCACAAACACCAGAAACTATCAAGTCACCCTCCACGGGGCCTGCTACCGCACCGAAGTAGCTGCGTGCCTGAAATACATGAATGAAGAGGACTGGCGAAACCACGTCCTCGAAGGCTCCTCTCAGGGGCTAGATGAAAACAAGTCGGAAGCCACTATCAAAGATTGGATTCAGAATTATGCCATGGAGGCGGAGATGGCCATCGCAACGCTGCAGGCTGCAATGGAAACCAACACGGTTGTACGGGAACATCGTTCCAAGGCGGAGATGCTCTTGAGACGGTGGCAACAGATCAAAGATCTTTGCGGACATGCTGCTCAGGCGGTTTCTGTTTAAGAAAAGGAGTCCAAAAGACACCAAAAAGGGATTGAAAAGGCCGATGGTTGAGCCGATTGAATTAAACGCCAACCAAGTCAGGATGGATTCCAAAGATTCGTGGCTATTGTGGAATTCGCCCCTGGCTGCTTTCTTTATTGTGCTCCTGGGTTTCATCCTGAAGAAATTCTTCGCCTTCCAGTTGGCCGAGCTCTTCTTCTCCTTCCAAATTATGGAGGACGATGTTGTCGATGTCAATCGGGATCGCACTGTCTTCTCTCCGTCGCAGCACAGCCAATTGAGAGTTCACCAGGTGCTTGATCATGTAATTCAGCACGCATTTGATGCCCAATTCTTCGCCACGGCGCACAATGTAGCCATTAAAGTAGTCAATCTCGGTGGCCTTTTTACTCTGGAAATCCTGCAGCATAGAGCTCCTATTTTTGGCCGTAGTATATGCGACATTCACAACGCGCCGACGGAGGCGCTCCGGCGCGAAACGGTCCTCGACGCCGGGAATGCCCTGCAATTCGGGCAAAGCGCAGATTACGGCCGAGATCTCGAAAAGCAGCAAGCGGATGACACGAGTGTAGCTGAAAATGTACAGAAGCTCGCCGTTGGCGCAGCCGCTGAGCGCGGTCAGCGGGTTTATGATGCTATTCACCGCTAATTTCTCGAGTTGGTATTGGAGCAGACCGGCAGGAGTCTCGGCAACGGCGACCAGCGGCGGAGTGAGAGTCATGAGACGAAGCAAATATTTGGTTGTGGCCGCCCAGTGGGTGTCATTCTCGGCCGCGGCCACAGGCGTGTTGTTGGCCACCATGGGGCTGAGAATGGTTGTCCCGACACCCATGTGGGACACGTGCAAAGTGCTTTTCTTGGTCAGGCCGTGGCTGAAGATTCCCATCATGTAATGGGGCCGTTTCTTGGGATCAGGAAAAATCCAACGGTTGATCTCGTCGAACACGCCCATGCCATTTTGGATCAAGAGAACGGTCGAGTTGGGCGTCAAGCGGTGGCTGACAGTCCGCACGGCTGCTTGTGTCACGTTCGCCTTTGTACACACAATCAGACACTCGATGGGCTCCTCATCTTCCTGTGCTTGAGCTGTCTCCTGGAGTTCTGCCGGCCCCTGCTCGCTTGCGGCTCGGTCGGTCATGTCCCTCGAAGACGGCGGGGAATACCATACCCCATTGTCCAACACATTGACATCGAATCCAGATTTGATGTCGTCCAGGCCGTTGGTGTTGACAACGAGACATTCTTTCTTCTTTCGAAACTCTTCGTAGAATTCGGGCTTGTGCAGGAGTAAGGTGATGGGCGGCGGAGACTGCCTCGCGGCCAGGGAGTGGGCAACAAAGGTCCCTACATTTCCCATGCCCAGGATATGTACTCGCCCCGATAGGCGTGGCGTTTTTGTTTCCCGGGAGACATCATCCACGTCTTGCATCCATGTCGACAGATAACGCGTCACTCCACCCATTCTTGAGGTAGATTGGACACATTGGTCGACAAGCCCGCACCGCCACAGCGGACGGCGCGCGAGGATGCGCAACACTTTGAATGGTGGCTCAGGGGATTCTTCCCCTGAGAAAGAAGTCGGAAATTAAGGTTAATAGATCTTGCCGGGTGAGCTCGGGGTCAGGCAATTCGGTAGTGTTTTAGTCTCGCATTGCCGGAGAGAAACTGTTCGAAAAGAATGAAGAAAAAAGAAGAAATCCCAGCTTCGACCTGTTATTAAAAGCCTCGAGCGTAGACTGGCGCAGCGATGCAAAGGCGTTGAGCGATCTGCGATGCGCAACCTTGGAAAGATGATGGGGTCGGGACTCTCCCCGCCTGAGCCACCGCCCGGGTCGACCGGTTTTATTTTTTTCTTGGACTCCTGCGGTTTCTTTTCTACACAGCACTGCACCACCATGGACACGGAAACCCTTCTACCGCTGCTTGAACAGCTGGATGATCATGTGGACGACCTCGAGGAGGTTCTCCAGCCGTTTTTGGGCCATTCATTGTCCAAGTCATCGAAGAATCTGCCGTTGATGGATAAGGCAAAACTCCATGTCTTGATCACCTACACATTGGAGTCGCTGATTTTCTGTTCGTCTGACTTCTCTTGTTTCTCAATGGAGCTCTCGCTAATTTTCTGGAATAGCCTATCTGCGACTCCATGGCACGGATGCCAAACAACATCCCGTCTTCAGGGAACTAACGCGCGTGAGGCAGTACTTTGAAAAGATCAAGGCACTGGAGACTGAGCCCGAACAACGCCCCATGACACTGGACAAGGAGGCAGCAGGGCGATTTATCAAGCATGGTCTGGTAGGGACTCCCCGGAAACTTACACTCACTACGGCTACGTAGAGACTAACATGAGTCGGTGACAGGCCGGAAATGATAAACTGGACTTGGAGCGAGCTGAACAACAGGCGAGAGAGAAAGCGCGCTGAAATTAGAGCAGCGATGCTTGCTAAGAAGAGCGCTGCAGCCTCGCAGGGCCATCCTACTCCAGCCCAGAACGTTTCGAGCGCCGGCGTCTCAGATGACGATGCTGATTCCGATGAGGAGGTTTCAAGAGACCCTAAATCATATTCTCAGGATGATTCCGCCCAGCCCCAAAAGCCCGAGAAAAAAGAGAAAAATAAAGCCAAGGAAGAGAAGACAAAGGCCCGAAGTAAAGACGCCAAGGCCGCCAAAAAGCAGAGAAAACATGACAAGTCGGGACGAAAAGAAGAGAAAAAAGAGAGGAGGAAGAAGAAAGAGGAGACACGAAAGGCTAGAAAGGCCAACTGAATACCGGAAAATGTGCCTACTGCTTACCAATAGCAACCCCGAAGACCCACCGTCGATTCGACGACCCTTCCCAGTTGAAACTGGATACTTTCGGCTTCTAGGACACCAGAATGTCTGTGTTGTATATGGGCCAACACTGACATGATGGGTAAACTCGGCTCAGACCCGAGCAGCCCCGATGTACTGTACTTGTACGAGACTTTACTGCACGAATCTTGATACCCTACCGAATAAAGAAATGCGGTTGAGCCCTCTCAATTTAAATACACACTATATCCTCTATTGGAATTCTATAATCAAAACACCATAGTAGAACAACCGCAATTGGGCAAAGGCGAAGCATATGACCATGTGATACCACGTGATATAGAATCGATGGCTCCACGTGCTAGGTACCGAGTATGGCTTATTCATCCCACTAGCCAATCAGCGAGCACAGAATTAACATCGGAGTTTGCCTGCAGGCCCGACTGAGTCAGCTTCTAGCGTCTTCTGTCTCCACCCGCTTGGACTCATTTATAGACCGACTTGTATCCGCCAGCATTGCCTCTTCTACCTCCAGAAACCTCTCAATCAACCATCAACATCCCCACATCCAAAATGCCTCGTCAACGCCGTGGTGCCGCCCCCACTCCCGCGCGCAGCGCTCCCACCCGCCCTACCGCCGCTCCTGCCCGGCCGGCGCCTGCTCCGCAGCAGCAGCAGCCGCACTCGACGGCTGCTCACCCGCCCCAGCACGCTCCCCAGCAGGCGCCGCCCGTGCAGCAGAGCTCCGGCCCGGGTCTCTTCGGCCAAATGGCCTCGACTGCAGCGTAAGTTCTTCGAGGTGTTTGTACATCTCCCGAAAAAATCCGGGGTTGAGCAACTTTTCAAGAAGGGATCCGAGCCTCTAACTTTTTCTTTTCTCTTCATGCAGTGGTGTCGCAGTCGGTTCTTCGATCGGTCACGCCGTCGGTGGTCTCTTCAGCGGTGGCTCCAGTGCCCCTGCTGAGCCCCAGCAGGCCGCTCCCCCGGCCGAGTCGCAGGCCATGGACAACGGTCTGTGGCAGAGCAGCGCCGCCAACAGCTCCTACGAGACCCCGGCCTGTGAGACCGATGTGCGCAACTTCCGGCGGTGCATGGATGAGCAGCAGGGCAACCTGAGCATTTGCGGGTGGTACCTCGACCAGCTGGTGCGTTTTTCTTTTACATCTTTTTCTCTCCCCTCTTATCCCTTGTGTTTCCAGTCGCTAACCTCCCACCAGAAAGCCTGCCAGGCTGCCGCCAAGCCGTACTAAGTGCTTCGTCCCGTCTCCTTTCGGTACTTGATTGGGTGGACATGCTGTGTTTGGGAAATAAATCTTTTTAAATTTGTTCTTTTGTTCAGCGAGGTGGATCTCGCTGTGAGATAACTCGGCGGTCCTTCCTCTCTGCATGGCGATACTTGAGTATCGCCCATTTGTACTCTATACCATCTCTCCTCGCTCAGGAATTCAACTTTCTTGTCGTGACCTTTGCCTCTCAAGCTGATGGCACATGTGTCCACTCGGGAGTCGACCACACGACAGAAAAATCAATGAAAGAAACATACTCTCCTCTCTTAGGCCAACCTGCCCAGGAAAGTCCTACTGTGATAGTGTGGTCTATAGGCAAAACAGAAGTAGACAAGGAGATGGACAGCTATCGCTGGGTTACTTTACATCGCAGTCGCAAAAGGCCAAACCCTGCTTCCCGAATTGATACAGCACAGTCCATTAACGCCATACGAAAAACAAGACAACGAGGAGGTTGATTAAATGACTCTTCTGGCTTCTTATTTGTCCTTCTCGTCTTGTTTCTTCCGTGGTTCGAAGTTCAACTGGCAAATGATCATCAGCCAACATATCAACAAGGTTACTCGAAATTAAAATACCTGATTTCCGTTGTAGAGCTGGCGATCCCCACGCCCATTCTGCTGATCTCCCAAGGTCCGAATGTTAGGCCCGGCTGGGCGCGGTCGTGGGGCATTGTCAGCAGATGGAGGTGCAGGAGATGTAGACGCAGCAGGATCGGCGTCGTTTGCCGGTGCGGTTGGGCCATAGCCAATAAAAGAACCTATAAGACCAGTGGCAGTGCTTGCGACAGAAGAAACAATGTTATAGACAGCCGAAGCACCACGAACGGGCAAGCTGGATCCGGCAGTAGCATAGGCCTCGGTGTATGTCTGGACGGGAACCATGACTAGATTTGCTGTTGAGCCCAACCCCAACTTTTCGAGGGTCTGCGACTCTTCGGCGACGGAGAGGGCTTGGCTGGGAAGGGGAGTTAAGATGTGTTTCAGGTTATAAGGTCGGTTGTCATCCCCCATCTGCGCATCAAGCCAGGGACGCACATCGCCCCGGATTGTCTGGGATGGTGCGAAGCTCGAACGGACAGAGCCTCCATCGAATAGCCGCACCTGAAGCCTGTATTGGTTTGGCGGTGCTCGGGGGGCTGGTGGTCGCGATTGTTGTTGCTCACTAGGGCCAGCCGCCGTCGCACCAGCACCCGAGTTCGCGGGCTTCTGAGGCACCTTTGACGCTTTATCCTTATTATCTGGTTTTGAAGTGGCTTCCTGCTTTCTGTTTTCTTTCACTGGTTGGCGTTTTGATGACGTAGTGCTCGCTGAGCTCGCGAGTTTAGAGTCCTTGGGCGGTGCCTTATTCGTTCCCCGCTTTCCAGTCTGTATGCCATCATTTCCTAGTTGTGGCACAGGCTGTGGTTGGTTGATAGTGGATGGCTGTGGTGCTTGGTTTGGTGCTGGGGCAGCGGGAGCGACAGGTGTAGAAGTAGCTGGTGCCGGAGCAGTGACATTGCTTGCGACGGGTGCGCTGGCTTGCGGTATCTGCGTAGACTCCGGTGCCTGCTGACCCTCCAAAACTGCTAACAAACGGCCGCGGAACTCATCTTTGGAGATATCCGGTACGATATATTCTTTCAACATGCCATTCCTATAACCAGACCAGCCGGATCAGCTATCGCGACGGAACAACAAGGAAGCCTTCTCGAACAGACGCACCTGATAACCACAACGGCCGGAAATTGAGAAATGGGACAGAAGGACGTCAGGAACCCGGCTTCCTGGCTCCCCGCAGTTAACCGCAACGGGACGGATTTGGCCTGGAGGACGCGCGCGACCTGGCGGAATGGTTGGTTACCAAGACCTTCGGAGCAATGTTCACTCGAGAGATGAATAAGGATACCTCTTCATCTGCAAAATACTCTTCCTCCCACGTCGAACTCAGCTGTGCGTTGTCTATCGCATCCAAAGTTTGTCAATGACTGCATGTCTGTTGATGCGGGGAGAGATCAACCTCGGACGAAGCACACCACAGCTTTGGCTTCCCTCACAGCGAGGGCAATGCCACCCTGAAGACTTCCTTGATAGAAAATCGTCATCCTCGCATGTCGGTGATGAACGGGGCCACGTCGATATCGAGTGTCGCTGCTTTGCGGAGCGAGTTGTAGTTCGGGGAGGCCGAGACGTACGGTGACCGCCTCGGGAAGATCCGTCGCCCAAAAAAACCGACTGTTAATTCCTCTCCTTCTCTTGCTGCACCTCCGTTCCAATTCCCTTGGTTTATACGCGTTTTCGCCATATACTATGCGGCCGATATTTTCAGCCCTGCAAAGGGCCGCGCCGACAGCCTGGAGCCCGCCCACCCGAGCTGTCCAGAGCCCTCGCGTGGCATGGGAACTGGACTCCATTTGCACCAGATGTCGCCAGCACCAAATCCGCCAGCTCTCCAAGTCGCGTCAGCTGGCAAACAATCTATCAATTGTTGACCATCCAGCGCAGCTGGTCCGCACCGGCCGGAAACATGGGCCAGGACTGATTATTATTGGTACGTCTCTCGTCTTATATCGGTTGCAGACAATCAAGCTGCCCTAGACGTGAAAAAAGAAAGAAAGAAAGAAAGCAAAGCAAAGCAAAGTACTGACAAACAATCTTTGTTCCTGTAGCTCTGATCCCAATCATATCGTTTGCGCTGGGCACCTGGCAGGTGCAGCGCCTCGACTGGAAGACCAAGCTGATTGCCAAATTCGAGGACCGCCTCGTGAGACCTCCTTTGCCATTACCGCCAAAGATCGACCCGGATGCGATCTCCGAGTTTGATTATCGTCGTGTATACGTCACGGGCCGTTTGCGCCATGACAAGGAGATGTTGGTCGGGCCCCGCATGAACGACGGCGAGGACGGGTTCGTCGTGGTGACCCCCCTCGAGCGAGGTGATGGACAGAGCACGGTGCTCGTGAACCGGGGCTGGATTTCTAGGAAGCTGCAGAACCAGAAGGACCGGCCGCAGGGGCTACCCCAAGGGAACGTGACCGTGGAAGGATTGCTACGGGAGCCGTGGAAGAAGAACATGTTTACGCCGGAGAACAAGCCGGAGGAAGGGAAGTTCTACTTTCCTGACATTGTTCAGATGGCTGAGTTGGGTGGGAGCCAGCCCGTTTGGATTGAGCAAACTATGGGTAAGAAAGCCTCGACAACTGTGGCTATCTAGTTCAAGCACGCATGTACTGATTTCTTCTGCAGTGCCCGATCTGGTCGAATCGTATGATCGCACGGCCAAGGGTATCCCAATTGGCCGCGCAGCAGAAGTCAACCTGCGAAACAATCATTCCCAGTACATCTTCACCTGGTGAGTTGAATATCGGTATATGATAATGGCTGGGTCCCCCATTTTTGAAGCGCCACCAGCTCTCCTGGCATAAACATATGTCGCTCACACTCCATAGGTACGGCTTATCCTTGGCCACATCCATAATGCTGTGGATGCTTGTGCGAAAGAACCCCAACGAGGCAATGCGCCGTGTCCGTCAGAACCGGAACTGGTGATGGGTGTTGTAAAGGCCATCTTTTCTTTGCATATTTCGCTGGTGTTTTCAGGCGTTTCCACGCGGGTGTAGATTTTTATTTGAAACATTCATGGGGGCATGGCCAGTCGCATGTCCTGTTGAAGCTCCTTGGGCAGGTGTTTTTGAGCAAGGGAGAAGACTGTCGTTGAATTGTTGATATGACGTTGCCTAGAATCATCAGCAACATTGTTCAGGGTTGAATCTACCACTGGACTGACCTTCTCAACAACGTTGTGACATCGCTCTCGTCAATGGTCTTGCGGCCGGCATGCTTGGAATACGCGGACAAGTCCTGGCTCACTTGCTCAAAGTACCATGAGGAGGCCTGCTCGATCGCAGCCAGCGCAGCTTTGTTAATTTTCGCCTTGGATCCGGCTCGCGTGCGCGAAAAGCGAGTGGCCAGTTTCCGAACAACGCCTGCAGGGAGATTCGGAACGGGGATCCCATGTCGTGACAGCTTTTTCTGCTTTCCCCGCGTGGGAAGCTCCTCATCGCGCAACCCACCTCCAACAATGCCTGGGCTTGCACTCGGAGAAGCTGCCAGCGGGAAGTCCAAACCGAACCCAAACCCACCAGCGTCGTCGTCCGACGAGACAGATCTCGCGACTGGCTGAACATCTGGGGCGGAAAGTTCGAATCCATCCATGTCATTCACGGGCTCGTCAATTGGATCTTCCTCTGCTGCTGCATTGGGAGATGGGAAGTCAAAATCAAAGTGGAACCGGCCCAGATCTTCGGTCTCTCCCCTATTTGTGATGTTAGCCATGTAACATAGACCATCCAAATTTCATGTATACTCACCCTCGATCAAAGTCTCCTCCGCTTATCATTGTATCCTCTGGCGCGTCGTCCTCATCGCCCGCAATGCCGGTTTCGTCTCCGGCATCAAAGTCGCTTTCTAATCGCGTCTCTCCAAAGTCTTCACTGATCCGGGCATTCGCGCGGCTAATCATCGATAGCCGTTCTCGGTCTCGGACACTCATGTCTCGGCGGGGGTACTCGACCGACTGATACGTGATATCATCATCGTCCAAGGCCAAAGACATCCGTGGCGGACGCATTTCCGGGCTTGCATCTTCCTCTTCGTCCTCTTCTTCGACTTCCTTTATCGGCAGAGACAATCGGGGTCGTTCAATTTCGGGCTCATTGTCGAGCTCCTCGATTTCGTCTCTCGGTTGTTCAACGGGTTTGGGTGGTTCCTGCGGCGACGAGCGAATCGGCTGTGATGTAGGGGCAAGTGCTAATGCCGGGCTCAAGTCAGAATCTATACCCCTCGGTGCCAATGTTTCCTGTCCTGGATTTTTTCTTGAAAAGAAAATTTCGTACCTTTGCCCAGGTTCTTGAGGATATCAAATGTGGTCTCTCGCTGCATCCGCCCGCTGCGTCGACGATCCCGCCCAGGGGTATTCGCTGCGCGCTGCTGCCGGGCGCGTATTCCATATGGCGTCGACGGTGCTCCTGCACCCCTAGCTCGAGGTGTGTACCGAGAGCCTGACCGCTGCGCAGACGGAGTGGCTGCCGTGACGAGGCGGCTCGGGGTCAGCGGGTACCGCGTATGACTTGGAAGGCGTTGGAGCTGTTTTGAACGAGTCAACGCAGATACAACAAATTGCAACAAAAAAAAACCCTCTGAACTGACCCCTGTCGACGTGGTATCTCCGGACGGGGTGCTCGTCCCAGCGCCCGGGTTGCGCAGTGACCGACGGCCACGCGGGTTTGGAGTCGACATTGCCGGATCCGTGGGCAAAATGCGCTTAGACCATAGAAATAAAGTGTGTCATGCACAACAGACACAGCCCTGCGAACCGCAAACCGCCCTTGTAAGCAAAATTTGGCGACGCAAATGAGGCGAATCGACAGGAATCCGACTGTTTTGTCTGCTGCGCGTCGGGGAAACAACAGCGGGCTGTCATGTGATTGGCTGCAGCTTATCGATAAGGCTGAGTCAGCGGTGGGTTTTCTGGGCTTTTTTTGCGCTGCGACGACGAGCACTTCGCCAGAGCTTTGCGCTTGCTAATTTGCCCATTGAATTTCAAGAATTGTCTCGTGCAGAGTTCTTGTAATTACACCCACGATGCCCAACCCCGAAGCTCAGACCGGACTCTCGCACAAGCTGGAGAAGAAGCGCAAGAGACAAGCCGACGCGTCTTCCTCGAAGCAGGATAAACCCGAGACTTCGCCTGCAGCTCCGGCAGCAGCAACAGACGGATCGAACAAGAAGAAGCGCAAGAAGGCAAAGAAGAACAATCCGCAGTCCGAGCAAGATGTGAAGCAGCAGGATCGCAAGGATGGTGTCGACGAGTCCATTGGGAAGATGGATGGCCCGCTCTTGGCCGATTACTTTGCCCAGCGAGCAAAGAAGCTGGACAAGGAGCTGTCGGCAGTGGAATTGAGTGATTTGTCGGTGCCAGGTGCGTCGATACCTTGTAACCTTACAATCTGCCGATCTCTGGAGAGGTTAACCCGTGCGCAGGCTCTGTCTTTCTGGATACCACGTCGTTCACCTCGCCCAGAACCTTGGACCAACTCCCCGCATTCATCAAGAAGTTCAGCCCAAAGAATGCCGATCTGTCGAAAGCTTCGGAGGAGAAGGGTGCCCCGCATACTCTGGTGATTTCCCCCGCGGCACTCCGCGCGGCTGATGTAGTAAGGTGAGTGGGATAGTAACTCGACTCGACTCGAGACCAAAGCTGACAAGTTATCGATATAGAGCGCTTCGGTCTTTCCAAAACAAGGAGTCGATTGTGGGGAAGCTGTTTGCCAAGCATATCAAGCTGGAGGAAGCGAAGCAGTTCCTCCAACGCGCACGGTACAGTCCATAGAGCAATGGTGTGGAATATTCCTCGAGCTAATATATAATCCAGAACGGGTATGGGAGTCGGCACGCCGACCAGAGTATCTGATTTGATTGAGTCTGGTGAGTTTCTCCGTTGCTATCGCTGATCATTGGACATTCCTAACGATGTATGTCTCTTTTTCAGGAACTCTCAAACTGGGTGAGCTGGAACGCATTGTTATCGATGGATCCCACATCGACCAGAAGCAGCGGGGCATCTTCGACATGAAAGAAACACATCTGCCTCTGCTGCAGCTGCTCACCCGATCAGAATTGCGGGAGCGGTATGGGGCATCGAAGAAGCCAGTGCAAATCTTGATGTTCTGATGCCTTGAAAAAAAAAGTCCTAATGATAAAATTTTCGGTTTGCGAGGCGTTTTGATTTGGGGCCTGTACTTGATTTAGACCTGTATAGAACATGCATTTCTGGCAAGCCAGATAATTCTGTAATCAATGTGCCCGAAGCTGAGCATATCGTCAGAATAGAAGAGAGCATACACTTTCCTAATCGGGAAGCCACATGGTGTAGATCCTCACCGCCCTCAACGGGCGGCAGAACGTAAATTTCTCTTTCGTCTCCGCCCCATTTTTTCGGAGTTCGACCGTTACCTGATCGCATTACTTCTTCGTGATTTTCTCGATTTTTATTCTTCCTACGTGAGTTACTTAAGTGCCATTGCTCATTGAGGACAAGTTTTTCTTCCAGGACCTCCGATCTAATTGTGGGGGGTTGTTTTGTTTTCAGTCAAGCAAGATGAGCGACAAGAAGCGCAAGCTCGTGGAGAACCCGGCCGAGGAGGCTGTCGAGCCCCAGGGCAAGAAGTTGAAGAAGTACCAGCTGGAGAGAAAGGAGAAGAAGGAGAAGAAGAAGGAGAAAAAGGAAAAGAAGCGACAGAAGCCTGAGCTTACTCCGGAAGAACTTGCTGCTGCGGCCAAGGAGAAGAAGGAACGAAAGGACAGGAAATACAACAAGAATAAGGAAAAGATGGAGGGACAGAAGAAGCCTAAGACCAAGGACACTGAAGATGTGAGCGCGGACAAAATGGACGTCGAGTTAGAGTCCACCGAGAAGAGCGGCAAGACCGACAGGAAGGAGAAGAAGAAGGAAAAGAAAGACAAGAAGGCCAGCAAGCAGGATGAGAACGACGCCTCCACCGAGCAGCAGCCCGCCGCCGAGGAAGAGCCCACCACTACCGACGAGGACGCCGCCGACGACTCGCAGCAGAAGAACGCGCGTTTCATTGTCTTTGTTGGTACGCAACCCTCATAAATCCTGGCCATTGGGAACGCAACTCTTGACCATCAAGCAATCTGCTAACGTCCGTACCACAGGCAACCTCCCCTACTCCGCAAACACCGAGTCCGTGACGAACCACTTCGCCAAGAACCCACCGGCCTTGGTGCGTGTCGCCACGAAGAAGGATGACCCGCGTCAAAAGTGCCGCGGCTTCGCCTTCATCGAGTTTGAGAACTACGACCGCATGAAGACCTGCCTCAAGCTGTACCACCACTCGACCTTTGACGACGGCAAGTACCCGCCGCGGCGGATTAATGTGGAGCTGACGTGAGTTTGATCTTCCCCCCAAGAACCTCTGACTATATTAAATCCTAACCCCATCTCGCAGTGCCGGCGGCGGCGGCAAATCCGACCACCGCAAAGCCAAGATCCAGGCCAAGAACGAGAAGCTCAACGAAGAGCGCCAGCGCAACGCCAAGCAGATCAACAAGGACAAGAAGAAGCACACCAAGGCCGCTACTCAGGCTCCCACTGGCGCCAATGCTGTTGGTCTGGATGGCGCGGACGATGTGAATGACGACAAGTATGCGGGCGTGCACCCCAGCCGCAGACAGCGCATGTGGTAGACGGTGTGTGCCTGGGATACATGATTGACTGGCCACCCTTGATGCTTATTCCCTTGGCGTCTTGCCTGTTGTATGGACCCTGTTGATTACTTTTTTCTTTCCTTGTCTTTTTCTTTTGTATCTCCTTTGTTTGGCTGTACATCCTTTCCTCGGGGGCAAAGGATCTTGAAAAATTCTGTTATGTTCCGATGCCTCGATCGAAGATACCACTTCTTGTCCGTCTTCTGTGCATATCTCCGCAATGATCAATGATGTCCGAGTCTGGACTGTTCACCTGTAGAACTCGTTTCACGTAATTGTGCAGTATAGAAATGCCTGGAAAGATCAGATCAAACCGATGTGCATTCAGCAAGACCAAGGCTAACAACACAAATCAAGCTAGATGTCCCCCAAAGAAAAAACAGGTTTCATCAAGACGAGGCTCACAGGAGCCTCGAACTACCTAGGTACCCAGACGCCGTATTAACTATATATTATTCATTATAGCATACGAGAAAAGGGAGCGGTGGCGGCCGAAAGGCAGCCTCTACAAGATCTTGCATTTGTTGACTCCCCTTCTCCCAGATTTCGTAGCGGGACGAGGATTGAGGACGGCCCTGGAAGAATTAGCTTCTATTTCTCTTCTTTCCCACCGGTTTAGACATGGGTAGCATACCGGATGGCTTCGTCAAACACGCTCTTCAGGTTGCGCTGCGTCAGAGCCGAGCACTCGAGGTACTTGTGGGCGCGGATCTCCTTGGCCGCGGCCAGGGCCTGCTCGTACGAGACGGGTTCCATCTTCCGTGCGCGGAGGGTCTCGGTGGTCGCGCGATCATCGCGCAGGTCCAGCTTGGTGCCGACGAGAATGATAGGGACGCTGGGAGCGTGGTGCTCGATCTCCGGGTACCACTGGATAGCATGGTCAGTCGCGCGGGCTATGAAACTCCTCAACCCCCGGGAGAAGGTTACTAAAACATTTGGGATCTGGCCAGCGTACCTTGGCTTTGACGTTATCGAAGGACGGCGGGCTGACGATGGAGAAACAGATCAAAAAGACGTCGGTTTGCGGGTAAGATAGCGGTCTGAGGCGGTCGTAATCTTCTTGTCCGGCGGTATCCCACAGTCCCAGGCTGATGGGCCGGCCATCCACCATCACACTGGCCGTGTAGTTGTCAAAGCTGCCACTCGAGATTAGTGATGACTCGTTTTGGAACCCGAGTAAATGGAGGGGCACCAACACGGTCGGAATGTACTCTCCGGGGAAAGCGTTCGTCGTATACGAGATTAGAAGACATGTCTAATGCGCAAAAATCGAGTCAATTGTCGGTCGAACCCAATCCCAAGAGGGTACGGAATACTGACTTTGCCCACTGCACCGTCACCTGTCACCACGCACTGGATTGTGGAGGTTCGCGATTAGCTGCGCGTCCTGGACCACTGGGTCGGGAATGCCATGCGAACCTTCAGCGATTGAGTAGCCGGACCCGTCGCCATGATGTGCGAATCGATCCACGAGCGAGGACAACCAGGGGGGGGGGTTGGTTCGCGATAAGGGGTCGGACCGGATGGCAATAGGCGATAACGAGGACAGACACCGGAGCACCCAAGAAGGGGGTATCTGGGACAAAGACGAAGGCGGCGGTCAGAGAAATCGCCTTTCAGGGGAGTCCAAACTGATGGGGAATTTTTTTTTTCAAGAGAAAGTGAAGCTAGGAGGGTGGAGCTAGGGAAGAGGGGAGGAACGAAGGTGGAGACGCGAGTTGACGAGGAAAGAAAGCGAAGATCTCAGGAGGGGCGTGAGGCACACACCTTGGAGATGGGATGTATTCAAAGAGAATATAAAGAGATAGCAGACTAGAGGAATCAAGATAGAGAGAGAAAGAAATAAAATAAATAAAGAGTGGCAAAAGACAACGAAAAAAAGGAAAAAAGACTTCCCATTGGGATTTAGTGAAAGGCTGAAGGTGTCAGGCCATGATGATCCTTTGAGTGGTTTCTCCACTGGACCTGTGAATCATTCTATTTACTATTCGAGATATTCGAGATATTCGATATAATAACACTATCGATTCCCTTGGGACGAGTACCATGGTACCAAAGTTCGCTGCATACGCATTGCATCAAACACTATACTATAAACCCTATAAACCATATAAACCCTACAAACACTATATCACAACATGCATAAATCGAACAATTGGATTGATACCCGATCGACATTCTAACCTCATGATTTTTTTTTTCTCATTATTCTCATCCCATCTACAGCCGCGACACTCCCCGACTCAAAAACCCTCCCGCCCTCAGCTCCCAAGGCTTGGCCGACAGCGCGGGCAATTGGGCCGCAAACTCGCGAAAATAGGGTGCCTGGACATGGGTCTGAACCGCCGCCTGGTTTTTGTATCTGGGACGAGTTAGTGAAAGAGATACAACTCATATTGACATGAAATGATCCTAATTGCCGAGGCACATGGTTACAACCATCAAAGCCCAATTGAGGAGAAATCTGATCTGCCAACTGACCGTTCAACCACCACGATTTCATGCTTTTCGCGTACTTGGAATGCATAGTACAGCAGTGTATCTGGCTCATGTTCTTGCACCTTGGTAGCCACTTGGGAAAAGAGGGCTGCGACCTATTTACAGTAAGTATTGTGTTTAAAATAAGATCACTTTGGCTGGAGATTTGTCTATTAATTTCATGAAAGATGATATACCTCGTCGAATTTCTCGGGCTTGGGGTAGATCACCGCGGTGACGTTGACTTCGGACATGATGGCGTGGGGGTCTGCGGCTTCGATCGGGAATAGTTTAATTGATTCAATAGTGGAACAGAGTAAGTAGAAATCAGCAGATGCGTGAGGTGACCCCGGCCTTTTTAAATGTTCACTCGGATCCTGCCCTCGACCTCGGGCCATGGTATGTGGGTCGAAGATGAGGTGATCCGTCAATCCTTCCATGGACTAAGCCTTGGTAACCTCAAGTTCGTTCATGTTTTTAGATGAAAAGTTTTGGGGTGATGGCATACGCGGTCAAGAATAGCATCGATGAGAAGGATATCGAAAAATGATACTTCTGAGTTGGAGATCAACCCTTCTTGACTAACTCCCACCCTCAAGAGCCAAGTCGAGAAAAAAAATAAAACGACAGAGAATCGTAGACCAATGGCCCATGATAATTCCAGAATAAGTCCTTCAAAGGGCCGGACATCCCAAGCAGGGGATCATGAGTCTCCGGTCCTGCAGTAGCGGGCAACTCTTCATAGGCGGTGCTGTCTGCTGTCTGCTCGCCGCTGTGATCATCTTCACCAGGGCCATGAACTCTGGAACTGACCGAGATGACACCGAAGTAGGGCAGCGAAATATTTCGAGATCCTTCATCGCCCATCTCTCGGCACATGGACACGAGAGCCTCGAGCGCCGAATGACACTGTCTGGATAGCGAGCCCAACTGACCCCCGGAGCAATGCTTGAGCGCAGCCATTGTTCTGCGGATAAGGCTCTCATCTGGCGTGCTTTGTGTGCAATCAAGAAGATGAAGAAACAACATTACGGCGATCCTACTTCGCAAAGCCACAAGTGTCTGCGCGAGGGTTGGTTCTTGGCGAAGATGCTGGGCTTGCGGTGCTCTGCACACCCTGTGGAGTACATGTTATACCTTGCCTGGAGCAATTGATGCAGACAGTGGGGTTGTCCCAAGGGAAGATGCAACGAACTTTGCGGCGACGGTCTGCTCATTCGGTCAGTGTACCAAGTCCTCGACTCTCCAGTAGTCGCTTGAGTACTCACAGGCGATGCAGCTATGAGTTCTCTTCTCCATCGGCTTTTCCGACACGCCCGCATCCTCGGAGCGATCCCGTCGCATTGTCACAGTATTGTTGTCGGTGGTTCCAAGAGCCCGGACGAAGGAAGAGTGGCGGTCGGATGATTAAGACGTTTGTCCGAGCTATACACAGCTCTAATTTTTCTGGGCTGATCGATTGACTGAGCAGAGTTTTCTATTGTTTGATTCGATTCGATATCTTTTTGTTTCATTCTAATTACCATTGAAATTTCAAGTTGTAGTTTTCATGCGGCCATGCCCTCGGACGAATCCGCAGAATGACCACCTACCGAGGTATAAATGCAACCGGCAACCGTCAAAACCACCTAGACCAAGTCGTTCTATTGACTCAAGTTGCTATTAAAACCAGAGCCTGCTCTTCAATCTCTTTCCATGATCATGACCGGAACAAGATCAGTCCAAACCACAGCGTGCCATGTGGTGCAATATGCCAACGAAACAGTAGTGGCCGCACTACAATCACCGTTCAAGCTGGGCCCCATGGATCACTTGATGGTTCCATTTGTGCCCATACAGGCTGTCTCTATATATTGATGTCAACTTGACATTGAGCAAGCCGCTATGGCCAATTCTTGGAGAGGATCAAGAATTCTGGAAATATTGTTGCTCATGAAGGGGGTGATTTCCTCGAGTTTGGATGGTGTAGTGGAGATGGTCCTGTGTAGGGTTGAAACCAAAGAAATTTAGTAGCAAAAACACAATGCGCTCCACTTCTGGCCCTCCATGGACCTTCATCTTGAGCAGGGATACTTGCCCTGGTTTATAGATATTTCATGCCTCAGGCACCAGCTGAGTCAGGAACTGCCGAGTTTCGTCGAGCGCATCGAATCAGCGACGGCGCCAGCTTCAAGTCTTCTCCACTTCGCCTGAGGCCCCGTACCTGCGCCCACACGATTTCTCCGATTTCCGGCAGATCGAAACCACGAGCACTCGCTCCTGTTCCATGGGGTTTTTATATCGGGCGAGCGCAGGTCGATCCTGATGGACTTGGGGTATCGGAATCTCCTGGCGCCGAATGGGCCGCATTACTCAACCCCCCGAGCGACTTTCGGTCCCCCAGACTGCCTCGGCCACCCCCGGGCGTCGATTCCATGCAGAGAAGTTCGGAGCCGTGCGAGATGGAGAAGACCCCGCCTGTGACGGGCAAGCGCCGAGGTGGCAGCCGGAAGGCCTGCAATGAGTGTAAGCAGCAGAAGGTGAGCCACATGCATGTCTCCGATATGGCCATCCCACTTGCCTCAGGCAGAGAAAACCTCTCCTATTGTCCCGGCTATTTCTGTCTTTCTGTCTTGATCATGCAATCTAATCATGGCTGCAGCTTCGATGTGATATTGTCCAGACTCCGGCCGCGGCTTGCTCGCGCTGCCGCAGGCTAGGAATTGACTGCAAAGTTGAACAGTCGTTTAAGCGTATCTCCAAGAGACGGTAAACTCTCCTCTCCTCATCCTACGTGACATAGACCCTGCTCACACTTTCACAGACGCAATGCGGAGATGGAGAAGGAGATTGCAGACCTTCGGAGTCGACTATCTCATCCAAACCAGGAGCAGACGGGCGAATCTCATATCGGTGATGACCTGTCGCAGTGCTCTGAGGAGGTCTTTGCCCGCCGTGACTCGGCCACGATCGAACGATCACGGCCAGTATCGGTGCCGGTGGAACCGCACCCGGCCATGGCGACCCCTTTGACAATGCAGAGGGATGGTTCCATTCCGTCACAGGAAGAGAACCACTGGCGGCTGGAAGATGTCTCCTTGTCGCGAGCACGAGTCAGCCGACTATTCGAACAGTATGAACTTTATGTATTTGACTCATGTGCATTATTCTTTCTAACACACCCACAGATACTTTACGTTTTATCATCCTTTCCTTCCCCTTCTCAATCCCCCCAAACCCGCCGAGGTGTATCTAAATCGATGCCCTTTGCTGGCATGGACCATCATCTGCGTTGCCAGCCGACGGTCTCCATCTGAGCCTGGTCTCCTGAGTGCTCTTTCGGGTCCATTCAGTCGGCTCCTATGGTCAACCATCACCAATGTCCCGCAAGATTACCGTGTCGTCAAGGCACTCTGTGTTTTATGCACATGGCCCCTTCCGACGACCAGCCAACGGACCGATGCAACCTTCATGCTTAGTGGTCTGATGATGCAGATCGCCATGCAACTGGGCTTGCATCGTCCGGTGCAGGCGGAAGAATTCACCACTTTCCGGATGGAGGTTCAAGGAGAAGCCCTGAAGGACCGGCTGCATACTTGGGTTATCTGCAATATAGTGGCCCAGAAGTGAGTCTTTCCCACTCGACTCGGCTAGTAATCGCGCAGAGACTAATGCATTATATGCAGTGTTGCAACCGGTTATGGCCAGCCACCAAGTACGATATACGACTGGGCCCTTGAGCCGGCCTCTTTGAAAGACGCCGATTATCGCCTCCCCGACGATTTGGCCATTCGGTTGCGTATTGAGAAGTTTTGTGACCGAGTCACCAAAGCTCTATACAGTAGCAAGCCCGAACCAGCAGAGTTTATCAGCGCCGAGAAGCTTGTCGTTGTGCAGATTTTGGAGAGTGAATTGCGAGAGATGGAAGTCGAGTTTGGACGGGAAATCTCTGGTATGTTTCAAAGTCGTAAATGAGGGTTCGCCCCTGCTAACATTTACTCTCAGCGATCAATATGATCCACCTACGCGCAGCAGAATTGCATTTCCGGTATTTTGTATTTTTGGGTTCGAGTGCACGGAGTGACGACCTCACGAAACTCTTCATCGCAACAACTTCCTTCTTGGGTCGGGTGCTCGACCTCGAAACGTCTCCGGGCGAGTTGATCGGCCATTCCACGAATTACATCCTTCAGATGATTGTGTCGGCTGCCTTTGCCCTCATGAAGCTGTTGAAGAGCAGCTTCAGCCGACACATTGATTTCAACCACGGCAAGCTTCTGTTTAACGGAGCGATATCCGCTATCCGCAGAATCAGTGTGATGGATCATGATCGTCCTATTCGTCTCGCGGATATTCTCGCTCAGATGTGGAATGCTACGGGTCTGGAGCCTGCTGAGGAGGATACTCTTCAGCTCAAAGTGCGCTGCCGGATGAGCATGAGTCACGTTTACGATACGGTATGGCGCTGGCGCCAGCGGTTCCGGCCCATGAAGAGCATTGAAGAATTACAAGGTGAGTTCTATTCACGGCTGTTACAGTTATTTGATTTTATTGCTCACTCTTATTCGCTTGTAGCTGCCTCGGCAAACCAAGATCTCTCAGGGACGGTTGGACCTTTAACGCGACAGCAGCAAGAGAGTTCTCTCGAGGATCCATCGTTGATGCTTCCAGCCCAGTTTGACGAAGGCGGTGCCTTTTTTAGCGAAGCGGGATTCTCCGAGGTCTTTGATTCCCTGAACTGGGTTTTTGAGGGCATCCCCGACTCCTTTGTCGCGCCTCCGGTGCTATAAAGGGCGATTTTCGTTGATATTTCTGAAACTTGTGTATCTGTATATATATTGTTTGAGCGAGTTCCAGCGATGATACCATGCCAATAAAAGTGTTTTTTTTTTTTTTTTTTTTTTTTTTTTCATGTGGAGAGCTCCCAAGTATAGACCGCCACATCTACGTGGCTGTCTCGACGCCTTGAAACAACTTGGGCAAAACAAAAAAAAAAAAAAAAACCGCCGGAATAGCAAGAAATACGATCAAAGTAATACCACCAGCATTTAAGATCTCTCATCTTTGTCTTCTCCAGGCTCCAACGTTTCCCTGACCTCATTGATCGCCCCAACTCCCCACCGCCAAGCAACCGTCCGGTGTCATCGATAATAATAGCCTGTTGGGCTCATCCTCCGGATTCTCTACTTTCCCCTCCACTTTCCCACCTTCATCGATCCCCCAAATCCCGTTCCTCCCATGTCCGATTCGGCCCTCCCAGAACCGACGGCGCTACCAGTGCTGTCCGATGCGCCCCCGTCCAGCGCCGGTCGCTCGTCCATCGGCCATTCGGGGGCTGTCGAGCCGCCCCAGGAGTCCATCTCCGACGAGCTCAAAGCTCGCTTGGATAAAATAATTTACTCAGATGTGAGCAGCCATCTAGGCCAGCCATTTGGGGCTGCGCAACCGCAAGAAAATGAGGGAACAGCTATGTACTGACCGTGCCGATGTCGCTTGCAGATCGGCATTACCACGCTTCTGGCTCGATTGAAGCAGAGTGTTGCCTCCGCCAGGGTTCGTGACCGACAAGATAACCCCGAATCCAGAGAAGTTGTATGCGCTGACTTCGTGTCTACAGGATTTCTCGACTTTTCTCAAGAAACGAGGGGCGTTGGAGGACGAACATGCTCAGGGGCTGAGGAAGCTGTCCCGCGCTGTCAGCGAGGCGGCGCAGCGCACCGAGAACCGACAGGGTACCTATAGCTCGAGCTACAGGGACATCCATCGTCTCCACGAACGCATGGCCGACCACGGGCTCCAGTTTTCCGTGTCGCTCCAGCAAATGGCCGAGGATCTGCAAGAGCTCGCCACCAACATCGAGCGCGGTCGCAAGCAATGGAAACAGACGGGTCTCGCCGCGGAAAAGAAGGTCGTCGATGCTGAGGCTTTGTCGGAGAAGGCCAAGGCCAAATATGAGTCGTTCGCGGAGCAGTACGACCGTGTCCGTACCGGAGACAAGCAGGGCGGCAAGTTCGGGCTCAAGGGCCACAAGTCCGCCGCACAGCATGAGGAGGAAATGCTGCGCAAGGTCCAGACGGCCGATAGTGACTATGCATCCAAGGTGCAAGCAGCCCAGACTGCGCGCCAGGAGCTTGTGGCCACCCACCGGCCGCAGGCGGTGCACAACCTCCGGGAGTTGATTAAAGAGTGCGACGAGGGCTTGACTCTGCAGCAACAGAAGTTTGGTACGTGTCTATTACGCTTCAAGTATATCATTTTTGCGGTGGTTTGCTTACACCTCCGCAGCTACTTTCAGCGAGAAGCTCCTGTTGGGCCAGGGTCTCTGCGTCAGTCCTCTGAGACCCGATGGCAACAACGCAGCATTGGGACCTAAAAGCCTTGCGGAAGTTGTGCGTCAGGTTGACAACCAGAGAGACCTCGATGACTTTATCCTGAGCCACGAAGGGAACCCTGGTGCTGTTGCCTCGGAAGAAGTTAAATATGAGCGCCACCCAGTATGTATTTTTGCTGTCCAGAGATCACTGATATGCGCTGACTTCCTTACTAGACTCTCGCGGGACCTGCTGCTGCATCCTCGCAACCAAGCACCCAGACCAAGCACCAGTCTAGTATGCCCGTGACGCTCGCCCAGCCTAACGTTTCCTCGCCCGCAGGCCCACCGGCTCAGGGCGACCGACTTCCGCAATCGCCTTACCCACCACAGCCGGATTCTGTATCTGTAACCCCCAAGAGCCAACCGCCCTACCCTGTTTCTGGGCCGCCTTCTCATGATTCTCCGCCACTGGTCCAAGCACCGATGGCAGGACCTCCCCCCCTCAGAGAAGGGCCTTCAATCAAACCTCCCTCCATTGAAGCCTGTCTTCGGTGTGTCGCTGAATGATTTGTATGCTCGTGATGGAACTGCCGTTCCGTTCCTTGTCTACCAGTGTTTCCAGGCCGTCGAGCTGTTTGGTCTGGACTTGGAGGGGATCTACCGACTTTCGGGCAGCGCCAACCATATCAATCACATGAAGGCGGTGTTTGATAACGGTAAGTCTGGGACTCATGCCTGTTTCAGGACGTGGAATTTTGCTAATGTGTTATGCGACATGACCAGACTCGTCCCAAGTCGACTTTACCAATCCGGAGAACTTCTACCACGATGTCAACAGTGTTGCAGGACTCGTGAAGCAGTTCTTCCGGGACCTGCCCGACCCGCTGTTTACCTCGCAATATTACGCCCAGTTTGTTGATTCTGCCCGTAAGTCTTGATGCCTCGGTTGTGTTTGGTTCAGGGTTGACGAGAGATATCACAGGCATCGATGATGATATCCAGCGCCGAGACTCGCTGCACGCCCTCATTAACAGTCTGCCGGATGCTCACTACGCCACTCTCCGCGCTATTATCCTGGTATGTTTTATTGGTCTGAGGTTTAGTCTCCCGCTGCTCGATATGCTAACCCTTGACACCGCAGCATCTCAACAAAATCCAAGAACACTATACCCAGAACCGCATGAACGCAGGCAATCTGGCTATTTGCTTTGGGTATGCTCGTCCCATGACTTTGATTCTTCTTTCTTATCTGACAATTCTCGCTAACACCATCCAGACCAACTCTGATGGGCGCCAACGCGGGCGGCAACATCGCCGACGCCGGCTGGCAAGTCCGTGTCATCGAGACGATCCTGGTCAACACCTTCCAGATCTTCGACGACGACTAGATTATCTGCCTTATTCCTTTCTTTCCGTGGCTGGGGTTTCCTCTTTTCTTGTTTCTAAGTTGGTCCATGAACATCCACCGCGGTCCGCGGGCTGCTCTTGTCTTTAGTCCACACCGTTCCCCTCGGCGTCTCCTGTTTTCTACAGCACGTTCATTCCAGTTCCATATCACACTGCTGCACTGCGTCTTGCCGGAGACTCTCACACGCCTCGCATGAATTGCTACTTTTTGAGTTCTGTACATATACACCCACGTTTTGTTTGTTTGTTTGTTTGTTTGGTTCCTTATTCGCGTTTTTGCCTCTCCTTGGACTCCGGGTCTCTACCGGCTACCTCGCAATATGCTCGACCCAACCCCAACCACCTGCGACTCGGGATAGCCGAAGATGCCCGTCCCCTACTTGGCTCCCGCTGCAACCACCGTGGTTCCGTATTCGTCTACACTTAGCTTCCACGAATCTATCGTCCCTGATATACCCCCTAGCGATCATTGTGCAGCTGCATCTGGCCTTTATTGTATTGTAGATCCATTGTTGCATATTGGCCCCGGCCCAACGGTGAAATCGCTCGCAACCCACGTAGTATCCCTATATCCCTAGGTATGCCTCATTACCGGTCATCATGTTTCGAGACAACCCCGAGAGGGTCAGCAATACTACTCACAGTATGCGCCTCGCTGAGTACACAAGGTAGTGGTTTACGTTATCTGAAGCAAAACTGGGATTTCAGCTTGTGGCTATAATACATGAAAATAGTGGGTGCTCCGGCATCACTCGCTTCGCAAGAATAAAATATACCTCGACTCGAGACGGACAAAGGGGGTTAGGGTAACACAAGGGAATGAAGCGAAGCAGAGGGTGCCGGATTCAAAGGATTTTTTGTGGTGATACACAGATGGGTTCAACAACAAGTCAACCGGGGAGACGGCGGGAGATGGGGGGAGTGAAAATCTTCGAAGAACAGATTGTGTGGTCCTCTGTCAATGAAGCGCAATGCTCGAGTGTAGAGATGGTAGACATATAAGAGACAAATCATGACCTCCCATTATTGAAAAGGGGCTTATTTCCGGCCCGAGGGCCCCTGGTTCTGCAGGGCTTCGAGGCGCTCTAAAGCACTCAAGCCCGGCGCAAAGTGAGGGTCGCTCTTGACTGTATCCAAATCAGTCGGCTTGATATGGCCCCAGACCTGCCACCCGGAGTCTTTGCCATTCCAGCGAATCTGCTGGATCATGAAATACTCCTCGCAGTCCTGTTGCTTGGGCGCTACTGGTTCGACTGCCGCTGGAGATCCACGTGCCGGGGGCTGAGGGGAGCGCTTCTTGCTGGTGGATTGGCGACTGGCCACGCGTACGACGATCTGGCGTACGCCAGATTCCGGCAAGTCGGGAATGGCCGTCGCGCGATCCGAGAGGACGTGCAGACCGGAGAACCAGGTGCTCGGTGTGCGGAGGTGTTTGATGAAGGACCAGGTCATTTTCTCACCTTTCGGGCGAGCTCCAACCTGTGTGTCCAAGGTGTTGAAGAGGCCATCGCAGCAGATCTTACGGAGAACAGCGACGTCGCCCCTGTTTAGTTCACAAAAATGAGCCTATGGACCAAGAAGCACGTAGACCAGAGACCATGTGCAGACTTACCGGGCGAACGCCGAGTACATCTGTTTCTGCAGATCACCTGCGATTCTGCGTCTTTCTCTCAACAGAAGTGGGAATTTGTTATCCTTCTTGCAATAGACCCACAAGCTGCTGGGCCGTCAGCAGGGCTCTTCTTTCCATAGACCAAAAATATTCCCAGGACGATCCGTCTCGAAATGAAACGCATGGCAATCCAGGCCAGATACTATCAAAAACTCACCTCATGAAATTCTGAACACGAGTCTTCAGCCAGGTCCATTCCATGAGCCACCGATCCTTCGGGTTTTCGAAGACCGACGGCAGGTCCTTCCACGGCGGGCGGATAAAAGTACCCGGCATAACCCCGATATCATTCGGCAATTGAATATTCATCATGTTGCGAGTGCGAGTTTTCATCGAAGGCCCTGAGACACTCGGGGGTTGAATTCCGCCTGTCGATATGCCCACCGGGGCGCCTGGGAAAAGGACCGGCATTGGTACGAGCATGGGACGGAGTGGCGGATAAGAGAGTATCGTGGTCGTGTGCAAGCCACATTGCCCGCAGGCAGTCGTAGGGAGGCCATGGCGAGTTGCGCAAACGATAGTTGTTATTGTCGCGAAGAAGAAGAAAACCCGCGGAGGCTCGATCACGTGCCATCCTCCGCGATAGCCATGAGACTCCTTCGACTTCACTGAGTCCCAACTCCACCAACTTTGTTTTGTTTTGTTTTTTTATTACTCATAATCTGGAAGTAGATTGGTGCTATTTTTGCAATTCCAGCCCTACCACATTCACTTTGTCTCCGAAGGCATCACCCGCCTTCACGAGACTTGATAGTTGCTGATTAGGGGGGAAACCGTCAACAGCTCGACACGTCCCAAGTCTTCGAAGCAACTCCCGTCCCTACTTTCCTTAATTTGATTCCTCGACCCTTTCCATCGTCTTGCGCGGCGGCCGCATATGCCGTGATCGTCAATAAAGGCTGGCTCCTCGACGTAATGTCTCTCCTCCGCCCTACTCCCCCCACGCTCGATCGCCTGGCGAGCCGGACCTGAATCTCGCGCAATCAACCGTCCTACCCGAGCTACTCAGTCCGCCCGCCCCGTCGTCTTCGGGCTTGTTCGCCAAAGAAGTGGCTTCCTCTGCGACAGTGGCGTCACCTGCCATCCCGCCGTCCCCGACCTCAGAGACGTCCCATACCCCACTCGGTAGCGATGCCGGCCAGGCGGCCCCATCCGCGCTGCACCCACGGGTGGCTGTCATATTGGGGGTGGATCGCAGGTGGTATATCCCCCTGTTGGTCTGCCGGGCTCTGAGTACAGTGCCCTCCGCGTGGTGGGGCCTGCGATGTGCTTTCACCTTCCTGGCGGAGTTGCTGCACATCCGGCCGGGTATGGGACGAGAGGGGTGGGCGGCGGCGATTGTTGGTAGTGTGGGACAGGAATGGGATGTGGAGCGGAGGTTTCGAGTCACGGAGGTGGCTTTGGCTATTATGTGGGTATGTGATGCTCTTTTCGATGTGGGGTGCTGCGCTTTCTATCTTTGGATATGCATTTTTGCTGAAGATTTGAACTTACCATTGAATGTTCCATGCTGACTCTTTTATTCTTTCAGTGCTGTGCATCCGCATATCTTTCTTATTTCTTTGCTGATTGTATGATGTCTCGATGGTGGGTGATATCTCCTTACTCGACAGTTTCGACCTTGTGCTGTCCATGCTCACACTTATTATTTACGACCAGGCTTCTAAACTACACCCCGCCGGCTGTTGTGATCCGTCTCTTGACAACAAACGGGTTAATTGCATATATCACTTCCTGGGTCCTTTATCTCTCCGGTGCATCGTCTGATCCCCGACTCCTGCTGCCCGCCTGGATCTCCATTACAACCGTACGTTGCAGCCCACAGTGCCTTTTCCCTCGATAGCATTTCTTATTATATACTTATACTAACATCTTGATCTAATAACAGACCCTCACTTTCGTCTACCATGCAACCCAAAACCACGCCACGATCAAACGCGAAACCGCAGCCTCGCTCCTAGTTGTGTCCGTTGCCAGCTTTGTCAGTATGTCCTCGCTTCTACTACAATTGCACTTAACTCGCGAAAACGAACCCGAGGTGCCCGTCTTCGTCATCACCCGCAAGTTATGGGACTGGGCCGTGGCCATATTTCTGCGCATGCGAGTCGCCGACGACCGCGCGATTGCGGGAGAACTCTAGCGCTGGACAGGGAAAATGCATTGTATATGCTCGGGGGGAATCCGTTGATCATGCTATCTTTCGAGCTTGATTTTGCACATTCCTTGAATCTTTCTCCTGGACTCTTCCCCGTTTGTCATTTCGGCTGTTTTTCTTTCAAGATACCTAGGGACCGATCTTTGATAGATCTAATCCATTCTTATGTTTGTTTGCAGTGGGTGTATTACGCATATAGTAACGCCGTCGAGGACCATGTCCGGTGGCATAGCTCTACATGAATACCTTCAAAAGGCTGCGCGACTGCACTCTCCAGAACGACATTTTTACCCAGGCCACTTACGAACAGTTCATATTTCTTGCTTCCAAGTACTAGCACCGACAATCGCAGGGGGAACAATGAGCGAGACAGAAAGAGAAAAATGGTAGACGATAGAGACCGACAAGACGGTTCAACGAAGCACGCCCCAATTTTCCATCTGAGTCTCCTCGAGCCGTCCCAAGAATGAACCCAGAGCCGGGGTAATCCGCGACACAGACAAACCCCCAAGAAGCAAATGAATGAAAAGACACGCAAATTATGGGAGAAGCAAAGAAAAGAGTGAGAACGAAAAAAAAGTATCGTCTGTCTATGCAGATATGGGTATCTACCAACGCCTCGTTCCATCATAATCCCGTCCTAAAAATAGCAGTCGAGTCGATAAAGCACTCCGCTCCCCCGGGCGACCAAGCGGGCACGGTCGTCCGGAGGTGCACACAAATGCAGCGGGCCATGTCGACAAAGGCCCAGGTCTAACACGCCAGGCACATGAGAGGTGGAGAAAGAAAGCAAGACACTTGACGGTTGCGAGGGCCGGCAGGGCGCACGGCCGGCGGATGAGGGATAACACAGCATGCTTCTCACCCCACCGCTCACAGGGCAACATAGACTGGGAAGAAGAGATCGGGAACAGGGCATGATGTCGGGATTAGAACCCATGGACCTGATATATTGATTAGATCTGGAGATGAATCTGGTGCGGGGCAGACGACATACCTTGATGGTCTTGGCATCCAGCTCAAGGCCCTCCTTCTTGTCGGTCAAGAACTCCTGGACATCTTTTCTCTGGTCGCCCTGCAGCTGAATCACCTCGCCCATCTCAGTGTCGGCGACGATGGTGCCATTGCACGCTGGTTGTTTGTTAGCTTCCTGGGAACCCCGATCTTGCGATAGCGAGGAGACATACCGAACTTCTTCTTGATCACCTTCAGAATCTTCTTCTGATCGAACTTCTTAGGAAGACCCTGAACTGTGGTCAGAGTCTTTCGACCATTGCGCTCTAGATGAAACAAAGCGGTTAGCACTCGAGCCCCTCATTTTAGCGCCAGCGAGCCGCGACCGTGACGAGGTGGATTGGGGGGTTGTGCGACGTACGCTGAATCCGTATATGGATGTAATTTTGAGACTGTTTAGTCTCGCCGGTGTCTTCGTCAGCTTCGGCGAAGGGGTCTGTGAGGGGGAGATTGTCAGCCTCAGGTCAGAATCGAATTTCTACCCCGCCGCAGCGATCGACGGTGGGCTGTGACGAGAACATGAATTCTCGACAGCCAACGCGCTTGATAATTACAAGAAGCATCCGCAGTCAATGACCCAAGAGCATAGAGTCAGTGGGGTGTGCATCGTGACCCCCGACACCGTGAACACTGAGGAGGGGAAGGTGGCGACCCAACTTACCGAAGGTCTTGAGGTTTTCGATGGACATAAACTCGGCCTTTCGTGGTAAACGGCCCTTAAAAGCAGTGTTGGTAAGGAAAGCGAGAGGCGAGATTCAATATCTCTGTAAAAGATAGGCGATCGCAAGCGTGGAACTGGAGAGGGGCTGATTTGGTCGAAGAAGGAAACAGAGCGAAAGAGCAGCAGAGCCTTTTGAGCGTGTCACGTTGTGGGGAAGGCGGTGTGTACCTAAGCGACATGTACCTGCTTACTGCGGCAGGTACCATTCGGTACTCTTGCTGCATTCGAGACTACGCAGGTACCTCGAGATACCTGGATATTTCTTGGGTATATTATTCGCTTGAGATGCATTGGTGGATGAATTCCATGGTATTCAGATTATTGTTACAAGACACTTGGTGGAGGGGACCGCAGCTATGCCTCGGCGCATTCCATTCCCCCAGATTATGACCTTGTCCGATCCCAAGCCTAGGACCGTAATGACGATGGTATAGAGTAAAGGGAGATGAAGGGATTGAATGGATAAGTATGCGTGGTTCAGGACGATGCAGCCGGCGAGGCCGCACTGCGTGCATTTGGCGGAGGGATGAAAAGAGGGAAATAAGTCTGCAGGGGCTTGTTAGTAGTCGAGACATTAGTCGCATATGGTCGCCAAAACGTACCACCACCAATGCCATCACTGATCAAAGCATCCGAGTTAGTGGTCAAGTGCACACGGGAGGGGGAGACAATGTTGGAGAGTACGAACACGACATTAGGACCGACATATATGCCGGAGTCCCAGCGGACTTCTTCTGCGCCGGGGTCTCCCCCAGCCAGGACTGGAGGGCAAAGACGAAAGCGACCCTTCGACTCGGTTAGAATAGGCTGGAAACTGAACACGGAGGGACCTCCCACGTACCATCCGATCATCCTAGAGCGCGGCAGAGATTAGCTGCATGGAAACAAACTCCGTAATATGCGCGACCAGCTCACCGGTTCCTAGTGAACATCTGGCTATCTGTCAGCGGGTCACTTTATCACCACGCGAGTCGCCATCGACTTACCGCCGCCATGGGCATTGTGCTCGACATGGTGCCTGTAAAATATCCCAATCAGCCATGTTGTTCTTGTCCTCCTAAGGGAATCGCGGACAGGGTGGGAACGCACTGGAGATATCGGTGTCGCTGCTGCTCGGAGGCGGATCGACATAGGGGATCGCTGTCATCGTCCAAGGTTAGCGAAACTGCCACAGACGGGCGAAGAGGGCAAATGTACGCACCGAGATCAGCCCGTCGCATGTCTTTCTTCGACGCCATGATGAGATCTTGAAGGTTCCGAGGACGTGGATCTTTTCCGGGGGAGGATTGGGGGTGGGAAGATCGAACTGGTGATGCCTTTATGCCAAGGCCGACCGAGACCCGCACCGGTTTACGAGTTCGATGACTTGAATATTTAATGAGTACAGAATATGGTGAATAATACTAGGAATTATTTAAATATACACTCTATACACCATTCTCAGGAGAGCAAACATTACCGTGTAACCATCGTACAATCCGTGGATACGGCGCAGGATTCAATGTGACAGCTCACCGAGTATAGGTAAGTGCCAGACAAGATTGATACTATGAATACCGTTGATAATATTGATATCAAGGGATCAGTATTATCAGATATTAAGGCCATCCTTCGTCAATAGATCATTCATGGATCGGTGTAAACCCTCACAGGTAATGCGATAAACCCAGACCAACTCACCGTCGATCCCGTGGATCCCTGGACGGAGGACGACGGAGAACAAGTTTCTTACGTTATCTGATATCCATCACAACGGTCAGACCCCGAGGGACTTTCCCCCGTACGACGTCTGCAGAGAGAGACAGAGAGAGTGAGGTACATTCATCTTCCCCCCTCTCCATTTCGTGATCGACACACCTCGAGGCGCTCGGCCCCGGTTCCGTCCCTTCGCCAAATGCCGTGAGAGATCACTCGTGGACATTATTTCGGCTATTTCAACTTCTTCGCATTTGCATTCTCGCATTCGCATTTCATATCGACCATTCGTGTTTCGTCTTCCTTCCCTTCCAACACCTGCTCCGATGATCCCGATTCCCCTCGGACAACACACCATGAACCGAAGATGATCCCCCAATCTTCTACCGGCGGCCAACCGTGGGGTCCCCCCTACGCGCGCTCAATGGAGTTCCCGGACAGGTCAATATGGTGCAGTTCCCTGCCCAATATGACCCTCAGCCGGAAATGTCGCAAGCGCCCTTGCCGCCGCCTACCCGACCCCCGGTCGTCGACCTGACGCCCGGCTACGAGTCGCAAGACCGAGAACCCCCGCCGAAACGACCCAGGTTGGATGTTCCCGGTGGATCGGGGGCGGGGGAGACTGCTCCAGCGATGGGAGCCGAGACGAGGAATACCCCCGGAAGTGCCAGTTCGCGACCGTCGCTCTCGTGGCGCGCCCGGCCGCTGTGGTCCTTCCAAGCGGTGCAGTCGGAAATCCCGGGTAGTGAGAACCGAGGGGAGGGCGTTGGAGGAGCAAAATCTCCATCGCCGCCTCCATTGCCTTCGCAGCCTTGGAAAAATGCCCCGGACCGCGCGGGAAGTGGTGATTCAAGATCCAGGGAAAGTTCGCCGAGCAAGGATGTGCAGACAACCCCGTACCGCATCGAAGTGCCCTCGATTGCTCCGGTTCTCAAGGGTGACAGTAAGTGGCTGGAGTGATAAAGATTCCATACCATGATGGTATCGCTAATAATTGTCCTTAGAAGTCGCTGATTTCACACCGTGGACTGGGAACCACCCGGAAGATGTCCTAACCGAGCAGACCGCGAAACAGGGTTACTATGATCGCGTCCAGGTGTCACATAATGAATCCAACACAGCGCGCCCAGCATTATATACGCAGTTGAAGCATCGTACCGGGCTTCAAATCCTCTCGTCGGTCTTCGCGGCCGCCCTGGAGAAACGACAGGCCCACAACACTGTCCATGCGCCATCGACCTTCAAACCACCACCCCGAGTTACTCTGACCGACAACAAGAGAGAAGCCTGGCTCCGGGATCTTGCCAACCCGTCGGTACCACTGCGCAAGCTAAGCCGGACCATTCCTCATGGTATCCGAGGCAAAGTCCTTCTGGAACAATGTTTAGGCAAATGGATCCCAGTTGCACGGGCTGTCTGGCTTGCCAAATGCGTGGGTGCCAATGAAATTCGCGCGTTCAAGCGGAAAGGCACCAGCGGAGCTCTGGCTGTGGGGCTAGAGGTGAAATGGGTGAGAGAGTGGACGACTAATGTGCAACAATTTGTCGAGGGGGTATTTGGGGCGGCTAGAGTCTCGGATTGGAAAGCCAAGATGAGTTATGCGTATGTGAACAGGACCTATATCTTGTGTGTACCATGTGCTAACCTCAATCTCAGCGTCGGTTTGACTGCCCGTCTTTTTTTCGAGAATCTGCTTGATCACGACCATTTCCTAGAGTGGTTCCTGACGTCTTTCGAAGCTGCATCTCTTGCTACCATCCCTGTTTGGCTTCTGATGCTTGGGATATACTGGGACAATATCATGCGCTATCGACGAAGAGGCCGGCGATTGGCCGAATTGTTGCTTGAGAAGCTGCGCCAGGTACGTCTATGTCAAATTGGGTTGTTCACGTCGCCAGACATCGCTGATAGTGAACAACAGGCAACCGAACCTAAGCTAGAACCTCTTCAACCGCTCATCGATCGACTCTCTCGCTTTGTTCGAAGGCTGGTTCACGAACATACTTCTTCAGTGATACTGCCGAATTCCTGGGACACGTACAAGCACCAGGTGTTATCATGTCTCAACCTCAAACATCAGGTGGACAGAGCTCTGTTTCAAAGCCTTGCGGAACGTAATGCTCGAGTCCAGCGACCTCGGCACTCCAGACAAACAGCTCATCGCTCGCCCCATCAGCGTATCATTCGCTTGCTTGATTCTATCCGCTCCTCACACGATATCCCCTCAATCTCCTCTGCCTGTCTAGAAACTGTTGATGACAAAACTGTCTTGGTCTCGAAATTGTTGGAATGGCTTGCCACTCCCTTCCGCCATGGGCTATGTCGGGTTTATATCGGCGTCCGCCTATTGCGGAAGTGGAAATCGATCGGGATCGACGTAGATGGCTGTATCATCACCTTCCTTTCCAAAGCAAGAGAAGATCAACGATTGAACATTGGCCACGTTTATCATGCCGTCTCGGAGCTTGTCAGGTCACAGACATTCTCGGTTGGCCGGTATCTGCAATGGCTGATGGCGAAGGGCGTTACAAGTGGATCCCCAAGGGAGGAGTGCAGGGTAAACATTGTCTTTCCATCACTTCAAGCTCCAGGATTCTGACAAGATTACAGGCTCAGGACTTACCCAGTGATGTCGGTCTTATCGCACAGCTTTCCGTGCGCCGACTTCCGGAACATGTTGGGAATTTACGCAGCACTCTCTTGGCGCGCACCGGGCTCAGTTCCTCAGAAGAGGCGGAAACCATCGAGAGTGTGAAGGATCGCATTTGTGAGCGTCTTCCAGGGATTTTTGATATCAATCCGCTCACCAAATCACCATCTGGTCTCTTGCCAACGAACCTGGGCTGGGCCGTCAAGGGGGAAATTGGCCAGTGGTTACGACTTGGAGTTGCTGAGCATAACCGCGATGCCACAGTGTGAGTGGTATAATTCTTTCTAGTCATTTCGGTGCAATTGTGCTAATTCTCTTTAGCAGCTCAACACTCCGGCCAGCCATTTCTAGCGATACTGTTCCGGTGGTGTCTGCGCTTACCCCCAACGAGTTCTACAATGTTCGCGATATTCTGGAGACCTTTGGGGATATCTCTATGCTGGCAGATGTCTTGAGGTGTGCTTCAAGCTCCGACGACACCATTGTTCTGGCGTCGGTTGCAGATACTATCAACTGCCATTTTGACTCTCTTTGCGTGATTGGTGCCACAACAGATCTGTTCCGCAAACTGATCGAAGCTTACGCCGGTATCAAAAGGACCAGCGCCCCGAGTCTTGATTTGGTGTTTTCCCTGATCGAACTCGGGCTGCAGATACCTAGTGAACTCAACACTGTTGCCATCCTTCGCCAGGACCTGTCGCGCATGGAGAACAAGTCAGCCTTGGCTGCCTCTTCCCCCGTCTCCGATCATGTCCCCGACAGCCTCAGCGACACAAACCCCTTATTCCGGGAAAGACTCGATCAGCTTCTCATTTCGGGGAATGTTATGGATGAGCCTACCTTGGATGCGATTTTCCATGCTCTTACGAAGTACCTAGAGTCAATCGAAGGCGATGCGAAGTTGTCGGCCAATGATACTTGTCGCTACCTTGCACAACTACGGTCTTTCCATCCGAAGCACTTCGATGGCATCTTGGCCCGTTGGGTCTGCGGCCATGTACGATCCCCTGATCGGGCCACGTTACTCCGCATACTGCCGCCGCTTATTGGAGTTGGATGTGTTACCATCCGGGCATTCTTGTCTCTTGTCAAGAGGCTTAGCCATTCGGCGACGGCAACGATCCCCAATGCAGCAGGTTTACCCGCAGAACTCGTCGAGCTTCTCGTGTCTCGTACAGAAGGTGGCAGGTACTATGATTTGGTAAGTTGACGGTGACCTCTGCTCCAGTATTGATGTACTAACAGCGATCTCTTTAGGTCTCTTATCGGTTCCAGCTAGCACAACAGAAGTTCCTGGCTAAGAGCTCGGATGAAGCTCTCGGGATGATTTGTGACGCTGTGAAATCCTTCAATGCTAGTGATGTGAATGCTCTGGCCAGACAAGATGACCTGGAGGGCTCCATGGTTCTGCTATTACGCCAGTTGCTGGTGCGGAACCCTGATCGTGCAACCCAGGATTGCATGCAGAAGCTTGTCAATCAATACTCGGCGGCCATGGGTATTTTGCAAAAGGCGCTTGATTCTCTTCTGGGGGTCGATTTACAGCCCGGTATGCCATATGTTTTGGTTTGTGTATTGCGTCAACTTGGCTAACTTCCTTATAGGTCACAACTCGGTCATCGCGGAGGTTGAAAAGCTCACGAGTATGACTGATGACTTTTCGCTTCCTTTCTGCCAGTTGAAGCTTCAGGCTCTTTTCCATGACGACTCTGGAAACGAGAACCGGACGAGTATTGTGGACGCAATGTTCAAAACCGCCGTGGAGGACTGCCGAATGCACAGACTTCATTGGGTCGATCTTGTTGCGTTGATGAGCCAGGACGCTATACGGCAGATTCGTGAACGCGCCGAAAAGGAGTTCTTCTCCGTCCCGCTGTTAGAAGAACCCATGAACGATATTGTCGCCGCACCGGACAGCCTGGGATCTTTGGAGACAGCCAAGCTGTACCTCACCATAATCGAAGAGCTGTCCAGCAGCATCCCCGACTCCGGCACTCCGTCCGTCGCTTCGGTTCTCGTGGAGAAGATGGACTCTGTTCTTCACAAGGTCATCACCATGCAAAGCAGCTTGGATTCCGCCGAGACCCGCTCCAAGTTCGAGCGTGCCCTTGCCTTTTGGTTCTCGGCTCTGCTGCGGATGGTAGTTATCCATCGGTCTGCCTTCATCCAGCCTCCGCCGATCCTAAAGACAATTCCTTCCCACGAGCAGTCCCGGCTTTTGATCTCGATCTTTTGCATCGCACTCTCACGGCTTCCAGGAGATGTGCTACGTCTCTTCCCCACCGCCGATTATTTCCCTCGCCCAGCTCCTCTGGATGAGTATCGACCATGCCCAGGAATCCTGCTGCAGACCCACGCTCTGGATGTGGCAGCCTCGCTGATTGATATCTTCCCCGACGAAGTCCGTCTTCAATGTGCCCGGTTCCTGAGGGAAAAGTGCCCACCGTTTGCTGCCTTCCAGAATGATGCTCGATTTCTCTATCTCCTGGGACCAGCTGCGGATTCTGGGTCTTCTTACGCCCCTCAACCTGCTTCGGCTCCATCCCCGGCAGCCTCTGCCTCTACGCCAACTCCGACCTCTGCGAACTATACTGCAACAGCGTCCGTGGCACAGCAGCCTGCCGCATCGTCGGGACTACCGACAGGGCTACCTGAAAGTTCCAACTGCATGGCAAGTCGACTTCGGCTCCAGAACCGCGGCCGAAATCTTGGGCCGTACTCGATTCGCCCCTGGGAACTTCTCGAAGACGCGGCACCATTTGTCGGTGTCAACGATACCGCCGTCAACCTGGGATACTTTGACGCCAGGCGGGTCAGGTCTTGAAGCAGCTCCTTGATCTCTTTCTCCTTCCTACTTCTCTTTTCTCCGACCCATCCCATGAGGAGCAACAGCCGTTGCTTACTCTACTTCTCCGTTTCTCCTTTGTACCTTTCACATCTCCTACATCTTCCATCCTCTCCCGCTTTATCCCGCTATCCCGATTCTCGTTTGGTGGATCCATCTGGGTCTGTCTGTCCATCAGATCCTCATCCTCATTATCATTCCACATTCCCCATATCATTACGAACGCATCTTGTTATAGCCATGAGCACTTACATGGATGGAAATCTCTGGTTCCCGCCCCCTTATTTGTTATCCCACTTTATATTGTTTTCGTTGAAAGCGTCCTCCACATTTCGGTCCGCTAGCATTCGGCATCCATGGCATGCACAGCGTCGAGAAGCATTCTGTACATATACCTCCGTTCCTTCATTTCTTCGGCGTTTCCCTTGGGCCTGGGCTCAATTTGTTAATTCAAGGCTTTTATTTATATTCCTTCTTGTGCTCGGTTACTGTACGCATGTCTTGCATCCAACATGGCATTGTTCTAATTCGTGGTTCTTGTCTGGTAAATGGCAGTTTCGTCTGCATGTAGCCAAACTCTTATATCCTAGACACCTTTTATAGGTATAGTTACTCGACCGGAGTCTTTCGGGGAACATTTGAATGGAAAATTTGAAAAATAAAAATATTCAAATTGAACCCCCGATCCTTGGCTGCGTACACAAAGTCTTTTTTTCAGTTTCCGTAAAAGAAACAACAGACAACATCACACTCGTCACAGATAAACACAGAGTAAGCCAACGTCGAGAAAAAAAGAAAGAAAAGAATAAAACAAAACATCAGAGAGAACACAGATCAAAAATCACCAGAAACACGGAGATACAGAAACACAAAAACATCTCAAACAAAACAACAAAATACACACAACCACACGCAATATACCAAAGAATCAGTTCAGATAGTCAAATCGACCTGGACGAACAGCTCCGCACCAACGAGCAGCTCCGCGAAGTCGACGTCGACGCAAGCTTTTCGAGGCATTCTTCGATGGTTTCCTCGGCAGGTTCTTTCAGCGGGTTTTCCAGCGGTTCGTCCGGTTTCTCAGGCTGAGGTTCTTCCTCTGGTTTGGCGTCATTGGCCTTCTGCTCCGTTTCTTTGGTTGCTGGCTTAAACTCTTTGGCAGAGGGGTTGACAGAGACATTGGCAGGCACTTCTTCTGCGCCATTGCCATCAGCCTTGGGCGGAGATTGCATTTCTTCGTGACGGATGTCGGAGCCAGTATGGGGACTGATGTAGCCGGTGCTGGATGGGTAGTTCTCGGGGTAGTAAACCGGATCGAAGTAGCCGGGTTGGGGCATCATGTGTGGCGGAGGAGGGAAGTAACCCTGAGGTGGTGGTGGGTAGGGCTCGCCATAGTAGGCTGGATAACCGGGGGCGAACCCCGGCTGGCTGCTGACAATGAAGGGCGTGTTGTTCATCACTGGAGGGGCCATTGGAGCCGGGTAGTAGGCTTCTGGGGGAGGAGCCGGGTTGAAGGAAGGCCCGTACCACATGTTGGGATCGAAAGGCTCCGGGTAGAAGGGCTCGGGGTAGAATGGCGACGGTGCGTTGTTGTACCCCGGCATCCCGTTGAACATGACCGGGGGAGCAGGATAGCCCGCTACGCCAGCCGAAGAAGGGAAGTTCCCTGGATGGAAGGGCGGCGGGTGGAAGGGAGGGGCGCTGTGCATTCCGCCTTTGTTATTATTGAAGTGCCCATTGCGGTAGGGCCGGTTATCATGAGGCCTGGGCTGGTTGTCTCGAGCTGGATGGTTTTGCGGCTTCGGCTTTGGAGGCTGCGAAGGATGTGCCATATCCGGAGGCAGCATAGGACTGCCGTCGATATCGAGCAGCGTCAGAAAGTACTTTTCGTTTTTTTGGAAATGCTGGTATTGCCATGTTAATACCTCCATTTCCTCTGTCAAGGAATATTGTCATTAGATCCAATATGGAACTTACCTTGATAGCGTCTCTGCAGTCGTCGACGTAGGCAAAAGTGACCTTGCAAATAGCAGACCAGGAGTAAACTCCAGTGTTCAAAGGCTGGATGCAGAAGACCTCGAGCGGACCGCTTGATCCCAGGGCAACAACGACATCATCGTGCTCGATGGGCGCGCCAGAGCGAAGTCCCAGACAAGCAGTTCCTGGGGAAAATGTTAGGACGCCATCGTGAATAAGCTGAGCCGATGAAAGAAAGAGGCAGCTCACGTCTTCCCTTTGCTCTCTCGATGCGCAACCAGCGGTCATGGAGCATGGAGCATTCATCTGACGACAGCACAGCCGAGGCGTCCTCGACTTTCTATAGAAATCGTGTCAGTATCAAGACAGGAAAAGGTAGAGGGAGGGAAAGGGAACTCACTTCAAACTGCACAAAGGCACCTGGCAGGCCCTTCTTCTTATCTTGCTTGATCTTGACATGGCATGGTCCAAACTTAGAGAACAAGGCTTTGAGATCCTCGGCCAGCTTATCGGCCGTGACCTTGGTTGAGAGGCTAAGAACAGCAGTCAATTGACAGTACCAGACAGGCCTTCTACTACGAGACTTACTTTCCAACAAAAATACAGGCATCTGGAGGGAACAAGCCCTGGGCATTCTTTGCCGAGGGCTCCTCAAGCAAGCGATCCCCACGACGGGGGTACAGGTTGCCCGAGGTAGTTGGGGCGACAACCTGAATGGTCATGGTTGATATATACCGTACAAGTCAGGTATAATGTGTTTGTATTTGAATAAACGTGTGACTGGGGAAGAGAAAGAGAACGAAGCACTGAAGTATAACGAGGATGGAGAGGTGTAGAAAAGAAAGACGCTAGGAGACCTGGGAGACCCCATTCTCTGGGGGAGACCACTCCCGCCGCCGAATTAGGAGTAGGATGCAAACTGTGGGTGCGAAGGCAGAACTAAGCCCTTGTCATCCGGGGCGACAGGCCTGCCCCAGAGGACAAGTTGGACGTCAACCGTGGCTAGATCTGGGGTTAACCTCCTGGCTGAAGTTCTGTTTGACTCAGAACCAAACCATGATTAGGGCTAGGAGGGCACCCGAGGACCAGAACAGCATCAACCCATCGGAGCGCGAGTCTGGGCAGAGTCTGTTGTCAATGCAGCGTTGGGCGAGACAGCGTCCGCAACCCGATTAGGGCTCGGCGAACGCCTGCCTTCGAATACCCACGGATGGTATCTTCTTCATTATCCTGAGCCTGATTTGGTTGGCCTTGGTTTGCTGCTCTTGAATGGGCACGGAGGTGACTCAACTATGCCTTTTTCATCGACGGAGTATAGCCAGCATGACGTAGATACTGCGCAAGGCATCTGAGGAACGGTACCCCCGTTGGTAAATTTTCACCAGCAGCCGTGGTGGATGACGATGCTGGTCCAAATCATCCAGAGAGGCGCATACGTGAAAATGAAGATGTGATTGCGGCTGTCGTATCCGAGGGCGTTGCCCTGTCCACTGCTAGCTAGCAGGCCACTCCAGGGCAGATCAAGGAGGTTTCAAGCCTCGTCTTCTCGTTCTCCTGTAGCCTAGGACTTTGGCAGCAGAAATCTGGGAGGCATCCGATGGTTTTGGCGGACCCTGGATCGTCTTGATGGACACCTGCAAGTGTTAGCTTTGCCAGAAACATGTAGACCAAACGCACAGGGGCTTAGCGGAGATCTGGGTATATCTCTAGACAGCGCTAGGCATCGCCAGACATCGTTGGACATCGATCAAGGTCTCAATAAGTCGCAGACCAAGTTATCTTATCGGCAGATCGCGCAGCTCACGCCACCTCGGAAGTCGACATCATCGGCTCCTACCTCGCCCTCGCCTCTTCAACTCTCCTCCATTGCTCCCACTATGATTCCCACTCGGTGCTTGGCCGCTCAAGGCGGATTCTTCAAACGCAGCGCCGATGAGCTCGGCCGGCTTTCGCGCATTGGTAGAGTCGCTCCAATTGTTCCTCTCCGGTCCGCTTTTCACTGACTCCTAGTGATTCCCAGCTTGGAACACCGAAACCCTTCACACTCCCACCAAGCCTCATGTTCTGCTCAACTTCGAAGATGAGGCGGATGTCGATGGCTGCAAAACCATGGCCGACCGTGCCGTAGGCGGATTCAGCACCGCCAGCCTCGACTTCGAGCCCGGCGATGCCTCGTCGAACACGCCTCCCCATGCCCGGTTCCACGGCAACATTTCCACCAAGCTTCCACCGAACTGGCGCGTCGAACGAACCGGTATGTGTTGCTCTGGTCGCGCGCCGCAAGAGATTCCGTGATGAACAGAAATGCTGATCGCTCTGGGGATAACAACAGGATATGCCGCATTCCGGAACAAAGACCGCGGCTTCTGGCTTTTCGGTCGTCTCTACTGGGATGTCGACCCCTATGCCTATCTCGCCCTTCGCATCAAGTCCGACGGTCGACGATACACGGTGAACGTTCAAACGGACTCGGTGATTGAGACGGATATCCATCAGCACAGATTATACACACGGCACCATCGCATGCAGAAGGGCTCGCCACGGCGAGAAGAAGTCTTGCGAGATGAAATGTTTGACTCACCCGAACTCACCGACGCCGTGACTTCCCCACGTATCCCGGCCGCCCTCTCAGACGTCCCGCCCGAGTCCACTATCATATCTTCCTCGGCCAGTGCAATCACCTCCGGCTCCACGGGGTGGGAGACTGTCCTCTTGCCTTTCAACTCATTCGTTCGCACCAACCATGGCTTTGTTGTCGAGCCGCAGACGTCTCTCCTTCGACAGCGAGTGAAAAGTGTCGGGATCGGTCTCACGGACCGCGTCGAGGGGCCATACGATCTACGCATCCATAAGATCTGGGCGACCAACGGAATGGGTGAGGCGGATATCGGAGAGGAACGCCGCATCTGCGGTGCCGATGCGTTGTCGCTCGACGAGGGCGTTCGCACGAGCTGGAAGGAGACTGGCCAGACGCCGAGTGAAACGGCCGCTCAGCAGAAGAGCTCCCGGACAAAAGAAAAGGGACTGAAGGGTCTTCGGTCTGAATGGGAGGAGTGATTTTCTTTCATTCAAGCCATCAGACTGCGTGTATACTAACCTGCGACGGAATATTGTTCTATCTTTGTTACTGGGATTTACTGAACAGATCATGTAATAGCATTGGACATGTCACTGCTTCTTTTTATGATTCGGTTCATGAAGACATATATAGAATCTGAATCAGCGTTATACAGACTCCTTTCGAGTATACAGCCGTGAGAATTCTTGCCGCCCGCTCTACTGGCCGCCCGTGATCTTCTGCCACGCTTCTTGATACTTCTCGGCGGTCTTCTGCTTAATCTCCTCGCTCATACGAACGCCTTCCTTGCCCTTCAGTCCTTCTTGGACAAGCCAATCACGCAGGAACTGCTTGTCGAAGCTCTGCTGGCCGCGACCCACTGCATACGAGTCCCTAGGCCAGAATCGAGACGAGTCGGGGGTCAGGACTTCATCGGCCAGGACGACTTCGTTGGTTTCCTCGTCGAGGCCGAATTCAAACTTGGTGTCGGCGATGATGACACCCCGCTTAAGTGCATACTCGTGCGCCGTCTTGTAGAGTTTTACTGCAAGCGAGGCAATTGTAGACGCATAAGGTTCGCCGACAATAGAAGCAGCTGCCATTGCACACAAAACGTTAGCTCTTGATTCTGATCATGAGAAACGGCATGATATAGACGTACCCTGGTCGGGATGGATGTTCTCGTCGTGCTCGCCCTGCTCGGCCTTGGTGCTGGGCGTGTAGATCGGTCCATCCGGGAATGCCTCGCTCTCCTGCAACCCGGCGGGGATCTTTATTCCATGCACCGTCTCGGATTTCTGGTACTCCTTCCAGGCGGACCCGGTGATGTATCCACGCACAATAGCTTCGATTGGGAGAATCTTCAGCTTGCGCACTTGCATACTGCGGTTCTGCAGCACCGGACGCAGCGATTCAGGGATCTGGGCAGGAAGGTCGAGGGTAAGGAAATGCGTGCGCAGCGAAGGAATCGCCTCTGTCAACACCTTGAACCATGTCCGTGTGCAGAGGGTGAGCAGGACGCCCTTGTTCGGAATGCCCTATTGGTCACAATTTCAGTAAAATTCAAAGTAATTGGCTTGTCGCAAAATAACGAGAGAGGAGAGGTACATTTTCCATAATCACATCGTAGGCCGAGATACGATCCGTAGCCACGAAGAGCAGGGTCTTCTCGTCGACCTCGTACAGGTCGCGCACCTTGCCCCGAGCAACGAGGGGCAATGCACCTTGAACGTCAGTGGTTGTCAGAGTCTGCGCCATGGTGCACTGTGCAATTAAATCTACTTGGAGGAGTCAAAGTCGGCGGCGTCATTTTTTGGCTCCAGACTTTGGCGGGGCGGTTACTGCCTCAGGCAGAAGAGCTTTATCGGCGGACGCGCCTTGCGAACATTGTTGACCGGTTGACCGCGATGCTTCATCCATGACGGGGGACCATGACGCGCTATCTGACTCCGTGGAGAATCTCGCTGCTGTGTCTGATTACCGTCTACACGGATGGCGTTGTCCCCAACTCTTCGGCCATCCATGTCTTGTCGTTCCTGACAGCGGGCCTCTTCCCTCTAGATCCCGCCGATAAGCAATGGGAGAAGCACTACTTGCCGACCATCACGGATCTCGAGGAATTCCTAGCAGGCCATGAGTCGTCGGTACCAGGACGGACGCTTTGGGACTTGTTCCTCAAGCGGATCTGGTCAATCGACTCGCTCGATGCGCTCGAGACTTTCTTCACCGATGTGCTCCCGGCGCTGTTGAGCAAGACGCGTGAGCAGTTGATGCAAGACCGGGACAATGGCCTGGCTCCCGAGACAAACCGCATCCGCTTATCGAGGAGCTCACCATTGGGCGCGTTTGTGCGGAGAGCCTATCTCGAGTATGCGCGGCTACAGTTTCATGATTCGGTGAAGCTATGGACGGGATTCGTCAAGTACCGTCTTCCCACATACCATGCCTGGGCGCGGCGGAACCCATCACACGAACACACGCCTGTCGATGTGAATCTCCTGGACTTTGAGGTGGATGCCACCAGTCATCTGTCTCAATTTGTCTACGGCAATATCGAGGACGATTCCGAAGATGAGGGAGTCATTAGCGTCAAGGATTCAGAGCGACTGGTGGAGTTTCAAGTTGGGGAGTTACAACGTATGTTATTGTCTCTTTGATGACTGAACATCAGCTCACGAACCCAGGGCTGGGGGGCAGAGTACCGGACGAGATGAGGGCACAGCTGAAACGCATCATGACATCGGAGTCGTCCGTCCCAGTATTGATGTGGTACCTGGAGTATGTCACCTTGGATATACGCGCTGATTCATTACCGCTGACATTTCTTGAGATATCTCGACGCCTGGAGAGCTGGAGATTACACGTCAGCTTTTGACAACCTGCACCGATACTTTGATTACACCATGCACAGCAACCTCGACCGCAGTGCTTATCAATTTGCCCTGCTGAACCTGGCCATCATCCAGGCGGACTTTGAGTGCTTCAACGAAGCCATCTCTGCGGTGCAAGAGGCCGTGGCCATTGCTCGCGAGTCTCACGACATGAACTGTCTGAATTTCTGCATGAGCTGGCTGTACCACTTTGGCAAGGCTTTTCCAGAGCAGATGCGGGAGGTGCAGAATAGCGGGATGCTGGGCAACGAGAAGGAGGGTTTGGCGTTTCTCAAGGCCAAAGCGAAGGAGACGGACATGTGGTCGCTTATGAGCACCACGCTGTTGAGTGAGGCTAAACTCGAAATGCAGCAGGTGAGCCCGTCGTTCCATCGGTGTTTGGTGACAGAGACGATACTCATAATTATCAGGGAGAGAGTTTGGCAACAATTATCGAATCTTTTGTGCGAGCCTCCCATGTCAATGTGACAAAAGGTCTTGCCAATCCCACCGGCGCGTATATGCTTCTTCAGGGATCTATGTATGGCCGCATCGGTAGGGCGCCCTTGGTATAATGAGACTATTTACTCGATGCTGACCAACACATAACAGGAGCTTCGCATCTGGCCTGGTTGAATACCGAAATTTTCCGCGAGTGCTACTTGGACGGACATCCTTACGAGGACTTTGTCAAAATCACATTCCGAAATTGCCAAATAGTATGCCAAAGATTTTTATATGCTTTTATGGTGGATACAACAAACTAACCACAACTCGTATGCAGTTGGTACAAAAGGGCAACTATAAGGAAGCATTCGCACGCATGAACAAGATCGAGCCAGAAAGGCTACGGGCCGTGAAATACAACAATGCCTGGACATACTACTCTGGGCTGTTACAGCTGCGACGACAAATCTGCCGGTGAGTACAGAGGGGACAGGCTGCTTGACATGAATCACACGACAAAGTTCTAACAACTCAATAGTAATGACAAGGTAGCCATCGAACACATCATCTCCCAGCTCCAAGCAGTACAGCTCCTCGATTTCGACATGCGCCTGCTACTGGCCTTCCAATCAATCGAGTTCACCATCCGACAAGGTGACTACGGCCGCGCACTGCGAATGGTCGACCAAGCAGCACACTCAATGCAGCCCGAGAACTTTGACGTACACTCACAAATCAAATTCCTGTGCCTGAAAGCACGCATCCTCGAAAAATCAGGCCAACCTCAGCGCGGCTTCTCGCTGGCCATGCGTGCCGCCAGCATCGCCCACCGCTCCAAAGTACTCTTGGATCTCTGGGAAGCCATCTGCACCCTGGCCGCCGTGCTGCTGAGCCTCCGAGAGTTCACCGCCACCACCGAGCTGGTCGAGAGCGTCATGCCCCAGATCCTCGAGTCCGAAGACTACTCCCTCGTCGCTCGCGCTTACTCACTCCTCGTCGACGCCAATATGGGTGTCGCTGGCGAGCTGTGGTCGCGTCAGGGCCGCGATAGCACCCCCGCCCGCAAGGAGTATGTCAACCGCGCCCTGGGCTATATTGACTCGGCGTATGACCACTACGAGGAGATTGAGGATCTCCTGGGCCAGACTGAGATGATGGCTAAGAAGGCTACTGTCATGCATCTTACTGGTGACCCGGTCCTAGCTAATGACTACGCCGCTAAGTATCTGGATCTGCGGAGGCGGAGGGGCGCGGAGGCATGATGGGACATGTACTTTTAGTGTTGTGATTATCCCTGGGAAGCGATTTGGAAAGTCTACAATATGAAAGCCATGCTTCAGACTGCAAGTATAATGTACCTCTATGTAATTAAGCCACAGGGACATGGTCAAGCTTTGGACACTGAACCACTCAGAACAGTATATTTTGGGCCGAGCTTGTTTCTACTGTGACCACGAGGACTTGGATTTATTGTAGCGAAATGCAAGTTGTGGCTCACACAGGTACTTTTACCACAGCTGGCCCTGAAGCACTTTCTACAGCAAAACACCAGTCGGGTCCTGTATTGACGCTCATAACCGAATCCAGCAAACCAATTTGATATTGGATCGAGGCGGAAGTACAATGGAAATTCCACAATATGACAAAGGAAACAGCGACGAGAATGATAGATATTGTAAGCTTCACTTCATTGAGTCAACGGGGCCCACGAGGGTCATCCACCCCGGCGGCTGGCTCTATGTTCCGCCCCCAGGAACGAAAGTCCGATAGATATACATGTCACGCGCACCCAAAAGGCTAAATCTCACAAACACGCATTGAAGGCTCTGAATAAGAGCATTGGAGGTTGTTGTTGGTTCTGCAAGGGGTCCTTTTTAGGTGGCCTTGTCCTTGTTGTGGTAGTTGACATCCGAGTTCCAGCTAGATGGTTGTCAGCATCCAATTCCATAGTATTGGCCGCAGTCGGATTGTCAGGAAAGAATCATTGAACGCATAGCATCTTCTCGGAAACGGCGTAGACGAATTGTATGTACAATTCTGGATATATCAAAGACGGATTCGGAAGGTCGGAACTTACAAGATGGTCTATAGAAGGGCACAGATTAGCAATGGTCTCCAAATATCAGACACAGCAGGAACTCTTACCTTGTCACCGTCTCCCCAGGGGAAGTTCTTCACACGGATGTTCTGGTAGGGGTACTCGGTGCGCTCCTCGAGCGGGGGTTCGTGGGACCAGTGCTCCCAGTGCTCGGACCAGAGGTTGTAGGCGTTCAGACCGCCACCGATCAGGCAGGGAATGACGGCACTGCACAAAAATTAGATTTGTTCGAAAGGATTCGGGTGCGAGAGTCGGCGGGCCTTCTCTCCGCATCAGGGGGCGTACTAGATGGACAGCTTGCGCCAGAGATCTGCAGGAGCCATTGTCAGTCACGGATGTTCTCGGTGCCCCCCATAGCATGCAGGGCATCAATTGCGGATACGTACCACTGGTGGAAGCGGCGTGGTGCTTGACGGCAGCGCGCTCGCGGTTGAACTCGTTGTCGGCGATCCACGAGGGCTTAGACTCAGCGCTGTTGAAGCGGCGCTGGACGGTCGAGCGGACCGGAGCGGATCGCAGCTGCTGCGAAGCACGCTGAGACAGGCGAGCAATGTTGCGCTGAGGGAACATGGTGGGCTGGTGGAGGTTTCTTGTGGGGGAAGCAGTCGGAGGTCGTGGGTTCACCAAAAGCCGCCCGGCGTGTCCCGTGATCATGGCTTATGTCACCAAACGTCACTGGCACGTGATATCAAGTAGGGCGAGTCGACTTGCTGGCCGAGCTATGTGTTTTGGCGCGTTGCGGGTCATGTTACGGCTCGTTGATGCATGCGTAGCCGGCCATGGGGTTTCGCATAACCACCTGGAATGGTAAGTTTTGTTTTGCAGGGCCCATCGAATGCCTGCGGTGGCGGAAATGCCGATGCTAATCCGTGGATGCTAGTGAATGGGATCCGGTATGTTCAGCATTATTGATAGTCTAACTACTCAATGCTCAAATGGTCGATTCAGAAACCCGTTTTCCTATGAGCCATGGAGAGGAACGCGGACATTCGAGGTGAGCCATCCTGTCCCGCCTAGCCTGGACTATGCGGCTGACTCCGATAGTCCATGTTCGACATACTGGAGGCCGATATTGTTGTGCTGCAGGAGACCAAAATCCAGCGGAAAGATCTTCGGGATGATATGGTCTTGGTGCCCGGATGGGACTGCTACTTCAGCCTTCCCCGAGTCAAGAAAGGCGAGTCGCTCTGCTGCTCGATTGACCTCATCCAGCCCTCTAATCTTGAGCAGGATACTCGGGAGTGGCGATTTACACGCGCAATGCCACATGTGCACCCATACGCGCCGAAGAGGGCATTACGGGGGTTCTCTGTCCGCCAAACTCATCGGTTTGCTTCCGTGATCTGCCGTCAGAGCAACAGATTGGCGGGTATCCAACATCGGAACAGCTCACTCGGATTCCCGTCGGGGGTGACTCTGACAAGTCGCAGGGGGATGAGAACCCTTCTTCTGACACGAATATCGATGCACCGACCCTTGACTCTGAAGGGCGATGCGTCATTCTGGAGTTCCCAGCCTTTGTTTTGATTGGCGTCTACTGCCCTGCTTACCGAGATGAAAGCCGTGATTGCTTCCGCATGGACTTTCTCAATGTCCTGGATACGCGAGTCCGGAATCTGGTGGCCATGGGAAAGCGAGTCATCGTCACTGGGGACATCAACATCTCTCGAGGAGGGGATTGACGCTGCGCATGCAATGGAGGCCATTCGCAAAGGTGCTATGTCCGAAGACGAGTTTGTGACGGGTCCGTCCCGCCGTCTGTTTAATCACCTCCTGTCTGACGGTGTAGTGGTGGGCGAACGCGACGCAGGCCGGGAACAGCCAGCTCTCCACGATATCTGCCGACAATTTCACCCAGGCCGAGCTGGCATGTACACCTGCTGGGATCAGAAACTCAATGCAAGACCCGGAAATTACGGTTCACGGATTGATTACGTGCTATGCAGCTTAGATATGCGCGACTGGTTCTCTGAGTCCAATATTCAAGAGGGACTGATGGTAATGGATTGTCTTTGTGCTTCTCTGTGGCTTGCTTACTGACGCTATATACAGGGATCGGACCACTGTCCAGTCTTCGCCGTCTTCAAAGACACGGTGCCACACGAGGGAAGTCTGGTGCACATCCAGGACCTCGTGAATCCGCCCGGGATGTTCCAGGCCGGCAAGCGTCAGCATGTATACACTCCCCAGTGCATGCTACCAGCCTCTGGGCGTCTACTCGCCGAGTTCGATGTGGACAAGCGTCGAAGCATCAAGGACATGTTCGCTCGCAAGCCCCCGCCTACAATCTCCCGGTCGGCGTCTTCGGTCAGCGCGTCGGAGAAGCCTCCTCTGGTTCCTGGAACCGAATCAGCCACCGCATCCACATCTTCCACTCCCCAGGAGACCGGGGATTTTCCTGCATCCATCATACCTGAGAACAATCAACCCGCCAAATCCATTCCTCGCAAGCGCGCTCCACCCGCACCCACTCCATCGACCAAGCGCTCAAAGTCCGTGGCGGTCGCATCCTCCGCGGCGTCTACGCCCGGCCAGAAATCGCTTAAGGGCTTCTTCAAACCCAAGAGCGTTCCCGAGGAGCCCGCCTTGACACCCGTCTCCACCGAATCCACCACCATCCTCTCACAAGATACCACAACCCACTCCCCGAAGATATTCACCTCCGCGGAAGTCCCAGCGACGACGGGTGCATCGCCGCCGCCCGAGTCTCCCGTTGCAGACTCCGCCAGGCTCGACGTGAACCCAGTGAGTCCACCCAACCCGACCGATAATATCATCGACCCGGTCGCCAGCAAGGAAGACTGGACCAAGCTCTTCACGAAGAAACCCGTGCCGCGGTGCGATGGGCACCAGGAACCATGTACCAGCCTCACGACGAAGAAGCCGGGGATCAATCGCGGGCGGTCGTTCTGGATCTGTTCACGGCCGCTTGGGCCCAGCGGCGACAAGGAAAGAGGGACGGAATGGCGGTGCCCGACATTCATCTGGGCCAGTGACTGGAATTCATCTGGAGAGTCGTGATCTGGGAGGACACGGGATGATGCTCTATACCATGAATTGCAACTCCATTTTTTACTATATCTTGATGATTCCTCATAATTTCCTCGATCACACCACCTCCATAGATGCCCTCTGCCATATTACAAAGTCCCCCATCTATGCGTAGCAACCCAGGTACTTAACAATATATAGCAATTATGCCTGTAATCCATGTACCTGGGTGGGAGCCTTGTTCTTCAGTCACCAAATTTCCATTTTGGGCTGGGGGGCTGGGAGGAGGCTGGGAAGCGTCGTTGCCTAAGCGAATTCATCTCATTGGCTCGCTTAGTCGAGGACAGGCCCGTTGCCTGGGAGAGTTCAATCATAAAAATAAGGGGGCTGGGGAGCTCGAGGTACCCCGTCCCAATGTACCTTTTGGACGTCAGATGTGCCCGGTGGATCAGTGGAGATCGCGGGCAGATCCTGGCGCATTGCTTATTTTAATGACCAGTAAATCAAATGCCGGTGCTTTGAGGATTGGGATGAGATAAAAATAGTATTATAATTATGATTGTAAATGCCGAAGCTGCAATAAAATTTCTTATTGAAATTAGCATCGAGGGACAATTGCTTGGTTGGAATTTAAAGTATGCAGTGCCGAGTTGCACCGCATCCACGTGGGAAATGACACCCGATCTGCAGATCTATACAACCCCATTTCTCCATACTTTGAAATATACCATCATGAATTCATATTCAATCATTTGATGATGGAAAATTATATATCATTTATTAGTGATTTTTCTCATGCTGCTAGACATTGTCTCGGGAATAGACGGGTATTCCAAGTCTGGGTGGACTCATTGCAAAATGGGAGATTCATATGGGGGAGGGGGGAGGGCGGCTGGGGCAGCAAAATATCTTGGAGGCACATTTGGTGTTCTTGGGGTACATCTATACCAAGTTTTGTTGCTGTCGTCGAGGTGAATTTGGTGTGGTTGCCGTGGGCGCCTCAACCACAACAAAGGCTGTGGTCTCAGATACGCAAACAAAGAAATCACCTTAAATTCCCCTCTCTCTTACCTTCCTTTTCTCTTTCCCTACCCTTTTCTTCCTTCATTTTCTTCTGATTTTCCTCTCATTTTCTCCTATTTTCTCTTTGCCATTTTTACTTTTTCTGCCTTGTCCTGTCCTGTCCTACCTTGTCCTTCCTTGTCTAAGATGGAGACCGCCGTGACCATCTCGCCCCCTCCCTCCCCTACGGAGATAATGCTCTACCGATACCTGACCAGTATTACGGCATTCGAGGCTGCAAATATCCTTGGGTCTTGTCCCGAGAACACCCGTCTTGCGGATTATGCTGCAAAGGTTGTTGCTGAACTCCCTGCTTCTTTTTTCGAACAGCCTATTCCTGTCCCAGAAGGACCTCACTTTGTTTTCGAAAACAATAAATTTTTCCTCGACCTGGGTTCTGGGGAAGAAGTGATCCCGCCTGTCCTGGAAAGTTCTGGTCCGGTCAATGGTCATCCTGCGATGGGAAAAGTTGTCCCGACTCGTCGTGTCCCTGATCGACCTGGGCGCCGTTTGCGTCCTCTCAACAGTTTTATGGTTTTTCGAAGTAAGTACAGCTGGACATAACAAAGACAATTTACTGACAAAACAACAGCTTACTGTTCCCCCGTGTTTCCCGGCATTCCGCAGAAAACCAAATCCGCCGCCATCAGCACCATGTGGGACTCGGACACAATCAAAGACAAATGGGCAGTTTTGGCCCGTGCCTACACCGTGATTCGCGATGAGTACGAGATCGCCAACCCTTCTCTTCCCGAGTTCGTTGAACTTACCTCGGTTCTTTTCGGTCTTCCTACCCCAAAGGATTATCTTAGATACTCTGGCTGGGAAATTGCGGAAACTGGGGCAGGATTTGACTTGATCCAGACAGGGGAAAACTGTGTTCACGAATATCTTTCCGTCGATGAGCCTTTGAGTGTCGAGGATGTTCTCAGTTACTGTGAACTTGTGGATTACGCTGTGCCCAAGGACGATTCAACTTCGCAGCAGAATTTCCAGAATGAGTCTGTTTTGGCCATCGGCGCTCACACCTGGGTTTTCAATGATGAAGGAGAAAGAAAGGTGTCCGACAATGAGTTCGAGGTTGAGGAAATGTACTCCGAATTGGACCCTGTGATCGACTTTGACATTGAGCCCATTTATGATCCCGACCAGGTCCTTCAGCTCGACAGCGATGTTCCTATGCAGAACCTCGATGCCCTCAACGCTTACCTCACCTACGACTTTTCTACTGCCGTTGATGACCTGTGAATTCAGCAATTCGAAACCATGGTGTGATTGAGGATAATGGAGAACATGGGAAGGAGTTGATTCTGGAGAGGAGTTTTCATGTAGCTAGTGTGATCTTTTTTCATTGTTCCCGGTTAGGAACATGGGTATCTCGTTCGATAGTTCTCAGTTACAATGGGCCAGTTACGAATGCAATCCCCATTCTGAGCACCTGCTGCTGTCTTTTCTTTTTCCCTCCCTTCTCCCCTTTAGACCTTGCACAGATCTCCAGTGTGGCATCGAGGACTTCGTGGGATGCCAAGTCATCGAGCTGCATGGGACGAGGTGACGTCTCGAGGTTCTTTGTTTCATCCCTGCAGGCCCACGGTTCGATATGCGCTACCGTTGGATCCCCGGACCCACAAAGTCTTGGCGATGATCGACTACGAAGTAGAGAAGGGAGAGGCAGAAAGGCAAAGAAAGAGCAGAGGACTACGGACAAGCTGACTTTTGCAAAATGCAGAGCAGAACAGAAAAGAAACATACGCGTTCCAAGAAATATCGGGATATACAGGAACCAGCGCACACGACCGAACCGACCGAACCGCCTAGTCTTCCTGGTACGAGATCTTGCGCATTTCGCCCAGACGTGAACGAGCGCGGGAGAGGTTGTTCTCGAGCTGCAGGATCTCGACCTAAAACAAAGAAACAAGAATGTCATCAGCAGCTGCAACCATGGATGGAAGGGGGAAGGGGGGGGAGAGAGAAAACCAATCAAAAGAACATACCTGCTGCTCCATCTCGCGCACCTTGAACTCGTGCGAGCTCAGCTTGGTGTAATCCTCGGCCTCGGTGTCGTCGCGGTGCTTCTCCGCAATGATATCCTGCACCTGGCGCACCAGGGTCCGGCACGCGGCACCAACAGCCTTACTGGCCGTCTCCAGTCGGTCCTGGGTCTTGCTCATAAACGTGGCCTTGACGCGACTGGCTGCCACCAGCTGCGCAGTGCTGGCGGCCACATCGTTGGACGCGACGATGAGCTGCTCGGGCGAGTTACGGCCCGAGATGACCCCGTCGGCCGTCTCGATCAGCGTGTTGGTTGACGCAGCCACCGCCTTTGCCGCTGAGATCAGACCCTCGGTCCAGCGGTTGTTCTTCTTGTAGAACGCCGTCTTGGACGAGCTGCCGCGACCCTCGCGCACAATCTCTTGCTGCGATGCCGTCGCCGCCTTGATTAGCTCGGCGATCGCGGTGGTGACAGCAATGGCTGCTGCCAGGATCGAGTCGTTGATGCGCAGCTCGTACGTCGAGTAGCCATCGCGCGGCTTGTTTTGGAGCTTGGCCAACCGCTGGGCCGCCGCGTCGATCGCATCGGCCGCCTTCAGCAGTTCCTGGTCCACCAGGTCACCCAGATCCCCCTTGGTGCTAATCTTGCTGCTCTTGGGCGCGAATGAGTCTACCATCTTCGACAGCGACTGCAGATCACGCTGCACCTCCAGGTTGTTGTTGATCACCACGTCGGTCTTCTGCAGCGCCTCGAGGCCCTCCAGGCGGAAGGACTGCAGCCCCCGGAAGAACCGCACCGTTGCCTGTGCGGACTTGCGGGCCGCGCTGATCAGCTGGTCAGAGCTCTTGTCGTCGTTGGCAAACCGGGTCAATCCCTTCGTGTTGCTCAGCACATCGGCAACCGACCCAGAGAAGACAGACACTGTGCGGATGATCTCGGCGTGCGGGCTGTTGGGACCGTCCGCGATAAAGTTGTTGAAGGCCGTCGAGAACTCGGTGGCCGAAGCCGAAGCCTTCTCAATCTGAGACAGCACATACGGCGGGGATGCATTCTGGTTACCGGCCTGCATGGACGAGTCCAGTTCGTACAGGGCATCGTCCACGCGCTGGACACCGGCCTGCAACACGGAGTCGATAATGTCGTTGATCTTGGCCACCGTGCCGTGGAGCACCGTGTCAATCTGGTTATCCAGCGCATTATCGGCGTCACCTTGGTTCTGGAAGTACACTGTGGTCAGCATAGGCGCCAAAATATTGGTCCGCATCACCACCTACCATTCTCAGCTCTTCCAATTCCATCAGAGCCTGCTCCATTCCAGACTTGTACACTTCGATCTCCTCATCCTTTTCGCGGAGAGCCACATCATTGTCTCCTTGTCGCTCCAAGTTGCGGCTGGAATAATCGTCCAGCGCGCGCGATTTGGTCTAAACAATCAGCAAGGGAGCAATCATTACAGAAAGAGGGATGCTGGCACTCACGCGCAATGCTTCTTCCAAGTCAGCCATCTCGCGGTTATACTTGGACAGCATGGACGAAATCTCCGAGCCCTTTTGCCGCTCGGCATTCTCTGCACGGTCAATCGCCATTCGAAGCTCCCGCTTAACCTTCTCCAGCTCATCCTTGTTGGTGCCAGTCAGGCGGTCCCGATCGTGCAGAGCACGGTCTCGCTCTCGGATCATATCAGCCAACTCCAGGTTCTTGGTCTTGAGCTCACGCTCCAGCTTCTCACGCCGGTCAATCGCCTCCTGCGCTGATGCCGCCTTGATCTTCAGGCTCTTTGTGGTCTGGAGAAGATCCAGGTGTTCTTGTCGGAGCTGCGAGTAGAGTTTGGCTAGGGCCTCGTACTTGGATCGCCAGGTGTTCACCTGCTCCTGCAGAGACCGGATCTGCTCATCCTTGGAAGAGTTCTGCAGATGCACATTTGAGTTGAGCTGGTTCATCTGCTCCTCGAGATCCTTCACACGGCGGTCATATTCCTGCAACATCAGCTGATCCCGCTCGTACTGCGCCCGAGCGTTCAGGTTCTCCCGCTCCAGCTCGGCCAGTCGGCCCTGCGTCTGGGTTTGATATTGATCGCGGAGAAGCTGTTCTTGGGCGAGCCGCTGTTGCTCAGCCTGAAGACGCTGCTGCTCCTCAAAGTCGTGCTGCGCCTGCTGCTGGGCAAGCAACTGCTGTCGCTGTTGCTCTTCCCATTGCTGTTGCAGACGAGCCTGTTCAGCCTCATACTCTTCCTGCTGACGTCGCGCCTCGGTGGTCCAGAAGTCGCTGATCGGCTCCGGTTCAGCGGTCATCTTGGGCGGCGGTGACGGTGCAGCTTCGACCTCTCGTGCCGGTCGTCTCGGCAAAGCCGGGCGCTCGTCGTCCTCCCCGAGGAGACTCGGTGGGTCCTGGGGCAACTTAGGAATGGTGATAAGACTCGTCAAGTAGCGCAAGTTGGAGCACTCGTAGTAGAACCGAACTAGGCGATAATGCTGAGCATCATATCGGCCACGAAGCGGCTCCAGGGCTTCGTCATCTCCGGTAGCTACAGATTATATGTCAATTACCCTGCACCAAACGAATCACAAGGAGACGGGCCCGTACTCGTGTGCATAGCTCTCAGCATGCTGGTGATGAACTTATAAATTCCGTAACTCTCCTGCACGAGGGGCACGAGCGCAGAGATTCGGCATTCATTGTGGGTACCGGACTGGAAATGCGAGAAAATGAGTTTCTGGAAGCCATCAATCTGATCTTGCAAGGCCATGAGGTCGGTAATGGTTTCATAGCTGCAGAACCGTCAGCGCTCACAACATCCCTCTCCCGCAAACTCCAGAGTCATACATACCCCTCATTGGGATCATTGATGGTCTTCAAGCTGATATACTCCTCATACTCGAACAGTCCTGCGCATGTTAGAGCCATTGCGCTCCTCCCCGACTCTGGGCAAACAGAAACCACCTACCATTGAATTCCGGGTGGTTGCGGTGGAAGGCCAGTTTCGACTCCAGAAAGAAGACATATTCCCGGATCAGCGGCGCGTATCCTAACCCAGCATTGTTATCATCTGTCCCTCTATATGCGTCGCCACTCTTCGACCGAGGGATTGCTCGCAGAGCGCCAGCGAAAGAAACCCACCTCGAATACCATCGCCTCCGACTCCTCTCATCAAGCTGTCGACCCAATTGGCATGCTGTTGCGCCTCTCGTACGACAATCGGATGTCCTTCTTGCAGAACCTTGTGGATCGTGATGAGAGCCTTGAACGTCTGGACCTCGTCGGCAAGAACAGGCTGCCTGTGCGATAAAATGGCGGGTCAGCCCCGTCAACCAGCGCCCCCCAAATCAATCCTCCACGCCCGGAATCACATACACTTTCATACCCGCCCAAAAGGCCGCCGACGACTTGTGGTCCCACGTATAGACAATGCAGCTCCGCACATGTTTCCCTGAAAGCGGGGGAAGAGGTTAGTCGGGTCGGGACAAAGGGGGGAAAGGCAGATAAAAGGTCAGGGACGGCGATTATCGAATTCCAGAGAAGAATTCGACAGCAGGACATGATTCGGACATACGTTTGGGCGCAGTTTCCTCTGTTGATGGCGGAATCACTCGTCAGCATCCCCTGTCTCCTCCCGGTCTCTATTGTCGGCTCCCCGGGCTAGCCACTTACCAATACTTGTGGCCTTGCGAATATTGATGGCCAAGTCCGCCTCCGTCCTGTACAATGGTCAGTCACTCGGTGTTCCTGGAAGGAGGCGAGATAGGGTGCGTACCGACTCATCTTGGCCGGGGTGCGACGAGTTCAGGGGTAGAGAAAGACACGGAATGGTATCAAAAGCAGATCCCAAACCCGGACAGCGCAGGGACGCCAGGAAGAATGCGCTGGCCGGAGAGAAAGACAAGATGAAGAACACAGAGCGATGCACGTGGGAGGAGGGCAATGACGTTGCGGAAAGCTGGCGCCTGTGGAGGCTTGGCATGGACTCCCTTGCGGTGGACGCGTGTCATGGGCAGGCAACAAGTATAAGACTACAACTACATCCATGGATATCCCCGATATTCAAGGTCTGTGGAATACAAGCTGCTGACCCTCATTTTGTAGTATAGAGCAAGAATTCCACAGTCAGATTTTAAAGACTTATTATCTAACTGGTAATATATTGAAAAGACTTTGTTGCTCTTTTTGTTTCTTTATTTCTTTATTTCTTCTTTATTTCTCTTTCTTTCTCTTAGCAATCTTCTTGTTATTTGTCTATGTGCCTTCCTTGCTTTTTATTTGAGAGAGGAAGCGCTACCTAATCCAAACTTATGTCCAAAGCTATGCCAGATGAACGGCACGTAGGCACGAAGAAACTCAAAAAAACGAATACCACAGCCCCAGTCATATATTCTTATATTATAAGTCTCAGGTAGAGATCAATGAAAGCAAAAGTTTATTCGTAAGGGGGGAAGAAAACCACATCACGCTCATCGGCATAACTCCATACGCCACGTATCTAACACAAAAGGCCCGGGGATTGAATATGGCCATGGTAACAAGACAACTAATAGAAAATGCACAGCTCTATGTGACAAAGTAACACATTCAGGGGTGGCGAGGCTCCGGTCCTACACATAAAAAGCCAACCCAGGGCATGACAGAAGACCACAGAACTCAGATCCAGCAGGCCGAATCCTCTGCTTGATAATATCCTCGAAAACAAAATCCAACTCAGGCCGATGGTATTTCCACTTTAGCACTGGGTGGAAGGACCTCACTGCTGCCTGGCGTCGAGAAGGGTGTCTGGTCTACAGACTGCAACGGCTGAATGTCCGGGCTCTCATCTTCCCACCCGGGACTTGTGGCATCTTTTGTGGCATCTTTCGCAGAGCCATCGCTATCCTCAGGAGTTTGGTCCATTGGAATTTGATCCGAGTCCACTTGTCCCACCGGGCTATCGGGTCCGGAGTCCTGGGGGGCTTCAACCACCAGCAATTCATCGGTGCCACTGTCGGTGCGCGCCATAGGAGGAATGGGTTTTCTCCGAGGCATTGGCTGCACCTGGTCTGGAACCGGCTTCCGCCTGGGCAAATTCACCGAATTTCGTTTCAGGGCATACCTGTCGGGGCGAGGCAGAGGGGCACCCGGTGGGAGATGGGGATGGCCCCGTCCAATGGGCTGGTCGGGGGTGCCGGGGGAGCCCGTGATGGTTCCTGACTCGCATTCGGGCCTCCTTTACCAAAAACATTCCAGCCCCATTTCTTTGCGGCGGCTGTGGCAGTTCCAATGGTGAGAGTGCTCGGGGACTTGTTGTCAGTCACCGCCGGCGTCAGCGTTTGGGTAATGTTTTCGATGGTACTGCGCCGCCGGGGCTTTTCGCTGACGACGGAGGTAGTAGAACTCCCCCGCGAAGATCTCAGGCTGGAGAAAGAACTGTTGTCGAGACGAGCTGAAGAGTGACTCTGGATGACCTGGTCATTCACAAACCCAACGCCATCAATAGACTCGGCGATCGAGGACGAGCGGCTGTGGACCGCGTTCTCTGGCATCGTGATGCCACCCGTGGGCGGCGAGCTGCTCGGAGTTCGGTTCGGAGATGCAGGCGGAGAACGGTTTGATATCTCAATCATTGCACTGGTGGCATTGCTCTTCTCGTCACCTTTGCCCTCGGGCATGACTTTGTCAACTTTGGCATTGTCCGCCGTAACAATAGGATCGGCTGCATGGGAGAAGGTCTGGGATCGAATGGCCCGAGGTAATGGCAGGCTGTCAGATCTCTCGATACCAGTGGAGGCCGCAGTGGAATGAGGAAATTGCAAGTCTGAAGTAGTCGACTTTGGTCCTTTGCGCGACTTCAGATTTGCTGGATTCGGCTCAGAAAGAACGGGCATGCTCATAGTCCGATCATCTTTGGATTTCAGCACCTCGACCGAGTCCCGGCGCACACTCTTCGGGGTCATCGGGGCACCGGAATCATCAGGAATTTCTACATCCGCGTCCGGTTGGGGTATACCCTGCTGCCAGATGCCGCCGCGGAAGGACTGGCCAAAGGTGTCTAAAAATGGGGTATCATCCCAAAACGGCAGGACAATACTCTCGGCTACCACTTCGCGAATCTTGCTCTCGATCGTGCGGAGAATGAGGCTGTAGGTAATTTGTTTGGAGCTGACAATGGGTTGGATGTCCATCTCCATCTTCGGCATGTTTTCGAAGGACATCCAGAACCGATTGCTTGGCGGAGGCTTGGAGCGGACCAACAGGTGGCCTTCGAGCTTCTTCAGCACGACCGCCAGCACGATGTCGACCTCCCTGGCCTTAAAACGAGGGCCCAGATCAATACGCACGGTAGCCGATATCTCGACCCGAAAGTTGCCAGTGTACTGGAGATCCGTCTCGACACAGCAGTTGCCGTCAACTGTCAAATCCTTGAGTCGCGGATTGGTGAGGAACGGAGCACCTTCTCCCATATCAATCTTGTGCAGGCCAATCTTGCTGATGAAGTTCGGCTTGTTGACCCGCGAGATTTTCTTCGCGATCTTACCGCGAACGAACTCCTCCAACTCGGGCGTCTGGTACAGAGCCAGAAACAAGCGGCCCAGAATCGCATTGATCCACCGTGTCTGCAGCTGCTCCTCAGAGGAATGCAGACGCCGAACCAGGGTGACAATATGCTTGACATCAAACTCCTGGTACTTGGGCGGGCGATCGGCCGAGTCCCACATCCGGGTCTGGTTCTGCAGCATGGCAAAATAGAAATCCTCCTTCTCCGACAAGTTCTCCGAAAACAGATAGAACGGCGGCGTCGGCCCTCCCAGGTCCCCCAGCGAATCCAGCCGCCGGGAGAGACAAACGGCGTTCCTCTTGAGCCATAACTCTCCCTCCGGGATATCGCCCTCGCCGCCATATATGGACACATCGTGATGAGCAAGAGAGATGACATAGCGCACTTCGACCTGGTTAACATCGTCATAAAGCATCAAGTGACCATGTCTGGTTAAAACAAAGTCATGATATCGTCAGCAAGAAGCGCCCGCCATTTCAATCGCGCCAGCCCATACCGGAGAACGATGTAGAAGACATTCCGCGCCCGCTTGGTATTCTTTCCATTCGACTTGGCCGGTTCAATACTAGGGGCTTGTTTGCGATCGAACAAGCTCCGGTACATGGCCTGATAGACGCTCGGACTCTCGGTCGCGACAACCTCGCCGGTCGGGGTGGTTCTCTCCGGGGGCTTCCCATTGACACCGCCAGGGACATATTCTCGGCAGACGGCAAAGTAGCCGGCAGCGACATCGGATTCGTGCGAGCGGTGGAACTGCTCGGCCAGCTGGTCAGTGCCGGACTTGAGACTATACTCGTCATCGGTCGGCTGGTGGACGTGGTCGGGCGCGGGATCGCATGATTGCCGAGGCGCCGGGGCCGAGGGGAGAGTTAGATAGGCATGGAGCAGGACCAAGCACAGGACCAGCGGGACGAAGGTGATTCCCCCGAGCACGTATACGAAGAGGAAGCTGCCGAGCGAACCCATCGAGAGTCGATCACAGTGAGAGCACCGAAAGCTCCATAATTTGAGGGCGCACGTCCCCAAGCAACAAGACAAAGAGACCGGCTCTGCAGGAAAAACACAAAAAGCAGGCAACCGGTGGACTCCGAGAGTTGAAACCACACGAAGATGAGTTGCACCGGGGATGACGAAGGAGCTGGACATGAATGTGGTATGGTTATAATAATATGTGTATTTTACTGTACTTTACACATATTCTGGTTATGCTTATGTGTCTTTGTACTGTTCGTAATGTTACCAACGAATACCAGCTCTTCCCCGCGCGATCCGCATCAACTGGGCCTGAGCAAAGTGCAGTTGAACATCGAAATGTGTGCGATTGCAAGTATAGAGATCTATTGAAGATGTAGAGCTATATATCATTGCTCTAGTCATAAAATGAATCAGACAATAATCATAGAACGTAGGCTATGTGAGGGCAATCAAGTCAGATATCGCGTCCACCACTCCTCATACCACCGGAAAGACTGATAGATCGTCTTGTGTCCCACCCACCCATGGCCCTCTCCCTCAAACTCCACCACCTCTGCAACTCGTCCATGGGCTCGCATAGCATCCGCCATCATGCGCGCCTGTGCCACGGGGACCACGACATCGTCTGTTCCCTGCAATAGCAACAACGGTGCCCGGATCTGCTCGGCGTAGTGGCACGGACTGCGCCTATCGAGTTCACGCTCTCGTTCCTCCGGGTTTTCGACGTTGCTCAACAGCAACCGGTCCACATCCTGGCTCTCGAACTTGTACGAGTCGGCCTGCAGTGCCCGCATATCGCTGATGCCGTACTCGCTGACCCCCGCGGCCCAGACGTCCGGGTATAGATGCAGCGCCTGTAAGGTCAAGTAGCCCCCCGCGCTGCCGCCGTAGATCCCAACCCGCGTGCGGTCAATCATTCCTCTCTCTGCGAGATAATCAATTGCGCTCACGGTGTCGGCTACATCCACCACGCCCCAGTGCCCGGAGAGTCGTTCGCGGTATTCTCGTCCATACCCGGTCGAGCCGGTGTAGTTGACGGCGCAGACCGCGAAGCCGCGCGTGGTCCAGTATTGGATTTCGAGGTCGAGGGACGGCTTAACACAACCATTGGGACCCCCATGCACATTGACCAGGAGGGGAGGTAGCTTTTTCTCGTCAACTTCGTACTCGGGGTTGCGAGGCGGGAAGTAGAACATGTGTACGAGCCCGTCACGCTGCGGACCGTACTTTTGAGGGGCAACAAATGGCCTTGCCAATGAGACATATTCTGGTGCTAATTCAAATAATGCGGTAGAAGTGAGCATGGTTCGTTGGGTTTCGAATGAAGGCGTAATGGAAACCAATGCCAGTTCCGAGGGAGAAGTTGTAGATGAACCGACAACCGCAAAGCTGCTAGGCGACACTCGGTAGATCCCGTTGGCACACTCCTCGTGGTCCACATAAGGCAAACCCAGGTCCCGAACCGCTAAAGTAGAAAGATCCAGGAGTACGATCTTGCTGGTGGCATGAGTGATGACCGCTGCGACAATTGTTGTTGCGTCAAGCGATGTAAAGCAGGAACTTGAGGGACGTCAGGTTCTTGCACAAGCCATCAGTCACAGCGAGAAACATTACCTTCCAAGCTCCCATTCTGGCGTAGCAAAATCTGCCTCCTCCAGGTTGGGGAACGACAGATGGCGCACAACACGGTCATTCACGCCGAAGGAATATAGTTGCCAAAACCCCGTCCTATCGCTCGCAAAGTATAACGTCCCATCCAAGCCCCATTTGGGCTGAGCAATGCTCTCGGCTTGAGCTTGGCCGGCGATGCGGGACACATTGTTCACTCTTCCATTCTCCCATTCGCCCCAGTACAGCACGGTTCCGGTCCATGGCATGTCCGGATGGGACCATTGGATCCACGAGACATATTTGCCAGAGGGGTCAAATTTGGGGTGCGAGTAGAAGTCGTCACCTTGCAGAACGGTCGACTCCTGCCCTGATTCAATATCGATTGCCACCAACGTGTTGTGGACGTCAGTTGCTTGGGTCTCCGGGGTCGCATCTCGATGGTCTTCCTTGACAGCAAGAATCCACTGGGGGGTTGTGGGATGCGTGCAGAAATTCGCATATCGAACGCCCTCGGGTGCCTGGTGGATGAGACGAGCCTGACTTGACGCTGGATCCAATAGATAGATGCTGCAGGATTTCTCATCGACAAACAGAATCTGACCATAGGGACGCATTTCCAGCGAGCCGCCCCCGAGCTCTTGCACCGTTGCGTGGGCACTCAGTTCTTTCGGGAGGACATCTCGACGGTGGCCATTGAGATGCTGGATTATCGCATAGCGACCTTCCTGCGTAGGGTGGCATTCTACGGAATATATCGCACCGGTAGATTCCTGGGTTCGATTAGCTGCCAGCCATTTTCCCAGGACTATAAACGAACATCGACCACCACTTCATGGAGCGTAATACTACAGCTGGCCATCCGCTCTGCAGTGAGCGGACTGCTCCATCGGCCGTAAGAAGAGCCAGGGGCAGACATCTTGGATCGGATGAGGAAGGACAGGTTTTGCAAGGGCAAATGCAATGTTTGGTGGGGTTCTTTATAGGGCCACTAGTCGCACATCTCCCCAATTTCATGGCCTGAATCCTTCGGCTCGCACATCACTTTTACTGCAATAGGAAGTATTGAGTGGATCACTCTAGTAATGCAATGAGTCAATGGATGCCTTCTTTATAAATAGCAAGAATTTATTTCTAGCATGGTTTTATATTATTTTGTTAGGCGGGGCATGTCTATAGGCGACTGTTAGGCAGTCATTCATGGGTGACAGCAAAACATGTATTTCCCTAATGAAGAAACAGAGTCTACGTGGATTCGACGGTTAATTCAAGTGATATACTCGAGTGATTAGTGTGGTCTTTAAGGATAAGTCAAGCCAGACATGGGAAATTCGTATGTATCAAGCATCTCCAAATCCCTAGGTATACATTGCCTCGAAAACCAAAATCGATGTAGAAAAAAGAAACCCAAGCAGTTATATGTTTACATGACGGAACAGTTCTTATTTTTTCCGCCGCATGGTCTTCTCGCACATGTCGATCAGCCCGGACTTGGCCTCGCTGTCTGGGAAGTCGCTGATGGCAGCCACAGCCTTGTCGGCATACTCCTGGGCCAACGCACGGGTTTGCTCAACGCCGTCGCTGTGGTAGACGAGCTCACGGGCCTAGAGAGGGATGATTAGCATTTATCAGGACCACCACTTGAACACACTACTTACCCTCTGCACGTCCCCCTCTTCACGGAACTTCCGACCCACCAACGGGCCGAGCTCCGGGTTACTCTTCCACGCAAACAGGAGCGGCGCGGTCGCCAGGCCTAGCTCCAGGTCTGCACCAGCCGGCTTGCCCAGCTCCGCCTCAGTGACGGTATAATCCAACATATCATCCACCAGCTGGAACGCCAACCCCAAGTTGCGACCGTAGGCGTAGGAGGCCTCGATGACCTCGGGGGCGCTCCGGCCAAGCACGGCGGCAGAGCGGCAGGACTTGCTGATCAGACTGGCGGTCTTCAGGTAGGTCTTTTGCAGGTAGTAGGAGAGGGTCTCGTCGGCGAACACGGGCTTGGACTCGTCCTGGGCTGTGTTCTTCAGCTGCATGAACTCGCCCTCCACCAGATTGGCAATCACAGTGGCCATCAGCTCAGTCACCTCGGGATCCCGCAGACGAGCCAGCGCCACCGAGGCCCGCCCCAGCAAGAAATCGCCCGCCAGCACCGCCATCTTGTTTCCGAACGCCAGGTTCGCCGAGCTACTGGCTCGGCGAGTCACCGCGTTGTCAATGACATCGTCGTGGAGAAGGGATGCCGTGTGGATCAGCTCCGTGATCTCGGCCAGACGCCGCTGCGAGGGCAGAATGTGGTCGTCGCCCGCAAAGTCGTACTGGCCTTCGGCGGATGGAGATACGAGTGGATTGATATCAGGATTGAGATCGTCAAGGATGGATGGCGCGCTGAGAGGATCGTTGACGGGTTTCGTGCTGTCTTGGTTGGGATTGTGCTTCCGCGGGTCCAAGGCTGTCGCCTGGGACATAAGCAGCACCAGCAATGGCCGCATGTGCTTGCCCTCACTGCGAGTATAATACTTGGCCACCTTGTCCAATGCCGGGTGACCCGATCCCAGCAATTGACGGAGATTTTTGGTCAGGAACTTGAGCTCCTTGCCAACTATCCTCAACGGGTCGACCGAGATCCCCGGAGGTGCTTTCGGCATACCCTTGAAAATGGTCTGCGCGGCTGACACAGCGGCTCCAAACGGAGAGACATCTCTTCGGCGACTGGGGTGGTATCGTCGAGATTGAAGAGAAACGGGAGTCAAGCGGAGATCATCGCGGAGGCATTGGAGGCACACGGAGGTCGAGGGTGTTCGTGAGAAGATCAGCCCCGTGGCCGGGACGGTTCGAGCTCGCATGCTCAAGGCAGTCCCGGTGAATATAAAACAAGTGGCAGATTAAACCGAGATCATGGAAATGCAGTTGGAAACCAGAGTCGATAGAATTGAGCCGCGTGAGATGTTGCGCGGAAAAGGAAACCTCGCGGGAAGATTTCTGAGCTCTCGGGTCGGCACGGACCAGCGCGCGGAGCATCATGGTGATCAGAGCATACAAACCGAACATCAACCATCAATTTATAAAATGAGATGAAATAAAATAAAATAGAGTCCTAGCTCAATTGTCTCTACTCAATATCACCACAAATCCATGCCAGTAGAATCTAGTCTTCAGCTGCCCTGGCTCGCCTCTACAGTAGACACGCAGGCACAATGCAAAGATAATTCCAGTATAAGAGACACGGAAGATCGCGCCGGCCATCTTGGTCCTGCACATTCCCCTTGATACACGTCCGAGAAAGAGGGGGAAAAAAAGTAAAAGCCAAATCACACACAATTAACACACGGGTCGAAAGAGGCCACTAAGTAGAAATATCCATGGGGCCGGCGCGAAAGGAAATGCTGTATCAATTATCAAGAAGCCACCCCTTAGATGGCGTCGAAATCGCCTCCAGCATCCTCGTCGTCCATGTCTCCCTCCTGGATCTCCTTGGCAAGCTCCCGCTCTCGCTCCCGCGCCTCTTGGGCACTCTTCAGCTCCAGACGGTGCTGGTTCATCGGGAAACGCATGGCCTGGAAACGGGAATTGTCAGACAACTCACAGCACAGGGCTCGGACAAAATACATACCTTGACACTCTCGTCATGCAGGGCCAGACAGGCATGGATACGGTCGTGGAATGCCTCCCCAGGTTCTCTCGTGGCGTAAATATCGCCCACCTCCTTACTCTTCATGAAACCATGCTCATGGTCCAGAGTCGCCTCGATCACGCCATCCCGAATGGCCTTGGCCACGATGTATTCGGCTGACTCCTCGCTGTCCAGGCCCAGACGGAGACAAATATCCCGCAGAGAGATTCGCGAGTAGGACAACGACATCATACGGATGCCAGTCTTGATGACATTCTGTCGCAGACGCAGAATAAGGGTATACGTGCCATCCTTCCGGAACGTGGCACTGTGTGTGTTGACGATGTTCAAGAACCCGTCCAGGTCTCCAACGCCAACGGCCTGCGCCAGTAAGAAGTACGGGTGCATGGCCCGTTCTAAGGCCGGCTGGCGGAAGACCCCGCGATCCGGGATATCACCCATCAGCAGCTCGACCACCACCAGCAGCTTGTGGGAGGCCTGGTAGAACCCACGGGCACTGTGGCTGGCGGGGGACTTGCGGGTGGCCCCGATCAGGTGGCTATGGGCTTCCGTGTATTGCAGCTGGATGGCACGAATGCGCCCAAGGTAGTACAGATACCGCGCAATCTGGTTGTTGGAAGCCGCAGTGGGGAACCGGTTGTGAGAGATCAAAAGGTCTGCCTGCGAGATGTGGGAAGTAGACAGGTAGTTGCGGAGCAGCAGGGTCATCACGGTAGCCTGCGTGTCGACATCCTTTCGAAGAACGGCGGTCCGCAGAGCGGCCAACAGCGGCTGACGGATAGTAGTCACGGCAGCTGCAGGAGATGGGGGGAGCGGAGCGAGTTGCTCGAAGAAGAGAGAGTAGTAAAAGTACACGCGAGCGGCGAGAGAATCCAGCGTACGGCGGTTGAGGGCGCGCAGGCGCTCAATGAGATCTGTCGAGAACTGGCCTCCCTTCTGGAAGTCTCGCTGGTCGAACAGGTAGATCTGTACCAGAATGGACAGGTATGCATCCACCTCGGGAAGGATCTCCTTGGGGGCGGCCTTGTTCTTCTCCGAATCCACCTCCATCTTCGAGCTGGCCAGGGCACTCTCGAAAGCACCCGCCTGGTCGATGGCGTCCAAGAGGAACGATGCCGTCACGCTCGAAGCCGGGTAGGTCTCCACGATGACCTCGGCGAGGACCTCGGGGGTGATGTATTTCCGCATCGAGGATATCGATCGCAGGACACGGAGGGTAAATCTGGGGTCGAAGTGGGCGACGGCTCGCTCGAGCAAAGTAAAGTTGGTTTTGATATCTATCGTCGGGCCAGGGAGGATTGTAGTTAGCATGAGCGTCTTTGGTGGTCATCCCGGATCCAAAACTCAAAACCAACCTTGAATCGCCTTGGTTGTTGGATCGACCTCGTGCTCGGTCTTCTCCTCTTCCTCCGCACCTTCCATTGTCACGTCCTCCTCGGTATCCTTGCCGGATGATCTGGAACCCTTGGTAGGGGGCACTACAACAGTCATCTTCTCGTCACCTTTCCGATCCTTACTGGTGTTGAATGAGGATGTAGGCGCACCTGCCGTATCCTCTCCCATCTCAACATCCTCGGAGCCATTCACACCATTCTCAGTCGACTTCGACCCGTTGACGTGCGACTGGTCATTCTCGCCCATGCCGGCGTTCGATGCGCCCTTGGCGCCTTTCTTTGCCGGGGCCGACTTGGCCTTGTTCGCCGCGGCGCGGGTGGTGGGCGCGGCCTTGTCTTTAGTATTCGAGCTCTGCGAGTTCGAGCGAGCCTTTTCACCGTTAGCAGATGAAGAGGTGTCGGATTTGTTGTTTGATCGCAAAGAACGCCTTTCGGCCGGCATCTTTCCCAAGCTGTCGAGCTCAGCTGAGCAGCACCAAGCTAACGGGAGAAGTAGGGGGGAAGGACGATCACGAATAGAGAATGAAGACCGGGAGCAGAGGGGGCAAAACCAAGCGAGCCAGGCTACCAGGACAAATCAAATGATGGGACAAGGGGATGGATGAAGTGGGTGAGTGATGTGATGTCAAGAGATGGAATGGACGGGCGCAAGAGACCAGCGCGCTTAGTCAGGGGGAGCTTACTCGGCACGGACTGCAGAGGAAGATGCTGGAAGACGGGCAGAATTTACCTCGGTCGATAAATTGAAGAGATTCAAGCAGGTTTAAAAGGAGAAAGGACCAAGAAGATAAAAAGGAGACAACAAGGCAAGACGCTCATTTTTTGCGGGTTTGGGCTGCGTTAGCCACCTGGTCCTCTGCAGGCCTGAGGCAGCGACATCCATAGCTCTCGTAAACAACTCAGCGCCAACTCACAACCCGCCAGACACCATGCCGCTGCTCGACTCTCACCTGGAGCAGATTGCACTCTCCTCCAATGCTATTGCCGATCTACCGTCCGTAACTCCATTGATTGACCCCAAACTATCCTTAGAGATACTTATCGAGAAGCGTTTAGATTCCCTCCGCCCCGCATCTTTACCAACTCGCTACTGGGCTCTCACGATATAACGGCATTGATCCGCGATACTGAAGCTCATGAACGTGCCCTATTCCAGGTTGATCCATCCACCAAGGCCCATGGATCCCAAAGGCGCGCCACTCGACGCGGGACCACGTTCCCTGAGCCCGAGACAGAGTCGATGGCCAGTCGTATCTATTCGGCGCGCAACAACCGCACCCAGTCCGCGGTGGCTCGTGTTTTGGGGTCCGATATGATGGAGGAAATCAAGCGGTCGGCCGGCACCTCGACCCGGGGACCTCGCGGCGAGGTCAATATTGAAGTGCTCTTGCGAGGTGCGGAGATTCTATGTCAAGTATAGTGAGTGCTCTTGTCCCCGGATTTGCCGGTACCGCTGAACTAATGAGCCGATATAGTCCCGTTGCTGGAGCGCAAGACAAGATTGCTAGCTTGCGCTATCGACATGAAATGATCACCGATTCCATCTTCCAGCTGGAAGATCGGGTCGCCACCAACACCGCCGAATTGGAGCAAATGAGGCATTCATACGGAGATGATGAGGATTATTCTCCAGCACCCGTATTTCAACCAGATACCCCAGATATCACAGACGAGGATATCGAGCACGAATTGGCCGAAATCCGCGAGTTGGAGCGGAAAAAGCGAGCCTTGGAAGAACGAGTTTCTGGCATGGACCGAGATCTGGGAGGTCTCATCGGCTAAACGTCTCTCTCTCTCTCTCTTTTTCTCATATGATTCCCCACAGAGCTGTTCTTTTATTGTTGCAAATGAAACCTTCGACCAAACCCGGCCTCACAGAGTAACAGATCGTACTGACAAGTTCATCCTCGCCTGGCTAGAGTGGCTTTGTCTCAACAGAAGATCCAGAGCATATAACACTACCTGAAGTGTCCTAGCTGGCTATGGGTCAGTTGACCGGGAATATCAGGCCTTGATGCATTCATCCCGTTTGACCCCGACAGCCCGCCATCGGTTCGGCCGCTTGCCCTTTGCACTCCGGCCCTTCCATCTTGTTCCAAGCAAATACGTGTAATAATCTTGTCTCATCCGTCTCTCACGTTGTATTTGATCCGTCCAAAGTGCGTTGGGATAACCCTAATGGCCGCCTCAACCGCAGCACTCATCCCGGCCGCCCTGGCTTGTCCGCTATCCATGAACTGGCAGTTCAGGCATTTTTGTATACATAATGCTGTTATTTCTGCTGCTCGCAAATATACAAAACCGATGATGCGTTACATGTATTGTTTACTAGGACTTCTGCTGTACTTGTCACTTAGGCCGCGAAATAATGATACGCGCGCGCTGATATTTTGATATACCCAGAACCGTAGTATATGTCCGTTATTATACTTGCTGCTCACAATTTCTGTATAGGATTGCCGGTCATAGGCTATATATATTGTTTTCTAGGGCTTCCGCTATACTTGTGCTACTTAGGCCGCGAAATTTGGAATAATATACGCGCACTTAACATTTTAATATCCTAGATTCGGCGCATATATCTGTTTCTCTCACAATCGCTTCATTAGTCTTTCATTTTAGTGGACAAAGAAGCAGTTCTCGGCGCGCGACGTGCTTAGTATATTCGGCGAGCGTACTGACATTTTGATATAGCCAGAATTGGGGTATGTATTTATTTCTCTCACGACCAATTCATCGGTAATTCATTTCAGTAGAAAAAGAAGCAGTAGAGAAAGAAGTGACACGCGCGCGACGTGCTCGGCGTGCTGGTGTGTTCGGCGTGCAAGGCCCGGTATCAATCGACCGCCAAAGGATGTGCCAAGACCCGCCCCGACGTCCCGACATTACACTCTGCGCAAGCAGCATCCTTAATCGCACTTTGCCGCTGAGATCCCAACGCCGAGACCTCGTTGGGGTGGTGCAATCTGCGTTGCCTTGTCAGATCCTTTTGCTGAAACGATTCTTGCTTCCTTCAACCGCCTCCGCCTCAAGACCGCGCCTCATAGCGGTGCCGCCACTCATTCCGCACTTCCTCCTGCCGTTCCGATTCCAATCTGAGCAAAAACCGGGCATCTACTGCCAGTATGGACGGGTCTCAAGGTCAACCTGCTCAGGGGATGGTGCCGCCGCCGCAGCACTCAAACCTGATCCGGACGGATCAAGTGCAGAAGCTGCCGCACCTGAATGACCAACAGAAGGCTCAGCATACCCAGCTGGTGCGTGGCTTCTGGGAAATTCTCAACACGCGTGACCCGAAAAGTCCTGAATATCAGACAGCCCAGAGCAAGCTGTCCACATTGTCCCAGAATTTGATGAAAGGGATGCGGCTGTTCCAGCAGAACCGACAGCAGGCCCTCCAGGCGGCACAGCAGGGCCAGCCGGGCCAGCCGGGCCAGCGGAATCAACCGAACAACCCCCAGTCACTCAATCAACTCCTGCCGCAGATCCAGGCCAAGGTCAGCGCGCTCAACTTCTATCTGCCGCCGAACGTGACGCCAGAGCAGGTGCAGACTTGGATTCCTGAGGCCCGGCTGCGATATGGGATTGCCCTCCAGAAACAGGAAGTTGGACGGGCCCGAATTGCGGAAATGCGCCAACAATTTGCCCAGCGACAGACCCAGGGCAACATGACCCAGGAAGAAGTGCAGGAGTTCAAGAACCGACAATTGGCAGCTGAGAAACTGTTCCGGGAGGGCAGTGAATTCTTGAGCAAGTTCAAGGAACAGCAGGAGAGCTTCAAGGCTCAGTCACACCAAAATCAACCGGCCCCGGCTATCAATCAACCTCCTAGCCAGACAGCTGCTCCGGCCACAACTCCTGCTGCCACGCAAGCTCCTAATACCCAGGTGGGGAATGGGACTTCAATGCAGGCGGGACAGGCGCAAACTCCAGCACCTCACACTGTGAATTCGGCCGTGAATGCCGCTCGAAACCAAGCGGGGCAAGCCATGTCGCCGTCAACGTCGCAGCCAGGGCAGGCACCCTCGGGAACTCCCTCTACGGCAATCCCCGTTCCACCCAACGCACAGCAAACAGCGCAGCGACCTCAACCTTCCTCACAGCAAGGAACTCCCGGTGCTCAAGTCACGTTCAGTCAAACTCCCAACCCTGATTCTTCTACCCCCACCCCCACCCCTCCTGGCCCTCAGCAACTGAACCAAGGCCCCCCTCGTCCTCTTTCTCACCAAGCTGCTATTGCCCAAGCCAACGCAAATCAGCAACAAACCATGAGCTCCACCCCCCTAACCAGCAAGGTCACCCCCAGGGCTACCTTGCCAACCGATCTACTGAGGCCTCTGCCCGTAACATCAACATGGCCATCCCCAAGAACCTTAACGTGTCGACACCTGAGCCTGCTCCCATGCCCCCTGCACGTCCCTCTCTTTCTGGTGGCCCCAGCCACGGCGCTATGGGCATGATGGGTCAGCCCGCGATCCAGAAGCACCCTGGCTACGTGCTGGAGGGTGAAGGCCAGCGTCTCCTGAGCAAGAAGAAGCTCGACACTCTCGTTCGCCAGGTGACTGGCGGTGGTGAGGGCGAGGGACTCACTCCCGACGCAGAGGAGGTACGTATTCTAATTTCCTACAGGTCTAAAAAGTAACGTCAACGTAACGCTGACTCTCGTTCCTCGCCCGTTTCTCGCAGTTCCTCCTCGAAATGGCCGATGATTTCGTGGACGACGTGATCACCCAGGCCTGCCGACTGGCCAAGCTCCGCCCCTCGTCCACCCTCGAGCTGCGCGACATCCAGCTGGTGCTGGAGCGCAGCTACAACATGCGCATCTCTGGCTTTGCCACCGACGACCTGCGCACCGTCAAAAAGCCGCAGCCCACCCAGGGCTGGATGCAGAAGATGTCTGCCATCCAGGCGGCCAAGGTCACCCAGGGCAAGACCGATTAAATCGGCGCCCTTGCTACTTCGTCTTTGGGAGAATGCCCCATTTTTTTCGTTGATCTCTTCGATGTGACGTGGGCGTCTCTCGGTTCTCTTCTCTTTTTTCTTTTTCTTTTTCTTGTGATTTTCGTTCTGGGACTTTGCTTTTTGTCTCCTACTGGTCGTTGACATCTGGGGTTTCGTTGACTTTTCTTGAGCGCCCTGAGGAGATCTGGCGTTTTTGTTTTTGTTTTTTTTTTTTTTGGTTCTCTGGTTCTCTGGTTTTCTTCTTGAAATTGGGAAAGGTCTTTTTGTCCCCCGTTCTATGGGGATGGGTGTTTCTTTTCGCTTCGTTTATTTGCTTTTACTCGAATCAAAGTGCATCCATGCTCGTCCAATGATTCGTTCTTTTTTTTTTCTTTTAGTTTGTATTCTCTTCTGCTCGAGGCCAAGGTGGGATCAGTCCTTTCCGAGAAATGGTCTTAATAAGAAACCAGAGCCAAGTAACGTGGACTTGACGTGAACTTGACGCTGAGCAGCCCCGTAAGTCCATGGAGAATAGTTAACTTGCCGTTACTTCCAATGATAGTATGTGTCTATCTTCTAGAGAAATACCTATCTTAGCATAGCCGATATACTAGGCAGAGCATGTCTACTGCTACTATCCACTATCTACGACCCCTTGTACACAGCAAGAAAACAAAAGACAGATAATTAAAAGGTTCCCACGCTTGGAGAGTCTGCTGACTCGGACTAGGAAAATACAGACAGCGCGCAATATCGAGATACACAGGTGGTATAGTGATTGGTACAGGGTATGAAGAGCGGCAGAAAAAAGCACCGGGGCAAGATAGAGCAACGGAAGAAAAAGAAAAGAAAAGTCACACAAAAAAGGAAAGAGGAGATCACGAACGAGTTGAGAGCGGTGGGCCGAGAGTCGGTGCCGGTTGGTCCTTTCAAGGACAACAAAAAGAAAAGGAAATAAATGTTTGACAGAGAGAGAGACATGGGAGCCTTATGCACGGACGTGAGTGGTTAGGACAAGGAAAAGACATGTTGAAGAGATAGAGTGAGTATGAGGGGGAGAATGTGCATGGTTCCATCACCAAAAGAGCGATGTGATGGAGCATCTTGAAGTTGGGAGCTTGAGACAGACATTGGAAAAAGAGACAGAGAGTGAGTGTGGGTCGAGGATACGGATGATCCCCAGACACCGTCATCCAAACAAGGAGACAGAGAGCATCGCTCAGCCAAAAAGAAATTACACACGTCATTCGTGAACATCAACGGTACCTTAAAGGACCGTTGGTGGGCAACACAAAAAAGAGATGCCTCACGCAGACCCATGCCGAGGAAAACAAAGTGGTCTATCAAGAGCAACAGTGGGGGGAATATCTCGCTGAATACCAAAAAAAAAAAAAAACACAAGATCAGAGAGGAGAAGGAAAGGGGATCCAACAAGGAGAGTGACGGTGTCAATATCCAGACTCTCTGGAGGAATTATTGGTGGTTCGGACTCAAAGGCCAGCCCTTACCCCAATCAGTCTCTTTGCCTTTGCTGGATGGTTGCGGCCGGTCATTCTGGGGGACGGGTGGTAGATCCTTATCAGAAACAGGCCGGCCATGTCGGCTGTGTTGGCTGTGGCCCCCGACACTGCTTGCCTCGCCCGCTTCATCCACAATCGGAAGAGTCGAGGTCGGACCAGGGCCGCCAGCATCTGCAGGATCCCAGACAGTGGCTAATGTGCGAGGGTGTGTAACAGACACGTCTTTTGCTGCCTCCTTCTCAGCTGCTTGCATCGTCCGCTCGACAGATGAAGATCTAGATCGTCTCTTCTCGCCTGACGGCCGGCCGGAGGCATGGGAGTCTCGTCGTCGTTCCACTTCTTCCTTGGACATGGTGATTCCTTTGATGAAATTAATGAAGCGGTCTCCATAGCCCTCGGGAGGGATAGGAGAAATCTGAGTACGGTCATTGGATAGGCCTTTGAAGAAATTCTCGATCTTCTTGGTCATTCCATACTGTTCAAAGAAACAAGATCAGCCCTGCAACGGTTGACTGGTCCACGGGTATCACCTGTTAACACTTACGTGAGTCAGACAGTCGATGATCCCGAGGTAGTAGATCTCTTCACCGGGTTGGCCATTCTCATGGGTCGCTCGGAAGCCCCCGTCATCCGCGTAGAAAACATGATACTTGCGCTCGTCAAGTATCTCTTCGGGCATCTTTGCCGCCGCTTTGTCCAAGGGCACCGGTCGCTCGCGCTTGATCAGCATACGAAGCTCCCGCGCCTTGCGTTCGTTCTCCAATTTCGACGGGGTGCGCATCAGCATATTGGGGTTGGTGTCCTCCTCGCGCGTACCGCCAGGTTGGAAGACCTGGAGGGTCTTGTCGCGCAGTTTTTCTTCATTGCCCCGTTCAACATCGTGGATGCCGACCAACAGAGAATAGTCCATGATTTTGAGTTTCTTAAGCAATTCGACATCGCGTTTGAGTTGCTCGATGAAAAAATCTCGCTTGGAGGGGCCACACTGCAGGTGACGATTCCGCCGAACCCAGTTCAGATCCTTCATCGTGGCTCGCGGATTGCGCTCCAGGTCCGACTCCTGCAAATCCCGGCCGATTGTCGATCCCTTCAGGTCGAACGTTTGGTGGATATCCCGATGGGGCGGGAACAGATTGTTCATGACGACGAAGTGGATCTTGCGACCATAGGCCATCTTGACACGGTGCAGTCCATAGAATTGCGAGATCAGAGTGTTGGGGTTCTCTTCCACGTGTCGATAATACTCGGGGAGAATCTTTCGAAGGAGCTTGTGCTCCGCATGGTGAATGGTTTTGATGATGTACTTGTAGTCTCGCGAGAAGTAGAAGAAGCTACCACTCTTTCCAGGCGAGCCTAGTTCCGACAGGATGTACTTGCTCGTCAGAGACATCAGGTAATCGGCGGGGTCTAATCGAAATTTGGCGCGAAGACGTCGGAACACCCACGGGGCGTAGTCTTTGAACTTGAAGTCGTACTTGGCGGAAGGAATCAACTCATTCCCCGTTCTGTTGTGGTCAGCTCATACTCCGGTACCCATGGCGTGGGGACAAAACAGATCCAAAACAGGGTCAACCGTACATATCAAAGGAGAACTTGTGCTTGGCTTCAAAGTCCGCAAGGGTGAGTTCCCGATCCATCTTCGCATTGATTCGCGACACTGTGAACCGAATTCCAGTCAACATGTTATATGCCGTGACATAATTCACATGGTTCTGATCGACCTTGGTCCCCACGATGACCCGCTCGTCGTCGTCGTCCTCCCGTCGCCGTCGCGAGGCTCGTTTTTGCTTGATGGCTTCAGCCCAGCGGGCCGCATCTTCATCGGGCAGTGCTTCGTCGGCAGGACCATCCGACTGGGTTTTCGTTGCCCGTCGAATCAGGCCAATGGAGGTGCGCCGGATGCCACCCGTCGTCGGGGACAACCGGCCACTGCTGAACGCAGTGTCCTCGGTGTACTCTCGGCTGGTGCGCCGAACGCTCGGGGCTCTGGGTACCTGCAGCGAATGTCGATGCCGTGCACTGGGGCTCTGCGGGTCTAAGGCCAGGCTACCGTCGGCCACCGAAGGGGCTGGAGGAGAGGAGTGGCGGTGATGGCTATGTTTCGAGCCCGGGGCTAAGCGATCGGGATCTGGGGAGTGACGGCCGGTGTCATCTGGCTGCGGGATCTGTAAAAACGAGGCCGATGGGCTGGCTGCAACGTCTGAGATGGAGGGCTCATCGGCGGACGGGCGATGGGAATCCCCGTTGACCATCAGCTTCCCAGGGAACGACCGAGGAGTGCCAGAGACCCCATTGACCGGTTGGCTCGAGATAGACGCGGTCGTGGAGCCCGCTCCGGGACCCGCGTCGAACGACTTCCGGTCCAACATGGCAGACGGCCGACCGGACTCTCGAGGATCCCGGACCGATCCATTGCCCAGAGAGTGCATGCTGCCGTTGGATTGCGGCGGATCACGCGTGTAGGAACTGACACTCGACCGGGGGCCATTCAGCGAGTAGGCGCTGCCATTCTTCAGATTGGTGAGATAGCGGTCATTCTGGGGAGCGTCGTGGTTCGCGTCGCCGTTGGGCCAGTTGGTCCACAGGAAGGTGTTTCTGACAGGAGTTTTGTCGTGCGACTTGCGAGGTGAATCGAAGGAGTGAGGATGAGTGGGGGTTTGATAGGAGACGTCGTTGGAGAAGGATGGCATGGTCGACTAGAGAGGGGGAACGGGTGACGTGAGGTCTGCGTGGACCGGCAACCCGAAGTGACGGCAGGAGCCCTTAATTGGCGGGGAACCAGGGAAAGTTGGGAACCAGACGGAGTTTCCAGTGGATGAGAACGAGAGGAAGGGAGGGAGTTGTTGGAAAAGAGAGTCGAGTTGGGATGGGTTCACGGTCGGGGTCAAAGATTCTTCAAGCCAGGGCGACAATTCACGCACTCAGCATGGTTCAGGCCAGATCTGGCGCAAACAGGGGATCGAGAGAGAAAAACACAAATGCTAATTCAGGCGCTATGCAATGGGGGAGAAGATCAAAGGAAAATAGGAGGAAGATACAGAAGAGAAGAAGAGATGTCGGGAGAAAAGCCAAGGGACTTGCGTGTCGTAATTACTGTACTGTTTGTCAACTACGGAGCATCCATCGATAATCTCTTCTTCGTCTCTTTTGATTCATCGTCATCTTCATTCGTTTCTTCTACCATCAAGGTCCTCTCTGCAATCTCCAATCTTGTCCATATCCCCTCATGATGCGCTGGCACATCCCCTTGCTGATGCCGATGATCCCACGGTGTAAACCGGCTTCTCTCAGGCCAAGAACTCGAACCCCTCAGTCAGTATCCGATATGCAAGGACTCCGAGGAGAGAAGAGAAAGAGAAAGATGGGAGTATACGGTGAAGGCTACACAAGTCCAGCATCCAGTGACTGAATACATACAGGATCGAAGACCGAAGACATCGAGAAATATGCCATGTGGATACATCGGCCACTTTCTCCCAATCCGAAGAAATCCTGAGGGTACGATACTCTGTAGATACTCGTACGGTGGCTGAAGCCCAATTGCCTGCCCTGGGGAGAAAATCTCGATTACCCTTCACCATGTGGACGTTGAGTACTAATACTTCCAGGGTTATTCTAAGGTGGTTGTTCCACCCACACTCGAGCATACTCGAGGCATATTTACGAAAACTCTGCCCCTGTATGTCCATCCAAGGCAGCATTTTATTTCTGTATTTTCACTGTACTCCGATGGGCCCACTCCAAAAATAGCCGATCCACCCATATGAAATCATGTCAACAATCTCCTGAAGACAGGAGAGGGACTGGGATCACATTCAAGATTCTTCAGATTCTCAAGGTTCTCGGGTCTCCATGAGCCCTACCAGCCTGGCCGAGTATCAAGTAAACAAACCCTGAGCTGACAGCATACTCGCGGTAAGGGTCCCGTCTGTGGCTGAGCAGAACCCGTCATAGACCCATTTTCTTCTCTACAGTATACATCACGATCAAACCCACTTCAGACCAAAGAGATTCCAATTGCAGTCTCTGACGAATACCCTGGCGTATCGAGACGAAAGTCAAAAAAAAAAAAAAGAAAACCACGATTTCCCCCATTGAAACCCACCAGAGGACGCCATCCCTTCGACTTTGGAAAAAAGCAAAGTCATCATAAACGAAGATATCCCAAGAAGACCACACACGCACACACACCAAGGAGACCAAGAACCACACAGATCAAAGAGAAAGAAAGAAATTACAGCGGAAGAGAAGAACAAAAGAAAGTCCCCAACGCCCTCCCCGGAAATGCGCACGTAACAAAATGGGGAGAGCTTCAACGGATCAAAACAAGAGACCATGGGCCTCTATTTCTTGGTAGCCCGCTTCTTGGGAGCTGCCTTGGATGGCGGCGGAGCGGTGGTCTTGGTGACCCGACCCGACTTGGTCTTGCTGATCACCTTGGGCTGCTCGACAATGGCAGGAGCCTGAAAATCCGATTAGTCCGATCTGGTTCAACAGAAGCAGGGTCAACATACCGCAGTGGAAGTCTTGCGGGCCTTGCCAGAGTTGGCCTTGGGCTTAGCGGCCGTCTTCTTGGTCGTGGTCTTCTTGGTGGCCGTCTTCGCCGTGGCCTTCTTGGGAGCGGCCTTCTTGGCGGCGGTCTTGGGGGCAGCCTTCTACCCGCGCAGTTAGCACCACGAAGGGGATCAGTTGCGAGAGCAAGACTTACCTTGGCGGTCTTAGCAGCGGGCTTTGCAGCAGGCTTCGCGGCAGGCTTGGCCGCGGGCTTAGCCGCAGCATCCTTCTTCGCGAGCTTCACGGGACCAGAGGGGCCTGGGTGGTCGACGCGTCAGCTGTCTCTTCTAAGAGAGTGTGGCAACAGTCATATCCGCCGCTCGAGCACTCTCCAGCAACGGGGGTACCACACGAATCAATGTGCGAAAGCGCTGGGGTGCAAAAACTTACCCTTGGGCTGGGTGAACTCTTCCTTCTCAACGCCGGTCTTGAGAGCCTTGTTGAACTGGGCATCAAAGGCGCTCTGAGACGCGACGTTGATCTTGTTGTTGGCCTGCACATACTTCTTGATGGCCTGGCGGCTGTCATAAGGGGAACCCAAGTTAGTGGTGTTCAAGGCCAAACAACGCGACAGGATTGCCGATCGCGAAGACGTCACGACTTGACGGGATCGCACAAAAAACATACCTGCTACCATTGCGCTCTTTCAGCTATTGACAGAAAGGCCAGTCAGCAATGAGAAATTATCATAAATTAAATTGAAAACGAGTGTTGTGGTGGTCCATGCCCAAGGGTTGGACGTGACACGGTCGGGCGCGCGATCCGAATCACAACAAGCCTCGCGCCGGCAGTGATCAACTCACGTTCACAATAGCATCCTTGATCATATCTACATGGATGGAATCAGCAGGCATTCGCGACCAGAACGATGTCACCATTCAGTTTACGCGATAGCGTGGTGGCGAAAGATCAGAGAAAAACATACCGCGGTAGGAGGAATGGGCAGCAGGCGCAGCCTTCTTGGACGCGCTGGTTGCTTTCTTGGGAGGCATGATGGGAGAGAAGATAGAAGAAAGAGAAAGAGAATTTAGTGAGAATATAATATCGAGGGTGGAAGTTTGAAGAAAAAAAGAAGAAAAATCAGGAGGATGTGGAAGGGAAGAAGAGCAGAAGGGGTGGGAACAGGTCGCGGGGCATCCGTGATTTATAGGCGGCTGTTGACACCAGATCAGCCTGGGGAACGTCCCTTTCCTGAACTTCTTTTCTTTTCTTTTCTTTTATTCTTTTTCTTCTTTTCTTCTTTTCTTCTTTTCTTCTTTCCTTGTTTTCTTGTTTTCTTGTTTGATTATATTATATTTCCTGGCTTACTCTTCCTGTCTCGGGTCTATTGTCACGTACTTCTTTATATCCATAGATGAGTCGGGGGCTGTTTGGGGTTGGCTCTCGTATGAAGACGAAGAATGGGCAGCCACGCGCATTCTCTGTAGAATCAAAACACTTTATACGTAGGTAGTTACTCTATGAGCTTATCTATCCAGCTTGAATGACTTGGCTTATATTCGCGTATTCTTAATAGAAAATTCTCTTCAATGTCTTCCTCTCCTGAATCCATCAAAATCGCGCATTTCTCTTCTTTCTCTCCAGAGTCACGTACTGCTTTCTGGTACACCCACATTCCGGTGCCATCGGGGAGGGGATCATCGCCTGTTTCCCTCTTTTCGCTGGTTTCGGCGACCCTCGATGGCTGGGGGATTTTTTGAGGAATTCCACTCTGCTCCTTTCTTCCGCTCGAGGAAACCCCAGTCAGCAGTGGAGAGGTTGTACAGTATTTTATTGAATGAGTGAGGTACTATGCCCGAGGTCGATGGCGATGCGCGCGGCAGTGGCGATGACAGGTCCTCCATCGCGCATGAGATCCGTGCTTCTCGCTCTCCTTGCGTGGTGCCTTGGGGGGACCTGCGTGGGTGGCCTCGTGGGGTCACGAGGGTCATTTTCCAATCATTTAAATGGCTGTCAAATCATTACTGAAGTTGGCTGGTCTACTGTTTGCGATGTTCTACTCACGCGGACCCGTGGCAGCCCGTGACTCCATGATGCCTGCACTTTGTCGCGAACCCATGGTCTGAGCCAAACAATAGGATAATAGGATAATAGGGATTTCATGAGCATTTGATCTGATTTACAATTCCATGGGACTCTGTCAGTTGTATATCCATGGATTTGTTCCCGAAGTAATATGCCGGCTTGGAGTCTGGCGCAACCGGTGATCTATGTATATATCCTGGTTCTATGTACTCCTTCTACCCCGATTAAATCAAATAAGCTGATCTTCAAAGGTTGCAGCATCTCAGATAAATACTGCTCTATAAAGGACATCTCAAAGAATAGATATCCTTACCAAGAGCACCCCCGGATCACTGCAGAATCATGGCTGCATCAGTCCATGCATCGAATCAAGGGACTCGTCGGTCAACACGTTGATCCCGCACTACCTACCTTCCCTTTGTTTTAAAAAACCATGTTTCCTGGATGAACTCAATAATGACAGCAGATTCTACCTGGATTTGAAAGACCCACGGTGTTCTGCCCTGAGATCAGTCCCGACCTCTCGTCATCACTACTTCGGGTCCGATCTCGCTTAGTTCCGCGACGATCTATACAACACCACCGGGTGACCGACTGTCTAGTTCCCATTACCCCAGCATTGACCAAGTAAGAAACCACTTCTCAAATATCCAGAACTACCCCAATAGAGCAAATCAAAGTACTTGGGAGCTTTACATCCACCATGACAGCGAGGATCAGTCAAGGGGCCCGCGTCCCTTTGCTCCGGTCGCCCGGCCTCTTGATGTCTGATCTGGCGGTCTACACATACCACAGTCGATGGATACAATGCAGAACCAATGCAAATACACATCATGTTTGTGTGTATCATCAAATAGAATCACTTTTTGGGGGGTGTGATCCACTGCGCTTTATGCGATGTTCTTAACGACCTTGAGTCCGCACTCGAAATCAGTCCATGCATAGTAGATGGGGGAAAAAGAAGATAGAAAACCATGCAAACGCCCACGCCAGAGTAGCTCATGTCAGATCAACGGGTGTTGCTTTCGCATCAATAAAAAGATGAAAAAAGAAGAAGAAGAAGAAGAAGAAAATAGCATAAGACGAATGGCCTAGCCCGCCCCGCGCGGTTTGGCCTTGGCGTCCTTCTTCGCTTTGGCTTCATCCTTCTTGCGCTTCTTCTGCTCCTGGAGCTTCTCATCGTGCTTGCGCTTCAAATTGGCCTTCTCTTGATCGGTGCGAGCCACAGGCTTGAAGAAACCCTCCAATCGGGACTGTTGCGCGGATTTCAGGTGCTTCTGCAGGCGGGCGGCTCCGTTGCGCACCCGATCCTCGTTGAAACCCTTGTCAGTGACCAGGAATTCAACCAGGCCATCGATGTTTGGGGCTTCCCACTTGAAATCGCAGTCCGGGTGGTCGGCATCTCGGGCGTCCGGAGTGAGGAACAGGTCTCGGGCGTCTTGGTAGGGCCAGTCCTCCGGAATCACATACTTCTTTTTCGGGTCCTTCTGCATGTACTCCACCACCTTCTCCAGACTGCCGTGCTCTTTGATTAGGGAGAGCGCAGTACTGGGGCCGACTTTCGGAATCGGTTCCAGGTAATCGCAGCCCAGGAGAATACACAGGTCAATGAACTATACAGTAGGTAGGTATGGTGAGTGTGGGTTCCTGAGGGCAGCTGGACAAGATATCCTACCTGACTGCGGTCCATGCCGAGCCCCTCCAGTGCCTGCTTCAAGTGAATTTCTTGGATGGGTTCCTTTCGCTGCTCGCTAAACGTCAAATGTCTCAGGAGAATGGGAGCTTCAAAGCAGAGGGTATCCATATCCTCCGAGGCGGCGGCGAACACTTTGCCCGCCCGTGCCAGGACCGCGCATTGCGCCTCGGCCTCGGTGGGCGCATCAATGTAGGGGATCCCCATCAGCTTCAAGAGCTTCTTACATTCGGCGTTGTGCTCGCGCGTGACGCGGACCGTTCGCCGCGAGAACTTCTCGATCTCTTCCGCCGTACCCGTTTCCTTGGCCTCCTCGTGAGCCTCGGTGGCCTCCGCCTTGCGTGCTCCACGTTTGGCCAGCTCGCCTGACTTCAGTTTCGGCGGGGCCCCATCAAAGACGTAGAGGGGCTTGATGCCGTTGTCCACCATTCGAAGTGTGCGGTAGAACATGCCCATCAGGTGCGATGTCGTCTCACCGGTCTCACTCATCAGCTGCTGGCCCTCCGAGCGCACGGCGATCAGGAAACTGTAGATGCTCATGGATCTGGGCTGGGTTAGCGAATCCCAAGTCGTGGGCTGTCAGATCGCGAGAACCATACGCATCCTGTTTGTCCAGAAAAAGTAACCGTTAGCCATCACGCCGTCGGGAAATATGTCACCACAAAAGCCATGCCAGAAACATACGATTGCGACCTTGCGGCCGAAATGGTTCTTAATCTCGCCCGTTTTAATCGAATCGGGGGCATTTTCGGAGATCACCTGGTACAGGTCTACACGAGACACGATTAGCAGAAAGCAAAGGAGATAGAGAATACGTTGCCCACTCACTTTTAATACCCATCTTGACTGAATTATCTTGGTGTCCGAGTCAAGATCAATGTGCTGTGTAGGGCGTCGCGAAGCTCCCGGGCCCGTACACGAAACGCGCTTTGATGGAGGCGCGGCATCATTTAAACCCAAAATAGAATAGCGTAGACACCATACACGTGACTATCTAATACCACGTGACACTAACTGTGACAAGAGGTTAGTGTACGTTCTTACTAGATCAAATCCATGCTACTATGATACTCATGTAGACCGGTGCGCAAAAGCATTGAACGCTGTGTACATATTCCGTCTGAATGCCGAAAAAAAAGCGTCGCAAGAGCCTTGGAAACTGCGCCATCCGACTCAAACCACCACGCGGAACTTGAATAATTCTCTTTGGAGAACGTCCTGCTTCTTCCGCTCCAGCTCCTCCATGTCCCAACTCGCCGAGACAAATCGGCCGGCGAGCCAGTCACGTCGCTCACGGGCGAGCCAGACCAGCGTGTCGGCAGCCAGCTCCGGCGTATCGGTCAGGACGGATTGCTTCTCTGGGGGCATGTTCATGGCCAGGTCGGTCTTGACGCCGCCCGGATGGAGCGACATGGCGATCAAGCCCTGCTGGGAGTATTCCTTGACCATGAATTCGGTGAGGCGGCAGAGGGCGAACTTGGTCGTCTGGTAGGCCGACGCACCGGGAAACATGACGTGGGCACCACCACTGCTGATATTGATGACCGTCTTAGTCTGCGACTTGAGCAGCAGCGGCACGAAGAAGTGCGCGGCGAGATAGGTGCCTTTGATGTTGACCTCCCAAGTCCGCCACCACTCGCTCGGTTCGGACTCGGCAATGGGCTTCCATTCTTCCAGGTAGCCCGCGTTGTTTATCAGGACGTCGAGGCTGCCGTCGAGTACGTCTGCCGCGGTCTCGGCGGCCGCTTGCACGGAGTTCTCCGAGGTCACGTCCACCTTCAGGGAATGCACGAATGGCCGGGGCCGGGCTGCCTTCGTGGCGGCGTCGTGGACGGCTTTCTCGACATCGGCTAGGTCCGAACGAGCGGCCAGCAGGATGTTTGAGCATCCCGCGGTGGCGAAGCTGATCGCGGTCGCTTTGCCGATGCCCTTGGAGGCGCCCGTGATCAAGACCGACTTGCCTGCCAGGTCGGCTTTGGCGGGATCGATGAACGGGTATGTGTCCTTGCGCGCAGAGACATAGCCAGCCACAGCAAGCCAATTCGTCTCGCGCAGGGAAGGGTCTTGAGCCGACGTGGTCATTCTTACAAGGATGAGAGCGTTGGTGTGGTTGGGAGCTGCACTTGGAAGCTGCGTTTACTTATATACTTATCACCTCAGATCCCAGACGAAGAAGCCTGCCAAGTAATACTCGCCTATAATTTCGTCCTTGGGTGGAGATTGCGTTGTTAACTCCGGCGTGTACTCTCTTATTTGTTAACGCCATAGCGACTAACGACCACGTACGGGGCTAATACTGGTCCTACAGCTTGGCAGCTGCGTTTGCTTGTATTTATTATCTTATAGATCTAATACGACCTACTGATTAGTATTCGCCCGTAATCTCACCCTTCGGTATACGAAGTTAACTCCGTTGTGACTCGTAGATTGCCTTTTTAACTCCCCAGCAACCAAACCTCATGTATTGTGGGAAGATAATGACTGAGACGATGAAGGGGTTTACAACCACTGATATACATGTATATATGCCGCATGTATTATCATGTAACCTTCCTTAAGTATTTAAAAAAAAAAGAAAAGAAAAGGAATACATTACTTCTAGAGTTTAAGGTAAAATAAGAAGGTAGAGCTAAAATACTTACTTATTTAGATATTTTATTTTATATAATAGGTACCCCCCTACTTAATAAGGACTTGAACTATTTCGTACAGGGATGAAAATATCACGTGATTATATTGTAGTTGATGCTCTGCACTAGCCACATCCAGGTCATTTAATGCCTGAGGCTACAACTCGGTCGAGAACAGAACCCACCTCCGGCGACCCCGCCTTTTCTGCTAACCCCAGACTGCCATGCGGAGGAGATGAGTCTACCAGCCAAGTCAGTATGAAGCGGAATCGCATACAATTCGAGGCCAATGGCGATGCCTCGTCCGCTTCACCGGGTGCCTTTTCCCCGGAGGATCACCCGCGGCCACACATCCCGAAGATTTCGCGGAAAATAAGGGCATGCACCGAGTGCAAGAGACATAAGGTCCGATGTGACATGAAGGCAGGTGGGTCGGTATGCTCGCGATGTCGGCGCATGGGGCTCGAGTGTATCGTAAACAAGAGCCTCCAGACGTTGTTGGAGGATGAAGCAGAGTCAGTATTCCGTTTCATTCCTCAGTCCTGTGGTAAAATATACTGACTGAATTTTGTGTTCGCGCAGGTGGAAGAACATGATAGAGCTGGCAATGACGGACCTGCTTAGAAAGGCTCAGCTGCCAGAGCTATCATACTATCAAGCGGGCGGTGCGTCGACCGAGACACCCTCGAAGAAGAGAAGTCGCAAAGAATCTACCGTCTCGACAGACGACGCTGCCTTTGCACAAAGGAGATACAGCAAGGCCGAGTCAGCCGAAAGTACCACCGGCCGAGCGACGGGGTCGAGTGCGTCAAACTACGCTTTCTCGCAACAGCAACCACAGTATTCCCTCGAGCGCGAAGAAGCCGGCGCTCACTCGCTGGTAACAGCACCAATGGGGAGTTTATATGAGGTGACGCAGTTGAGTGAAAACCGAGAAAGCTCCCCTGGGCAACAGTATGCACCGGACCAGGCATTGGTGACCGATTTTATTTCTCGCGGCGTGGTGGAACTCCAGGAGGCGGAGGAGTTGTTCTATCACTTTGACCAGGTACTTAATCGCTACTTATGGGATGGGGCCTTGCTGGCACATAAGGACATGACATCCGTTCGACGGTCATCCTCCATGCTCTCTGCTGCCATTCTAGCCGTGACGGCGCTTCATATGCCAACCAAGGAGCGCACATTTGACACATGCTATACGGAGTTTGCGAAACTGGCATCCGAATCGATGCTGGGCCATCATCATACCATGGACGACATACGCGCTCTCTGCATTGGGGCCTTTTGGCTTGCAGATGTCAGCTGGAAGCTCTCAGGGTACGCCGTTCGCATTGCCACCGAGCACAATCTACACCAGTGCTATCGCAAAGCCATACAAGGGTCTCCGGAACATAAGGAACAAGCGAGGCTCTGGTATCTCCTTTACGTATGTCGCCCTTTTGCTGTACGCTCCCTCAGGTTCCATCCTGGAAACTAATTCTTTTCCAGACCCTAGAGCACCACTTCTCTATCGCGTACGGCAGACCACCTATCATCCACGAAGATCCCAGCATTACCCAACACAACACTTTCACGCAATCTCCATCCATTTCGCAAGGAGACCTCCGACTACACAGCCAAGTAGACCTGTTTATTATTCTCACCCGTATATATTTTGCATTTGGCCCCGATGTCGACCTGGAGGTCCCTGAGAGCGATTTCCCCCAGATTGATCAGTTCGACGCGCTCCTTGGAGATTGGAAATCCGCATGGCTTCCTCGGCTCGGTGAGCATGACCCTCGTTCCCAAGAGCCACTTATCTTTCGCTAACTTTCCGCTTCAGCTGGGAGTCGACACGTAGGTGCGTATCCCTACAAAGCCGTATACATGCACTATCACTTTTCTCGGCTGCAGCTGAATTCAGTTGCTCTACGGACATATCATTCGTCAATGTCCGCACGAAGTATGTCGCCCGAACGTCGAAAACGAGCCAACATTGCAGTCGAGTCGGCGATCGCGACACTCCAGGTTGTCCTGGATGAACGGGATATCCAGCGTGCCCTAGTCGGTGTTCCACTGTACCTACACAGCATGATTACCTTCGCGGCAGTATTTTTGTTGAAGATCGCCGCCAAGGTATGTTCGAATGGGATGATCCCTGGTAGCCAGGGTCAGCAAAATTCCATCGCTTCAGCCGGTCTGCTCGTCGATGTGGGCTACGTGCGGGTTTTGGTTGGCCGGATCGTGGAACTGATGGTTTCATGCAGCCAGCGCGCCAGCGAGCGCCACCTCAGCCATCATATTGCTCGTGGCCTGCGGAAGATGCTCACAGGGCTGGAGGAGTGGGAGAAACGAAACACAGGCATCCAACAGTCTGTGGGGACAAATCCGCAGGAATCAACCTCCCTGTTCAAACCGGTGGTCATTCCTGGGGCTCAGATTCTGGGTGAACGAGATACCATCTTGAACCACCCTCCGCCTCTACTTGGAGTGGCACCCCTCTCGGCTGAACGCAGCAATGGATTCGAGCCGGCCGCGCCAGGCAAGCAAGAGCCGGGTCTCTCAGAGGGCTCGATTGATCCAATGATGGCGGATCTGTGGGGATTCGATGAGGAGTATTTCCCCACGGGCGTGTTTGATTTTCTTCAAAGTCAGATGCCGGCTTGATCCTGGTGATCTCACGAAGATATGATTCTTGATCCTTTGTTCTCACTCATGTCCTGCCTTTCTTATGCTCCAAAGTTACTCCTGTATATAGTCTTGGTTTCTGAGTGACCCGTGGACTACTTAGGGAAGGCTGTTGGGGCTAGTGAATGAAGATAAACCCCTGAATATAGACCAATATCGACAATATCTGCGCTGTAATCATCATTCTGTGTACCTGAGAATGCTCCTCCAATTCCATGATGTCAGTTCGGCCTTTTTGGCATGCGATGCCAATGACCGAAAAAGTCCGAGACGGGCGAAACATTCAATCATGCTAAAGAAAAATATAATAATAAGAATCAGTAAAATAACATAATATAAAATAAAAGACTCGGCGATTCTGCCAAATCATTTGAATTTCTTCCCCATTCCAAAACGCCGCGTTCTCATAGTTGGACGGGAGTGTATTCGGAGATTCTGCCAAATTGCCGAGGTCTCTTGTCTTAGCGCGCGCATATTTGATCAAGCTTCCCCCGCAACGTCCGATAACACTTCGAAACGAATCACCGACTTGTTCTGCAGGTGGTATTCTCCTGTGGAAATTCAGACGATGAATCGCTCCCTTCTTCGCGCTGCTGCGCGCTCACTTCAGGCTGGTCTCCCCTCCGCGACAGGCCGACGGTATGCATCGTCGGCCGTGTTCAACTGGGAAGACCCTCTGGCCGCGACGGAGCTCTTGACGGAAGAGGAATTGGCGATCCAGGATACGGCACGGCAATACTGCCAGGATCGATTGATGCCCCGGGTTCTCGGTACGTTTCTTCTTTTTACTCCTTATACTTTTCCAGTGCTCAAGTTGCAACAATCCTCCCTACAAATGAGATGGTCTGACGTGAATCGATCCTCCGAGTAGAGGCCTACCGCAACGAAGACTATGACCGACGGATCCTCGAGGAAATGGGCGAGCTGGGTCTGCTCGGCGCCTCGATCGAGGGGTACGAATGCGCCGGCACGAGCACGGTGGCATCGGGCCTGATCACCAAGGAGGTGGAGCGCGTGGACTCCGGGTATCGGTCAGGCATGTCGGTGCAGAGCTCGTTGGCGATGACGGGGATCTACGAGTTCGGCACCAAGGAGCAGAAGCAGCGATTTCTGCCGGGGCTGGCCAAGGGCCGGTTGGCCGGGTGTTTTGGACTGACGGAACCCAATCACGGGTCGGATCCGGGGTCCATGGAGACGGTGGCGCGCGAGCATCCCACGCAGAAGGGCATGTATCTGCTTAGTGGGAGCAAGACCTGGATTACAAACTCGCCCATCGCGGACCTGGCCCTCGTGTGGGCAAAGCTTGAGTCGACGGGCAAGATCCGTGGGTTTGTCGTCGAGCGTTCGCGCTGCCCGCCGGGCACGTTCGAGACCCCGGCTATTAAGAACAAGAGCGCTCTGCGCGCTTCCATCACGGGCATGATCCAGATGGATGACTGCCCCGTGCCCGCGGAGAATATGTTCCCAGACGTGGAGGGCCTCAAGGGCCCTTTTACGTGTCTGAACAGCGCTCGTCTGGGCATTGCCTTTGGTAGCATGGGCGCGCTGGAGGATTGTCTGGCACGTGCCCGTGAATACAGTCTGGAGCGCAAGCAGTTCAAGGGCAACCCGCTCGCCAAGTATCAGCTCATTCAGAAAAAATTGACTGATGCTGCCACCGACGCTGCCTACGGGAACCTCGCTGCTGTGCAGGTGGCTCGCCTCAAGGATGCTGGCAAGGCCACCCCCGAGATGATCTCGATGGTCAAGCGACAGAACTGTGACCGAGCACTGGCAAACTCACGCATGTAAGTTTTTTTTTTTTTAATATTTCTGGCACTCTTCACCTTGGAAAGTATGCTAATCCTGCTATAGTTTGCAAGAAGTCTTTGGCGGCAATGCGGCCAGCGACGAGTATCATATTGGGCGCCATGTAGCCAACCTGTTTGTGGTGCAGACCTACGAGGGCCAGAGCGATATCCATGGTGAGTGTCTTAACTCGAAGTTCGGACAGAAGCAGAGCTAACTGACTTCAATAGCATTGATCCTGGGCCGGGCCATCACAGGAAAGCAGGCGTTTGTGTAGAAATAAATATACAGAAGGATATATCAGACCTGAATATGAAAATATAGCACTCTTATACTGCGGTTATACTATCAAGCGGAAACCTTCCCCATTAGGAAAGCGGGATTTTTACGCCTCACCCGCACGTGACATCATCGAGGGACAGTTGGGCACCGCTGGTAATGAACGGTGGTCTTCCAATATTTTAAGATAGATTTGATTGACGAGGATTAATGAGATTTAATAATAGATTAGTCGCATGTAAATGAACTAACTCGAACCCAAGAGAACAAACAGAGCCAAATCGCATTTCTACTTCCGTTGCAAGGCCTCCTATACATACCAGCCCTACGTCATGTTCAAGGACTCCTAGGAACCTTCTCAATGACTCCAGACAAAGCAAATAGCATTCTCAACCCATTCAAGATATCTTTCCTCACCAATACACCGTGAATACCTTGAAGCTGCCTGGTCTGAGGCACAAAGGGTTTCTCGCCAGGCTCCGAACGCTGATTCAGGATGTGTCATGTGTGGCGCGTATTGGTAATACGGTAATGCCTCAAAACCCCCCTCTTTCCGCTCGGATTCTTTCTCTTCTTCTTTTCCACACAAAGACGTAATCAGGTCAGTCCCTCCAGTTCCTCTTCTCCCTGCTTTTTCTTTTTCTTTTTTTCCTCTCTTGGCCTAACCTTCTTGCAGATCCTTTTCTCCTCTTCTTTTATTGTTTAAGCTTCGCTGTCTACATATTCTCCGTCGTTATGGCTCTGAAGCGAATCAACAAGGAACTCACTGACCTGGGCCGGTAAGCATCTGTCCATTTCTTGGATATAGATCTTTTCCGCAGGGGTGTGGCTGACTTTTGATCTTCCTAGGGATCCCCCCTCGTCCTGCTCCGCTGGTCCCGTTGGAGATGACCTGGTATGATACTCGATGTTCTGGTTGGAAGCGCTGTCGTGTGGCGGGGCAGAGGGACCCCTCCAATGCCGATCGGTTTTCCCACCCACGCGATAACTTGGATAACTGACGGGGGTTGATTTCTCTAGTTCCACTGGCAAGCAACGATCATGGGTCCTGTAAGTCTTGTCTGTTTCGACTTTCAATTTTCAATTTTCAAAAATCCCGAGCCAAGGACCTTGGAGCCATGGCGCCGCGACCGAATCACCGTAACAAAGTGCTAATCCAGGCTCGCGTATAGGGTGACTCGCCATACTCTGGGGGTGTCTTCTTCCTTTCGATCCATTTCCCTACCGACTACCCGTTCAAGCCGCCCAAGGTCAACTTCACCACCCGTATCTACCACCCCAACATCAACTCGAACGGCAGCATCTGTCTGGACATCCTGAGGGACCAATGGAGCCCCGCTCTCACCATCTCTAAAGGTTGGTTGATTCCATGCGCGCACGCGAAATAGTGTCACCTCAGCCATTCTAACCATCCCCCGTAACAGTGTTGCTCTCGATCTGCTCCATGCTCACAGACCCGAACCCGGACGACCCGTTGGTGCCCGAGATCGCCCACGTTTACAAGACGGACCGGCCGCGGTACGAGGCCACGGCCCGTGAGTGGACGCGCAAGTACGCGATTTGAAATCGGCAATTATTATTCCAACCTAACCTGCTCCTTTTCTGCTACCCGACTTCTCGGATTTATCTCCAATCCGCTTCTGCATCCTCCCTTTTGTCTCCCGTTAGATTCAGATTCCGCGAAGCCTGGCGTACCGTGGTCGTAGAATCGTGTTTTCTGCGCTGTTTTGCTTCCAATCTGCGTTTCGCCTGTGCTTTTCTTCCTCGGAGAGCTTTTCTGGGGACATGTCATATCCAACGATTATTATGACCAATTCTCATGCATGCCACGGCCGCGTCCGTGTTCAACGATGAAAGAAAAACAAGACAGAAAAAAAAAGAAAGAAAAAAAATCCGTCGCAATTCCATTTGGCCTTTTTCTCATCGGGGTTCATTGGCTTTCTTTTCTTTTTCTTTTTCTTCTCAACCTTTTACTCGGTTGTTTCTTTTTGGTCTTCGCTGTGTCTCAACGGTTGTACTGTTGGTGGAGGATAAGGATCGGAGGAAAGAGGATGAGAGAGAGGTTGGGACGTGGCTTGGGAGTTTGTTCCCTCCCTTTTTTTTTCCTTCACTTGTCGCAGATAGCAGAATCCAGGCAGGCCCGTCTCTGTGATGATGTGTGCATTGTATTGTAGTTGATACTGAGGTGTTTTATGTGCTTTGGTCTTGGGATACTAGGTGTACTAGGTACTTGACAGGGTTGGTCAACGATGTAAACGATGTCAGGCTCAAGATTTAGTAGATTCATGGTCTAATGGGTGCCAATGCAAGGGCTATTAAAATGGACCTCTCGTATACTCCCTTCAAACACTCCAGCGAGGACATAAGAAGCAAGTAAAGGAAATAGTTATGCAATGCCAAACTCAGCAGAAAATGCAAATTCAAAGAAGAAAAGCGAAAGAAAGAAGGAAAGTAGGAAAGTAGGAAGGAAAGAAACTATACAACCTGACTCCCACGCCGGCTACTCACTCTCGACGTAGGCTTACTCCCGCCGGCCTTGATAGTCCGCTGTGAGGTGCCGGATACCTGGCTAATACTATCAGCCGGGCGGACGGGGACCTCGAATTTGGACTTGGAGTGCGACGAGTGTTTTGAGGCGCGCGAGGCGGCCTTGGAATGCGACGAGCGGTGCGAATGCGAATGCGAATGCGTCGACCGGGCCCGACCGCCACCGGCATGGCTGCCGACCTGGCTTATAGAGTCGTCGGGAGTGACATGCGAGTTCACGTCGAGGTCGACGACGCTGCCGGGGAGCGGGATGTCGCGCGCCAAGACATGCGACTTGCCGCCGACGCTGGGGGGCGGGTTGGCACTGCGCGAGGAGTAGAATGAGGCGGTCGAGCCGGAGGGGAGAGGCACGTTGCGGGCGGAGACGTGCGACGACTTGCCGCTGAGGCTGGGGTCGGTGCTGCCGGCCTTGTCTTTGCCGGTGATGGACCCGGATTTGAGCGGGTGGGTCATGGATGCGCGGTGCGAGTGATGGCTCTGGCTGTGGTGGCTTTGGGCCAGGCTGTGTGACGACGAAGACCCGTCGCGATCATCGTGGCTATGTCGGCGTTGGAGACTGCTGCGGGACGCCTTGATCGTTGACGCCGAGTGCACGCTGCCTGCCACGCCGCGGGGCTTGTCGGCCGCATAGCTGCTGATGAACGTGCTGGGATTGCACGGGTACCGCTGCTGCGAGGCGTTGCTGGGCGGCGGGTACTCGATGGCTCGGAGGGGTATGTCTTCCGGCACCGTGTAGATGCTGCCTTCCGAGGCGCGTCGTCCGGACTCGTCATGGAAGAACTCGGTGCCCTCGTAGATGGTGCTGGCGCGCGGGTTCTTGGAGGTGACACTCTGGCTGACGGTCGAACGGGGTGCTGACGTCGTATAGACGCTGCGAGGGGGAGGCGCTTCGATGGCCCGATAGACTGGCTGGGGAGCCTGTTCGTCTTGAGACACCTGTGACGCTGCCTTTATCGCCGGGTATTCCGCCGTATATTGCCGAGGCGGGTTGCCGGTGTCAGATGAGGATGACTCCGAGTCGCCCTTCACCATGGCATAAGCGATTGCGGCACCCGCTGCAGCACCGATGAGGGTGCCAACGATCGTCTTGGCTGCTTTGCTGCCATCGTCAGGTTTCGGGGGTGCCTGCACGGCGTAAGAAGATGGCGCCGCTCGCTCCATGGCGGTGGGCGCTTTAGAGACTGCACGAGACGTGGCCTCGGACTTGGGGGGCGCGATGCTCTCGGCCTTGATTGTGCTGGCTTTACTGCTGGCCTTGGAGATCACAGACCCATTCTCGATCAGGGCGATGGTGGGTCCGCTAGCCACCGATGGAGCCAAGGAGCGGTCTGGACGGTAGACCGCTTCAATGCTGTTGCCATCAAAGTCGATGACCGCGGCACTGAAGTAGCCAGATTGCGCGTCACGCGTCTTGGGCTCACCGTGGATCTTCCCGCCGGCTTTCAAGGCGCTGATGAAGAACGCACCCACAGCATCCTTTGAGGGCCCTGGAAAAGCAACGTGGACGGCACCCGCAGGAACTCTGTGAATGATGTGTCAGTGTCATTGACGATAGACAGGCCACACGCCATTTTGGACTATACGCACCCTGGCTTTTGTTCGGTGATCCAGAAATCTGCGGGCTCGCCTTGTTTCTGGCCGAAGCCAATGTAATCGTCATGTCGCCCGATGAACTGATACCCCAACGGCTGAAGACATGAGAGAAAAAAAGATGTAGAGGTCGGCAGATGTGAGACAGTCAGAGTCAGATGCGAGACAGGCATGTCTAGAGTGGGGGAGGAGAGATCGATGTGCCGCTGGATATCGGCATGGACCAGTGATTCAAGGGGTTAAAAGAGACAAGGAAGACTAAATAGCATGGATAGATGAGAAGAATGAAAGAAAATGCAGCCCAAGGTCCAGAGCAAAGGATATATACGCAAAAATCCAGGTCTATAAAGATCGCAAGTATGGCACAGCGACAGGATAGAGTCCCAATTAAAGCTCTGCCAAGGACCAGTAGGAACGAACCCACGGCCTCGATGCCAGTCAAAGACTTCCCAAATCCTGCCCAAGCGGCACCGGCCAGAAAAGAGACAGGCGACCTGACCTCTCACGGCAGCACCAGTGGACACTGGACGATGGAGTCGGACCTAGTGGACCGGCTCGATGCCAGACAAGATCCCATCGCATTCTGCCCAATTGGGGCGGATCAGCACGTTGAGTGTTTCACGCTTCTATGTGTGGTCCCTCAAGGCGAGGCGGGTGCCCTCGGATGACAGTCGGGATATGCAAGCCCAAGGGGGCCCATCGACCTAAACGCCTGTTCCTGGCTGCTTTCGGTGAGAGTCTAAGCGGAAACCACTCTCTGTCTGACAAATTGCTGGAACCAAGGCGGCCCCGGTGGACGACAGAGGCCTTGCCAGGTCATCGCGGGGGGGTGGATCGCTGCAGCTGGGCGGATGCAGAGAGTGAGCAAGTTGGTGGAGACGAGGTGGACTTGCAATTGGAACGTGAAACGTCGCGGCCACTTTGGGGGGGTTGTGGTCAGACCGCCACTCAAGAGGTTTGACTCATTTTGGAGGATGAAAGAGCGTGGAATAAAGAGAAAGCGATAGAAATAGCAGTAGAAATAAAGTACGAGAAAAAGTAACCAGCAAATAGTAAAATCGAGAAATCGAGAAAGAGAGGGCACAGGCTGATGGGTAGAAGTGCAGCGTTGCCACCGACGCCCGATTCGCGTCTTCAAAGTGAGGCGACGCATCGACAATTCAAGGCGAACATCTGAGCCTGTTGGGTTGGATTGAATTTTTTTTTTGGTAGTTTCCTACACACATCATGCAAAAGAATACGGAAAACAAATGGGCTAAGAAAAAGCTAAGAAATGTATGGGACACAGAAAGGATGTATGTATAGGTCATCTCAGGATCCAAGCCAATGGGCCCCGGTCTATGTGCTGTTCACTTTTTCTGAACTCGATTGCAAATCGAGTGGATCAGGACTGGACCGGCGAAAAGGAACCAAATGCCATCCAGTCCGAATAGGCGTGTCGAGACGGAGAACGCGGTCCTCGTTGGACGTCTTCCTGTCCTTCATACCACGGACCCTGAAGTAGCCCGCAAGATACAATCCATGCGTGGCGGACGCATTGCGAGGATCTCGACAATAAGCCGAGTCTCCGAGAAAACAAGGGCAAGAAACAGGGTAGAAAAATTGGGATTCGGAACGGCCGAAACAGTCGACGTGTCTCTCCGACAACGGTCTCGTTTTCCATCATGCAACTCGAACTCCGTGGTAACCCTCCGTCGCAAGGAAATTCGTGGCCTCATCGCACCATGTACCGGGGCGCGAGGGGTAGTGAGAGCGCGCTCTCTCACAATACGCGCGGGGCCGGCCCAGATGCGCTTCACAGAATATCCCAGACCTCCTCGGCAGCGTGGGTGAACTTACTACAGGCCACACTGGCACTAAGACTGTAGTTGCTGATACTGATGGCATCGTCCTTGAACGAGTCCGCAAAGTCGTCGTGGCCCTTGGCCATAGCACCGACAAAGATGGCGATGCTCTCCTTGGGACCCAACGATTCGATATAGTCCCTGGTGCGGACGACGGGGGCCTCGAAACTCAGAGTCACTTTGCGGCAATTCGGCGGCAGGTGGTCGGTGATCGGGTTCTTGATGACCTTGAGAAGCTTCTCCTGCGAATTGGTGGAACGGATCGAGAGTCGGTGGAGGAGCTGGACCATCAGTCCAGCAAACCGCTTAAAGGTTCGTGGGATGCGAACAGAGGGGTTGACTTCAATCAGCACGCCTTTGGCCGTGTGGATGTAGATTTGAAGCCGGCCGGCCTTGTTCACGGGGGAGTCCAGAAGGGTAAGAAGACACTGGCAAGGGAGTCAGTTCGAGTTCTCGAACCGCCAGCAGCAACATCTGGCAAGGCCGTGGGATCCTACCTGATGGGTAATGTCGGGCCGAGCTTCGCTGATATCGCGGTTCATTTTGCGCATGATACCAATGTGCTCGTCGCTATTCAGCAGGGAGAATTTCTCATCCTTGGGGCCTCCGCGTCCACCGGAGACGGCCCGGTAGGTCTCTAGACTGGCATTGGAGAGGATGACAATCAGGCGTTGCGTGTCCTTGTCGTGCGTCGGAATGGGAACATGCTGCTCCGCGACGAGCTGGGGGAGCTCGGGAGGAGGGCAAGACTGGGTTCCTGATGATAAATTTCCGTCAGCTACTCGGATATCCAGTGCTGACTAGTAGATTCGCATGAAACGGGGACGCGGGGGAAAATGTTGGTCGTGGTTCGGGGAAGGGCCAGCAGAGTTGCACAACAGTCAAACTGCCAGCGTCTCCGGTCTAGAAGGATGACTGCTGGCAGGTCTGTTGGAATTCCTGCTTTTGGTCCTCGCAGATGGTAATCATCTTAGAAGGGCGAGGATGAGGGGGCTGGCAGAGGGAAACCAGATGGCTTGAAACACAAGCCGCAAGACCCAAATACGAAAGGAAACAGCCACATGGCAGCGGATCAAATACATACTTGCGCGCTTTCTTTTTCCAGCAATTTGGGCGGCGTCAGACATGATGGGAGTTGGGAGTTGGGGAGGTTGGAGAATTGAAGAGTTTTTGGCGATCCAAACGGAGATCCTGCGGGACGGGAAGCGGAGTCCCAGGGAAACATCCACTTTACAGTCGACGCAACAGAGAGAGAGAGAGATATATATATATATATGTGTGTGTGTGTGTGTGTGTGTGTGTGTAGAGAAAGAGTCAAATTGAAAGAATAAGTCGCAATTGATTTCGACGTCGGAGAAATCAATCTCTGGCACCTTCGCTACATGCCCGGGATTCTTCGTCCTAAAACTCGCCGATCGGAGACTTTTCCTCCCTTTTCCTCACTTTTTATTCCCCAAATTCGGATCTTTTAAACACTTCTACATATTTCCCCTGGTTCTATATCCAGATATCCCAGGTATAGTGACTGAGGTAGGTCAGGGGCGCCGGTGTGCCGACTTCGGCGGGGAGATCGACCCCTCAAGACGGACATAGTTATGGCCAAGTAATACCTAGTTGAACTAGCCGAATGGTTGAATGCAAACAGAGCCCAATGGAATATTAGAAAAGCCATCGGTTACCTACCTACAGTGGCCCGGGGGTATCTACATTGTCCTTGTATGGGGAAGTATTCGCCTCGGTATTACTCCAATAGACTCAACAACCTTGGAACATACCCCAAGAATCTATGCAGGACATGACCAGAGATATTCGAACCCGGTGGTGAACGTGTGTTACGTGGGCCTCGAGTCGGATTGACAAGGCAACTTACCAACAACCACTAAGATCTTTGCAGTCGTCACGGTTGTAGTTTTCCCGTGTCAGCAGAAGCCCATTGTGACATCCCGTTGGAGGGGCCAAATCGCGAGGTGGCACAAAGTCATGGCATCCTTCGTTGTCGGGGATGATCTGCCGGCCAGTCTGTACCAAGCAACTCAAAGTTGCAGCCTGTCAAGATCGACGGGGAGGGGGGGCAAATAGTCCACGCCCTAGTAAAGAGCCAGGATGCTGGGCCACCGCATTCTTGAGTCAATAATTCAACTCGGGCGTCAGCACAACTTGCCACCAACTCTGTCATGTTGGAAAAGCCTTGCATTGTGAAATCCGGGGGGAGAAGGCCGGGTAGATGTCCACGGACATCATTGGACTTCGTAAACTGCCGGGCCAAACATCCCCATGACAAACAATAAAGCGAAAAGATCTTCGATCTCTCTGACAGCATTAGCCCAATCAGCATAGAAGAGGGATCGACCTCCCTGTCAGACCAAGTGAGGCCCATCCCTGTGGAAATAATCATCGCGTTCACCACTGGACGCCTGGGAGAACAGCCGAGTAAAAGGATCATTTGGAGAGCGGTCAGCGATGATGATCATGATCACAACGTCTGCTTCCTTGCACGGAAAAGCCCTCCGGGCCTTGCCGGCAGATGGCGACAGATGAGCGCCTTGGCAAGGAAGCTCTGAAAGACCCGGAGCCTCGCTAGAACATGGGGCGTTGAATCCTCATTTAATCTCCCCTTCCAGTAAACAAAAGACACTGATCGAAGGTGTGATTGGCCCTGCATTGGATTCTTGGAATTGCGAAGCCGGTGATTGCTGGGTTCCTGGGCGAAAGGGGCGAAAGGAACTCTGCCCGACGAGCACGTCCCACAATCCGCGACATACCAGCATCCCCCGGGAATTTCGATGAAGACAAAAAACCGGGAGACGTCCCTTTTCTCTTCTGTGACCCGCCTAGGATTTCCTCGGTGGCGATTCCTTCTCTCCTGAAAAAGCATCCCCACCCGCTGTCGCGGATCATCATTTTGGTGGATTGTTGTGATTTGCACTGATCTCGGATTCTCCTTGAAGAAGTCAGCTCTTTGGTTCTCTGAATCTCTCTCATTGTCTCTGGGTCATTCTTCAAGCCCAACACGCAAGGGATACAAAGAGGTGAGTGTGCGACTGTCCGACTCGAACAATATGTCCTAAACCAGTCTAGCGTGTTCACGCGTGCCGTCACCGGCCGATCGCCTTTCTGTCAGGCCAAAACATCTTCTCTTGCAATTTCCTCGATTTCAGGGAGATGCCGTGGACAGTCACTAATTCATTCAAGCGGTAAGCCTTTGATTGGGTTTTGATTAGACCTTGATTTTTTGGTCTCTGGAAGCTCATGACGCGACTAATACCCACCCAGAGGCCTGATGAAAACATACGGAAGACCGACATGGCGCGTCTATGACGACGAGCGAGCAGCCAAGAAAAGACGCGTCCAAGATGAGTCTGATGAGGCAGAGACCAATCTGCAATATGCGATTCGTGAATCTTCTGCCGCGGTGTTGTCCAGCCCGTCGCGTCGCAACTCGGTCGTGTTGTCCGAAGGCACGTTAGATGACATCGACGATCTCACCACACCCCCATCGTCGCCGCCCCCGCGGTTGACACCACCACCGGCTAACACCCGCAAACCGACCTTTGCATTCCTCAAGCGCAAACACACCAAGGATGCTCCGGCCTGGTCACCCCTCACCGAGGTCAACTCGAACAGTGTGCGCGCCTCGGCGGACCCGCAAAAGGCGCAAAAGCAGCCGGCCCTGCGCCAAATGCAGATTGACTTGGGGAATGAGGTGCGCAAGACCTGCGCAACATGTGGGATGGAGTACATTCCATCGGATACGGAGGACGCCGCACTGCACAAAAAGTTCCATGAGATGAACTCAACCGGGGTGGATCTGGGCAAGGCCTTTATGCGCGCAAATGCATCACGCTGGGTTTATGAAGCGACTCGTTTCGACGAAGGCTATGTGGTTATCGTCGATCGCAAGGCGTCGCCCAGTGCCAAAAACCAGGCCAAGAGGGTTCTAGAGGTCGTCAACAAGGAACTCTCATCACCCGAGATCGAGGACGAGGTCCTCTGGAGCCAAATCGTGCCCCCGAAACATTTGCAACAAGATGGTTCCGAGAAGGTCGACCGGTATCGGGTTTTCCTCCACATGAAAGATAGCCGCTGTGTCGGGCTCTGTTTGACAGAGCGCATCTGGGAATCGCGACCGGTGGCATCGGCAGAACCCAACGGCAACGATGCACCCAACGGTTCGTCCATTTCGCTGCGCGATGAGACCCACCCGGCTATCGTTGGGGTTTCTCGTATCTGGACCTCGGGTTCCTCACGGCGCAAAGGAATCGCGCTGGATCTCTTGGACTGTGTGGTGAGCAATTATATCTATGGGATGGAGTTGCCCAAGGATCAGATTGCCTTTAGCCAGCCCACCGAAAGTGGAAAACGTCTGGCCCATAAGTTTTTCGAGGAAGAAGAGACATGGCATGCCTATAACGAGCAGTGACGAAGTGAACATGGAGCCTTTCTTTTTTTCTGTTCTTTTCGATTGTTGTATTTGCTATTCGATGGAGGATCTGGGTTTTTTGGGGCAGATATCGGACGCGATCTTGTGATGGATGCGATCTGGCTGTATGTGGATGTATAGTAGCGCATTGGATGTCCCAGGTCACTTAGTATAGGCAATCGACCGACCAAACCTGCAAGCCAGATTTATTAGGCTATTAGGCTATTAGATTACTATACTCTTAAATAATTAGAATATTCTACTACTGGAACTACAGCCCATATAACTCGAATAAAAAAAAGAAAAGAAAAGAAAACAACCAGCCGGGTGTGAGTCGATCTCTCAGCCTGTCGGGGCCGGCGGACGTTCTCGATCGGAAAGCGGCGCAAAGGCAGGAGAACCTTAGCGGGAAGTCTCCTCTTCTCCCATCTTCCTCTTCACTCACCCCATCTCATCATGTCTGGTTTCAATCCCTTTCGTCCCCGGAATCTCGAAAGTGAGTCTTCTTCCCCGCCATCCCACTGCGGTCTCACCCGCCACTTCCGATAAGACGGCATTGAATGAGATCTACCCCCCCCCCCCCCCAGCAATGTGAAATGTGATGCTGACGAGGTTGACTGAGACAGGCAATTCCACAGCTTCTTCAGCATCGACATCCCAGTCAAACTATGTGTCCGAGTTGCCCGCTACTCAAGTGCCCAACGGCCTTCCCAGAAAGTCATCCTTATCGCTCGAGGTAGACGACTCGACCTCCTCCGATGAGCAAAATGAGGATCCCTTCAACCCCGACTCGTCGGTCAGTGATAACGATAATGATGATGACATCCAAAGAAGCCACAAGCAATCGACGTCTTGGGTTGCGGATCAGCGGGAGCCAGTTGGGTCTGCTCCACACCCAGCTCCATCCACGGATGGATCTCCATCGCCGACGGTGCCATTCACATCGGCCGACCATACATTGCAGTCGGGTACTCAACCATTTTCAGAGGAGACCAGCCGGACAAGTCCTCCCAGTCGTGTTGGCAGGGAGAGAAAACCACCGCCGCCACCCCAAAGCCATCATGGGAAGCGTATTAACTCGACGGCCTCTGCGGCCTCCTCATCTTCTCAGACCTCTAACCGCCGGTCATTACATCCCTCTTCCCCGGAAAGCTTGAGCTCGCGAACGCCAACTGCCGCCCATTCCAGTTCTGCTTTTCAGGCTGCGGATTACTTTGCAGTCCCTTCAGAAAGCCAGAGTGTAACAGACTCGCCCGTGTCTCTCCAGCGCAGCCATTCCCAGCACAAGCGCCCACCGACACCACCTCTCAGTCGGCGCCAGAGCCAGATGCGGAGGTCCAAGTCTACTCAGTCCAAATCCAGTGTCAGTCGGCTCACTATGTCCTCGGGTGACTCAGAAAGCAATACAAGCTCTCGGCCCCCGAGCCCGGGCCCATCCAGCAGCAAGAGAATCAGCATGCCTCCCCCTGCCTCAGGGGATTTCCACACTGCTGTTCCCTCGGTAGGGGTGGCGCCTGATTCCTCGATTCCTCCTCAATCAAGACCGTCGTCTCTACAACCTGGGAGGCGCGCATCGTCGCATGGCAGTCTACCGACTGGCTCGGCACCCCCGCCCCCGCCCCCTCGCCGGGTACGTGATGCTGGAACCCGTAGCAGTGATGGCGGGCCATCACAGAGGGCTACGGAAGCAGACCCACTCCCGCAGCCGTCTAATGCTCATGATATCTTGGCCGATCTCTCGAGGTTACAGAAAGAGGTGGATGATCTCCGTGGACAATACGAAAACCGCAAGATCAGTCAGTGACCCTTTTGGAAGAGGTACAGCAGGCTGTACTGTGTAGACATCGATATTAGGATATGAGATTCTTGTATGTCTGAACGAGTGTATGAATGTTGTTTAAACGGAGACGGGAAATATGACGTCGCTCCGCAAATGCGTATGAAGTTCCCCCCCCACTTGGGATCTACTTCTTTTCCCACTTCTCTTTCTGCTCTTTCACGCTTGTCTTTTTGCCTGAACCCATCCTTGTAGATCTCGGGGATCTGTCTCCACTCTTGAATTGACATTTTGCTTATTTCTTCTTCCCCTCTCTTCCTTTTCCTCTCTCCATCCCTCTCTCTCTCTCCATCGCTCCATCTCTCCATCTCTCCATCTCTCTATTTCCTCATCTTCCAGCCCCCCCCCCCCACTCTGTCTTCTACTCTTACTTTCTTCCAGCTTCCAGAACACCATGACGACTCCTACTCTGATCAACCTGCCACCTCCTCCGTCGGAATCTGTCACCCCATCTGACATGGGACCGTAAGACCTCCAGCTCCTGTCTTCTGCCTCGTGTGATTTCATTGCATGGTACCTGGTTGACTGACTTGGGTGGAATTAGAGGCACTCCCAACTCCGGCACGACCTCCTTGTCCGCTCTGTCCACCACAGCGATCAAGGATGGACATCAGGGCCAACCATTCCCCCATGGCCGTCATGCGCACCAGTCATCCTCTGCGTCAATCTCCTCCACCACCACACTGGAAGCCGAACGGGCGGATCGCATTTCTCGCCTGGCGGGCTTGGAGCGTGTCGCAACAGCGCGAGCCGGGGCCAATCGCCCGCTGGGGCTTCCCTGCCTGTGTCGCATACTCCAGGGTACTTTGATAGCAACGCAGGACTAAAAGAGCGAAGCACGGTCGGCAGCGCCAGCGCCACCGGCAGTGTTGGTGGCCGCACCACCTGGGCAAGCGGCAGCGATGCTTTCGAGGCCGACAAGATGAGCGAGGGCCCCGACCCCGACGATGGTGTTTCGAGCGCAAGCAACGTGAGCGACGAAGGCAACGCCAGCCTCGTCGGGTTCGGTGAGGGTGCCAACAGTACCATCAGCGGCCCGACCTCGCGTCCGGCGGGGCTGAACCGCATGTCATCCGGCGGCCTTGGTGCCCGCCCGACGTCGATGGGAAGTTCCAATGTCAGTCGCCCTAACCCCCTCGCCTCGTACCTGCAGCAACAGCAGCAGCATGCCGGCGACAGCCCCATGATGTCGCCTTCGCCGGCTGGATCCAACACCCCCGAGCCCATGGCCGAGGATGCCCGCATAATTGATGGCATGACCTTTGACCCGGACGTGGTCGATACCACTGCAAGAACTCCTCGCCTGGTCACTCCATCAAGTCACAGTAACAGCGGATTCGGTACACCGGAGCGCGACTAAGATCTGCGGTGGGTTTGGTAGATCTGGGGGATGGGAAACGCGTTGATCGTTTTTGTCCTGAGCTGAGCTCTCTCTTTTTCTTTCTTTCTTTCTTTTTCTTTTGCCTGTCTTTCCTGGGTCGCCATTGGGCGAGCGCAGAATGTAATTCTATGCGACGAACCCGGGAGGGTACTCGTGGCCCTCAAGACTGGATGGATATGACTATGACTGAATGTGTATGGAATACTCAATTTTCAAGCGACTCGGGTTATGTATTTGTGTGTCTCTTTGCTGATTCTACTTCCAATATTCACTCTTTGTCTAGGGTGGTGGCGTTATATACACGATGTGATATTTTTTTCAGAAGGCTCACCACACTGCCAGGTCGAACGATGTAGCCAAATCGAGGCAGGTAATTCGATCTGGACGTAAATATACCAACAAAATAAAGCCTAGTCTGCAGTTCGTCTAGAACCTAGGTGTCTTTCCTGGACTCGGCGTGTATAGACTCGTCTTCGCCCATGACGGCATGCCGCCTCCGAGCCGCGTCGCAACACCCGAGTTTTCTTCCTCTTCAACCTCCCCGCCCCCCAACACCTTCAGCTCCCTCTTCGGCCCTGACCCTTCACTTTGCTGGCATTGACTTGTCTAGCACTGGAGATCGACTGAAAGAACACCGACACGCGCTTCTTATCCCCTGCTTCCCCGTGTTTCAATTGCGTCTCGGTTCTTTGTGCACTTTCTGCCACCGAGAACCCTCTAGAACCCAGAACAGCTCGCTACGACGCTGGACTGACCGACCTTCCAAATCACAAATTCACGCTCGACTCCGTCATCGGTTGCTCGATTCGTACTTTTTTTTTTTGGCCGTTTCACCCCTTTGCCCCTCCCGGGTCTGTTGCCGCGACTCTTCGCTGAGCGACATTTGGACATATTTTTGATTCAATCAAGATCGGACCGTGACTTGATTGCTTTTTGGCTGGTGGACAATCGGACAAAGTGATATAAAATTTTCTCTTTGTGGTTTTGTGCTTTCGGTCCAGCAATCTGAATTTAAGATGGCAGCTCCTACACAGCTCGCTTGTGAGTTGGCCCCTCGCTTGACCGAGAGTCGAGTAGACCCAGCCAAGCCTCAATCATAGTATTAACGCCATCGTACAGTCCGAACGCTCAAAGGGGTTGGCATCCTAGATGCCGCCCCTGTTTATGAGCCCTTGTCGGGGTTTGTGAGGTAAGGACCGGACTAATCTGTCTCGAAGGACACCGTTGACTGACTTTTCTGCCTTTGCCAGACCTGAAGGGAACCTCCGTTGCAGTGCCTACTCGCCGTGCGGCCGTTACTACGCATGGGCATCTCCCGAGAAGTAAGCTGATCTTGGCGGTTTTTTGTTTGCCTTTTGCCCCGCGATCTGACCAAGTCCCCCTTGTCTTTCTATAGGGTCACCATCGTCGATGCCTCCGTCGGTCATGTCGTTTCGACTATCCCCGCCGATAATGTGTTCGAGCTGGGGTTCTCCCCGCTCGGTACCTACGTGATCACCTGGCAGCGGCCGAGCAAGGACGCCAACGGAGACGCGGTCAAGAACCTTAAGGTGTGGCGCGCCATTGAGAGTGGAGACGAGCATGCGGTTGTGGGAAGTTTCGTCCAGAAGTCGCAGACGGGTTGGAACCTGCAATACACCCCCGACGAGCGGCTATGTGCCCGTGTCGTGACCAACGAGGTCCAGTTCTACCAGAGTGAAAACCTGTCGACCGTCTGGAATAAGCTGCGCGTGGAGGGGGTGGCGGATTTCGCGCTCTCGCCGGGACAGACCCAGTCGATTGCTGTCTTTATTCCCGAACGGAAGGTACGTGTTTCATATACTTGATAGCCCCAAGGAGGCTGCAGCTAATATTGTTTTGCGATAGGGCCAACCCGCCGCCGTCAAGGTGTTCATTGTGCCGCAGTTCGGCGCCCCGGTCTCCCAGAAGAGTTTCTTCAAGGGTGACAAAGTCCAGCTCAAGTGGAACTCCTCCGGGACAACCTTGATTGTGCTTGCTCAGACCGAGGTGGATCGGACTGGCAAGAGTTACTACGGCGAGACCACGCTGTACTTGCTCAGTGCTAGCGGTGGATTTGACTCGCGTATTGATCTTGGTATGCCGCGTGCGCCAGACTTGCATCAAGAGTATTCGGCTGACCTTTCGAACAGACAAAGAAGGGCCCATCCACGATGTGAGCTGGAACCCCAACTCGAAGGAATTCGGTGTTGTCTACGGCTACATGCCGGCGAAGACGACCATTTTCAACGTACGCGGTGTGGCCAAGCATAATTTCCCTCTGAGTCCGCGCAATACGATTCAGTTTTCTCCCCACGGTCGGTTCGTTCTGGTGGCCGGGTTTGGTAACCTGGCGGGCCAGATGGACCTCTACGACATGGACAGGAACTTCCACAAGATTGCTACCGTGGAGGCCTCCAACGCCAGCGTGTGCGCCTGGTCCCCCGATGGGCAGCATATTCTGACTGCGACAACCAGCCCGCGCCTGCGCGTCGACAACGGTGTGCGTATCTGGCACGTCAGCGGTGGCCTCATGTACAATGAGGACATGACCGAGTTGTACGATGTCACCTGGCGGCCGCAGAGCACTGCTCAGCTTCCGCTGACTGACCCATTCACTAAGCTGCCCACACCTCACCCGTCCGCCACCGCGTACCTGAGCACGCGTAAAGTTCCCGCCAAACCGGCAGGTGCTTACCGTCCCCGGGTGCCCGCGGCCAGTTGACTCCGCTGGCCTTTAAGCGTGAGGACGAAGGTGGAGCTGCCTTTATCCGCGACGGTGCCCCGGGAGCTGGCCTGAACGGCTTCGGCAGCAAGTCGCGTCGCCGTGACATTCCTGGTGCCGAGCCGTCGGAGGAGTACCTGCCTCCCGGTGCGGCGCCAGGTGGCGGCGTGGCTCTCCCCGCCTGGCGCAGACCAGCCGGAGCGTCTGTCCAAGTCGGCGGCCAAGAACAAGAAGAAGCGCGAGGCCGCCAAGAAGGGCAAGGACGACGACAATGAGCCGCCCGCCAACGCCCCCACTGGCCCCAGCCCGGACCGCAACCGCACCAAGGGCAAGAACGGCGCCCCCGTCAATGGCAATGGGGCTGCCGCCAAACCGTCCCCCCGGCTCCGGCTCCTGCTCCGGCCCCCGCCGAAGATCTCAACCCCACGGCCCAGGATAAGAAGATCCGCGGTCTGCTGAAGAAGATCCGGGCCATTGATGAGCTGAAGATGCGTCTGGCTGGAGGTGAGAAGCTGGAGGACACCCAGATGAAGAAGATCCAGACGGAGGATTCCGTGCGCAAGGAGCTGGAAGCTGTCGGGTACAACGGGTGAGCGCCTTGCATATGAGATCACACGAGATGAGATGACGAGGTAGATGCATATGACAAACGGCATAACTGTATACAACTTAGATAGCTTCGGCCTCTGCGGGGTATAGAATGCCTGGGTGGCCACTTGTGTCTAGCGATATAGCCATCGATGGGGAATGGAGAAAAAAGAAAACACTCGAAATTTAAAATATGTGGTCCGATTCATTATGTGCGTGTCTTGTCTATCTATCAAATGAGCCCGGCATATCGCATGTCGAATCATCCGCAATATAAAAGGCCAAAAAAAAAAAAAGAAAGCGATCAAATCTCAATTCCTTCAATCCCCTTCTCCTTCTCAGCCCTCCGCCGCTCCCAATTAGCCTCCCACCACCACCGACTCGTCTCCTCAAGTGTATCCCGCTGCGCCTCCGACGCCGCCTCATGCCACGGCTTCTTGGCAAAGATATAATGCACCGCGCGCGCCTCGGCATCCCGCCAGATGGCGCCGTGCACTGTCGGCCAGCGCAGCGTCTTCAGCGCATTGTACACGTAGGGGATCGCCACCCATCGCCCGTTGAATACCTCCGACAGCAGTTCCTGGTCAGGGAAATCGTACCGCTCGATGCGCGCGGTGTCCTGCAGCGCGGCGGTGATCTCGTTGTAGATATGCGCGGACGGCGTTATCACCAGGACCCCGCTGTTCAGCATACTCACCCCGGTTTCGGGAGATGGGGCATCCGTCTGCGCGGAGTCAGGCATGGGGTGTTGGGAGGTGTAGGCGCAGTTTTCGGAGATCCTAGTGGGAGTTAGCAGTGAGTTCAAGGCGTAGTTATGGGATATATAGTAATGAGCTGCACTCCCATGATGAGGAGAAGAGAGGAGGAGAGACGACATACCAGTGCGAAGGATAGTGCGGCTTCTTCATAGGATTACAAGCACAAGCATGAGCAGCAGCAAACACACGGCGCGCGGCACCCGACTCGAGCGTCGCCGGCGAGTCCAGCGGCAGATCCATCAGCTCATCCATGTTGCGCCGCACCAATATATCCCCGTCCAGCAGCACCACGCGATCATATTCCTCCAGCGAGAACGCCACCAGCTTCGTCCACGTCTCTGCGAACCGCGGGTCCTGCGCGTACTCGCGCGCACTGGCTGGTGTGACCGATGGCACCCATTGTGCGGGGATCCCGCGCGCCTGGAGCGCCTTGAGGCCCTCTGCTGGGAAGGCTGATGTGTACAGGGCCACGAATGGGTAGCGCGAGCCTTGCTCCGGCCGGGGGTCGGTGTCGTTGGTGCTCGCGGTTGACGTTGAGGTTGCGGGGTCGGGTGTTGGGTTGTAGAGGGAGTGGTGGAGGGTGAGGAGGCCGGGGAGGTAGTCCAGATTGGTGATTAGGGATGCCCATACTAGTGACATGTGTTAGTCTTTTGTCTTTTGTCCTTCTCTTTCTCCTTTCCTCGCACTTTTTCTCTCTCTACCCCCCTCTTTTTCTTCTCGCGCTCTTTGCCGGAGACTTACTCCGTTTCCCGGTGTCGGCGGGTTCGACAGATTGCAATTGAGTCATGCTGCTGGGCAGTGAATGGTCTGTGGGCCGGATAATCGAAAACCAATTGCTGAGCACTCAATTCTTTTGCCGTCACACTCGTGGAAGAGTGGCAAGGACAGTCGGCGGTATCAAGAGCGGCCCCTCCGATCCGATGTGGAGTAGGGCCATCTACCTATGCCCAGGACTATATTCGCGTGGGCCAACATGAGAATATCCGATGGGAAAAGAAAGGACCAAAAACATTTCACAAGAGCGATCTGGGTGTATAAAGTGGCTGTAGATGCACATTGATGGTTCTTCTATCCTTGCACGATTTAAGCATAACTCGGGCATATTCGACACAAGAAAAGCCCACGCATCTATATAATTTCTAGCCTACAATCTCCAATATACAAGCTACAAGTTACAAAAATGTTCCATCTGGCCCATTCTGCACCGCATCCAATCCTGAGTATCTCCTCTCTTGGCCCACCACAGCCACCGATGTAGAACCGTCAAGAGACAGATCGACACCCGCGGCAGGATAAGAGAGGAGATAGAAACCCCAGAAGATCGAAGATGGGCGTTGCGACATGTCACAAAGAGACAAGTCTCCGGGCGTACAGTGATTCGATGGTGATCGATATATCGCATCCGATACAGAGCTTATTCACTTCCGAAGAAGGAATTTCAAGGCATGGTTCTCGCCTTGCGCTCCACCTTGCAGCGCGAATGATTCCTACCAGAGAATAAGAGAGAAAACAAGAAAAAGGAACGAAGAAAAAGAAATCACTCGAATAGTTGGACCATGGGTATCGTCGATGGTTGGGTTCCTATGCTCCCGGAATTAGGTGAAAATGCGTGCTCGTTTCACAGGGCTGCCCATGCGCAAAGATGCCGTCCCGCTCGCCATGCCGTTCAGCAGACGACCCATTCCCTCCACATCCAGCTCGCCTCGTCGCAATCGGAGCTGGTCCGTCTCCGTGGTCGCCTCTTCCTTTGTCGCCTGGGGGCAACCCCCTCGTCTGACTCGACTAATTTGGGAGCAAGGATCATGATCTGATGCTCCGCCGCCACCAGCACATCAAAGGCGTATCGGTCGAGGCCTCGCGAACGGCGTTCCGGCGCGGGCAGGTGGCCGATCGCCTGGAAATTCTCTCCCATCAGATTGACGTCTTGGAATGGGGATACCCGGCACCGGTTCGAGGCGTCAAACGTGCCGGTAGCTCGGACAGCGTTGCGCCAAAGAGATAGTAAGCTCGGGATAACCGCGCTCTGGCGCCCGTGGCGCACCAGGATCGACTCATCTGGCAGGGCATCTTGCGACGAGTTGGTCTGGGCCACGGAGATCTGCCCACGGAGCGACGGGCTTGCTGCACTCATAGATCCTTTCAGAAGGGTATCTTCGCGAACCCGCTTCGTAGAGGGAGTCATCGGTGCAAACCGGGGCCGCTGCTCGGCTTCGGACTGACTGTTGGAAAGCGGCGTCATGATGCGCCCACTGACAGCATATGCGGTCAGAGAACCTCCCGTCACACCCTGCACACTTGACTGGCGGTGCAGTGGGCCCTTGCTGGTTCCCGGCCCGGCACCTTCAATATCCCAAACTCCCCATTCACCATCTACGAGCAGCACCATGACTGCTCGACCGCCGAGGACCCAGTCGGCATCAATGATTGTCTTTCGTCGAGGGAGTCCGGCCGGATCCTGCTCGAATCCCGGATACAGACTGATCAGCCATCGACCCTCGGTGTCGATGGTTTCATACTCTTCCTGGGGAATCGATGCGCGCCGCGCGGATTTTGATGACCGTTTGACTGAGAAGCACGAGTAGACTTTGACACACCCGCTGTGAAACGCCACCAGCAGGGTTGAATGGCGAAGCGATGGGTACGCGGAAGGGTTAAAGACAATTTTCTGGGCCGGAGCTGGCAGGTGTCGACGTTGAGAGACAATGTCTTCTTCTGACAAAGCAAACGACGATTCTTTGCCTGTTAAATCTTCTTGGATCGGAATTCGGTGCAGCAACAGCACACCAGACCCTTCGGCAGAATGCGTCGCGACGAGAAGATCCCATCTTCCGGAACCTCCAATGTGACTGTGCGACTTTCGCCGATCCTGTTCTTCCTCGACTTCTTGACAAGTGAAAGTGAGAGATACACCGCGCGGGATATCCTGGTGGGTGACGCCACCATTGATCATAAGCGTTTGGATGCGCCAAGTTTTCGGGTCTGTCTGCGTTGGGTGAGGAGGAACAAGCGGCAGAGTCACGACCCACGTCGAGAAATCCGAACAGACTGCCGCCACCACAATTGTATTCTTCAGAATAAGTGGAAACGGATCAAGAGGCGAGCGCGATCCTTCGGGAAGAACGTGAGGCACTGCCATGTCCAGCACTCGGCTTCCCAAAGGAATATCGACTTGTCGCAATATCTCCTCGAAGGGAAAGGCGGGATTGACCTCAGTCTCCTCTTTGCTGAATTCGTATCCGGGCTCTTCTGGTGCTGGCGGCTCGGGCGCATCGTCTTCGTCTGAGTCAATCACCATCACTGCATCGTCGCCACCAGTGACTTCTGTGGGTTTGTCCCTTTCTCGGGACTCGGGCGCCTTCAGCGCCGAGAATTGCCTCCCTCCTCTCCAGATAACCTTCAGTCCATTCTCATTGCCGTAGATGATGATCGAGGAGCCGTTTGGAGCTCTGAGCGGATAGCCCTTGGCAGCGTGGACACGATGGGGAAGCCGATAGCTGAAATTTGCAGATGGGAAAATCAGTGTCACGTCACCCAACAGGGGCAAAAATGAACATTTTATCTCCGTACCTAATCTGTAGACCGTCTTCTCTTGGCCGGACCAATGGTGTGGTAGGAAATGAAGGCATTGTGTCGGTGGCAATGCCGTCGAAGTGTTCAAGCTTCGAGCGCAGGCGCCGAATGGCACCACAGGGATGATAGGCAAGCTCAGTCTAATGACTTTTGATCATAGAAGATGAGCTGCTTGCTAGCAGAATCAAAAGTCGAGAGCAAAAAGCGACAGCGCGAGAGGTGTAGTTGCGGGAGAAGTCGAGAAGCGGAAGAGAAGTTGTTTTGGTCGGCGAAGCAAGCGGTTCCAAGTCCGCGTTCCTGCGCGTCTCCAATTCCAACCTTCGACGCTCGACATGCCTCTTGAGCGCTGCACCCTTGATTGAGCTTCGTTAACGATGATACCGGAAATGCCTGATTCAACTGCTTGGTCCGCCAGAAGCTTGTTTGTGACGGCGCATTACGATCACTACGGTTGTTAAACAGCCCACCATGGCGTTCGCTCGTTCTCTCGGCCTCCACGAACCCTCGGCCGTGTCCTATTTGGTTGCAGAGGGCATTCTACCTCCCGATCCATCAAAAACCCAGTACAAATGGAGGACCTGTGTTGACGAAAGTGGGTTGACCGGCCCCGTGGACGATGAGCTGGTGTGGACGAAGCATTGCGTGGTATGGTCCCGCGCAGGGATGGTAAAGAGAGTGTTCCGGTTGGATCCCGAGAAAGAGGAGATTCGATACGCTTTATTCACGCAATTTGCGGCGGGGAATATCAAGAAATCTAACCAAACTACGGGGAATACAGTTCCCAATCGATCCCGGGCCACAACCACAGTGACTGGTGCACGCGGCACTGAAAGCCAGAGAAATGGGGGCTCGTCGACACTGGAAAGCCCGGGCTCGACATTGGACTTGCATGGAGATGCGCAGGTTGCTGTGGTTGCACCTCAGCAGCCGAGCGAGAGACTTTCGAGGGCTCTGGTCGTGGTCCTCAAGTCGCAGGCCCATATCTTCTTCGTTGCGGGGAACAGCCATACGATCCCCCTTCCTTTCGAGGTGGAATCAGTTTTCGCCACTCCTCAGGGTCTTCTCTTTCAAAGAAAGGGTTTGGAGGAAATCGAGGCACTCGAAAACCCAAGCGCACCTCCCAATTCATTCATGACTGCTCCGTTATTCGATCCCCGAGCATCTCAATCATTAGATATTCCACCAGCACCCAGCAAAACCACCCAACCATCATTGAAATTGTCGTCTGCGCAAGGCACTAGCTCAGGTACCGATCTCCCTCGGGTCTTCTCCCTAATCGATCCTCATTCAGAGATGGGTTTGGTGGTGACTTCCCAACCCTCGCGGTGGTTGCAACGCAGCGTCAGCAGCATCAAGAGGAGTCCACCTGGGCTAGAGGTGCTGGACCCAGCGGATGACATCGTGTATGTTTCTTCCAAAGATGAGCTCTCGAGCTTGGGCGCATCTCCGATGAATGCACATTTGATCCTGGTGGTCACCATTAACACAACAACTGGACTCTATACAATATGGGCTGCACGGTACAAGAGCGACCAAACGGGAAGCTCAATGAGAGAAAAGGCCAGACGAGAAACGGGAGGCACTCGATCGAACCGAAGAAGCTCGTACTTCGGAATGGCAACTGGCGCAACCACACCTGCCGCACGCCCTTCGGCCAGAGAAAGCTTTGGGCCCTGGACGGAAAACTGGAACTCTCAACAACCCGAGACTCAAACCGATGCCGAAGAAGACTTAGCCTCGAGAGTAGCGCAAGATTTCGGCGATGTCGGTGTTCCTCTCAAGACGTCGAGGCGGGTCAGCTCATTGCTTGCTCGGACAGATCTCGCAACGAGCCAAGATCGCATCACGTTTTCAGATCTTGCCACGGGCAGTCAGTCAAGCACCGCGCTCCCAGGCGGAGGCAGACAGTCTTTGGGAGGCGCAAGCACCCGTGGAAGCTTTGGCTTCAACCCACGAGCCTCACTTCCCCCCGCAACGGGCTCGGTTTACAGTGTCGCGGGTAGTTTCGTGGATGCCCCGGTGGATAGAGTTCTCGAAGGACTCAACAGTGATATCCTATCTGAAGGGGTTGAGAAAACTTCTCTTCGGGAATCAACCTCCGGATTGCCAGAGGAGCTCATTTTATCCAAGATAGAAAGCTTTTCCTCCAGGTTCTCTGGGAGTTTTCACTCGTCCACACAGCAGACACGGCCGCACCGATTGAGTGTTTCTACGCTTTCTTCTGTCGACTCTGGAAACGCACAGAACGGAAAAGCCGCCTCAGTGGCCGTCTGCATCGTCGACCAAGATTCACGAAACATGATCATAGTGAACCTGAAAGCAGATCGTGCGGCAGTGTCGAAAAACAGAGGGACCAAGAAGGCCAAACCCTCGGATCGCCCATTTCTAGTCCATGCAACAGGGATCCAGCATGTCCCAAATGTCTGGGACGCTCGCACAGTCATCGACGGAGAAACATCGCGAATTCTCACATTGACTGTGGCGGAAAATGGACAACGTGAGTTATCATTGCAAACGCTATGGGGGAGCCCGACAAAGGTTGAGATCCCTGTTCCTCTGCAATTGTATGAACCCCATGGGGTGTCTGCCAGCAAAATCGTGGGTCGTTCGAGAGAAAGTGGTGTCAACCGGGTCATGGCAGACCCCGACCTCGTTTTCACGGAATTCGATCATGGCTGCTCGAGAGGAAAGATTGACTTGGTGGATACCGAGAAACAGCGGCACAGGCTTCAAATTCAAATGGAGCCCCGCAACGACTTGGTGAAAAAAATACTCAGGATATGCAGATTCTCCCTGCGAGACTTCGAGAAAGCCGGTGATGGGATGCTCCTGGCATGGTGGGAAATAATGAAATGGCTTCGGGGCAAGGAAGACATCGGGAACGATTTGGAATGGACAGCTATGGTTGTCGCATTGTTCTCTCTAGCCATTCCTTTTATTCCTCAACCTCAGCCCCAGACACCGGCCAAGCGAGCCCGCCGTAAGAAGGGTCTTCTTAGGTCGAGCAGTGGGGGTTTTCGTTGATCTGGAAAGCTGGGAGGCCATGCTTGATTTGGAATCTGGCGCCTCCGGCGTCGCCGCGCCGTGGATGATGGGCAGTTCCTGGGGATGGATTGTTGAACAGGATGCGATTGAGGATTTGGAAGCACGAGATGCGTCTCGGACGCCAAAGGCCGAACATCCCAATGCAACCCGATCCACGTATCGTTCCAACTCATACGTGCTTCGATGCATTTCGCAGAGCCGTGAGTTTTTGCAGAGCTCACAGGGTGCCAGAGCCTCCGGCCACAAAGGCTACCTCCCTATCTCGGATGCCTTTTCCGAGAACACAAGATGCACTGCACTCTGTACTGTACTGGTTGGCTTGCACCTCCTCCGTGAAGAGCAGAAGCTCTCCACCTGTGACTCCGAAGAGTCTCAGAGACCCTTGGGTCTTCTTGCCCCTATCCTCGCCCAGCTTGGCGGCTGGCTGGGGTGGCAGTCCTGGAAATGGACCGAAGATGCCTACTTTGGCATCGAAATGGCCAGCATGGAACGCTGGCAGTTTGAAGACACTCAAATATCCAACCTCGATGTCCCCGCAGAACCTTTTGCGCCTCCATCAATTTTCGCTTTCCTCATTGACGCTGCTCGTCAAACCCCATCTCCGTTTCCTACCCTCCTTGATATCGTGGCTACAACGGACCGGGTGCCCAGAAAGGGACAGATGTGGCGACAATGCTTCAATATCACGCCCAGGACATTAGCGCTGAATGGCTTTCTTTCCGAAGTGCACCGCGTGTCGACTCCTCTCGAGAAGATCAAGCTTTTACACCGCTGGGGGCTGACCAAAAGCATCATCGACACCTTCCCTGAAGGCGTGAGTGAACCGCTGTATGAAGCAGTAATGCAATGCCAGATTGATGCTTCAACCGCCTGGAATGCAACGCTTCTGGAGCTGATCGACCGAGAGGATCTCTACATGTCGATGAACCCCATTCATACCCAAACATTTGCGGCACCCCAGCAGTCTGTGCTCTCCCATGATGCTCTACGAGATTTCCATTTCATCAGCAGCTCGGCGTTGGACATTGACACCATCAATGCTTTCGAGGCTTCCGCAGAGGCTGACCGGTTCTCCGTGACTCGGCTGATCTTCCGGGAGGACAAGCGTTTCTTAGAAGCGGCGCGGCTGCTTAATCAGTCCAAAGCACCCGTGGCAGAATGCATCCCGGAGCCAGATTGGGGTGACTCGGAACTATTGGAGGCGCAAAAAGAGCTTGTGCAGCTTGTGACGGTGCGGACGTTGTCTACCCCCGCCGGCCGCGCCATGATCTCGTTTAGCGGCCGGCTCCCTTTGCTGACGGAGAAGCTGCCGATTCCATCTTTCTCACTGCAATGCGTGATGAAACCATCTAATGTCACCATCAGCGCCGAGAGATCCGCATTCACTGAAGAAAAGGTTTGCTGGGCGTTTTTCCACAACGGTGTATCCACTGGTCTGGCGATCTCGAAGGCATCCAAAGGAATAGATACTTCCTGGATCCTGTTCAACAAACCTCACGACCTCACGAACCGACACGCCGGGTTCCTGTTGGCCCTGGGTCTAAATGGCCATCTTAAGTCACTGGCTAAGTGGGTTGCCTTCAAGTATCTCACCCCCAAGCATACCATGACATCCATTGGCCTCCTGCTTGGTCTCGCTGCGTCGTATTTGGGTACTATGGATACGCTAATCACACGCTTGCTATCGGTGCATGTCACAAGGATGCTGCCACTGGGCGCAGCTGAACTGAATCTGTCGCCTTTGACCCAAACTGCGGGCATCATGGGCATTGGGCTACTTTATTGTGGCTCTCAGCATCGGCGTATGAGCGAGGTCATGCTGTCGGAAATAGAAAATACCGAGCAGGATGAGCAGGCGCCATCACAGGAGGACCTTCGTGACGAAGGATATCGTCTGGCTGCGGGGTTTGCGTTGGGCTTCATTAACTTGGCCAAAGGCGATGATCTACGGGGGTTGCGTGACATGCATCTTGTCGAACGACTACTGGCAATCGCAGTTGGTACAAAGAACGTGGATCTTTCGCACGTGCTCGACCGAGCCACGGCGGGTGCAACGATTGCCCTGACTATAATCTTCATGAAAACCAACGACGCGGTTCTGGCGCAGAAGATCGATATCCCGGACACCACCATGCGCTTTGATTACGTGCGACCAGACCTCTTCCTCCTGCGGACGCTGGCGCGGCATGTTATTATGTGGGACAGCATCAACCCCAGTCCTGAATGGATTAGCCAGAGCCTCCCGGAGGTGTACCGGCCGCGATCACGTCTCACGGATGTGCGCTATCTGCGCAGCGAAGATATGCCATTCTTCAATATCATTGCTGGTCTCTGTTTCGCCCTGGGTCTCCGCTATGCTGGCTCCGGTCAGCTGCAGGCGCGCGATCTACTGGTGTTTTACCTTGACCAGTTCATTCGCATCTCGCGGCTGCCAGTACGCAACTACGATGCCAGGCTAGCGCGTAACTCGGTCCGGAACTGCCAGGATGTTGTGGCCTTGTCCACTGCCGCGGTCATGGCCGGGACGGGCGACATAGTCCTGTTCCGGCGTCTGCGCTCACACCATGGCCGAATCGATGCTGACACGCCATATGGAAGCCACATGGCGGGTCATATGGCCATCGGGATGTTATTCCTGGGTGGAGGGAGCTACACAGTGGGCACATCTGACCTTGCAGTGGCCTCGCTCCTCTGCGCATTCTACCCCATCTTCCCAACCACCGTCCTAGACAATAAATGCCACCTCCAAGCGTTCCGGCATCTATGGGCCCTCGCCGTCGAGCCACGCTGTCTTGTCCCGCGTGACCTTGATACCCGTCGACCAATTTCCATTCCCATCACTGTCACCTCTCGCGACGGCTCCACTCAGACCGTTACCGCCCCTTGTCTTCTCCCGAATCTCTGCGGCGTCGCACGCGTCGAGGTCCGCGGCCCAGACCACTGGCCCCTTGTTCTTGATTTCAGCCAGAATGATGCCCTTCTTGACAAGTTCCGGCACGGCGATTCCTCTGTCTACCTCCGTCGCAAAGCAACCTACAGTCCATCCGGCTCCTCGACCTCCCTCTTCGCCTCCACCCTCACCGGTCTCAGCGACGCCCAGGATATCCTCCCATCCACCAGCGCTGCCGGGCCCAACCCCGCGAAGGGCCTTCCACCCTCTGCATGGCCCACTCGCGCCGCCCTACTCTCCGGGTCTGCGTCTGCCACGACCACTCCATCGCAGAGCCCATGGGACTGGGTCTTTCACCTCTCATCACTGCAAGGTCTTGACATCCGCGAACGCTCCCTCGTTCTGCCCTCTTCATTCCCAGCTCGCTCCCCACGCATTACCACCGATCTGCCCTCCGCGCCCCCCTGGCTGCGCACCTCAGCTGTCGACTCACGTCTCGCTCTGTCTCATACCGTCCGCAATATCGTCCAGTCTGCCCGTGGCCGCGGCGCAGATCCGGATGAAGTTCGCGATCGTGTCTGGCAGCTGCAGCTCCTGTTTGACTGGCTTGATCGCACGCAGCCTGATGACGACCGTGACGACCGCCCAGGCTCATCCCAGTCTCAGACATCCCCCAACGTGGCTGCTGCGTCAGGGTTGTGGTTGCGGAGAGACTTTATCGAGGAAGCTAGGTGGCAGATCTGGGGTGTGCAGATTGGGGATCGCGTTGAAGGGGAGAGCAACGTTGTTTCTCTTTAAGATCGTGGAATCAGAGAAGAAGGATGCATATGGAACAAGGTTGTCTTCGAGGTTGTTCATATTCTTTCTACCTGCGTATCATAGACTCAGTTATCCCATCCTGTATCCAGTTCTTGTGGTGCCTGAAAGACCTGGACTGTATTGTATGAAAACACGAGATGATAATAAATCGAGTCATTTACTCTCTAGTTCCATTGTGGACTGATCAAGTCATATCAACACGCCTTCTTTTGTAGAGCATCAACCATATCTTGCATAACCAAAAGGGTGGTTAAATGGGGTGACCCAGACATTCATCCCTAACGCCAGAGATGCAGACATCGAAAATCACATACACACGCGACTATAAGCTCCAACTATTGCGAGCGAATCTGGTTCTCCTTCAGTAGCCCACGATCCCCACCACCGCCCTTCTGCCACAGCCAGACACCCTCAACCGCCCATGCTGCGGCACTCGCATGACGTCCGATGCCCGAAGCCGCCGGTGCAGTCGAACCCGCATCCGCTCCAGCACCTTCGTTCTCTGGGGCTGGAGTCTGATTCGTGCCCAGGCTTTGGCCAGCTGACCCATCCGCCTCCGCCAGCATGGTAGCCACGACGCCTTCTTTTTCGATGACATACCACAACCCCTCGGACAGTTGCCCGCCACGGTCTCCAAACTCGGCCCGGCCTAAACGAAACAGAATTCGACCCATTACCTGCCATGCAATACAGCGCTGGGCAGGGAAGGAGGAGCGGGAGAGAATAGCTAGTTCCGGGATTGTGTACCCCGCCGCCTGGGGGTCGTCACCGTGATGGTGGAGGCCCAAGGTGGTCGGGAGGGAGAGAGAGGTGGAGGGGGCGAGAATCGTGCCGCGCAGGGAGAACCGAATCGCGGACGGTGCGACTGAGATGGCACTGCTAGCGGGGTGGTAGGCCGATGTAGAGTCCGGGTCTTCGGGGTCGGTCGACGGGGGTTGGAGCCAGGACAGTGCGGCTGGATCGTGGGCGATCTCTGGGAAGTAATGTGATTGAAGATCGGATAAGAAGGAGGGAGATGAGGGGTCAAGAGTGGGCATGGATTGTTTCGGTTGAGGGAAGTGGAAGGCTTCGAGGAGGGCGGGGTCCAACGAGGGGCGCTCAGAGGCAGGATGAAGATCTTGTGGGGGCTCGGTTGGTGCGAGGTCATCCTTTCCGGAGGCAGGTTGTTTTTCAGAAATCTGGGGCTGGATTTGTGTGGGTTTTGTTTTTGATGTCGAGCCTGACACAGAGGACTCTGGGATGTCGAAGGAGACTGATTTTTTTGGCTTAGACGGTTCTTTCGATGTTGGTGCCGGGGGCTCTTTGCCGCTGATCGTCTCGTCCTCATCGATTCTTGCTCGTCGGAGGAAACTCTGAAGCAGCCCCGGATCCATCGCTGCCATCAGCTCCTCCCGCTCCTGTTCAATCTGCGCATCCGACATGGATGCCAGCTGGCGGCGATTCTCCTCGTCGATAGTCTTCTTGTCATCCTGGGCGGGTGATGCAGGACTTGGGTCTGCTGGAGCCGACTGGTTTGCTCGCCTCTGCTTGAAGGAGGACGGTTTGTTGCGCCGACGATGCGGGGGGAAGCCGGTTGTGGACGCTGAGGGAGTGGGTGGTTTGGGAGCGGACAGGGTGGCGGACGGGGTGCGTTCTTGGATTTCACCGATGAGGGAGAATGGAGATGATATTTGTTCCTCGGACGGCCCTGAGGGCTCATCTAAGTCCAGGACGAAGCGCTCGCCGCGGAAAGCCATATCGACATCACCGTGGAGGAGCAGAAAGCAAGTTATGTCAGCACTGCGGCTTAAAAAAGCTCACAAAGCGCTAGCTACATTGGGCTAGTGTCTGCAGCGGATACACTAACCCCAAACAGGAAATCGTGCTTGGGCTCGGGAGTATACAGCTGCGGGCAGATAGAAGAGCGTTTCAGGGTAGTATGTCCAGGGATAAGGGTAGGGTAATGGGATTCGGAATTCGATCATAAATATCCAGTTACATCACTCTTGATATGCACATTAGATCCTCTCTTTCTTAAATACCACCGAGTGTCTTATAGTAAGTTACCTCCAACTAGTATGTATACAGTAGGTACTTGCGTACTATCTCGGCAAACACACCCCTCCAAGTCGAAAAGAACAACCTTGGAGCTATTTCAACTCGAATCGATGCAAGACCCAGTACTTTGAGAACTCTTTGCTCCCCATCCATTGTCCGGCATTATTGTCCAATATTCCAAGCTCTTTCGTCCCATACTAGCCCTTCAATGCTCCCAGCACATAGATGGGTTCGCAGAAACTGGACATATCAATCTCGCGTCGTAGCTGGGGTAGACAAGGCCATGTAGTAATTCCCCTTTCTTCGTCTTTTTTTTTCTCTTTTCCCTGACTTCCAATCCCTTTCCTTTTCTCCCCTTCTCTTTTCCTTCTTCCCGTAGCCCTCTTTATCACACTCTTTTTTTGTTCTTCTTCTACTTCCCGTCCCGTCTTTTTCTTTTCTTTTTTGTTTTCCCATCTCCACCCACTCGCCCCGGGCATCTCCTGTCTCATTCCACTTTTTTTTGTGTTCCCATTCCCACCCGGCCTGCCCGAACGTGATACCAACTTGTCTGTGCCGACCGCAGTGTGAACAACATCCATATTAGCTCCCCATCTCGATCTTATCTCTATAGCTCTCTCTTCATCGATTCGTCATTTGCCACCATGTCCACGGATCCCACTGTGGTGGGTGTGCCCAAAGATGAAGGGCCACCCGTCGCCGACACCAAACCGGACGGTTCCAACGCCCGACGTGCCTCCGGAACTGCCAGACGGTCGCGTCGCAAGAAGGAAGACGACCCCACCGATTCTAAGCCTCCCAAGAAAGATAAAGATACCAAGGAAAAAGAGAAGCCTGCTCGAGCTCCGCGTCGACCTCGAGAAAAATCTACAACCAACGCTGCCTCGCGCAAGAAGCCCAAGCTGGAGCAGACCGGTGATGAAGCTGCAACGAGCGGTGCTGCTCCGGCAGACCCCCGAAGTGCTCCCCAGGTACCTGCAGAACCTACTCCTCAACCAGCTCCATCGTCCTACCCACAGACCTCCCACCTTCCTCCCTCTACCGCCCCAGGAGCTGCGTATCCCCTCTCCCACGCGTTTCCACCACGCCCGCACTCCCAACCTCCACCGCCGCAGCCACCCCCGAGGACCAGTGGACAAAACTTCGATCCCATCCGATCTGCTTTCGGCACGGCATCGCCGGCGCCGGCCTACAGCCCTCCCGCTCGCCCGTCGTCGCCGCGAAATGGCTATCGCGCCAGTGCGTCGCCTGCGATCTCCAGTATCATTGATCCGCCCGCCCAAGGCTTGCAACCGGTGTACACCCCTCTCCCGCGCTCTTCCTCTGGCCATGTATCTGCGGTCTCTTCACCGGCACCGCCTGCGATAGTGCCCACACCGACACACCCATCCTTAGCACCCTCGCCCCTGCCTGCGTCGCCCCCCCATGGGACCGTCCACACTCCGCAACCGCTGCCGCCCTCCAGTCATTATACCCCCTTCACTCCCTCGGAGCAGCGACCGCCACCTCCCCAACCGCCTCATGTCGAACCATCTCCACAAGCAGTACAACCGCCCCAACCCCCGCAGCTTGATCGTCCTGCCCAGGCTCTCCTGCCGCAGCGGGCGCCTCAACAACCGTCTGATGCGATGGAGGTCGACTCGACAGAGCAGTCAACGCCCTGCACCAAAAAAGAGAAAAACGCTGCCACTGCACCGTCGTCGAAAGCCCCATCTCCCAAGCCTCCTCGCGCCACCAAGGAAGCTCCACCACTGCCCCAAGGGTCTGGCCTCATAACCAACGCACTGTTTGGGATGGACGATTCCGCCAAGTCGCCTGATTCGCGCAGCACACCGAACATTGTTGTCCATATCCCTTTGCAAAAAGGCAACCAGATTGTCAACTTTGCGCGCCTGGCGGAAGAACGATATGGGTTTGCCGCCTTGCATCCACGTCTGGCTGCCCACAAAGAGCGCCTGGCCCGCGTGGCGGCCGCGGGGGCGGCATTGGAGCGCAATGACAAGGGTCCCAAGGGAATCTCTGCTGGCGAAAGTGCCGATGAAGATTTGAGTCTCGATGTCGATCGCGATAGCGATATGGAAGGTGACGTTACCATGGCCGGCACAGGCACCGGTACCAATGGTGCGCCTTCCGAGGCTAGTGATGGGAAGCGAAAGCGGCGCAAGAAGGTCGAGGAATATGACCGCGATGATCCATTTGTCGACGACAGTGAAATGGCTTGGCAAGAGGGTGCCGCCGCAAGCAAAGATGGCTTCTTTGTGTATAGCGGACCGTTGGTGCCCGAGGGCGAGAAGGTCCAGGTGGAACGGTATGTCATTTTATCAATTTTCTTTTTGGGTTGACTACGATATGCTGATGGTTTTGAAGTGCCGATGGAACAATCAAGCGCGGCCGTGGCCGTGGCCGTGGAACAGGACGGGGAAGGTCCTTGGCTTCACACCCACATGTCCCGATTGCTGCCGCCGTGCCCATCTCCCAGGACACTGGTCTGCCGCTTCGTGGACCGGGATCGCGGGGTGGTACGTCGCGCCGGCCACGAACTACCAAGAAAGCTGAGCAGCAGGATAAACAAGGCAACGAACGCAATGGCACCACGGCGTCCGCATCTCACGAAGGCCGCGGCGGCCGGGGCAGCAGTGGGGCGGGCAACGGGTCTGGCCGTGGTGGGAGCAATGCCAGCACTCGGGGTGGGAAATCGTCTGCATCGTCTATGATGTCGATGATGGACTTAGCACCTGCGCCGTCATCGAGTCCGAATATTGCTGCTGCGCCGCCGGGTCCCAGCCCGTCAGCCGGTGCCGAGCTGGTTATGAAGTAAACTGTTTTGCTGGTTTGTGGTGTGTTGCACGGTGTTTGAGGGTTTCTTGAATGGTTTGCGGCGTCGATGAGTCGGGCAGACGGAATTCCCGACAGTGTTGCTGCTCATAAGTCTGGCTTACTGGGTTCGTCCGGGGTTCACGGGTTCATTTTAGTTGCTTTTCCAGCCCATATGAGTTGGTTTGTATGCAAACTGCGTCAGTAGGTATTATACATGATTTAAATTACATATAATATCTTTCGGTCCGATCAACCTGGATGAAGTGATTAGCTGTTATACTCTAACAAGGTGGGTCGAACATAGATGGATGTATAGGAATTTGTAGGAATTAGTGTACATACCTCCCGATATATCCATATCCAAGACCGTAAATGTCCCTTCTTCCCTGCTCAATAAAATATTACATATAAGGGTATCATCTCAACGCCGATTCTCCTGCCTCCACTGAATACCATGCGTCACCGTAATCGAGTACGGATCCGAGTCGTCGCCACTATTCTCGCGATCTCGCGAGAAGCCATGCGGAGGCTCCGCAGGCGAGTGCGCCGTAAGGCGAGCCTCGTCATCGTCGACGCACAGATGCGGCGCTTTGGTGTCGCCTTGCCCATAGCGGCTGAGCCGGTGCAGTGCGTTGCTGTTCTGCGTGCCCTCGCTGTTCCCGTAGCCATATCGGTGTCGCGATCCCACGGATTTCAGTGAGCGAAAGGCCATCCGCAGGAATGGCTGCAGCGTTGGCAGGCACGAGCAGATGATGCCCACGGCGGGTTCCACTGTTGACCACATGTATACGTAGCCCATTACCCAGGTGATGTCCAGGTCGGTTTTTAACTTGCTCATGTAGTAGATTCGAATGATACTTGCGATGCAGACACTGTTATGATGTGTGTTTTGCTGGTTAGTATGTTGTTGCCACTTGGTCCCGAGGGTTTCCCAAAGACATATAAATATAGAAAGCCTCTGGGGAAACCAGGCATAGGAAGCAGGATAGGATGGTACGTACAATCCACCGAGAGCAAAGATCCCCGACACAATGATCTTCTGGGTCCGGGGCATTTGGAGCTTCCACACAATCGGCATGGGCATCGCCAGGATCAGCAGGTCGGTGAACACGTTGGCCGACGAGGTCCCGATGTAGTAGCCGAAGAGATTGATGATGCACTTCCCGCCCTTGGGATCGATGTACTGCGTCCAGAAATACGACAGTGGTTGACACGCGCACGAGAACGCAATCACGCCGCCGACACCCCAGCCAATGCTCATAAAGAGGTTGGCCCAGATCATCCAGTTCATGCCGAAGAGCCGCCGGTACAACAGCAGGATTGAGCACTTGATCGTTGAGATGAGTGGCAGGTAGATGTAAATGAAGGCCACGAGGATCTTTGCCGGGGAAATCGGATCAGCCACTTGTGGACGCAGAGTGTTGATGCGTTCACATGGTTCGTTCTCTCACCTTCTCCATTCCCACCACATCTTCCACCGTGCCGGCCCAGACATGCTTACCGAGACCGAAGCTGGTACCTGTTTGGACATGAAGGTGTCAGGGCGTTGTTTCTTCCAAGGTGAGATTGAGTTCTGTAAGACTGATTGTGCCAGGGTCATGTTGTGTTTCTTACCTACAATGGTCGAGACAAGCAGAGCCACAAGTGGGATCTATGCAACATCGTCTCTGTCAGTCATGCTGGTCGGAAACAACGAAGAACTCCGAGGAACTCACAATGGAGATGGCCATCAGCCAGTCGTCTAGACCGAGCCCCGTTTTCTGGATACACAGTCGTGACACAAATCGAAGACACACGACAACGACTGCCAGGATAAACATCGCGATACACACGCCATCAATCCTGCTAACTTGACTGTCACGCAAGTCGATGCCCGGCGGCGGCGGGCCAAAGATCAGCTCGACACCCGTCATGGTGCTGAGTGGGTGATGGCCAGCACAATATCCCAAGAGAACAATAGGAGGAGGAAGAAGAAGAAGGGTCGACGACGACCTCAAAACCCCATGCGAGTTCGGCCTTATGCAACCTCCCTCCCCCAGGGCAGTGAACCGCCCGCTCTAACCATGCAACCATGCAGGCGAGTGGATCGAGGATCGTCACCGAGGGGCGGGCTATCGATGCCATGGGGCCAAACCGACCGAATCCTGATTCCCTGTTGTTTTAGTTCATGATGCTGTGGAAAACTTCAAAAATGGTGATCAATCCTTCGGGATCCCACGGGTTCGTTTGGGAGGGCGTTGGTGTGTGAACGAGAGAGAGGTGGGTTTGAGCAAATGTCCCTACAAGAACAGGGATATTTTCACTCGGGAAAGATTGTCGAAAGGAATAAGGCTCGGCTTTTGACTCGCAGTTTGTCATGGTGTTTTTTTTTATGCTTCTGGGGCCAGATATGGCTTGATCGAGGAACTCAGCGGGACAGCGATTGACCAGCAGGCTGGGACCGATAATCCCCAATCCCGCATCCTAGGTTGGCGATCAAAGTACGATACGATAACAGGTCTCTCGATGTTCCTATTGTTCACAGGTTTACGCAGGATTTGCTTGCCACTGGGGCGCCTCCCAGCGACAGGGATCTTTGGCTAGTTCGCACTTGGCTGCTTGACCTCCACAGGCACTTCGGGGGCCATTCCACATTGACACAGCCCTAACAATGCTACGTGGGCCCCCCCCTTGGAATCTATGCTGAGTAGTTAGGCCGATCGGTGTTAACTATATCCATATCAAGTAACTATATCGTCGAGTGATCCACTGTAGCGGTTCCGAGGTTTGTACCGTACGTGGACTATATGGACTATGTATATCATTACCCAAGGTATCCTCTGACGCTAAAACCCTCAATTCGAGTCAGAATCAAGTTAAAACCGATAAAATAAAATAATATAATATAATATCGAAGAAGACCATACATGACTCGCACTATGTACGCCGGGGAATGCAGGAACATATCACAAGAAGTCCGGGCGGAAATCCAAGTTAGGGCAAGGTTGCCGCCAATCCAAACAAAATTCTTGACTGGGAGACAAAGAAAATGGGAGAAAGAGAAAGTCCTGAAAGCAGAATGAAAACAAATGAGAAATTGCGAGTCGGGGGTTGTGGTCGGCTTTGCTTCCAACATGAAGAAACAACATGGGTAAGAAAACAATGAGGCTATCATGTGGACATGGAAGAACATTCGGTCAACAGAGGTGAAATATAAGAAAAGAAATCATTCCAAACATCTCAGGTTATCCACATGGGGTTCTTTTTCTGTCTCTTTTCTCAAGAGTTGCTCCCCGGCATTGGACCGGAATAACCGCGCCAGCTGCTGCCAGCGGGCATAGGCGGCGGAGGCGGAGGACCACTGGGCGGAGGCGCGGCGCGGGTGGGTAATGCGGCAGAGTTCAGGTTAGTGCGAGATTTGCTATTGTGCGAGCTGACGGAACGAGGGCTCATGAACGGCCGCGAGGGTGCTTCGATGGCAGAAACAGGGTCCCCGAGGTGGCGCATAGGGCGACGGCCCGAACGGCCGTCGTCATTCCTCGTTTCCAACGAGAGGTGCTCCAGGGAAGGCGGGGGTGGAGACCGTGTGGATCGCGAAGACGATGAGTAATGGTATGGCTGATGGTTGTAGTGGCGGTAGTGGGCCGGGACGTCCTGGGTGATGTTCAGAGGGATCTCACCCGAGGCTGGGGTCGGGAAAGGAGATTGTTGCGGAGTGCGAGACGGTTTGCTAATTGACACCGGTTTAGGGGCCGCTGTTGGTGCAGGAGCCGGAGTCGGAGCCGGAGTCGAGGACGCGGGAGTGCTCGATGCGGGCGTGGTGTTTTCCTTAAGGGACTTGGGTGCTGGTGCTGCCAGGTACGACTTGCGGTTGTGTCGTTCCATCATACTAATAGCCCATTCTTGAAGGTCGACTGGCGTGCGCTTGGCGGCCTGCAAGAAGGCGTCCTTGTCCTGGATTGGATGTCAGTCAATGACCTTTCCAACACTACCGTAAACATGGAATTGTGCACGCACGTAAAGTTCTCGCGGGGTCGGTCGTTCCTCCGATTTCTTCAGCAAGCATTTCCCGACAAAGTCATGCAGAATCGGCGGGAAGGCATCGCTCTTGGGAAGCTTGGGAGCAGATTCGTGGACAATCTGCTGCAAAAGATCCAAAATGCCCATCGGTCCCACGCTAGCACGATCTCCTGCCGTAGAATCCGAAAGGTCGAATGGGAACCGCCCGACGGCCAACTCCATCACTGTCAGGCCCACACTCCACACATCGGAACGGACGGTATACGCTCCTCCCTGAATCCGCTCAGGGGCCATGTAGGTGGAGGTGCCAACAAAGGTATCGGCAATTGAATTCACGGTTTCGGTAGCGACACCGAAATCGCAGAGCTTGATGTTGCCACGCGAGTTGACCAGAATGTTGGACGGCTTGATGTCTCGGTGCATGATGCGGTGGGCTTCGTAGAGGTAGACGAGACCGGACAGCACTGACTCGGTGATCTTACCCAGCACATCCACCCGGACAGGACCGAAATCTTTGGAGATGCGGTCGAGAGATCTGGGCGGGTGTTGGTTAGCCGGACGTCTTTTTTTCTTCAATTGTTTCCGTGCCGTCGCCTACCCGCAATCCATATATTCCATACACAGCACAATATCTCTTGCTTCATTCTGGAAAGCGCCGTAGAAAGTCACAATACTAGTCGAGTTGCAATCATGTCCCACCCGAAGCTCCCGGAGGATCTGTTTCCGTACATTCTCTTTGGCATCGACTCGGATGATCTGGAGTAGGTGGCGTGTTCCGTCAGCGTGGGCAAAAGCCGATTTGGATCCATCAGTCACTCACCTTCCGCGCCATGACCACCTTGGTGGACGCATGCATCACCTTGGAGACTGTGCCCCCATTCCCCGCGCCCAGCTCCTTTAATGGCAACAGATCCTCGCTGCGGAGATCCAGTCGGAATTCCAGGCCGATTTCCAGCGTATCTGTGCGGTTGCTGTCCGTGTTCCCAATCGCCCCGGGGATTTGGGCATCGCCATCGGATGGGTTGGAGGTGGCCTTGGGAGCCGCATTGAGGGCGAGACCCTTGACGTTCTTGCGTTTCAGTGTCCGAGCTTTGAACGGGTCCGCCATGGTTGAGAGTCAACCCGAGCAACTCAGGTGGCAATGGAGGAAAAGGAGAGAAACGAAGCCAACGAAGACAAGGCAAGACACCAAACAAGAAATCCACGGATGATTAGGCGGGTGGGGAGTGCCAGGAAGAGCGCCAGCTAAACAGCGGGGAACCCGATATCACCTTGCGATGTGGTGGCGCTGATTGGGTCTCTCGGGCGCATCGACGGGGCCAACAATATCACCCACACACAATATTCGGCGGCAATTAGGAGCAGACGGTGGGAGGGATTGGTTGTGGATTGGAGGGTTGGGAGAAGAAGCGCATGAATGCCTGAGCATTGATTGAACTGTACTTAGGGAGGTCTATGGGTGAAACATGGTCGGGGAGGACTCCACCAGTCTCGGGATCCCACCTTGGGGTGAGGGCCATGGATGGGGGTGGGATGCAATCTACTAGAACACCAGATGAGACCCGAAATCGACAAAACATATTTATTGGTCTATGGGCTATATTCTATATTCATATGCATCTAGTTATGGCCAGATGGATGCCAATGTTTTGAGGCAGGAAATCCATACCACGTGATGTCTAATCACCAGCCACAGCACCATCCTCTTTGGGACTGATGTGCACTGCCATACCCAGCCCCGGCCAATCACCGCCACCCGCGTTCTCCTTCGGTGATTCTTCCTCTCTGCTATCTGGCAACTCTCTTTTCTCCTCGTTCCTTTCTCCCACATCTGCGAGTCGGGCAGTACCGGGTGCCGGATCTGCGCTGTTGCCCCCTCAACCTTTCCTTCTTTGAGTTTTCAATCGCGTCCAGATCCCTGGGAGTTGGGATCTCCCGGCCAGCCACGATGAGCCTTCGCGACCTGGTCGAGGGCGAGGCGATGTTAGAAGATGAAGAAAACGATGCGGGAGCGCCTGATGACTACGATGGCGAGGTTCATCAGGGCGCAGGGACTGTCAATCATTATAATGACTCGAGCGAGGAAGATGATGAAGAAGAAGATGACGAAGAAGCTGCTCGCGCGGTGAGTCTGTTCTCACGACAAGCTTCAACTGCGCACTGACAATGGATGTATGGAATAGGTTCGAGAAGGCTTCATTGTCGACGAGGACGAAGAGATCGAGGAGCGTGCCCATCGCAGACGTGAGAAGAAACGTTCACGCCCCCGTGAAGAGGAGCACCTCGACGAAGAAGATCTGGAGCTTATCGGCGAGCATGTTCCTGGTCTGAAACGAGGAGCAGCTGCTGAGGTACGGGACCGTCCGCCTGATGACCCTAGCGAAATTTGCTAACGCGGATCTACTTTCGCCGGAGCAGTCCAAATACAAGCGCCTGAAGCGAGGCAAGGATCGCGACCAACGCCAACCGTCCCAAGGCATTGACGACATCTTCAACTCCGATGAAGAAGAGGAGGCACAGCAATACGGCCGACCCGGCCAGCGCCGCGGCCTGCGCGACGAGATGGATGACTTCATTGAAGAGGACACATTCTCCGACGAGGAAGGGCAGATGCAGCGCGACGATATTGAAGTTGCACCTCCAGTGAGGGCAGGCATGCCTGGACTAGGCGCCACCGAAGCCGCGGGATTGGACGAAAATGCGCTTGAGGACATGCGGGCTGCGTTTGGTGATGGCACAGAATACGACTTTGCCCTGCAACTGGAAGACCAAGAAGATGAAGAGAAACAGGATGAAGAGAGGCATCTGGATTTGAAAGATGTGTTCGAGCCATCCGAACTGGCCGAGCGGATGTTGACCGAGGAGGACAACCAGATCCGGCTCCTCGACGAACCCGAACGCCACCAGGTTGCCCGCCAGCCATACCGACATGTGACACTGTCTGAGGATCAGTTCCGGGAGGAAGCGGTCTGGATATCAAATCTGATGTTGCTCAAGAAGCGCATAGAGCCCGAGCTGCGCGAGCCGTTCCAGCGCTCGGTGGCCAAAATGTTGGAGTTCTTGGTAACCGATGACTGGGAGGTTCCTTTCATTTTCCAGCATCGCAAGGACTACATGATTCACGCTGTTAAGGAGCCGGCCGATGGCGCCGACCCTGCTGATGAATCCGCCCAGTACAGTATCCGCGCCGAGAAGCTCTTGAACATGACGGACCTCTGGGACATTTTCGACCACGATCTCAAATTCCGTGCCCTGGTTGATAAGCGCAGTACGATTCAGAAGACATACGACAGCCTACAAAATCTGTTCAATGTGGACGATGCCAATGTGGAGGAGCTACTGACCGTAGCCGCAACCATGGAAGAGCTACAGGACGTGCAAGACTATATGCATTTCCAATACTCCTCACAATTGCGTGATATGTCCATGGTGAACGGCGAAGCCAACGGAGAACCGCACCGACGAAAGGCGGCCGGCAAGTCCTTCTTTGAGCGAGTGCGAAACGGCAAGGCCTACGGTCTGGTGCGCGCCTTTGGCATCACTGCGGATGCTTTTGCACAGAATGCGTCCAAGGAAGGGCGCCGGCAGTACACCGAGGATCCTGGGGATCGTCCAGAGGAACTGGCGGATCAATTTGTGGATAACGACTTCTCCAACAGCTCACATGTTCTGAAGGCTGCCAAGTCTACATTCGCTGAAGAGCTCGTCTTGAGTCCCAAGATGCGCAAGGTGATTCGGCAGGCATACTACATGAATGGGGTTGTCGATTGTTTCCGCACGGAGAAAGGTCTACGCCGCATCGATGAGCAGCACCCCTACCATGAATTTAAGTATCTGCGGAACCAGCAGCTCAGCGATATTGCCCGTCGCCCAGAAATGTTCCTGCGAATGCTGAAAGCCGAGGAAGAAGGGTTGGTGGACGTTCGAGTGCGTTTTGAGAATTTCGAGCAATTCCGCCAGCGCTTGTACTCGGACATCGAGTCCGACAACTATAGCGAACTTGCCGACGCGTGGAACCGCGTTCGCCGCGATGTGCTGGATCTGGCTCTCGGGAAGCTGGAGCGGCTAATCAACCGCAGTGTGAAGGAAAACATTCGCCAGGAATGTGAGAACCATGTGGCAAAGGAGTGCCGCGAAGCTTTCTCGCAGCGATTGGACCAGGCCGCCTACAAACCCAAGGGGATGGTGTTGGGCACGGTGCCACGGGTACTTGCTCTATCTACGGGGTCCGGGACTGTGGGTCGAGATCCCATTCACTGGGCCTACACGGAAGAGGATGGCCGCGTGCTGGAAAATGGAAAGTTCACAGATTTGTCGCTGGGAGACGAGACTCGTGGCATTAGAGATGGCGAGCATGTGGCCGCCTTTGTTGATCTGGTCGACCGGCGTCGACCCGATGTCATCGGTGTTTCCGGTATGACACCAGAGACGCGCAGGCTCTACAAGCTTTTGTCCGAAATCATCGACCAGAAAGACCTACGCGGAGCCCCATTCACAGATGACCACGACGAAGAAATTAGTGACCGCCTGGAGGTTGTCGTTGTCAATGACGAGGTCGCCCGGCTGTACCACAATAGTCCCCGAGCCAGGCGCGATAACCCGGGATTCGGGCCCCTAACCCATTACTGCGTGGCTTTGGGCCGTTACTTGCAAAGTCCTCTCAAGGAGTACGCATCGCTGGGTCGCGACATCGTTTCCATCCAGTTCAAGCCCGGCCAACAGCTGGTGTCGCAGGAGCTGCTTCTCAAGCAGCTCGAGACGGCCCTGGTGGATATGGTTAACCTCGTTGGCGTTGATCTCAACGAAGCCGTGAGCGACACGGCGACGGCCAATCTCTTGCCGTATGTTTGTGGTCTTGGTCCCCGAAAGGCGGCGCACCTGCTCAAGATTGTCAACATGAATGGAGGCGTTGTGAACAACCGTGTGGAGCTACTGGGTGTTAATGCGCAGTACCCAGCTATGGGAGTCAAAGTGTGGAACAACTGCGCCAGTTTTGTCTACATTGATTTCGAGAACGCCGATCCGGATGCCGACCCACTAGACAACACCCGTGTGCACCCCGAAGACTACGATATTGCCCGCAAGATGGCCGCCGATGCTCTGGAGCTGGACGAGGAGGACATCAAAGCGGAGACAGATGAAAACGGTTCCGGTGCGATCGTGCGAAAGCTCTTCCGGGAAGAGGCACAGGATCGTGTCAACGACTTGATTCTGGAAGAATATGCGGAGCAGTTGGAGAAGAACCTCAACCAGCGCAAGCGCGCGACGCTGGAGACTATTCGAGCGGAGTTGCAACAACCATACGAGGAGCTGCGTAAGCAGTTTGTTTTCCTTAGCACGGATGATATTTTCACCATGCTCACTGGCGAAACCCTGGACTCGTTGACGCCTGGCATGGTTGTCCCGATTGCCATCAAGCGAGTGTTCGAGGACCACATTGATGCCAAACTGGATTGTGGCGTCGATGCGCTGGTCGCCGAAACGGAGCTCGGAGTGCCCTACGACATCCCCGTGCGCACAGCCTACGCAGTTCACCAGACCGTGCCAGCCAAGATTCTCTTCCTCAACCGGAAGAGTTTCACTTGCAACGTGTCCCTGCGTGAAGACCAGGTCAGCCACCCGGCCCGCCCGAACCAGGACCACGGCTTCGGCGACTGGGATGATCTGCAAGAACGGAAAGATCGGGAGTCCCTGCAGGAGAAGGAGCAGGGTGGTGGTCAGGCGATGCGTGTCATCAAACACCCGCTCTTCCGGCCGTTCAACTCTACGCAAGCTGAGGAGTTCCTTGGCTCCCAGAGCCGCGGCGACGTTGTCATCCGTCCGTCCTCTCGGGGTCCGGATCACCTGGCGGTCACCTGGAAGGTGGCTCATGGTGTCTATCAACATATCGACGTGCTCGAGTTGGACAAAGAAAATGAGTTTTCCGTAGGCCGTGTGCTCAAGGTCGGCGGCCGCTACACCTACAGTGATCTGGACGACCTGATCGTCAACCATGTGAAGGCGATGGCGAAGAAGGTGGACGAGATGATGCTCAGCGAGAAGTATCAAGACGGCAGCAAGGCTGAGACCGGTAAGCATGCATTGGAATCCACTTGGATGATTTTTTCTCTCTGACATATCTGCAGATCAATGGCTTGACACCTACACCAAGGCCAACCCCCGCCGCTCGGCTTATGCGTTCTGCATCAACTCCAAGTATCCGGGCTATTTCTATCTTTGCTTCAAGGCCGGCGAGCACTCACGGCTCCAGAACTGGCCGGTCAAGGTGATTCCACAGGGCTACGAGCTGCAAAAGAACCCGTACCCGGACATGCAGGCCCTTTGCAACGGATTCAAACTGATGTTCACCAACATGCAAGCCCGGAGGTGAGCTTTTGTACAGTGTACTATTTTCTTTTTCCTACTTGTGTTTTCTACTTGCCAGGAAGGGGGCCAAAAACACCAGAAGGCATTTGCATGGATTCTATTTTAATTTGATACTGGGGTTTGGGGGGAGCACCGGACATACCTGTAACCACAATGAGCAAAGAAAACAATTGACCCCTGGGGTATGCAGTTCAGAGTCCGTGTATCCGTAGACTTGGTGGACTCCGTAGACACCCCGGTACATGTGAAGCATTCCTCGGCCTCGGGCCATTTGATGCGGTTCCGCCTTCTCCCCCTCCCCCAAGAATTCCTGACCTTGCGAGATGTCTGAGTCTACCATTGTGTCTATTTGAGCGTGTGGGTGCATGGCAATTTGGTGTCTGGAAATCGCCCCATCAGCCGCAACTCCACCCGAGCGCAACGGGTGTACACAATCCGCCACGTCGTGAGGCTCTGCCCACCTCACCAACCCGCAACCATGGCGGCCATGGAAGAGCTGGAGATTCATAGCAAGGTAAGGGCTCTTATTCTGTGTTTTTTCTGTGTGTTTTTTTTTTGTAAACTGGAATATCACTTGGAAAGACTAACAACCTGTCCTCGGCCAGTCTTATTTTGTGCGCTGGATCAATGTCAGCGCCAACCACACCATCTCCTGGAGCATCCAGCCACACAAGAAGTCCGTGAACTTTGGCATCTTCAAGCATCCAGGCCAGTCGACCGTGCTGAGCTCGCACCTGCCTTCCTCCGATTCCCACAGCACCGATTCCAACGAGAACCTGCCCGCCACAGCATCCAACGCCAACTCGCGGAACAACACGCAATCCTCGGTTACCGAGAAGCTGACGGCCATTGGACTCAAGCCCATTAAATGGATTGGCAAATGCGAGGCCGACAAGATCTCCCAAGGGACATACGACGTGCAGGCCAACGATGGAGGTAACTACGCGCTCGTCTTCGACAACACCTTCTCCAAGCAGATCTCCAAGACCGTGACGCTCGTCCTCCTCGTCTATCCGACCGGACTGCAACCTCAGGGTTCTGCCGCGATTGCGACCTCGCGATCGCAACCAGAGGGCTCGACTGACTCGCTGCCACAACCGGCGCGCGGACGGGGTAACAGTCGCGCCACGTTGAATGCGCAGCAATCGGACACCTCGGCTTCGTCCACCGTCCATACGGGTCTGTTGCAGAAACGGCGACGCAAGCGGCACCAGGGATGGGCACGCCGATTCTTCTCGCTAGACTTCATCTCGTGCACTTTGTCATACTACCATGATCGCAACTCGTCTGCGCTGCGAGGCGCTATTCCGCTCTCGCTCGCGGCTGTTGCGACGAACGAAAAGTCCCGCGAGATCTCCATCGATTCAGGCACCGAGATTTGGCACCTGCGCGCAAGCAGTGACCAAGATTTCGTTGCATGGAAGCGCGCTCTAGAGAAGGCCTCTTCCCAGGAGACCCCGGACCAGACCGATGTTGCGCCCGTCGGTGCACCCGAGCTGCGGCTGTACACACCGTCGCAGCCCTCGCCCGCGGAAGAGCATGAGTGGACGCAGGTCGAGAGCCTCGTGAGCCAGGTGTCTGGGTCGCGCGATGCGGTGCGTCGCCTCGCCAGAGATACAGACCCCAAATATCTGGCTGCTCCGCTGCCGTCCCCTCTGGAGCGACCTCGTGGCCGGTCTCCCAGCCCTCATCCTGCGAATGAGGCTCCCAGTGAGGATGTGAAACGGCCGTTTTGGAAGCGCAAGACCAGCACGCATTCAAATTCTGGTCCCAAACGTCCTGCTCCGGTGACTTTCAACTCCAGCTCATCCCAGCTGGCGGTCCCTGGTGCGGAGAGCATAGGAAAACCTGCCAGCGTAGCTAGTAATACTGATCATGCAGACGGGATCCATGAAAACTTGATGGCCGTGTTACGCGACCTCGACAACGTGGTTTCCGAGTTCTCTACGCTGATCTCCGAGAGTAAGCAGCGGCGCCATCCTCCCCGATTGACAGCGCAGTCCCGGGCAGCGCAATCACGTCGCAGTATGGAGTCCGATGTGTCACAGGAATTCTTTGACGCCATGGACGGAGGTGTCGCATCCCCGCTCTTGACGATTCAAGATAGCGACGAGGAAGAGGCGGAAGGAGACCGGGCGGGCGCTGTCGCAGAGAACGTATCAGACGACGCACCCTCCGACAGTGACGAAGAGCCCGATCCAGCGGCTCGTGTCAACAGTAGCATCGCATCGCCGCTGTTCCCTGCCCGGCCCAAGTCCCTGGCCCCCTTGCCTTTGGATCCGGTGCGCCGTCGGGCGAATATTACCGCCCCGACGGTGCTACCACCGAGCTTGATCGGGTTCCTGCGCAAGAATGTCGGCAAGGATCTGTCTCAGATCTCGATGCCCGTGTCGGCCAACGAGCCACTATCTCTCTTGCAGCGTGCGGCTGAGATCGTGGAGTACTCGTCGCTGTTGGATAAAACCACCCAGGTTTCGGACAGCGCTGAGCGATTGATGTATGTGACGGCGTTCGCCTTGTCCTCCTTGTCGAATAACCGCGTACGGGAACGGGCGATCCGCAAGCCTTTCAATCCGATGCTCGGCGAGACGTACGAGCTCGTTCGCGAAGACCATGGATTCCGCTTCATCGCCGAGAAAGTCTCGCACCGGCCGGTCCAGCTGGCCTACCAGGCAGACAGCCGCGACTGGAGTCTGGCGCAATCGCCCATGCCCAGCCAGAAATTCTGGGGCAAGTCCGCTGAGATCACCACCGAGGGCCGCGTCCGCGTCATCCTCCACGCCACTGGCGAGCGCTTCAGCTGGACACCCGCCAGCTCCTTCCTGCGCAACATCATTGCGGGCGAAAAATATGTCGAGCCGGTAGGTGAGCTCACGATCACTAACGAGACCACGGGCCACCGCTCCATCTCTACCTTCAAGGCCGGCGGCATGTTCTCCGGCCGGAGCGAGGAAGTGTCCACTCGCACCGTCGACTCCTACAACCAGTCCTTGCCGTTGGGTCTGTCAGGCTCCTGGCCAACCTCGCTCACGCTCACCCGCAACGGCAACCCGACGGGCCAAACCCTCTGGACCGCCGGTTCGCTCGTCCCCAGTGCCCCCAAGCACTACGGCCTGACTTCCTTCGCGGCCGCCCTCAACGAAATCACTCCCATCGAACAGAATCGTCTGCCTGCGACAGACTCGCGTCTCCGTCCCGACCAGCGCGCCCTCGAAGACGGCGACCTCGACCGCGCCGAGGAGGTCAAGGTCCAGCTGGAGGAGGGCCAGCGCGCCCGCCGCCGCGAGATGGAGGTCAACGGCGAATCCTGGACCCCGCGCTGGTTTACGCGGGCCAGTGACGAGTCGGATGGCGAGAGTGTGTGGCGTCTGAAGGGCGGCAAAGATGGCTATTGGGATGAGCGTGCCCGCGGCAGCTGGACCGGGGTGGTGCCGGTTTTTGAAAATGACGACTAGGAGGCCTTCGGTTGTTTTTTATTTGTGTTTAGTTGGATACATTTTCGGGATGTTCGCTCTGTGGGCGATATTCCCTCGGTAGAATGTCGCTATGGGCCGGCCCTCCACTCTATATGAAGATAAATACATAGCATTTTTGTGTCCATTTGGTGGTATTTGGCCCGATAGACGTGGTGTGCGTCGTGTATTTCACCCGTGAGCTTTCTTTATTAACAGCAAAAGAAAGACAAAAGAGAAACAAATATTCAATCCCGAATTACTCCCCAAAGAAAGTCATGTAAGAAAAACACAAAAGCTTATCACATCGAACTGTACGACACCCGAATCCTGTGCAAAATTCAATAAGAAAAGAACGATCAACAACGCGGCTTCATCAAATCATAGTCAAGAGTCTCCATTCCCCTATTTTCAATCCTCATCCGATGGTGGTGCAGTCCAGCGGCGCGAGCTATTGCGCATTTTCGCTGCCTTTCGTGCGCTTTGGCGATCCACCAACCCTGCGCCGTGGTTGGCCATGCGCATCATGACGGGCAGATTGTCAAGAACAGCCCGATTGCCTTGGAAATAGTGCTCGGCGAAGCCACCCTGCAAAATGCGACGCAGAGCGGACAGACGGACCCACTTCCACCAGCGGTCGATGCTCATGATGCCGTGTCGACCGATCTTGACGGTGAGGGTGCTGCCATAGTGGCGGTTGGTGTCCTGGTCGATGGCCGTGTTGTAACGAGGCCCGTAGCGCGGGTTCTCGACGGTGGTGAGAATGGATGCAAAATTGCTGTGCAAAGACTTTTTGTCGCGCTTGCTGATGCGCTTGGTGTGTATGGTGGCCAGCGAGTGCAACTGCTGCTCAAGCTCCGGGGTGTTATGGTAGGCGTTGTATCGTTTGAGGAGCTTAGGACCATTGTGGTCTTGCCGTTCATGCTCGCCACTGTCATCAGATTCGTCACTTTCGTCATCTTCGTCGTCTTCCTGAGGCGTGTAGCTCTTTTCGTAGAGTAGGGCAATGTTCTCGCCAGCTGCGATTTGCACAGAGGAGTCGCCACTATCCAGTTGGTCGATAAATATCTGGACTGCCTCTTCGCTTTCGCTCTCAAAGTCTTCAATTTCGGATGCAAGAAATCCCCACACCTGAAGCGCGGCATGTACCGCAGTGGCGTCGTCCGTTGCATCGATAGATTGACCGTCTGAGGCCACAATGTCAAGAAGGAAGGTCATCTGTTCGAGGATTCCATCCTCGCCTGCGCCCCCAAAAATTGTACATACCCCCAGGCACTGAATTGCGGCGGCCTTAACTCCATTGGAAGTCGAGTCGCGGATAGTGCGCGTAATAACTGGCTCCATATTCTCGTAGATGGTGTTGTCCAAGGCAGTGATAGCCAGTAGCTCGATCGAACGTAATGCCATGACCGTTTCGCGCACACTTGACTCGTGCCGGACACTTTTCGTAAAGGCACTCAGCAGCTCCCCCGTTGAGGCACGAGTAACCTCTTCCGCATAGTGGTATTTGGTGAGGCGGCAGAAGGCCGCCAGGGCCTCCTCACGGCCCTGTACGCTGCTGCGCTTGCGATCCAATATTTCCTGAATGTGATCACCTAGCTCTTGTGGCCAGTCGACATTGTCTTGTTCGGGGTTGTCATCGTCCAAAGATCCGATACTGTGTTTTTGACGGTGGTCAGTGCGTCTTGCTTGGTAAAAGGAAAAAAAATATCAAGGGCAGTGACATCATCCCGCCACGGAGTGGGGACCCCTCAGTGAAGATAACCTGAAATGCACAGAAAGAAAGGACGGGCAAAAACCAAAAGGGAGAATGGACAAAAAGACGACTCACCTCATGGTTGTCTCGTCAGAAAGAAAACCCGAATCTTCTTCGTCGGAAGGCTGTCGACTCGCGTTTCGCGAGGACTGATGAGAAGTTTGTTTGGAGCTGGCGCGCGAGGTCGCGCGAGAGGCTTCACGGGAAGCGGCCTTGCGTGAGACTGTCTTGCCGCTTTCAAATATCTGGCGACGAAGATCAGGCATGGTGAGACGTGCTAGGTTCAGTTGATTTCAAGTAGAGTAGAGAAACGAAGAATATCCTCCGGGGGGGTAGAAATGATAAAGCCGATAAGAACTTATCCTATGGGAACGAATAGAGGGTAGAGTGGAATGGATAGATGGCAAAACAGAACATAATCCTGCATGGTCTCAAGTTCGAAAAAGAGGAGGATGAAGAGGATGAAGAGCGAAGAGAGTCGAAGCGAAGGTGAAGGAGGGTGCCCGTGATCGCGTATGTAATCCGCGCCCAACTAGGTGAAGTACCGGTACTTGAAGAGCCACCGTCCACTGGCTGCGGGTGAGGTATCCCCAGGTAGTTCATGGTAGATCCATGGATCTATCGTGAGTACTGCGAGTGCTACGATTGCTACCAGAGTGCTTTATACCTCTTGGCTACGGAGGGCCCTGGTCGACTGAACTACGTCTCGTCCTGCCACACCGTTGGTACTATAGAACAAGTCCATGACCCATGACCCATGACCCATGATCCCGTACTAGTACAAATACAGTGTTCATTGGGTATCTTTCTATGGGACAGGCGCGACTACTTGTCCTGCATCGCAAGCTCCAACACTCGCTGTGCCTTGGTTCCCTCGAGGTATTCCCGCCCCTCCTGTCGCCATTCATCCTCGTCGTCTTCGTCATCACCCACCTCCAGATCCACTTGCAAACTAGCTTCATAGGCGCTGGTAACGCTGTGCTCGTCTACCGGAACTCCGCTCTGTACCAGGACCTGGATACATTGAGCGAGCCGAGCAATCTCCCGACGAGTTTGCGGTGGGATGTCGTCGTTTTGGCTGGAGTAGATCGAACTCGATACCATCTCCTCCATGCGTATAATAGAGACATTTTCAGTTGTGGAAGACGCAACGGCGGCTCCGTCGGCATGCTTTGAGATCCAGATGTATCCGTTCACTCCGAGAATAACATTCACGTCGCCGCCACCGTTGGCGGTGCTGACGGTCCACACCTGGCGCCGTGATCGCACCACACCTCCCGTCCCAGTCGTAGCCCCGAGAGCGGCGCCAGCACCAGACGACCCAGATCCCACGCCTCCTTTGACGCTGGAGTTCGGTGTACCGCTGCCTCCCGTTCCCGTCACCGCCAAAAATACCCCATTCCGAAGTTTTCCGTATTTAAGCGAGCGAGTGTGTAGTGAGGCTGACCCATCTTGATGTACACTCTGCACTTCGGCAACCACTAGATCGCCTTCGCTGAAGAAAGTACGAATCTGAAGTTCATCGGCGCTTGTACGTCGACGTAGAATACCACCGGGTAAATTGATCGCCGACAGAGGAAGCTGGGCCAGCAGCGGGGCAGCGACATCAACTTTCCACCGTCGCGACTGCACTTCGACAATGCGGCCAACCACCAAGTCACCAATTTCCGGGGTGTAACGGGCGCGAATGGGATGAACAGAGAGTAGTTTGTTGGTCTTGTGGACAGTTCCAGCGACAGTGGCAATGATCGAGGTTGAAAGCGGGTTGGTGTAGGTCCCATGGCCTCTGCATTTTGTCAATATTGGATTGGCGAAGGGGAGAAAAAAAAGAAGAGGAAGAGGAAGAAAAGGAAGACATCGCACTCACCTCATCCATTGTGGATCATCCGTCACTACCTCACCTGGGGTGATGATTCCAGTCCCAATGTTCTTCGAATGTAGGCGAGGCCGCTTGTGCGGCCGTGTGCTGCCGGTCATTTCAACGTCGGAGTCGGAGTCGGAGTCCATGCCAATGGACTCGTCTGAATCAGCTTGGTAGGGACCAAGGTCCTCTGCCACAGGTGGCAGGATAGTGATAGCCATTGTAGAGGTGTCTTGAATCTCTGGTCAATTTGTGTGAGTGGCAGATTGCAAGACAAGAACCTCCAGATGTTGTACCGTCGATCAGCAGAGATCTAGATCACGTGATGATATCCAATTGTTGTGCCGGGTCAAGGGTGAACTACATCCATTCCCTGGTAGAACAGAAGGCCAACCTCGAATAATTCATATTCTTCTTTGACACGCAATATTGGAAGCCATTGATTGAGCACTGGTAATCCACCGAGTAGTTCGAATAGAACCCTGCAGGGCAACCACTTTGACAAAGCACTACTCGTGATAGAAGTTGATACCTCGAAAATCTCAGTCGATTTGATCGTTAACGGCATTTGATTAAGATTGTACTTCAATACATTGACCTATCCCCACAGCAACTGAAAAAAAAACCATGACCCGGTGAAATGCCTTGGATGCAACAAGGAGGAAAGCAAACGCCAGTAATAATACACATGAAAAGAAGCCCCCTCGAGAGAAATTTCAAGCCTTCTTGGCCGTGGGAGTTGCCTTGGGGGTGTCGTCCTTCTTCTTTTTGGGACGGCTGCTGCCCCCCTTGGGCCTGTACCCGGTGTCTTCGTCACGCTTGCGCTTGTTCTTTGGCGTGGGCTGTGCATCCATCCCGTCCTCGTCGTACATATCCTCATCCTTACGATGCGCTGGTGCTCGCTTGGAAGCTCGCGGGTTGGACGGTCGTGATGCGGACTTCTCAGAGGCAACCTCGTTGTCTTGAACAGTCTGGGGTTGGTTGCGTCGCAACCAGTTGTAGACAGAGGCTGGGTTTCGAATAGATGAATCCCGCTCCCGCTCAGAAAATGTAGGCTTATCAGGGATGCGTCCAAGTTGCAAGGCGGCTGCCTCATCTCCGAGTCGCGCGTCCAGGGCCAGGTAGTACTCGGTTTCGTGTTGGGGTTCCAGGTAACCGAGTTTGCGCTCGATGCCATTTTCGGTAGCTTTTCCCTCGGCAACTGGGGGGACAGTATGGGGTACCTGCATCAGGGAGTTGAAGTCCCTACTCGGAGCGAACGCCTTGTTCCGTTTAATGCTTTCCTCAACCATGCGATAGGCCCCCGCCGTGATGCTGCCAGCAGCCAATTCCGTTTTGGCTTCCTTCCACGCGGTTTTGGCGAGGGTCGCATCGTTGACCAGAGGCGCAATTTCCTGCTCGGGGGCGGGTTGGAAAGAAGTGTCACCAGACATGCTCAAGTCGTATCGCAAATCCGGGGAAACATGCAGACTGCCATTGAACTCGAGCAGAACCTCGAGCAACTGACTATAAGAAAACATCAGAATCAAGTCAGATCACAACACCAAGGCAATGAGCAAGAACCTACTCATTTTGCTCCTGGATGCGCTTGGATAGATCCTCGATCCGCAACTCCTCGCGAATCAAAGACTCGCTCTCTCGGTTTGCCTTTTCAAACTTGACCTTGAGTTTGGCATATTTTTTCCTGCACACGACACCATTAGTACCGCCTCTCGATGGGAGAACTGAGGCCAGCATACTTGAAAGACTGGGGTGACTGTTTGGCAGGGGGAGCTGGGGCATCCGGCAGGGTCTCCCCCACAGGCTGAGCATCGGGTATTTCCTCTGCCATATTGAGCCAGAGTGAAGATAACAGAGTAACTCGTGAAGGCAGAGGGATGGATTGTGCAAGAGAAAAGGGAAGAAGCGAAAGAGTGTCGCCCTGCGTGAGCTGCCAAGCGACTCACAGGTTGCGTTGCGCGGGAGGCGGGTCCGGACCGCCGTAAAAAAATTGGCAGGTTCCGCGGTGCGATCTGAGAACTTTCTTCTTTTCTTCTTTCCAACTCTTTATTTTATTTTATTTTTTCCATATTTCCTCTAAACATCTCTGGTTTAGATCCTCTCCAAAATGACTGAACTTGCCGACACTCAGAAAAAGCGCAAGCTGCAGGACGGCCCCGAGATTGAAATCGATGTTTCGGCGCCGGAGCCCCAGTCAAAGAAAGCTCTGCGCAAGGCAAAAAAGCACAAGGCAGAGGGAACCGACACTGAAAAGCCCAAGGCGAACAAAACCGAATCCACCGAAACCGAGTCCCAGGCCCCGGAAAAGCGTTCTGACTATGGCATCTGGATTGGCAATTTGTCGTTCTCAGTGACCAAGGATGATCTCCGCCGATTCCTCACCAGCAATTGTTCCTTTGCCGACACTACCATCACTCGAATTCACCTTCCCAAGGGGGTTGAAAAATATGGAAGGCCCCAAAATAAAGGGTTTGCCTACGTCGATTTCTCCACCCAGGCGGCTCTGCAGGAGGCACTGGGTCTGAGCGAGCATCTATTGACAGGCCGTCGTGTGCTGATCAAGAATGCAAAGAGCTTTGAGGGGCGGCCCGAAAAGTCCCGCGATCACGGGGGCAATGCGGCCGGCTCTGCGGCCAAGCCCGGTCATGCTCCATCCCGACGAATCTTCGTGGGCAACTTGGGATTTGATGTCTCCAAAGAGGCCATGGAGGAACATTTTGGTCAATGTGGAACACTGGCCAATGTACATATGGCAACCTTCCAAGACACCGGGAAGTGCAAGGGGTATGCTTGGGTGGAGTTTGAAGACCTCGCGGCCGCAGAAGCAGCTGTGAGGGGGTTCACCATGGTCGACGAAGAAGATGAGGAGGAATCCGACGATAGCAGCTCCGACTCGGACTCCTCGGACTCCGCGACACGAAAGCAGACCAAGCCCAAGAAGCCCCGACAGCGGAGGGTGTGGGTGAACCAGCTCATGGGTCGGCGCATGCGAATGGAGTTTGCGGAGGACCCGACAACACGGTACAAGAAACGCTTCGGCAAAGATAGCGAGGAGAAGAGGAAAGACCTTTCCACCGAGGCCAATGATATTGCCGATGATTCAGGATATCAGCCCCGGGCCCGAAAGATCAAACAACCCATCGACGAATCTCGATATTCCAAGCAAACGGTGCAAAAACTCAGCGGAGCCATTGTGGAGTCCCAGGGCCGCAAAACCACATTTGACTGATTGGGCCTGTCAAGGATCCGGGGGTGTAGTGTTATGGTAGTAGTGATTTTTCTTACCTGGCAATGTATTGTTTTTTTTTTTTTTTTTTTTGAGAGATACCCCAGTCCGATGGGTCGGGTCGCGTGCAGCTCTTCATATCGAGTTTGGAGGTTTTCCAGCCCATGGTTTCTTTGCCTCAACTTCTATCCCACAGACCAATGCAAACCAACTCAAGATCATCCAAGAAAAGAAAGAACAAGAACAAGAACAACAAGATGCAAGTGAGAGAGCAGATCACCCAATTCACTCCGCATTCTAGACTCCGGCAGAATGGCAGCTCACCGCCCACGCTAGACCTGATTGGGGCTGACGTTCCGCGATGTCATTTCTCGAATCTCTCGTGAGGCTTCTTGTCGCATCTCCTTCCTTTTCTCTTCTTGTTCATCCTGCTCACCTTGGTGAACAAGGTGCTTTTTCTTCTTTTCTTCTTTCTCTTTGAAACTCTTTTTTTCCCATCCTTTTCTCTATTTTGGTTTGTTTTTCCCTAGGTTTCTTCTTTTTCTCTTGATTCATCGTGGGCTTCCCGGTGGCTACGCCGGACCCTTTCCTTTTCCCTTCTCCATCCCTTCCCTATCGGCCGGCCCCACCGAGAAAACCAGGTGTTAGCAGGGGATCTTCCTGGCCACCTTACCTGATCCATCCCTGTGCCTCGAACATCGATGGCTTCCCGTCGACGCCACATTGGGGCTAGCCGCAGGAAGAGACGAGATGATGAGGGTGAGGATGAAGGCTCGATGGTGGGGGACCTGGAGGAAGACTCCTTGAGTGAAGCCTCTGCCGACAGTCACCAAGATGATGAGGATGCAGATGGCGAAGGCAGCGAAGGGAGCGACAACGAGGGGGCAAATGGTAGCCAGGTCAACAGTCGTGCGCGGGACCAATCCACGCAGCAGAGCTCAACATCACCTGAAAAACGAGGGCTCAAGGCAGCGGTTTCTGATACTGAGGCAATGATGAACGGGCTGAAGCTCTCCGATGAGACCAAGGTGGGGGAAATACATTTCGACCAGGTGCAGCAAGACCGGGAGCCGCAGACAGGCAGAGCACCGTCGGCACCTCCCACCGAACCCAGACGGGAAGCCTCTACCGCGAGAAAGCGCCGTGAAAATGATAAATACGTCAAGGAGCGGGACCAGAACCCGGCTTTTGTCCCAACTCGCGGCAGTTTCTTCCTGCATGATAAACGGACGACCGAAGGGACCAACGGATTCCGACCTTTGAACAAGACCAAGTCTCGGCCATATGGTCTCATTGTTGACGGAAATGCCCGCAGGTACGGCAATCTCTGCCCTTCCCATTATCAACCCTTGCTAACATGCAGCCTAGGAGCTCCTCCAAGCCCGATGCTAGCGAAGGACAATGGACCCATGATTTACATGATACCGTGGCCGGAAACGACCAGCGTGCGCCCAAACAATCATCCACGTCCTTGCTGCCGAATCTCCCCTCGTCCGTCCCTACCGCTCCGAGATCCACGCCCCCCGAACCGATCCTTTTCCAGCACGACGTTGGTGGGGAACGTGCCCGTCGTCGTCTTCTTGCCGGGTATGACTCAACCCACGCCGTTTTCTGCTGTCCCCAAAAAACAACATACCCGATTGCCTCAACATCGCCCTCCCTTGCGTCGAGACAAACCAGTGCGGATATCTCTTCCTGGACAACCGCCTCGGTACATCTTTCCATCGACGGAGCGCTCGTTTATCTTCATCCCGCGAGCTTTGCGGCCGAACCAGCAGGGCTACCGAGGCCGTGGCCGTGGCGGCTTTTACGGCGGGCGGCGGCCCAGTTACTATACCAACACTGTATATACGCCGAGCGTCCTGAGCCGCCGGTCCTCTCTCGGCATGGCCGCGTCTCAGGACGGGTACCCGTCGCCGGCGGGATCGGTCTACTCCAGGCCGATGGTCCCTCCTGATACTAGCAAGCCCATTGTGCGCTTGCCGCCGCCTCGTCCGCCCATCGGTGTCCCACCAACGGGGCCTGGTGCCATGGGTCCCGGGCCTCCCATGCAGCTTCCGCATCCTGCCTACCGCGAAAGTCGTCCGGCACCGATCCCCATGCACCAGCCCCGTCCCCAGAAAGCCGTTTCCGTTGCGGATATCGAAAGTCCCGCTCGCTTCCCCTTCAATCCACCCCACCCCCATCAGGACCAACCGTTCCACCACCAGGTGCCCATTCCGGTCAATGGGCCTGGGCACGATCCGACGGCACACGGCCCGCCCAGTCAAGCCTCGGTGACCCCGCTCTCGCAGATTCCCGAACGGGCGATCCATGCCCAGCCGTTCCAGCCCTACAACTATCAACAGCCGGGGTTCTACCCGCCGGCCTACCCCGGTGCCATGTACTACCCAGCCTCCGGGCCAGATTACTCGGCCTACAATGGACCGGTAGGGCCCGGCACGTCGGTCGCAAGTTTCCCCCAGGGTCAACAACCCATGCCGTATGCGTCGTCGGGTGAGCAGCCGTCCCAGCCTGGAACCGTGGCCCACGAGTCTGGTGGCACGGTTTATTTCTACGATGCCAACCAGATGTACTCGAACCCATCGGTCGGGGCGGGGGCCGGTCCCGGGGTGTTGTGGGGATGGGGGGGATGATGACGCCGCCGGGGACCACATTCTACTATCCTCACCCGAGTGCCGGTGGGGGGTACTATGGCCAGTGATGGGATATCCCGCTTGTTCTTTGTTTCTTTGTTTCTCTTTGTCTTTTCTTTTCTTTTCGACGTGCCTTGGAATTTGCATTGGGTTCTGCGCTTCCCTTTCCCCCTTTTTTTCTCTTTTCTTTCCATGATTTCATTCTAATCTTCCCTTTCCTTTCCCCCTTCCTCCTCTTGATTTCCCTGGAATCGGCCACCTTGGCCCGTCTCCACTGCCTTAGATGCATTTGAGCGTTTTCCCCTCTCATGTCTCCGCAATTCCCCCACACTCACCCGGTCTGGATCGACCCAGCTGCATTTCCTTCTGACGGTGCATGACCTCACTGCCTTTGTCTGTCTCTTATTTGACGATCTTGAGCCTACCTACGTCCCTAGGTAACCTAGGTAGCATCATACGAAACAAAAGTAATCCCGTTGACGCCATCTTACCTAATTACTAATTAGACCGGGGCTCACCGCCTGGAGGGCAGCTGACCCGCTCTCCGCTTGGACCCGGAGCTCTGCAGCCGCTCTCTTGTCTCTCTCTTTCTTTCTCTGTCTCCTCTTCTTCATCCCCCCATCTCATTTCTAAATCCTCTCTGTATCATCCCTCATCTTAGCTCTTTTTCAAGCTTCTTAATCTACCTCTCTTTGTTGCTTCCTGTTCCCTGAATTCCCCGCCTCCCTTCCCGAGTACTGCTGCCTTATCACTGTACTGGCCCAGGGACAGTATCTCCGCTATGGCCACTTCAGTTCTCCCGTCTCACCCGGTCCCAGACCACTTGATCACAATCAAGGCCCTCTATAACGACAATAACCGTCGCTTCAAACTCCCTCTCAAGGACCTCAAGGCCCAAGTGTTCCCACAGAAGGTAGAGTCTCCACTCAAGCTTCCCGATCGGACCTCCAGTCCGCCCCATCCCTTATCATCACGATAACCACCCCTTCTCCCCGATGATAGGCCTTCAGATAGTGCTTGTGATTTCTTGATCTTTGATTTCGGTTGATACCTGTTATTTTTTTTATTTTTTTTTTTTTCAATCAGGCGATGATGGTAAATTGATTACTGATGGTTATGGTTTAGCTCCGCTCGCTTCTCGGCGTTCCGGCGGATGTCAACGTCATTCTTGAACGTTATTCCGACAGCGCCGGCTCCTACATTCGTCTGGACTGTGACAATCCTGCAGTTTACAAACAACTGCACCGTGCTGCCAAAGCCAAGTCCAAGCTTCGGGTCAAGGTCACCACGGTCAACCCTTCGGTGCCTACGCCGATTGACACCTCACCGCCCGTGCAACCCTCACCGAACCAACAGAACCCTCAGAGAAACAATTATCTTGAGACGGTGCTCAGCTCACCCATCCCTGTTTCTCGCCCTGAGGCCCGTCTCCCCAGCATGTCTGATCCAACACCTACTGTCGACATCGGCGAAAGCCAGCCAAAGCCACAGCCGGCCAGCCAGCCGCTCTACCGTGACTTTGAGATAGAACAAGACAAGCAGCGCTTCCCGGTCATTCCCCACAACTCCCCGAATGGGATGTTCTGTATTGACTGTAATAACTGTGGCCGCTCCATCGCAAATGAGCATTACCACTGCAGTATCTGCGAGCGTGGGGACTACGACCTGTGCCCGCAGTGTGTGGATGCAGGGGCATCATGCCGAGGCGATGGACATTGGCTGATCAAGAGAGTCGTCGAGGACGGTTTGGTGACCAACAGCACAACGGAGACCATTCCTCCGCGGGCTCCCCAAGTGCAGGAGAGTAAGCCCAAGCCGCCCCAGGCCGAGGCAACGCCTGAGCCAGTCCCCGAGATGGTAGACACGTCGGCTCCGACCGATGTGACCGTTCACGGAGAAGAGAAGCCAATCTGCAATGGCTGCTGTCGTGGTAGGCTTCGTTCCCAGTTTCTTGATACCTCCATCTCGGCTCGGGCTTACTAACTACGCACATAGAAGCTGACGAAAGCAACTTGGTCCGCTGCGATGTCTGTGAGGACTACGACCTGTGTCTCCGTTGTCTCTTGAGAAACAAACACGGCCACCACCCTGCTCATACCTTCCAGCTGGGTACGGACCGAAACTTCTGCCTCAAGAACTTGATCATGTCTCGTTGCCTTCCGGGTCGGCAGTTCAAACACGCGGCTGTTTGTGATGGCTGCGATAAGGTACATTTTCTCTTCTTTCTTTTAATGACTTATTGGGTATCTCTAGCTAACTCGATTCCAGCGCATCATGGGCACCCGCCACAAGTGTCTGTCCTGTCCTGACTGGGACTATTGTGCGGAATGTATCGTGAACGCCCACGAGCATCACCCGCATCACCGGTTCGTTCCCATCTACGAACACCTCGAGGGTCCACGCCTTGATCATGAGATCCACTATGGTATTTTCTGCGACGGCCCCCTGTGCAAGGACAAGCCGGCCCAGAGCTACATCACTGGCGTGCGCTACAAGTGTGCCGTGTGTGAGGATACCGATTTCTGTGCCAACTGCGAGGCCCACCCGCATCAGCATCACAACCGTACTCACCCCCTGGTTCAATTCAAGACTCCAGTCCGCAGCGTGACGGTGAGCACTATCCAGGACGACGGTCCTAAGGGGACGGTCGCCTTGGGCGATAATGCCCCCGTCAGTACTCCGCCCGCGGCGGACATGGAGGACGTCGTAGAGGAGCTCCCAGTAAGAGAGGAACAACCCGTGGAGGTGGGTGTCAACATGCCCGCTGAGACGGTCGAGAAGACCAAGCCGGCCCCGACCCCGGTGTCGCAGCCACTCAGCACTGAAGCGGTGGCTACCATCCGAGACGACCCCGCGACCAATTATCAGGCCTACTTCATCCGTGACACTATCACCGATGGTAGTAAGCTGCCTCCTAGCACGACTTTCAACCAGACGTGGACTCTCTACAATCCTGGGCCTTACGCATGGCCGGCTGGCAGCGACGTTCGCTTTGTCGGTGGAGATACCATGTTCAACGTTGATGCGACTCATCCCTCCAGCGTGGAGTCCATCCGATCGGCGATGGAAAGCAACAAGCTTCCTGTTCCTCTGGAGGTTGGTCAGAGCGCCGACTTCACTGTGACATTGCGCACCCCTCGTCGTGCGGGAGCGGCCATCTCGTACTGGCGTCTGAAGCTTCCCAACGGCATGCCTATTGGCCACCGACTGTGGTGCGATGTCCGGGTGCAAGACGTCCCATCGCCTGCAGTCTCGGAGCCTACCCCCACCGAGAAGGAAACTGATGCGACCTCGAAGTCTGAGACCATTGGTCGGGACATGATCTTCCCCAAACTGGACAAGGAGTCTCCAGAGACTAGCACCCACGAGGCTGCAGTCCCGGCGCCCCAGGCCCCAACGCTGTCCAACCCCTCGGAGGGTGATGTTCTTGAGGACGTGGAAAGCTTGACCTTGGACGAAGCCGATACTGACGCGGGCTTCCTGACCGACGAGGAGTATGACGTTCTCGATGCCAGCGATCAGGAATTTTTGGACGCCAAACAGTCTGTGAAATAGACTGCAAAATTGTGCACTTTTGACGACACACTATGGAATTGGGAATTTGCAAGACATTTTTCGGACTGCGTTTATCACCATGAGACTCACCACTTCCGATCTGGCGGAGACTCGATAATGATCCGTTTTGAAAATACTGGACCCCCAGTGTAAACGAGAAAAAAAAAACACATTTTTTGACTCACGATTTGGCTGATAGTTCTCATTTGCATTTTGCGAAGGCTGGCTATGGAATATGAATTTTCTTTTTCTTTGATTGCCTGTAGTTTCAGGCTAACATTCGCAAGGACATCGTAGTGTCTACCACTCTGGATGAGATCATGGAATACAACCCTCGCCTCGCTCTCCACAACCGACGACCTTTGTATTGTTTCCCCACTGCGGGGACCCGAGGTACGCTGGGACTATTTATTAGCATGCTACTCGGCTATGATTTTCCGTTTTGCACTTTTCTCTCCATCTCCACACGCCCCCCCCCCCCCCGCGGTAGCATCACTCCACTCTGCTAGTTCGTTGACGCCATGGGATTATTCCGCACTACATTCGGCCTGGGTCTCCTGGTTGCCCTCGTCGCCTTTGTGGTTGGTCCAGTAAAGCATATCGTGAAGATTGGAGGCTTCTTTCTCACGCCAAATCCGACGGTGCTGGGCAAGGGTCAGGGCCCCATTCGTATCGAAGACACAATCCATTGCGAGGATGTGCACCACTATCGCCCAGCCAACCTGCTGTTCACTGCGTGCGAAGACTACAAAGATACTCGGTTTAGCTGGTTCCCGCCACTCGGGAACTTTGTGCCGCCGACAACCCGCGGGTCAATTCATGTCGTGGACCCGAAGGTGAGGTTGAGGTATGCTGAATCCGTGCGGGCTGGATATTAACAACTACCGCGAGGTGATGCACAGACAATGAAGTCGACGCGGCTGGCTTTTGAGAATTTCGAGGGCTTGTTCGCGACCCACGGCATCGATGTCATTGAAGACCCCAAGCAGGCCGATGCAGTTTATATCTTCGCCGTCAATCACTTACCCAACCCGGAATACTTGCAAGTGGGCGAGGGCGCAGAGGTTCCAAAGGCCCGGTCCCAGATCGAAATCTTCCGGCATGTTCTGCAATCCGATACAGTGCAGCATGTGCGCTCGGTCCAGCACCCGCTGATTGAGACCCCCAACGATATCTATGCCGAAAGCCCGATCTCCTTCTACGTGACCAATGATCACTTCTACCGCGAGGGCACGCTGCGACTAATCGAGGATGTGTGGTCGTCGGCCAAATGGTCCAGCATCATCTACGTGCAGCTTGAAAGCTTGGTGGTTCCGGATGCTACCGCCGGGCTCCATGCTTCGGTTGCGCTGAAGGGCCTGTGGAATAACAATGGTTTGGGCCACGGCCGCACCGACGCCGAGGTTGTCATTTCTAGTGCTATGGGTGGCGAGCTGTACCTCGCCCATGTAGACCGCAGCGACGATTCTCTTTCTGTCCAGAGCACCATTCCCTTTGACACCCTCACTGATAATCCCAGCTACTACGCGGATCCCTACCGTAGCGAGGATGATGATGCAAGCGGCTTCGTCGTCGCCGGCATCTCACAACCCTGCCACATACCCACCACGTCCAAGGATCCGAACGCCACCGATGCCTCACGGGTTTGGTATGCGCGTCCACAAGCTGGGATCGAAGTCTGGGAAAAGAAGTTGCTATTTGAGGATGATGGATCTCGCATCCGCAGTGCCAGTGCCGCTGTCTTGGTGCCCATTGAACCCACCGAGGATGGCAAGAAACGCGCCTGGCTGTTCGTGACGGGGTTCATGTCGGAAAGCATGGTGGCCGTACAGGTCGAGCTATAGAACGGGAAGCCTTGTGGAAAGAAATGTATATACATGTTCTATATTTCCACCTTTTTTTTTTTTGTCTTTTTAACATCGAAATTGTGGATGCCTCGGGTATGGTTTGTTGTCGCCTAAGGTGTCTACGGCTGCTCAACTTCTAACGGCTTCACGCGGCCGCTTTGTTTCTTCTGTCATCGTCTCTCTTTCTCGCAATGTCCGCCATCGCCCGGGGCCCACGAGCCCTCCAAGTTCAATTGCGACCACTGGCCTACTTTCCCATTTCATGCCATTTCTGCGCCGTTTCTTCCCAGCTCTTCTCAACCTCCGCACCCACACGCCAGTCCCGCCGACATGCCCCTTCGTCAGTCCCCTCGACTTCTATAAATTCAAAGTTAAAGTCCCTCCGCCATGAAATCAATCCTCCCAAAAGTACTCTCCCGGCGGATCTAGACCTCCCGCCGCCTTCGTCAACCACGGCAACCAGCTCCGACAAGCTCAAACGCTACGTCGCGCTCGGCCGTGCATACCTCGCCTTCTATAAAACCGGCCTGAAAAATGTCTTTGGCAACTACCGCGCCTCTATTCCTCTCCGAAAGGAGCTGGGCTTGCCAGCCTTTCTTCCCATCTCGCCACCACGTCGGGCATCAGCACCCACTTCTCCGTCCTCGAGTTCCCTGTCAGCAGGGACATCAGCACCAATCGGGCTAAGCCGAGCACAATTCCAACTCGTACGCCGCTCGGCCCGCGATGTCCGTCGCATGATCCCCTTCACAGTGATTCTGATCGTTTGCGGGGAATTCACACCGCTGATAGTCCCGATCGTCGGCGCCGCAATCACCCCGGCGACCTGCCGCATTCCGTCGCAAGTAGCCAAGGAGCGCGCCACCGCCGCCACGAGAAAGTCCGCCGCGCTGACGGCACACGCCACAGCCGTCGATGGGTCCCTGACTCCCGCCCCGGCGGGCAGCGACGACGAACTCCGTCTGCTGGCCACCCGGCTGGCGAACCCCGGCTGGGCCGCGACGGCCGAGTCCGCAGCCGTGCAGCGCGCGTGCGCGGTCTTTGGCCTGGTTAAGCACCATAACCAGCGCGCCGGGTCGCTTCTGGTGGCGCCGGTGTATCGGTCTCGCCTTGTCCGGCATCTGGAGTACCTGGCTCTTGACGACGGCATGATCCGCGCCGAGGGCGGCGTGTCGGCGCTGGATGCGGTTGAGGTGCGCATTGCTGTGGAAGAGCGCGGTGGTGTCGATGTTGCGGCCGGCGCGAGGGATTCGGCCCGCGCTGAAGAGCTGGACAGGCTCTGGTTGGAGCGCTGGTTGACCATCCGTGAGAATGAGACGGCCCAAACCGTCTAGTCGGTTCATCCTTGGGGCAGCCCCTCTATTTGTACAGTAGAATTTGATCTGAGGTAGCTCTTTGTATTTTATCATTGATCTATTCCAACTCCCGTGTATTTATCAATCTGATTTTAATAGACTTGATGCATTATCGGCGGAAATCATGTATCGCAACGGGGTAGGTAGGGAGTAGACTATATGCAGGGAAAAGGCCCCAGCGACAAAGCAAGCGCTGCAAAACATCTCGTTCGCACATTTTCAAAAGTAACGGGATATATACCCAAGAGCTAACTCGCTAAGCATACTGTCAAAAGTCGCTGGAAATCAATGCCTCGCGCTGAGAAGCACAATGGGAGTTGCTCGCTTGTCTACTACCACTGGCAATTTTCAGACGTCGCGTGCCCCATTTCCATCCCCGGCCGATGCCGCCGCTTGGGCTTGACCGCGGACCTGCTTTGCCCACCGCAGACCACAACTATTGCACAAATCGCGGTTCCCGCTTGGTCCACGCCGCCACTCGGGGGTGTTTTTCGTGCCGCACACGGCACACGCTTTATCGATCGATATGGTGCTTTGCTTGCGCTTGCGCTTCTTCCGCCGGCTTAGCAGGCGTTGCAGCTCATCTGACAGGCCCCGGTTTTGCTTCTCCAACTCACGCAGTTCGATCTGCCAGCTGGAACCACGAGTGGGATTGAGCTCGGTGAAGAGAGTCGCGGGGTTGGCAGACGGTGAAAGACTGCGGTTACCTGTGGGCAACCCGTTGAGGCCGATAATGGTTGAGAAGTCGGGCATGCGTTGACCCAAGGCTCCATATTGGCGGGGCGGGTTGGCATCCTCGGTGGTGAGGGTGGCATTTCGGGCACTGCCGGGGACGCTAGCGAGGTCTTGGTCCTCGGCCGTGGCGGCCGCTGTGTTTGAGGGCGGTATGGATCGGGCAAATCGGATTTGTGCAACAAAGAATGACGGCTTGGTTCCATGCGAGGAGTCTCCGGTGTATAGGGTTGTGTGTGCAGAAAGTGTATGGCCTTTTTTGTGGCGCATCTGGTGACGGAAAGAGGGAGGCTCGCCCGTGCTACTTCTGCCTGGGCCATTTCCAGGATTTTGACCACGGGCTGCAGCCTCCAGGGCTTGTGTGATTGCTCTGGGACCCATCTCGGGATCCATCAGCTCCTGCAAACCCTTGCCAATCAGGTCGTCCGGCGAGCGACCCAGAACCGGTTTCACCTTGGAAGTGACAAACAGAATAACGCCAGATAGAGAAACCTTGGCCCAAATGTCGTTCTCAGCCAATGCGGCAGATGACCCCAGGCGAGCGACCTGGTCCAGCGAGTACACGGGTCGCGGGCGCCCAGTCATAACCAGATACTGCCGTCCTTGGTTTGGGTCGATGTGCCATGCCCCGTGGCTCTCAACCCATATATATCCTCGATACTTTTGTCGGATACGATATACCACACTCACCGGGGAAGGGGTCGTGCTGGCCCGCAAATCACGGATCACGGGACCAATATCACTGGGGTGGCAGATAGATGATAACGTCTTGCCGATCAGCTCAGCGGGCTCATACTCCAGAATCCGGTGACACGACGGCGACAGATATAAGAACTCGCCGTTAAAAGAAAGCACATGGATTACATCGTCTGAGTTCTCGACCAGAATACGATCAAGGTATTGTCGTGAGACCTCGGGACCGGGTGCACCCGCAGCGTTAAGGATGGCGGTCACTTCATCATGGCTGAATTGAGTGGCCAAGTCTGGTCGTACCCGGTACACATCTGGCGGTGGGACGACATATTGAGGCAGTTGATCGCGCTGGTAATTGATGCTGTAGGTACCATCTATACGAAGAAGGCAGATAAGCGATAATGCACGACGCAAACAAGGGCCGAATAACCTACCGGGATTTCTCCTCGTCACAGCGTCGGGCTTTTCCACCAAATCGACCTGAAACCCAACATAAAATCGATACTCTGCCGAGTCCCACTGTATGGGAATCATCGTGATAAGATTCATGAAAGGCTGTCCACCCTTGCGGTAGTTGATTAGGCTGGCCTGGATCTCGCTTCGATCGTCGATGGTTGACCGGAGACGGTAGACGGTCTGCCCGTCAACGAAGGACCTTTGCATACCAGGATCAATTTTGCCGTCAGGTCCCTGTAGAAATCGACAATTTTGGCCAACAATCTCGTCCTTGGTGTAGCCTGTCAACCGTTCGAAGGCTTCCGAGACATATACAATTGGATGGTCTTCACGCAGAATGTCACAGAGTACAAAAGCGCAGGAGAGATCAACAGCACCGATGTTGATTTTAGGGTTCGGTCGCATTGCCACTCGGCCCTGGTCCGATGTTAAGCTCTGGATCACATCATTGCTGGCTTGATATAGAGAGAGAGAACATACCAGGACGCCCAAGACATCGAAACCACTGCTCGAATAAATTCCCGTGTGTTCAGACTTGGCGGTATCTGGTTTGACCAGCCCCGGTGACAGATCCGCTACTGCACGGCGTCAACTATCAGTCAATGCCGTCATTGGGTCATTTCCCCGAACACAACTCACCTCTGGGGGCGACGGGCTTCTTGGGCTGGATTGGGACCGGTTGCGGGGCCCGTGGTGCCGCAGGTGCAGTTTGCTGGAGCCCCTGGCGCCCCTGGAACCGCGCAGCATGTGGCTTTACCTGGGAAGGATCGCTGGCCCGAGAAAAGTCGGAATCCTCAAAGCTGTTCGTGGAATTAGTGCCGGTGGTATAAAGTTCCTTGAGACCGGGGGGGACGCCCGTTTGCTGTGGGTATTGATTGATTGGCATCGACTGCGGGAATGACGGGTAGGTGGGATGGAACTGTGCCGGATCTATCTGGGAGGTGATTCCCATGGATGTCGCGGGGTAGGTGGCTGACCCGTCGTAGGCAAAAGCGTTGCTCGCGTCAAGGTTCATGGGCATTGAGTCGTAGGCCAACATCACGTTGGACATGCGGCCTTCAAGATCGGGCTGAGGTTCGGGCCTGTCGAAGTTCTGCAATGGCAGACTCCCCTCTGGCAACATGTTGAAAGCATAGTTGCCGACGTGGGGGGTGGCAAAACCCATGTACGGTGACTCTTGTGATGTGAGCGGAGGCGGGATGTGGGCAGACACCCCCGGATTGTGGTCTTCATCGCGGCTGGAGGCAGGATAGTCGAGAGTGAAGCCGTTCAAGGCCATGGTGACCCCTTGGGGAGGTCAGAAGAAAACCGGGCCTGGCCTGTGCGTGGGGACCCGACTGCAAGAGCCCAGGCAAGTTCCAGAGCGCCGGGAAAAAGGGACCGGTGTCCTGGAATCCAGTAATGTTGGGTGATGGGGACTCCACTCTCACGGTGAGGCCCAGATGAAACCCAAGAGCAGCGCAAGGTGGTGAATGCCAGGCCTGTCTCTATGTCGAGAGTCTGGTAAGAAGAGAGAAAAACAGATTCCAACCCCCGTCTCTCCTCTTTTTTGGCTCAAAAGTACACCCCCGATGTCATTGTGGATCCTCAGGAGGACTCACCACGACCAATGAGCATCCAATGGTCGACTTGACAGGGCACAATGGGACGGTGCCTGGGGTGGAATTCTTCAAGGGATGAGGATCAACAATCCATCGAATGGCCCAGGAGAATGAGTTTGTGCACCGTCTTTCTCTAGGTGATGAAGAGACGGTCGCATCTCTTGGAGCGGGATTTGAGGAAGGCGACGGTGTTCGCGAATTCCAGAGAGTTGATCTATCACAAAACTAGCCAGACCAATCCAAATACAGCAGAAGCGGCATAAACACGTCGCCAATATCATCGGAGGTTGCGAGGGGATGATGTAGATGGATGGAAGAGGGAAGAGGGAAAAGAGGTCATCGCGAAGCTAAGGGGGTTTTGAGGGTGTTGTGTCTTATCTCTGCCAGTCTCTCTCCCTCTTCCACTCCCGTTCGCCCCAACGTTCCCTTTCATTCCCTCTTTTTTTTCCTTTTCCTCTTAGTCTCTTTCGAGTCCCTTGATCTTTTTCGGGGATTCGAATGCCGACCCGTGCCGGTGCTTCGCACCTGTAAATCGTGGTCGGCTACACGCGTCCATGGCGGACCAGATCTCAATCACCATCTGCGGAGATGGCGGATGCGGTACGTTGCAGCAACCTTCTTTGTGCTGGGATCATCCCAAAACCGTGATTTGGTGCCACAACGTCGGGTGTTGCGATCGAGATCTGATCAGATCGAACCAGGCAAGTCATCCATCACCTTGCGGCTGGTCCGTAGTCAATGGATTCACGAGTGTGTTTTCCCCGATCCCCTCAAAAATGTCCTGGCTTATATCTGACTGATTTCTTCGGTAGATATGACCCCACTATCGGTAACAATGTTCTTTCCCTCTGAAGACTGAAATTGGTCGTATCGCAACCCCCTCTGACACGTACCTCCCAGAGGACTCGTACTCGGTGACTCGCACGGTGGATGGCCTTCCCTACTTCCTGTCCATCACCGACACAGCCGGCCAAGAGGAGTACCGTGGGCTATGGACCACATCAACGCTCAAATCGGATGCCTTTCTCCTCGTCTACGATATCACGAACCCCTCGAGCTTGGCAACGCTGGACTACTTTATGGACATGATCCAAATGGACGCGGAGCAGCGCGAGGAGGACAACCAGCGACTACGCAAGGAACTCGGTGCTAACGCCGGAGTGGTCGGTTTGGCACCGCCGGTCAAGATCATCGCCGGCAACAAATGCGACCTGAAGGATGGACGTGCGATCACATCGCGGGCTGGGCTGGAATATGCGCGCAAGCATGGATGCGGGTTCATGGAAACCAGTGCCCGCGAGATGGTCAATATCGAGGAGACGTTTGCTCGTATGGAGGCCTGCTTCTTGTTGCCAGAACACCCGCTCACATGACAATATAGTGTTGGTCCGTCGTGTCGTCGAAGCTCGCCGATTGCATGAACAAAGCACGTCGGCCCCAGGTCGTCCACCACCCTCGCGCGCCGGACCCTCCACCCACACCACGGCCTTGCCCCCGACGACGACGGACGCCAGCAAGGTACCTAACGAGGGACGGTCTCGACGGAGTCGTCTATTTGGGTTCGGGAAAGACGCACGGACATCAGAAACCGGGGGACAGGAACCGACCGAGAAGTCCAAGCATGCCTCGAATATGGAGACGGAGGATGCAGAGGAGCCTCGGGGCTGCTTGCTCCAGCGGGTGTGCTGTTTTTGCTGTTACTGGTGTTAGGATAGATGTCTGGCTTCTCATATATACCATACCATATACAGTATATACCATATATGGCAGATCCATATCTGATATGCCGTGTTTTGTGGAACCTTGGAATGGGAGCATGTTACCCGATGGGGAAAAATCGGGATGAAAGGACCGGAATGGCCCTCCGGTCCGCAATAGCCGGATCAGGCACTGCCCTTCGTGAATATTGTGACAGGGTCTAGAATTCCCGGGATATCATGGGATTTGATGTCACTTTTCACTGGACCCGGAATTCTTGCCGGGCGTTGCTTGGGGGGGGGGTTCTACCTCGGTCGTAGATGTGCGATCAACCGTTGAAGCTTAAACCTGTCGCGGGACAAAGTCATCACGTCATGGACTCGTGGACGGGGACAACGTCGGTCAAGTAATCCATGGATAGTAATGAAAAATATTCATGTAAATCCAGTTAATAAAATAAAGCAGGTTCTACGAGTATTGACACGCACATTCTATACATTCTACAGTCGGCAGGGGCATGCCGAGTTATACGCATTATGGTGCATGCATAATTAATTATGGGTGGGAAGTCGACCAAGTAGAACACTAACAAAAAATATTCAAGATCCTCCAGATCTAAAGTCCGCATATTAATACTCATATTCTCATGAGAGAATCAGTGATTTAAAACAGAATTCTCGCATCGGAAGTCAGCTCCATCCGGATATACAGTATGTACAGACATAGAGGTACCATACTGTAACCACGTCACAACCTCCGAATCTCCGAAGCTCCGTCCTCCGAGAGAAAACTAACGAACTCTAGCAAATGCCGAGTGTTCCATCTCCACAGTTCACTAAGCAGGAAAGAAAAAGAAAAAGAAAAACCGTGTGATCAGTGGAGCTCAGTCGGGCCCTGATTCGGTCCGATTAGTCTACAGCGCATCCATGACTCTTGAAAATCCCTCGAAACTAATAAAAACTAAGCCCCCCCCCGGTTTGCTTGAATGGATTTATAATTGATGATTTCTATGTTTCTATGAAATTATCTCATTCTTTGATTCTTTGATTCTCGGGTCCCATCGCAGAAACTCATTTGTCCAGGGTTTCGCATTCCAAGCTTCTGCGACATCGTCATTAGATCATCGACACCGCGTTGACGTCGATCATTCAACTCCCCTCTGATCTCTCCGGATCAGGCAATCTCGCCAGTAAAAAAAAAAAAAAAGAGATTCCTGGTTCTCTCTTTCTCTCTTGCTCGATCTTTACTGTTTCTTCTTGGGCATTCCAAAATCAACTCTATATTCAATTATGGCGGCCCGCCAGTCAACACCATCCGATTCGCATTCAGACAGCAACGTTCGCAAGCGTGTATGCAAGGCCTGCGATCGGTGTCGACTGAAGAAATCCAAGGTATGTCCATGCCAGCTACTGATTCCATCATGTTCATTTCCACTGACCCTCCTAGTGTGATGGAGCCAGTCCATGTTCGCGATGTCGAGCAGACAATGCCATCTGTGTCTTTGGCGAGCGAAAGAAGGCCCATGACAAAGTATACCCCAAAGGGTGAGCTTGCCATTTCTTTTTCTTTTTTCTTTTGTAATCACTCGCTCACCCCCTGCCATCATTAGATATGTGGAAATGCTGGAGCAACAGCAAGCCTGGCTGGTCCATGGCCTCCAGGAACTGTATCGACGGACCACCGAGGGGGAAGGCTGGCCGGGCGATCGCCTGAAGCTCGAACCGAATGGCCACCCGCTGACACACGACCTGTTAATGAGACTCGGTGCCCTGGATCATTCCAAGGGCGAACGTTTCGAAGAAAATCCCGACGCCCTGCAGCAGGAGCTGTGGCGTACCAATGCCGGCATGCAGCGCCAGGAATCGTCCGATGGGAGCTCCGACAGTGCCCAGTCGCCCGTTGCCCGCTCGCACTTTTCGTCGGATGCTTTTTCCCAGGCCCTGCCCCCCACGCCGCCCGCATATAGTCCATCGACCCGGACCCCGATCAAGGCTGAACCCCAGATGGCTGCCAATCCACCCTTTGCGCCGGTGTCCATGCCGGGCGTCGTGAATCCGCTCGCCCTGCAGGGCTCGCAGTGGCCCAACAGCGGGTTCAATCCATTCGATGAAATGGACATGATGACCACTGCCGATTACTCCAACCTGTCCTTCGATGACCAGGTCCCGTCGCCCATGTTCAATCGCCAGATGCCCATGAACTGTGTATCGTCGACACCATATCTGGACTCCAAAAATGACTACGACGACTTGAACCAATTTCTGAATCCGAATCCCACGGAAATTACTTCGATTTGAGGTTTTTCTTACTTTTTTTTTTTTTTCTTCTGTACTTGATATTCTTTTTAACGCCGTATGACGTGATGCATGTATCTTGGTTTACATGTTTGGATGTGGGGCTATTTCCCCCCACGCCTTTTTTTTTTTTTTTCTTTTCTTTGATTACCTTGGGATTCAGACGTTATTGGAGTTCTAATTGCACTGTACAGTGTGGGATCGGGTCTGGCGTTGATTTGGAGCAAATGCGATGTTTTCCCGGAGCTACGTGCCGGGGATCCACCTAATCCACTTATCTCCCTTAAGTCCATTAGTGTTTTATTACCATGGTCTTTTCTCTTACGTGAGACACGGTTTTTACCGAGATGGGGCATTTCTAGGGAGAATCGGAATTCCATATTCCGTCTTGGTCGCATTCGTATCCAGGATTGTGTCCAAGGGTTTGCTCTTGGCTCAGGAGCAGTCACTGGCAAGATACCTAGGATCGAGAGCCTTCCCGACTTCCTGACTTCCTGAATTCCTTGGGCGCAACCCGTAGCCTCATTCCTAGATGAATATCTATGAATAGGCCGTTTGGGCCCTGTCCGGGGTAGCCAACGCCCGAATCTCGGCGCCCGGATGCCTGGGGGTCCGACCGGGCTGAGGGAATATAATGATCGGGGATATTAATAGATGTTTTATATAAATCTCTCTCTATTAATATTATTAGAGTTAGGTGTCAGTCCACCTGATCTTAGTAGATCTGGATATATCGTGGGTTTATGGTTAATGGCTTATAGTAGTGCTACCAAGTCCTTGGCTATACGAATAATGTCCACACTATGGAATTTACTCCTCTCCCCCGGATATTTCCCCGTTTTGTTCTTTTAGGCTAATCCAATCATCCACTTTAGCAAGAATGTATGAATCTCTGAATGTCCCTGAGAGCTCCGCTGGGTGATTCCGCTGGATGGCGGGGTTCCCACGTCATGTTAACCCTGTTCTCCCCCATCCCGTTTGCTCTTCTCTCTCTCTCTCTCTCTCTCTCTCTCTCTCCATCATTCCACCCGCAATCATGGCCCCCGAACTAGCCGAATTCACCTTCCTGCCCCTCGGCGCGATCATCCAGGAGTTTCGTGTCGCCGGGAAGAACATCGTGCTGGGCTTCCCCACACAGGATCACTACGTCAAGTACAACACCCCGCATTATGGTGCCACCATTGGCCGCGTCGCCAATCGCCTCAAGGACGGCGTCATTCACTCTCTAAATGGCCGTGAGTACGAACTCGCCAAAAACAATGGTCCCAATGCCTTGCACGGTGGAGAAAATGGCTGGGGCAAGCGTATCTTCGACGGGCCACACACCGTCCAACGTCAGGGCCGCGACGCCTTGCTCTTTAAATACCTCTGCAAGGACGGCGAGGAGGGATACCCGGGCACCGTCGAAGTGCGCGTCTGGTACACGGCCAGCAAGGAGGATGACGGCGCCGCGAAGACCGTGTTGACCGCCGAGTACGAGGTGGAATTTGTCGGGGACGAATGTGAAGAGACGGTGGTCAATCTCACAAACCACAGGTAGAGCTTCCGAATTTTCTCTCTTTGTATGAGATTCATGAGATTCATCTGCTCACCCTCGTCTCCAGCTACTTCAACATTGGCGACGGCCCAACCGTGTCCGGAACCACCGCCCAGCTCACAACGGCCGACTACCTCCCGCTCGACACCACGGGAATCCCACAGGGCACCATCAAAAAGTTCCCGCGGGATGTGACGACCCCCTTCGAGCTCCAGCCATCCGAACCGCACATCGACGACGTGTTCGTCGTGGACACCAACCCGGCCAAGGTCCCGCTGGACACGCGCAGCCTGCCACTGCGTCGCCTGGCCCAGTTCAGTCACCCCACCACGCGCCTGCATCTGGAGGTGCACAGCACCGAGCCCGCGTTCCAATTCTACACGGGCAAGTATATTGATGTGCCGGGGATCGATGGGGCCCCGCCGCATGGCGAGGGGGCCGGGTTCTGTGTCGAGCCCAGCCGGTTTGTGAATGCCATCAACGAGCCCAAGTGGCGGTCCATGGTCCTGCTCAAGAAGGGCCAGGTATTTGGCTGCAAGAATGTCTATAAGTCGTGGAAAGCGTGATGTCCGACATTGGTAAATATGGGGGACCGCCAAAGGGCATACAATAGAACCTTGTTTCGGGAAGATGTTCCCTGATTTTGGATCTGGTCGAGTATGTGAAATTGTCAAGTGGAGAACACAGGCCAATTTTCGCTACTGTAGGTCCATACATCGGCATGATCTGATTATTCACGCCTGGCTACCTCGGCATTCTGCTGCGGCCGAGCCGAGCCCGAAGTCCCCGTCTTATCGCCGTGTCATCCAGTCGACGTCTTTTTTTTTTCTCGGCCCGGGAACATCAAGGTTTTCCATAGCCACAACTTGCCCTTGTCGTTCAGTCATCGGTATTCTATGGGTATGCGCATACACAGCAGTATATCCTTGGAAAGGCTCTTCTCTATTGACTTCCATGTTGAGATCAGATAGTACCAAATATGTTTCCTTATCCACACTCCCGGTTCATTCTCGTCACCTTGGCCAAGTGTTTTAATTTCGAAGTTGAATTTTAAAAAATTTTTTCTTCTCTCTTTTCTTCAACACCCTGACCCGCCTAGTTCCACCCTTCGAGAAAAACCCCCTTCCCGTGGTTCATGTCTCGGCAATGCGGGTAGTCCCACCAAGGCCTGTTCCACTCGTGAAGCTGGTCTTTGGCATAACTTGCTGGGGTGACTGTGCCGTTTTCCGGACCTTTACTCTGGACCACAATGCACAGTCACTACTTGGCGCCGAGATATGAGAGATCTTTTATGTCACTTATTAGGTATACTCTCCGGGGACAGGTTTGGCGAGTATGGGCTTGACTCTTGCCATGGGTGTGGATTTATGTGGAGCTGGATATGTGCTGATCCAGATAGATAAGTAGCCGACAATAGACCTTTGCCAACAAAAACCTGCTGGTATGAATTGCCGCTGCTCGAAGAGCGATTATGTATACTTTCAAGGATGGTACTCATTGTCCAACTTAGATGAATACCACTCAAACTATCACTCTCTGATTCTTGTATTTTGCGTTTCCTCTCATTTCAGAAATTCTCTTAAATGTTCCCTCGTTCCTTCCACACCAGTCCAAAGTAGCAGTCAAGAACATGGCAATGATATAGTATACCAACCACGTGATCTCGGTCAGAGTCGGAGCCCTAACCCCGAAGGTTCCCGAACTTCCCCCGCGCGGGGAGTTTTGATCCGATCGATATTCGATAGAGAGTCAATCCATATCCATTGCATCTACACGGCTCACCCATCTCGCGTTTCCCTGGCACCATGGTTTCGATGCACGGGGACCTCCGGCATCTGCTGCCGAGCAACTACAAGCGAATGATTGCCTCTTGGCTGGAAGAGGACTGTCCGAGTTTGGACTACGGCGGCTTTGTGGTGGGGGAGTCGGAGGGCGAGGCGCGGTTGCTGGGGAAGAGCAAGGTAAGAAGAGTGGAGATGAGAGGATGATACCTGAAGATTGCATACAACAGAGTGCTGATATGTGATGTGGGGTTGTGCAGGGTATCGTCGCCGGAGTCCCGTTCTTCGACGAGGTGTTTTCGCAGCTTGGTTGCTCGTAAGTCACCTGCTATTCTTCTGCTGTGGCAGTTCATCTCTTTGCGTCACCCTCCCTGACACACTCTCCAGTATTGAATGGCACGTCTCCGAAGGCGACAGCCTCTCCCCCGTCCAACATTGCGCCACAGTGCGCGGACCCATCCGCAAGATCCTACTCGGCGAGCGCGTCGCCCTCAACATCCTAGCACGATGCTCCGGCATCGCCAGCAGAAGCGCATCAATGGTATCCGCACTGCGCGCACAAGGCTGGCAGGGGACATTGGCAGGGACGCGCAAGACGACGCCCGGGTTCCGCATCGTAGAGAAGTACGGCATCCTGGTAGGCGGCGCAGATCCGCACCGGCACGACCTGAGCTCGATGACCATGTTGAAGGACAACCACGTGTGGGCGTGTGCGAATAACCGGGCCGCAGCGGACGGGGGCGCCGCCGGCGACGCCCCGTCAATGGCGTCCATCGCTGCGGCGATCCCGCGCGCTGTGCAGGCGGCCAAGGCGGCGGGCGGCTTTGCGACCAAGGTCGAGGTGGAGTGCCGCAGTGTTGAGGAGGCTAATGCGGCTATTGGTGCTGGGGCAGATGTCATTATGTTGGATAATTTCACGCCCGATGGGGTGCGTGTTGCTGCGCGCCAGCTGAAGCAAGAGTGGGCAGGCAAGCAGCGCGCGTTCTTGATTGAGGTTAGTGGCGGCTTGACGGAGGAGAATGCGGCGTCGTATGCTTGTCCCGACGTTGATATTCTGTCTACGAGCTCGATCCACCAGGGCACGGGCATTGTGGACTTTTCGCTCAAGGTCTCGCTGCGCTAGTGCGGCTGTATCATATCCGGATAGAAGTGTCTGTACTTGTACAAGCTACGATGAATGAACGATTCCAGTCCTCGAGGCAGATGAACAGATAATCCATAATTTGCATTGCACATCACCAACGCCGTCCCTCATGACTGTCGTGGTTGATCATCACATACATACGACGCCATCAAAGTACTTCAGCATCTTCAGCCGAAACACCAACCGAAGGGGGGTATATATACAAACAGGTACACAAGTACACAAGCGCAACTCAAACCTCGATATCCACCGTGATGCCCTCCCCTTCACTTGAGCTAGGCGCTTCGTCGGACACAGGACCACGGCGTCCGTCATTTGTCACTGTCCCCGATGGCCCACGCCGCGTGCGCTCTCGAACCAGTTGGTCTCGCAGCTTTTGGTTCTCGCTATCGCGTTCCTCGAGCCGCTTTCGCGCGCCGTTGCGATCAAGCAGACGACCCTCGCGCTCCGCCTTGAGACGTTTCTCCAGCTCGTGCAGCCGGTGGATCCATTTGTCGTCGCCGCCTTCCCAACTACCGTGTCCGCTGCGGCTACGGTGCATCATCGCCCCGGCGTTGTTGGTCAGAGTGCTGGCCGAGGAGGCATGAGACGGCTGTGGGAGACCCGTCGCACTACGGGTGAGACCTCTCTCGGGCCGAGAACCGTCAGTGCCAGCCGTAGAGCTTTGACGCGCCAAGGATCGGTCTGTTTCCGCCGCCGAACCAAGAGAGGGGGACCGTGATCCCGACATGACCGCTGCTGCTGCCGCGGAGGTGGAGCTGTGGGCGCGAGAATTGGATTGCAGCAGATTAATTTCAGCTTTGAGAAGCCGGTTCTCGCCCCGTAGTTTGGATACCTCGGGGGACGAGCTGGGGTGGCCTCGACTAGACCGCATATTCTTGACAGCTTCCTCCAGGCGTTCGAGTTTCCGCGCCCGCAAGCTGTATGAGTGCTCAACATTCTGGTATTGTTTGGTCAGGTCATGATCGAGACTCTTGATGCGGCCCTTGAACCCGGTAATCACGCTCTCAACGGTCTTGATGGCAAGGAGAAGGTTGCGGCTGAATCCCGGCCAGAAGAGGATATTGCCAATAACTTCCTGGCTCGGAAGATTGCCATTGATCAGACTGTTGGAATGCGCCCAGTCCGGACCACAAATTGCTGACAGTCTCTTCCAAATGACGAGGTACATGCTATTGCGTTCGCTAAGCTGGTCCCGGAATTGCTGCTCGAGGGACGTAAACCGCTTGCGATCTTGGTTACGCGCATTCTCCAAGTCTGTGATGCGGGAATTACTCTGAGTGATGGACCGAGATGCCTGCTGGTGGGACTTGAGCGACTGCTCAAAAGATTGCTTGTCTGCGCGACGAGCTTGCCGCTCGCGCTCCAGGAGCTCCGAGAGCTTGCGGGTTTCGAGCCCATGGCTCTCCAGAAGAGCGTCACGGTTTCGAAGCACCGATTCCTTCTCATCCAACTGGGAGCGGATACTCTCCAGTTCAAGCGCGGTCGACTCGAGCTCCTTTTGCAGCTTCATAATGTTGGTGATCATGCTGGACCGGCTGCCGCTGAGGTCGCCCAGCGTCTCACGAAGGTTGTTCTCCAGTTCCATGAGGCGTTCGCGCCAGGTGGACGTTTCGATCTCCTGGGTCGACAGGCTTTTCCTCAATCGCCGAGCCTCCTCTTTGGCGGCGGAGGCTTCGCGGTTCAGTTCATTCATGATGCGCTGGACCTCTTGTTTCTCCTTGCTTCCAACGACCTCCCGCTGGTGTCGCTCATCTGCTAACCGTTGCTCGAGCTCTCGGCTCTTCTCTTTCTCACTGCGCAAGCTCATCTGGTAAGTCTTAAGCTCTGACTCCAGGTCGCCAATACGAATCTTGTCGCCATCTTGCTCTTCTCGAAGGAAAGCAATTTCATTCTGGCTCGATTCGATCTGCACCGTCAGTCGCTGCACCTTGGTATTGGCCTCGAAGAGACTCTTCTCTAGCGACTCCATTTCACGGTTGGTTTCCTCAAGCTCTTGCTGTACAATCCTGTAACGTTCCAGGTTGTTTTGCGCATCCTCCTCGAGTCGAATTATTCCCTCACTAGCCGAACGCATCTCTCCCTGGAGGACCTTGAGACTCTCATCCTGCTCTCGTAGATCCTCGCTCATGCGCTGGCACTCAACGATTTTTTGGTCAAGTTCTTCGCCGAGTGTGTCCAGCTCTTCTTGTGCCTCAGCGCGCAGATCTTGGAAAGCAGCATCACGCTCATCCGCCATCTGCAAAGCCTGGTCTCGCTCCTGTTGCAGGTTTTGCATCTCCTCCTCGGCCTGATCCACGTCAGCCTGATATGCCTTGTCGAGGGCCTCTATTTCGCTGAGATAGTCCTCAAGCTGAGCACGGATGGCCTGGTTCTCCAGCTTGAGACTTGACAGCTGGTCTCGAAGCTTTCCGTTTCGGGCTTCCAAGTCGTCACGGTCTAGGTCGCTGCGGGATGCCTTAGTTCCGTCGCTGGCCTGAGATGAGGGCCGGACAAGAGCACGCGATGCTGAACGGTCGAATATGCTGTCTCCCGCCACCGATCGGCCACCATCATGGCGCTGGCCGAGCTTTAATTCCTCAATTTCCTGGTAAAGACGCTCTTTTTCTCGGTTGCGAGACGTGAGCATGGAGGTCTGAGCGCTGACTTCCTTTCTCAACTCTGCATTCTCCTGCTTCAAGAGCTCTAGCTCCACCAGGAGTGTGCTGCTGGATGTGCTCATAGTGGCACCCCGGTTGGCATCTCTGTCCGAGATGGACGCATATGAAACAGTCGAACCACCCCGATCTTGCTGTGCCGACTTGGCACCACCGGTGGTGGAGTACATTTCGCTCCGGAGGCGGATGGTGTCGTCCCGCAATCTTCGGTTTTCGTCCTCGGCTTGCTCGCGTGCCGCTGTCTCTGCATCGAGCATATCCTTCCACATGTCCTATACCGCATCAGATCAGCTTGAGTCAGGAAGCTCTTCCATTTTGTTGGACTTACTCTTTCCTCTCTCGCGCCTGTATCAGATCCTCCTGCTCGGGTATCGCTCAGGGACTTGACCATTTCAGCTAAGCGTCGCTTTTCGCTCTCCCTCGCGATACCCTCTGACCTCAAGCGCTCGATTTCAAATTCGTAGGTTTCGACTCGCTCCCGCAGGAAGACAAGCTCGCCATCCTGGGCCGTGTCTCGGTCCCCGTCATCCGATCCTTCGGGGTCATGGTTGACCATGGAATCCTTGTCTGATTGCTGGTCCTTGATCTGCTTTTCCAGGTCTCGTATCTTGCGCTTTAGGCCTTGATTATCCTTTTGTAGCTTGAGCTTATCGGACTTGAGCTCCACATTTTCCGAAATCATTTCCTTGATTCCTTCCTCGGAACGTTTGTTTAGCGCTTCGTTCAAGAAATGAATTCGCATCTTGAGATCAAAGTTCTCCTTGGAGAGACGATCGATGGTGCTGCTTTGTTCTTTGAGGGTCATCGTACGGCCACTTCTCCCGAAGGCAGAGGTCGAGGCCCGGGCTCGCTTGTCGGGCGAAGCTCCCACATTCCCATAATCTTCCCGGAACCGTTGCACAAAGGTGGTAGGCACTTGAATACCCTTGACACGCTCTGCAATTGCCGTGTCGCTGGGGAAATGGCTATCCCGGGGTTTCGCTTTGGGCGTCACCGGTGCCGAGGTGTCATCAAATCCCATCGGTTGTTGTGTAGACCCAGCCCGTGACTGTGGTGAGCCTTCTTCCTCCAAGGTTTGCAGGCCACCATCGGCAAGTCCACTCGCATTCCGTTTCTCTAAGGAATTTTCTTCACTGTATCCCGAGACCCCTGACGCCATACTCCCGAGGCTTGTCGTCCTTGTCATATTGTTCCGCGTTGCGGCGTGCAGACTGCCCCAGTGGTCAGACGCTGCACCCCCAGATTGAAGAGCATAGTCTGCGCCCAAAGTGGCGTCGCTGTTGGTGGCATCCGTGTTGTTACTAGTCACCGATGAGTGGGATAGACGGTTGGCGGATTGACGACTCATCAGGTATTTGGGTCGGCTTCCTCTGCGGCTGGCCCCCACACTTCCACTGCGATCACTGAACAGCCGGGACGGATTCGGGGACAAGCTACGTGAGGTTTTTCGAAGCTTGGACGGAGTAAGCTGCGATTCGTTTTCGGATGAGGGCAATTGAGATCTAAATGGTCGGTCGTCTTGAGACAACTGGCTGGTGTCAGGGGCATTTTCGGAGAGTGTAGAGTGGTTGCGGTGTATGCTTCGACTCGCCGCGGCCGCGGCCGGCGAGGAGATGAGAGAATCAAGCATTGTGTTATTCCCCTGTTGATCTTCTTGACCTCCGTGTGTAGAATCTATCTCCACATGACCTTCGCGGTCCTGCGTGGAGCTTTGGTAGGCCACCGAGGGTTCAGCGAAAGACAGCTCAGAGAATTCATTCTGCTCGGGGTCGTTGTTGCCCGCGACTCCGACTAAGTAGGTATCATCGGCACCCGCAGTCGGACCGGTCGCAGCCATGTCGATAGTCGAGGGTTCCGGCAAGAAGCTCGACTCCATGTCCATTAGTTTATGGCGCATTTCGTTTTCCTCGATCAATGTTTGGTTGTTGCCGCGCTCTTCACCATGGTCGCTCGACGAGGGTAAGAGACTGCTGTCGTCGCGGTCAGTTAAGGGAGGGAGGAGACTGGGGTCGTCAGGGCCTGGATGCGCCGTGGAGAGGGTCTCTTCATGGCCATCCCTCCCGGGTTCTGTGGTTTCCTGTGGGTTGGTTGCGCTTTGGGTGTGAGTTACTGCCGAGTCGTCGATGGTACTCGGGGGGGAACCCCCCGCGCGTCCTCTGCCATGAAGGAGTCTGCAGTGCCGAAAACATGCAAAGGCGAAATCTCGGTTGGGGTGTGGAAGACTGACGCATGAGAGGGAGTGCGCGATGGATCTTGGATCAGAGGTGTCGAGCCCGCCCTGGTCGACAGTGATGGGGCCCAAGCGTGTTTGGGTCTCCACAGCTCAGCTTGCCCGTTCCGATTGGCAAATAAAGCCTTGGGGTTGCTGCAACGGAGTGGAGATTCTGCGAAAAAAAAAATAAAGAAAAATAAAAGAAAACAGTCTTGCAAAGCCGTCCATGAAAACAATGTCTGGTGAAAGGATGGGCACCTTCGAGTAGGGGGACTCGGGGTCAAAGCTAATTGACACGGCCAGACACCACTGCTCTGCTACTATTGCCACGCCTCAGATCTATATCTCTGTACCTGGGTAGATGCAAGCTACTGCTGTCGAGTAAAAACAACGTAAACATTGTAACTGTCATGGTATTTATAGCATCACACATGAAACAACATCATGGATCCCAATCTCCAAGCAAAATTAAGAAAAATGAAAGCGCAAAATGGTCACCGGGAATCGAAGAGAGAGAGGGATATACACAGTGGAGGACGCACAGAGTCCAACGGGACCAAAAAAAAAAAAAAAGGAAAAGAAAAAGAGGGATCCCAGACAGGAATGTATATACAGAAAAAATTCATAAGTTGAGGGAGTCATGGAATAGAAAAAAAGGAGTGCGCAATCATGCCGGAACAGTGGATGGCTCCGTGCTCGCGTCGTTGGGGGGATTGTAGTAGTTGTTGGAAGATGCAAAGATCTTCTCTTTCTGGGTAATGGCGTTGCGAAGCGAATCGATGTAGGTGCGAAACTTGACGATCTCTCGCAGCAGATACGACGATTTCCGCTCCCAATTGGCCATGGCCTTGGTGGAGTTTGGATGTCGGGGCGAGAAAGCCAGGTTCATGGCGGACCGTAGCTCATTGTGTCGCTGCAAGTCGTCTTCAACATTCTTCACATATGCCTGCAGCGCCTTCAGCTGGGCCTCCTCGGTGAGACTGGAGGCGACCATGCTTTGCTGCGGAGGGCTCCAGTCGCTAATGTTGACCCGATCGGCAGGAAGTTTGGGCCGGACATTCTGCTGGTCAACCGAGCTACGGATCGAGCTCTGGATGCTCGGTCGCGCCCCCGAAGACTGAGGCGGAGATCGGTTATCGGGGTTCACCAGGGCACTGTTGATGACACCATCGCTCCATCCATATTCGATGTTGCTGATGCCACCCACCAGAGGCTCCTTGGACAGCCGTGCACTCCAGTAGTTAGCCGTAGAGACGAATTCTCGTACGATCTCGGGAGTGCCAGCCTGGAAAAGATGGACGGCCCCGGTGGGCAAACTGAGGGCCCAAACATGAGGCCGGGACTTGGAATACCCGGGCGGCGGAAGAGCACTGGCGATGGTCTGACGGAGCATGAACTTCCAGAGTTCCTCCGCATTCTCCGTCCAATTGCCTCCGCCGACCACAACGCCGCCACGTTGTTTCGCTTTTTGTCGCATGGACTTGGTGGTGTTGTTGAACGAGAAGAGACGCATCCAACCTTGCTGGATGACCGCGAAACAGTCGTTCCAGTTCCGGTCCTTGGCCCGCTTGTCCACCGCGTCCAGGTGATGCTTGTGTTTCAAACTTCCTTCCTTGGCCCAGGGGGCCCCAGCAAGTGCCAAGGTTTCGTCTTCCAGCAGAGGGGTTACCACTCCTGATTCCTCAGCACTGTAGATCGAAGTCGCGGAGTCTTCGCGAATGATTGCTTGGCTCAGGGCGTTGGCAAACCCGATAGATTGCTGATATTCACCACGAGGGTATTCGGACCCAAATGAATCCACAGAGGCCGACGTGAACTTGCCAAGAGAATATTTACTCCAGGTGCTCGAGGCGGTCGGGCTCCACACAGAGGATTGATCATCCAGGCTGGTCCGGCTGGATCCCATCATGGACGGAGGATACAATCTCGCCCCTCGCGAACGGGGTTTGGATGACCAACGTGCAGCTCCATGACGAGAATCTGCGGAACGGCCGCGGGGAAAGATATCCGACCCGCTCTTGCTGATTGTGCTTGGACTCCTGCGAAGTGTGCCGGTGGAGGGGCCAAGGAAGTTGTTGGAGGCCATGCGAGATACCTCTTTCTCTGGCTGGGCACCGTGAAGAGGGAGCCTTTCCTTTTGAATGGAGCTGTAAAACTCCTTGAGGACTGCTTCCACCTGCTGTTCCCAAGCTCGCACAGTTCCAATGAATGGCGTATTGACCAAGGCCCCCGCGTCGCCATTGGCATCCGTGGTGGGTCGACCAGAGTTGTCCATTTCGACTGAACCGCGAACCTCAGGAGGGAAGGTCGCAGACCGTGCCGATGTGGGTGTGGAATCTGGACCTTGGGTCTTGGGACGATTGCTGGGGCGCAACGTCTCAAACCCTTCAGGGGCCGCATCCATAGCGACACGGTGGATTGTGGGTAGAGTGTTGCGGACAAATTGGGATTTGGTCATCTTCTGGTCGATGTCGGCCAAATGTAGATCGGTGTTTAGCAGAAGAAGGGAATAACAGATAGTGTGTACCACATCTGGCGCATTGTCAGAACATGTATAGCCTTAAGAGTATATGGGAAGGTCAAACATACCGGTAGCCTTGAAGCCATGGCTTGGGTTACAATCGCACCATCGATTGGAGAAAGCATCCAAGACCCGGTCTACTTGCTGTGTCTCTCCCTTCAATACCAACCGCTCGCACAGACTCCGCAGGGAAGCCAATATGTTGAGGTTGGACCAGTTGAAGAGTCGCATATACGCCTCTCGGACCATGGCCCGATCAGGATCACCCAGCCAGGCAGCAGCGGGATCATCACCCACCACCTCATCTTGGTGGTCAAAGAGTTTCTGTGCCTGTTCCCGGTCCGCCGTCGTGGGCCCATCTTCCACCGTCTCGCCCGGTCCGTCTGCCCTATCCTCGGCGTCGTCGGCTGCTTTCGGTTCTTCGCATTCGATGACGGGAGTGTTGGCTGCCGTTTGATAATGCGAGGCCTCTGAGACCGAAGCAGGAGATTCAGGGACCTTGCTCTCAGAGGGCAGTGCCAGCTTGTTAGGTTCTGTCGGGCTCTCTTGAGGAAGATCAGTGGGGGCCTTTTCAGATGGTGTAATGCTGCGCGAGAAATCCTCAGCCACAGGCGATAGCGTCGCGGGGGAGGCAATCTGGGGCTTCTCCAACGCGGCGGAATCCGTCGACGCGGACCCCGCCGTGTCACCCGTCCTTGAAGCTTGGCCCTCCATCCCGCGGTCTGCAAGCAATGAACGGTCATGGCTACGAGAGGAGCTGGGAGGCTGAAGACTGGACCTAGCCTTTGAGCCACCGCCAGGAGCCGAAACACTTTCTCTTTGCTTTTGCGCCTGCAAGGAATTTGGTTCACGGGCTTGATTCTCCCCATCGGACTTGGCCTTGGATTCTTTCGGAGCCGGCGAGTCTGCAAGGTAAGGATTCATGACTTTCCGCAGACTGCTCACAGGACTGGGTTCCGGCTTCATCGTGTCCAGCTTTTGTGGTGCCAGCTCTTGAGGAAGCACAATTGGAGGTGGAACATTATCGACGATGGACTTCTTACGCCGGCGGAAAAATGAAGATTTCTTGTTCACGACTTGCGGCGGTCCATCGCGAGTAGATGGGGACCCGCCGGCAGAACTTTTCGGGGCCTGTTGTTTCCGTCCTTTCAGGTTGGTTGTCACCCCATTGGCATCCTTGGGTTCATTCTCCTGTAGATACGACAGATCATTGACATTCAAGTTGGCAGATTCTGTCGGACCCGGGGATGAGTTCTTGGAAGAGCCAAACACACGCCGGAAAAACCCAGGGCGCTCTTTGGTGTTTGTGGTGTTATTAGTCGTAATGGTGGTAGTGGTATTCGTTGGCGCGGGCGGCTCAGGCGGCGGGAAGGCTGGTTTGTTGTAGGAAATGGTCGGGCTCGGAGCGGGCGGGTCCAATGATGCGGGCATGGCCGGGGGAATATCCAGATCAGTGTCGTCCAGTTGTTGAAAGTCATTCTCTCGGACCCTCATAGCCCCAGTGCCAATGTTCTCGGGGCGGGCTTTTCGAACCTGGGGAGCCTGGGCCGCTTTCAAGCTGTTCCTCCGAGATCCCGTGGGGGTCCGGGACGCAGATGTATTGGGCGTTCTGCTGTATTCGGTGAATTTGCGTGGCCCAGCTGGAACACTTGGGGTTGGCGCCGCATCGTCATCGTACAGCAAGGAATCATCACCCGCGGAGTCGGAATATGGGAGAAAGAGTCGCTGAGGCCCATAGTCAAAGCTGGCCGAGCGTCGGTCCAGGCCCGGCTCTGTTCGCGTTCTAGGAACATTATATGAATAATCGGCTGTGGAAGACGAGCTCCCTTTGCTGCCCTTTCGAACATCGGTAGACCTTGGCATCGTTGTCGTGCCTCGTGAACCCATGGCTTCGCGATCCCGAGCACTCCCAATCCTCCTGGGGCCTGCCGGGTAATTGGAGCTACTGTTGCTTCGTCGACCTTTTGTGATCGTGGCGTAGCGACTCGCATCGTCGTAACCATAGTCTGCTTCGGAGGACAATGACGAGGAGAATGTGTGGCCGCGGTAGCGACCGCGCGCGGCCGATTCCTGCGAATAACGGCCCGGGTCGGTCTCAAATGCGGAGTTAAACAGGCGGTAGTCGTCTAGCATCGATGAACCAGGGGCAAATTGGTCGAGTGAGAGAAGCATATTGTCGACGATCGAGGTTCGGGCGGCATGTTGGGGGGATAGCGACAAGTCGTGGGGATCCCGCTCGTCCCCCGACTCACTGACCCTCGGGACATGTTCCATGGATTCCCCAGTCTCAGGGAAGGCATCACGGATGGACGGTCGGGGGTACCCGCGCTTGTTCGGCCGGTATTTCGCAGTTTGCGAGGGAGGAGTGTGAGGCGGCGAGTTCGCAGCGTATGCTTCCCGTTGCTGGGACATGATCAAGCTGGCAGGCCGCGTTAGCTACTCTTCTTTTCTTTTCTTTTCTGTTTGTTTTTTTGCATATTATCAATGGTTCCCTCGATGCCAGTCCAATTAACCCATGGGTTTAGAAAGAGAGCGATCAGGAGACGGACACGACAATGTTTTAGCTGCGACGTACCCACCGTGTCGTCCCAGGCCAGTTTGTCAGGGACAATTGGAGTTCCTGTCCAAGTCGGGACTTTTGTGCGGGACTGGCGACCTCGAACAGTCTGCTTGTTTTTTCGCCGAGGTGAAGCACGGGGAGAATTTCAGTCGGTCATGGCATGTGTCGCAGAAAGTAAGGGGTGGAAGAGGCACGGTTGCCGACAGCAAAAGAATGAAGAAAAAGTGACGATTGACAACGGACAAACTGAAGCCCGCAGGGGAGGTTTTCTTAGTTTCTTAGCCTCTCAAGATTCTCCAGTCCCTCGAGTATCCAGGAAAAATGAAAGATGAAAGATGAAAGAAGAAATCCAAGTGTGAAGAATTCAAAGAAAGCTGGGACTCAAACGAGGGGAAGCGAGACAGGGGGACTGAATGATCCGAGGATTTTCAGACTATTTGATCCCCTGAGATCTGCCCATCCCCACGTCACGGCTCTCACAATTCAGGGGTTTTTTGTTTGGATTTCAGCCCAAGATTCTTTTGTGAACCTGACAAATTCTGCCCTGACTCTCTTTTTGGTCTCTGCATTTTTTCTGATACCTCAACTTGGTCTATGCCATGCAGTATTACTGATCTTGAGTCTGGCAGTCCGGTGGAGCCCCCGAACGGTGGGGACACGACTCTCTGACGGAGCCAATGTCGGGGATTTTGAAGGCGATGTGATACACCAGAGCCACCAAAGACGAGGATCAGCAGTGGTGATACGCCCAACCGATAAGATGGCTGATGGGTGTGTGTGTACTTGATGTCTACTTTGATATACTTCCTGTCCTGCCCAGGATCATGCCAGGAGGGAAGTATCGTGGAGGTACTATGCAGTAGAGTCCCCCCTTGCAGCAATAGTTCAAACTATGACTTGATAAGAGGATTGCATCGCGAGAACGAGATAAAATAGAAAGATGCAATTATGGAGTACTTTTCTATATTCGGATTCCCCTAATTCCCATAACTCCAAGATTCAACTACAAACATGAAGTATCCTGGGTCAATCTCCAAATTCCAAGTAGATGGCAACTTGGAATACATGTCAACTCACGTGATGATGACATAATGTCATACCGACGTCCACGGGTGGACTCGACGCTGCTCCGATGGACAACCGTTGGAGAGAACTTGCAACCGGCCAGGTTCCTGACACCATGAACCCGCACATCTCTGTCCCTCGTCAACATGCTGGTCCTGTTAAATTTGGCAACCGTGGGTCCAGCATCCGCATGCCACGCTTCTTCAAAAGGTAGGACGACAATTCCCAGACCTCATGTCAGGCAGTGGCTAATGTGGGGATACTCCGGGGAGGATATAGGCTCTTCAAGTTCCCACAGATGGACTTTGAGATGGCTATCTGGGAGATGACTTCCTTATTGATTGCACCCAAGAAGGTCTTCAAATCCATATACTATCATGTAAGTCTTGGGGGCATCCGGCTAGCTCTCTCCCGTCCCTCCCACTCTCTCAGGCTATGCTAATCATGATGTGCATTCATTTAGAAACGTTAGTTCCATGGATCTCCATCTGCTCCGGGCTCCATGATATTGACCATTGTTCCAGAAACCAAAAACACATGGCACCGGCCAGACCCATCCTTCACCTATCTCCTTTCCTTCTTCCTCCTTCTCACAGCCTTCGCCTGGGGGTTGGCATACACCCCGTCCTTTGGTGCTATCGTGCGCCTTTCGCTGCTCTTCGTGTTTGTGCATTTCATCGGATCCTCGCTCCTGGTGTCGACCATCGGGTATTTCGTCATTGGCCGAGTCTTCGGCCCCAACGGCGCCGCCGCGTCTCTAGCCGGCTTGCGCGGTTCTCGTGGTCGGCGGCGAGGTGCTGCACAGGGCTTATTCATGCAGCCGGGGGAGAAGGATCACTTGGAATTTGGATATTGCTTTGATGTAAGCTCCCCGCTCGAGTGGTTTGAGGGTCGCCTCTAATATGGATCCCTTCGATGACAGGTTTCCAACCGCGCCTTCTTTCCCCTCTACGTCCACCTTTACGTGGTGCAGTTTTTGCTCCTCCCGCTTCTTACGCGCAGCCCGAGCAACTTTCTGGCCACCTTTCTGGGCAACTCCCTCTATCTGTCCGCCCTGATCTACTACACCTACATCACGTTCTTGGGATACAATGCTCTCCCCTTTTTGCACAATACCGAGCTGTTACTGGCCCCCATCCTCGTTTTTGCCATTCTGTGGTTTGTCAGCCTAATTGCGGGCTGGGGCATCGTCATGCAGGGCCACAGCGTCAAGGGCTTATTTTGGGGCGTGTAAAGAAGCAGCTGAGCTTTCCGGGGCCTTCTCGACATTGTTCTACTATCTTGAATTTTCAATTCTCCATCCCTGTGTACGAATGTGCTTTCATTTTTGTTTTTCTTTTCTTTTCTTTTCTCTGGCTGGCACATGCATCAAAAGAGTAATTCTGTGTCTTGGGTGATATGGGGGCGTCGGTGTATATGATTTCATTGATAGGATCTGGCATTTCTTCCTCATTTTCCTGTGTGCAATAGACCCAATTTCAAAATGGATGGTCCATCTCTCGATGGTGTGGTAGATGTGTGATCGAGGTTGGTCTATAGTCACCTCTAGCTCTTGATTGATAGGTGTAGATAGATGCCATGATATGTAGAGATCGAGGATGGGAAAAAGAAAGAGACCAAGTTGAAGAGCTCATTTCTTCTTCCCGCCCTTTTTGGGCTTCCCCAACGCCGCCTGTCGCAGCTTGTCCTCGCGCTCCTTGGCCGCGGCCGCCCGTTCCTTGGCTTGCTCATCCTTCTCGTCCTTCTCCGCCTGCTTGCGAGCGCGCTCAGCCTCCCGCTGCTCGCGCACAAGAGCCAACCGCGCCAGATCCGACCGCGCCTCCTCCGTCTTGCCCTCTGCGTGCAGCTTCATGTAGCGCTCCCGCGCCTGCTGCGCCTCAATAGCCTCGCGCTCGCGCCGCGAGAGCTGCGACAGATCCTGGACCTTCTTCTTCTTGGGCTCTGCATCAGGGGCCTTCTCCAGCTGCGACCGCGACTTGGCCGTGTGGTTCGGGTTGGCCGGCAGCTCCTCGTCCTCGTCCTCCGACTCAGACGGCGGCAGGTCACCCGGTTGTGCGGCACCCTGCTTGCGCTTTGCGATGGCGGCCTGTTTCTTAGCTTTGGCGGCGGCTCGACGCTCTTCGCGGCTCTGCGCTGCTTCCGATGTCTCGCTCGGTCCGGCCTCGTCGCCGCTCTCTTCCTCGGAGCTTTCCTCTTCGGACGAGGACTCTTCCTCGCTCGATGAGGCTACCTCTTCTCCTGGTTCCTGTCAAGCCAGATACACGATAGGTGAGTGAACTGTCCGATCATGGAGGTTATGGTTTGAGGGGAGAATGAGGTCCAACCTACCCGCCAAAGACCAACTGGGTTTCCATCCTTGTCTGTGGGCTGAACATCCCGACTGAAGTGCTTGCCACCTGTTTATTCATGGGTCAGTGGGATGATTGGGGGACTGCGACTGTGTGTGTGTGCATGCGACCATACCTCCACGCGAGGGCTTGGAGAACTTTCCTCCACGACCACGGGGCGCCATGACGAACTCTAGAGTCTTTCAAGGGTATCAAGTCGAAGTTGTTTGGAAACCTGCAATGGCTCGAAAGCACGTTCAAAATTAGGAGGATGTTTCCACCAAGGCGCTGTGCAGAATCCGAGCGTGGAGGGGCAACGTGGGGTTGGGCAGAGAATCGTCGAACGGACAAGATCGCAAGGTCGGACTGGAAGACTCACGGTGGAAGATTTGCGGGTGAAACAGCCCTCACGCCAAAAATGTCAATCTGATGGGAGTAGAAAATGCAAAAGGTTGAAGCAGTCGAGTCATGGCGCTCGCATTAATCAGTTCAGGGCCAAGTGGGGACCCGACCATCTTACTACTCGCCTCTCCTTCTCTGATACATCGCATTTGCACTTGCAGTACCATGGCCAAGGGCATATATGTTTATGCTATGTGCTATGTGCTATGTACTGCCCTAGAGGCTCGGACTAATTTACAATCCATCAGCAAGGGTTGTCTGCGCTCTACACCCGCGCCAGGCCCGTGCCCACTCGAGTCACCCGCGCCCCGATCAACGTCAACGTGCCCAGTAAGATGGTGCTGCCCATGAACATCTGTGCGTACAGGTACTCGCCGTCGTCCCGCTGGATCAAAGCACCGGCAATGGGTGAGCCGATGAGGGCGGCGACGGCCACCACGCTGAGAACCATTCCCATGCGCACGCCGATCTTCTTCAGATCAGTGGTGAGGGTGCTCAAGGTAGCCGGGAAGAGCGACTGGATTCCTGCCGCAAAGAGGCCATAGAATACCGCAAAGGCCCAAAGCCCTGACAGGCTGGTCACGCCCGCCCAGCAGTAAGCCACCACGCCCGTCAGGAGGCTGAACGGAACCAGCAGGTTGAGTGGGCCGGTATACTGATCGGCCAGTAGATTGGGAACGAGTCGACCGAGCAGTCCGACGCCGTTCATGACCATCAGCAGATCGATGGAGATAGTCTGGGATACGCCGATGATGTTGCGGCTGAAACTCCCGATGTAGAAGAAACCGATGTACAGGCCCCAGAAGTTCATGAACATCCCCACCGCGAACAGGAGATACGGCAACTCGGTGAAAGCACCCCATTCTACGAGCGGGCCACTCGTGCGAGGCGGTAGACGCTGCTTCAGGAACAGCACGCAGGGGAGAAGCGTGGCCAGTGAGATGAACCCCAACGTCCGTACTGTCCACCCATACCCGACCTCGGGCAGCATGCGCATGATGACCGCGGGGAACACAAGGCCACCGGTAGCCGAGCCCGAGGCCACAATGCCGATGGCGATCCCGCGCCGCTTTGCAAAGTAGGTCGAGATCAGGGCCAGCGTGGGACAGAACATGAGACCACACCCGATGCCCTGTCCGACTCCCTGGGCAAGGAAGAGCTGCCAGTATTTCGTGCACAGCGAGGTCATAAAGATACAGAAACACTCCAGGATGGCGCCCACTGCCAGAATAAACTTGAAGTAGCCCGCATCTGTCGCACGGCCAGAGAAGGTCCCGATGAAGAAGAGCAGGAAGATCTGAATGCTTCCCACCCACGAAATATCTGAGGGCGGGTGTCCTAGCGTCTGCGTGTAGTATGTTTGGAACACGCCGAAGCTATTGATGTACCCCCAGGTGTTGAAGATCACAAAGTGCGCCAGGGCAACCTGGGACCAGGCTTGAAAGCCCCCATCCGGTGGTGGACCGAGATCTCTCCCGGATTCACGAGTGCGGACAACTGACAACGTTCGGTACAAGGCACTCGTGTGTGTTGGGGCCGGGGCGAGGCCATTGGACTCGTAGCCGACGGTGGATTCCTCGTGTGATGACGGGCTCCGGGGAACTGGGTCGATATCGTTGGTGCCCTCGACTTCATGCTTTTCTGTTTCTTCTTTTTCTGTCATTCTGGAGGGTGTCTCCGAGATATGCGGCTGCGAATCTGCGACTGGATGCGAATCAAGAGGTCTCTGTGTCGGTCATGCCTTCTGCCTTCTTGCCGTAGATAGCAATGGCGCTTTTTTTTTTTTTTTTTTTCAGAATAAGTTTCAATCCTGGGAAGAATTCCAGTCAGGGAGGAACGCTAAAAAGAAGAAACGGAGTGAGCCATTCTATCACCGTGTGCCTCAAAAAAAAATCCATATAGCCCCACGGGGTTTGTACCGATCAGTTACGGCAATTCGCTGAGATGACCGAGTGCCCTACGCCCTTCCGATGGCAAGGATCCACTTCCGACAAAAGTCGTTCGGATATCTTGTTCATCACGAAAGATTACCTAGAGACCTCGACACAGTCGGGATACATGGAAACTAAATAGACTCATGAAGACATAGACTCGGCGAAGTAGATATCCATGCTATAGAGTGCTTACATGGGGGCAATTAAATATTCGGCGAATACTTCGGAATCAGTGCCGGGTACATACGGCGGTTCGGTACTGCCGTACCTGCAAATGCCATCCGGGGTTGCCCCGCAGACCCTGACATGTCAACATCCTCTAGAGTGATTATTCAAGGCTCATCTATGACGTTACAATAAAAAGGCAGATTGTGACTGCCGACATCCCCTCGGTGCGCCTGCGACTTGCCAGTCGAGAAAAGCCAAAGCCAAAAAAAAAGCGCAAAAAATAGAAATAAAACGAGGGGGAAGTCCAAGCCAGTCCACGGTCCAAGCAAGAAAGGGCCTGCATATGTGGTGGCAGCAACAGCGGGGGCTTGTCTTTTCCCAACCCCGAATATACACAAGAAAGGCCATTTCCAACATGTTGAACAAGTCACTTGGAAGAAAGACAAATGGGCGGACATCCCGGGCTGGCGATACCAAGACCGATCCGGGGAAATTAATTTTGACCGAACATTGACTCCCACAAGACCTCAGTAGTCCTGGTTGGAGCTACTATACAGCATTTGGATTGTCCCAATGACATCGGCGGGCTCGAGAAGGTGCCAGTTGGCGTCCGTCTGCTTCGAGCTGGCACCCACAGTGACTGGATAGACGTGATCATGCGGCAGATCGAATTTCTGCAAAGCCCGGAACATATCTAGACGGCGCCAGTGAGTAACTTGAAATCCATACACACCTAACGGGATTCCCATCACATACCTTCGTCGGTGAAGTCATCGCCCAAGCACAAAATAAAGTCCGGAGCTTTGCCAGGTGCCGTGCCGTATTCGTTGACCAGCCGCGTGGCAATGAATCCTTTGTTGACAAACGTAGGCCGCACTTCAAGGTTGGCCTTGCCCGCCATCACCTCGACGTCCCACCGCTTGGCCACCGTCTCCTCCAGAGCCTTACGGCACTCACGGGCTTGGAATGCACCATACTCTGGATCAGCCCGGCGATAATGCCAGGTCAAGGCCACCCGTTTCCGCTCGATGAAGGAGCCTTGTGTCCGTTCCGTGTAGTGCTGGAACACCTCCACCACTTCCTTTTGCCAGCCCATGTCCGTCCTCTCAGCCAGATTCTCCCAGTCGTCTGATCGCGGCTTGCGGATGAAACACCCATGTTCGGCGCTCAGCCCCAGTTCCGGGATGTGACCCATCCACTCATCCAGAAAGGCTTGATCCCGTCCGCTGATGATCCAGACGGCATTGCGTGGGTCTGCCGCCAGGCTCTTAATGGTGCGTAGTACCCGGTCGGACGGAATGGCCGCTTGTGGGTCTTTGACGATTGGCGTCAGCGTGCCATCGTAGTCGAACATGAAGAGCCGTCGCCGTGCTTTGCGGTACTGCTTCAGCAATTTCCCGCGGTCGAGCGCCGGTGTGGCAACCGATTGGTCAAACGAGGAGAGGTTCGTGAGGAGGCGATTCAGGTATTGCCGAGACCACATCGCAACAGTGTTGGTGACCACATGTCTGTACAGCTTCAGATGTTGCTCCTTGCGCTGGTCTGGAGGCATCTTCAAGGCCTGGTCAATGGCGCCCGCCACGCCCACAAGATCCCATGGGTTGATGTGAATGGCACTGGGCAGCGTGCCCGCCGTGCCGGAGAATTCGGAGAGGATGAGGGGACTGTGATTAGTCTGCTGGCAGACGATATATTCGAGACTGGTGGTGTTCATGCCATCCCGCACCGTGGTGATCAACCCAACGTCCGCAACGCGCAACAGCGCAAAGTACTCGCGCTGGGAGAGGTACTGCGGATAATACTGCACGGGCGAGAAGCTCAAAGACCCAAAGCGGCCATTGATCGTGGAAACCAGATTGGAGATCTGGCCGGCAATCTTGTTTTCAGGGTCTTCTTTCTCTTCCTCCACACTCGTCGGGCTCGTCACTTGGATCAGAACCACTTTATCACGCCATTCAGGATACCGTTCCAGGAAGATTTCAAATGCCTGTAGCTTCTGTGCGACGCCCCGAACACTGTCCAGCCGGTCGCGCCCGACGATGATCTTACGCCCGGCATAGAGCTTGCGGATGCCCAACACTGTTTTCTCGATATCCGGGGCACCAAAGGCGGCCCTTTGGATGGAACGTGCATCAATCCCAATGGGAAAGACATCGACCGCGACGTGGGCCCCATAGGCATCCACGCCGACCGAATTGGAGTCAAAGCCCAGCACGCGCGTGCAGCACGAGGAAAAGTGCCGAGAGTAGGAGAAGGTCTGGAAGCCGATCATGTTGGCGCCGAGCACGCCCGTCAACACCTCCTTGCGCTTCGCTAGACACCGCACAAACTCGCTGCTAGGAAAGGGAGAGTGCAAGAAGAACCCCACATATATATTGGGGATGCGCTGGCGCAGTAGACTGGGCAGCAAAAATAGGTGGTAGTCATGGACCCAAACAACATCTCCTTCTTGGTAGTCTTGCACAATGCGATCCGCGAACAGCTGGTTCAACCGAATGTAATCGGCCCACCACCGTCGCTCAGATCGGCCGTCTGTCGGACCATGCTGTTTGTAGTGCAGCAGAGGGTAAAGCTCACGCTCCGCGTATCGTCGCCACCTTCCTTGGTCTTTGAGTAGAATGGTGTCTTCGGGCTCCTCGGATGCATCGGACAGCCATACCGGGAGAATCCGGCCAAAGCGCCCTGAACTCAACTGACCATCGAGCCGTTCCCGATCTCCCCGAGCGACATGAATACCCTCCAAGAGCGGATGTGTTGGTGGTTGTTGGCTGGTATTCACTGGGACCGGGGCAGCGGCCTTGTTGAGTGGTAGGGATGTGGTGCCAGGAATCTTATCCGCCACATTGACAAGAATTTGCTGCAGCGGAATCTTGGTGTCCAGGACCGGCTCCACCTCTCCGGTCCAGCCTACTAAGGTGTGAGACCAGCTCGTCTCGTCAGAGGCAAGGTGAGCGAAGGAATCAAAGAGCGCCGATGTGCCGGATCGTGGGTTGAGTGTCTGTTTCCCCGGGGGTCAGTTAGCCGGTCCTTGTCATGAAGGTGTTGTCCACGTACCCAGTCTGATCCTGATTTGAAGTAAAGCTTGTATGGGATACAAAAGGCAGCACTGATCAAACGACCACTCAGGTTGAGTCCCGGATGCTGTACGCGCTGATCGACATCGGGCGAGGCAGGCAACGTCTCGGACGTCAAACTCAACCGGCGCAACAAGTCCATCCCCGATGATGTCCTTCTTGCTTCCTGTGGTGGTACCGAGCTGAGATCGGAGGGGTCGATCGAAGTCTGAGCTCCTGGGATATTGGCAAAGTACGAGGGCGCATCGGTCTCCAGTTGACTTTCCTTATCGGCATCCAAGGACGGAGTCGCATTCGTGGCTTGGGTGTACGCCTCGTCCTTCAAGGCCTTGAGCCCGGGTCCAAACAGCACAGGATTTGGCTGGCCATCGGGAACCTGTGCGGGGCTCTCTTGATCGGACATGACGACAATTGGACCAGGGAAAAAAGAAGCAATTCAACTGCACTGGTCAGAAGAGCTGCAATTGTCACATGCAGAGGCCATAGATCATCCACCAAGCCGACATAGAGGGGAAGGGATTCAAGGAAAGGTACCTCAGAGTAGGGGTCGATAAGACGGACTACGGACGCCCGACAGCCATGCCAAAGAGGAGAATGGAGGGGCACAGAGCGGTGAGATCAAGCCACCATGAAGATAAGGGAGCCGGTCAGACGGTAGATATCCTTGGTTTTCTGCAATTGGGGTGCCGTAGAGACACAGAGACACAGAGAGAGAGATGGAGGGAGGGAAAGAGAAGGAGGGAGAGGTGTGCGTGATGCTGAGTCTGCTCTCAACCCTACGTCATGATCTTTGTCTTGGGAAGTTCATTCCAAGTCTTGAAATATACAGATACTATTGAAGGAGAAAATAGGGAGGGGGAGAGAGACAGAGACAGAGAGAAAAGTCTCGAGATGGTCCTGTCTCCTCCATGTAATTCTCCCCTGGTGTGTCATTGCAAACCGACGTCCCCTCGACTTCTCTGAAGAACTTCCCGCCTTAGTCAGATTGTGCTTTCTCTCTCCAACTCTGCCTGATCAGCCCAGTCATGCGCTGATGCTGCGATGCGACCGTCCGGCCTTCCTTCAGCCGTGAATCGCCTTTCCTTTCATGTTCGCCCATTCCATGCCTCGTTCGCGCCGGCCAAGACCCCCGATGTTTTCGCCAACAGCCTCCGCCAGACATTGGCGGCTCATCGCTCCTCAAATCGAGCTCGCCTTATCCGAAAAATAGTTCCCCGAACAGATCGCCCCGACATTTTTCGGCCGGAGATTCCCCCAGAGTGTCGCGCAGACTACCAACCGCGCTTGGAACCGACCTTGCCCACGCCCACGCCCGAACAATCGCAGATCGCAAACCCGCTGAGCAAGCGACATCAACGCAGATTGAGACGCAGCAGCAGTAGCGGGGTGTCTCGAATCCCGAAAGACCGACCTGCAGGACATGCGATTCAGAGCGCCGACACAATCAATGGTCGTCCAGAGCAGCAGCCGTGGTTGAGGGAGCTGGGGCCATTTCAGACGAATGGCGACGGTTCAACGCACTTGGACGCGGAAATCCGGGCGTTGGAGCATTATTTAGTGCCTAGCTCCCGCGAACAGGAGCAGATAGACCGGCTCAGAGTGGAGGTCACTTCCTTTGTCGAGGCAGTGGTCCCGCACACGCCCCAAGTCATTGGTTCTCGCGGCACCGGCCTGGCGCTGGCGCATTCGAATCTGGACTTTCTCCTACCGTTTGAGGATCTTCCGCGATCCCTCGACCGGGTCCGGAGGCCAAGTGCCACGCGGCCCCAAATCCGAGATGCCCATACAGACCTTCTTCGCCAAGTTGGATTCGCCTTGCGGCGCAGTACAGCGTTTGACAACTTCGTCCATCGACATGGGAAGCATGGCCCGATGTTGACAGTTCGACATCGGCCAACCGGACTAAATCTGTCGTTCTCCTGCGGCGAAGGTGTCCCAGCCCTCACCGAGTATCTACGGGATTATCAAGCCGAGTATCCCGCTCTTCGGCCCCTATATGTAGCCACGCGAACACTATTAGAGGCGCGGGGTCTCTTTGGGGCTCCCAAGTCAAGCATCGGGCCAGACGCGCTGGCCATACTTCTGGTTGCTTTCCTCAAAATGAACCACGGCCGATTCTCCGGCTACCATCGCTTGGGCGACCAACTCCTGGCTCTTCTGCAGCTTTACGGCACCGGTATCAACCTCCAAGATGTCGGCGTGGCCGGCGATCCGCCCGGTTTCTTTACCACGGAGACGCTGCGGTCGGTTCCAGATGTGGATGAGCCCGCCTACTGTCGCGGCCAGCGATCCCTCATCAGCGCCAAGCGCACTGCAGCCGCCAAGGGGAATCTTCCCGCTGCGCGGCGGCCGTGTATTCAAGACCCGACCCACTATATGAATGACCTTGGCCGATCATGTACTCGCACGCCTGAGCTACAGCGTGCCTTGGCTGCCGCGTATGAGCAGCTTTGTCTCGCGTGCAAGAACTGGGCGAACGACTCGGAAAATATGCCGAGTATCTTGACGACTGCCCTCCAGGCTAATTTTGAGCCGTTGGAAAACCTGCGAGCACAAATAATGTGCCCTACAAGGCGTAATCCCTCATGAATACGGCGAGTGTGCGGTTGGGGCAATAGCAGGTCAACTCTTTTGTACATATATATCTCTACCTATACGTAGAACCAATTCTCTTCTCATCTTCTACTTAAGATCAACTTTTTTCAATATTGTTGAATTATTTTATTTCACGTGGGATTGAGCTATAGCGAAACCACGCAACACTTGTCTGTTCATGGTCGACAGATATAGAGAGCCCAAAAGAGATACTGGGCCAAAGGTTAACAAGAATCTAAAAGAGTAGCAATGCACCAAGACAGAACGAGGCAGGCAAAGCGCGAGACTGTCAGCCACGCAATGAGAACATAGCCCCAAGACGCCGGCTCGGTGCACATGAGAGAATGAGGTAGATTAGTTGCTATTCCTCCGTCAGTACTCGTGCTCTCGAATTTGTCCCAAAAAACGGGCGAGGGACTTACTAGATCTCCAGCGGCGAAATCTGGTCCAAAGCATAGAGCCAGTTTCCTCCTTGCTCCTCTTTCTCAAGCCTGTGGTGAAACATTGTCAGTATACACGCCAACCTGTCCACGACAAGCAGCATTCAAAACGCACCATTCATACGGCCAAAGAATCAGGTGGCCCTGGACCTTATTCAGAAGATCCTCGGCGCGTTGCATATCCATTACCTCGTCGGAAGCATGGAAGTCTCGCTTGGAGCCAATTGTCGTTGCTCTTCTTCGCCTTCGCCTCCGTGACTGAGAAGTTGAATTCAGATTGACGGCTTCGGAGTAGTCGACATGGGCCGAGTTGGATCGAGGTTTCTCGGCATCGTCCCCGGTAGGGCCATTTTCTTCGCTATGTCGATTCTGCGTGCTACTCAACAGCTGTGGGTCTGAGGCCGCTCTGAGGGCGGACTTCTCATCGATAGAAGACAACGTCTCCTGCTTCACAAGTTCGGGCTGAGGACGATCGGATTCGTTTCGGATGGCGCCGGATGCAACGAGTTCGGCCTTTTCATCAATCGTCTGAGGAGTTTTGGTGTTTGCCGTCGGTCCTTCAGTCTTTGGACTCACGACGGATGACGGGGAGCTGACTGTGGCAGTAGTACTGGAACCAGCTCCAGGACCATTTTGTCTCTGGGACGGGGATTGGAACACCTTGCTGCGTTGCTGATGTTGCATTTCTGCGAAGCGCTCCCCATACGCGGCATACTCCTTGTATTCTTTCCAATTCTTGACCTCGCTATCGGGCATGCACCGAAAGACTGACCGAAAGATTTTGGTATTCTTCTCAGCGACAGCTTGCCAGGTGTCCAAGTAGAAGCTGTCATTCACCGGGTCTCTCATGCAATGTTTGTCGACGAAGATCCGTTTAAATTCCGGGCCAAGTGGCGGGTATTTGGAGATATCGTGATTCTCTTTGGAAACAATCAAGCCGCTACTGCCGGTCTCAGATTCACGGCTAGACGATCCCGAGGGAGCATGACCATGCGATGAGCTATCCGGGTGGCCGTTGGTCTCGGAATCACGCGGCGTGTCGGTGGAAGATTCTTGTCTTGTATCCCTGCGGGCTGATGTTGCTCGAGATGGTTTGCGCGGCGACGGCTGCTCTATAGAGCCCTTGCCTTCCGAAGAGATCGGAGAGACCAACGCTTCTCTACCATTCATCATCATCTGCGAATCCCGAGCGACACTCAAGCCGGCTTGAGTGGCAGCTTTCAGGTGGTCGGTGCCATCCCCATTCACATCCTTCTGGTGATCAGGATTGTCCGTAACTCGCGGGTCGGCAGTGAGCTTCCGGTTGGATTTGAGGTTGGGGTTGTTACCCTGCTCCCAGTCGACATCATGATTGAAGCTATGCATCTCCTCCGATCGAGAAAGGAACTCGTCTTGAATGCGATGCCGACGTTCTATCATTTCCCGCTCGTCCTGTCGCTCTGCGACGGAGGATTCTGACCCATGTCGCTCTCGATCGTTGGCCGGGCGGTCCTCTTTCTCTGCGACCTGGATCTTGCGAAGCTCTTCTTCGGTGGCAAAATCATGCTCCAGAAGCTCATCAACATCGATTCCCAAATGCTCCCTCATCAAGCGCATACGCAGAGTGTGCGGGAACCGCCCAACAAGATAGGGCTTGCCGTTCATGGTAGACATGATCATGTCCGTATCCCGAACAACCGATGCAACTTCCGAGTCTCGCGATCCCAGCATGGAACGCTCGTTGATGTTTGCAGATCCAATGATTGCGGCACGATCGTCGACGACCATGCACTTTGCATGGATGTAGAGTTGCTCGGTAACCAGCTGTTTGTGTGGCCCAATCTTTCCCCAGGCCCGCAGACTAAAGAATTGGATATAGTCCTCCGGTTCAATTCCCAGAGCACGCAGGCGACCAAAAATCGAGGTTTCCCCACGGCAGATGCTGCGGTACTGACACTGCATAATTAGACGCACACTCGTTCCGCCCTCACTATCCACGGTATTCTGGAAACCCGGCATCAACGGGATGACGATAACGGCGCGCCATGCTTCCTCATTCTTGGCCGCTCGGACAATGCGCTCCACCAAAGCATCTCCGATGGAATTCTCAATCTTCCTGCCATCAATTTCGCAGGTGCTGATGAAGAATTGGTTCTCAATGTAGACAAAATGTTCAGACTCCTCGATCAACTTGACGTAGGCATTCATGATGCTGTGCTCGGTCACATCAGGGGTTCCCGTCGACCACATACTGCTAGAGCGCAGGATCTGCACCTCGCAGGTTCCGTCCAGCCCCAGAGCTTCTAGGTCAGCAGGAACAAAGTCTGGTGGCGGCAAGAGGAATGGAGTAGGTCGTGTAGGCTTCCGCTGGCGAAGGATATAGTTCCACCGCTGAACAAAATGCCGAGTGAGATCCCGGGCGGGTTGTCCCACCACATGCATCGAGATATCATGCCAAGGCATCCGCGGCACGACGTTACGATCATACATTTCCTCGTACGGCTTGTCCAAATCATAGAAATCCTGGATCCGAGGGTTGGAGTAGTCCTTGCCAGGCCAAAGCTGGCAGTTGTCTGCATCCTTCGATGTGTCAGTGGTTTCAAAGCCTGTGGGTTTGTCGTCAGTCAGTTGATGCTGAGGGGTGTCCCATCGCCCAAAACAGAGATCAATGCCTCCGACAAAGGCCAGTGTGTGATCGATAAGACACAGCTTTTCGTGGTGGGCCCAGAAAAAGGTATTCTGGCGGAACTGGTTCGGTGACCGTTGGACGAAAATGTTGGGATGAAGGTCGAGAAGCGAGAACTTGGAGTACTCTGAATCAATGGGAATGGCCGAGTTGATGTTGCGGTACATAATGACAAAGACCTTGACGCCCTCTCGGGCTTTCTGTTGTAGGAGACGATCCAATCGCCATTTCTGACTGATGGCAGCAGGGCGTCTCATGTACAACTCCGGGCTCAACCACCAGTCATGGATATAAATTACATCCTTTGCCTGGTTGATTGCGCGCGATACAACCCACATATGATCGCGTGCGTCGACCAGCCACTGCGCAAAGCAATTCTGTCGTACCGGAGCAAAACTATCAAATCGATTTGGTCGCACCCACGGGGTGTTGGCGGCCATAAAACGGATCGAGTCCTCAAATTGCTGAAGCTGACGCTCGTTTCGAGCTAGCAATTTCAGCTTGCGCTCTGAGTTTTCGAGCCGGAGAGTGTGGTGTTGAGGGTGTCTCGCGGACTGCTTAGCTGACTTGGCTAGATCCTTGGGCTTTTGGTTGCGGAGACTGATCTTCTGTGTTTGGATCTTGAAATAGGGATCCACTAAGAAGACGTCGTAGATGCTCATCTCCTCGGGCGAATCCACGCAAACAACGTAGCTGTGCCGAACCAGGAACCATTTGGGAGAGTGTCGCTTCTTGATAAGAGACGGGGTCAGGGCCCTGCGGAAATCAAGACCCTTCGACGACTGGATGATCAGAAAACCTTCCTTGCCATGATAACTTCCTTCTGCTGCGAGACGAACCCCGAGAGCGGACAACTCGAGGAACTTGCACAGGCGATTGCTATCTGCTCGGAATATTAAGAAACGAATCATATTTTGCAAGTAGACCTCGAGTTTCTTGCGTTGTCGTTCTGGATATGTTTCTCGTTTGCCTCCGGGGAATCCTTCGTGTGTGGATGAGGGAGCTGCGACGGACTCGCCATCATGGGGATTGGTCACACTGGATTTTCGGCGAGCGATGGGCGCTGAGGGCCGGCGTTGGTGTTGCTGGCTCTGTCTCCTCTTTTTTCCAGCCCTTTCGTTTCCACTCATCGCCTCGGGGCCAGTTTCGTATCCGCCATCTTCGTCCTCATCCTCGAACTCGCTCTCAAGGCCACGCACGCCGCGCAGATAGGGGAAAGCGCTCCGAGGAAAGCGAGGAATGCTGGGGCTGTTTTCGCTAGTTCGCAGCTGGATATATTTCTGGGTCCCAAGATGAAGCTTATACTTCAAGTGCAGGTTGGCGAAATCTCTCAGGGTTCGAAAGATGATCCATTTCATTCGCGTCATACCACTCCCATACTCCATTTCGATACGGAACACCAGGTGGCGATCGCCAGAATGAGAATCGATGCGACTGTCTGTAACACGAACCTTCAGCTGCTCCAAGAGAATCGGAATCCTCTTGCTTCCGTGCTCATCCCGCTGGAACGCACTGGCTAAGATTAACGCAGCGGGAACGGCAGATGCCAATTCAGCAAGTAGCTCTGCTGATTTCTTGTTGTCCACAGTGTTGTCTGGTTTGCGTCGCTGGCCGATTAACTTGAAGCCCGCTTTAATCTGCCTCCATCGCTGAGCACTGGCACTGGTCCCCCGTTCGTTTCGATGCCGTCTCCAGGTTGCTGCGAGACTACTCTCAGCATTTTCCGATGGCCCAGTAAGGCCCGTTAGCCTTCTCAGGTGACTGGGTCGTTGTTCGTCTTGTGCATCTTGTTGTCTTCCACTGTATGAAAGACCGCGGGAACTAGCCCAAGCCCCCTGATCCGTCGGTTGAGCCTTTCACGGCCTTCGTCTTCGGATACGCCCTCCCGCTGTTGAGGCATAAAGTCCGTAGTGCTTGCTCGTCGGGGGAAGAGATTAGAGCGATAGTTTTCAAAGGGTGCAAATGAGGATGCCAAATGAAAGGACGGTCGGCGTGTAGTTTTGGGAGTCGTGGGCGCTGTGCGGGACACGTCCTCTTCCTCATTCTGGCGCATCTTCCGCGGTAATTTCCTCTTTTTCCGACTACCGCGCTGTTCTCCGCCGCTCTCTTCGGCATCGGCATCGGCATCGGTATCCTCTTCGGGCAAGGGTTCAGGGAAGCGAAATTCTCCCCTCTCTCTGAGCCAGGAGTCACCACATCACTCGGGGTTGGCCGAAAGTCACCGATTGTTGCTCCGCTCGCCGATCGGGAATGTGACGCAAATGGGGGCGATGCGGCGAGCGATTTCAGCTTGGTGAGCAATGACTGCTTCCCTTTCAGAGCCTGATCTCCTTCTTCGCCATACAAGGAGGACGGCCGGGAGGGCGGCCTGGACTGCGGTCGTGACTGGGGCCGGGAATGGGGCAATTCGAGGCCCTCATTATCAGTGTCTCGAAATTGTACACTGGGGGCACGAGACGGGGGAGACATTCCAGGAATAGACAATTGATGTTGATGACGACTCGATGACTGGGGCTGATCGTACGTCGACCGGTTCGGCAATCGAGTGCTCAAGGACGGTTTATCTTTTGGTGGGCTATGCGGTGTTTTCGATGGACACAGATTCTCCTTATCCCCTTGTACCCCGTCAACCTCCCTCGACAGCTGCTGATTTTCGGGGTCCACATTTTCACCGGAATTCTCTGCTGGTGAAGTCTGGTTGATTGACGCAGGCTGCTTGGCTTCGGTGGGAGAAGGGAACGGCGATGCTAATTTCGGTCCATTCGAGAGGGGCAGAGGCTCAGGTTTCTTCGACTTCGGCTGCTCCGAGCTTCGCTCAGCCTCCCTATACGAAGAAGAGGCCGACATGGCGTCGGGTGGTAGTGCTGGTAGGACTTCGTCATTTCCAGCTCATCGGGGGTTCATTGGGGCATAGACATACATGTAGATCAACCAAGACCCTAGCACAGGTGGTCAACTTCTTTCACCGTCATTCTAAAGCTAAAGGCTGAGAAAGTCAAAAGCAACAGTGACCAGAGACCATGAGCCACGCGACTGACATTAAAGGAGTGCTGTTGAAATAGTTCGAGCCGCGGTGGAGTTCCGCCCCATCAAAATCCAACTGGAGAAAGGGCCCGCTAAGCAGCCAAGAAGTGAAAAAAAAGGGGTGGAGGAGATGTCGATCGCCGATAGTTTGAATCTGTGCACTCCAACAGGGGGAATATGTCGAGTCCCAGATCCAACTGCCTGCGTATATCTCCGTTGGTTCCCCTGGGCAGAAATTCGGTGGCCTCAGGTATACATCACGTGCCACTGCACCGCCACAGCGCGTGGCTTGCCAGGTACATTGGAGTATATCACAAGAGCAGCGCTAGAATATGCCGTGAGAGGTAGGTAGATGTCGCTGTTATAACCATGGATGTGGTACATAGTTTGCAGTGGTCGTAGGGTGGCAGCCCTGGAGAGCGCGGCTAAGACGAGTCCCTCGGCTCTTCATTGTATATACCCGAGTCGCACTCGGTATCCTTCACTTCCCCGCCATCTCCCGCCAGACCCCAAGCAAAAGCAAGACTAATTCTTGGGATTGTTTCATTTCCGCCAACCTTCACTTTTGTTCACGATGACCGATCCATTGAAGACGTTCGACACTGCGGGCCACCCCAAGCCAACGGCGGTGTCCCAGAAGGTCTATGCGATTGCCGGCATTCAAGTCACGGTTTTTGGACTCGAAGAGCTCCGGTCGCAGACAACGGAGGTTGCCTGTCTATGGCTCCTTCATCCTCGATTGGCGACCCAGGAACGCATGACTGGCATTGCAACATCTGCCATTACCGATTGGAATGGCAAAGTCCAGAATACTCCCTCTGCCAAGGGCTTGATTGCTGTTTCCTTTGACCAGCGAAATCATGGGACCAGACTCGTTGACCCATTGGCGAACGAGGCTTGGAGACAAGGAAACCCGCGTCATGCGCAGGATATGTTCTCTATTTTCCGTAAGTGCTGTTGGCCTGCCTCAGAGTCCACAGGTGGGATGTTCTTTTTACTAAACGAATTGACCAGAGGGCACCGCGCGAGACACTTCTCTCCTGATGGATTACCTTGCATCGTTTATTTTCCCCAATGGTGAACATCAGATCTCGGAAAACCTGGTTCTAGGTGTTTCTCTCGGCGGGCATGCCGCGTGGAGCTGTCTGTTGCATGAGCCGCGCATTAGCGCTGGAGTGGTCATCATCGGCTGCCCGGACTATATCAATCTGATGGCTGACCGTGCACGACTGTCCAAACTTCCATCATGGACAAAGAGCAACCCCCCTGGATCTGAGATCCTGGGCTCCGAGGCCTTTCCAACCACGTTTTTGGATATTGTCAAGCAGTATGACCCTGCAAGCCTTCTTCTCAGCTATGTGGATTGCGGCTCCTCGTCTAGTCCCTTGCGCCAGGGGCCGTTGCCTGCTCCCACAGAACAGGAACAGGATGTGCTCCGGCCCCTTTTGACGCGTTGCTTGGCTGGCAAACGCATTCTGAACCTGTCGGGTGGAGTCGACAAGCTCGTTCCGTATCACCGGGGCGAGGGTTTCCTAGCATGGTTCAAGCAAGCCATCTCACCCACTGGCTGGTTCGGGGACGGTGGAGTAAGCTTTGAAGACATTATTGACGAGAGCGCGGGCCATGAAGTGACCGCCAAGATGGTCGACGAGGCCGTTCGTTTCATCAGTGAGACGCTGGCGACAAGCGCCGAGGGTGTTAGTGGCAGAGGATCCGTGCGGGAGTCAAAGATTTAAACATAGACATGTAGAATCCCAAGTACTGACCAATTTGCATTCAGTCTGGGTTAGAATCCATACCAACTCGGACCTATTGAGATGTATATAGGTCCCGGCTTCTACAATCTACGTCAAGCATGCCGTGGACATTTGAATCTCTGCTGACTGTTGATGAACCCAGTTGTACAATCCCTTGTGGATTCTTAAGCCTCTGAATAGACGAGACTTGTTGCCAAGATGGCTTCCAAGGCGAACGACACAAACGGAACGGGAAACTTGTGAAAAAATCCTCCTTGTGGTATTTGTTTAACACAATGTGAAATCGTAAGGGCATTCGGAGGCCATGATATGCAGATTGCATACACAAAAACCCTTTTTCTCTTCGAGTGCCATGGCCGACTTTTCCGGCTCGTGGCCCTCTCCTTTTGAGTCCCGATCGTCCTCCTCGCGGGCAGAAAGACCTTGATGCTCTTATCACAAGACCGAACGCAGCCAGGGCTGCATTTGCCCCGATTCACCCGCCTTCTCCGAAAACACCATCAAAATAACGCTTATGCGACCAGCTCGACGACACCACCGGCATCCTTGATCTTCTGCTCAGCATCACGGCTGAAGTAGCGGGCACGGACGACGACGGGGACCTCGGGGAGGCGGCCCTTGCCCAAAACCTTGGAGTAGCCGAGGGGGAGGAGGTCGATGACGGGGGCAGTGTCGGTCTTCTTGCCGGTCAGGTAGGCCTCACGCTGCTCAGCGGGGACGAGGGACCACAGCTGTAGCGAGAACATCCTAGTCAGCCCAATCGATCCTTCCACAATAAAGCCATTTTGTCATATCCCATCGGCACTCGAATCTGCATGTAACTGCCCGTTTGATTCCCCTCTGTTTCTGATTTCTTTCTTTTCCTCTTTTTCCGGTACTCTCTTCGCTTCTGTAACGGGCCGACTCGTTCGGGTTGGAAAACGTACCTTGTCAAGGTTGACCGTGGGCTTCCAGAATTGCTGCTTGGTCTTGTGGAAGTACCGCATACCGACCTTACCGAAGTAACCGGGGTGGTACTTGTCGACGTTGGTGCGGTGGTGGTGCTGACCACCGGCCATACCGCGACCACCGGGGGTCTTGCGGTGCTTGCCGATACGACCGTAACCGGCGGACACATGGCCGCGGCTGGAAGAGTTAAATGTTAGTGAGATGTTGACAGGCAAGGAGATGGCCACGGCGGTTGCGCAAATCCAGATCAAAAAAAATGCGGTCGCAGATCAGGAGAGGGCGACTCACTGCTTCCTGGTCTGGGAGAAACGGGTAGGCATCTTGTCGGCGGTGGTGTTCTCGACAAGACCGGTCAGAGGGTTGGGCGATGAAAGTGCTATCCGTCTCAGATGTTGAAATCCGGGCTCGCGGAAGCTAGAGTGTGCGCTAACCCTTCGCTTGTCCCGTGACTAGGGTCCAGCCCTGAGCGCCGTGTCACGTGTATATACACCGCCAAAATCATTCTGCCACATTTTGTTAGCCTCAGGTTACCAGCCCTATCTACAGTAATTGCATTATAGTCAATACGTTCCGGATGTCTGTGTAGCACTATGTCTGGCCCAAAATCGACGAGGACTAGTTTCAAAATTCTTCATGGAGACAGTGCCTTTTTTCCCCCTTATTTCCATACTGCTTTGGAATACAGAACCATCATCTCTTGTCGGCAAAAAACTTGGACAACCGTTGCACGGTCATCTGGGCTGGCCGCTCCGACGGCGATGGGACCAAACTTCCGCGAATCCAGCCAGGTAACTTATTTTGAATGCGTGCCGATTCATACCGCCGGTCGATCATCAGGATAGCCGCGTAGTCACCCACATGTCGGATGGCTCGCCCAATGCATTGATTCACAGCCCGCATGCAGGAATTTTCGTAAAAGTCCCGACTCGCGGCTTTGGCAGTGGCTTTCCGGTCTGATTCTGATCCGGTACTCTGCCTGTAAATCTTGTCCTCAATATATTGCATCTTCGCCTGCCAGACAGCGCTGCGAATGTTGGGAAAAGGGAGACCAATGATCAGGACGCCCCGTCCTAATTGGTCTGAGAAGTTGATACCCTCAGACAACTTCCCTCCGACAACAGACAGAAGCAATGCACCGGTTCCTGTACCAACGGCATCGCTATACTCTTGAAGCAGCTCCTCCGTCGTGGTCACTGCTTCTCGCGATTCGTAGAGCATCTTCTTTTTCCGTTCGATCAGATTGAGAGTGGTTTGGCCGTTTCCATTTGGAATAGGCTTCTTCCACACACTCAACACATGGCTCAGATAATCATAGCTAGGGAAGAAGGCAACAACACCGTCCGGAATGACCTGGCAAAGAGTGGCTATCGTTCGTCCGAGGTCGGTGATCTAGATCGAGGCGATTAAAAAAGGAACACAGGACAACGGAATTCAAAGGGGATTACCATTTTTTCTGACGATCGAGCTTCATACGTAAAATCAAACTCGGAACCCAGAAATCCTCGGGTAAGCGACTGCGCAACGAGATTGGTGTGCGGAATAACGTGGCCATAGCTGAATGTGCCGAGTCGTTCTGTAGGCACATAGGAAAACAGATGGTGCACATAATCCGTCATCTATTGCGCATGTTAAAATCACCAGACGAGCAACACAAACAAGGGCCAAGGGAACCTACAGGGGACATTGTCCCTCCAGCCAGGATGACCGCTCTGGCGTCTTCGACGATTTCTCGAAAGTGGTTGGTCGGGTCCAAGAGCATGTATTTCAACAGCACATCGTCTTGATTCTTTTGATAGAACAGCCTTCCTTCTTCAGACGGGTTCATCAGGGGCAGAAGAAAGCCTTGGATATGGAATAGGACGGGCACCACCGTTTTGTCTTGGGCTCGATCCAGTTGCTGCGAAGATTCCACATACCCGTCAACTTTTCGAGCCAGCTTGCTTTCTTGTAAATATCGAGACAGCTTGTAGGGATTGATCTGGTCGACTCCTTTCCCCGCCATGAGGTCTGAAGATTGAACCGAGCCTTCTTGGGACCCTTTTTGCTGAGATATTGACTGGAGGTGGTCTGCAATCGAGCTCACCAGTCTGATCACCTGGGCGACGTAATTTCGGTTCTTCCCCTTTAGCCGTGTCTTAAACTTTCGTGCATACGTCGTTAACTGCGAGATCGCAGTCTGGAGTTGAGAAAGCGACACAGATACGGAGTGAATACCGGCGATTGCGTCCATGAGATTGTGAGCCTCGTCGATGATGACTACATGGTTTTTGACGGAGAGGTTGAGAGCCTCGCGAGCCGATCTTTGAAGAAGCAATGGATATGGGAGTGTCACAATCTATGCCAGATGGGGTTAGGATCCCGTAATCATGGCCAAATTCACACTGGGACTGACTTCGCTGTGTTTGATGACTGGCCGTGATGCATAGTAGGGACAGATTCCCAGCTTCTTCCCGACCTTACCAATGTCCTCAATGTCTTTGACTGTTGCCAAGGCATGGTCTCGGAATTGGAGAGCCAGGGCCTCGTCGTCCTTGGACGGAAGATAGGAACATTTCTTGTCAGCTGCCACGCCGGGCTGCTGCAAATCCAAGCATTTTTCGTTGATTGCAGTGCTGTTCTCCAAAGCCTGTACTTTGGGGTTAATGCACAAGTTTTTTCTAGATCCGAGAGAAAGGTGTTTGATGCGCTCCTCGAGCGTGGAAGGTTCGCTTTGGTCTTTGTCGAGATCGCTGGGGATGCTTGATGGGAACGTGACTCGCCGCAGTTCCCCGGCGAATTGACTCAACTGAGAATGTGTTCTGGAGCAATAGAAGATTTTGACTTCATCCTCTTCGCCATCCTCGTCGGGTTTCGCGGACACCTGGCCCTTGAACCGCTCCAGTAAAGCTAACGTGCTCGCAGACAAGCCATCGAAATTCCCGGAATCGCTCGGCTTCTTCCGGTCATCGGTCTCGCTGTCATAATCCTCAAGGACAAACTGAGCCTCGTCCTCGGGGTCGGATTGAGCTGCTGGCTCATCCACTCGCTAACTCAAGAGAGGCTCGTCGGTCTGCATCCACCAATTTCCCAGGGGAGATTCTCTCACCTGCCGTTTGCGAGGTCGCTCCACTATTTCCCGAGCCTTCAGACGATCCTCCTCTTCCCGAATCCTTGCCAGTCGCACTTCCAATTCCCGACGGTTTTCGGTGAGTGCGCGGCGAGATTCCTTTTTCGCGAATTCTACCATCCACTCCGGTTCACCGTCATCACCTGAAAGATATTAGACAGATGAGGTGAGAGAAACATTGATGATCCTACATTTTGTATGATCAAGGGTCTCTTGGAAGGCCTTGCGCTTGTGATCCCGAAGCCAAGTCAGAGAGCCACAGATCAAGCTGAGTGATTTTCCCTGGGTGGCTTAGCAGACCACATCTACCCCTACAAAACAACCCACTCACGGTACCTGTACGGAGGTCAGATTGCAGCCATGACCACTGGACGGAACATCTATGGATGCTTACCAGTGGGGGACTCAAATACGCCGACTTTCCCATCCTCTAGACAGGCATACAGAGCCTGCATAAACTGAAGTTGGATATCATACGGAATGTATGGATGATGGAACTGTTCCATGGCCACAAAAGTGGAGAGATAAACAGAGAGCTGATTTGCAGTGACTCGGATATGTTTGTGGAAAAGACGCGGAAGGAGTTTGGCGCGAGATATAAATAAAAAAGAGAAAAGAGAAAAGGCGTGGAGCTCATCCATGGATATCCACCTGGGCATGAATAAGGCTTCCCAGGGGGCTTGTTACTGACCAGTCCTGGTATACATACAGTACAATATATATACAATACCGTACATGATGTATACACTGTAAGTAAACAAGCATTCCACTCGTTTTGATCCGAACTTTGTGTATGCCTTGCCCTTTTTTTTGTTGTTATTTTCCTTTGATCTTGATATCTTCTTAGATCTCTCTGTAATATGGATGTATGATGATTTTTCTCATTTTTTGGTGCCTGGAGGTGGGCCCCCATTTATAGCAATTTAGCCCAAGTGGGCTGTGGTTCAGTGCCTCCTTGGCGTTGCTCTTCCCATCTCTCTCTCTCTGCCTGATGACGGAGTTTGTGTTTCGTTTTTCTCCCTTCTCACCCCTCACCCCTCTTCTTATTCTTAATCCCTTCCCTCTATTCCTCTCTATATCTTTATCTCTTTCTCCCCCAACCCCCCCCCCCTCTCTCTCCCCAATGCTTCCAGTATCCAAGAGATCTGGTGCCGCTTTCTTCCGCTTGTAGAGAGATATCTTCCTAAGGCCCCCGGAACATGAACCGACCGCAGGGCCGTGGTCAGCCACGGGTGGGTGCGACATGGTATCCAGGGGGGCAGGATGACTTTTACATGCCAGAGGTCATCTCCCCCTCCCCCCAAAGGTGTGATTACACCACCCACGCACTCCGGATGTCAACATGCCCAAGCTACGAGTACTGATCCATCCGGGTAGAGTCATGCCCGAAGTCCCCGAAAATATGCAGGACAATATTGCCCAGATGGAACACCACGCTCGCGACCCTCGCCGGCAGCAACCCCCGCCCCAGTACCCGCGCGCGCAGTTCCCGGAGCGAACCTCCTCCGCGATGCAAGGCCCACCGCAACACACCCAGGCCCACGACCCCAGCGCCTACGCGCAATCCGCAACTTATGACAGCATGGACCACCCGAACTTCTCGCCATTTCCCGTGTTACGGAACCCGCCGCCCAATGTTCCGCCGACCGACGAGCAGAGAGAGGCCAGTCTGGAGCGCGCCCGAATGGCGGTGTTGTCGACCACGGATCCCGAAATGCAATTGGCGTGGGCTCAGGATGCCCTGGCCTATGTTGAGGTGGCCGCCCAGAACGAAGCCCGTCTGGGGTTGACACAACCCCCGCGCCCCCAGACACCGCAGGTGGAACGGCAGTTGAGAGTCGATGCGTTGAACATTGTCAACTTCCTGGCTGACCAGCACCATCCCAAGGCTGAATTCATCAAGGGCATGTGGCTCGAATTCGGTAAATTTGGGTTCCGCGTTGATCGAAAAGAGGCATTCCGATGCTACTCACGGGCTACCGAGAAGGGCTTCGCGCGCGCAGAGTACCGCATGGGAATGCAGTTTGAGAGTTCGGGCGAACCGGAGAAGGCAATCAAACATTACGAACGTGGCGTGAAGATGTCAGATTCCGCCTCATACTATGTAAGCTCCCTGGGAGACTATCCGGTACCTGAATTGAAGACCTAATGTATTGCTATAGCGCCTGGGAATGATGATTCTCCTTGGCCAGCATGGTCAGCGTCAGGACTTCCAGAAGGGGCTGGATTATATTCGACTGGCGGCGCAGTCCTGCGATCAGAACGCGCCCCAGGGTGCCTATGTAAGCTCCGCCCCCCCCCCCCCTTCCGCATCAGAATTTCACCTGTTCTAACTCGGAAAATCGCTAGGTCTACGGTATGCTTTTGGCGCGCGAGCTCCCTCAAGTAAGCGTCCCAGAGGCCTTCATGCCTCCGGATCTCAACATGGCGCGAGTCAATATTGAGAAGGCTGCGTACCACGGTTTCGCCAAATCCCAGGTCAAAATGGGTGCTGCATATGAACTCGGCCAGCTGGGTTGCGATTTCAACCCCGCCCTGTCTTTGCACTACAATGCGCTGGCAGCTCGCCAGGGGGAGCCGGAGGCGGAGATGGCCATCAGCAAGTGGTTCCTCTGTGGACATGAAGGCGTTTTTGAGAAGAACGATGAGTTGGCGTTTACTTATGCACAACGCGCGGCTCAAAGTGGCCTGCCAACAGCCGAATTTGCTTTGGGGTACTTCTACGAAGTTGGCATCTTCGTGGCGGTGGATATCAAGGAAGCCCGAAGTTGGTACGCCAAGGCTGCGGCGAGCGGGAACAAGGACGCGACTGGTCGGATCGATAGCATCTCGCGTTCAAAGACTCTATCCAGGAAAGACCACGAGAAAGTGGCAATTGCCCGGATCAGGTCGCGGTATGGATCGCACCAGCGAGGAGCATCCCTGGAGGCGACTCCAGAAAATATCGAAATGCCAGACCCGTCACGGATGACCTTGTCCGACAATCCCCCGTCCGCAGCGCCCTACCCTGATCGTCCCAACTCTCGCCCCCGGCCTCCGGGCCATCCCAGCTACCAGATGCCAGATCCCCGTCCAAGCTCTGCGTTTGGAGTCAACCCGAACCTTCGCTCCAATGGGCCGCCGGGCTACGGTGGCCCCCCGCCTCTATCTGGTATGCGCACCGCTTCTTATGGACCAGGGACCATGAATTATCGCCAGCCCAGTTCTGGAACGCCGATCAGCGCGCCTGCTGGGCCAACCAGCCCCCAGGCCGCAAATATGATCAGTCCCTCGGGGACGCCTCGACTCGACATTGGTTATTCTGCACCGGTGCCACCCCCTGGTATGGACCGACGCCGTCCCGGACGATTGGACGCGGCGCCTCCGGATCGGAAGCCTGTCAGAACTCCTGTACCGGGCCCCGGTGGACCGTTACCTTCCCCCGTCCCTCAGCATCTCCTCGCCCGCCGGGCTCTCCTTCGTTCCCTCCGCGGATGGAATCCCGGCAGCCCTCGAGAGGTTCGGCGTCCTCCACACCTCAGCCGTCGACAGCTTCGTCGACCCCCTCGGCACCCAAACCTGGACAGCCGCCGAAGCCCAGTAGTCAGGGCTTGCCAGGTAAAGGACCCAAGACCTTCGAAGAGATGGGAGTGCCCAGTGCCAAGAATGACAGTGATTGCGTAAGTATCCCGAAGAAACCTGGCCTTTTTTTTTTTTTTCATGAAGCTGACTCGCGGAACTCGCAGATTGTGATGTGATACCCTTGGATTCCATTTGCGGTGTCTTGTTCTTTTTTTTTTTTCTTCATTCATCGCTTCGCTAATTGATGCTGGGCGGTTGATTATTCTTATTTCTTTTTCACCTTACTCTCCTTTAATCCCGGCATTTCACACCAAAAAATCGTGTCGCCGTTCCGGGAGGCGAATGGATGCCACGTCCTTCTGCTTCCACATAGTTGCATTGACGCCCAGGATATGATGCTTGCCTTGGGTCTTTGGACATATGGTTTGGTTTGCGATTGCGATATTTAGATCTCTGGCGTAATCTTGATGAATTGCCAATGTATTTCCACGAGTAGAACACCTTGCGTGTTTTCTGGTGCCTCCAGTTCCTCTCCAATTTTCCAGTTCCCATTCTCATCCATCTTAATTTCATCAACGCTGCGAAGAATCACCCACCATCATGGCGCCTCGTAAAGGAAAGAGTGATGCCCCAGCTGCAACTGATGGTGAGTACGAACAACTACGTTCTCCTAAGGCCGGCAAGGCTTACGCTGAACCAGACGCTAGGTTCGTCCTTGACTACCTTCGTGAGTATCTCCCCAAACCCGGCCAATCTTCGAGGCCGAACTAACGTGGGTTGCATTGGCAGGAAAACAAAAGTGCGCTGGCCTCTAGATTCTTGACATGCTCCTGATGCTGACCCAAAGCACTGGATGACCCAGTCGCCCTTATTCGGTATGCTCTCCAGGTCTGCCAACGTTGGACAGTGAATGACACCCGGGGCTGGGCTGACATTCTCTCTCTAACAGGCCATTGAAGTCTCGGCAAATCTACACAATAAGGTCTCCAAAGGTGGGTACTACTTCATGGGGCTATCGCCGCTTCGCACTCACAGGTTGCCTGCAGCCCAAGCAGCCAAGCTCCTGCAAAAGCTGCATCAGGAGGGGGAGGTTGAAGGGCGTATTTCAGGTAGGCCACGATGATCGGAATGCATGATGATCTATTAAAATTCGTTCAATGTATCCAGGCAAACAGACCGTTTACCACGCGCTTCAAGATGCCTCTGACACGGCGACTCCTGAGGCCATTGCTATTCTGAACCAAGATATCGAAAGCTTTCGGGGTCAACTTGACAATCTCAGAGCAAACGAGAAACAGTCCCGGGCTGCTCTGACAGCCCTCGTCACAAAGCCGCGACTCTCGGATCTTCGACAGGACATCAGCCGGCTCAAGGACGAGCGAGAGACTCTCCAAGGTCGTGTTGCGACATCCGCCAGTAGTGAACCAATTCCCATTACTCCAGTAGAGAGATCCCATCTTGAAACGGCGTGGAAGAAATGGCAGCGACATGCCACGATCCGTCGTCGCATCTGTCGCGACCTATGGGCGAGATGCTCTGAGGTACTTCCCGAAGACATGACTGCGTCGGAGCTATGGGTGAGCCATCTCTTAGTTCTCCTGGGTTCATTTACTTCTTTGTTCAGACTCTGACGAGGTCAGGAATCGCTGGGCCTCGAAGGGAAGCCCCAATAAGAAATGATCAGGGCCCTACGACGATGATCCCCTCGTCTCCACTCGGTCACATCATTCGACTCGCGTGATTTGCGGCTCGGGCTGGGTGGAGCTGCAGCTCGACGGGGCTGATGATCACGAACAGCTCAGCAGCATTGTGCCCTGACGCAACTGCATGGAGGGATGATCGGAGACCAGGGGATATTGTGTGGAATGAAGGCAACCTGGAAGGCGAACCAGAAGGGATCAGATGAACGGGGTCATGTTCTGGCATAGTCATGGGATGTGAGACCTCAATGCAAATGGTGGTATTTGTTATTTTCTTTGCTTTTTTTTTTCTCTTCTTTCTCCTTCTTCTGACTTTTTCTTTTGCTTTTCCATGTATTTTTCAGACGATGAATGTCTACTCTGATGTCTGAGGTGCTCGTAGACGAGGGCGTTACGTGGTTCGATGTCTGACCGCCCGCCATCATTTTCCCCTCTCCAATCTCCATAGACCCCTCCACCTTTATCTCTCTTCCTGCCTCTTCGTCTATCATCCAGAGATGAGAGGGCGTGCACCTCTTCCGGTGCCTTTGGGCCCTGTCCAGAATGGACATTCTCGCAATCACTCGGGCCTCGACATGGCCCGCAGTCCTCCCAACCAGAGCAACAAGAGTATGGCTGAATTCTTCATTTCGAGCCCATGCCTACCAACGAGGCGACACTGCTAATCGGATGGACTTGGAATCGTTCCACAGATACTAAACATGTTCCTTGCAAATTCTTCCGGCAGGGTGCCTGTCAAGCAGGCCCCGCTTGTCCTTTTCTACACTCCACCGATGCCGCCGTGGATTATGCCCCCTGCAAATATTTCACTAAGGTATGAGACTCGGTTGTTTCTTGAGTCGCATGGTCGCCGGAAGGACGCGGGAATTGACAAACGCCTTTCTTTCGCTTTGATCTAGGGAAATTGCAAGTTCGGCACCAAGTGCGCACTGGCGCACATCCTACCCGATGGACGGAGAGTCAACCGACCAAGTGGAGGCATGGGTGTGGGCGGCAGCCACCTCAACCTAGGGGGTCGGGTCAATCCGCAAGCCTATGTCAACCAGGACTCGGCCTTGACCAATTCTGTTCTCTCTCAGCAGCGCATGAATGGCCACGAACCTCGATATGCCCCGCAACTCCCCCCGCAGGAGGAGTTTGCCGGCTTGCATGGGCAGCAACAACCCTACGATGCAATTCCCACCATTGATGCGGGCTTGGCCTCCGATGCTGGCTCGAAGTATGGATCGCCAGCAGACGAAGTGCGATTCCCCATGTCGCCGAATCACCACCACCTAACTGCCCTCGATGCCCCGCTCCCCGCATCATTTGACAGTCAGGGCATCTCCCACGCTGCCCGCTATGGGCCGGTTGCTGCTTCGATGCCATCCAAGTTCGGCCTGGAACTGTCCCCGCCAGTTCAGAGGCCGGGCCCACCGGACGCATTTCGGAACCTACGCGATGTGGGCTATGGCTCCGAGCTGCGGAAGCCCCTCTCCAACATCGGATCGTCGCCTCCTGTCGCCCCCGAGGACCCAATCGGGCCTCGATTTCTGCACTCTCAACGCCCTGTTAAGCCGCGCATGCTCTCTGCCAGCGTTCCCCGACCCACGGCTCTGGACGATTGGGATGAGAGTAATTTCCCCATGGAGGAGGACTATCTACCAGTCAATCTACACGACGATGTCTTGACGCCGCAGGAAAAATTGCGCCGGCTCTCTCGGACGGATCATGACTTGAGTTCCAGCCATCGCGACATTAGCGGTCTTGGGATGACGAGCACCAGTTTCTCCAAAAACGGGTCCCCGCTGGCCTCCAGCCCGTCCCGATTTGGGGCTTTGTTTGCCAAACAACGCCAGAAGAAGGAAGAGGATGGCCATGGCTCCTCGTACCCGCACATCGGATCACCCCTGCGCGAGTCGTCCTTGAACCCAATGGCCAGCCCCAGCTTGGGCCCGATCGGCAGCCGGGCGTCCCACGACGGATCACCGTTTGTCTCCAGCCCTGGCCGGCAGTCCTCGATGTCGATGATCTCTGAACAACTCAGTGGCATGTCCCTTCATCCCGGATCCGCCCGTCACTCCTCGGCGGGTCCTAACAGCCGCTTGGATCGAACCATCTCTTCTCCGGTCACTAGCAGAATTGAGGAAGAAGAGCAAAGTGACCTGGTCTTTTCTATGGAGGAAGAGGAAGGTAACAAACGGAACAGTGCATCCTGGAGCGAAGATAAAGAAAGATCGAGCGACGCCTAAGTGCCCCATTTTTTTCACGATCACGACACGAGGTCGAGTTGATGTCCCAGAATTTGGAGACATCATGATCTCAACCAAGCAGAGATGAAAACCAAAACGAAAAAAGGTCACTGGAGTTTATTTGGACACAACGGCATACAAAGCGTCAAAACAAAAGATCATCGGAATTCAAAAGTGCATGAGGCCCTCCGGTTCCACTCCGATATCCCCGTTCGATGGGATGACTCGACGACTCAGGGGAAAAAGCACATCCAAAGACTCCAACCACGCCTGTATAGACTTCACAGTGTGTTCTAGGATTTTTCCTTTCTTTTTCCTTTCTATCTGCCATCATTTAGATCCGTCGCCTCATTTACGGGGATTCTTCAGGTCCAAGACTCCTCCATCTACTGTATTAATGCGGTTTGCCTTCTTCGTGTTTATTTCTTTCGTTCCTTGTTCCCTTGTCCATGAGTCAACGATTTGGTTTTTGGTGTTTTACTGGTTCATTTTCTTTGTCTCTCCCTTCTTCTGTCCTTGGAGACTATTTATTCCAGGACTCCAGTCATGTACAAATTGGAGATGTGCAAATACACCGCAGTTCATCGGTTTTGTTTTGAGATGCTTCGTAGGCAATTCTCGGAATTAACTCTCCTACCCCCTAGTCGTACATCTGTCCGATACTCCTCGGTTTCCCAGAGCCCGTTACCCAGAAGACGCCTCAAAGATTGCGCCTGTCGTTGATCCAGCTAGAGAAAGACAAAGAAAAAAAAACAAACAAACAAACAAATAAGGATACAAGAACCCAGCATCGATCCCCTAGCTTTGCGGCTAGATGTCACCCAGGTACATGGCACTGCTCTTCAGATCCACAAACTCATCTCCTGTGGATTGAGCCTGAATCCGCGAGATTTGTCCCTGGACCAAACGATCCGCCTGAACCCGGCGTTCCTGGGTCTTGATATCCGCATTCCTGACCTTGTCCGCCTGGTCGTGGTACAATGCCCGGTACAACTGATCTGTGCCGTCAACGATTTGGTGCACCATTGCCTCCACCGCCTTGCCGGCGAGGGCTTCAACTCGACTGGCAAGAGCCGTCTCTTCATCTGCGCGCCGGCGCTTGGCGGCGTCTTCCCGATCTTTCCTGTCCTCGGCCACTTTTCGCTTCCGCTCCTCAACCTTCTTCTGGCGTTCCTCTTTGGTCGCCAGATACTTGAGAGAATGGCCCAGCTTCTGCTGGGTCGCAGGGATAATGTCCAACGGCGGGGCAGAGAAGAAAAGAACACGACCTCGGTCATCGCAGTGGAACTGGTCTCGGACATCTGCGGGGATCGTCGCGTTGGCTGCATCGCTGAGATGGAAGACTTCAACCGTACGGGGCGCATTGGGGTTGTACGCTGGCTGTGAAGCATTCAGGCGGTTCGTGGAGTACGGGGCGTATGGTGATGGCTGCGCTGCCGAATACGCTGGCGAGGCCTGGTACGCACCAACCGGCGTCTGCGGTGCGAAGTTGCTCGGACGGCGCGGGAGGGAAGCTTGATACATCTGCGCCGAGGCCATTTGAGACTGGAAAGCCGGCGATGGAACGGGTGCCGGTGACGTCTGAGCAGCCACTGGTGCCACGGGCGAGCGAGCCTGCAATGGGGGGACTCCCGGTGCAGCAGCACTGCCCGGGCTGCCCATGCCGGGACGTGGAAGTACTTGGCCCATGGATTGGCGCGGCGCGGCAGATGCAATAGTGGGCTGGGGCAACGAGGGAGGGGGCGGGGATGGAGTGGGCTCTGGCGGAGGAGACTCCTGTATATTGAGGGTGAGTTTTTGTTTTTGTTTTTGTTTTTTTTTTTTTTTTTCTCTTTCGAGGTTGCTGCTTGGAGGCTTTCAGTACTTACGTTCTCATCTCGCGGGCGACGATGCACCGCGCCCACCACCGGCGGCGCATTTTCTGCTCCCCAAGTTGGCTTGGGTAGGTCATCAGTCTCCTTGGCATCCTCCTTGAGGAGGTGCTTGATCGGGCTGGGGACTTTCTTGATCTTGCGAGCCACATCGAAGAGGTCCATCTCATAATCCTTCTCTCGCACCTCGTCCGGGAGGCAGCTGGCCCATGTCTTGATCTTGTTCAGCTTGTGTTTCTCTTCGTTGTAACGCGCCTCGCAGACATAGATCTCCTTTTCTGGTGCCAGATCTCTGGGGCGACCTCGGCTGTAGCGGGTGAAGAACATGACAAAGCAACGGTCAACGATTTCGTCGATCCGATGGTCTCGATATTGCCCGGTTTTAACGACTTCGTTGGGATAGAAGTGCTTCTCGAAGTGATGGACCGTCTGCTCGGGGCGGTAGTACCAGCAGGCGTTGACCCATTTCTCTCCCTCGGAGTCCTGCCAGGTCCGATAAATCTGCGCGACGATAGGCTTGGTCACGTCATTGGGGTTTTGGATATGAACCCAGTCCCCGACCTTCCACAGCTCGCCCCGGTGCAATATCCCATCCGGCAGCGGGAAACGGCCATCTTCCATCAGATATTCGCTGTCGGGTTTCTTCTTCTCTTGCTCTGCCAGCTTCCGCGATTCATTTTGCAGGTCAACGGCATCCTTGTAGATCTGACTGTCCGACTGATTGTAAGTCTTGGCGTTTTCGAACATGAGATCGAGGTCTCGCATGAAGTGGTCAACCGAGTTGTACTTCTTGCGCTTAGACTTGCGCTTGATGATGTCAATGGCGATCGGCTCCTTGATCTCCATGTAGTAGTCTGGATAAGCTGATTTATCGGGGAGCCTTTCAAAGTGGGTAATTTTTAAATGACCTCCGGGTCCTTTGAACTTCCGGATGCCCTTCAGAATCGTCTTGATGCGCGTTTCCATGGGGGTGTCCACGCGCGGAGGCCGACCTCGTTTCTTCCGAAGGTCCGGCTCTTGCTTCGCAGCCATGCCCCGCTTGAAACCCGGTTTAGGGCCAGGCTTCTTCCTCCGCCGACCCTCATCCTCCGAATCCTCTTCTTCATCTTCATCTTCCTCCTCCTCTTCCTCCTCTTCATCGGGCAGGGGATCGGCCTCTGGAATCTCTCCTAGGTCGGGAAGCTCAGCCTGTTCGGCAGAGATCACCCCCCGATCGGCCAGGTTCTTGAACTCGGCAATGAAAACATCCTGTTGAGCGCAAAAGGTGGTCAGTGGCTATTGACCAGGCTGAGGTGAGTCCTGGTTGTCCGCGTACCTTGATGACGAGCGCATCCTCGTAGGCTTGCGACCTGGGTCTGTTGTATGTCTGCGCGTTGTGCCAAATCTAGCATCCCATCGAGGATTCAGTCAGCACTGTGCGACAAGGCAGAGTAATGAGAGCATTAGTTCACGTACCAAGGCACAGTCGCGGATAAAGTCCGCAAACTGCTTGTATTCTCGCTTGTTGATTCTTTGTTTCAAGATACTGAGCGCCATTGGCTCCTTGATAATGTCATAGTAGTCCGGAACGTTGCGCTTATTGACACTACGATGGAACAATCGCGACGGGTCGTGGCCACTGCGAAGGCGTGTAAGAGGTTAGAAGCAACCAGCTTGCATGGCTTCCGAAGACGAAACTCACTCTTCTTCCCGAAAATCGTAAATTACCATCACCACGTCCATCATCGCCTTCCATTGCGCGTCGGTGATTGCGCCTCCCGCGCCATCATCCTCGATGGAGTTCACGGGTTCCTCAGGCGGGGGTTGCGAATCGCGCTCGGATGGCTCCATGCCGGCGACCGCAGCCACACGTGAGACTGCAACGAGACAATACAAGAGCCAGGGGCAAGCCGAAGAGACAATCGATAGACTTGCAACCGAATGGTCGTAGGGAGCCTTGGAGGGTTGGAACTCGAGAATGTTTGAAGATGACCAAAATCCTTAGTCATCCGTCGATACCAGCTGGCAGTACGGTACGGTAATAATACACCGGTTGCTGTGGACGAAATGTACAATTGGACCTTTCCAGGTGAACTACAGCGAGATATCCCTTCCAAGTCTTTCGCTGGAGCTATTCAATTTGAGTGGGAGCTGTGTCTTGATAATTCAGGCCTTTCCTGTGGGTTTCCAACCATCTCGATCTCGGCTTGGGCGGTAGTATCTATAATCGTCGTCAGGTATACACTTCTGGTTGTAGTCATGTCAAGAATGCACCAAACCTGGCCTCCCTTGACTCTGCACTAGGTCATGGACATTGCTATCGCAAACTAATATCCTAGCTTGCCCAAGGGACCACCTTGGAAGACAAAGAGGAAAGGAGAGGAGAGAGGAAAGAGACCATCTTTTCTGGCGCGTACCCCACACCCAAGTCGTCATAGCTCTCTCACACTCTCGGCCACATGGACCACACCACTCACCTCGTCTTTGCGCGCATCCCCAGTTGTAAAAACCCAAGACCATTCTATTCCGAATACCTCTAGCATGAAGATCAGAGTCCGTGGGCCATCGGGCCAATCGACGGTCATTTTGGACGAGTCAGCCACGGTCCACGACCTTCGAGGTCAGATTGCGGAGAAGACCGGTCTCACCAGCTACGACGTCAAATATGGATACCCGAATCTCCAACCACTGGAGATCGACAGTTGGACACCGGAGCAAAAGCTCTCCGAGATCGAGATCAACCTGAACGGGGAGCAGTTAATCGTGGCGCAGAAAGAGGGCGCCACTCAAGGGCTTAGTGGTGATGCGCTCTTACAACCTGCCTCGGCCACCCAATTCTCGAAGCAGACATCTACGCCCCGAAAGTCGCATGAAGGCTCTGCCGATGATCCGCCTGAGATTGCCTCCCCCGAGCATGCGGGCACTTTTGTACTCCGTGTCATGGCCGATGACAACTCGTGTCTCTTTCGTGCTGTGGGCACCGCGGTCATGGGCGATATGGACACAATGGTCGAGTTACGGTCGATCGTTGCAGGGTCGATTCAGGCTAATCCGACAGAGTACACGGCCGCCATTCTTGGGAAAAAGCCAGACGATTACTGTCGCTGGATCCAGAACGAGGATTCCTGGGGTGGCGCCATAGAACTCAAGATCCTGAGCGAATACTTCAACATCGAGATCTGTTCAATCGACGTTCAGACTCTTCATATGTTTCAGTTTAACGAAGGCGCCCCGACTCGGTGTATCGTGGTGTACTCGGGGATTCATTACGACGTCATCGCGCTCTCTCCGTCTGATCCGCCCTACACCCATGCCAACGCATTCGCGCACACCGACACCAAGATTTTCGACGCCGCAGATCCTGTTGTCCTGCAAAAGGCCAAGGAGATATGTCGAGTCTTGCAAGGCAAGCACTACTATACAGACACCGCCGGGTTCCTCGTCCGCTGCAACACCTGCGGAGGCACATTCACGGGAGAGAAGGGGGCTACCAATCACGCTGCGGAAACCGGCCATTACGATTTTGGCGAGGCGGGCTAAAGGAGGCACCCTTCATCGAGTTCCATTCGATTTTGGATAGGTCTATTGCGAAAAACAAGTTGGCATATTTTGGTTGGAGCGACTACAAAGGCACCGCATGGGGCGTACATGGGGGGTTCTGGACCTGAGGCGAAGTGGCGGAATGGGCACCGTGTAGCATTAGAACTGCATCATATATCGTACAAATCTTGGGTCTCATAGCATGGCGACTTCGTCTGCCTCGTCATCCCCTGCATCCTCCTCGACCGAATCCCCACTTTCTTCCGGGTGGCCACCCCATTCCACGTCGTGATGGATAGGGTTAGTGAAGAACTCATGCTGGAGGGCATCTGCGGCGCTGAGGCGCTTGGAAGGATCCAATTCCATTAACCCCGACAGAAGGCGTGTCGCTTGTTGCTCGCTTTCCGTCAAATCTTCCACGCAACTGGACCATTTCACCAGCTTTTCCCAGCTATACCCTTTCTCGCCAATAGTGGGAATGTTGGTCTCAAAAATCTGTCCGTGCAGGGCCGCAGCCGTTTTCATGCGCCGGGTGCCGAAGATACTGGACATCTCAATCATCGCATCAATGTCATCTGCGGAATTGAAAAAGGGAAACCGGCGTCCGAGCAACGTCAAGAGAATCACGCCCACGGACCACATATCAATCTTGGTGGTCTGTGAAGTACACTTGAAGAGAACCTCGGGGGCCCGAAAACCTCGGGTCCCAGCACGATTTGCTCGTCTCGACGGCCGTGAATCATTTTTGGGGTAGCCAGCCGACAGTCCTGTAGACGGCGGGTTCTTGGAATAATAACTGGAAAGTATCCGACTCCGGCGAACATATGTTTGATGGGTACAGAGGCATGGACTGGTGTACTCAGATCCCTGACGCTGTTATAGCAAAGCAAAAGAACATCAGTCTTGGGCTCTCTAATTTCTGAAAAGCATGGCCTACCTCTGCAAGTCCGAAGTCCACCAAGACGCCTTCTTTCAAGTCTGGGTTGTACAAGAAATTGCTGGACGAGAGGGACACCAGTCAGCGTTACGAAAAACAGGCGGGGGGGCATCAAGGTCACTCACGTCGGCTTAATATCGCGGTGGAGGATATCATGTTCGTGTACCGAGTGCAATGCGGTTAGAAGTGACTGTAGATAATGGCGCATATCTGCAACCATGAAGGTGCGGTATTGAACCCGAAAGTCGCTGTGGTGGAAGTAGGGTAGTACTGCAACAACCTGATCCTGGTATCGAAAGGCAGTGATCAGAGGGCAAACGGATCGGCAGCCTCGGAGATCATGAAGTAGCTCGAGCTCGTTTTGAATTCGCAACGGGCTACTGGTGACATAGATCTTTTTCAGCGCAACATATCGCGCCTTTTTGCGCTCCGTAGACGCCCCCTCAACCCGTCGTCTTTTGGACGGAGGATCCGCCCAGGCATCTGGTTGTGCCTGTCCAAAAACATTCCACTCGTTCTGGTAGTGATCGTAGAGCAAGTCTTCTGCCTTGTACACCGTGGAGAATGTCCCTTGATCGGATTGATTGTCAGTCAACGGGCCCGGGAATTACTCTCGGGGTGGAAACCTACCTTCTCCAATTCGATTGACCAGTCGAAATCGGTCCGAGATGCCGGGGAATGTATCTTCCAGTTTATTCATATCTTCTCTGACCGACTCATCCACCTCCTCCTCAGAGTCACTTTCGCCCTGCGGGTGATCACTGGTGGTAGCGGCTCCATCATCCTCTTCTGACGCGTATTTGTGGTGGCTGAGCTGGGGTTCTCGGAAAGAACTGCTGCGATGGAGTTCAAATACTCCAGACGGAGCACCACGAAGGATGGACATGGTGACGATGGACCGCGAGAGAGCTCCTAGCTGCGACGAAAGAACGGCGGGCAACGGAGGGGCACAATGGTGGTGTTCCCGCTCGCATAGAACCGAAAGTCAATAAGACTGAAAGAATGAACAAAAAAGAAGACCACCGAATGGCCATCCCAACTTGAATACTCCTCGCAGTCTTGGGAGAGGTAGGGGCAAGTGAGCAAGTGAGCTTCGAAAGGCGGTTGATCTCAAAATAAACGGCAACGCGGTGCATAACCCAATACCAATGCATTACAGTACACGCAAGGAACTCTACCCGGCCCATGGTATTCCTGGTATAGATTACGTGTTTGGCGTAAATACGGTACCGGCTTGGCTCACGAAAAGGGCAAAAGACAAACAAGCAAAAGGCAGCTTATCGCCCTGTTTCTCCCCACTCCGATCTTCTCTCCCACATCTCTCTCCCACCAATCCACAAACACACCCACCATGGAGGAGAGAATACAGTTCGACATCAACGATTCACTCAAGTACTACTTGAGTGATCCCACATCGATCCCAACCCCCGATGCAGACCCTGAGCTGCTGGATTGCGAAACAGACCCCGATCAGCTGTCAGCGGCCTTGGTGGACAATGTATTGAATCCAATCGTGGACGCGGTGGCGGAGAATCCCGAAGGATTGACGAGAGGCTCGTTTTTTGATTCCCTCCAGTTTCTGTTAAAGTGCGCCCCGGTCCCTTCCCAACTCCCCTATGGAGGCTTCTGCCCACCTGGAATCGACTCTGAACTCTTGAAATCTTGCAGATATTCGACGTTTCTCCCCACCAAGTCGCTCAGCAAACTTCTTGATCTCATTGTCTCCGGGCTGTCTGTTGAAGCCGATATCATTTACGGAGATCTTGAATCGGACGAACAGGATGCCATCCAACACCACAAGCAGCTGCTGGAGATGTACGGTTTTCTTCTTCAATGGGCCCTATCTGCTGTCGAGGTGAAGGCTGCCGAAAAGCCGGCGGAGGCTGTGCCAGCGCGACGAGGAGGCCCGAAATCCAAGTCCAAGTCAGCCAAGGATGGTCATTGGGATTGGACACCCCAGATCCAAATATCAATGGAGACAATGTGCAAGGTGATGAAACTGAAGCTTGGCCGGATTTTTCTGACTACTTCCGATCGTGACACTTTTATTAATCTCTTTACCCGCACGATTTATCTGGTTCTCGAGAGCGAACAACGCGTCAAGAGCATGACTATCCGCATGCATGCTTTCAAGGTTCTTTGCATCGCGGTGAAGCATCATGGTCATGCCTTTGGTACGTGCAGTCCAGCTAGCTGCACAGTTGCTTTTCCCAGTACTAAATATTGCTACAGGCGCGCAGACGTCCATTGTGCAGAGCTTGACCTATTTCGAGCATCTGTCAGAGCCCATGGCCGAATTCCTTCATATCCTCGCCGAGCAATATGATTATCCCCAACTCTCGGATGAGATTTTAAAGTAAGCTGCTATTCCAGGGCGGCATGCTAAACGTCATGGCTAATATGGCTTAGGGAGCTCGGGAACAAGGAGTTCAACTCCAACGACACGAGAGGGCCTAAATCCGTATCTGCCTTTATTATCAAACTCTCCGAGCTGGCCCCCCGGTTGATCATTAAGCAAATGACTCTCTTGGCCAAGCAGCTCGACAGTGAGGTAACTTATCCCTGGTTTTTCCGGAGACGGACGATCCACTGACCGCATAAAAAGGCTTATACCCTCCGGTGCGCCGTAATTGAGGTTTGCGGGAACCTCATATCCGATCTCAGCAGACAGGAAGAACCCAGCGAAAACTACAAGACCCAGATCAACGCCTTTTTTGACGTGCTGGAAGAGCGATTCCTCGATATCAACCCCTACTGCCGCTGTCGAGCTATTCAGGTCTTCATGCGGATCTGCGATTTGGAGCAAAAATTCCCTAAGCGCCGACAGGCAGCCGCAGAATTGAGCGCGAGAAGCCTAGAAGACAAAAGCAGTAATGTCCGACGTAACGCGATCAAACTGCTGTCGAAACTGGTTTCAACCCACCCGTTCAGCGTCATGCACGGCGGGCAACTGTCATACAAAGAATGGACAGAGAGGCTCGATGGAGTAGATAACGAACTGAATGCCCTGCGGCCTCCGGAGACTCCAGGATTTGATGCAGGAGATGTCACGCAAGTTGACAGTGAACTATTGGACGAAGCAACCCAAATACCGGATGATTCTCCATCCAAGGCACCCCGAATGACTGAGGAGGAAAAGGCCGTCGCCATGCAAAAAGCGGCCGAGCAGGCTGCGACTTCTGAGTTGCTCACCCGAATGCAACTTACCAGGAAGTACTACAACGAAGCCATCCGCTTTATCGAGGTGCTACATTCGGCCTCCAGCGTGGTTTCCCAGCTGCTCTCGTCTCGAAACAAGAGCGAAGTGATCGAGGCCATGGATTTCTTTGTCGTTCTTGATGCGTATAAAGTGGAGACGGCGCGCAGTGGAATACGTCGCATGCTGCGTTTGATTTGGACCAAGGGCAACAGTGATGAAGGGAAAGGCGTTCAGTCACATTTGATCGATTGCTACAAGGATCTCTTCTTCGATGCACCAGACTCGTTCAGCCCCAACGATGCAGCAAACTACATCGCCCGCAATATGATCAGTTTGACCTTTGGGTCGACACCTGCAGAGCTCACTTGCCTCGAGCAACTGCTGAGTACGATGATGAAAGCTGGTCACATACCGGAGACAGTGATCGCCAAACTTTGGCAGGTCTATGGCGTCCAGAAAAAGGAAATTTCACGGACACAGCGTCGAGGTGCCATCATTGTGCTCGGCATGCTCGCCATAGCGGATCCGGAAGTTGTGGTAAAGGAGATTGAAACAATGTTGCGCATTGGTCTTGGGGGCTTGGGGAGGTCTGACCTCGTGCTGGCCAAGTATACTTGCGTTGCGTTGCGGCGCATGGTTCCGGGGCGTCAAGCCAAATCGAAGGATATCGGCATCCCCAAGCTTGCCAACGACCACGCTGTTCTGACCAAGCTTGCTGCCATGGTCGAGATTGTGTCTGACAGTAAGGAGTGGTATGGGGTGGCCGAGCAAGTGATCAGCGCCATCTATACTCTTTCCAAGCATCCCGATGTTCTTTGCTCTGACATCCTTAGACGGAAAACTAAGTTTGTCTTCCAGCCTCACGTCCAACGTCCATCCTCTTCCCATTCATCCACCAATGGGGAGGATCAGCGACCAGGGACTGCGTCCTCGGAGGATCAGGGGTCTAAGCCGAAGCCCTCGTCTGCTGCGCTCTCGCAGCTACTCTACGTCGTGGGGCATATCGCAATCAAGCAAATTGTGCATTTGGAGCTGTGTGAACTCGATTTCAAGCGGCGCAAGGCTGAACAGGAGAAGAACAAAGTGGTAACTCCTGCTCCTCAGGCGAACGAGGAAGCTGCCGAAGATGACGAGCTCGATCTCATCGGTGGGACAACCGAAGACGATTTCACGGACGCCATGGCTCATATCCGAGAACGCGAGCTCCTCTACGGCGAGAACTCCCTGCTCGCCAAGTTCGGTCCGTTGGTGGCGGAAATCTGTGCCAATAATAATACCTATTCAGATCGCGATCTCCAAGCAGCGGCGACTTTGTGTCTGGCCAAACTCATGTGTGTGTCGGCTGAGTATTGTGAAAAGAACCTCCCACTCCTGATCACAATCATGGAGCGATCCGAAGACCCAATCGTGCGCAGTAATGCGGTCATTGCGCTCGGCGACATGGCCGTCTGCTTCAACCACCTCATTGACGAGAACACTGATTTCCTATATCGTCGCCTGAACGACGACGATGCCTCCGTCAAGCGAACCTGCCTCATGACGCTCACCTTCCTCATTCTAGCCGGCCAGGTCAAGGTCAAGGGACAGCTGGGGGAGATGGCAAAGTGCCTGGAAGACGACGACAAGAAGATCGCCGATCTAGCGCGCATGTTTTTCACGGAGCTCGCCACCAAAGACAATGCCGTATACAACCATTTTGTCGACATGTTCAGTCTGCTCAGTGCAGAACGCAATCTGGAGGAGGCGTCGTTGCGCCGCATTGTCAAGTTCTTGATCGGGTTTGTCGAGAAGGTAAGTTGATCTTTCCTCTATGGTGATCCTCGTACTAATGTAGTATAGGAGAAACATGCCCGCCAGCTGGCCGAAAAACTGGCCGCTCGACTCCCCCGCTGCGAAACCGAACGACAGTGGAACGATGTCGCCTATGCCCTGTCCCTGCTACCGCATAAAAATGAGGACATCACCAAGACTGTCAGCGCAGGGTTCAATAAGGTCGCCAGCGCGGCTGCTTAATGGTAACACTGCGATGGGTGATGAGTTGATGTACGTGATGAAGATTCGGAGTATTGGCGTCAGGATTGAGGCTTTTTTTTGGGAGCATTTAATGAATCCCATTCTCTTTTGCTTTCGGTAGATGTCGAGACTGTACTTCATAATCTTCAGCTTGCTCCGTTGACACGGTGTTCCATGGCATGTTGCGCGATCAAGTGCTCGAACCTCATCTATATTCAATCTGGAGAAGCAACCTTGCGCCGCAAGCATCATGGACTTTCTCCACGAGGCCATCAGGAGAAAGATGCATCGGTGCGTGGAATCTAAGTATGTGAAGAGAAAAACAAAACCAGGCCAGACAAGCAAAAAAAAGGACGCCGAGTGGGATGGTCGCATGCCAGATACGCCACGGTGGTTGGGATGAACTGTAAAGAAAAAATTGACACACAACTATAGCTCTATGCGCCCTGCTCGATGCTCTCCTCCAAGGCAAAGCTCTCCGACCGAATCCCCTGGAGGGCTTTTTGGCCCTCCTCCGTCAGTTCTGGTTTGCCCAGCGGAGTCAACGCGCCGGTGAAGAACCGCGGCTTCCATTCCATTTTGTTTTCCTTGCGCTCTGTCGCGCGCTGGCGTTGTCGCTCTTCGATGTCTTGCTTGAGCTTGGTAGCCTCGTTGAACTGCTTCTCCACAATCGCTGTCGTGACTTCCGACCAGAACTTCAGCGACTCGTTGGACAACTGGTCTTCCGACGGAGGCAAGTCTTTGGCCACGGGGTGGAGTGGAGTGATATCAATCAGCAGACGAGGCTCTTTAGTCCCTGCAAGAGTATAGTAGATCTTGCCATGCCACGACCCACTAATCCGAGCAATCACGTCTCCCTCCGGCACATCTTTGAGCCTCGTGGTGGTGTCTTGGTCGGGGTTGTAGCGGAAAATGGTCCCTTCCACCTTATTCTGAGACCGGCCAATCCAGCCTTCTTCCAAGTACTGCAATATGGCTTTCATCCCCGTCTTCGGGCATGTGATATAGCATGCGTCCGAGACGGTGATGGCAAGGGCACCTCGCAGCAGTCCCCCAAGGTGCGCGTCTGGATGGGTCAATTGATATTCTTCGTTGTCTCGTTTTTCGATATTGACGAAGATCCCTAGGTTATGCTGTCCGGGGCTCACCCGGATGCTGGTGCCCGTAAATTTGGCACTGAGCTGGTCGAACCCACGCGCCGAAACCCCCCCGTTGTGGACAATCGATGTAGAATGCGGAGACAGGCGGGTGGTGCGATGTCTGCTCGGTCAAATAGCAAATCTTAACCTTTTCGTCGGCATCGCCAACAGTGGAGACGCTTGCGTCGACACCAGGGAGATTCGAGTCCTCGGGGACAGTGTATGGCACTTCCCAACTGCACTGCAGAGAGGGTGAGCGGTCAGCGCATGACACGAGGACATCTGGGGACCACAGACGTACTCGGAAAAATTCACCCAAAGTAGAGTTGTAGGGCTTGCACGGTTTGCCCTTGATGTATTTCTGTCGACCGTTCAGCACGTTTTCCTCCCGCAAGCACCGCCAAGATGGGAGATGTCATATATATACCAGGTCCTTGGTGAACCAAAACCTCAACACCTCCAGCATGCGACCCAACTCATCATCTGACTTGCCAATGCTGTTATCGCTCTCGGGTCAGCACATGAGAGTTCGCCATAGATAGGCCACGTTGCTGACCTCGCAAAGGTCTCCGGTCGGTCCAGGTAATTCCAATACTCTTGCACCCCACTTCCGTGTCAGCCTCAGCTCAAGGCTTGTCGAGTCGCAGGGTTTCCACCTACCCAAATTCGGTCGGGGTTCCAGTAGTTGCGCCGGCAATGAGAAGCGAACCGAAGCAATATCTGTGACGCCCACGAACCTGCCCCCTGTGCATCAGTACTGGGGTTCTGTGAGGCGGTCATCAAGGTCAGTCATACTTTCGAAGGATGGAAAGAAACGTCTTCAGCTTGGAGGAATCATCTGGCGCTTTCTCTGCCACCGGCGCGGACATGACGGGCTCAAGCTCGAACGGCTTGCGAAGTAGAACGGGGTGGCAAATCCGGCGACCGGCTGTTGTCTGATCTCAGGCTGCTGCCGTGGGGTGCCGAGAAAAGAGTGGTATGCCCAAAGACGATGTCAAATTCACCAAAGCCAACAAGATACAAAAATGAAGGACGCAAAGGAGCAGAAAGATGATTCCAGGGAGCTGGAGATTTGGAGGCGGTGACGGGTGGACTATTTTTTTGCCGGGTGGGGTACAGTGGCGGTCACAGGGACTTGCCTTGATTAGGGCCCGCTGCCGCCAATGGGAGGTACTGGGTACTTTGATTGGACTGCGTGCTATCTTCTACGCCATAGTGAACCAATCGCCCTGCCACGAGGACTCTCGCTTGGACGATCATTCATGCAACACCTCGAGCAGTTGCTTGCGTGCCAAGAATTGCAACCATGTCCGCACTGCCGGTCCATAGTCATGTCTTCGGCCCGCCGCATGGTCATCATCCGCCCACTGCGACTGTTGCTCTTCTCGAATGCGCTCCCGGAGCCCACGCTGAGCGTTGCTGAGTTCTTGTTGATGCTGCCGTAGTTGGTCCGCTGAACCCGCCTGGTATTGTGCCCGAGCTTCCTCCAAGACCAGTGCCGCGTCGATCGCCTCCCGTGTCAGAGAGAGGGATGAATCGGGGCCGAGCACTGTTTCCTTCAGCACGACAGCCGCAGGGTCTGACCCCGCAGGATCGGTGTCTTGCAACGACAGTGCACGCTCATTGAGGATTTCCAGGCTTCGAACATTGACCGCTAGCTGATGAACGAGATCGGGCAATGGATCTCGTACCAGTCCCAAGATGGAGAATTCAATCTGATCTACTTCGTATGCCGCCATTCGCGTGAGGATGTTGGGCTTTGCCACTTCCAGCCAGTCGTCGTCGGAGCACTCGCCTGTAGCACCCGGAGTTAACATGGAACCTTTCTAACGTATAGATTACCATCAAGCTTACCAAGAGCTTGGGGTTGGCGCTCTAAGCCATCAAATTTCCACAATTGACCCATCGCCGGCATGAAAGCGATGAAGTGAAAGGTGGAATCGGACTCATTCATCTCCAGGCCCTTGGAGCGAGGCTTTTTCGCAGTCGCCTCCGCTTTCAGCTGAAAATCGGAACTGAGAATGTCCATTTTCCTGTTGTGGAGAGAGTATGCCGTCTTGTTAGCGAACCTAACGATGAAGAGTGAAGAGCCGCACGTCTTACCGGGCGAACGAGTTGTGGATTCTCTTGACAAATTCAAAGTTATTGATGGCATCGCCTCGTAAGGCAGGGGTAAACGGCATGGTGAAATCTTTAAAATGGTGTAGATTCTCCCCCAGATCGATTCCGGGGATATTGTTGACGATGTTGAGCAGTGCCACACTGGCACAAGCATTGCTGGCAGTCTACATCCAATTTTCAGCGAAGACCCGGTAAGTTGTCAGACTCAAATACCAACTTGGTTTGCAAACCAGATTCCATCGGGGCAACTCGCCTCCTGCTGTTCGGAATCATCCTCGCGCCAACGAAATAGAAAGATCAACCCGTAGATAGGCTTCCTACCCACGCCACGGCGGGAGATCAGTAACCAGGCTCATGGAGTGGGAAGGGAACAAAGTCATACTTCAAAAAGGCCATCATTTCTTCGTCCAAGGACACCACCTCTTGGACTTTGACCCCTTTCACCCCGAATTCCCGGAGCATCACATTGAATAAAGCCTGGATATAGGGTCAGTCCGCAAGCTTGTAGGAGACTAGACGGGACCAGACCGGTTCAGACTCGATTTCACAAAAGCCGTTCCACTTGGTTTTGTCCAGCATGGTTGCCGGGGGTTCGTGCGAACCCTCTGGATCGGACAGGCGTTGTCGTTTGACGCGTTGAGTCATTGTGTTCCAAGGATGCTAGACTGCGTAACTAAGAACGCCATCGATGTCCATTGGGTTGGGTTCACTAAAGACCAAGTCCCAGAAGAATCCTACAAGAGAGAGAGAGGGAGAGAATGTGTATAGTTGGGGGGAGTGGGGTGGCATGTCGGTGGACCGAGCTTCTTACTGACGCGCTTCCCGCGTCTGCACAACTCTTTTTTCTGTTTCTTTCTCCTCCACCGTTTACCTTCGTCTGTCTGGGCGCAAATTGCCAGGGAACAAAGAGACTTGATATAATCGCTTTTCCTCCAGAGAAATTTGCAATCCCTACGCCTCAGCTGCACCTCCCCTCCCTTGTGGGAATCCTCTCTTCCTTCAGAAACCAACAGTGACCACAGCATGCCATGAACGGTACTCCCCGCCTCCCGTCTGCCTTTCCTCAGACGCCCCAGACAATCCCAAGAAGACGGAAGTTGTTCGAAACTCCCTCGCGATCCCAGCCTCGCGACGTCCGAGATGCTGCCAAGTCACCCGCAAAGTCACCCTCCAAGGCGCCAAAGCCATCCTCGAACGCGAAAACGCCGTTGATCCCTGTCGATTTAATCGATGCGCCCTCCCAGCGACTGTACGTGGTGGCCTTTTACCTCGTCTTGAACGCCTGGCGAGTATACGAATCCTGGACTGCCGCCGATGACTTGGATTCTACTTGGCTGTTTCTGAAGTGGGTGTCAGTCGATGGCGTCTTCTTGTTCGGTCTCCAGGCTTTGCGTATACCATGGCTGGAGTGGGCCTTTCCAACTACCCTGACGCTGTTCTTATTGCATGTGGTGGGCAACATCTTTTTGATGTTCCGCATCCCGGTTGGTTACCCACACTGTTTTCATCCAAGGACTTCTCACTAATGACCGCAGATTCCGTTGGGCGCATGGATTTCGGGCATGGTCAAGGTGGCTTACGATCGCGAGTTGTCAATCTCCGAGCGTAAAGTCAAACCCGGGGACATTATTCACAATGCGTCGTTGATCCTAGGCAAACAAATCGTACACATTTTGCCAGAAGGGTCAGTCATTGTTTACCCCAACGAGGTTGATATCTTACTGATTGCTCTAGATCTGCCGTTCTTAACCCGGAACGAGAGCCGCTTTGCCTTGACTCCCAAAGGAGCACAGTGAATTTGCCCATCCGGGTCAACCAGACAGATCCGATCTTGATCGAGATGTTGCGTCTCGATCTGGGCACGGGTGAAAATGAAACGATGACGATTCAGTCGAAGCAGTTGAAACAAATGAAACGCCAGGCAGACAAAAGACACGGGAATCTGGAGCCTGTATCCCATCGGGATCTGTTCCTTCCCGTTCGAAAGACTGGTATTTATCGTCTTCAACGGGTGGTGGATGAGTCACAACTGGATGTGCACACGAGAATTTCCGACGCGCTCGTGGTCTCTTGCCCGCGTGCGCTGATCAAGAACTCACATACTAACAAATGCAAAGGCGACTTGTCCAACCTGGTTCTCGAAGTCGAAGGCACGCCCCCTTTGAAGATCAAGTACAGTCGTCAGTTAAACCATCTCGATCGGGGGTTTTCCTTCCAAAACATTCAGCCGGACAACCTGCGCTCCCCATTGTTGAACCAGAAGGCTAGCGGTGCTCTTTTCAGCATCAAGCAGCCGGATATCTCGTGGGCCAAGAGCCAAAAGATCGATATCCCACTAAATGAATCGTTAAATGTCGGTGGCGAATGGTTTTATACTATTGAAGAAGTACATGATGCTTGCGGCAACGTCGCCAATTACTCCACTATCTTCGACGACGCAGATCGGCCATCGACGAAGTCACAGTCTCAATGGCACCAGTTCTCTGTCCATGAACGCCCGCGTGTGTCTTTCCTGGGGTGCAATGACCAGCGTCCGTTAGAAGTCGCCCGGGGAGACAGTGTCAATCTACCCATCAATTTCCAATCTGTCGGGAACGGGTACAGTGGTGACACGCCATTCTCTGTTGTATACTCGTTCAGTGGCAGTGAAGCTGCGCAGAAGGATGCGGCTCCGAGAGATAGTCGGGTTCTGGTTCTGAAATCGGTTGATCAAAGGTCACCCATCAAGGAGCCAGGTTGGTATTCTTTGACATCTGTCGCCAGTCAATATTGCCCCGGTGAAGTCCTCGAGCCTTCTTCCTGCTACCTCCACAACCCTCCCGAGCCGGAATTGGCTGTGAAGTCCGAGAAGATCTTCGACCGCTGCGCCAACAACGCTGTTGGCTTGCTTGTGGATTTGGATCTCACAGGATCGCCACCGTTCCGTCTTCGCTATAGCATCGAGCACTCAAAGGGAGCCGTGACAAAAACCCAGAAGATTGACGGATTGCGTACGCAGCTCGACCTCACCCCGTCAGAGGCAGGCTTTTACCGGTACCGTTTCCTGGACATTGAAGATGCTGTTTACCCGCCGCGGTCCCTCAAGGATAGAATCCCGGTCCTGGAACAAGATGTGAAGCCACCGGCGTCGGCTCATTTCCTTGGCCCTAGGGAGGTGCGCAAGACCTGTTTCGGTGAAGCGGTCTCTGTAGACGTGTCCTTCCTGGGAGAAGCTCCTTGGACCCTGCAATATGAACTCGTCCATAACGGCAAGAGATCCAAGCAGATACTGGAGTCCGAAGCCGAAGTGGCGACTATCACCACCGACAAACTCCTCAGCGGGGGCGAATATACCCTCTCCTTGACTAATGTCAAGGACAAGTCAAACTGCAAACGAAATTTGAAAGAAAGCGTCAAGATTGATGCTCGATCCAAACCGCCTCACGTCGCTTTCGGCCAAATCGACAAGAAGAGGAGTATTTCGGCTTTGCAAGGCGCCAGGGTCGACATTCCGTTGAGGTTAAGTGGCGAGCGACCGTGGACAGTGAAATACCGGAACGTCGACGTCAATCCTTCGCTCATTGAGAAAATCTTCTGGGAAGAGAACAGCGTCTTGTCCGTCGATAGGCAAGGTCTCTACGAGCTCTCCGAGGTATTTGACAGCTCCTGTCCAGGATCCGTTGACCAGTCCGCCCGGGAATTCGAGGTATCATGGATCCCCCGGCCTCACATCACTGCGGTGGACGGCTCTCCCATTGGGACAGCCGGCCAGGTTGTGAAGCCAGAGGTATGTCAGGGCGACGATGACACTCTCGAGCTTCGGCTCTCTGGAAATCCACCGTACAGTCTCCAGTACGAACAACGACGGAAGACGACCCGTGGGCAATCTTCGGCCCGGTCACGAAACCTGCGAACCGCTCTTCACGTGGCGTCCATGGAAATGGATACTTCTGAGCCTGGCCAATACACGTACAAGTTCTCTGAGGTTGGCGACAACCTTTACGACCATGACCCGAAGAGTAGCCCGCTGGTGGTGACGCAGCAGGTGAACTCGCTTCCGTCTGCTAAATTTGATTCTCCCGGGCACATCTATGGTTTCTGCAAGGAGGACATCAGCGGCGAGGAATCCATCCCAGTTACGCTGGAGGGCACTCCACCGTTCTCATTGGAGATCACGATCAAGCACCACTCCAACGCCAAACCGGAGATTGTCACGATTTCGAAAATCAATTCCAACCGACACAACCTGGCCATCCCTCGACGTCATCTCGATCTGGGTCAACATGTGGTCAGCATCCACAAGGTCCGTGATGCACGGGGGTGTCAAAGGACCACCGAGTACGATGCATCCTCAGTGCGGGTGGCTGTTTCCGACGTTCCCACCATCATTCCGCTGGAATCCAAGGTCGACTACTGCGTGGGCGAACGGCTTTCATTCTCGCTTTCAGGCCATGCTCCGTTCGATGTATTTTATAGCTTTAACGGCGCCCAACGAAAAGCCACTTCCCAGAACACGAACTTCCGGCGGATTGCCGAACGGCCGGGCGAATTCTCCATCACCGCAGTTAGCGACGGGGCCAGTGGCAAATGCAAAGCACACAAGGACATTACCAAGGTGATCCATGAGATGCCCAGTGTTCGAATCAGCAAGGGTCAGGTCTCGGTGGTGGACATCCATGAAGGTGGAGAAGCCGAGCTTCAGTTCGAGTTTTGGGGCACGCCGCCCTTTGAATTCACGTACGTTGCAGAGATCCTCGATTTGTATGTGGATGCTAACTTGCCGCAGATACATTCGAAGTTCCAATGCACGCAAGGGGAAGAAACCCGAGGTGTTGGATATCAAGCATGACATTTCCTACGAGCATCGCAAGTCCGTCAAAACCTCGGACGAGGGCACGTACGAGGTTGTGGCGATCAAGGACAAGTTCTGTTCGTTCTCCTCGCAAGTGCCGACGGGCAAGTCCGACAGGGCAGCCGGGTCGTGAAAAGGAACAAGTACATGATTTCATGTGGTTTATTTATTCTCTGATGCTTCTTTTTATCTGGTTTTCTCTTATTTCTCTCTCTTTTTTTCCCTTTTTGAAGTTTGCATTGCAGTGGCGCTCGAGCAGGTCATGTACATTCGCGACAAATAGGATGAGGATTTTAATTAACTACACAACACATTCTATGCTTCTGCATTGACTTGACGAAAGTCAACATGGTCGATGAGACCATGGCCCAATCGAGTGATCTCGTTCATAATGGCAGGCTGATTGACCGTGACGCGGTCCTCGGCCAACGCTGGCGCAGTCGAATACGCCGTCTTCAGATTCCAATTGCGGTGCTTGAGGGTTTGAGGGTTCCAGAGGCCAGCAACGACGCCGCAGCGCTCATCTCCGTGGAAAAGAAGAATGCTCTGGCGGTAGCATGCCTGCACTTCGCGAACAAATGATTTCACAGCCGCCATCGGCCCGGCACAACCAGGCTCGGTCAGATTCTTGAATTTAGTCGCCGAAGAGGAACGATCGCCGGGCATCTTTGAGTGCAAATGGATAACAAAGTCGTATGGGGCGAGCGAGGTTTGGAATAGATCAGGCACATCCAAGTCAGAACTCTTCTTCCGTAGCAGGCTCACGGCTGCCTTGGCCAGCGTAGACATGCGAGCGGCCACGACCTTGGAGGGCATCTCGTATTGGGTCCAGGTCACGCCATTGGTATCGATATCCGAGGCAACGAACAGAGCGACGGTGTTCATGGCAGGATCAATGTTGCGCCAGGCTGTAAAACGAGTGCGGATGGTTTCGATCACCTCGGGAGTCAGCTCGCCGCCCAGATCGACGATGAACGGCTCCTGTTGCCAATCCCAGCGAGAGAGGAAATGGAGAGTCCTCAAGAACCCGGTCATGAGGCTCGAGGGGCAATCCCATGGATTTGGTTGGGTAAATACCCTGGTGGCCAACAATTCAATCACCTCATCGCTAATCTGAGCAGAGAAAAGATGGGAATTAAACCAGTGTTTCACCAGACGAATAGTAGGGGATAGCAGGGGGAAACGCGTGCAAAGGCTCCGTAGCGCTTGTGTAAGGCGAGGAGCCTGATCAAAAAGTTGTTTGTACGAGAAGAGAGCGTAGGCGACCTCTTCCCGTTCTCGTGATCCAAGTGTTTTATCTTTGAGGCGGCGCTCGAGCAGGGTCTGCTCACGGTCGTGGTGAATCCTTAGACGGAAGATGAAGCCAGAGGGATGAGGGATGTCCAGGTAGGCATTGTTGAGCATCTTGCTGGATTCGTTTTCCAGCCCGACTCGACAAGATAAAGCGGCGCCGGCTGATTCCAACGAATCGCCAATCTTGAGAAGAAACGCCACCTTGGTCATTTGAATCGCTGCCATGTCATCGGGCCACCGTGCAGAGCTCTCGAATTGCAGAACCACATCAACCGGGTCATTAGGGCCTGTGGGATTCTGGACTCGAAGCGCAGTGTACCGGAGGAGCGGACTGGCTGGGGCCAAATGCCGAACCGTCAAGGGGACATCTTCCATGTCGCGAATAGACCGCTCAAGATCGTCGAATGCATCATGAATCAGCTGAAAAGAAGGACTGGAGTATGCCACAACGCCATCACCTTCCCGGCGTAGCTGCTCGTCATATTCATCGCCGATAAAATCAAAGTCATTTCTGGAGACATTGAAATGCCGATGTAGTATGTACGCCAGGATTTGGTACACAATCGATCCCTCTGAGGGTTGATCGGACCACAACAGACTTTCCCGAATGCTGCCGTCCTTGAACCGCCGCAACTCTGCCTTGGGACCCCAGAAAGATCGAAACGAAGCCGCCTCTTCTTTTTCCTCAGCAGGCGGTCCGTGGTCCACCACCCTTGCGGCGTTGTCGGCGTCCAGAAGAAGCCCGACAGACAAGTGTTCGCTCGCCTTTTTCGTCAATGCCTTGGACCGGATTGACCATGAGTCAACACAGCGACTCGAGAAAGAGATAAGTTTAGCCCTGTCCCCAAGGGCCCTTGAGAGCACGGTATACAAAGCAGTCTGCTCGCGAAGGGCCCGGAGGGTATCGCCATTGTATGATCTGGGGAAGGAGATGAGACGGTCGAACCGCAACGCCGGTTCATCCACCTTAACAATAAAGACTTTGTCGAAATTGTCCTCTCGGGACTCATTGAGCATCTTCAAGGTGATCACGGCTTCGTGGCGGAGTGCCGCGTAGGACCATGGAGTCATCTTGTAAAGAATGTTCAGCCCTCTGCGGCCATCATACACAACAGGTCCTCCAGAAGGCAGTGAGAGGTCGGCAGTGAACAGTAGCAGAGGGCTGGTCAGGTCCCTGCCCGCGAGGAATTGCATAGTCGCCTTGAAGATTTGATAGCTGCTGTAGGATGGCAAGAGAATTGGCTGACCAGTTGGCCCGCCTCCTTCGAATAGAAGAGACATGAGAACCGCCCACTCAAAGCCTCCAAAGCCTCCATTTTGAGGTGCGGTGTGGAAACCTCGCTGCTGCAACCATGTGCGGCCGAGGATGCACGCGTCACGGAAAGAATCGCATTTCTGCGTAGCGGAGTGTAGATATTTGTGGTAAAGGGAGACCGTGGCCTCCGATCGGAGGCTGGCGTTGTAAAATGGAGTCGGCTCCCCGGCTTCTGGGCTGTCAGCTTGACGAATGTTGATCTTGGTCGGTAGCGTCCGTGTGATGGGGAACAGCGTGGGGTCAATCGCGGTCATGATTCGAATCTGCGGCTGCGATTGGGTTGCATCTTCATTCGGTGCATGACGCGGTTCCAGCAAGATGAGATGACGGAGGCTGTCCCCATCCTGAAGGCCAAACTTGACCTCCAGGCCCAAGTCGTTCATGGGCTCCTGGATCCCGGCGGCCATGCATGCAACATAGTATGCTCTCTTGTGGAAATACCGATGGTTGACATAATCCTTCTCTTGAAAGAGCGATTTCGGCATGGTCACAGCCAGGTCAACCGGGCGCGAGTCCGCAGTCCTGGCACCGGTCCTCAAAGTAAAACTTCCCACCACGTTGATGTTTACCGGCTTTGCATAAGACATGGTATATTTAGTCTCCTTGCCTGGCCGAGGCTCGGGCCATGGGACCACAATTCCACACGCACTTCGCAGTTCTTTCTCGGCCTCCATGACAGATATCGGGGGTTTGGCAGGCAGACTCTCAATAGCATTCTTGACCTTGTAAAGCGTCTCCTGGAATTTGGCGACTCGCTTGTCGTAGTTCAGTCTCAGGCCCGTCAACAACTCATCCATCTGCAGCTTGAAGAAATTGGACTTGTAGAAACCGCTAGCCATGGCAAGCTCCGCGGAGCGTTCATCCTTGCCTCGGCGCCCCAGACTGCTCTTGGTCGAGGACTCATCTTTGCGCGCGCTGTGGGCCGATGTCCCTTCGGTCGCATTCTCTGGAGAAGGGCTAAGTTTCCTGCGCTTGACTGTATGTGTCGACATCGTGGTGATGTTTACAGAGAAGGCCGGGGGAGGAGATGTTTGAGGCAGAAGATGAGCTCGGTGATAACTCGAATTTTTTTTTTTTTTTTCTGGGGCTGGCGATAACGGGTATTGTATCTGGTACTTCCCGTGTACCGCTGACTCAGAGATAATGGTCAGGTACCTGGTACTGCAGTCGAGACAATTGAATCATTCCCCTCCAAAGTGCCCTCTCGCTCTCTTTGCAACACATCTGCGGCATTGGATTCCACTCTTCGCTTACACTCATCAAGAATGTTGCAGGCTTTGGGAGGCTCTTTGCCCCCTAACACTGACCATGTATGTACTGCGAGTCCCCCCGCGGTGTGCCCCTCCATGGATTCTCTACACAAGAAATCCGCAAGAACATGGGCTTTTCTGGATGGTATGGAATCGCTGACATATGAGAAGGCTGTCAGTGCATCGCTGCCGACCTGGAGATCGAATATCGGTTACGAGGAGGGTGAGGATTGGGTGATGAGCAAGATGGAATGTGGTTATCCTCGGTTTTTCGTGCATCCCCTCATCCAAAAGCTCGTCCAGGAGGTGGTCCGTCGCGTGGGAGACCAGGCATTGGAAACAGCGACACTTTTTTCTTCGCTCAAGACGGCGCGCATCTGTCACTCGTTTATCGTACCCAAAATTCCGGCCGAGCAGTCGCACAAAGTACGGATCGTGAATTTCATTCCATCTCACACCGAAGCAAGATCGACTACGATCACAACCTTTTTATCTTGTGTTATCTACCCGAAGGAATACGCCTCTGTTGCCAAGCAAGTGTGGCAGCATTCAGGGAATGGCATCTCCAGCCGACGGAGCGAATTCTGCTTCCGTGCCTTGGAGGATGGTTTCTTGGTGGAAGAGAAGGCTTCTGCAACAGCGGAGTCAATTGCGCAGCGGCCCTGTAAGGGTCCTCGGAGATACCAAGGGCGAGGCGCCCTAAATGGGGTGACGCGGGGTTCAGCGCATTCAGTGTCAGGGGATTCACCTTCAGAGCGCAATGGCGTTGACGATGGCCGCGACTATTCTCAATTTATTGAGGAGCGGTTCGGCCGAAATCTCAGTCCCATGCTTGCAGACCAGGCTAAGCTCGCCATACGCCGACGAATCGCCGGTGTGCTGACTGCTGATATGGAGCTACCGGAAGCCCTGGAGACGACCTCATCAGAGGCCCGGGTATCTGGGACTTCAGAAGATGATGTCTTTCTTTTCCCATCGGGCATGAGCTCCATCTTCAACACTCACCAAATCTTGATGAATGTGCGAGGGCCCATGAACAGCATTTGTTTCGGATTTCCGTACACCGATACCTTGAAGATTCTCCAAAAATGGGGGCCAGGTTGCTTATTCTATGGCCATGGCTCATCGGAGGATCTGGACGACCTGGAGACTCGACTGAAGAATGGTGAACGATTCCTTGCACTCTTCACTGAAGCGCCGAGCAATCCGCTCCTCAAGACACCGGATCTGGTGCGGATTCGGTCGCTGGCAGACCAGTATGGCTTTGCTATTGTGGTCGACGAGACCATCAGCAACTTTCTCAATATTAATGTACTTCGGCATGCGGACATCGTCGTCAGCAGTTTAACGAAGATCTTCAGCGGAGACAGCAACGTCATGGGAGGAAGCGCAGTTCTCAACCCTCATGGGCCCTTGTATCAGAGGTTGAAAGAGTCATTTGAGCGAGAATATGAAGATCTCGTATGGGCGGAAGATGCTATTTTTCTGGAGAGAAACAGCCGCGACTTTATCACCCGAATCGACAAGATCAATGCTACGTCCGAAGTCATTACAGCCATGTTGAAGGAATCACCATTGGGTAAGTGGAATCTGCCATTTCGTTGCTGGAAGAGGCAGATCCAAAACTAACACACCACACAGTCAAGGAGGTCTACTATCCATCATACAGTCCCACAAGGCCCTTGTATGACCGACTCCGCAATCCTAACGGCGGATATGGGGGTCTCTTCTCCGTCACATTCCACTCCATCGCCGAGTCGATTGCATTCTATGATACCCTGGAGGTTATGAAGGGTCCTAGCCTTGGCACCAATTTCACGTTGAGGTAAAGTGCTGGCCAATTTGACTCACAGTTGGGAGGTCTTATTAACACCGAATTCAGCTCCCCATATGCCCTGCTAGCTCATTACAGTGAACTGGACTGGGTAAGTGGTCCCGTCTCAAACCCCCTTCCAGATTTCCCCGTTTGCTCTCTACCAATACTATACGTTCAACCTGACACTTTGCAGGCGAAATCATTCGACGTGGATCCCAATCTGGTCCGAGTTAGCGTGGGCTTGGAAGACGTGTCAGATCTGCGCTCACGAGTACAGCGGGCGCTTGATGCAGTGGAAAAGGCAAAAGAATGAACGGGGATCGGAACCAATGGACCCAGCATTTTCAACACGGTCCTTTGCAAGCCCTCGGGGAAAATGTCCGATCTGTCTCCCATATCTTCAACCAGAAAAAGACGGGCTATTTCCCACTATTGCTACACCTACAGGATACAAAGCAGCATCAAAAAAGACGAATCAGTGCATAATCGAGGCTATTCAGGTCCACATATTGACTGATGAAATGTAACAACTGAGAAGCAGATAAAACACCCCCTTGACGCCGTGTCAACTGTTCGAGACTGCGATCCCACTTTACGTGGACACAGCAGTACTTCAGCTTGCATTGTCCTTGGTTGCAAATAGATCGGATTCAGAAGAGAGACCAGTGCGAAAAGAATAGAAGAGCACGACTTGACGATTTAGAATGAACGATCCAAAACCTCGTCGTTGCCAATTGCACTGGCAGCCTGACTGGCCGCTCCACCCAAGTCCCCGCTGCCGGTTCGCCTTAGCGCTTGACGCATCGTCTCGACATTGAGCTCTCCGCCAAAGCTGGAGGAGACTGGACTTTGAGCCAATGGCAATGGGCTTCCTGCACCACGAACCCCATGGCTGGGAGACATCTCGAGTCCCTTGAAAGAGGTCGCAATGCTTGTAGGTGGGGAAGTTCCAAGCCCATGCGAGGAACCAGGCGAGCGTAGTGGGGACGGGGACCTGTTTTGCGATCCTAACATCACCGGGTTGCCCGAGGCTGGCGTGCTTTGGGAGGGGTCTCCTGCATGTTCGGCGTTGACCACGTCGGCAAAAGAAATAAAGCTCAAGCGCCGCACATCCGCTGTGTCTAGTGCCCCGTAAGTAGACGACATTTCGTCGAGTTCAGAGTGTTGTGATTGGTGTGGTCCACCATGATCATCAATGATCGAGGAGGAAAGAGACTGCTCTGTTGCAGAACCCGTGACACCCCCCGCCGCGGGCTGGTGGAGGCTATGGGTGACGATCTCCACCGAGTCCGGGTCAAGATGGTCATCCGTGATAGCGGCCGAGGATGCCTCGAGGACGGGTGGAATATAGTTCTCCGTTCGAATGTGTGCAGGGATCGAAGGCGACGCTTGGGGCGGCACCATGTCTTCCTGAACGCTTCGCTCGAATATCTGCGAGGCAGGCGAATGGAGGCGGGGAGGCAATTGCGATGTACCCCCCGGTGACGGGGGTTGCTTATACGGGTGACGCTGGAGATTGGGGGTGCGCAGAGCTTCGGAGGAGCTCACCGGCGAGATAGGAGACACGGTATCACTCATCGCGGAACCCGATGTCCCGAAACTGCTCTCGACCGACTGGTCCCGTTGGCCGTCCTTCATGCGGCCCCAGTTCAGAGATGCAGGTTTCGGGGCTCGGATACCAGCGGCTCCCTTTCCCACGAGAAGTCCATTGTCGTCGAGCAAGCCTGCTTGCTCATGGTCTTGAATAGGGTGAGGTGATGGCCGGGGGTGCAGCGCTTGAGCATCCACAAGCTGGGGCTGAAGGCCTTGAGGGTCCGACATGACAGCGATTCCGTCAGGGAGCAATGGCCCTCGTTGTCTGGGGTCACCGCCAAAAAATCCAAAGCCGATCTAAAAGTCGTCGGCCATGACCAGGAAGCCCCTGGATACTCAGAAATTAAACGGCAAACCAAATCACTGAGTAGTAGGCTGAGGGTGCGATGCCATCATTCTCTCACTCTCGAAGTCTCCTCCAAAAAAGGATGATGACATCTGTGCTGAGGCGTCCAGGTGATCAACGGGGTTGAACGTCATTTACAGGTACCTGATACTTGGAACATCTGCGTTTCTCAAGTATGGTGAGAAGTACCCAGTACATGTCTGTATTCTAGTAATACCAGGGTACCAGCTATACCCGATCGAGCCAGGGGGGGGTCACGAGACTCAAGGGAAAAAAAAGTTCTTGGGCGCGACATGTCCACCTTACTTTTTGTCCCTTTCCGCTTCACTCGACAATCCTCCATCCTACTCTTAAGAGTATGTTCTGGTCTATCCAGAATTGCCTTTACAAGCGGCTAACTTTCCCCGTTCTAGATTTCACGTTCTTGATTCCATTGACTTGCAATTCGGCCGATGATGGCTACCTCCATGGTGCCGAAACGGCCATTCCTCTCATTGCCATTCCTTCTTCCTTCTTGGACAGATTCCCTTGCACTCGGCTCGCGGCGCAACCAATCTTCGTATCGCCGAACCAAGCAACGCCTACGCGTCAAACCCGACGCCTCATTTGGCCCGTCCCGTCAAGGCCATGATCAAATCATCTTCAACCCGCCCTCCAGTGCTCCATCAGTCTATCACACCCCGTCAAAATTCTTGCCTCCTGGGGATGCTCGAAAAACTCTGCGCGCCGAAAACGTTGCGCGCCCGGATGCCGACAACCTTCCCGGGGTATACAAATCCACCGAAAAGAAATATCACCTGTCAACGGCGCAGATCGAAGAAATTCGTCAGCTCCGACTTAGTGATCCGATGACCTGGAGTAGACATAAACTGGCCAAACGCTTTGAATGCTCGCAGATGTTCATTGCCATGGTGTGCGAAGCCAGCCCGGAGAAGAAGGAGATTCAGAAGCAAGTCACTCAGGCCATTCAATCACGATGGGGCCCCAAGCGACGGATGGCCCGAGAAGACCGGCAATTGCGGCGGGAGACTTGGGGACGAGATGCGTAATGTGTCCACAACCCAACCAGGCTGCCACTTGGGGGTTGCAGCCCAGGGGGCCATGTATAGAAATCCATGTATTCTAGCTAGCATTCCATGTATTGTCACCGATCCAAACTGAATGTATGTGTTGGGAGAGGAACATAGCTATCCATGGATGTAGAGAATGACCCATGTAGAATAAGTAGTAAGCGCCTCGAATCATCACGACGGTGATAGGGCGAAGCTTTGATATTACGTGATGCTAAGTCAACTGGTCAACTGGTTCGGAGGACCTTCTGTCTGCCGCAGCTAACCATGCCCCTCTTTCCCCTCCGTCGTATCCCAGTGTCCCTGGCAAAAGGTTCTCTGCTGGCTCGCTTTCCTCCCAAGTCCATTTGTCCTCCGGCTTGTTCGCGCTTCTACTACGGGTACATCAGTGATTCCAAAATGGCACCGCAGTTGGAACCCTTCTTCAAGCAGTTGAGTCCCCCATCTCCTCTCGGTTGACGTTGTGAAGGGAGAAAAAAATTGACTGACCTCGGGCGTGTGTGTCTCTAGGGTGGATAAGTCATCTGATTTCTTCATTGATCGTGCGTAGAATCTCATCCAATCCTTTTGCCGAGGCTCTCGACTTCGTCGTTCTAGTGAACTGACCAAACTGTCTAGGTCTGCGAAAGGCAGTTGCGATTCCGTCGATCTCGGCACAGGATGAGAACAGAAAGGATGTGTTTCGTGTGAGTTGATGCAGTAATGGTTCCAAGGCGGCGTCTGGCTGATTTGTTTTCTTGCTTTCTTTGCCCATAGATGGGACAATTTCTGGCCTCAGAGCTCGAAGCGCTAGGTGCGGAGGTGCACCAGCAACCACTTGGCAAGCAGCCGGGGAAGGAACATCTCGACTTGCCTCCAGTCGTCATCGCGCGGTATGGCAATGACAAGAACAAGCGCACCATCTTGGTCTACGGACATTACGACGTGCAACCGGCTCTGAAGGAAGACGGCTGGGCCACGGAGCCATTCGAGTTGAACATCGATGAGAAGGGTCGGATGTACGGCCGTGGCTCCACGGATGACAAGGGTCCCGTTCTGGGCTGGATCAATGTGATCGAGGCCCATCGGAAGGCAGGCGTGGAATTGCCCGTCAACCTGCTTTGCTGCTTTGAGGGCATGGAGGAGTATGGGTCAGAGGGTCTGGATGAGTTCATTGAGGCTGAGAGCAAGAAATTTTTCAAGGATGCGGACGCGGTCTGCATTTCCGACAACTACTGGCTTGGTACCGAGAAGCCTTGTTTGACCTATGGCCTGCGTGGCTGTAACTACTACTCCATCAGCGTCTCAGGCCCCGCGCAAGATCTGCACAGTGGTGTCTTTGGCGGCTCTGCCCATGAGCCCATGACGGATCTGGTGAATGTTCTGTCGAAACTGGTTGATTCTCAAGGCAACATCTTGATCCCTGGTATTATGGACCTCGTGGAGCCCCTGACCGAGGAAGAGAAGTCGCTATATGGCAACATCAGCTACACCATGGACAACCTACATGAATCATTGGGGAGCGAGACCGGTATCCATCCGACCAAAGAGCGGACTCTCATGGCCCGATGGAGGTACCCGTCCTTGTCTATCCACGGGGTTGAAGGCGCGTACTCGGCACCGGGAGCCAAGACGGTCATCCCCGCGAAAGTGGTCGGCAAGTTTTCCATCCGTACCGTGCCGAATATGGAGAGCCCCGACGTGAACAAGCTGGTCTTCGACTACATCAAGGCCGAGTTCGCCAAGCTGAACAGCAAGAACACCCTGGACGTGTGGCTCCAACATGACGGCAAGTGGTGGGTTGCCAGTCCCAAGCACTGGAACTTCACCGCCGCCAGTAAGGCTGTGGAGCAGGTCTTTGGAGTTGAGCCGGATATGACTCGGGAAGGTGGCAGGTATGTTGGAATCCATCTTCTTATCTTCTTCCCTTTGTCTTTAACCCTGAGTGCTTTCTTACCGGAGCACCTCCCCGCTAACGGAATCGACAGTATTCCGGTCACCCTGACCTTCGAACAAGCCACCGGCAAGAATGTCCTGCTTCTTCCCATGGGAAGCTCGACCGATGCTGCTCACTCCATCAATGAAAAGCTTGACCGCCGGAACTATATCGAGGGTATTAAGCTGCTGGGCGCCTATCTTCACTATGTGGCGGAGGAACCCATCACGGCATAAACCCACGATTCCATATTTGTTGGAGACTTAGTGCTAGTCGTCTAGGTACGATGCTGGGTCTCTTCAGTGATTTCTTGTCTCTCTGCCTAATTTGCGAATCAATTGGAAGAAATTTTCCACAGTGTCTCAAGGAGAAAGGGCTGAGAAGTAGAAAAACTATTACAACAACTTGATTTAAAATCATCCATGAAGAACTTTACGTTGTATAAAACCACCTGGAGGCACTCATGGAGTGGGAGGGGCATTCTACTTAGTCAGCCCCGACGCGAATGTGCGCGCAGACGCGACGATCCGCTTGCTCAAGCCTCAATCGTAGAATACCCCCAAGTCAAGGGTCGCTGAGGGAAAAGCTAATCCAGTTCATCTCGCCATGCGCTAGCGACTCACTTTGCGATGCCGTCGATTAAGCGCTTGCAGGCGTCTCCGGACCCCGATGAAAGCGATGAAGCGTCCGATAATTCCGGATTGACATCCTTCCCATACTCGGTACGCCATCTGGATCACCATACAGGTTTACGGTCAAGCTCATGGAATACCAAGCAGAGAAAGCGACCGCGTACTTCGGACTCTTCATCGACAGGTGATGCACGGGTAAACGATCACGAGGCCCCTGGGGCATTCCTGTCGGTCACCGACGATGCGCTGCTTGACGACGAAGACGAGCTGGAACTGCGCCAAACGCAAATAATTCAGGAAAAGTACGCCCACCTGGTCGATGAAGCCAACGTACCTGCCGAGCATGGAATCCTCGAGCGCATTGAGTGTTATAACTTCATGTGTCATGATCACTTTCATGTGGAGTTGGGACCCCTCATCAACTTCATCGTCGGAAAGAATGGTAGCGGCAAGAGTGCAATCCTCACTGGGATCACCCTTTGTCTAGGAGGGAAAGCATCAGCCACCAATCGTGGTCAGAGTTTGAAGAGCTTCATCAAAGAAGGCAAAGAAAACGCCGCCATCATCGTCCGGATCAAGAACCAAGGCGATGGCGCCTACATGCCGGATGACTACGGCAAGTCGATCATTGTCGAGCGTCATTTCTCGAAGAGTGGAACTAGCGGGTTTAAGATCAAGGCTGAAAACGGGCGCATCGTCTCAACCAAAAAAGCCGAGTTGGATGCCATTACGGACTACTTTTCCTTGCAGATTGACAACCCGATGAACGTCCTCTCCCAGGATATGGCTCGTCAATTTCTCAGCACGTCCAGCCCCGCTGAGAAGTACAAGTTCTTTGTCAAGGGTGTCCAGCTGGAGCAGCTCGATCAGGACTACCGGTTGATTGAGGAATCGGTCGATCAAATTGAGGAGAAGCTTCGAAGCAAGGCGCAGGATATTCGAATTTTGGAAAATCGCAAGGATGCGGCAAAGAAGAAACTAGAAATTTCCGATCAACACGATTCCCTGAGGGAGCGTATCCGAAATGTCCGCAATCAAATGGCTTGGGCCCAAGTCGAGGAACAAGAAAGAGTTAGTATTTTGATTTCCTCGGATTGCCACCGCTCAGTCTAATGAATACAGGCCAGGGATTCTCTGGGCGAGGAACTCGCGAAAGCCGACGACCTGATTATGACCGCGGAGGCCGAGCTCAGTCGATTTGATCTCGCTTTCCAGGAAGTCGAAGGGGAGTCCGAAACAGCGGCTGAACATGTCCGACAAGCCACGGCGGCCCTCGAAGAGGCCCAGGGCGAAAAAGAAAAAATCAAGGAGAGATTGGATGAGGAAATGGGTCGCCGCCATGACCTCCAGGTATCTACCCCAACCTATTTCAATGCTGGCCTGCTTGAGTTTCCTAACCCTCTGTAGGCCGAGCAACGTCAAATCCGAGAGTACCTCAAAGCAGCAGCGTCCAGAATCCAGGAAACGCAGCAGAAAATTGACGAGGAAAATGAACGGCTAGCGGACGTGAGCGGAGGCGGTTACGCTCGAAAACAAGAAGAGTGTGAACAGGCTAGCAATGACGCAGCTGCCGCCCGAAGAGAGTATGATGCGCATCGCCAAGATGCTGGTCGCGTACGTGAAGACCTCGAAACTGCGCAAAGGGAAGCCGAGTCGGCGAAGGTTCCTGTGGAACGCAAAAGACACGACATTGCGCAGGCAGAGGCTCGTTTAAAGGTTCTCACGAGAGAAGGCGGTCCCAAACAGTCCGGTTTTCCGGACAAGATGCCGGCGCTACTGAAGGCCATTCAGCAGGAGCAATCCTTCACCACGCGCCCAGTGGGACCTGTTGGTCACCATGTCACTTTGCTGAAACCGAAGTGGGCTTCCATTCTCGAAAATTCCTTCGGTGGGACACTGGGCAGTTTCATCGTAACATCAAAGAGAGACATGAATACTCTGTCCCAAATCATGCGGCGGGTAAACTGGTGAGCCTTAGGGAACACTTCCTTTTGCTGGGAGTCTTTGGCTTACGACTCATCATGGCAGCAACTGTCCTATTTTCATTGGAAGTGACGGCCATATCGATACGTCCGCACATGAACCAGATCCTCAATATGACACTGCCTTGAGGATATTAGAGGTGGGAAATCCTCTGGCATGTTGACGTCTTATGCTAACCTTTACCCAACCAGATCGATAATCAACTGGTCCGGCGGCAACTTATCATTAACCATGGCGTCGAACAAATGCTGTTGATTGAGAAGCTGGAGGAGGCGTCCTCTGTGCTCTTCGACGGCCCGCGTCCGAGGAATGTCAGGCGCTGTTACTGTATTGACACAAAAGATCGGCGCCGAGGAATCCATCTTTCATACAGTCGAACCGGTGAGCCGAGTCAAGCGCCAGTGTCTATGTATATTGGACATCCGCGAATGAAGTCAGACCTGGCCTCGCAAATCAGGTAAGAAAATCACCTATGATGACGCATCTCACTCCGAAAACCGGATACACTAACATTTCTCTTTTATCAACAGCGTGCAGCGTGAAGTGGTCGGTGATCTCAAACGCGAGTTAAATCAGATCGAACAAGAATTGCAATCGGCCCGATCTCACGTTGAGGCCTGCAAGCAGGCGCTGGTGAGACACCAGAGGAGGGAAAAAGAACTACAGATCACCATGCAGAGGGTGGAGGACCATGCCGAAGCTCTTCGCGATTCCCTTGACAAAGAAACTGCGGAAGACGGGCACATAGATGCACTCCGCGCAGCCCTGAAGGAAGCTGAAGATGAAAGGCAGCTCAACCAGGGATCCTACGATGACAGCGTCACAGCCATGAGCGAGATGATGCAAACACTGAAGGGCATTAGACGAGAAATGTCAGCCAAAGACAATGACATCGGAGTATTGCAAGAGAAGTCAAGGGTCGCAGAAAGTGAGCAGTCTGTCGTGGGCGACAGACGCCGCCAGATTCTCAGTGACAAAAATTCCGCTGTGGCACGCATTGAGAACGATAAGCAGGATAGGGCGAGGATCCAGGACAAAAGAGAGCAGGTGGCTGCCAGGGTTCTCGATTACAACGAGAAAGCCAGCATGGTTTCATCACGGGTTCCCGTGGATGCTGGTGAAACTACTACTAGCCTCGACCAAAAGCTTGAGCGGTTGCACCGAGATCTGCAACGCTATAATCAGCAGTATGTTGTTTCTTTTCCTGGTTCATGGTCGACACATTAACGAGCGCTAGGTTGGGGGCATCCCGAGACGAAATTGCTGCCGAAGCCGGAAAAACTGAGACAGCTTATCTGCGAGCCAGGAAGCAGGTCGAAGAACTGACAATACTCGCTCAGGTATCTTCCATCGTCGATTTGCCGTGGTATTGAAGGGGCTAACCCATGGCTGCAGATTTTCAAAGACACCCTCGATAATCGCAAGAAGCGGTGGGAGATTTTCCGATCCCACATCTCATCACGAGCAAAAGCCCAATTCACCTACCTTCTCAGTGAGAGAAGCTTCCGTGGTCGCCTTCTGGCTGATCACAACGGCAAACTGTTGGATTTGCAGGTACGTTAGGTTTAACCGAGCCTTTTGAGTATTGGGCCAGAGCTAAACGCCTATTGGTTTCTCCTGTAGGTTGAGCCTGATATCACGAAAGATGACGGTGCTGGGCGTGGTGCCAAAACGCTCTCGGGTGGTGAGAAATCGTTCTCACAGGTATGCCTGCTGTTGGCTCTCTGGGAAGCCATGGGTTCTCCTATTCGCTGTCTCGATGAATTGTACGTGACCAAATTAATCCAAGTTGCCAGCTCTCGCTAACATGTATCTATAGCGACGTGTACATGGACCACATCAACCGCAAAATGGCTATCGACATGCTTGTAAGTCTTACAATCTCCGAATACCTTGATAAGACGAGGCGCTGACTGCATTGCAGATGATTGCTGCCCGGCGATCTATTGGGCGGCAATTCATTCTCATCACTCCTGGAACCAAGACGGACATCACGATTGCGTCGGATGTGAGGGTGAAGGAGCTCGCAGAGCCTGAGCGTGGCCAGACCACCTTGTCGTTCCGGCGATGATTAGAGCCATTATTTTCCTTTTCATGCACAATACCCTTGTTTTGAAGCAGTGAGAAACTCATTCGATAAATAATACTTTTTTTGCCTTATGGTTGGATCTCGAATGTAGAGGTTTCACCCTTATATTTCAGGTGTCAATGGGCAGCACCGAGGGGCAGGCACGTGATACGAAGAACGTTAGTCTTGGACTTCTTCGTTTCACCCAGTCACCTTTGTCTTTCTCCAGATTCCCATTGCTAAAGCTTCACCTGTGCCGACCCTACTCAGCCCATCTGAAACAACTTGAATTCTCTGGGTTTATCTTTTCTGTACCTTCACGAGAGGTCTTTCTTCTCATCCCTTCTCCCCACACAAAGACCTGGTTCAGAGGTCCACGATTGACCATCCACCTACAACTCTATTATTCTCGGTTTACACGGCTCCAGGACCTCTAATCTCTTCTCCTACTTTCTCCTCCATCTTTCGACCTGAATCCTCAAGGTTCTAAGCAATATTCTTGAACACCACTCACAAGTTGATCCCCGCTGATCAAGTACCACCCGGGCTTATCGAAAACACCTTTGGCTGCGTGAAGCGACAATCACACACAACATACCTGAGCAATTTGATCCGCCACAGCGACATTCTGATATTTTCTCTCTTCTTCATTTACGGTCGACTGGCCTCTTTCAAAATTCTGTCCATTTGAGATTTTTTTTCAATTTCCCCACTCTTGTCTCTTCTCACATCTTGACACAATGGCCGACGCCCTTGCCTCACAACTCAGTAATACCAAGCTAGGGTAAGCCGATGCTCTTTCCCCATGTCACTTTTCAGCCACATCCTAACTCAGTCGCCAGGGAAGGAAATCCGGAGGCAAGATTGCAGGAATCTCTCAACTTACCCCCCAAAGATGCTCGACCACAAACTGAGGTTTGTTTAGCACAGAGATACTATTCTCTTAGAGTGGAGCGCTGATTAGGTTTTAGGATGTTACTGCCACCAAAGGCCTCGAGTTTGAAGACTTTTACATCAAGCGTGAACTAATGATGGGCATTTTCGAGGCTGGGTTCGAGAAACCCTCTCCCATTCAGGAAGAGACGATACCGGTTGCTCTCACGGGCAGAGATATCCTGGCTCGGGCAAAGAATGGTACTGGGAAGACTGCCGCTTTCGTCATTCCTACCCTCGAGCGCATCAACCCCAAGAGCACGAAAACCCAGGCTCTGATCCTGGTCCCCACACGAGAGCTTGCCCTTCAAACATCACAGGTCTGCAAGACGCTCGGGAAACATCTCGGCATCAACGTCATGGTCACCACTGGTGGAACAGGCTTGATGGATGATATTATTCGTTTGAATGACGCTGTCCACATTCTCGTCGGAACTCCCGGAAGGGTGCTCGATTTGGCCAGCAAAGGCGTGGCCGATCTGTCGGAGTGTCCCACCTTTGTGATGGATGAGGCGGATAAACTTCTGTCTCCCGAATTCACCCCGGTCATTGAACAACTTATGTCGTTCCACCCGAAAGACCGCCAGGTTATGCTCTTCAGTGCCACATTCCCTCTCATTGTCAAAACATTCAAGGTAAGATCTTCAAGCGCCATGGTCTTCTAGTTGATGTTTCATGGTTGACCGTCTTCACAGGATAAACACATGCGCAACCCCTATGAGATCAATCTCATGGACGAACTGACCCTGCGGGGTATAACTCAGTACTATGCATTCGTGGAGGAGAAGCAGAAGGTTCACTGCTTAAATACCCTGTTTTCGAAGCTCCAGATCAACCAGTCGATCATTTTCTGCAACTCAACCAACCGTGTGGAACTCCTGGCCAAAAAAATCACCGAACTGGGGTACTCCTGCTTCTACTCTCACGCACGCATGCTGCAGCAGCACCGCAACCGCGTGTTCCATGACTTCCGCAATGGCGTGTGCCGCAACTTGGTCTGCTCGGACCTGCTTACCCGCGGTATTGATATCCAGGCCGTCAACGTGGTCATCAACTTCGACTTCCCTAAGAATGCTGAGACCTATCTTCACCGAATTGGCCGCTCTGGGCGTTTTGGGCACTTGGGTCTTGCCATCAACCTGATCAACTGGGATGACCGGTTCAACTTGTACAAGATTGAACAGGAACTGGGCACTGAAATTCAGCCCATCCCTCAAAACATTGACAAGAAGCTTTACGTGTACGACTCGCCGGAAAACATTCCCCGGCCCATCTCCAACCCCTCCCAGCAGCAAGCTGTAGTGGGGGCTTCACATGCCGGCAATGGTGAGCGTCAGCCTCGTCGCCAGAACAACCATCCGAATGGCGGACAGTACTACAATCGAGGCCGGGGTTCCTACCGCGGCGGTCGAGGCCAGGGTCAACGCCGTGGTCCCCATGATCCCAACAGGTTAGCTCTTGCCCAAGGACAGCCAGGGAGTAAGCCGCAGGCGCCCGTCTCCTAAGCGCCTTGATGGCATTCTGAGGCGGGTCATTGAGTGCATTGTCTTTCAAAATGGCCTCGTTTGATCTCGTTTCTGCCATTATTCCGTGTGCTGTTGTTTGGGCTGGCTGTTCGGTTCCTTTCTTTCCCTCCTTTTCCTGCTTGCTTTTCCATTTCGTTCTTTCTTTTCTCTCGGCCCTTTGTGGAGGTCTTGTCGGGTCAACCCCCGATACGCTAAGTTCTTCGCTCTCGGGAATGGGAGCTTGCCGTTCAGCGTCGGTTTGCAATTTTCTCTGATCATGATGATACGGTACAGGCGCGACATGTGTATCATACTTTCCTTTCTGTTCTTCATGATTTCCGCAGCGGTCTACGTCGCCATGGGTCGAGTTGGGGCCTGGGTCTGGGTCTGGTGCATTTTCGGCGCCATGATTACTCCACGCATCTCCGTCGTCCCACGAGGGTGTACATATGCCCGTCTACCTCGTGTTTCCAGGTTTTTCAGGACCGGCGTTCTCTTTCGGTTGAGCGAGTTTGGCGTTTGTGTGGAGCCGGGCGAAGTGGCTTCGATATCCTGAACGGACATGCCCCTCCTCGGCCGGTGTATTTCTTCTTCCACACTTCCAGTGCGCTTCGTCAAGATCCTCCGCTGGTATCCGCTGTGATCTCGCCATTTGATGGCACCGTTCTCTCTGTCTCGACCCTTGGATCGGTGCCCGTCTCTCGTCAACCCCTTTGTTTAACTTTTAACCCCGTTTTCACGACACCATTCCCTCGATCGCCAAGGCAGTGTCCTTTTTCTTGTGCGACATCCTCCAGATGTGCACAAGATCTATATCCACAACACACCACGTTTACCATGGGCCACATCCACCAAACCCTTGGCCAAGAAAACAAAACCACGAAAACACCAGAAAACACCAGAAAACAAAACAAAACCAAACCCAAAAAAAAAGTAGGAGGAACATTGGATGCTGAACTGGGATTCGGTAGATTAGCATCTAGTGAAATGAACAAGAATTGCCTCTGATCTGCCTGTGTTGCCCTTGGAATTTGCACCTGGTGGGGCTCCCGGCCACCGTATATCATAAACTCCCGAGGCTCACAACTCTTCCTCTCCTTCCACTTCGTGGAGCATTCAAGATCTTGTCAATGGCGACGGCAAACAAAGATCAAAAGGCCAAGGTTTGCAGGCTTATTACCGTCTATTTCGTCACACCTAACCATGTCATAGCCTAGCGCTCTGCGCTCCATCATAGCGGGCTCGAGTGCGGGTGCCGTGGAGATCGGTGAGGGTCCATTGTAACATAGAAACTATTGTGCTTAGCTGACGTCGCCACCCCTAGCGATCACCTATCCCGCAGAATGTATGGTATCCCACGCCTCAATCGCGTTCCTTTTCGGACTAATCCCTCGCCGCAGTCGCTAAGACCCGCACTCAGCTCAATCGTCGCCTCCCGGATGGCCAGAAACTACCGTGGCCGCCATTCGGGAAGCAGTGGTATGCTGGATGCACCACATTGATAATTGGAAACTCGCTCAAGGCAGGCATTCGTGGGTCTTTGGGATTCCAAGCGGTGGACTAGGAGCATACTGGGCTGACATGGAGTCCGCTTTCCAGGATTCGTTGCTTTCGACGCCATCAAATCAGTCTTGCAGGATGAGAACGGCAAGATTTCGGGACCCAGGACGGTTGTAGCGGGATTTGGTGCTGGCTTCACAGAGTCTCTGCTGGCTGTCACTCCCTTTGAGAGCATCAAGACTCAACTGTTGGTTGCACCTTGTGCCTCGACCACGTTCTGCTGCTAATCTAACACTTCTAGGATCGACGACCGAAAATCTGCGACGCCTCGGATGCGTGGCTTCCTGCACGGTAGCAACATCATATTCCAAGAGAGGGGTCTCCGGGGTTTCTTCCAGGGTTTTGTCCCGACCACCGCACGGCAGGCGGCGAATTCAGCGACCCGGTTCTCGAGCTACACCACTTTGAAGCAATTGGCCGAGGGCTATGTGGCGCCCGGGGAAAAACTGGGGACCGTCAGCACCTTCGCCATTGGAGGGATAGCGGGTTTGATCACCGTGTAAGTTGCGCCTGCTCGGGTCCACCCATCTGAATGCGTTGAGATGTCTCTGACGTGGGCATCACCGGTACAGTTATGTCACACAACCTCTGGACACCGTGAAGACAAGGTCAGTTTAATTCTCCCCTTGGCATGGTGGTCCCATTACAAGTGGCTCAAACGTTAGACAGGATGCAATCTCTTGAAGCAAGTAAGAACTACAAGAACAGCTTCGTCTGCGCCGCGCGAATCTTCCGGGATGAGGGCGTGTTCACCTTCTGGTCCGGGGCCATGCCGCGGCTGGCGAGACTGATTATGAGCGGAGGGATTGTGTTCACCATGTTCGTTTTCAACCCCCTGGCTCCGGGATAACGTATAGCTAACTGCCAACAGGTATGAAAAGACCATGGAGGCCTTGGACCTCGTGGATCCACAGCGCAAGTACCTCTAATAAGATAGACTGGGTGTTAAAGAATAGAGTCTGTTTTCTAATGTACAATTGAACGGGCTTTGCGGTCCTACTCTGGCGTCGCCTTGGCTAGTTCCTCGGCCACTATGGCCTCCACCTCGCGGTCAACCATCCACGTCCGCACACTGTCCATCACGGTCTCCAGGCCATCGCCTCCATCGAGGACGTCGCCCAGGTTGTGGATTGTGACCCCAGTGCGATGATCCGTGCAACGACTTTGACCGTAGTTATATGTCCGGATCTTGTCGCCTCGTCCCATGCGGGCGACGCCGCCCAGGACTCCTCGTCGGAGTTGGACAATTTCTTGCTCTCGGGCTTCTTGTCTCGCTTCCGCCAGCTTAGCCCGCAAGACCTGCCAGGCCTTTCGGCGGTTCGCCTGCTGGGACCGCTCATCCTGCATGGAAACCACCGTTCCCGTTGGGATATGAGTTAAACGGATGGCGGACTCGGTCTTGTTGACATGTTGGCCTCCCGCACCCCCAGCCCTCATCTTTTCGACCCGTACCTCCTGGGGATCGACGTAGTAGTCGCTATTTGGATCTTCAAAGTTTAGGGCATGGTCCATCCCACTGGTACTCTCGGGAAAGCTTGGCAGGACCATTACGCTGACGGCACTGGTATGAGTGCGACCCTTGGTCTCAGTCGAGGGCACTCGTTGGACTCGGTGCACTCCTGATTCGGTCCGCAGAATATCATAGGCGCCGTCGGTGTCGACTTCGATCACTGCCTCACTTAAGCGATCCTCGGCGGTCCCATCTTCCGAGTCCTGCTTAATGATTGTAGGCCTCAGGCCTCTCCGCGAACAGAAGGCCATGTACATTCGTAACATATCATAGGCGAAAAGGCCGGCCTCATCTCCGCCAGCGCCTGGTCGAATTTCCAGCAAACACGGGAGGTCAGCGAAGGGGTGGCGAGGAATCAGCGACTTCTTCAATCGGTCTGATATTGTTGGCAGGGTATCATGGCTGCTGTCCAGGTCCTCCGTCGCGAGAGATCGTAACTCCGCGTCGGTGTTTGGGTCTTCCAAGAGGGATCTGAGTTCGACGATTGACTAGATGGGTACATGTGAGACTACCTTCAAATCGACAGAACGCAAAAACGACGATACCTCATTGGCGTGGTCCCATTCTTTGAGGACGTTTGCAATCGGAGCCAATTCCCCGGCTCGTTTCGCGATCTTGGAATCAAACGACTCTCCTAGGCGATCAGATAGCTTCGCATGTTCTGCGGCGAGTAAACGAGCTCGTGTTAAAAGGGCCGGCGACAGAGCCTCCGGTGCTTCGTCCAGTCAGCGTTTGACTTGGCAGAATGGGATATAGGCGATACCGGTGTGTAATGCGCGCAAAGGACGAGTGAGGCGCAATATATGTCGACCACATAAGGGGAGACGGAGCATGGCAGGGTATTACGGGGAAAAGGATGGCTCGATTCATGCAATTCTGGAGATCATGTCGGGTTGAGTAATGCCTTGGAAATCAGGCCTCAGTGACCAAACGATACTGGTAATAATACGCGTAAAGGCCAGACATCTGCATCCTCAGGCCCACCTGCCACCATTCTATTCTCTCGCAATCTGGGAGACCTCCCTGGGTTATGTCCCTCTCTCATTTGACTCCTGGATCCGATTGACTTATCCATTTTGTATCTGCACTTTGGCTTTTCCGCCATGCGCATCTCGGAGTCACTAACGGCCCTTCTGGCCACTCTCTCAACGGCGTATGCGCTCCAAGCATCTCAGATTCCACCGGACACGCCTCTCTCCGAACTAGTCTCCTCCGCCAAAGCTCACCTGGCTCAGGACGCGCCCCAGGATGCCTTGGTCTACTTCGATGTGGCGATCTCGCGAGATCCGACCAACTATATCACTATTTTCCAGCGGGGAGCCGCTTATCTGTCCATGGGCAAGAGCTTCCGTGCATCGGATGACTTCGATCGCGTGTTAGAGCTCAAGCCAGACTTTGAGGCAGCTCTTCTGCAGCGATCACGCCTCAAGGCGCGGGCCGCGCATTGGGATGAGGCTTTACGGGATCTCGAACGGGCCGGGAAGAACCCATCAGTTGAATACCAGGAGTTGGAAATTGCGCGAGATGCCGCGGCCCTGGCCTTGGATGCCGAGAAGCAGGGCAACTGGGAGGAATGTGTTTCACAGGCGGGTGTGGCGATCATGAAGGCAAACACCGCCTTGTCCCTACGGCAGGCGCGGGCACACTGCCGCCTGGAGCGAGGTGAGGTGGAGGAGGGGATCAGCGATCTCGCACACGTTCTGCAAATTGCACCGGGCATGGTGGAGCCACATCTACAAATGTCCGCCATGTTGTTCTATGCCTTGGGGGACAATGAACGAGGTCTGGCCCAAATCCGCAGGTGTCTCCATTCGGACCCAGACTCAAAGCCCTGTAATCGGCTCTATCGACGGGAACGTCAACTCCTCAAGCGCCTGGAAAAGTTACGTGGCGCCCTGGAGGCGCGCAAGTTCAACAACGCGGTGAATCTTCTGGTCAGCAAGGGTGAGGAAGATGGCTTGATCGCAGACGTGAAAGTCGATGTCCAAGAGGCAAAATCACTTGGCCACATTTACCACACGGCACCCAACCACCTCTACAATTTACTGGTCGAGAAAACTTGCGAGGCTTATCATGAGGTTCGTAGGGCTCTTTCTTTTCCATCGTACCTTTCATGCATCGATAGCTAACATTCTGGAATCAATAGATGCGCATGATGAAAAAGGCGGGGCCATATTGCGCCGACACTCTGCAGCTTATTCCCCACTCTCTTCCTGGTCTCTTGTATCAGGCGCAGGTCGCCCTCGACCAGGATCAGTTTGAAGACGCCGTCCGCTCCCTCAACACGGCCAATGAGCATCACCCCGGCTCTCAGGAGGTCCAGTCCCTGTTACAGAAGGCCAACGTGCTCCTGAAGCGTTCAAAGCAAAAGGATTATTACAAGACGCTCGGCGTCAGCCGGGATGCTGATGACCGGACCATCAAACGAGCCTATCGCCAATTGACAAAACAACACCATCCGGACAAAACCGCGGCCCAAGGCGTGAGCAAAGAGGAGGCGGAAAAGAAAATGGCTTCTATCAACGAGGCTTACGAAGTGCTGTCCACACCGGAGCTCCGCGCTCAGTTCGACAACGGCCATGATCCCAACGACCCTGGATCGCAGGGAGGTCATCCGTTCCAGGGCAATCCATTCGGCGGCGGCCAGCAGTTCTTCTTCCAGCAATCCGGAGGGGGCTTCCCCTTCGCCGGAGGGTTCCCTTTCCGCTAGATTCATTTTCCTTCGATGTACCGTGTCAAATATATACCGAGGTGTTCCCGGGAGTATCGAGCTGTTTCCCTGTTTCTTTTTCCCCCCCCCTTTTTTTTTTTTTCTTGATAGCCAGATCATTTGGCAGCGAATTGAACAGAACCGTATGATTTGTAAACTATTGTCAACCCCTTTTTACTTTGGCCACTTCCCTCCGCGTCCTCATGCACTCGGGGCGTCTGTCAAGGGCACGTAGCTGACCTGGAAGACCTTCTCTTTCTGGACCGAACCATCCTCCTTTTTGTCGACCACCCAGATGTATTGCCCTCCGCCCAGGCCGAGGCTACTCAGGGTGGTCCCATCGTTTTCCGCCTCCACCGGAATAAATAGCCGGCCGGGAGCCCGCAGTTGGTCCACCAGAACGGAATGAAGCTCTTCAGCAGCTGCGCCGACATGGATTGCATCATACGGAGCCCCGTCCTTCCATCCCAGGCGCCCGTCGGCCGTGATGAACCGCACCTTCTCGGAAGCCTGTAGTTCTTGGCCCTTGTCTGACTTGTTCATATTATTCCGGGCTAGGTCCACCAGTTGCGGGATGTGATCCACGCCAATAACCTGGCCCGGGCCAGTGTCGGAGGAGTCTATCACGAGGTTGGCCAGGACATGAGTCAAGTATCCAGAGCCCGACCCAATATCCAACACCCGTGCCCCGGGTTTCAAGTAGTCGATGAGGTACTCGCACGCGTGGCCATGCATGTGGGGTGCGGAAATGGTGGCACCGTACCCAATGGGTTGGGGGGAGTCCGAGTATGGGCGCGACGGGGCATAGTGGGCGCGATCCACCTTGGGGAGGGAGGGACAAGAGTCAGAAGATCCACTCGCATGGTGACGGGGATTCTTTGCTCACGCCGATCATAGCTTGTTTCACTCGTTCATTTTTGATCAGACCGACCTTGAACAGGTTCTCCACCAGTTCAATGTTGGTTGAGCCGGAACAATACCACGCCATGGCTCTAGATGCTCTCTGCGTGGATGCAGTCAGTAGGGAAATTCTTTTGAGATGGGTTAGCATGTAGCGTGAGCTTGTAGTGGGGAGAGGGGAGAAGATGGAGGAGAGGGGCAGAGAGCGTAATTTGGTTTCGAGAAGACATGACGCCATGTTCTCTTCATCCCACGTGAGTACCAGGTAAACGAGTAGCTCTGCGACTGTGATTTATGCTGTCTGTATGTTTCTATTTCTATGTCCATGGTAATGAAGAGACTATAGTCGATTGCATTCCTGGATGACCCTAAAGCTATACATGTCACTGTATACTTCGATCAAGTACATAGAGATATAGATAGATAGATATATAGAGACATGTTGACTGATCCTGCACCAATCCAAAATCATCCACACCCCAATTCAACCCATCCAAAACCCCCTTCAGTCCAGCCTATGCACTGGGAATGCACGGAGGGCAACCGGGTTTGGCGGGGGGACATGCCGGGTCGCAGTCGGCGAGCACTGGCGATGCGGAGAGAGCGACGGCCACCACGGCAGTCTGGAGACCCCATTCGCTTCACCTTTCACAACCCAACGGAGAGACGAACATAGTGGACCAGCTGCATTTTCTATCTTGATTGATTTTGGCTTTTTTGTCTCGGTGCTTTGATGAGGTGGAACCAGCTCTGATTTATTCTTTATATATGGACGCCCCAGGTCGCCTTTACATCGGATCTCATCAGACCGGCTTGGCCGGTGGATTCACGGGGCGCAAGGCAGAAAATCCAACGCTGATCTGATAATCTCGGAGCCAAGTCCATCGAGATTCTCTTGGACCGCGACAAAACAACCATGGAAGCGGACCCGGACACTCAGGTCGAGGTCGATTTCATGATCCGCGACTACCTTGCATGCATCGCGATCGATGGTGTTTTGACCGACCACCCCGGCCACGACGTGGACTGGCTGGTCCACTCGATCCAGAGTAAGGCCTCCCTTGAATCATGCGCGCGCATCCTCGTTGACCCTCAACAGCCTTCCAATCATCCCGGACAGAATCCCCGGCACCCCCACCTTCCCGCGATCTCAAAATCAAGCTGCAACTGTTGACCGTGGCCCACCGGCTCCGCGGCTACACGCCTGCCCGAGATGCTCGCTCGCGCCCAACCCCCACATTGTCTGCCATTGCCATTGAATTTATGGACCTCTGCTCCGCCGCAGTGGACAAGGTCTCCGAACCCCGCTGGTTCGATATCGGGGCGCGGTTTATGCTGCAAGCAGTACTGGAAGAACATCGCATCGCTGACAGGACGCCATCACAAGCCCTCCGTCAACTATTTGCCTGGGCCCCCGGCGAGCCAGACCGCGATCTGAAGTGGGCGCACAGCCGTCACCAATACTCGAGTGACCTACCGCTACCAGGCAGGCCGTCTGCCCCGGAGCGCCAAGATGCCCTGGCCCAAAAATTTCCCTTGTTCGAGTTCAAAAATCTGGTAATTGAGTTCCTGCGAGACCTCATGACAACCCTCGACCCGCCTATATTGATCCAACTGGAACGGGGGAAACTGGGCAGCCTCAGCCGAGCGGAGACGCAACAACTGAAGGCGCGAATTGGTTTACGTTGAAACAACTAATCCTGGTGTGCTGAGTCTCGTGCCACCGGATAGCCTACGCCAGAGCTCTCAGGCTAAATCTCCGGTGTATTCCACATCCAATGGAGTTACCTGAGGATGCTCCCCTCCCTTGGCCAACGCAACTCATCACCCGGCCACACGTTGGGACTCGGCCGGAAGTTCTCACCCAACCTCGGAGCAAGAGAAGCCTAACACTCACCATCTCCTGGAAGAAGAGGTTTAGGGCGGCTGGCAATTCACATATAAATCTAGACAGGGGACCCTCAAGAGACCTCATGTTTCTTGGTCGCCACCTGCTCCGCCTTCTCGACGATCACCGTCGCGGGACAGCAAAGGCCATGGTCATCATAAGGGGACCTGTGAGGTAGCTACGTCACCACTTTCTTGGGGAAATGTACAGAATCATTATACCCAGATAGAACCCACACCACGAGGCCTGGTTCTTAAAATAGCATTTATATTTTAACAACCCGGTAATTTACACAACGGTCTAAAGCACGAACATTAATCAATCCAGGCTGGAGATAGAACCGTTTATCCCAACAGCATGCGACGGGGGTCCTCGATGTATTCCTTGACCTAGAATGGGACGAGTGGTTAGCCTGGGCCGGGGAAGAAGATGGGCATCTTTACCTTGACAAGGAAAGTAACGGCCTCACGACCATCCAGAAGACGGTGGTCGTACGTGAGAGCAAGATACATCATCTGTGACCGAACATTAGCACACCCCCCAGCAAAGCGGAACAAAACGTATGCAAGAGCGAAGATAATACCGGGCGGATCTCAATCTTCCCGTTCACAACCACCGGCTTATCCTTGATCGCATGAAGCCCAAGTACAGCTGAGGGGGAAACAGTTAGCAATAGAGTCTGAAGGATGCTACTTGCGAGGGATCCCTACCTGTCTGAGGCAAGTTGATGATGGGCGTGCCCATCAAGGAGCCAAAGACGCCGCCCTAGTCAAGTTAGATACTCTGGAATGGAAGAGGAGGAAGCAGGGCGCATACGTTGCTGATGGTGAATGATCCACCGGCCATGTCCTCGATGGTCAGCTTGTTGTCGCGAGCCTGATCATCATCCGTCAGTATTCGTTTGGTGCTAGAACAGGCATGAAACACCAACCTTCTTGCCCAGCTCGGCGATCGCCTGCTCGATTCCGACCAGGTCCTTGCTCTCGGTGTTGCGAACAACCGGAGTCACCAAGCCCTTCTCGGTTGCAACCGCGACACTAATATCAACGTAATCGCGGTAGACAATGGTATCGCCACCGTTGGGGCCTTCGATGGAAGCGTTCACCGCGGGGATATCCTTCATGGCAAGGACACAAGCTCGAGAAAAGGCACTCATAAAGCCCAGCTTCACGCCGGTCTTCTTGAGCACATCATCTTTGTACAATTTTCGGAACTCCATGAGGGAGGACATGTCAACCTCGTTGAAGGTTGTCAGGGAGGCCGCAGTGTTTTGGGACTGCTTCAAGCGCTCCGCGATCCTCAGGCGCATCCGGTTCATTTTCACCTAACGTGGCAAGGGTGATCATGTTAGCTTCAACTTAGAGTGTGAGATGAAAGGGGTGGGAGCATAACATACTCGGCGCTCTTCGCGGCTACCAAAAGCAGGCTGCGCACCCGTCGCACCCTGCGGCTTGGAGGCATCGGCTTTCACAGGTGGCTCCTTGGGCTTCTCTGACGGCGGCGCGGGCTTCGATGCTTGCGACTCTTTGGGCTTCTCCGGCTCAGAGGGCGCGGGAGCGGGCTCCTTCGGCTTTTCAGCAGCATCCTCCTTGGGCTTCTCGGGGGTCTCCTTCTTTCCCTCGGGGGCTCCTCCCAACTCCAGCTTGACGAGATCCTGTCCAACGGTGACAGTGTCTTCCTCACCCACGAGAAATTCCTTGATCGTGCCGGATTCAGGAGCGTTGACTGAAACATCAATCTTGCGAGGGAGGAAAAAACGTTAGAAGACCAGGTAAGCTGGGAAACAAGGGTTATGCCAGATCACTTACCTTGTCGGTCTCAATTGTAGCAAGCTCCTCATCGCGTTCGACGAAGTCCCCAATCTCTGTAAAACAATATTAGGTTCCATGGAAACTGACTGAATGGAAGAGAATTGCCTACGTTTGGAGAACTGCTTCAAGGTGCCCTCTGTGATTGACTCGGCCATCTGGGGAACCTGGACGACCTTATCGGCTAACATGAAGAGAGTATTAGCACCGTCGATCGGATGGAAGAGTCAAATCCACGATTCACCATAAGTTCTGATTTGGTTGGCCCCCTAACGGAGCGAGGCTGAGTCGCGAAACATTGATCCTGTCATTGCTGGCTTTTAGTGGGTGCGCTCGACCATGCTCGGGAGTTATATTCTTACCCGGATGAGGAAACCTGCAGCAAGCCCGAAGTCGCTCTTGGCGACACATTGGATCGCGAAAGAGTCGAGAGACCCTTCACGCTGCGAAGCTGGCTGGGGGCCCGAGGAGTAAATCGAGCCACAGTTGTCAGGCGTTGACCCGACAGGCGCGAGAGTGGAAGTCGAGAAGCCATTATTGGCGGGGTGTAAGGGGGGTTAACGGGGGAGCCAAACAGGAATTGACAACGTGAAAGAATCAAAAATCCCAGGGAGATTTTTTTGGTGAAGGGGAAAGAGAAAAAGGCGCACTCTCCCTTCTCTTACGTATCCGAGCTCCCGGGCGTCGGCGACGATCCACCGGAGGATCCTTTTCGCGCCCGTGCGGTGGGCCACAGACGCCAACATCGCAGATTGCAACGAATGAGGAAGTCCACAATAGTCACCCTGAGCACCTCAATCTCTCCATCACTGCACTCGGAGTGACTCGGATTGCTCCTCCAGAACTCATCAACACCTTCATCTCGGGTCCTCCTGTTCAATTGAAAGTTTCCCTTTCTTTCCGGTCGCTGGGAGAGCCGGGAGAGCGCATCATGTCCACCTCCCCAGCTGCGTGAGTGAGCCTGCAATCCCTCTCGAAAACCATGTCCTGACTATCCGCAGGTCGCTCTATCGGCGATCTTTGAAGTTGTCTTTGGACTGGGCTGTCCAGCGCCAGGTGTGGCGCGGGCAAGCTGTCTATATTCGATCTCTGTTCGAAGCCAACAAGGACGTTCGCGATCCTCGCCAGCAACAGGTACGCGACTTTTGTGGATCCGCCAGAATGCAATGACCCTGTCTCATATTAAACGCTCCCAGGTATTGTTGCGCGAGACAGAGAAACTGCTTGAGAACTGGAAACACCCCGATCCTTACCGGCCACCGACCGCCCCTGGAGGTATGACTTTTTCTGGACCTTGTGGTGCTGGAAGTACGAGTCATGATATCTAACATTTGCCATAGGTAACAAGTGGGAGCGAAATTTACCCGCTCGCATTCTCCCTTGTACGTGTACCATGTGCCCAGCTCCTCGACATCGGATATTAATAAATCTACACAGATGCGGCACCCCCAGCCGGACACTGATCACCGAAGCAGTCACAAAACACGAAACGTTCAGGGGGAATGGATATTGGAAGATCGCACAATTTTATCAGCCTGAGAGCACATGTACTTGTAACAACGAAAATCATTACAGGCCTCTCATGAAACACATCACTGGATTCCCTAACATCATTCAATAAGACGATGATCCGCGACTCAAGAATGGACAGTAAAAACTGTACAGAGAGAAGAAATGCCGAGGACCTAGGATCTTTTTCATTGATGTGGGCCTGCACCCGGGGCTAGTATCCGAAAACTGGAATCCCGCGAACAAGCTAAGTTCGTCGGTATCGTGCCATGTCCGCAGACATAATGTACAACCAGGAAATTGAAAAAAGAAAAACGCAGAGCCATAAAGTGCCCATCCCATAACCCCATTATCGTATCGAAACCAATCCACGCCGGAAAAAGAGAACAAACAACCCGTGAAGGAAAAAAGAAGACACCCTTTACAGCTCCTGGCTGCCCTTGCCGGCCTTGGGGGTCTTCTTGGGAAGAAGGTCTGGAGACGACATTAGCAGCCAACTCGGGCGGAAATATGGAGCGAATCAACCTACTCTGGTGGATGTTGGGGAGAACACCACCCTGGGCGATGGTGACGTGACCCAGGAGCTTGTTCAACTCCTCATCGTTGCGGATGGCAAGCTGGAGGTGACGGGGAATGATACGGGTCTTTTTGTTGTCACGGGCGGCGTTACCGGCCAGCTCGAGGATTTCAGCAGCCAGGTACTCCAGGACGGCCGCCAGGTAAACGGGGGCACCGGCACCGACACGCTGGGCGTAGTTGCCCTTGCGAAGAAGACGGTGAACACGGCCGACGGGGAACGCCAGACCGGCCTTGGACGAACGGCTAAAAATCAAGTCAGCACACGAACAGACAAGGGATGTTGATCATAAAGCCCAAACTTACGACTGAGCGTTCTTGCTGCCGCTCGCCTTTCCGCCAGACTTGCCGCCAGTCATTTTGATGGGTTTGGTTGGATGAAAATAAAATGGGAAAAGTTAGAAAGTGGGAGGAAGTTGGATTGATGGAAGTGGTCAAGGTCGCAAGAATAGGTGGGAGGCAGCTTGTGGGAGCAGAGGACATTTATAAGGACGCGCCGAGGTGACGTTGCGCCGCATCAAACAGCCTCCAGATCACGCTCTCGCTTAGCGGTGATGGCCAATCAACAAACAGATCAGACATGCCTGATCGGGAATGGCGCCGTAATTTAAGCGGTGTATTGGATGTGACCGCCCGCCCCGTATGATCCCCGCCTGTGTCCCCCGCTATTTGACGCGTCTCCCCCCTCCGAATCATACAAATCATACGCAGTTGTGACGGTATTGAAATTCCGCCTCCTTTGCATTCCCCAGGATCAACTGGCCTTTGGCGCACGAGTATAAAGACCGCGCCTCCCTCGTCACCGCGTCCCTCTTACTTTTCCCTTCCACTCCATCTCTGCTTCCCACCATCCACGCTTCATCTTTCAAACCTTTCAATCTTCTACCTTTTTTTTACCCCCTCCCACTCAACTTATTGATTCAAGATGCCCCCCAAGGCTGCTGAGAAGAAGCCCTCCACCGGTGGCAAGGCCCCCGCTGGAAAGGCCCCTGCTGAGAAGAAGGAGGCTGGCAAGAAGACCGCCGCCGCCGCCTCCGGCGAGAAGAAGAAGCGCGGCAAGACCCGCAAGGAGACCTACTCCTCGTACATCTACAAGGGTGAGTTGTTTTGGAATCTGGCGTTCGAGACGCGTTGGCTGATTTTCTCCTTCCAGTCCTCAAGCAGGTCCACCCCGACACTGGTATCTCCACTCGTGCCATGTCCATCCTGAACTCCTTTGTCAACGGTATGTTCTTTGATTGAATCGCCCCCGTCTTCCGGATAAAGACCGATCTAACATGTTCTCAGACATCTTCGAGCGCGTCGCGACCGAGGCCTCCAAGCTCGCGGCCTACAACAAGAAGTCGACTATCTCCTCCCGTGAGATCCAGACCTCCGTCCGCCTCATCCTTCCCGGTGAGCTGGCCAAGCACGCCGTCTCGGAAGGAACCAAGGCCGTGACGAAGTACTCGTCGTCCGCCAAATAAGCGGTTCTTTTCGTTTCTTGCGGTCTTTGTTTTTTATTACTGCCTCTTGATCTATTCGGGTTTCTGAGGTGGTCGGTTATGGGTGTTCTGCGGGTTTTTTAATGTGTCATGGGATGGCTCCAATTTTCTGTTTCCCCAACGGCGAGCTTCTTTTTTCTGATGGTTCTCGATACGTGAATGCGATGTAACATAACTCGGGTCTAGGGCAGGCTGCACGGTTTGGCCCTGCTAGAACGCGAAATTCCAAATGCTTGATTGCATTGCACGATCTGGTCTTGTCCACTCTTCATTTCTGACTAGCATTCTGTTTTTTTATGGACGTCATCTTTGTTTATTCCGGGGTATCCGAGTCGTCCAGAATTTCGACTTCGTCCAGGGCTTCCACTCGTTCCTGGCCGTGATCCGAGTGTGTGCCCCCGGGTAGTATGTGAACGACGGGCTGTCCTGAGGTAGATGCCACCCTTCTTTTCCAGTCCGCCCAATCCTCTTCGTCCTGAATCAAAAATCCGATCAGCATGCTGGGGTCCATATCTTTGATATGAATTCTTCGCAGTCGACAGGTGTGGCAGGTGTCCATTTCGCCCTTTGTGTGCGGCTCATCGCTGCGTCGGTATGGCAGCGCGGGGCGCGTGGTATGCGGGTCGAGGAAAAACAGGTGTGAGTCTTGGGTTCCTACGAAATAATGGGATGCGGAGGGGCGTCCACTGGCAGTCATGGGGGATTAGTCTTCCCATTCACCCTTCCTCGGCGAATTGAGTGCTTCTGACGTACCCTGCGACGCCGACTGACTGAGGGTACTGCAAGGCTGCCCGTAATCCGTCCCAATAGACCGGGGTAACGCGGTCGATCCCCAGTCGGATTCCTAGCAAAATGAGGGTTGGTCGAATACGTCCAATGTCATCGCGGGCAATGCGCGTGAATTGATCCTCGTAAACATCGGATGTGTCGTTTGTAATATAAACTCTTAGCTTAGGGTCTTCGTATTCACTCGAAAGGTTCCTGTTGGCTGTCAGCATGGCCTCGTATGATGTCCACTTTTTTTTTTTGCAGCACGCACTGGATGCACCTAGCAGTTGCTGATGGACCAAACCACTCTCCGGGGTATTTGCCACATGATGCAGCACCGCAGCTGACGAATCGGTGTATTGAGAATGGTGCTTCTGGGTGGTCTGCGAACATTGAGAGCAGCTTCGATTCCTCTCCGACTTTGTCACCTCGGCGCCAGTCTGATATCTTGTTAGCTCGGCTCGGTCATTGTCTTTGCATGTATATAGCTGGATGTATCACCTCGCCCGAGTCGTAGTATGCTAAATGTATTAGCGAGGAGACTTTGACCGGTTCTAATCATGCAACCCCAACCCGTATCGGATGTGAACCCTTGCGAGTCCATGAGCTGGGTTCGGAGGCGGACGCTCAGCGTCATCGATGATACCGCCTCGGGCGTCTTGGTTGTCGGGATGGGGGGAAGTTGGACCGGTATGTGAGCCAGATTCTGGATTCGAAATCGGCCAGGAATCCTTCCGGCCAAGCACTCCCAGTGTTATCGCTCGGCTCTGTTTCCGTGGGACGCTCGGGGGGGTGGTTACCCTGGTCTGTTGGTTTGAGCGTAAGAGCCCTTTCACCGACACCACTGACTGGGCCTCATGGATGGCTTACCTGGCGATTCCTGGGAGTTCACCGGGGGCTGCGGTGCGTACTCTTTACCCAGGCACCAGACGGGTGCCTTTGGTGTTGCATCGTTCTTGGGTTCTGGATCCCAGAAGTATTGTACGATGCGCTTGCATTTCTCCAGATCCACCCCCGCCATTTCTGCGGGGGATATAGCAGTGGTGCTTGTTGTGGTTATGGATGTCTTTGTCGGGTGAATAGGTTGAGTGCGGAGGGGGGTGATGGGAGATGGATATATTTATATATATTTCTCCCTCTCTCAGGTACGGTATACTGGGATCGTAGACTTTTCGGATACACGCAGCCGAGGAACCCGAGCCAGGCGACAGGGAAATGATCAGAAGACCACAAGCCAGAAATAAATCAATCAAGCAGAAACACAGCGAGGATGCAGAAAGTCGAAGCTCTCCCCGCCAGAGCATCGAGAGGGGCCTTGCGTAGTCACGCCAAGGCTCGACGTCACCGCGCAATGTCGCTCGCCATGGCCTTATTTTTATTTTTATATTCCTTGACTTCCTATTTTCCCTTTCCTCAGTAGAAATCCCCCCTCAAGTGATCAATATCAGTGAACCTGTAACTCACAGGGCATCTATGGAGATATCTACTTACAACAATCGCGCTTATCAATCTCCACCGCCTGGCCCACCGACGAAAGTCCGCAAGTCCCACCAACCCTTCTTCATCCTCAGAACCAGAATAGAGCCATGGCCCGCCATGGGAAGTCCAAAGCCCACGTCAAACGGGCCGCAGTGGCTACAGGTATGTCCAGCATCGCTGCCACCCCCACATCCCAGAAAGACCAAGCTGACCACCCGAAGCACCATTGCCACACCAGTTTACCATGCAGCAAGCAGCACGCAACACCGAAACTCATCATCGATGGTGGTCGAACAACAACCTTCGCCACAAGGCTGTCCAGTTCGTGAGTGCAGGTGATTTGCAGCCAAGCGAATTCCAGGACATCCACCGAGAGGACCGAGAAGGCTGCGGCCCGAAGGAGGTGAACCCGGAGCAAGAAGAAACCCAGACCCAAGACACGAATCCGCTAGAGAGAACCCACCAGGATGCTATGTTCTTCTTCGACTCAGCCGGATCTCAAGCCACCAATACGGGACTCCCCGACCCAGCCATGCGGTCGAGGTTGTCAGATTCCGATGACACCAGCGAGGATGAAGTCGTCTTCACCGGGCGGCAAAGCACAAGGCCAGCCGTGATTGAAACCAAGCCAGACGAGCTCAGAGAAATCCTGCAAAAAACCACGATTGGGACACCAGCGATGACATTGTCCACACCCCCCGATCGGGCGCCCGATCCCAACCGTACCAGAGGCACCAATCCACCCACAGAAAAGAGCCATGCATCCCCATCGGACGTGGAAAATGAAACCCTGGCCGACTACATAGCCAACATGGATAGCGACTACTACGACGAAGATACATGCTCCAACACGCATCTCGAACCAGAAGGTGGAATCGACGTCCATAGAGCGACAGCGCAGTTGGATTTGTCTACACCAGGCTCCCCCGACTCCCAAACGAGAACCCTGAATTTCACCCCGAAACATCACCCGGATCACGTCGACGTAGAAAGCGAGGCCCGCGTCCAACACTCGATCGATGGTAAGTTTCGAACCCCCTCCCCCAACAGACATGGAGTCTCCCAATCCTAACCGAGAGAAAGTCCTGGCAAAAATGTATCTCGACACCGATGAAGAACAGGCCATAGTACTCGGCGAAGATGAACAAGATGAGGATTGCTCATTCGAGGGTACCGATTCAGGATCCGACGACGGGGGTGATTTTGGGGACATTGACCTGCTGGATGACATGACCGAAACACACACCCGAATCACAACAAAGAGAGCTCGCGCAACCAGGAATACATTTGCATCGGCAACAGCATTTGCCGATGCCCTCGAGTCCGATCCCTATTATGGATTCGATGTCATGGACTTCGACCGGCCAAGCCTACTGAAGAAAGCAAAGGGCAAACAACCTGCATTCGACCTGATACTCGCGGATAGCGAGTTTGAAACACAGCTACAAGAAGCATGGCAGAATGACAGAAAGAAGAAAAAGGCCAAGAAGAAAGAGCGAGAAGAGCTCCGTTCGCAGGGAATACTGGCCAACAAAACTGGAGGCCAAGATCTCAAGGTCAAGTACTCCAACGGGATGAACATGGAGCAATTGATATCCGAAACGCGACACTTCCTCCTGTCACCAAAGATCAGGTACGTTTATATACTTCCATTCCCCGCCAGGTCACTAACACCGCCCTCAAGTCTCGCTTTGCCGCCCATGACCAAGCAGCGCAGAAAGCTGATCCATGAGTTGGCAAACACGCTGAACCTGAAATCGCAGTCGCGGGGCGATGGGCTTGCGCGATTTCCTATCCTTCACAAAACGGCTCGCACTCCTGGATATACGAAAAAGACCATTTCCAAAGTCGACCACCTCTTGTCTGGGAGGAAGCTCAATCGCCGGTTGTTCAAGAACTGGGGGTCGGACGCACCCAGGTCCAAAACCAAGCGAGGCAATGCGGGCGCAGCCGTTTCATATATGGATGGCGAAGTGGTTGGTGCCTCTGCCCCAGAAATTGGAGCCGAGAATCGAGGACGGGCCATATTGGAGAAGATGGGTTGGAGCACAGGTACCGCTCTTGGAGCCACCAACAACAAGGGTATCTTGTTGCCCGTTGCCCATGTGGTGAAGAATTCCCGAGCTGGTCTAGGGTAGGTCTGGGGAAAGGATTCCCTGCCAACCTTCCCAAGATGTACGAACTGAGAGTGATGCTGGATGTGTCTAAAGATAAAATCACCTGGGGTTGCCACACAATATTGCGGAATATCTTCTTGAATCATTGAACGTAAGCAGAGACGAAGATATCTATCGTCTTTTTCCTTTGATGCCCTGAGGCTTCGGCTGTGGTTGTGCGTGGGATGGATTGTCCCTGATGTGAGAAAACAACTTGCTTCTGGAGGTGAAGCTAGCGTTACAGTTGGCACACGAGAGCCCAGTGGATTGTTCTGTGTACTGCGCTGCCTTCCTAGCTCGTTTTTGCTTGGCCTTCCCAAGTTTACCGGTTGTCGACTGGTCATTGAGATTGGAAGAGGACAGTTGATCAGACAATGGGGTAATAGGATCCTCAGCCTCCGCCCAGGAAAACGTATCCGAGTGAAGCCTTGCCTCAATGGCTTCCCTTGAGGTGTAGTCTTCATCTCCAGAGGAATCCGTTGAGGAGTCCCGCCTGGACTTGGGGTGTGCAGGCAATCGTTCTTTCGACGTTTGCTCCCCATCTAAATCGATGTGGGAAGTGTTCCGAGATTCCTCAACCTCCAGGCTGTCATTTTCACTATCGGGTCGAGGAGAAGAAGTATGGGAATCGTCATCGAGATGGGCTGTAGTGGCGGGTTGAATTGGGACATTCGGGTCTCCCGCAAGCTCCAGCCCCAGCTCTTCGTCCTGCAGTCGCATCTCGCGGCAGAGCTGCTTGACGGCCTTCAGGTGCTTTTTGCTGCGTTCATGGGCCTCGAATTGTTTCTGGCTCTTGAAACTCTTATGACATGCCACACAGTCGAAATTCTCGACCTCACTTTCTGAGCTTTCCTCTTCGTCATCTGCTCCTCGCTCCTCAGACCTGGCCCATTCTGGAATGACATGATCACGCATCTTGGCATTGTTTGCGGCTCGAGATCTTGCTGCTTGAGCAGCCACAGACTGACGGAGGGTTTCCTGACGTTGTGCCTCGTTCTGAGCATTGATCTTATATCGGGAGTCGCGTTTTTTCACAAAAGCCACCAGGGACCGAACCGCGTCGTTGAATTCTCGAATCCCTTCCTCCCGGAGACGTTTATTCTCTTTCTCCATCAATCGTCGCACGCGACGGTCAGGGGCTTCGGAGTAGCGATAAGCGTCTTTCCATGCGAATGACTTCCTCGTGGAGAAACCACTCCATGCCGCGTAGAATGGGCGCACCACATCCTCAAAATCAGAATCACGAGTTCCAAACGAGGGATATTCAACGGCATCTTGGCCCTCCCACTGACAGGCCAGACTTTCCTCCAGCGCGAGTTGGGCAAACTGCTCATTGAGACCACCAAAGAACCCCGTAGGAGAGTCTGAAAATTCCATCCGTGGATTGAACTTGGAGAACATTTGGAGGACATCTTCTGCCGTCGTGACTCGAACATTATATGAGTGCTGGGCACCTTCGGCGCCTCCATTAGTCCCTAAGAAGGCATCGCTATGGGAGTCGTACCATGCACGCTCTTGGGGATCTGCGAGCACCTCATACGCGGATTGGATCTCGGCGAAGAGTTTCGTAGCCTCCTCAGCATTTCCATAGTTTCGGTCTGGATGTAACTCAAGGGCTTTTTTTCGATACGCTTTTTTGATTCTAGAAAAAAGAATTAGCTAGTTCTGACCTTGAGCCATTATAGACTCACTCGTCGTCGGTCGCATTCCGTGTAACTCCCAGAAGTTCATAGTAATCAGTCTTCTCTCCTTGTTCTGCGGGGGCAGAGCTCTTTTGGCCTGTCGAGTGATATTGGCCCATGATAAGAGGGAGAAGGGATAACCCAGTCTGATGTGGGGGGGGGGGGGAGAAGGCAATAATATACCCAAATCTCACATCCTGACACGAGTGGGGTCCGTGTCTCCCCCACCAAGACAGACAGGCAGACAGGCAGAGAGAGAGGGCGGGGGAAGGAGGATGGGGAGGAAGAAAAAGATGTTCGATACTTCAGGAGCCTGTGAGTTGGAAATTGGGATTGGGTGACCTCACCTCGGTTAATCTACACCCTCCCCCTTCCCCTACTTTCCATCTTCCTCCCTCTCCCTCCTCTCCCCAATCTCCCGAAATCAACGTCCATCGGCATGGTTTTATCTCTCAATCATCTTCCAGAAGAGATCCTTCATTCGATTCTATGCCACTCCCCCCTCGCTCTTCTACGGCACTCGAACAATCCAGCAGCCGGTTCCACGATGTGACGAATGAACCATTACTATGGCGCTACTACTGTCAATCATATTACAAGTCCTGGGATAAACGACATGACATCTCCAGCAAACTTGCGAGCCCAGTGTCTTCTGTCGACTGGAAAGCGCTCTTTGTACTACGATACCGAGTGGACCTCTCAATAACCCGACTTCTGGATAGTATCCTTGCTAGCCAGACAGGGCGCATCGAGAAGTTTCGAGCCGTTATTGATTTTGGGTACGATGCGAAGGATACTCTTCTGCGTCATTGCCGGGTAGAATCCGGGGAGGATCACCTCGCAAGAAGGTGCGCTATTTGTGCAAATGGGCATTTTGTGTTTTTGCCGTGTTGACCAGTACATTGGGCCAAGTTGAAGTTATTATGCCCGCGCGCTTTTGACATGCCTTCACCGCAGTATTGCAGTGCCAGAATGGGTGAAACTTAGGCGCGGAGAGGCGGTGTCACTCGATCGAGTGTTGGGTGCCTTCGACCTCTTTATCCCGGAGAGCGGGTACGGGGACCTGGATGAGGTGAGTACATGTCGATGTTCCCCTAAACCCAGGCCGCTTCTTGACAAGGAACCAGATCAAGATGGCCCTCGATCGAATTGTCTCCCGATTTCTTGCGTCTCAATCGGATGTCTCCCTCACTCCACGTGAGAAGGCTCTAGCCATTGCGTCCTGGCTACACGCAAACGATCTAACAGGCATCAAGCCCGGTCGGGAGTATCATTCCCTCGGGCATAATTTTTTGGGGTTGGCTCTCAAGAGTCCCGAGCACAACTCTCTCCCTTTGATATCAGCAGTGATATATTGCCACGTAGCCCAGGAACTGGGTTTGGATGCCCGCCCTTTGTGGATTTCCATTGCATGTCCATGTCATTATCACTCCCCAGTTGGGCTTTGACATGGATGGTAATGCCTTGGGCAATAAGAACATGGGCTTGCCCATGTATCTGGATCCATTCCGGGGGGCCAGGGAGACTCTGGTCGCCGATCTACGAGACCAGTTGAGATTTTTAGGTGCATCGAACGTGGAAAACTCCACATTTCTGGGCGAATCGTTGGCCTCAGAGATTGTCTTGCGCTGCGGCAAAAATATCTTGAACTCCATCCGTTCTGTGTCCCATCAGTCCAATACACATTTCACGTCGGTGGATATCGTGAGCGCAAGGTATGCCGCTCTTTGGTCGTCCATTTTGCTCTCAGGTGATTCACGACCGATCGAGCTTCGCCATCAGTTGCCATGGTTAATGGAATTATTTGCTACCGACTTTCCATCCGATATCTTCCTTGTGGAGCAGTACATTGTTCCCCTTTTCCATGACCTGTTTGAGTATGAGCACATCTTGAAGACCCTCCACGTTATGCGGGCAGCGGATAAGATACCAAAGCAAGTCCGGCGGCGTACTGGGGAGAACAGCAATATCCGTTACAGGGTGGGCCAGGTTTTTCGACACCGTCGATATCATTACCACGCTATTATCACTGGGTGGGACTCCGAGTGCGGTGCAGGCGAGCAGTGGATGAGAAGAATGGGCATTGATCGCTTGCAAGCCGGCCGACATCAGAGTTTCTACCATGTCCTGTGGGCTCTCTGGTCTCTATTGTGATGGCGTTCGTCGCTAACTGGTTCCCAGTGTTGAGGATCGAAGTGTTCGATATGTGGCAGAGGAGAATATCCAACTCACCGTACCCCACCTTGCAGAGCTACCACACAACCTGACTGCCATCGCTGGTAAGCATTTTAAGCGATGGGATCAGGAGGTTCGGGCATTTGTGAGTAATGTGAGGGATGAATACCCAGATGATTAGTTCATATACCACTTCCCTATCTATAGAGGGCCTATAGAATAATCAGTATACCTCTACTCTAAGTGGTTAGGGAGCCCCTTTTCTACCTATTATATTTATTATTATTGATACTATTGGAATAAATATTATATATTTATATAATTTAGTATTGTTTTAATATAACCTATACTACTATCCCCTCTCTAAATTTTGCCATTTCCTATCTTCCTATCTTTTTTTACCCTATCTCTCCTAAAATGTATGCATAACCTTGCTACTCGAGTATCTGTTTTATGCCTTAAGTTAATAGGCAAAACAACTAATGAGATTATCTGTTTTACTAGCTTATAATCACAAACAATTAACTGTATCTATACGCGTGCTATTAGGTGTGGATTTAAGCTAAATAAACGACCTCTAGCTATTCGTGATGACTATCTTATTAGTGCTCCTCGATCTAGCCACCCTAAGAAGTAATCGATTAAGGCTAAAGATAAGGTCCTCGCGAAAATGCGCTTTAATCGTTTTAGACAAAAGAAGACGAAAGAAGACAAAAGACTTGTGCTAATCTTACCAGGGAGCTTAGCCTATAATTTATTAATATCTTAGCTATTACGATATAGCGAATCCTCTAGAAATCCAGCCCTAAGAAGATGAAACCGATATGAAAGCCTAGATTAACGTAGAAAATAAGAGAGATATAAATAATATCTTATCTATTAAGATTAGACCCTAGAGGATTAGAAAAATATTATTTAGACTAATAAAACCTTAGTCGTTTTGTTTTATTGCTAAGGAGGTGATCAAAATTAGCGTTTAAAAGATAAACTCTTTTTATGAAGCTGTAAAGGGTCTATAGAGATGGTAAGGTATTATTATATGTACCTAACTAGTCACTGTGAGTTGGTCCTTAAAGGTGATACTTCTTTTGGTGACTGTTAGCCTTAAGCTTATCTTTGATTGTATTAATACTATACTAGGCCTTATATAGATAGATCCTTTAGGTACTTATAAAGATATACGAGTTAAGTATACGCTGAATAGGTTAGTACCAAAGTAGCTCCCCTATTTATAGGATAGGTTATCACAAAAGTGAACTATGAATAAGACTAAAGTTAGTATCTAAGTAATAATATATAATCAATCACAAAGACCTAAATATATACATAATAAAGACTGTCTTATACACCTAGTTCTTTCTATTACTAATAAATCTGGGACCTGTTGTTAATATCTTCTAGTCTTATCACTAATAAGTTTATTATATAATTTCTTACAATTGTCTTTATTGTAAGGCGATCTTTATTTATAAAAGAGACATAGGTTTATTGGGAGGTATTATGTTTTTTTATAATGCGTTATAGGAGATCCACTATCCTATAATAGTTCTTATTCTATAATAATCTAGACCTTATATGGTTATTGTATAATTATTAGTTTTATAGTCTATCAGTCCCCTTATATTATTCTGTTGTAAAGGGTCTACCAAGATGGTGAGGCATGAGGTTATTCCCAACTGACGGAAGGGGTGAATTAGGTACTATTATATGATCCTGAAGGAAGTCGGAACTCGTTACTTGATCTACTCTATAGTAGAATAATCACGATATATAATAGAGACCTAGTTGTTTATATTATCGATAATATATAGAGTTATAAAGATACTATGTAATAAATTGATACTCTTATATCTAGCTAATAAGATAAGATTTAGTCTTAATAGTAATAAAGATATATTATTACTTTTACTCTTTCTTTTTATTTCTTTATTTAATCGATAGGTTTTATGCTCTACTAAATATATTTTTTATAATTCTAAATCTTTCTTTTTGATTATCTAAAAAAATAGAATAATCCTATAGACCTAATCTATTATAATATATTAGAGTAATACTCCTAAAGAGATATTATAAATCTCTCTATCCGAAACTAACTAGACTTAACCAGATAAAGACCTATAGACTATCTAAGAAATAATTAAAAAACTTTAATATCTATAAGAATTATAATAAATAGCTTAATAAATAAAAAATTAGATCGAATAAAGGAATATTATTAAACCCTTAATAAATTAATAATAAAACTAGGGTTTATCTCCTATAGAAGATAAAAATAAGATTAGGATTTAAAATATTCTAATATTCTCGATTTATTCTTTTTTTTTAATAAAAAAAAGAGTAACTCTTAAACCTCTCTCTTATTTTTAAAAAAATGCTATAAAAATATTATAATAAGAAACAATAAGTTATTATAGCTCTATTATATATAGAATCTATTTACTAGTAAAGATAGTATTAGTATATTACTGAGAAACCTAAGGAAAAATAGCAAAATATTAACGTTTTATAGACTTATTTTAAGAATTAGACTCTCTCTTTTATTAAAGATATTATAACTCTTAAAATCGATATTATAGGGTAACTATAAAAATCCTATTAATACCTAGAGTAGGATCCGCGAGAGTTTTATACTTTTTTAGGTTTATTTTATAATATTCTCGAAATTTATTTATAATCTTAGGCGATATATATAAGAATGTATATATAAGTTACCTAAAAACTAAGATAGGATAGTATCCTTAACTATTTATTACTAAGGATTACTATAATCGATATAAAAACGAAAAAGTCCCAAAACCCTTAAAGAATCTATAAATAAGTAATTTTAGATAATTTAGTATTAACTAAACTATAAATCTTAGGGATCTAAAGAAAGGACCTAAAAAAAGAAAAGGAACCTAATTAGAAGAGATAAAAAAACCTTTTAATATTATATTTATTAAAACGAAATTTATCTTATTAATTATTACTCTAATAAATTAAGTAAAAAAACTAGTATATAAATAGCTACTTAGATTAAATCAGAAAATAATAGCGAGTTAGTCTAAATCCTACGTAGCTAACTCTATTATCCTAAATAGGAACTATGATTTGTTTTTATATTCTAATATTACTATAGAATAAAGTCGAAATATATATAGATATAGATATTTATATTAAGATTAATATTATTAGTATTAAATTCACGGAAAGATATAAATTATAAAGGTGAAGCTATTATTAATATTATTTAGAATAGTAGATAATCGAGGAACTCTTTTATATAGTATATAAAAGATATCTATTATATTTACTAATTCTTAAGGAACTACTAAATTAATAGTTTGTTTTTATCTTATAATTAATAGAGGTCTTTATAAATAAAAAAGTCTAATCTTACTTTTAATAATAACGCTTATTAAGTATTATATCTATATTTTACTATAGAACCAAAATTAGTAATTTAAAGTTACTAAAATTAAATTAGTACTAATTTAGGAACTCGCGAAAGAATATCGAAAATATATTATTATCTATATTATTATAAAACTCTTAAAAGAAGTCTAGTTACTCTATAAAAAAGATAAAGAATTAACTATTTATTTTTTGGAAATACTACTAAACTATATTAATTTATCGATATCTTCTTAATAGAGTAATTATAAATCCTTCTATTTAATAGTTTATAAGATTATATTATTAAACTAGAAAATGACTATTCTCTATTTTATAGACTAATATATCCTTTATTATAAAGTAAATTATAGATATTATAAACCTATTGTAAAGGATATACTTGGTAGGGTATAAGGCCTGTCGATCAGGTAAAGAAACAAGGGGAGAGAGTAGGAGAAATAGTATATCTTTATTACTATTAAGACTAAATCTTGTCTTGCTAGCTAGATACGAGAGTATCAATTTATTATATAATATCTTTGTAACTCCCACGCGTTATCGATAATATAAATAACTAAGTCTCTATTATATATCGTGATTATTCTACTATAGAGTGGATCAAGTAACAAGTTCTAACTTTCTTTAGGATTATATAATATTACCTAATTCACCTCTTCTATTAGTTAAGAATAATCTTATATCTTACTGTCTTAGTAGACCCTTTATAATTATCCCTTTTCTAAAGATTAGGTAGCCTTAACTAACGCGTTTATCTTTTTGTAGGGTTTTTGTTTATCTTACTATTAAGGCAATAAAGAGATTATATAGTTAACTAGTAAATAAAGATACGTTGAATTATATATTTAAGTCTTTATTTATATTTTCGAGTAGTAACTCTTTTCTTTTTTTTTCTCTTCCTATATTATATTTATCGCGCTCTATTATTTATTCCTTATTATTCTTACTATTTTCTGTTATCTTTTCGTTATTATTACTATTATTATATCTTATTATTATTGTTTAGATTAGTTATTATATTAACTAACGCGTTCTATTACTATTTTATTTATCTTTTTATAGTATACTAAGTACTTTTAGACTAAAATTAAGGCGTACGACTCTAAATCGCCTTTTATTATTAAATATAAATTAGATATAGTAGCTTCGGTTATCTATTAGTAGTATTCCGCCTATAATATATTATATAATATAGCATATTCTACGGTATCTTATTTTAACTTATACTAATATTATTTAGATTATAGAGGGTATAGTTAAGGATATCTATAATCTATAGATAATCTTTAATTAGCTAAATAAGGAATTCCTAGAGTCTTTAGCTAAAGGTACTTTTAAAAGAGAGAGGAAAAGAAGAAGGAGAATAAATAGAAGGATAATATACTAATCGCGGCCAGAAAGGCTATAATAAAACTTATAAAGGCCTTTAATATAATAGAGTTAGTATATTATTATTAGTTCTTTTTTTATTACCGCCTATAAATTAACTATAGTAAATAGGATTATTAGTACTAGTATAATTTCGTTAACGTTTTAGTAAGCCTAATATAAGGTTTATATAATATATATTGCTATTCGTTACTAAGATATAGCTATTTACGCTTTTTTATCTAAGGATCTCTTAAAGAAGTATCTCTAAAAGTTCTAGTTTTAGCGTTTTCTCTGTTTAGTTCTAAGAGATAGTAATTTTATATACTAGATGGTAATGAAATAAAAGCTTCTAATAGCCCTATAGATAGTATCCTAAGATAAATATAGTCCTAATCTAGTAGTCTCTAATCTAATTAA